AACCCCAACCCCAACCCCAACCCCAACCCCAAAATATTTTTTAATTCAATTTGCCATTTTAATTAAATAAACGAATACAAATTTTATTTATTTTTTTTTGTATTTAAAATAAACTCTCAATAACAAATATTGCTGGAAAACGATATTTTTATTTATTTCTTATTAATTAAACTGTTAGCTAATTTATATGACATTTATAAATAAATATTGTGCTTATTTTTTAAAGCTAATAATTCACTAAAATTAATTAAATAATTTTAATATAATTTATGAATATGAAAAGTAGTTATAATTTTTTAGAATATAATAATTTAGTATTTAATTTATTTACATTATGCATTATTTTTCATTTTATTGTTAATTTTATAATATTTTTGGTTGCATTTTTAATTTATATTATAAAAATCCAATATTTTGTTTATTTAAAAATTTTTAAAAATAAACCGCATACTGAAATTTATAAATATTTAAAAATTGATTAAATTGTAATTAAAATAATATATATACACATACATACATATATAGCTTAGGTAAATAGTTATGAGAAGAAAGAAAGAATTAGAGAGAGATGAGAAAGGATATACTATCATGTCCAAGAATAACTTAAAGATTATTTGCGAGAACGATGAACTTTATGAATTTCCAGATTTGAATGAAAAGCTTTACTTGCAGTTTAAAGGGTTCCATAAAATAGAAAACCTTGATGAATATGTGAATTTGAAAGCTATATGGTTTAACAATAATGGCATTTCCAAAATAGAAAATTTGACTAATTAGACTTTTTTGATTTCTCTATTTTTAAACAACAATCTAATTCCCAAGATTGAAAATATTTCTCACCTTTAAAACCTATAGACATTGAATTTATCTCACAATAGAATTTCTAAAATTGAGAATCTTTCAGCTTTGAAAAGACTTGGTAATTTAGATCTCTCTTCTAATATTATATAGGATTATGATGGTTTAATTGGGCTATTAGAATGCCCTTCTCTGACTAATGTTGATATAAGTAATAATTTGATCGAGCATGATGATAGAATTTTAGGTATTTAAAATTTTATATTTTTATTTTACTTAACTTCACCTTTTAAATATTTTTAGATATTTTCATTTAGATGCCCATATTAGCATGTTTGTATTTAAGAAATAATCCTTGTGTTAGGGAATTTAAGAATTACAGAAAGCGTTTGATTGGCTACATCTCTACATTAAAATATCTTGATGATAGACCTGTTTTTATAAACGAGAGAAGAGTAGCAGAAGCGTGGATTAAAGATGGTAGAGATGGTGAAATGAATGAAAGGAATGCTATAATTAGAGAAAGAGATTCAAGAAATTAGAAAACTTTTGAAGAAACAGTTGAAATGAATGAATAAATAAAGAAGAAAAGAAGGAATGTCTTCATGAAAGCTTAAGAAGATTACAAGTAAACAATTTACTTTTTTTTGGACATACCTTTATGTTTTTAGTGGTTTGATAGAAAAATATATAGTTATCAGCAGAAATCATTAGAAAATCTTTTAAATTTTTAATTAAATATAGAAAAGAAGTTGAAAGAATACAAAGAGTTATCTAAAAATGCAAAGATGAAAATAAACCTGCTTATTACATAGAGCTTTTAGAAAGAGATCTTGAGATAGAGAAGTAGAAGATAAAAGACATGGAAGAAAATTTAGACAATATAAATGTTGCTGATAACTTTAATGTTGTTAGATCTTTTTCATGTACTTATAATGAAGATGGTTCCGTTTCAATCTGGAATAAAACAGAGGAGCAAGTTGCAGAAATTAAGAAGCGATTCTTTGATAACCCTGATGTGCAAAGAACAAGAACGAGAGAAGAGTTAGAAGAGGAAAGGAGATTATAGAGAGAAGAATAGCTAAGGCAAAAGTAAGATGAAGAGTAAAGATAAAGAGAGTTGTAAAAAAAGCAAGAAGAAAGAGATGAAGAAGAGAGAAGACAAAAAGAATTTATAGATTATTCAAAGCAATGGAAGACATTTATGTTAGCAGATAAAGAAAAGGAAGAAAAAGAAAGAAAATAATAAGAAGAATACAAATAAATGTCCAATCCCCAATTCTAGAGCATCAAATAATTGCGATAAAGATGGATTGATGGTGATTATGATTAGTTACTTGAAACTTTACTCCTAAGCTATGTTTTTGACTTTGAAAGAGCCTCAATTGAGTTTAACAAAATCGTATCTGAAGTTATGATACGCTTATAAAAGCAGTTCCAACCATTTTCTTCAGACGATTTGAGGCAGATTTGGACTTATATTGAAGTTAACAAATTTAGAAAAAACAGAACAAATGAAGAATATCAAAGAATACAAGAATAATAAAAAAATTAGGATAAAATAGATGAGTAAAAGCAAAAGGAAAAAGAGTAAGAATCTCATAATTAACAGCAAGAATAATAAGAAAGCTAGATAAATAATAAAGAAATATAATAAGCTATTAGCAATATAGAGTCTTCACCTGAAAGTGAAAATAACAATAGTTTTAATATAATCTAGTCATAAACTAATGAGTCTAATTAAAGAGAAAAAGAGAGTAGTTTATTCGTCAATGCTCGTAAAGAAATAGACGAGTTAAAAAAGCATGTAGCGATCAATGATTAAGATTCTAACAATCTCTCAAATACTTCTTGGGAAAAGATAAACAAAGAGTAAAGCAGCGAAAATTTGGAAAGCCAAAACAAATAGAAGGAAGATTCAACCTCTTAGCTATTCAAAAAAATAGATGACAATGCTTTAGATTTAGATGGATTAGATTGAAATATAAATAAAATTATTGATGTTTTAAAACAATTTATTTTTTATCTGTAAGTATGCATTAAGGCGCTCATTCATTTTTTTTATTAAAACTAATAACACATCAAGTGTTAATATAATATTAAATTTTCAAATTAGATATTAATAATAAAGATTGATTTTACATTTAATTAATAAAATTTCATTGTTAATATAATTAAAAAAAATAAGCGTCTCTCAAGAAAATTAAATAAATTTTAAAATTTTAAAATAGCAACAAAAATAAATGTCAGTAACTTTGCATACTACGCACGGAGAACTAAAAATTGAAGTATTTTGTGAAAAAACTCCAAATGCTGCTAAAAATTTTTTAGCTTTGTGCGCTAGAGGAGATTATAATGGAACAATATTCCATAGAAATATAAAAGGGTTTATTATTTAAGGTGGTGATCCTACTAATACAGGAAAAGGAGGATAAAGTATTTATGGAAAGCCATTTAATGATGAAATTAAAGAAGATATTAAGCATGATAAAAGAGGAATGTTAAGCATGGCTAACTCAGGTCCAAATACTAATTTATCTTAATTTTTTATCCTTTATTCTAAATAAAATCACTTAAATGGATCATATACAATTTTTGGTAAAGTTATTGATGGCTGGGAGGCCTTAGACTTAATGGAAAAAGAACCAATAGATGCAAACGATAGACCACTAAACGAAATAAAAATAAATAAAGTAACAATACACGCAAATCCAATTGCAGACTTCGAAGAATGATTGTAGATATTAAAAAAATATATTTCTTGTTATAATACTTAATTTTTATGTAGAGTTTATAATCAATAAAAAAAACTAAATCTGATAATCTTTACATAAATATTATTTTATTTTCTTTAATTTAAGTTCAATTTATTTATATTTAAAAATAAAATGTTTATTTTGAAATTAAATAATTAAAATGTTTATAATAAATTTAGGAGAAATTAGTTAGAAAACAGAATTAATAAATAGGATTTTTAAAAATAAATAAATAATGTGGTTTAATAGTTTTTTATAAATTTTCTATTTTTAAATAATTTAACTAAAGTAAAAAAATAAATTAAATTAAAAAATTGTATTAAACCAAACTTTTTTAAGCTGGAGTTGCAATCAATTAGTAGTATTTAATTATATTTAAAGAGCTTTAAAATAATTTATAATTATTTAGACAACAATGAATTTATTTTAAATAAAATTAAAAGATTTTTTATTATTTATTAAAATTTATAAATCTCAACCAAAATCACTTTAATTTTCTAATTCATCTAAACTAAAGGATAATTTGGAAGATACTAATCTTCTATTTTTATATAGTATTCTTTAAAATTTATTTTTTGATAAAATACTTTCTTCACTACTCACACCAACGTAACAAATTCTAAGCGATTTCATGTAAGAAAAATTGGTAATTATTTAGCGATAATCTTCAAAAAGTAGGCTTTCTGATTTATTAAAGAGGAAAGTTAGATGTATCAAATTCTTTAAACTAGATACTTTTTATGAAACAAATATAGAGTCCTCAATCTAAACTTTATTACCTTCTTATATTTTTAGAGATAGATTTTTTAAATTTGATAATTATGATATGCTTTCAGCTACATTTCTTACAGATTTGCCTATTTTATTAAAATATTCGAAGTGTATTTGTAATTCTTATATATTAGTTAAATATTTGAGGCACTGCGCTAATTATGCTGCTCCATATTCTCCAATCACCATGGAAAATGAAATAATAGTGCTTAATGTTTTCACTTATGGCATATATTTAATAGCTTCCACAGGTTTAAAAACATAATCAAACAAATTACACTCAGGACTATTTTGCATTTCATATCCTATTGTTATTTAAGTTGTTATACTGGTATTCGGTTTTTGATATGAGATTTTGCTAGAGCATTAGTCTCTAAAAGAAGACAATTTTTAACTAAAGCTTGTCATCTCCATAGCTTTAAATAATTAACTTAGCTAAAGTTCGTAATCCTGCTCTATAGAATGCAAAAAAATAGATATTTCAATAGTTTCTAAACAGTCAACTTTCTCAATGACATTTGTTATTTTTTCAATTATACTAGAAGACACTTTATTATAGGAGTCTAAAGAAAAACAAAAAATTTAAAGGTCTTACAGTAAATGCAAATTCTCGATTAATTTTACAGCTCCATCTGCTTAGATATTATTGTTGCTTTCAATCCTTATAGTTAGTTCTTTTAAATTTACTAATTAGGATAAGCCTTCACCTATTGCTGCAGCTCCTTACGAAGATATGAGATTGTTTTTACCTATCCTAAGATCTAAGTGATAGATTTTTTATAAATATTATAAGCCCTTACCTATTTGTTAAGCTCCTTCATGTCCAATGTTGTTATTTTAACCAATTTCTAAGGAAAGAAAATTAAGGTTTTTCATATTAGGAAGAGCTCTTCCAAGTGCTATAGCTCCATGACTATTCATTCCTCCTTCTTTAATGGTTAAAGTTAGTCTTATTAAATTTTGTAACTTTGCAAAACTTTCTGCCAAATAAATCAATCCTTTTGAATCTAAGCTATTTTTTATTCCTATTTAAAATTTAAGTGATTCTAAGTTTACTAAATATTTTATGCCTTCACTCAAAAGAGCAGCATTCTAAATATCAAATCCATTTTCTTATGAAAAGCTAATAGTCAGTTCTTGCAATTTATCAAAATTTTTAAGTCCATTTTTAATATTTGTAGCAAGTTGTTTTGAAATCTCAAATTTCTTTCCAAATTTAATTGAGAGTTAATTGAGATTCTTAAATATGTTTAATTACTTCAATAGATCTTTTTGGTTTTCGCTTTAAGGATATTTTTACTTATTTAAATCAATTTTAAGTTAGGTTAATTATAGATTCTCTAACTAACTTGTATCATTTTTTTCTTCTTCTATTTCTATTTTTTATAACTACTCCATTTAATCTGAATTATTTTATGGCATTTATTATTACTGTTATTATTAATATAGATATTACAAAGGACTATAATCTTCACCGCACATGTCTAAATATTTAATAGGTGATAGGTTATCACTGGATATTGAATATAGTAAATTAGATCCAAGAGTTATGTTTACTTTTTGTAAATTTTTCTGTTATCCAAAATTATATAAAATATTATAAGAATAACCTGGGTCATCATAAACTCTAAATTTTAAGGTATTTAAACTCTATAAATTATTTAACCCTTTACAAAGAATATTAATGCCTTCTTCTTCAATTTCTTAATTCAAATGAATCCAAATGTCAAGAGATTTCAAATTGTGTAGCTCCTTTAATCCATTCCCTAATGAAACAGCCCCTTAGTAATCGATCTTTATCTCTCTACCAAAAAATAGCCACAAGGTATTTAAATTCTTTAGATATTTTATACAATTACTTAATTCGGCTGAGTATTAAGCATTTTCTTAGCTTTGGTAAAGCCATAAAGATAGCTCTTTTAAATTCTCAAGATTTTAGAAAATGTCTTATAAAATATCAGAGCCTTCATGATCTATGCTGTTAGGGAAAACATCTATGCAGAATGTCTCTAGCTACTTTAAACATTTTAATCCTTAACCTAATCCAATAAACCCATCAGTTTGAATGTTATTCCCTCTCATTCTTATGTTTAAACTAGTAACTTTGCTCAAATTTTGCAATGCCTTTCCGAAAGCAATGTAACTCTAGCTATCAACATCGCTTTCTCCATATAGAGTGATATCTAAATCTTTCAAACTTTTTAGATGAGACAATCCTTCTGATAACTCAAGTAATCCATGACAATTTCTGAGAGAGTTTTCATAAAATGTTAAACACAAATTCTCTAACTTTTACAGCTACTTAAACTCTTAACTAAATTTTCTTATGCCAAGTTAAGTGATGCAAGACTTGCATTCTAAAATAAAATTGAAGGTATTCAGCTTTTCTAATTTAGATAGTCCTTACCCAAGAGCACTAGCACCTTCTTCTCTTATATCTTCAACTAAATTTAAAGATAAAATTTCTAAATTAATTAAGCATTCAAGAGCTTGACCTAGTTTTATTGCTCCATACTTTGTAATTTTATTATTTTCTATTGATAAATCTAAATTTTTCATGTTTACACAATTCTTTAAACCATCAAATATTGCTTAAGATCCTTCTATCCCAATATAATTTTAATCTCTTATACAGAAATTAAAATTTTATAATTAAGTTAACTTTCCAAAAGACTCGCCTAATTTCTATGCCCCATAAATCCTTATTTTATTTCCAGTATCGAAAGTTAGTTTAAGAGTATTTATATTTAGTAAATTTTAAAGCGCTTCAGAAAAAAATAAAGCTCCTTCTTCTCCAATATTTGAGTTCGAACCAAAAAAGACTTCAAGTTATACTAAATTATTCAATTTTTTTATATTATTTGAAAGTTATTTGCATAAATTAACTCCTTCGTTATGCTAAAACTTTACTTCTACTTTGAATATCTTGAGATTTTCAAGTTATCCTACAGAATTAAAATAACAAATATTGCTCTCTAAATCTCTTTTTTTCAAAAATTCATTTAATTCAAGCTCTTCTAGCATTTTTAGTTGACTAATACTTTGTGATAATTCTATAACTACCTCTTTTTAGAATTCATGATTTTGCTCAAATGTTATGTCTAATATTTGTAAGTTTTTTAATTTCTTCAAATACTTTGATAATTCTTGTATGCATCTCGCTTTAATCATTTCACCATCTAAGCATAGTTTTAAGCTACTTAATTTAGGAAGAAAATCAAGAGCCTCAGAAAGGCTTAAAAAGCCTACTTCTTCTAACTTCCTAAAATCTATTTGTAAAAATAGTTTTTCAAGATTTTACAAGCCTTTGATTCCATCGCTCAATCCAATTAAACCTTCGTCAGTGATGTCATTCATTTCACCGATAGCCAAATAGAATTCAATTAAATTTGGTAGCTATTTAAGCATATTCCCTAAATCTATTAAACCTTTTGTGCCTAAATAATTTTTACGATAAATATCTAATTAAAGTTTATTTAAGTTCTATAACTTAATTATTCCCTATTCTAATATTTCCAATCCACCTAGTCCAGCAAAACACAGCTCATCTATACTCAATTATAATGCTTATAAGCTTAATAATTATTAAATTCCTTCCCTAATCACTTAATAATCTGAGTTTTATAAGATTGTGTTTGAATTAATCTTTAAATTTAGAAATTTAATCTGATTCTTTTCTCTAAAGCGATCTTTAATGATAGATAAATACTAGCTATTCTTATCAGTTATATTATCTATATTAATAATCACAGGAGAAGTCTCAATGAAATTTGAGAAGGCTTCTTCGATTTACTATATAGTATTGTCTTATGAAATATGTACTTCGCCTTTATTCATATAAATATATTATATCCTTACAAATAAATATAAAATATATAATTAAAAATAATAATTCCTTATATTTAATATTAATGAACAATCTTTATCAGGTTAAAAAATATCAAGCTTAAATATTGTTTAATAGAAAAAGATATATACATATTTATTTATTTATAATATAAAATAGTTAATTAGAATATTTCTTTTACTAAAAGGTTAAATCATTTATATTTTTATTTTGTAAAATGCTAAAATATATTAAAAAAAATAATCTAAAATGGTTTCTATTAAATACTTACCATTAGTTGTTGATAAAAATAACTTTTTAATCATTTTATAAAATTCATTTAGAGTTTAAAAATGATTAGTATTGTAGTTTTAAAAATAAAGAAATTGAGCAAGACACAGATTTTTTTAACTAAATTTAAAACAAATTGTTGGTATAATTTAGTTTGGTAATTGATTATTGACACAAAAAAAATTAATTTTTGTTTGTTTAATGTTTTTAAATAATTTTTTATTTTTTTAAGTTAAATATGTTTTGTAATTCTAATTTTTTAAAATAATTTTGAATCTAAAAAACATTTTTGAAATTCTTGTTAATATTTTTGAAGATTTTATAAAATTAAAAATAAAAAAAAACACAATCTTTCAATAAAATAGATATAACACAGTAAAAACAGCTGCTAAGATATACATAATTGTCTGCTGTTAACATGAATTAAGGTTTAATAATTAAATTATATCCTAGAATATTTGGTAATCTAAATATACTTCAATAAAAGTTAGTAATACTAAAACTAATTAAAAATTATTTTACTTTAATTTCTTTTGATCATTCTATCTAATTGGCCTTATGAAAATGAATTAATATTAATTTAGATAAAAGAATATTCTTACTTCATCAGGTTAAAAAGTTTGTTTTTTTTAAGCAGAAGGTTAATCATTAAAGATTGAATCTAAATCTTTATCATTCTTTTTATAATCTCTGTACTCTATTGGGCTACTCAATAGCATAAACTAGTCATGATTGATATTTTTGATATTGCCTTTACATAATAAATTTTGAAATTTGTTTATTTAAACAATAAAATTACTTCTTGTTCTAAAATGATATTTAGTTTAGTAGTTAGTTTATTAATTTACTTCTTACTCACTAATACTTTCACTAATTTATGAATCAATTTATGTTTGATTTTTGTTTTGCAATTCAGAAAACTTTATATTTACTGTCGGACTAAATTATTAGCTAAAAATAAAATTTTATGTTGTAGATTAGCTTTCTGAATTTAACTGAACCAAAAATTTTTTTGGAGAAGTTTAATTTGGATTAAATTATTAGCTGCTCTATTTTAAAATACCCATTTCTTTCCTCCTTTTGTAAAGAAGCGTTTTTCTGGTAGAATATGCTTAATTGTTAGTCTCTTTAAAGCTATTTTCATCATTAGGCTAAGGATTAGAAAAGAAAGGAGCATATTTGTCTCGTTTTTTTCTCTAAATATAATCTTAAATTTAAAGTCTAAGAAGCTAAAAATGGTTAAATTTTTTAAATGAATTGTCTTCTGTGTAGTATATTAATAAATAAAGAGAGTTCATATGTTATTTTAAGTATTTTTTAAAGTATTTGAGACATTTTTAACTGTTTTGCAAACTTCCTTTTAGAATTAATATAACTTTAGTTTTTTTTAACAAATGATAATTAAGCCTAATTAAGACATCTAGGTAAATTAACATGATTTTTAAAAATGCTGCTACTTGCAAAATATAAGCAACAATAGTACCAAGGTATAAAAGAATATCTTATTCTATAGCATTAAGCAGGATATATAATATTGTGAGCAAACAGCAAATTTAAGAAAAAAATAAATCTATTTTATAGTATTTAACCTTTTAGTATGGCTTTTTTAAAAAAATTAAACTTAGTTATATAGATAAAAAAGTAATCTTACTTAATATTTTTGCAAGAGCAGAAGATAGCAGTAAAGGATAATAAGCATCAAAGATGCTTTACTAAGTAAGTCGGAATCAAAATATATAACTAAAAATACTAAGACCAACCTTAAGTTCATTGCTAAAAACTCCCACAAATAAAATTTTTATCTATACCCACAAATTAGGAAACCATACTTATTAAATAAATAAAAAAATAAATAAATGGTAATATGAGTTACCGTAACTTCCTACTTATTCTACTATGCCAAAATTCAAAATTTTACTCATTTTTTTCAAAAATATAAAAAAAAATATAATAAAACTCGGCTTTGGGTCTATTGCTGAATAGAAAGTAAGAAGCTATGGTAGTTTATTTAAAGTATATAAATACCTTTTTAATTAATTTAAATTGATGTGAAAAATTATCAAAATGCTATGATTTACTCCATATTTAATAAATCAATATCCCTGGTACTAAAACTATCCATAAAAATGTCATTGGGATTATCATAGAAGTTATCAAAATCACATGATTGGTTGAATAGCACTTTTCTAATAAGTAGTAGTTCATAAATGACTCCTTACCTATCTTTTTGCAAGTAAAAGTCTAAACCAAAGACTCAAAGGAGCTTTACTATAAGAAAAAGAATAGGAAGACGAAGCAAATGACAGTAGAGTCTTTCTACAAATTATTTTAATTTATTTACTTATAAAAAATTATTTTTAAATTTAAATTTACTTTGAATTCAAAATAAAAAGAGTTCTTTTCTTGTTTAGAGAAATAGCTTATTACTTTAATTATTATAATGTAGAATATGAACCCTAAGGGAATAACTATTAAAGGAAATGCTATAAAAAATAACACTTTGTAATAATATACTGGTAAGATTTTACTAAATTTACTTACAATACAATCCAGCAAATTTTAATTGGAACTAATAGGAGAAAATATTGAGATTATTTGAAAGTTAAATATTGGTTTTGGACTAAGACTTGAAATACTGATAAATATTTAAAGATACCTAATCATTAATCTACTATAAAAACTTTTTTCACCTATTTAGCCTGAGTTACCTAATCTAATTAGTCCTAGCCTATCAATAATCAATACTTTAGTCATCATATTTAAATTAATTTTAGTTTAGTAAAATAAATATGTCAAATATAACAAAGTAATGAAACATATTAAAATTTATTCAACTATTTATTTTCCTTATGATTAGCATTAATAACAATTAACTTCTAAGCCATTTTACCCATAAGAATGATTCCAAAATTATCCTAATATATCACAAGTCTAGCATAGAGGTCCTATTAAACTTTTATTTTTTATCAATTAAATAATATACTTAAAACTAAAATAATTTTTGAGAAAAAATTACCCTTCAGAGCAATAATTAGTATCTTCTTATCCGTTACAAAAGTTTTACGATTTAGTGCAAGGTATAATGTCATCATTAAATTTATCAGATCTCCAAAATCCTTATTTTAAATTAATTTAGCTTCCATAACAAGAAATACTCGACGAATAATCACAAGGCTTGCATTACATATTACTTGTATTTGAGTTTGGATCTTCAATTGAATATGTACCATTTTAACATGTATAACAGTTTGCTAATGAACAAGATGTGCAAACTGATTATATTATTTCTCCTAATTAACAATTTCTAAAGTTGTAATCAATATAAATAGTTAAAGTATCAGTAAACCCTTGTGTTTAATTAGAAAATAAGTGGAATCCTTTAAATTACAATACTGCTCTCCCTATTTTACCTAATTACCCTTATTGTTTATAAAATATATTAAAATATACTCAAATTTTTTGCAAATGTTTATTTAAATATAGCAAAATATGCCATAAATCCTCTTTAATTTTATCCACTTTTATAAAAAAATTTATTTTGATGATAATTAATTTTTCACCATTTTATTCTTATAAAGATAAGAGGGAGTTTTGTGAGAATTTATGAGAATTTATAGTATTATTAAAAAATTACCTGATACTTAGTACTAATTTAAAAGAAATTCATCTAACTCAAAAGGTTGAATAGTTGCACCCTGTAATTTCAAGTCAATTTACCTTAAATCTTTAATATTATTTAGCAAATATAGCTCCTAGAGCTCAACATAATATTAAGAAAATTCTTATAATATTCTATCAGGGACATTTTTTTAACTCTAGAATTTTACTTAATTTCCTTCTTCGTCTAAGATGTTTATTTTCAAAATATTATTTTACGTTCCACTTTATACATCTTTAAATATATATATTGATCCATTTTGTAATAACTGATTATTAATTGTAGCACTTTATGGATAAGAACAGAAATTGTTACCATAGAATTAACCATAATTATCAATGCAATTATTTTAATAAGTGGTACCACATGAATCTTTAGCTAAGTTGCTTCTATTTTTTTTAAGGAACAAGGGTATAAAGGTCTAATATCTAGCTACTCCTCCAATTAAAGCTTTGTTTCTTTCAAAAGTACTATTCTATATTTAGATATTAGAGTCATTAAGCAAAAAAACTCCTCCATTTTCTCTAGCTGTGTTATTCGTAAAAGTTACATTATTTAGCACACAATCACACATATCAATAAAATAAAGTGATCCTCCATCTTTATTTAAAATAATATAATTAATAATTAAAAATATTGTAAATAATTACTTTAAGCTTCATTATCTATAAACTAACTATTTGATATGTTAACACGAGAAGCATCAAAATAAAAGACACCTCCTCCATATTATGTAGAATAAAGTTTATTTGAAATAAAATAAGATTAATCTATAATCACTTAGCTTTAGGTAATTACAATAGGTGAAACATTTTATAATTAACTCTCTTCTAGAGTAAAATTTGTTATTTAAAGCTTACTTGAAATAAGTGTTATTAAGCTAACAGATGAGTTGCTTAATTAACTTTTCATAGATGTATTTAGAAGATTAATAAAGGAAGAATTAGTATATATCATATAGCTATCTGGAATTAAGTATTTATTTTATTTTATTTCACTAAATGATATTCCAAAGTAACTATCTTATACTTCCAAATTATTAACTAAAGAGTTTTGAGATTATTATAAATATTAATTGGCATCAATTATTGCTAGATTTTTATTATTATTAAAATTTAAATAGCTAATAATAATATTTTTAGATATTACAGTTTACAATAAGAAAGAGAGCTATGTGCTAATATTATCTAAAATATCATTTTATTCCATAGTGATTTTATCCACGTGCTAAATTAAAAAGAAATTAGTCAAATTAATTTTGTTATTTACAATCTTATTTTTTGTAAATATAAATCCTGAATTTTTATCATAATCAGCAGTGTTGTTAAAAGTAAGAAATTGTTTTGTATTTATATTATTATCAGCAAAGTAATTCTCTGCTAGAATTACATATTATGTATTTTAAATAATTAAGGAAGTTTCAATATTTTGATTAGTAATATTGACTTTAATAAAACTAAAATAAAACAGATTTTAAGCAAATAAAGAGTTATTGTTAAATATTATTTAACATGAATAAAATTATAATTAATATAATTAAACATTCCCAAGTTATTATTCATCTTATTGGTCTTCATCTTACAAATAAATTATTAAATTTGATAAACTTATTTCAAATAGCTTATATGAGTTGATTAACTAATTTAAATTAATAATTCCTTCAACATAATTCTATTCATTAACTCCATTTATTGTAAGGCTAAATTGTAATTCTTCATTAGAACCCACTATTGGAAATCCTTAGAACTTAAAATTTTGATTCATATTTACTTAAATATCATGTTTATTTTAATAACCATTATCTATCAAAATATTTTTCCTCAAATTATCATATTATTTAAATCTTTTATATAGCTAAAAATAATCAGCATCATTAGTATTATATTAGCAATTGCTTCGACCTTTGATATCTGTCATCATGTAATTGATACCATTATAATTATATGAAAGAACACTTATTACACTATCAATTTCTGATTATTCAACTTTTAAATAAATATTTTCATAAAATTAGTTTCTATTTATAAATTATTATTTGACACTCTATTATTTCAATTTTTCATAATCTTCACTAAAATCAATTACTGAAAATGTCTACCCAAATTACACAAAAATTTAATTATTTTAAAGAAGAGTAACTTTCCTCTTCATAAAATTGGTCTCCACAAGAAAATTGCTTTGATAGAAATTTATTAATTAAAATGTTTAATAATCATATAGAATATAGTAGAAATCAGAACACACTAAAATCAATTAGTATTCTGGTTAAAGTATAATTTACTAATATGTCTACCAGCGAGATGTTGTTTAAATAAGCTACAGTAAAGTAAATGTTTCTTAATCATCGTTTTTATAGATTTGGCAATAGTTGTAATTTTGCAAATTTACTAAAATATAATCGGAATTTACAATAACTTAAAATATAGGATATTCTAAATAAGTTTATCTTTAAACTTTTATATTATTGCTTTCGACTAGGTATTGAACTAATTAACTATCAAAAGAGTAGCTAAAAAATATTTAATCAGTATATATTATCAAATCTATTATAGCTAGTTGATGAATTAGTGGAAATGATTTTGTTGCTATACCTGTTGAACTTTCTACAAAAGCAATAGAGTGGTTGACAAATATAATTATAAATTCAGTTGATTGTAAAATACCGTTGTTAAACTTATATAATGGCTTATCTAATTACTACTGGTATAATTTTAAGAAATTATATTTATTGCCATTCTAAATAATTTAATACGAAGTAATTTATTAATTATATCCGCAAACAATTGTGTTTTATTTGTTAACACTGTGAGAGCACTCTACTTAAATTTTTTGAATTAGCTCTAAGTTTTTTTTATTGATTAAATTAATCTACTTAGTAGTGGCTAAAACAAAAATATCTTCGTTTATTAAATATATCGTATTATTACATCTATCACTAAATTATAAAATAGGTCCATTTACTGCTTGTTAATCCATTAAAGACCACTTTTAAATATTACCATCAGATCTAGTATAATATAGGTTATTATTTTCTTCATCAAAAGCATAACTTATAATAGAAGATGCTCTATGAATAATCTAAAAATAGCTATTTTGTATAGAAAACTCGTATTCCCAAAATCTTACTGTTTGATCATTCGAAAATGAAATAATCTAAAATAATTGATTATAAATTTTCTATATTTTAAAATATTTTAAAAATAAAAATGTACCTAAAATGATTTCTAATTTAGTATAAAAGAATTAATGACATCTGTATGCTAGTCAAAAACTTGAATAACACTTAGTAAAGGAAATTTAAGTAAAACTATTCTAAAATTAGAATCTGAAATAATTAAAATTTAATTATCCTTTTATTTAATAAATAATATAATTAATTTCTAAATCAATTAAAATAAAATGCTTACTAAATCTAAATAGCCATATTTAATTTAAGCTATATTTATATATTAAAAAAGTGGTATTTGAGCATTTTAAGAATTATATGGCCATATTTACACTGTGTTATCTAATCCCATGCTCACAAACCTTTAATTAATAGGATCTAGAGCTATTGCTTACACTTAACCCTATTATAAAAAATAGAAAGTAAGTACAGATTAAAGTAATGTTAAAATAAATTATTACTTAATGAATAGGATACTGTTTCCTAAAAATGTAGCTTTAGGAAGTGGTATTGTAATTCCAAACATACCCATCTTAGTCAAAAGTAAGTATACAATAATTAAGCTAATCATATGCCCCATCATTTCCTTGTAAAACTTAAATTATTTCAACTTATTAATCTATACTACCTAGTTAAACTAATAATGGAAGCGAATCTAACTTTTTTAATTGTTGATAAATGAATTTTTAATTATTTTTTTTAATATATTTTTATATTTTATTTAAAATTTCATATAATTTTCTTTTTAAACATCTTATTCATTAAATTAATTACTGTAATAATTTTTTTAATTCATTTAATTTATAATTAATCATAAAGATTTGATTTATTCTTTTAAGTTAAAAAAATTTTTATATATGAAAACTTAAGAGGGTTAGAAATTAGGAGATTTTAAAGTGTTTATAAAATAAAGTAAAGTTAAAAAATTTACTCCGAATAACATTAAGAAGCCACTTGTTTAATCAATTATTATTCGAGTAACAGAGTAAATCGAAAGCAAATATTAATAATCATTAAGCAAATAGAAATTACTAATTTCAAGATCGTTTTTCCATACATAAATACTCCCACCTCCACAACCTGAGATTATTCTGTTGTTTTATACGTCTACAACAAATGTGCTAACATTTTGACAATCAATAGGATCATGCTAAAGTAATTATATGAAACTTAATTATGGATAACTATGTATAGCTATAGTGTTATCTAAAGAAGAAGTCACAATAATATCCCATTCAAAAATAATATTTAATTGGTTTATTTATTAAAGATGCTTTTTAAAAAACAAATAATTAATATAAAATTATAAATAGGTACATGAAAAAAAAAAATTACTTCAAATTAAGAAACTAAAATCTGATTATATGTTTAAAGATCATACTAATAAACTTTATTAGTATAAATAAATATGCTGTTTGTTTACTAATCTATAACTCCTCCTTAAGTTTGCTCTACAAATTAAATTTGATTCATTAATTTTTTCTAAGTGTAATCAATAAAATAAATCATAAGTCCTGAACCGTATAGAATTTTTTTATAAGAAGTGTTTATCTAAAACGTTGAAAGTGTAATTTAACTAGTCGCCTTCCAATCACAAACCTATTAATAAGCAAAATATTTTATGTGAGTAATTAAAAGGATTGAATTTACTTATTATAGAGATAAGTAGTCGTAACTAAAAATTTTGCTGGTAGAAAGCAAAATAATTAATAAATTTTCCTATTCATCAATTTATATAGATGAAACAGTAGAACTTAATTAATCAAGTTATTCATTTTTTAAAAAAACTTAAGATTAAACATCAATAAAAACAAGTTAGTTTCCATTAGAGACAACGAAGAGTAATTCTTCATCCAGCAGTATTAAACACTAGTTTGGTATTGTAATTGCAAAATTAATTATTTTTAAATCATTTGTCTATTTGTTAATTAAGATAATTTCGTTTGGAGAAGCCATTAAAATAGCCAAATATGTATTTCCAAAGCAAATATTTTAAGATACTTAATTTTACTTTTACGTGTATGATAAACTTTATATATTTATATTTTAAGGATTTTCTATATTTGCAATCTATTTGTAAAATAATTTATAAAATAAAATGTTTAGAATTTTAAACAAACATTAATATTTAAGTAAAATTTACTTATAGCGTACCAACTACATTAAAAAGGATCAATGAGTTTGATAAAGTATCAAAGTATGTTTAATTAGAATAATAATTTTGTAAATTTAAAGTATTTATTTAAATTTGGTGGCTATCCTATCCTTTTGTGAACATTTGTATCAAATTTTAATATACAATAATTGGTCCATATTGACTTTAAAAAACTTATACAGTATAATTGGCAATTGGCGAATCGTAGAGTAGATTAAATTATTTAGAATTAAAAACTAATAATTTTTAGCTTTAATCAATAACTAAAATAATCTCTAAATTGTTGTCAAAATATACATAGTTAACTTTGAAATTATTATCAAAATTTAGAGTTTATAAAAAAGTTCCATCAAGATATGTTGTTATTACTAAATAATTTTAAGGAGTCTAAAATGGCCAAATATATATTTAATCTCCTTACTATTTTAAAAAATGAATTGATTGTTAGGATTTTGAATTAAAAACCAAACCTTGTTAAATTATAATCTACTTTAAGTTGAGAGATTATAGTACTAGGTAAGATATTCCCCCTTAGGAAAGCTAAAGTACCCTAATTTCCCTTAATTCTCAATCATGTAAATTCTAAGTAATTCATCATCAAAGTAAAGACCTTCTACTTATTCAATTGGTACATCATTTGTATTGAAGCAGCTTGAATGCCTTTTTATTTGCCCATTTGTAATATCTATAAATAGCATTCCACTAGATGTTAACGTTTTTAATATGGAACCTTCAAAAATAGCATTAGGAGTAACTCCTAAAAGTAATCTTATTGATAATTAAATAGAATTTAGAAAGCTATTTATAAAAAATGTAATTTTTACTATGAGCCTAAGCATTTGTTAAGTTGTATAACTCTATTTTCGTTTACCACCACAGTTATCATTGTTTAATTTCCATAAAATACTGTGAAATCATCTCCTACAATTAGTTTAGTGTAATTTATCAATTATAAATCTTACGGATGTAGAACATTAAGATTATCATACACATGATAGTCATTATAATCCATCGATTATGTAGCAGGATTTATAAACTAAGAACCAAAATAAATCATTGAATTGTTTCCACATACTATCAAAGACCCATCTTTTAAAAATCCATAGTCATTAATTTAATTTGGAGAGAAAAAAAGTAAATTGGTTTAATTAAAATTTTAATCCAAAGAGAAAATGGAATATCCACTTATATTATAACTTATGAATGTTAATCCTTAGCTTTAATAGAATTTCTAATGAGTTATATTTCCTAATTAAAATGATAAATTATTTTCAATTTAAAAATTAGTTTAGCTTATCTTGTAAATGCTATTCTTAGTTGTAAGAACATATATGTAGTCTTAATTAAAATCACTTTCGCATTGAATTATATCAGAATCTAATTTTATTTAAGAAAATTATTCATTCGAGCGAAGGCAGACCTTTTAAATTTGCAAAAAAATTTGTAAAAAATTATAATTTCATTTAAAATTATAATAATTAAAAACTCTATAATTAATTTTAAAACGAAAGTGAATTGATAAGTAGAAATAAGTAACTTCATTAAAAGAGAAAATTAATCATTGATTTTGAATTTAATTTAATAAAAGAGGAAAAGTAAAATATATTTTACATAGTTATCTTTAGGGAAGTACAAAATACTATTTTTAATGTTGTAACATACTTAAATTTATTTATATTAACTATCTAGCATTACATTGTTAAACTTAACAGCTGTACTATTCTATTGGTAGAGACTTTGTTAATACACATTAAAATTGATATCTATTATGTATATGAAAGTTTGTGGTAAAGATGGATCAGAAATGTTGATTTGCTTATCAGTAAAAATAGAATAAATTTGAATTTTTTGATCAGAAAAATATGAAGTTGAATAAAAAAGACTAGCATCTGTAAGATTCCACACTCCAAGCAATCCTTAACTTCCATAATCTACCATTAACTACTCATATTTATCTTAATTTTTAAAGAAAAATAATTCTCCTCCTAAAACATTCTATTCTCCTATTTATCCTTAACAATTAGTAGAGGAATAACCTAAATCAATATCAAATGGACAAATACTTTAAAATGACATTTTTATTAAACTTAGGCAAGCTAATATTATTAAAAGCTTATCCATTTTACAAAATAGTTATTTATTTATTTATTTTTATATTATCTTTTACTTATATTGATTTTGAAAAATTAATTTATATTATATACATATATTAATCATTTAAATTTTATGTTTATTTATTTAATATCCACTCATAAAATAAATACATTTACTTGACTAATAAAAAATCCTGACTTTTAATAATATATATTATAATAAGGGAACTCTAGTGAACAGTGTTTTGTGGCCTTATGAAAAAATAATTTTTCAAATAAATTAAAAATTTATTAAAGTATATTTTATTTTTTATATAATTGCCCTCCTTTTTTTAAATCTTAAAATATTCGATTGTGCCCTCATTTTACAAATTAAATTTGATTCATAAATACATATAAAAAAATAAAAAAAGATATTTTAAATAGCAAAGTGCTATAATATTTTTGAAGATTATTTTATAAAATTAAAAACAAAAAAATACACAATCTTTCAATAAAATTAATATTACACAATAAAAACAGCTGCTAAGATATATATAATTGTCTGCTATTAATATGAATTAAGGTTTAATAATTAAATTATATCCTATAATCTTTGGGAATCTAAATATACTTCAATAATAGCTAGTAATTATAAGACTAATTAAATATTATTTTTATTTAATTTCTATTGATCATTCTATCTAATTGACCTTATGAAAATGAATTAATAATAATTTAAATAAAAAGAATATTCTTACTTCATCAGATTAAAAAGTTTGTTTTTTTTAAGCAGAAGGTAAATCATTAAAGATTGAATCTAAATCTTTATCATTCTTTTTATAATCTCTGTACAATAGCATAAACTAATCATGATTGATATTTTTGGTATTGCCTTTAAATAATAAATTTTGAAATTTGTTTATGTAAACAATAAAATTACTTCTTGTTCTAAAATTATATTTAGTTGAGTAGTTATTTTATTAATTTGCTTCTGACTCACTAATGCTTTCAGTAAATTATGAATCCATTTATGTTTGATTTTTGTTTTGTAAATCAGAAAACATTTTATTTGCTGTTGGACTAGATTATTAGCTTAGCATAATATTTTATGTTGTAGATTAGCTTTCTTAATTAAACTAAACCAAAAATCTTTTTGGAGAACCTTAATTTGAATTTAATTATGAGTTTCTCTATTTTTAAAATACCCATTTGGAAAGATAGGTTTTTCTGGTAGAATATGCTTAAGTGTTAGTCTCTTTAAAGCTATTTTCATCATTAGGCTAAGGAATAGAAAAGAAAGGAGCATTTTTGTCTATTTTTTTTCTCTAAATATAATCTTAGATTGAAAGTCTAAGTAGCTAAAAATTGTTGAATTTTTTAAATGAATTGTCTTCTGTGCAGTAGATTAATAAATAAAGAGAATTCATATGTTATTTTAATTATTATTTAAAGAATTTGAAGCATGTTTACCTGTTTTGCAAATATCCTTTTATAATTAATACAACTTTAGTTTTTTTAACCAAATGATAATTAAGCCTAATTAAGGTATCTAAGTAAACTAAGATAATTTTTAAAAATGCTGCTACTTGCAAAATATAAGCAATAATAGTACCAAGGTATAAAAGAATATCATATTCTATAGTATTGAGCAGGATATATAATATTGTGAGCAAACAGCAAATTTAAGAAAAAAATAAATCTATTTTAAAGTATTTAATCTTTTAGTATGGCTTTTTTTAAAAAATATTTAAAATAGTTTTTCAAATAAAAAAAGTAATCTTACTTAATATTTTTGTAAGAGCAGAAGATAGCAGTAGAGGATAATTAGTATCAAAGATGCCCTACTAAGTTTGTCGGAATCAAAAAATATTACTAAAAATACTAAGAGCAGCTTTAGGTTCATAGCTAAAAACTCCCACAAATAAAATTTTTATCTATAACCACAAATTAGGAAACCGTACTTATTAAAAAAATAAAAAAATAAATATATAGATGGTAATATGATTTACCGTAACTTCCTACTTATTCTACTAAGCCAAAATCATAAATTTTACTCATTTTTTATTAAATGATGATTTCGTAAATATTTTATAAAAAATATAATAAGACTCAGTTTTGGTGTAAGAAGCTACGGTAAATTATTTAAAATATATAAATACCTTTTTGATTAATTAAAATTGATATGAAAATTTATCAAAATGCTATGATTTACTCCTTATTTTATAAATCAATATCCCTGGTACTAAAACTATCCATAAAAATACCATGGGCATTATTATAGATGTTATCAAAATCACATGATTGGTTGAATAGCACTTTTCTAATAAGTAGTAGTTCATAAAGAACTCCTTACCTATTTTTTTGCAAGTAAAAGTCGAAACCAAAGACTCAAAGGAGCTTTACTACAAGAAAAAGAATAAGAAGATTAAGCAAGTGACAGTAGAGTCTTTCTAGAAATATATTTGAAATTATTTACATGTAAAAATTCTTTTGAAATATAAATTTACCTTGAATTCAAAATAAAAAGAGTTCTTTTCTTGTTTAGAGAAACAGCTTATTATTTTAATGATTATAACATAGAATATGAACCCTAAGGGAATAAGTATTAAAGGAAATGCTATAAAAAATAGCACTTTGTAATAATATACAGGTAAAATAGTACTAAATTGACTTACAATACAATCGAGCAAATTTTAATTGGAACTTACAGGAGAAAATATTGAGATTACTTCAAAGTTAAATATTGGTTTTGGACTAAGACTGGAAATACTGATAAATATTTAAAGATATCTAATCATCAATCTACTATAAAAACTTTTTTCACCTATTTAACCCGAATTACCTAATCTAATTAGTCCTAGCCTATCAATAATCAAGACCCTAGTCATCATATTCAAATTATTTTTAGTTTAGTAAAATAAATATGTCAAATATAACAATGTAAAGAAACATATTATCATCTATTAAACTATTTATTATCCTTCTGTTTAGCATTAATAGCAATTAACTTCTGAGCCACTTTACCCATAAGAATGATTCCAAAATTATCCTAATATATCACAAGTCTAGCATAGAGGTCCTATTAAACTTTGTTATTTATCAATTAAAAATATTTTAAACTAAAATAATTTTTGAGAAAAAATTACCCTTCAGAGCAATAATTATTATCTTCTTATCCGTTACAAAAATTTTACGATTTAGTGCAAGGTATTATATCATCGCTGAATTTATCAGATCTCCAAAACCCTTATTTTAAATTAATTTAGCTTCCATAGCAAGAAATACTTGACGAGTAATCACAAGGCTTACATTACATATTACTTGTATTTGAGTTTGGATCTTGAATTGAATATGTACCATTTTAACATGTATAGCAGTTTGCTAATGAACAAGATGTGCAAGCTGATTATATTATTTCTCCTATTTAACAATCTCTAAAGTTGTAATCAATGTAAATAGTTAAAGTATCAGTAAATCCTTGTGTTTAATCAGAAAATAAGTAGAATCCTTTAAATTATAATACTGCTCTCCCTCTTTTTCCTAATTACCCTTTTTTTTTTATAAAATAATATATTTAAATTTACTTTTGAATTTTGAGTAACTTTAAGAGAAAATTATGTGAGAATTAATGAGGATTTTATGGTATTATTAAATAATTACCTGATACTTAGTACGAATTTAAAAGAAATTCATCTAACTCAAAAGGTTGAATAGTCGCACCTTATAATTTTAAGTCAATTTACCTTAAATCTTGAATATTGTTTAGTAAATATAGCTCCTAGAGCTCAACATAATATTAAGAAAATTCTTATAAAATTCTATCTGGGACGTTTTTTAAACTCTAGAATTTTACTTAATTTCCTTCTTCGTCTAAGATGTTTATTTTCAAAATATTATCTTACGTTCCACTTTATACATCTTTAAATATATATATTGATCCATTTTGTAGTGATCGATTATTAATTTTAGCACTTTATGGAAAAGAGCAGAAATTGTTACCAAAGAATTAACCATAATTATCTATGCATTTATTTTAATAAGTTGTACCACATGAATCATAAACTAAGTCGCTTCCATTTTTTTTAAGGAATAAGGGTATAAAGGTGAAATATCTAGCTATTCCTCCAATTAAAGCTTTGTTTCTTTCAAAAGTACTGTTCTATATTTAGATATTTGAGTCATTAAGTAAAAAAACTCCTCCATTTTCTCTAGCTGTATTATTCATAAAAGTTACATTATTTAGTAGACAATCACACATATTAATAAAATATAGCGATCCTCCATCTTTATTTAAAATAATAAATAATTAATAATTAAAAATAAATATTGCAAATAATTACTTTAAGCTTCATTATCTATAAATTAACTATTTTATATTTTAACATGAGAAGAATCAAAATAAAAGACACCTCCTCCATATTATGTAGAATAAAGTTTATTTGAAATAAAATAAGATTAATTTATAAGCACTTAGCTTTAGTTAATTGCAATTGGTGAAACATTTTATAATTAACTCGCTTCTAGAGTAAAATTTGTTATTTAAAGGTTATTTGAAATAAATGTTATTAAACTAACAGATGAGTTGCTTAATTAGCTTTTCATAGATGTATTTAGAATATCAATAAAGGAAGAATTAGTATTTATCAAAAAGCTATCTAGTATTAAGTACTTATTTTATTTTATTTCAGTAAATGCCATTCCAAAGTAACTATTTTATACTTCCAAAATATTAACTAAAGAATTTTGAGATTATTATTATAATAATTAATGACCATCAATTATTGCTAGATTTATATTATTATTAAACTTTAAATAGCTAATCATAATATTTTTAGATATAAAAGTTTACAAAAATTTAGAGAGCTATGTGCTAATATTATCACAAATCTCATTTTAATCTATAGTGATTTTGTCTACATTCTAAATTAAAAAGAAAGTAGTCAAATTAATTTTGTTATTTACAAATTATTATTTCTAAAAATAAATTCTGAATCCTTATAATAATCAACAGTGTTGTTAAAAGTAACAAATTGTTTTGTATTTATTTTATTATCAGCAAAGTTATTATCTACCATAATTAAATTTTATGTGTTTTAAATAATTAAGGAAGTTTCAATATTTTGATTAGTAATACTGACATTAATAAAACTAAAAGATAACAGATTTTAAGCAATTAAAGTTTTATTGTTAAAGATAATTTCACATGAAAGAAATTATAATTATTGTAACTAAACACTTCCTATTTATTATTGCTGTTATTGGTCTTCTTCTTCTTACAAATGAATTATTAAATTGTAAAAACTTATTTCTGATAAAGTTTATGAGCTGATTAATTAATTTAAATTAATAATTCCCTCAACATAATTAGTTCCATTTATTCTAAGGATATATTAGAATACATTCTACACTGGAAATCTTAAAAACTTAAAATTTTCATACATATTTAAATAAACGTAATGTTACATTAAAAAACCATAAAAAAGCAAAGTATTTTCCCTCAAATTAAAATATTATTAAAGTCTTTTTTATAGCTAAAAATAATCAGCAACATTAGTATTATATTAGCAATTGCTTTGACCTATGATATCTGTCATCATGTAATTGATACCATAATAATTATATGAAAGAATGCTTATTATGTAATCCGATTATACTTATTCAACTTTTAAATAAATATTTTCATAAAATTATTTTCTATCAAAATATTATTAAATGAGTTTCAATTATTTCTATTCAGGATATTCACTAGGACCATATACTAAATAATTCTACCCAAATTACACAAAAATTTAATTATTATTAAGAAGAGTAGCTTTCCTCTTCATAAAATTGGTCTCTACTCTTGAATTGCTCTGATAAAAATTTATTAATTCAAATGTTTAATAATCAAATAGAATATAGTAGAAATCAGAACTCACTAAAATCAATTAGTATTCTGGTTAAAGTATAATTTACTAATATGTCTACCAGCGAGATGCTGTTTAAATAAGCTATAATAAAGTAAATTAATCTTAATCATCATTTTTATAGATTTGGCAATAGTTGAAATTTTGCAAGTTTACTAAAATATAATCAGAATTTACAATCACTTAAAATATAGGATATCCTAAATGAGTTTATCTTTAAACTTTAACATTATTATTTTCGACTAGGTATTAAACTAATTAACTATCAAAAGAGTAACTAAAAATTATTTACTCTCTAAAGATTATCAAATCTATTATAGCTAGTTGATGAATTAGTGGAAATTATTTTGTTATCAAACCTGTTGAACTTTCTACAAAAGTAATAGAGTGGTTGACAAATATAATTATAAATTCAGTTGATTGTAAAATACCGTTGTAAAACTTAAACAACGGTTTATCTAATTACTACAGGTATAATTTTAAGAAATTATATTTATTGCCATTCTAAATAATTTAATATGAAGTAATTTATTAATTATATCCGCATACAATTATGTTTTATTTGTTAACACTGTGAGAGCATTCTACTTAAATTTTTTGAATTAGCTCTAGATTTTTTTTGTAGATTAAACTGATCTACTTAGTAGTGGCTAAAACAAAAATATCTTCGTTTATTAAATATATCGTATTATTACATCTATCATTCAATTATAAAATAGGCCCATTTATTGCTTGTTAATCCATTAAAGACCACTTTTAAATATTACCATCAGATCTAGTATAATATAGGCTATTATTTTCTTCATCAAAAGCGTAACTTATAATAGAAGATGATCTTTAAATAATCTAATAAAAGCTACTTTGAATAGAAAACTCGTATTCCCAGAATTTTACTGTTTAATCATTCGAAAATGAAATAATCTAAAATAATTTATAAAAATTTTTCTATATTTTAAAATATTTTAAAATAAAAATGTACCTAAAATGAGTTCTAATTTAGTATAAAAGAATTTATGACATCTCTATGCTAATCAAAAACTTGAATAACATTCAGATCAGGATATTTAAGTAAAGTTATTCTAAAATTAGAATCTGAAATAATCAAAATTTAATGATCCTTTTATTTAATAATTATAATTATATTATTAATTTTTAAATCAATAAAATTTTAAATAAAATGTTTACTAAATCTAAATAGCCATATTAAATTTAAGCTATGTTTATATATTCATAAAGTGGTTTTTAAAGATTATAAGAAAAATATGTCCATATTTATACTTTTTTATCTAATCCCATGCTCACAAAATTTTAATTAGGAGGATCTAGAACAATTGCTTTTACTTAACCCTATTATAAAAATAAATAAATAAATAAATAAATAAGTAGAGATTAAAATAATATTAAAATAAATTATTACTTGATGGATAGGATACTGATTTATAAACATATAGGTTTAGGAAGTGATACTGTAATTCCAAACATAACCATTTTAGTCAAAAGTAAATATACATTAATTATACTGGTCATATACCCCATCGTTTCCTTGTAAAACCTAAATTATGTCAACTTATTAATCTATACTACCTAGTTAAACTAATAATGGAAGTGAATCTAACTTTTTTAATTGTTGATAAAATAAATTATTAATTATTTTTTTAAATTTATTTTTTAGAGTTAATAATATTTTATTTAAAAGTTCATGTAATTTTATTTTTAAAAGGCTTATTAATTAAATTAAATACTGTAGTTATTTTTTAATTCAATTAATTTATAATTAACAATCTAGTTTTGATTAATTTATTTAAATTTTAAGTTAAAATACAAATGAATATTTAAGAGGGTTATAAAAAATGAGATTTTAAAGTATTAAAGTATTTAAGTCTAATTTAAAAATTTACTCCAATTAGTATTAATAAGTTGTTTGTTTAATCAATTATTATTCGAGTAACAGAATAATTCTACAGCAAATATTAATAATCTTTAAGTAAATAGAAATTATTAGTTGAAACATTATTCTTCCATACATAAATACTCCCACCTCCGCAACCTGAAATTATTCTGTTGTTTTATATGTCCACAGCAAAAGTGCTAACATTTTGACAATCAATAGGATCATGTTAAAGTAGTTATATGAAATTTAATTCTGGATAACTATGTATAGCTATTGTGTTATCTAAAGAAGAAGTCATGATAATATTCCATTCATAAATAATATTTAATTGATTTATTTATTGGAGATGCTTATTAAAAGATAAATAATTATATAAAATTATTAATAGGCCAATGAAAAAAAAATAATACTTCAAATTATGACACCAAAATCAGATTATACGTTTAAAGATCATACTTATAAACTTTTTTAGTATAAATAAATATACTTTTTGTTTACTCATCTACAACTCCTCCTTAAGTATTCTCTACAAATTAAATTTGTTTCATTAATTTTTTCTAAGTGTAATCAATAAAATAAATCTTATTTTCTAAACCGTATAAAATTTTTTTATAAGAAGTGTTTATCTAAAACGTAGAAAGTGTAATTTAACTAGTCACCTTCCAATCAAAAACCTATTAATATGCAAAATATTGTAAGTGTGTAATTAATGGGATTGAATTTACTTATTGCAGAGATAGGTAATCGTAACTAAAAATTTGGAGTGTAGAAAGCAAAATAATTAATAAGTTTTCCTCTTTATCAATTTAGATTGAGGAAACAGTAGAGCTTACTTAACCAAGTTATTCATTTTTTAAAAAAATTTAAGATTAAACATCAATAAAAATAAGTTAGTTTCCATTAGAGACAACTAAGAGTAATTCTTCATCCAGAAGTATCAAACACTAGTTTGGTACTATAGTTGCAAAATTAATTATTTTTAAATCATTTGTCTATTTGTCAATTAGGATAATTTCGTTTGGAGAAGCCATTAAAATAACCAAATATTTATTTCCAAAGCAAATATTTTAAGATACTTAATTTTACTTTTGCAGGTATGATAAATTTTTTATATTTATATTTTAAGGATTCTCTATAATTGCAATCTATTTGTAAAATAATTTTTTAAGTAAAATATTTCAAATTTTGAACAAAAATTAATATTTAAGTAAAAATTACATATTATAACTTCCCAACTACATTAAAAAGTATCAATAAGTCTGAAATAGTATCAAAGTATGTTTAATTAAACACATAATTTTGTAAATTTAAAGTATTTATTTAAATTTGGTGGCTATCCTATCCTTTAGTGAGCATTTGTATCAAATTTTAATACACAATAATTGGTCCATATTAACTTTAAAAAACTTATATAGAAAAATTGGTAATTGGAGAATCGTAGAGTAGATTAAATTATTTAGAATTGAAAACTAATAATTTTTATCTTTAATCAATAACTAAAATAATCTCTAAATTGTTGTCAAAATATACTTAGCTAACTTTGAAATCATTATCAAAATTTAGAGTTTGTAAAAAAGTTCCATCAAGATATGTTGTTATTACTAAATAATTTTAAGGAGTCTAAAATGGCCAAATATATATTTAATCTCCTAACTATTTTAAAAAATGGATTGATTGTTAGGATTTTGAATTAATAATTTTACCTTGTTAAATTATAATCTACTTTAAGTTGAGAGATTATAGTACTAAGTCAGATATTCGCCCTTAGGAAAGCTAAAGTACCCTAACTTCCCCTAATTCTCTATCATGTAAATTCTAAGTAATTCATCATCAAAGTAAAGATCTTCTACTTATCCTATTGGCACATCATTTGTATAGAAGCAGCTTGAATGCCTTTTTATTTGCCCATTTGTTATATCTATAAATACCATTCCACTAGATGTTAATGTTTTTAATATGGAACCTTCAAAAATAGCATTAGGAGTAACTCCTTAAAGTAATCTTATTGATAATTAAATTGAATTTAGAAAGCTAATTATAAAAAATTTAATTTTTACTATGAACCTAAGCATTTGTTAAGTTGTATAACTCTACTTTCGTTTACTACAACAGTTATCATTGTTTAATTTCCATAAAATACTGTGAAATCATCTCCTACAATTAGTTTAGAGTAATTTATCAGTTTTAAATCTTACGGAGGTAGAGCATTAAGACTATTATACACATGATAGTCATTATAATCCATAGATTATGTAGCAGGATTTATAAACTAAGAACCAAAATAAATCATTGAATTATTTCCACATACTATCAAAGACCCTTCTTTTAAAAATCCATAGTCATTAATTTAATTTGGAGAGAAAAAAAGTAAATTTAGTTAATTAAAATTTTAATTCAAAGAGAAAATGGAGTATCCACTAATATTATAACTTATGAATGTTAATCCTTAGCTTTATTAGAATTTCAAATGAGTTACATTTCCTAATTAAAATTATAATGTATTTTAAATTTCAAAATTAGTTTAGCTAATCTTGTAAATGTTATTCTTAGATGAAAGAACATAAATGTAGTCTTAACTAAAATCACTTTCGCATTGAATTACTTCAGAATCTAATTCTATCTAAGAAGATTATTCAATCGAGCTAAGATAGATCTTTTAAATATACAAAAAAATTTAGTAAAAAATTCTAATTACATATAAAATTATAATAAATCGAAAACTCATTAATTAATTTCAGAATGAAAGAAAATTAATAAGTAGAGATAAATAACTTCATTAAAAAAGAGAAAAATAAAAATTATTGATTTTGAATTTAATTTAATAAAAGAGGAAATAAAGTAAAATTTATTTTACAAAGTTATCAAAAGGGAAGTACAATCTACTATTTTTAATGTTGAAGCAAACTTAGATATTTTTCTATTAATTATCTACCATTATATTGTTAAATTGAATAACTGTAATATTCTATTGATAGAGACTTTATTAATACACATTAAAATTGATATCTATTATGTATATGAAAGTTTCTGGTACAGAAGGATCAGAAATGTCGATTTACTTATCAGTGAAAATAGAATGAATTTCCATTTTTTTATAATCATATGAATTTGAATAAAAAAGACTAGCATCTGTAAGATTCCATGCTCCAAGCAATCCTTTCTTTCCATAATCTACCATTAGCTATTCATATTTATCTTACTTTTTAAAGTACAATAATTCTCCTCCTAAAACATTTTAATCTCCTATTTTTCCTTAACAATTAGATGAGGAATAACCTAAATCAAAATCAAAAGGACAAATATTTTAAAATGATATTTTGATTAAATTTAGACTAGCTAATATTATTAAAAGCTTATCCATTTTTACAAAATAGTTATTTATTTATTATCTTTTTCTTTTATTAATTTTGAAAAACTAATTTATGTTATATACATAAACTAATCGGTTAAATTTTACGTTTATTGTATTATTCTTTTTTCTTTAACAAATATGCATTAATTATTACGCATTACTAATTTATTTAATTTTATATTTATATTTAAAATTTTATTTTGCTTTTTTGTCTGTCTTCTTTCTTGTCAGAGTCTTTATCTTAGTTTCACTCTATGATTTTACTTCGTTTTCCTATTTAGATATTTAATTTTAAATTCTATTTAAATTTCATAAGCAGAGTTTTTCTCTTCTTCTGCAAAATTTTTTGATTTTTTATGAACCTTCTTGGTTGTTCTTAATTTGGTTCCTAAATATTTCTTAGCAAATATCTAGAATAAAGAGAAATTAATTCTTTCTGCTTAGAATTTTAAATTTTTTCTAATTTATTTTAATAATATTGGGTCAAAAAAGGCCCTGTTTCTTTTTGGTTTTATTTATTTTATGAGGTTTTGTTTGATTTTTTTATATAGTAAAAGTCAGTCTTTTTGATTAAGTATTTATTTTGGTCAACTCTTGTTATTTATACACCTTACATCCTATCATGTTAAATGTACAAAATTACCCTAACATGATATTTCTACACCTTATGCAACTCTTGTTAATTCTCCACCTTTGTCATAACATGCTAAATGTACACTTTACAAAAAAAAATATAAAATTTATTTATTAAATTAATTTATGATAAAATTAATTATTTTTAATTCTTTTTTCATAATTTGAATGAATTTTACATATTCAATAAATTTAAAATAAAGTCTTTTGATAAATCATTATTGTTTTTATTTATTAATTTGTGTTATTTATATTTCATTCAAAATTTAAAGATTTGAGGTTAAAATCAATTTATTTGTATTTGATTATTAGGTAAAAAAATAAATTAAAGAGGAGAAAAATAAAAGTTTATAAAGGTATTAAAAATTAATGAAGTAATCTCAAAGAAAAAAGAAGCCTTCTCTAAATAAAAAAGAAGCATAAAAAGAAAGTAAGACATATCACAGAATCGTATTAAAGTAGTTAGCAGCATCTTTTCAGTTGAAAACTAATAAGGGATAGTTTCTTTTTCTTAAAATGAAGATACAAGCTCCAACAATTCATTTGATGAAAATAATGAAATAGAAGAGAATTTACAATCGGGGCTTTTTTAGATCAGCAGGCAGAAAAAACCTCTCTGCCACACTATTTTTTCGCCTTCCAAGTATTTTCCTTGGAGGGCTACTTTTTAGACTTTTTTAAAAACAATTTTTAACAAATTTTTAATAATTTTTATATGTGCTATTTATAAATTTATTTAAAATAAAAAAAAAGTTGTTCTTCCCTTTAAGTGAAATTATATTCACATTTAAATTAATAGTCAAGGTGATACTTATAAAATTCTTGATTGAGACTTATAAAACTTACTTCTTGTAATTTACTAAAATAATTTTGTAAAAATGGTTTTTCAATATTTTACAAGCCTTTCATTCCAGCTTAATCCAATTAAACCTTTATCATTGATCAGATAGCCAAAATTATATTCAATATAAATTCAGTAGCTATTTAAGCATATATCCTAAATCTATTAAACATATTGTACAAATGTTTTAAAAGGTTTTATAATTACTAAATATCTCAGCTAATCACTTAATATTTTGAGATTTATAATATTGTGTGAGAAAATTTAATGAGATTCTTCTATCTAAAACTATTTTTAATGATAAATAAATGCTTACTATTCTTTTCAGTTTTATCTATATGAATAATGATAGGAGAAGTCAAATGAAGTTTGAGTCTTCATCTTCTATTTACTTTTCAATATTGTCTATTAAAATATGTAATTCACCATAATTCATATTAATATTTTCTATCCTTACAAATAAATAAAAAATATAATTAAAAATAATAATTTCTTATATTAATATTAATAAAGAATGTTTATCATCAAGTTAAAAAATATCAAGCTTAAATTTTATTTTATAGAAAAAGATAACATATTTATAATATAAAATAATTAATAAAAATATTTGTTTTAATAAAAGGTTAAATTATTTATTTTTTATTTTGTAAAATGCTAAAATTTATTTAAAAATAATCTAAAATGGCTTTTTTGAAACTCTTGACACTTTGATAAAATTAAATACAAAAAAAATACAAACTTCCAATAAAATTGAAATAATTCAATAAAAACCAATAAAAACAGCAAGATCAATATAATTGTAATTGTCTTCTATTAACATGAATTAAGGTTTAATAAATAAATTTTATCATAGAATGTTTGGCAACATAAATTTATTTCAATAAAAAGAATTTATTCTAAGATTAATTAATTAAATAGAACTTTTCTTAAATTTTTTTTGATCATTCTGTCTAATTGGACTTATGAAGAAGAATTAATAATAATTTAAATAAAAGAATATTCTTATTTCATCAGATTAAAATTTTTTTTTTTAAGCAGAAGGTTAATCATTAAAGATTGAATCTAAATCTTTTTATCATTCTTTTTATAATATCTGTACTCTATTGCGCTACTCAGTAGCATAAACTAATCATGATTGATATTTTTTATATTGCCTTAAAAAATACATTTTGAAATTTGTTTATTTAAAGAATAAAATTACTTCTTGCTCTAAAATTATATTTAGTTTAACAGATATTTTACTAATTTGCTTCATACTCACTAACACTTTCACTAATTTATGAACCAATTTATGTTTGATTTTTATTTTGTAAATCAGAAAACTTTATATTTACTGTTGGACTAAATTATTTGCTAAAAATAACATTTTATGTTGTAGATTAACTTTCTAAGTTAAACTGAACCAAAAATTTTTTGTAGAAGTTTATTATGGATTTATTTATGAAATGCTCTATTATAATACCTATTTCTTTCATCTGAATCAAAATATATAACTAAAAATACTAAAGCAGCCTTAAGTTCATTGCTAAAATTTCCCTCAAATAAAATTTTTATCTTTACTCACAAATTAGGAAGCAGTACTTATTAAAAAATAAAAAAATAAATATATAAATAATAATATGAGTTACGTAACTTCCTACTTATTCTATTAAGCCAAAATTCAAAATTTTACTCATTTTTTAATTAAATTGAAATCATTTTTCACTTCACTCACTCAGTTTTGGATTACACTTTAAATTTTAATGTAATAAAAAACTAGAGAATTTACAATCGGAGCATTTTTAGATCAGTGGGTAGAAAAAACGATTCTACCTTACTATTTTTTCGCCTTCCAAGTATTTTACTAGGAGGGCTACATTTTCAAACTTTTTTAAAAACATTTTTAACAATTTTTTAATTTACATTAAAAATTCATTAAAGTATATTTTATTTTTTATGTTATTGCCCTCCTTTTTTTAAATCTTAAAATATTCCATTGTGCCCTCATTTTACAAATTAAATTTGATTCATAAATACATATAAAAAAATTAAAAAAGATATTTTAAATAGCAAAGTGCTATAATATTTTTGAAGATTATTTTATAAAATTAAAAACAAAAAAATACACAATCTTTCAATAAAATTGATATTACACTATAAAAACAGCTGCTAAGATATATATAATTGTCTACTATTAATATGAATTAAGGTTTAATAATTAAATTATATCCTAGAATCTTTGGGAATCTAAATATACTTCAATAAAAGCTAGTAATTCTAAGACTAATTAAATATTATTTTTATTTAATTTCTATTGATCATTCTATCTAATTGACCTTATAAAAATGAATTAATAACAATTTAAATAAAAAGAATATTCTTACTTCATCAGATTAAAAAGTTTGTTTTTTTTAAACAGAAGGTTAATCATTAAAGATTGAATCTAAATCTTTATCATTCTTTTTATAATCCCTATGCTCTTTTGGACTACTCAATAGCAAAAACTAATCATGATTGATATTTTTGGTATTGCCTTTAAATAATAAATTTTGAAATTTGTTTAAATAAACAATAAAATTACTTCTTGTTCTAAAATTATATTTTGTTGAGTAGTTATTTTATTAATTTGCTCCATACTCACTAGCGCTTTCAGTAAATTATGAATCAATTTATGTTTGATTTTTGTTTTGTAAATCAGAAAACATTTTATTTGCTGTTGGACTAGATTATTAGCTTAGCATAATATTTTATGTTGTAGATTAGCTTTCTTAATTAAACTAAACCAAAAATCTTTTTGGAGAACCTTAATTTGAATTTATTTATGAGTTTCTCTATTTTTAAAATACCCATTTGGAAAGATAGGTTTTTCTGGTAGAATATGCTTAAGTGTTAGTCTCTTTAAAGCTATTTTCATCATTAGGCTAAGGAATAGAAAAGAAAGGAGCATTTTTGTCTATTTTTTTTCTCTAAATATAATCTTAGATTGAAAGTCTAAGTAGCTAAAAATTGTTGAATTTTTTAAATGAATTGTCTTCTGTGCAGTAGATTAATAAATAAAGAGAATTCATATTTTATTTTAATTATTATTTAAAGAATTTGAAGCATGTTTACCTATTTTGCAAATATCCTTTTATAATTAATACAACTTTAGTTTTTTTTACCAAATGATAATTAAGCCTAATTAAGGTATCTAAGTAAACTAAGATAATTTTTAAAAATGCTGCTACTTGCAAAATATAAGCAATAATAGTACCAAGGTATAAAAGAATATCATATTCTATAGTATTGAGCAGGATATATAATATTGTGAGCAAACAGCAAATTTAAGAAAAAAATAAATCTATTTTAAAGTATTTAATCTTTTAGTATGGCTTTTTTTAAATAAATATTAAAAATAGTTTTTCAAATAAAAAAAGTAATCTTACTTAATATTTTTGCAAGAGCAGAAGATAGCAGTAGAGGATAATTAGTATCAAAGATGCTCTACTAAGTTTGTCGGAATCAAAAAATATTACTAAAAATACTAAGAGCAGCTTTAGGTTCATAGCTAAAAACTCCCACAAATAAAATTTTTATCTATAACCACAAATTAGGAAACCGTACTTATTAAAAAATAAAAAAGTAAATATATAAATGGTAATATGATTTACCGTAACTTCCTACTTATTCTACTAAGCCAAAATCATAAATTTTACTCATTTTTTTTAAATTACAACAAAAATTTTATTTTTTACACCAAAAATTAAAATATTCTGCTCGATATTTAAGTAAAGGTATATCTGATAAATTAAAAAAAAAAACCATTTAGTCATTTATGTATTAATATTTTTACAAATTATGCTGATAATATAAATATAATTAACTGAATTTTCAAAACAGGTATGACTATATTCTTTTTTCAAAAATATTAATTTTAGGTCAATTTACTGTCTATTTTCATAATATACAATCATATTTTTTAAAATCGATTGAATTTCCATTATTATGAGAAGCACTTTATAATTAAGTAATTCAATAGGTTTTTTTCTAATGCTATCTAAATTATTTACATAGTAGGTATGGACATCTGAACAAAAATTTGAGAATTTTAATTTTATCTACTATTTGGATTTCGTAAATATTTTATTAAAAAATATTACAAGACTCAGTTTTGGTGTAAGAAGCTATGGTAAATTATTTAAAATATATAAATACCTTTTTAATTAATTAAAATTGATATGAAAATTTATCTAAATGCTTTGATTTACTCCATATTTTATAAATCAATATCCCTGGTACTAAAACTATCCATAAAAATACCACGGGCATTATTATAGATGTTATCAAAATCACATGATTGGTTGAATAGCACTTTTCTAATAAGTAGTAGTTCATAAACAACTCCTTACCTATCTTTTTGCAAGTAAAAGTCGAAACCAAAGACTCAAAGGAGCTTTACTACAAGAAAAAGAATAAGAAGATTAAGCAAGTGACAGTAGAGTCTTTCTAGAAATATATTTGAAATTATTTACAGAAAAAAAATTCTTTTGAAATATAAATTTACCTAGAATTCAAAATAAAAAGAGTTCTTTTCTTGTTTAGAGAAACAACTTATTATTTTAATTATTATAACATAGAATATGAACCCTAAGGGAATAAGTATTAAAGGAAATGCTATAAAAAATAGCACTTTATAATAATATACAGGTAAGATAGTACTAAATTGACTTACAATGCAATCCAGCAAATTTTAATTGGAACTTACAGGAGAAAATATTGAGATTACTTCAAAGTTAAATATTGGTTTTGGACTAAGACTGGAAATACTGATAAATATTTAAAGATATCTAATCATTAATCTACTATAAAAACTTTTTTCACCTATTTAACCTGAATTACCTAATCTAATTAGTCCTAGCCTATCAATAATTAAGACCCTAGTCATCATATTCAAATTATTTTTAGTTTAGTAAAATAAATATGTCAAATATAACAATGTAAAGAAACATATTATCATCTATTAAACTATTTATTATCCTTCTGTTTAGCATTAAAAGCAATTAACTTCTGAGCCACTTTACCCATAAGAATGATTCCAATATTATCCTAATATATCACAAGTCTAGCATAGAGGTCCTATTAAACTTTTGTTTTTTATCAATTAAAAATATTTTAAACTAAAATAATTTTTGAGAAAAAATTACCCTTCAGAGCAATAATTAGTATCTTCTTATCCATTACAAAAATTTTATTATTTTGTAGTACAAGGTATTATATCATCGCTGAATTTATCAGATCTCCAAAATCCTTATTTTAAATTAATTTAGCTTCCATAGCAAGAAATACTTGAAGTGTAATCACAAGGCTTACATTGCATATTACTTGTATTTGAGTTTGGATCTTAAATTGAATATGTACCATTTTAACATGTATAGCAGTTTGCTAATGAACAGGATGTGCAAGCTGATTATATTATTTCTCCTATTTAACAATCTCTAAAGTTGTAATCAATATAAATAGTTAAAGTATCAGTAAACCCTTGCGTGTAATTAGAAAATAAGTAGAATCCTTTAAATTATAATACTGCTCTCCCTCTTTTACCTAATTACCCTATTTGTTTATAAAATATATTTAAATTTACTTAAGTTTTTTGCAATTATTTATTCAGTTTTTTTTGAAATTTTAGTAACTTTAAGAGAGAATTTTGTGAGAATTAATGAGGATTTTATGGTATTATTAAGTAATTACCTGATACTTAGTACTAATTTAAAAGGAATTCATCTAACTCAAAAGGTTGAATAGTTGCACCCTACAATTTCAAGTCAATTTACCTTAAATCTTGAATATTGTTTTGTAAATATAGCTCCTAGAGTTCAACATAATATTAAGAAAATTCTTATAATATTCTATCTGGGACGTTTTTTAAACTCTAGAATTTTACTTAATTTCCTTCTTCGTCTAAGATGTTTATTTTCAAAATATTATCTTACGTTCCACTTTATACATCTTTAAATATATATATTGATCCATTTTGTAATAACTCATTATTAATTTTAGCACTTTATGGAAAAGAGCAGAAATTGTTACCATAGAATTAACCATAGTTATCTATGCATCTATTTTAATAAGTTGTACCACATGAATCAATAACTAAGCTGCTTCTATTTTTTTTAAGGAATAAGGGTATAAAGGTGAAATATCTAGCTATTCCTCCAATTAAAGCTTTGTTTCTCTCAAAAGTACTATTCTATATTTAGATATTTGAGTCATTAAGTAAAAAAACTCCTCCATTTTCTCTAGCTGTATTATTTTTAAAAGTTACATTATTTAGTAGACTATCACACATATTAATAAAATATAGCGATCCTCCATCTTTATTTAAATAATATATAATTAATAATTAAAAATAAATATTGGAAATGATTACTTTAAGCTTCATTATCTATAAATTAACTATTTTATATTTTAACATGAGAATCATCAAAATAAAAGACACCTCCTCCATATTATGTAGAATAAAGTTTATTTGAAATAAAATAAGATTAATTTATAAGCACTTAGCTTTAGTTAATTACAATAGGTGAAACATTTTATAATTAACTCTCTTCTAGAGTAAAATTTGTTATTTAAAGCTTATTTGAAATAAGTGTTATTAAGCTAACAGATGAGTTGCTTAATTAGCTTTTCATAGATGTATTTACAATATCAATAAAGGAAGAATTAGTATATATCATATAGCTATCTAGTTTTAAGTACTTATTTGATTTTATTTCACTAAATGACAATCCAAAGTAACTATTTTTTACTTCTAAATTATTAATTAATGAGTTTTGAGATTATTATAATAATTAATTGACATCAATTATTGCTAGATTTATATTATTATTAAAATTTAAATAGCTAATCATAATATTTGTAGATATTATAGTTTATAAAAAGAAAGAGAGCTATGTGCTAATATTATCAAAAATATCATTTTATTCTATTGAAATTTTATTCACATGCTAAATTAAAAAGAAATTAGTCAAATTAATTTTATTATTTACAATCTTATTATTTCTAAATATAAATTTTGAATCTTGATAATAATCAACAGTGTTGTTAAAAGTAAGAAATTATTTTGTATTTATATTATTATCAGCAAAGTTATTATCTACTAAAATTAATTATTAGGTGTTTTTAATAATTAAGGAAGTTTCAATATTTTGATTAGTAATACTGACGTTAATAAAACTAAAAGAAAACAGATTTTAAGCAATTAAAGTTTTATTGTTAAAGATAATTTCACATGAAAGAAATTTTAATTACTGTAATTAAACATATCCTAGTTACTATTGCTGTTATTGGTCTTCTTCTTACAAATAAATTTTTAAATTATAAAAACTTATTTCTGATAACGTTTATGAGTTGATTAACTAATTTAAATTAATAATTCCTTCAACATAATTAGTTCCATTTATTTTAAGGATAAATCGCATAGAATCCACTATTGGAAATCTTTAGAACTTAAAATTTTCATACATATTTAAATAAATTTAATGTTACATATAATAATTTTTTATCATAGTATTTTTCCACAATTGCGAATATTAATAAAGTCTATTTTATAATTAAAAATAATCAGCATCATTAGTATTATATTAGCAATTGCTTTGACCTTTGATATCTGTCATCATGTAATTGATACCATTATAATTATATGAAAGAACGCTTATTATGTAATCGGATTATACTTATTCAACTTTTAAATAAATATTTTCATAAAATTAGTTTCTATTATAAAATTATTATATGACACTCAATTATGTTTACTTAGGATATTCACGAGAACCAATTACTAAAAAAGTCTTCCCAAATTGCATAAAAATTTACCTATTTTTAAGAAGAGTAGCTTTCCTCTTCATAAAATTGGTCTCTACTTGATAATTGCTAAGATAGAAATTTATTAATTCAAATGTTTAATAATCATATAGAATATAGTAGAAATCAGAACTCACTAAAATCAATTAGTATTCTGGTTAAAGTATAATTTACTAATATGTCTACCAGCGAGATGCTGTTTATATAAGCTACAATAAAGTAAATGAATCTTAATCATCGTTTTAAAAGATTTGGCAATAGTTAAAATTTTGCAAGTTTACTAAAATATAATCAGAATTTACAATAACTTAAAATATAGGATATCCTAAATGAGTTTATCTTTAAACTTTAACACTGTTGTTTTCGACTAGGTATTAAACTAATTAACTATCAAAAGAGTAACTAAAAATTATTTACTCTGTATATATTATCAAATCTATTATAGCTAGTTGATGAATTCGTGGAAATTATTTTGTTATCAAACCTGTTGAACTTCCTACAAAAGTAATAGAGTGGTTGACAAATATAATTATAAATTCAGCTGATTGTAAAATACCGTTGTAAAACTTATATAACGGCTTATCTAATTACTACTGGTATAATTTTAAGAAATTATATTTATTGCCATTCTAAATAATTTAATATGAAGTAATTTATTAATTATATCCGCATACAATTATATCTTATTTGTTAACACTGTGAGAGCACTCTACTTAAATTTTTTGAATTAGCTCTAAATTTTTTTTGTAGATTAAATTTATCTACTTTGTAGTGACTAAAACAAAAATATCTTCGTTTATTAAATATATCGTATTATTATATCTATCATTAAATTATAAAATAGGCCCATTTATTGCTTGTTAATCTATTAAAGACCACTTTTAAATGTTACCATCAGATCTAGTATAATATAGGCTATTATTTTCTTCATCAAAAGCATAACTTATAATAGAAGATGATTTATGAATAATCTAAAAATAGGTACTTTGAATAGAAAACTCGTATTCCCAAAATTTTACTGTTTAATCATTCGAAAATGAAATAATCTAAAATAATTTATAAATTTTATATAATTTAAAATATTTTAAAATATTAATGTACCTAAAATGAGTTCTAATTTAATATAAAAGAGTTTATGACATCTCTATGCTAGTCAAAAACTTGAATAACATTCAGATCAGGATATTTAAGTAAAACTATTCTAAAATTAGAATCTGAAATAATCAAAATTTAATTATCCTTTTATTTAATAAAAATAATATAATTCATTTTAAAATCAATCAAATTTCAAATAAAATGTTTACCATATCTAAATAGCCATATTAAATTTAAGCTACGTTTACATATTAAGCAATTGGTTTTTCAAGATCATAAACATAATATGGCCATATTTATACTGTGTTATCTAATCCCATGCTCGCAAACCATAAATTAATTGGATTTAGAACTATCGTTTTTACTTAACCCTATTATAAAAAAAAAAATAAGTAAGTACAGATTAAAATAATGTTAAAATAAATTATTACTTGATGAATAGGATACTTTTTTCTAAAAATATAGCTTTAGGAAATAAGACTGTAAATCCAAACATAACCATCTTAGTCAAAAGTAAATATACATTAATGATCCTTGTCATATACCCCATCGTTTCCTTGTAAAACCTAAATTATGTCAACTTATTAATCTATACTACCTAGTTAAACTAATAAAGGAAGCGAATCTAACTTTTTTAATTGTTGATAAAATAAATTATTAATTATTTTTTTTAATTTATTTTTTAGAAGTTATAATATTTTATTTAAAAGTTCATATAATTTTCTTTTTAAAAGGCTTATTAATTAAATTAAATACTGTAATTATTTTTTAATTCAATTCATTTATAATTAATCATGTAGTTTTGATTTATTATTTTAAATTTTAAGCTAAAATACAAATGAATATTTAAGAGGGTTAGAAAAAATGAGATTTTAAAGTATTAAAGATAAATAAAGTCAAATTTAAAAATTTACTCCGAATAGCATTAATAAGTTGTTTGTCTAATCAATTATTATTCGAGTTACAGAGTAAATCTACAGCAAATATTAGTAATTTTTAAGTAAATAAAAATTATTAGTAGAAATATTATTCTTCCATACATAAATACTCCCACCTCCGCAACCAGAAATTATTCTGTTGTTTTATATGTCCACAGCAAAAGTGCTAACATTTTGACAATCAATTGGATCATGTTAAAGTAATTATAGGAAATTTAATTCTGGATAACTATGTATAGCTATTGTGTTATCTAAAGAAGAAGTCATAATAATATTCCATTCATAAATAATATTTAATTGATTTATTTATTGAAGATGCTTATTAAAAAATAAATAATTAATTAATATAAAATTATGAATAGGTACATGAAATAAAAAAATTTTACTTTAAATTATGACACCAAAATCAGATTATAAGTTTAAAGATCATACTTATAAACTTTATTAGTATAAATAAATATACTTTTTGTTTACTAATCTACCACTCCTCCTTAAGTATTCTCTACAAATTAAATTTGTTTCATTAATTTTTTCTAAGTGTAATCAATAAAATAAATCTTATTTTCTGAACCGTATAAAATTTTTTTATAAGAAGTGTTTATCAAAAACGTAGAAAGCGTAATTGGCCTAGTCGCCTCCCAATCACAAACCTATTAATAAGCAAAATATTGTAAGTGTGTAATTAATGGGATTGAATTTACTTATTGCAGAGATAGGTAATCGTAACTAAAAATTTGGCTTGTAGAAAGCAAAATAATTAATAAGTTTTCCTCTTTATCAATTTAGATTGAAGTAACAGTAGAGCTTAATTAACCAAGTTATTCATTTTTTAAAATTATTTAAGATTAAAGATCAACAAAAACAAGTTAGTTTCCATTTGAGACAACTAAGAGTAATTCTTCATCCAGAAGCATTAAACACTAGTTTGGTATTATTAATGCAAAATTAATTATTTTTAAATCATTTGTCTATTTATCAATTAGGACAATTTCGTTTGGAGAAGCCATTAAAATAACCAAATATTTATTTCCAAAGCAAATATTTTAAGATACTTAATTTTACTTTTGCGGGAATGATAAACTTTTTAAATTTATATTTTAAGGATTCTCTATAATTTCAATCTATTGTAAAATAATTTTTTAAGTAAAATATTTCAAATTTTGAACAAAAATTAATATTTAAGTAAAAATTACTTATAACGTTCCAACTGCATTAAAAAGTATCAATTAGTTTGAAAAAGTATCAAAGTAAGTTAAATTAGAATTATAATTTTGTAAATTTAAAGTATTTATTTAAATTTGGTGACTATCCTATCCTTTAGTGAGCATTTGTATCAAATTTTAATATATAATAATTGGTCCATATTGACTTTAAAAAAATGATACATAATAATTGGTAACTGGAGAATCGTAGAGTAGATTAAATTATTTAGAATTGAAAACTAATAATTTTTATCTTTAATCAATAACTAAAATAATCTCTAAACTGTTGTCAAAATATACTTAGCTAACTTTGAAATCATTATCAAAATTTAGAGTTTGTAAAAAAGTTCCATCAAGATATGTTGTTATTACTAAATAATTTTAAGGAGTCTAAAATGGCCAAATATATATTTAATCTCCTTACTATTTTAAAAAATGAATTGATTGTTAGGAATTTGAATTAAAAATTTTACCTTGTTAAATTATAATCTACTTTAAGTTGAGAGATTATAGTACTAAGTCAGATATTCGCCCTTAGGAAAGCTAAAGTACCCTAACTTCCCCTAATTTTCAATCATGTAAATTCTAAGTAATTCATCATCAAAGTAAAGACCTTCTACTTTATCTATTGGCACATCATTTGTATAGAAGCAGCTTGAATGCCTTTATATTTACCCATTTGTTATATCTATAAATAGCATGCCACTAGATGTTAACGTTTTTAATATGGAACCTTCAAAAATAGCATTAGGAGTAACTCCTAAAAGTAATCTTATTGATAATTAAATTGAATTTACAAAGATGTTAATAAAAAATTTAATTTTTACTATGAGCCTAAGCATTTGTTAAGTTGTATAACTCTATTTTCGTTTACTACCACAGTTATCATTGTTTAATTTCCATAAAATACTGTGAAGTCATCTCCTACAATTAGTTTAGTGTAATTTATCAGTTTTAAATCTTATGGAGGTAGAGCAATAAGACTATCATACACATGATAGTCATTATAATCCATAGATTATGTAGCAGGATTTATAAACTAAGAACCAAAATAAATCATTGAATTATTTCCACATACTATCAAAGACCCATCTTTTAAAAATCCATAGTCATTAATTTAATTTGGAGAGAAAAAAAGTAAATTTGGTTAATTAAAATTTTAATTCAAAGAGAAAATGGAATATCCATTTACATTATAACTTATGAATGTTAATCCTTAGCTTTATTAGAATTTCAAATGAGTTACATTTCCTAATTAAAATTATAATGTATTTTAAATTTCAAAATTAGTTTAGCTAATCTTGTAAATATTATTCTTAGATGAAAGAACATATATGTAGTCTTAACTAAAATCACTTTCGCATTGAATTACTTCAGAATCCAATTATATTTAAGAAGATTATTCAATCGATCTAAGGTAGACCTTTTAAATATACAAAAAAATATAGTAAAAAATTCTAACTACATTTAAAATTATAATAATTGGAAATCTCAACAATTAATTTAAAAATGAAAGAAAATTAATAAGTAGATAAATAACTTCATTAAAAAGAGAAAAATAATGATTGATTTTGAATTTAATTTAATAAAAGAGGAAAAAAAGTAAAATTTATTTTACATAGTTATCAAAAGGGAAGTACAATCTACTATTTTTAATGTTGAAGCAAACTTAGATATTTTTCTATTAATCATCTACCATTATATAGTTAAGCTGAATAACTGTAATATTCTATTGATAGAGACTTTATTAATACACATTAAAATTGGTATCTATTATGTATATGAAAGTTTCTGGTAAAGATGGATCAGAAATGTTGACTTGCTTATCAGTAAAAATAGAATGAATTTGAATTTTTTGATTAGAATAATATGAATTTGAATAAAAAAGACTAGCATCTGTAAGATTCCATGCTCCTAGCAATCCTTAGCTTCCATAGTCTACCATTAGCTATTCATATTTATCTTACTTTTTAAAGTACAACAATTCTCCTCCTAAAACATTCTAATCTCCTATTTATCCTTAACAATTAGTTGAGGAATAACCTAATTTAATATCAAAAGGACAAATATTTTAAAATGACATTTTGATTAAATTTAGACACGCTAATATTATTAAAAGCTTATCCATTTTTACAAAATAGTTATTTATTTATTTACTTATTTATTTATTATCTTTTTTTTATATTGATTTTGATAAACTAATTTATGTTAAAAACATAACTAATCAGTTAAATTTTACGTTTAATGTATTATTCTTTTTCCTTTAACGAATATGAATTATATATATTTTGCATTACTAATTTATTAAATTTAAATTTTTATTTATCATTTGATTTTGCTTTTTTGTCTGTCTTCCTTCTTGTCAGAGTCTTTATCTTAGTTTCACTCAATGATTTTACTTTGTATTCCTATTTAAATTATTATTTTTAAATTTTATAAAGCAGAGTTTTTGTCTTCTTCTGCAAAATTTTTTGATTTTTAATGAATCTTCTTGGTTGTTCTTTATTTCATTCCTAAATATTTCTTAGCAAATATCTAGAATAAAAGGAAATTAATTCTTTCTGCTTAGAATTTTAAATTTTTTCTAATTTATTTTTATAATACTGGGACAAAAAAGGCCCAGTTTCTTTTTGGTTTTATTTATGAGGTTTTGTTTTATTTTTTATAAAGTAAAAGTCCCTCTTTTTGATTAAGTATTTATTTTGGTCAATTCTTGTTAATTATACACCTTACATCCTATCATGTTAAATATACACTATTACCCTAACATAATATTTCTACACCTTAAAGCGGAGTAAAAAATGTAAATTTTTAAAAAGAAGTTTAAAGATGGAGAATGTGAGGAATAATACTAAATAAAAATTAAAAATCATAATTTTTAAAAAATTCTGTTAATTTCTTTTATCTAGATTTAAAATCAGAGTCTTTTAAATTAATTAATTATTGATGAAATATTGTTTTTTTAACCAATCATAATTCAGATCATCTTTTTAATTTCATGAACTTCCTTAATTCCCCCCAATAATTTAATTATTAATTTTTTATAGTGACTTCTTACTATAAACTCCATTATTCAGTTTTTGTTATACTATTTGAGAGTTATTTGCATAAATTAACTCCTTCATTATACTAAAACTTTACTTCTTTTATGAAGGTCTTGAGACTATCCTACAGAATGTAAATAGTAAATAATCTTCTCTTAATCTAATTTTTAAAAAATTTCCATTTAATTCAAGCTCTTCTTATATTTTTAGTTGACTGATTGTTTATGAAAGTTCTAAAACTACCTCTCTCTAAATTTTGCTCAAATGTTAAGTCTAATATTTTTTAATTTCTTCAAATACTTTGATTATTTTGGTATGTGCCTGACCTTAATCATTTCACCATCTAAATTTAATTTTAAGTTGCTTAATTTAGAAAAAATGTCAAGAGACTCAGAAAGACTTATAAAACTTACTTCTTGTAATTTACTAAGATCTATTTATAAAAATGGTTTTTCAATATTTTGTAAGCCTTACATTCCAGTGTAATCCAATTAAACCTTTATCATTGATTCGATAGCCAAAATTAAATTCAATATAAATTCAGTAGCTATTTAAGCATATATACTAAATCTATTAAACCTTTTTTACAAATGTATTAAAAGGTTTTATAATTACTAAATATCTCAGCTAATCACTTAATAGTTTGAGATTTATAATATTGTGTAAGAATTAGCCATTAAAGCAATCTTTAATGATAAATAAATACTTACTATTCTTTTCTGTTTTATCTATACGAATAATGATAGGACAAGTCAAATGAAGTTTGAGAAGTTATCTTCTATTTACTTTTCAATATTGTCTTATGTAATTCGCCTTAATTCATATTAATATTTTCTATCCTTACAAATAAACAAAAAATATATAATTAAAAATAATAATTTCTTATATTTAATATTAATTAAGAGTGTTTATCATCATGCTAAAAAATATCAAGCTTAAATTTTATTTTATAGAAAAAGGTAACATATTCATAATATAAAATAATTAATTATAATATTTGTTTTAATAAAAGGTTAAATTATTTATTTTTTTATTTTGTAAAATGCTAAAATATATTAAAAAATAATCTAAAATAGTTTCTATAAAATAATTACAATTAGTTGTTGTGAAAATAACTTTTTAATCATTTTATAAAATTCATTTAGAGTTTTATAATGATTAGTTTTGTAGTTTTAAAAATAAAGAAATTGATATGGCAACCATTTTTTTAACTAAATTTAAAAGAAATTGTTGATATAATTTAGTTTGGTAATTTATTATTAGTAAAAGAAAAAGATTAATTTTTGTTTTTTGTTGTTTTTTAAATAATTTTTATTTTTTTAAGTTTTTAAATTCAATTTTAAAAATAATTTTAAATCTAAAATTACTTTTGAAACGGCTTGATAATTTGATAAATTTAAATACAAAAAAATACAAACTTCCAATAAAATTGAAATAACATAATAAAAACCATAAAAGCAACTGCTAAGATCTATATAATTGTAATTGTCTTCTATTAACATGAATTAAGGTTTAATAATAAAATTTTATCATAGAATGTTTGGCAACATAAATTTATTTCAATAAAAAGAATTTATTCTAAGATTAATTAAATAGAACTTTTCTTAAATTTCTTTTGATCATTCTGTCTAATTGGACTTATAAAAAATAATTAATAATAATTTAAATAAAAGAATATTCTTACTTCATCAGATTAAAAATTTTGTTTTTTTAAGCAGAAGGTTAATCATTAAAGATTGAATCTAAATCTTTATCATTCTTTTTATAATCTTTGTATTCTATTGGGCTACTCAATAGGACAAACTAATCATGATTGATTTTTTTTTTTTGCCATTATATAATACATTTTGAAATTTGTTTATTTAAACAATAAAATTACTTCTTGCTCTAAAATGATATTTAGCTTAACAGATATTTTATTAATTCGCTTCATACTCACTAACACTTTCATTAATTTATGAACCAATTTATGTTTGATTTTTGTTTGTAAATCAGAAAACTTTATATTTACTGTCGGATTAAATTATTTGCTCAAAATAACATTTTATGTTGTTGATTAACTTTCTGAGTTAAACTGAACCAAAAATTTTTTTGTAGAAGTTTATTTTGGATTTAATTATGAGCTGCTCTATTATAAAACCCATTTCTTTCATCCATTTAGAAAGAAGCGCTTTTATGGTAGAATATGCTTAAGTGTTAGTCTCTTTAAAGCTATTTTCATCATTAGGTTAAGCATTAGAAAAGAAAGGAGCATATTTGTCTCTTTTTTTTCTTTAAATATAATCTTAGATTGATAGTCTAACAAGCTAAAAATAGTTGATTTTTTTAAATGAATTTTCTTCTGTGCAATAGATTAATAAATAAAGAGAATTCATATGTTATTTTAATTTTAAATATTTTTTAAAGAATCTGAGACATCTTTAACTATTTTGCAAACTTCTTTTTAAAATTAATACAACTTTAGTTTTTTTAAAAAAATGATAATTAGGTTTAATTAAGACATCTAAGTAAATTAAGAAGATTTTTAAAAATGCTGCTCCTTGCAAAATATAAGCAATAATAGTACCAATTTGGATGTCACTAACTATGAAATAGATTTTTAAGTTATTTATTAAAAAATCTGATTTTGATATTTTATAATAGAATTATAATTAATTACTAATTTAATTTAAATTATTATTTTCAAAAATAAATAATTTTTTTAATAACAAAAAAATGATCCCATTTCATTTAACTTTAGAATTAAATTTGTAATTGATGTATATTAATATTACTTATTTTAGATAAATACCTTAATTAATTTAAATTTAATTTTTTTGCATTTTGCATATTTCTGCAAAAAATAAGCTAAGTTCTATTTTAAGTACCACTTTATACATCTTTAAATATATATATTAATCCATTTTGTAAAGACTGATTATTAATTTTAGCACTTTATGGATAAGAACAAAAATTGTTACTATAGAATTAACCTTAATTATCTATGCATTTATTTTAATAGATAGTACCACATGAATCTTCAACTAAGTCGCTACTATGTTTTTCAAGGAATAAGGGTATAAATGTTAAATATCTAGCGATTCCTCCAATTAAAGCTTTGTTTCTTTCAAAAGTACTATTCTATATTTCGATATTTGAGTCATTAAGCAAAAAAACTCCTCCATTTTATTAAGCTGTGTTGTTTGTAAAAGTTACATTATGTAGTAGACAATCACACATATTAATAAAATATAGTGATCCTCCATCTTTATTTAAAATAATTTATAATTTATAATTAAAAATATAATAAATAATTACTTTAAGCTTCATTATCTATAAAGTAACTATTTTATATTTTAACACGAGAAACATCAAAATAAAAGACACCTCCTCTGTATTATCGTATTATGTTGAATATAATTTATTTGAAATAAAATAATATTAATTTATAAGCTCTTAGCTTTAGGTAATTACAATTGGTGAAACGTTTTTATATTTAACTCTCTCCTAAAGTAAAATTTGTTATTGAAAGCTTATTTAAAATAAGTGTTATTAAGCTAACATATGAGTTGCTTAATTAACTTTTCATAAATGTACTTAGAAGATCAATAGAGGAAGAATTAGTAAATATCATATAGCTATCTAAAATTAAGTATTTATTTTACTTTATTTCATTAAATGACATTCCAAAGTAACTTTCTTATACTTCGAAATTATTAATTAAAGAGTTTTGAGATTGCTTTTTAAATTAATGTCTATCAAATATTGCTAGATTTATATTATTATTAAAATTCAAATAATTAATAATAATATTAGTAGATATTACAGTTTACAAAAAGAAAGAGAGCTATGTACTAATATTTTCAAAAACATCAATTTATTCTTTTTATAATTTTATGTACGCGCTAAATTAAAAAGAAATTAGTCAAATTAATTTTGTTATTTACAATCTTATTATTTCTAAATATAAATTCTGAATCTTGATAATAATAAACAGTGTTGTTAAAAGTAACAAATTGTTTTGTATTTATATTATTATCAGCAAAGTGATTATCTACTAGAATCAAATATTATGTGTTTAAAATAATTAAGGAAGTTTCAATATTTTGAATAGTAATGCTGACATTAATAAAACTAAAGTTAAACAGATTTTAAGCAATTAAAGATTTATTGTTAAAGATCATTAGCACAAAAATTAAACCTAAAATAAATAAATTAACTATTCTTTTTAGCTTATTTTGAGGGAAAATAATTATAAATATTGAATTAAAAAGTAAAATTTCAAATTATTCAAATAAAAAGAAAAATATTAGAAATATTTTTTTAAAATTTGTTAAAAAAGTTTTTTAAAAAGTCTTAAAAATTAGAAGAAAAATTTTTAAAAAAGACTAAAATTAAAAATTTGATTGAAAAATTATAATAATGATCTCAAATCAATAAATTATTGAATGGCATTTGGCTCTTTATATAATTGTTCTTCTATTTACATGAATTAAGGTTCAATAATTAAATTATATCAATGAATATTCGGCAATACAAATATACTTCAATAAAAACTAGTTAAACTAAGATTAATTAAATATTATTTTTCTAAAATATCTTTTGATCATTCTTTCTGTTGGCATAATGAAATTGAATAAATATTAATTTAAATAAAAGAATATTCTTACTTCATCAGGTTAAAAAGTTTGTTTTTTTTATGGTTAATCATTAAAGATTGAATCTAAATCTTTATCATTCTTTTTATAATCTCTGTACTCTATTGGGCTACTCAATAGCATAAACTAATCATGATTGATATTTTTGATATTGCCTTTAAATAATAAATTTTGAAATTTGTTTATATAAACAATAAAATTACTTCTTGTTCTAAAATGATATTTAGTTTAGTAGTTATTTTATTAATTTACTTCTTACTCACTAATGCTTTCACTAATTTATGAATCAATTTATGTTTAATTTTTGCTTTGTAAATCAGAAAACTTTATATTTACTGTTGGACTAAATTATTAGCTAAAAATAAAATTTTATGTTGTAGATTAGCTTTCTGAATTAAACTGAACCAAAAATTTTTTTGGAGAAATTTAATTTGGATTTAATTATGAGCTGCTCTATTTTAAAATACCCATTTCTTTCCTCCATTTGGAAAGAAGGGTTTTTCTGGTACAATATGCTTAATTTTTAGTCTCTCTCAAGCTATTTTCATCATTAGGCTAAGGAATAGAAAAGAAAGGAGCATACTTATCTCTTTTTTTTCTCTAAATATAATCTTAGATTGAAAGTCTAAGTAGCTAAAAATTGTTGAATTTTTTAAATGAATTGTCTTCTGTGCAATAGATTAATAAATAAAGAGAATTCATATGTTATTTTAAGTATTTTTTAAAGATTTTAAAACATGTTTAACTGTTTTGCAAACTTCCTATTAGAATTAATACAACTTTAGTTTTTTTTAACAAATGATAATTAAGCCTAATTAAGGTATCTAAGTAAATTAAGATAATTTTTAAAAATGCCACTACTTGCAAAATATAAGCAACAACAGTACCAATGTATAAAAGAATATCTTATTCTATAGCATTGAGCAGGAGATATAATATTGTGAGCAAACAGCAAATTTAAGAAAAAAATAAATCTATTTTATAGTATTTAATCTTTTAGTATGGCTTTTTTAAAAAAATTATAATTAATTATTCAGATAAAAAAAGTAAACTTACTTAATATTTTTGTAAGAGCAGAAGATAGCAGTAGAGGATAATTAGCATCAAAGATGCTCTACTAAGTATGTCGGAATCAAAATATATAACTAAAAATACTAAGAGTAGTCTTAGGTTCATTGCTAAAAACTCCCACAAATAAAATTTTTATCTATACCCACAAATTAGGAAACCGTACTTATTAAAAAAATAAAAAAGTAAATATATAAATGGTAATATGAGTTACCATAACTTCCTACTTATTCTACAGAGCCAAAATGAAAAATTTTACTTATTTTTTCAAAAAGATAAGTTGGGTAGAAATCAATTCAAAAATGAAAATTGATCATTAACATGTAAGAAGCTACGGTAGATTATTTAAAGTATATAAATACCTTTTTAATTAATTCAAACTGATGTGAAAATTTATCAAAATGCTATGATTTACTCCATATTTTATAAATCAATATCCCTGGTACTAAAACTATCCATAAAAATGTCATGGGCATTATTATAGATGTTATCAAAATCACATGATTGGTTGAATAGCACTTTTCTAATAAGTAATAGTTCATAAATGACTCCTTTCCTATTTTTTTGCAAGTAAAAGTCTAAACCAAAGACTCAAAGGAGCTTTACTACAAGAAAAAGAAAAGGAAGATGAAGCAAATGACAGTAGAGTCTTTCTAGAAATATATTTGAAATTATTTACATATAAAAAATTCTTTTGAAATATAAATTTACCTTGAATTCATAATAAAAAGAGTTTTTTTCTTATTTAGAGAAATAGCTTATTACTTTAATTATTATAATGTAGAATATGAACCCTAAGGGAATAACTATTAAAGGAAAGGCTATAAAAAATAGCACTTTGTAATAATATACAGGTAAAATAGTACTAAATTTACTTACAATACAATCCAACAAATTTTAATTGGAACTTACAGGAGAAAATATTGAGATTACTTCAAAGTTAAATATTGGTTTTGGACTAAGACTGGAAATACTGATAAATATTTAAAAATACCTAATCATCAATCTACTATAAAAACTTTTTTCACCAATTTAACCTGAATTACCTAATCTAATTAGTCCTAGCCTATCAATAATCAAGACCTTAGTCATCATATTCAAATTAATTTTAGTTTAATAAAATAAATATGTCAAATATAACAATGTAATGAAACATATTAACATCTATTCAACTATTTATTTTCCTTCTGTTTAGCATTAATAACAATTGACTTCTAAGCCACTTTACCCATAAGAATGATTCCAAAATTATCCTAATATATCACAAGTCTAGCATAGAGGTCCTATTAAACTTTTGTTTTTATCAATTAAATATATTTAAAACTAAAATAATTTTTGAGAAAAAATTACCCCTCAGAGCAATAATTAGTATCTTCTTATCCATTACAAAAGTTTTAAGATTTAGTGCAAGGTATTATATCATCATTGAATTTATCAGATCTCCAAAATCCTTTTTTTAAAGTAATTTAGCTTCCATAACAAGAAATACTTGACGAGTAATCACAAGGTTTGCATTATATATTACTAGTATTTGAGTTTGGATCTTGAATTGAATATGTACCATTTTAACATGTATAACAGTTTGCTAATGAACAAGATGTGCAAGCTGATTATATTATTTCTCCTATTTAACAATCTCTAAAGTTGTAATCAATATAAATAGTTAAAGTATCAGTAAATCCTTATGTTTAATTAGAAAATAAGTGGAATCCTTTAAATTATAATACTGCTCTCCCTCTTTTACCTAATTACCCTTTTTATTTATAAAATATATTTAAAATTACTCAAGTTTATAAGTGTTTTTAAAATTTGAGTAACTTTAAGAGAGAATTTTGTGAGAATTAATGAGGATTTTATGGTACTATTAAATAATTACCTGATACTTAGTACTAATTTAAAAGGAATTCATCTAACTCAAAAGGTTGAATAGTTGCACCCTACAATTTCAAGTCAATTTACCTTAAATCTTGAATATTGTTTTGTAAATATAGCTCCTAGAGCTCAACATAATATTAAGAAAATTCTTATAATATTCTATCTGGGGCGTTTTTTAAACTCTAGAATTTTACTTAATTTCCTTCTTCGTCTAAGATGTTTATTTTCAAAATATTATTTTACGTTCCACTTTATACATCATTAAATATATATATTGATCAATTTTGTAATGACTGATTATTAATTTTAGCACTTTATGGAAAAGAGCAGAAATTATTGCCATAGAATTAACCATAATTATCTATGCAATTATTTTAATAAGTTGTACCGCATGAATCTTTAACGAAATTAATTTTATTTTTTTTAAGGAATAAGGGTATAAAGGTGAAATATCTAGCTATTCCTCCAATTAAAGCTTTGTTTCTCTCAAAAGTACTATTCTATATTTAGATATTTGAGTCATTAAGTAAAAAAACTCCTCCATTTTCTCTAGCTGTGTTATTCGTAAAAGTTACATTATTTAGTAGACAATCACACATATTAATAAAATACAGCGATCCTCCATCTTTTTTTAAAAGAATATATAATTAATAATTAAAAATAAATATTGCAAATAATTACTTTAAGCTTCATTATCTATAAATTAACTATTTTATATTTTAACATGAGAAGCATCAAAATAAAAGACACCTCCTCCATATTGTGTAGAATAAAGTTTATTTGAAATAAAATAAGATTAATTTATAAGCACTTAGCTTTAATTAATTATAATAGGTGAAACATTTTCTTATTAACTCTCTTCTAGAGTAAAATTTGTTATTTAAAGCTTATTTGAAATAAGTGTAATTAAGCTAACAGATGAGTTGCTTAATTAGCTTTTTATAGATGTATTTAGAAGATCAATAGAGGAAGAATTTGTATATATCATATAGCTTTCTGGTATTAAGTATTTATTTGATTTTATTTCACTAAATGACAATCCAAAGTAACTATTTTTTAATTCCAAATTATTAATTAATTAGTTTTGAGATTATTATAATAAATAATGACCATCAATTATTGCTAGATTTATATTATTATTAAAATTTAAATAGCTAATCATAATATTTGTAGATATTATAGTTTACAAAAAGAAAGAGAGCTATGTGCTAATATTATCAAAAATATCATTTTATTCTATAGTAATTTTATGCACATGCTAAATTAAAAAGAAATTAGTCAAATTAATTTTGTTATTTACAATCTTATTATTTCTAAAAATAAATTCTGAATCCTGATAATAATCAACAGTGTTATTAAAAGTAACAAATTGTTTTGTATTTATATTATTATCAGCAAATTGATTATCTACTAGAATTAAATATTATGTGTTTTAAATAATTAACGAAGTTTCAATATTTTGATTCGTAATACTGACGTTAATAAAACTAAAATAAAACAGATTTTAAGCAATCAAAGTTTTATTGTTAAAGATAATTTCACATGAAAAAAATTATAATTATTGTAATTAAACATTTCCTAGTTATTATTGCTGTTATTGGTCTTCTTCTTACAAATAAATTATTAAATTGTAAAAATTTATTTCTAATAACGTTTATGAGTTGATTAACTAATTTAAATTAATAATTCCTTCAACATAATTAGTTCCATTTATTGTTAGGATAAATTACAATTCTTCATTAGAATCTACTATTGGAAATCCTTAGAACTTAAAATTTTCATACATATTTATTTCAATGTAATGTTACGGAGTTTAATCATCATTTTTTATCAAAATATTTTTCCTCAAATTCTAATATTATTAAAGTCTTTTTTATAGCTAAAAATAATCAGCATCATTAGTATTATATTAGCAATTGATTTGACCTTTGATATCTGTCATCATGTAATTGATACCATTATAATTATATGAAAGTACGCTTATTATGTAATCCGATTATACTTATAAATAAATATTTTCATAAAATTAGTTTTTATTTATAAATTATTATATGACACTCAATTATTTCTATTCAGGATCTTCACTTTAATCAATTACTGAAAAAGTCTACCCAGATTACACAAAAATTTATCTATTTTTAAGAAGAGTAACTCTCCTCTTCATAAAATTGGTCTCCACTAGAAAATTGCTCTGATAGAAATTGATTAATTCAAATGTTTAATAATCATATAGAATATAGTAGAAATCAGAACTCACTAAAATCAATTAGTATTCAGGTTAAAGTATAATTTACTAATATGTCTACCAGCGAGATGCTGTTTAAATAAGCTAAAATAAAGTAAATGAATCTTAATCATCATTTTTATAGATTTGGCAGTAGTTGAAATTTTGCAAGTTTACTAAAATATAATCAGAATTTACAATAACTTAAAATATTGGATATCCTAATTGAGTTTATCTTTAAACTTTAACATTATTGTCTTCGACTAGGTATTGAACTAATTAACTATCAAAAGAGTAACTAAAAATTATTTTCTCTGTATATATTATCAAATCTATTATAGCTAGTTGATGAATTAGTGGAAATTATTTCGTTATCAAACCTGTTGAACTTCCTACAAAAACAATAGAGTGGTTGACAAATATAATTATAAATTCAGTTGAATGTAAAATACTGTTATAAAGCTTAAACAACGGCTTATCTAATTACTACTGGTATACTTTTAAGAAATTATATTTATTGCCATTCTAAATAATTTAATACGAAGTAATTTATTAATTATATCCGCATACAATTATGTTTTATTTGTTAACACTGTGAGAGCACTCTACTTAAATTTTTTGAATTAGCTCTAAATTTTTTTTGTAGATTAAATTTATCTACTTAGTAGTGACTAAAACAAAAATATCTTCGTTTATTAAATATATCGTATTATTACATCTATCATTAAATTATAAAATAGGTCCATTTATTGCTTGTTAATCCATTAAAGACCACTTTTAAATGTTACCATCTGATCTAGTATAATATAGGCTATTATTTTCTTCTTCAAAAGCGTAACTTATAATAGAAGATGATCTATGAATAATCTAAAAATAGCTACTTTGAATAGAAAACTCGTATTCCCAAAATTTTACAGTTTAATCATTCGAAAATGAAATAATCTAAAATAATTTATAAATTTTAATATAATTTAAAATATTTTAAAATATTAATGTACTTAAAATGAGTTCTAATTTAATATAAAAGAATTTATGATATCTCTATGCTAGTCAAAAACTTGAATAACATTCAGTAAAGGAAATGAAAGTAAAACTATTCTAAAATTAGAATCTGAAATAATCAAAATTTAATTATCCTTTTATTTAATAAAAATAATATAATTAACTTCTAAATCAATCAAATTTCAAAAAAAATGTTTACTAAATCTAACTAGCCATATTAAATTTAAGCTACATTTATATATTAAAAAAGTGGTTTTTAAACATTTTAAGAATTATATGGCCATATTTATACTTTTTTATCTAATCCCATGCTCACAAACTATTAATTAATAGGATCTAGAACTATTGTTAATACTTAACCCTATTATAAAAAATAGAAAATAAGTATATGTATATTAAAATAATGTTAAAAAAATTATTACTTGATGAATAGGATACTGTTTTCTAAAAATATAGCTTTAGGAAGTGATATTATAATTCCAAACATAACCATCTTAGTCAAAAGTAAGTATACATTAATTAAGCTTGTCATATGCCCCATCGTTTCCTTGTAAAACCTAAATTATGTCAACTTATTAATCTATACTACCTAGTTAAACTAATAATGGAAGCGAATCTAACTTTTTTAATTGTTGATAAAATAAATTATAAATTATTATTTTTAATTTATTTTTTAAACGTAATAATATTTTATTTAAAAGTTCTTATAATTTTATTTTTAAAAGGCTTATTAATTAAATTAAATACTGTAATTATTTTTTAATTCAATTAATTTATAATTAATCATCTAGTTGATTTATTTTTTTAAAACGTTTTGAAATCAAATATAAAGAAAATAATTAAGATTTAGAGAAAAAAAATATTCATTAGTAATATAAAAATTATTTGAAATATCACAAATCATGATATCATGGTTCGTGATATTTCAAATGCAGGAACAGCTATATTAAAAAATAAAGTAAAAATTTTAAATTTACTCCGAATAGCATTAATAAGTTGTTTGTCTAATCAATTATTATTCGAGTTACAGAGTAAATCTACAGCAAATATTAGTAATCTTTAAGTAAATAGAAATTATTAGTTGAAATATCGTTCTTCCATACATAAATACTCCCACCTCCGCAACCTGAAATTATTCTGTTGTCTTTTACATCTACAGCAAATGTGCTAATATTTTGACAATTAATAGGATCATGTTAAAGTAATTATATGAAATTTAATTATGGATAACTATGTATAGCTATAGTGTTATCTAAAGAAGAAGTCATAATAATATTCCATTCATAAATAATATTTATTTGATTTATTTATTGAAGATGCTTATTAAAAAATAAAATTATGAATAACCATATGAAAAAAAAAATATATTACTTCAAATTATGACACCAAAATCAGATTATAAGTTTAAAGATCATACTAATAAACTTTATTGGTATAAATAAATATACTGTTTGTTTACTAATCTATAACTCCTCCTTAAGTATTCTCTACAAATTAAATTTGTTTCATTAATTTTTTCTAAGTGTAATCAATAAAATAAATCATAAGTCCTGAACCGTATAAAATTTTTTTATAAGAAGTGTTTATCTAAAACGTAGAAAGCGTAATTTAACTAGTCGCCTTCCAATCACAAACCTATTAATAAGCAAAATATTTTAAATGTGTAATTAATGAGATTGAATTTACTTATTGTAGAGATAAGTAATCGTAACTAAAAATTTGGTTTGAAGAAAGCAAAATAATTAATAAGTTTTCCTCTTTATCAATTTATATAGATGAAACTGTAGAGCTTAATTAATCAAGTTATTCATTTTTTAAAAAAACTTAAGATTAAACATCAATAAAAACAAGTTAGTTTCCATTTGAGACAACTAAGAGTAATTCTTCATCCAGCAGTATTAAACACTAGTTTGGTATTGTAATTGCAAAATTAATTATTTTTAAATCATTTGTCTATTTGTTAATTAATATAATTTCATTTGGAGAAGCCATTAAAATAACCAAATATGTATTTCCAAAGCAAATATTTTAAGATACTTAATTTTACTTTTACGTGTATGATAAACTGTTTATATTTATATTTTAAGGATTCTCTATAATTGCTATCTATTTGTAAAATAATTTATAAAATAAAATATTTCTAATTTTGAACAAAATTAAATATTTAAGTAAAATTTACTTATAGTGTACCATTTATATTAAAAAGAATCAATGAGTTTGAAAAAGTATCAAAGTATGTTTAATTAGAATTATAATTTTGTAAATTTAAAGTATTTATTTAAATTTGGTGGCTATCCTATCCTTTAGTGAGCATTTGTATCAAATTTTAATACACAATAATTGGTCCATATTGACTTTAAAAAACTTATACAGTATAATTGGTAATTGGCGAATCATAAAGTAGATTAAATTATTTAGAATTAAAAATAAATAATTTTTAGCTTTAATCAATAACTATAATAATTTCTAAATCGTTATCAAAATATACATAGTTAACTTTGAAATTATTATCAAAATTTAGAGTTTGTAAAAAAGTTCCGTCAAGATATGTTGTTATTACTAAATAATTTTAAGGAGTCTAAAATGGCCAAATATATATTTAATCTCCTTACTATTTTAAAAAATGAAATGATTTCTAGGATTTTGAATTAAAAATTTTACCTTGTTAAATTATAATCTACTTTAAGTTGAGAGATTATAGTACTATGTCAGATATTCGCCCTTAGGAAAGCTAAAATACCCTAATTTCCCCTAATTCTCAATCATGTAAATTCTAAGTAATTCATCATCAAAGTAAAGACCTTCTACTTATTCTATTGGTACATCATTTGTATAGAAGCAGCTTGAATGCCTTTTTATTTGCCCATTTGTTATATCTATAAATACCATTCCACTTGATGTTAACGTTTTTAATATGGAACCTTCAAAAATAGCATTAGGAGTAACACCTTAAAGTAATCTTATTGGTAATTAAATTGAATTTAGAAAAATGTTTATAAAAAATTTAATTTTTACTATGAGCCTAAGCATTTGTTAAGTTGTATAACTCTACTTTCATTTATTACCACAGTTATCATTGTTTAATTTCCATAAAATACTGTGAAATCATCTCCTACAATTAGTTTAGTGTAATTTATCAGTTTTAAATCTTACGGAGGTAGAGCATTAAGATTATCAAACACACGATAGTCATTATAATCCATAGATTATGTAGCTGGATTTATAAACTAAGAACCAAAATAAATCATTGAATTATTTCCACACACTATCAAAGACCCATCTTTTAAAAATCCATAGTCATTAATTTAATTTGGAGAGAAAAAAAGTAAATTGGTTTAATTAAAATTTTAATCTAAAGAGAAAATGGAATATCCACTTATATTATAACTTATGAATGTTAATCCTTAGCTTTATTAGAATTTCAAATGAGTTACATTTCCTAATTAAAATTTTAATTTATTTTAAATTTTAAAATTAGTTTAGCTAATCTTGTAAATGTTATTCTCAAATGAAAGAACATATATGTAGTCTTAACTAAAATCACTTTCGCATTGAATTACTTCAGAATCTAATTTTATTTAAGTAGATTATTCAATCGAGCGAAGACAGAGCTTTTAAATATGCAAAAATAATTTTTTTTAAATTCTAATTACATTTAAAATTATAATAATTGCAAAACTCAATAATTCATTTTAAAACGAAAGAAAATTAATAAGTAGAGGTAAATAAATTCATTAAAAAGAGAAAAATAATCATTGATTTTGAATTTAATTTAATAAAAGAGGAAAAGTAAAATATATTTTACATAGTTATCAAAAGGGAAGTACAAAATACCATTTTTAATGTTGAAACAAACTTAAATTTATTTCTATTAATTATCTACCATTATATTATCAAACTGAATAACTGTAATATTCTATTGATAGAGACTTTATTAATACACATTAAAATTGATATCTATTATGTATATGAAAGTTTGTGGTAAAGAAGGATCAGAAATGTTGATTTGCTTATCAGTAAAAATAGAATGAATTTGAATTTTTTGATCTGAAAAGTATGAAGTTGAATAAAAAAGACTAGCATCTGTAAGATTCCACACTCCAAGCAATCCTTAGCTTCCATAATCTACCATTAACTACTCATATTTATCTTAATTTTTAAAGAATAATAATTCTCCTCCTTAAACATTCTAATCTCCTATTTATCCTTAACAATTAGCAGAGGAATAACCTAAATCAATATTAAAAGGGCAAATATTTTAAAATGATATTTTTATTAAATTTAGACAAGCTAATATTATTAAAAGCTTATCCATTTTTACAAAATAGTTATTTATTTATTATCCTTTTCTTATCTTGATTTTTAAAATCTAATTTATATTATATACATATATTAATCATCTAAATTTTATGTTTATTTATTTCGTATAAACTCATAAAATACGTTTACTTGACGAATAAAAAATATAGACTTTTATTAATATATATAATATAAAAAGGGAATTCAAGTTAATTGTGGTTTTATGTTCTTATGAAAAAATAATTTTTCAATTAAAAAAAAAAAAAAAATTAAAAACTTAGAATAAAATTAATATAACACAATAAAAACAGATACTAAGATATATATAATTGTCTTCTATTAACAAAAATTAATATTCAATAATTAGACTATATCCTTTTGTCAATACAAATTTACTTCAAATAAAACTAGTGATATTATATATAGATTAATCAAATATTATGTTTCTTAAATTTCTTTTGATCATTCTATATGATTGGCCTTATGAAAATGAATTAATATTAATTTTAAATAAAATAATATTCTTACTTCATCAGGTTAAAGAGTTTGTTTTTTTTAAGAAGAAGGTTTATCATTAAAGATTGAATCTAAATCTTTATCATTCTTTTTATAATCTCTGTACTCTGTTAGGCTACTCAATAGCACAAACTAATCATGATTGATATTTTTGATATTGCCTTTATATAATAAATTTTGAAATTCGTTTATTTTAGCAATAAAATTACTTCTTGTTCTAAAATTATATTTAGCTTAACAGTTATTTTATTAATTTACTTCTTACTCACTAACATTTTCACTAGTTTATGAATCAAATTATGTTTGATTTTTGTTTTGGAATTCAGAAAACTTTATATTTACTTTCGGACTAAATTATTAGCTAAAAATAATATTTTATGTTGTAGATTAGCTTTCTGAGTTAAACTAAACCAAAAATTTTTTTGAAGAATTTTAATTTGGATTTAATTATGAGCTGTTCTATTTTAAAATACTCTTTTCTTTCATCCTTTTGGAAAGAAGCGTTTTTCTGGTAGAATAAGTAAAATTGTTTGTCTCTTTAAAGCTATTTTCATCATTAGGCTAAGGAATAGAAAAGAAAGGAGCATTTTTATCTCTTTTTTTTCTCTAAATATAATCTTAGATAGAAAGTCTAAGAAGCTAAAAATTGTTGAATTTTTTAAACGAATTGTCTTCTGTGCAGTAGATTAATAAATAAAGAGAGTTCATATGTTATTTTAATTATGATTTAAAGAATTTGAAACATGTTTAATCCTTTTTCAAACACCCTTTTAAAATTAATATAACTTTAGTTTTTTTTAACAAATGATAATTAAGCTTAATTAAGACATCTAAGTAAATTAAGACAATTTTTAAAAATGCTGCTACTTGCAAAATATAAGCAATAATAGTACCAAGGTATAAAATAATATCTTATTCTATAACATTAAGCAGGATATATAATATTGTTAGCAAACAGCAAATTTAAGAAAAAAATAAATCTATTTTGTAGTATTTAATCTTTTAGTATGGCTTTTTTTTAAAAAATTAAACTTAGTTTTTCAGATAAAAAAAGTAATCTTACTTAATATTTTTGTAAGAGCAAAAGATAGCAGTAGAGGATAATTAACATCAAAGAAGCTTTACTAAGTACATCTGAATCAAAATATATAACTAAAAATACTAAGAGCAGTCTTAGGTTCATTGCTAAAAACTCCCACAAATAAAATTTTTATCTATATCCACAAATTAGGAAACCATACTTATTAAAAAATAAAAAATAAATATATAAATGGTAATATGAGTTACCGTAACTTCCTACTTATTCTAATAAAGCAAAAATTCAAAATTGTACTCATTTTTTTTAATTGGCTTTGGGTAGAAATTAATTCAAAAATAACTATTGCTAAAAGAGTAATTAAGAAGCTACGGTAGTTAATTTAAGAATATAAATACCTTTTTAATTAATTCAAATTGATGTGAAAATTTATCAATATGCTATGATTTACTCCATATTTTATAAATTAATATTCCTGGTACTAAAACTATCCATAAAAATGTCATTGGCATTATCATAGATGTTATCAAAATCACATGATTGGTTGAATAGCACTTTTCTAATAAGTAGTAGTTCATAAATGACTCCTTACCTATCTTTTTGCAAGTAAAAATCTAAACCAAAGACTCAAAAGAGCTTTACTACAAAAAAAAGAATAGGAACACGAAACAAATGACAGCAGAGTCTTTCTAGAAATATATTTGCTTATAAAAAATATTTTTTCAAATATAAATTTACCTTGAGCTCAAAATAAAAGGAGTTCTTATCTTGTTTAGAGAAATAACTTATTAGTTTAACTATTAAAACATAGAATAAGAACCCTAAGGGAATAACTATTAAAGGAAAAGCTATAAAAAATAGCACTTTGTAATAATATACTGGTAAGATAGTACTAAATTTACTTATTATACAATCCAACAAATTTTAATTGGAATTTACGGGAGAAAATATTGAGATTATTTGTAAGTTAAATATTGGTTTTGGACTAAGACTGGAAATACTAATAAAGATTTAAAGATATCTAATCATCAATCTGCTATAAAAACTTTTTTCGCCTATTTAACCAGAATTACCTAATCTAATTAGTCCTAACTTATCAATAATCAAGACCTTAGTCATCATATTTAAATTAATTTTTGTTTAGTAAAATAAATATGTCAAATATAATAATGTAATGAAACATATAAAAATCTATTCAGCTATTTATTTTACTTCTGATTAACATTAATAACAATTAACTTGTAAATCGCTTTTTCCATAAGAATTATTCCAAAATTATCCTAGTACATCACAAGTCTAGCATAGAGGTCCTATTAAACTTTGGTTTTTTATTAATTTAATATATTTGAAACTAAAATAATTTTTGGGAAAAAATTACCCTTCAGAGCAATAATTAGTATCTTGTTATCCGTTACAATAGTTTTACGATTTAGTACAAGGTATTATATCATCGCTGAATTTATCAGATCTCCAAAATCCTTATTTTAAATTTATTTAGCTTCCTTAACAAGAAATAGTTGATGAGTAATCACAAGGCTTGCATTACATATTACTAGTATTTGATTTTGGATCTTCAATAGAATATGTACCATTTTAACATGTTAAGCAGTTAGCTAATGAACAAGATGTGCAAGCTGATTATATTATTTCTCCTATTTAACAATCTCTAAAGTTGTAATCAATATAAATAGTTAAAGTATCAGTAAACCCTTGTGTTTAATTAGAAAATAAGTAGAATCCTTTAAATTACAACACTGCTCTACCTCTTTTACCTAATTACCCTTATTTTTTATAAAATATATTAAAATCTGCTCAAGTTTTTACAATTTTTTATTTGATATACCATAAATCCTCTTTAATTTTATTCATTTTTCCTTAATTATTTTTTTCAATTTTGATTTGTTAGATAAATACCAATTTTCACTATTTATAAGCGAGGTTTGTGAGAATTGATAAGGATTTATGGTATTATTAAAAAATTACCTGATACTTAGTACTAATTTAAAAGAAATTCATCTAGCTCAAAAGGTTGAATAGTTGCACCCTATAATTTCAAGTCAATTTACCTTAAATCTTGAATATTGTTGAGCAAATATAGCTCCTAGAGCTCAACATAATATTAAGAAAATTCTTAATATATTCTATCAGGTATATTTTTTTAATTTTAGAATTTTACTTAATTTCCTTCTTCGTCTAAGATGTTTATTTTCAAAATATTATTTTGTGTTCCACTTTATACATCTTTAAATACATATATTGATCCATTTTGTAAAGACTGATTATTAATTTTAGCACTTTATGGAAAAGAGCAGAAATTGTTACCATAGAATTAACCATAATTATCTATGCATTTATTTTAATAAGTGGTACCACATGAATCTTTAACTAACTTGCTACTATTATTTTTAAGGAATAAGGGTATAGAGGTCAAATATCTAGCTATTCCTCCAATTAAAGCTTTGTTTCTTTCAAAAGTACTATTCTATATTTAGATATTTGAGTCATTAAGCAAAAAAACTCCTCCATTTTCTCTTGCTGTGTTATTTGTAAAAGTTACATTATTTAGCACACAATCACATTTATCAATAAAATACAGCGATCCTCCATCTTTATATAAAATAATTAATATAAAATTAATAATTAAAAATATTGTAAATAATTACTTTAAGCTTCATTATCTATAAATTAACTATTTTATATTTTAACATGAGAAGCATCAAAATAAAAGACACCTCCTCCATATTATGTAGAATAAAGTTTATTTGAAATAAAATAAGATTAATCTATAATCACTTAGCTTTAGTTAATTACAATAGGTGAAATATTTTCTTATTAACTCTCTTCTAGAGTAAAATTTGTTATTTAAAGCTAATTTGAAATAAGCGTTATTAAGCCAACAGATGAGCTGCTTAATTAACTTTTCATAAATGTGCTTAAAAGATCAATAGAGGAAGAATTAGTATATATCATATAGCTATCTGGAATTAAGTACTTATTTTACTTTATTTCACTAAATGACATTCCAAAGTAACTATCTTATACTTCCAAACTATTAATTAAAGAGTTTTGAGATGAATATAAAAATTAATGGCCATTAATTATTGCTAGATTAATATTATTATTAAACTTTAAATAGCTAATGATAATATTGGTAGATATTACAGTCTACAAAAAGAAAGAGAGCTAAGTGCTAATATTATCAAAAATCTCATTTTATTCTATAGTAATTTTATGCACGTGCTAAATTAAAAAGAAATTAGTCAAATTAATTTTGTTATTTACAATCTTATTATTTCTAAATATAAATTCTGAATCATAATTAAAATCAACAGTGTTGTTAAAAGTAAGAAATTGTTTTGTATTTATATTATTATCAGCAAAGTAGCTCTGTTCTATAATTATATATTATGTGTTTTAAATAATTAAGGAAGTTTCAATATTTTAATTAGTAATACTGACATTATTAAAACTAAAATAGTACAGATTTTAAGCATTTAAAGATTTATTGTTAAAGATTATTTAACATGAAATAAATTATAATTAAAATAATTAAACATTTCCTCGTTAATATTGCTGCTATTGGTCTTCATCTTATAAATAAATTATCAAATTTTATAAATATATTTCTACTAACGTTTATGAGTTGATTAACTAATTTAAGTTAATAATTCCTTTAACATAATTCTATTTATTAGCTCCATTTATTGTAAGGGTAACTTGTAAATTTGCATTAGAATCCACTATTGGAAATCCTTAGAATTTAAAATTTTCATTCATATTTACTTAAATGTAATGTCTCATTTAATAACCATTATCTATCAAAATATTTTTCCTCAAATTCTAAAACTATTAAAGTCTTTTATTTAACTAAAAATAATCAGCATCATTAGTATTATATTCGCAATTGCTTTTTCCTTTAGTATCTATCATCATGTAATTAATACCATTATAATTATATGAAAGAACACTTATTATATAATCAAATACTACTTTTTGGATTTTTAAATAAATATTTTCATAAAATTAGTTTCTATTAATAAATTATTATATGACTTTCAATTATTTCTATTCAGGATCTTCACTTTAATCAATTACTGAAAAAGTCTACCCAAATTACACAAAAATTTATCTATTTTTAAGAAGAGTAACTTTTCTCTTCATAAAATTGGTCTCCACTAGAAAATTACTCTGATAGAAATTTATTAATTCAAATGTGTAATAATCATATAGAATATAGTAGAAATCAGAACTCACTAAAATTAATTTGTATTTTGGTTAAAGTATAATTTACTAATATGTCTACCATCGAGATGCTGTTTAAATAAGCTTCAGTAAAGTAAATGAATCTTAATCATCGTTTCTATAGATTTGGCAATAGTTGAAATTTTACAAGTTTACTAAAATATAATCAGAATTTACAATAACTTAAAAAATAGGATATCCTAAATGAGTTTATCTTTAAACTTTTACATCATCATTTTCGACTAGGTATTAAACTAATTAACTATCAAATGAGTAACTAAAAATTATTTAATCTGTATATATTATCAAATCTATTATAGCTAGCTGATGAATAAGTGGAAATTATTTTGTTATCAAACCTGTTGAACTTTCAATAAAAGCAATAGATTGATTGACAAATATAATTATAAATTCAGTTGATTATAAAATACCATTGTATAACTTATATAACGGCTTATCTAATTTCTACTGATATAATTTTAAGAAATCATATGTATTACCATTCTAAATAATTTAATATGATATAATCTATTAATTATATCCGCATATAATTATGTCTTACTTGTTAACACTATGAGAGCATTCTACTTAAATTTTTTGAATTAATTCTAAATTTTTTTTGTAGATTAAATTAATCTACTTTGTAGTGGCTATAACAAAAATATCTTCGTTTATTAAATATATTGTATTATTAAATCTATCATTAAATTAAAAGATAGGCCCATTTACTGTCTGTTAATCCATTAAAGACCACTTTTAAATATTACCATCAGATCTAGTATAATATAGGTTGTTATTGTTTTCATCAAAAGCATAACTTATAATAGAAGATGCTCTATGTATAATCTAAAAATAGCTATTTTGAATAGAAAACTCATATTCCCAAAATTTTACTGTTTAATCATTCGAAAATGAAATAATCTAAAATAATTTATAAATTTTCTGTATTTAAAAATATTTAAAGAATTAAAATATACCTAAAATGAGTTCTAATTTAGTATAAAAGAATTTATGACATCTTTATGCTAATCAAAAACTTGAATAACATTCAGTAAAGGAAATTAAAGTAAAACTATTCTAAAATTAGAATCTGAAATAATTAAAATTTAATTATCCTTTAATTTAATAAATAATATAATTAATTTATAAATTAAAAAAATTTAAAATAAAATACTTACTAAATCTAAATAGCCATATTAAATTTAAGCTATGTTTTTATATTAAAATAGTGGTATTTGAGCATTTTAAGAATTATATGGCCATATTTATACTTTATTATCTAATCCCATGCTCACAAACCTTTAATTAATAGGATCTAGAGCTATAGATTATACTTAACCCTATTATAAAAATAGAAAGTAAGTAAGTAAGTAAGTACAGATTAAATAATGTTAAAAGAAATTATTACTTGATGAATAGGATACTGTTTTCTAAAAATGTAGCTTTAGGAAGTAATATTGTAATTCCAAAGATACCCATCTTAGTCAAAAGTAAGTATACATTAATTATGCTTGTCATATGCCCCATCATTTCCTTGTAAAACTTAAATAATGTGAACTTATTAATCTATGCTACTTAGTTAAATTAATAATGGAAACCAATCTAACTTTTTTAATTATTGATAAAATAAATTACTTATTGTTTTTTTAATTTATTATTTAAACATAATAACATTTAATTTAAAATTTTATATAATTTTCTATTTATAAGGCTTATTAATTGAAGTAAATACTATATTATTTTTTTATTCATTAAATCATAATTAATCATCTAGTTTTGATTTATTTTTTAAAATAATAAAAAAATTAAATTAAACTTAAAGCTCATAATAATAAATATATGAATAAGTGAAGTAACTTCTAACAAACAAATCATAATGATCTTATTTATTTTTTTCAAATATAATTAAAATTGAAATCAGATAAAATAAAAAATAAGTATAACTTATTAGTTCGAAAAATATAACTTCATGTTCTTAAAGAGCAAGGTTTTTTATAAGAGTTTATTAATAAATAAAAAAAATCATATTCCCAACAAATGTGTGCTTTCTTCCATTTAAAAATTGCAAAACTGTAAGCATTATTTAATTTAACCCTTATGTAAGTCACAGAAGTTATAATGGAAATTCGATAACATATGATTTAGCTCAAAAATATAGCTGTTCTTTCATTTGAAATATCACCAACCATGATATCTGTGATTTTTCATGTAATTATTATATCATTATAGGCAAAAATTTTTTTGTTCAACAGCATAATTATTTTCTTTATATTTTATATTGCTGTTCCTGCATTTTAACTATCACTAATCGTAATATCTAGATTTGTGATATTTCAAATTTAGTTAAAAAATATTTTAAAATTGGATATTTAAGAGGGTTAGAAAAAAGGAGTTTTTAAAGTATTTTTTAAATAAAATCAAGTTTAAAAATTTACTCCAAATAACATTAAAAAGTTATTTGCTTAATCAATTATAATTCTAGTGACAGTGTAAATCTACAGCAAATATTAATAATCTTTAAGCAAATAGAAATGTTTAATTGATTTATCGTTCTTCCATACATAAATACTCCCTCCTCCGCAACCTGAGATTATTCTGTTATTTTCTACGTCTACAGCAAAAGTACTAATAATTTGGCAATCAATAGGATCATGCTAAAGTAATTATATGAATTTTAATTTTGGATAACTATGAACAGCTATAGTGTTATCTATTGAAGAAGTCACAATAATATTCCATTCATAAATAATATTTAATTGATTTATTTATTGGAGATGCTTTTTAAAAAACAAATAATTAATATAAAATTAAGAATGAATAGGTACATGAAAAATAAAATAAAATTACTTCAAATTATGATACTAAAATCAGATTATACTTTTAAAGATCATACTAATAAACTTTATTAGTATAAATAAATATGCTATTTGTTTACTAATCTATAACTCCTCCTTAAGTTTTCTCTACAAATTAAATTTGATTCATTAATTTTTTCTAAGTGTAATCAATAAAATAAATCATAAGTCCTGAACCATAAATAATTTTTTTATAAGAAGTGTTTATCTAAAATGTAGAAAGTGTAATTTAACTAGTCGCCATCCAATCACAAACCTATAAATAAACAAAATATTGGTAGTGAGTTATTAAAGGAATTTAATTTACTTGTTAAAGAGATGAGTAATCGTAACTAAAGATTTGGTTGGTAGAAAGCAAAATAATTAATAATTTTTCCTCTTCATCAATTTAGATTGAGGAAACAGTAGAACTAAATTAATCAAGTTATTCATTTTTTAAAAAAATTTAAGATTAAACATCAATAAAAATAAGTTAGTTTCCATCAGAGACAACTAAGAGTAATTTTTCATCAAGCAATAGTATACACTAGTTTGGTATTGTAAATGCAAAATTAATTATTTTTAAATCATTTGTCTATTTGTTAATTAGGATAATTTCGTTTGGAAAAGCCATTAAAATAACCAAATATTAATTTCCAAAGCAAACATTTTAAGATACTTAATTTTACTTTTACATAAATTATATACTTTTTATATTTATGTTTTAAGGATTCTCTATAATTGCAATCTATTTATAAAAATAAAATGTTTCTAATTTTTAACAAAAAATTAATATTTAAGTAAAATTTACTTAGAGAGTACCAACTACATTAAAAAGGATCAATGAGTTTGAAAAAGTATCAAAGTATGTTTAATTAGAATTATAATTTTGTAAATTTAAAGTATTTATTTAAATTTAGTGATTACTATCCTATCCTTTTGTGAGCATTTGTATCAAATTTTAATACACAATAATTAGTCCATATTGACTTTAAAAAACTTATACAGTATAATTGGTAATTGGCGAATCGTAGAGTAGATTAAATTATTTAGAATTAAAAACAAATAATTTTAAGCTTAAATCAATCACTAAAATAATTTCTAAATCGTTGTCAAAATATACTTAGCTAACTTTGAAATCATTATCAAAATTTAGAGTTTGTAAAAAAGTTCCATCAAGATACGTTGTTATTACTAAATAATTTTAAGGAGACCAAATAGGCCAAATATATATTTAGTCACCTTACTATTTTATAAAATGAATTTATTTTTAGGATTTTTAATAAAAAACCAAACCTTGTTGAATTATAATCTACTTTAAGTTGAGAGATTATAGTACTAAGTCAGATATTCACCCTTCGGAAAGCTAAAGTACCCTAATTTCCCCTAATTCTCAATCATATAAATTCTAAGTAACTCATCATCAAAGTAAAGACCTTCTACTTATTCCATTGGAACATCGTTTGTATAGAAGCAGCTTGTATGCCTTTTTATTTGCCCACTTGTTATATCTATAAATACCATTCCACTAGATGTTAGAGTTTTTAATATGGAACCTTCAAAAATAGCATTAGGAGTAACTCCAAAAAGTAATCTTATTGATCATTAAATTAAATTTAGAAAACTATTTATAAAAAATGTAATTTTACTATGAGCCTAAGCATTTGTTAAGTTGTATAACTCTATTTTCGTTTACTACCACAGTTATCATTGTTTAATTTCCATAAAATACTGTGAAATCATCTCCTACAATTAGTTTAGTGTAATTTATCAATTTTAAATCTTGAAGACGTAGAGCATTAAGATTATCATACACATGATAATCATTATAATCCATCGATTATGTAGCAGGATTTATAAACTAAGAACCAAAATAAATCATTGAATTATTTCCACATACTATCAAAGACCCATCATTTAAAAATCCATAGTCATTAATCAAATTTGGAGAGAAAAAAAGTAAATTGGTTGAATTAAAACTTTAATCCAAAGAAAAAATAGAATATCCACTTATATTATAACTTATGAATGTTAATCCTTAGCTTTATTAGAATTTCAAACGAGTAATATTTCCTAATTAAAATTATAATGTATTTTAAATTTCAAAATTAGTTTAGCTTATCATGTAAATCTTATTATTAGATGAAAGAACATATATGTAGTCTTAACTAAAATCACTTTCGCATTGAATTCCATCAGAATCTAATTATAATTAAGAAGATTATTCAACCGAGCGAAGGTAGACCTTTTAAATTTGCAAAAAAATTTTGTAAAAAATTCTTTATACATTTAAAATTATAATAATTGAAATAATCAGTAATTAATTTCAAAACGAAAGCAAATTAAAAAGTAGAAATAAATAACTTCATTAAAAAAAGAAAATTATCTTTGATTTTTAATTTAATAAAAGAGGAAAAATAAAATATATTTTACATAGTTATCTTTAGGGTAGTACAAAATATTATTTTTAATGTTGTAACAAACTTAAACTTATTACTATTAACTATCTACCAATTCATAGTTAAATTTAATAGCTGTACTATCCTATTGATAGAGACTTGATTAATATACATTATAATTGGTATCTATTATGTATATGAAAGTTTGTGGTAAAGATGGATCAGAAATGTTGATTTGCTTATCAGTAAAAATAGAATGAATTTGAATTTTTTGATCTGAAAAATATGAAGTTGAATAAAAAAGACTAGCATCTGTAAGATTCCACACTCCAAGCAATCCTTAACTTCCATAATCTACCATTAGCAACTCATATTTATCTTTATTTTTAAAGAATAATTATTCTCCTCCTAAAACATTCTAATCTCCTATTTATCCTTAACAACTAGTAGAGGAATAGCCTAAATCAATGTCAAAAGGGCAAATATCTTAAAATGAGATTTTAATTAAATTTAGACAAGTTAATATTATTAAAAGCTTATCCATTTTTACAAAATAGTTATTTATTTATCCTTTTATAATATTGATTTTGAAAAATTAACTTATATTAATTTTTTTTATTAAACATTTAAATTTTACGTTAATACTACATTTCAACTCATAAAATATGTTTATTTGACAAATAAAAAATATTGACTTTTAATAATAAATAATATAAAAAGGAAACAATAGTGAGTTGTGATCTTGAGACCTAATGAAAAATAATTTTCCAAATAATTATTTACTTTTTTAGAAATTAGCAAATATTTCTCTTAATTTATAAAAATATATTTATTTAAATAAATATCTATCTTTTTTAACCATAGAAAAAAAATAAATACTGTAGAATACCCTTTAAGTCGCAAATTAGAAAATAAATAATTTTGCTATTTAATAGAAAATTTTAAAAATAATTTCAAATCTAAAAATATTTTTGAAAGCCATTCATATTAATATTTTTAATACTTATATAAAATTCAAAACAAAAAAAATACAACCTACCAATAAAATAAACATAATAAAATAAAAATAGGTGTTAAGATATATGCAATTGTCAGCTATTAACATGAAGTAGGATTTAATAATTAAATTATATCCTTCAAACTTTGGTAATCTAAATATATATTAATAAATTTTAGTGATACTAAGATTAATTAAATTTTATTTTTATTTAATCTCTTTTGATCATTCTTTCTATTTGATATTATGTAATTGAATAAATATTAATTTAACAATTAAAATATTGTTACTTCATCATATTAAAGAGTTTGATTTTTCTAAGCATAAGATTAATCATTAATGATTGAATCTAATTCTTAGTCATTCGTTTTATAATATCTGTACTCTATTTAGCTACTCAGCTCCGTAAACTAATCATGATTGATATTTTTTACATTACCTTTAAATAATAAATTTTGAAATTTGCTTAGTTTTACAAAAAAATTACTTCTTGTTTAAAAATTATATTTAGTTTAGCAGTTATTTTATTAATTCGCCTGATACTCACTAAAATTTTCACTAGTTTATGAATCAATATCTATTTCATTTTTGTTTTGTTATTCAGAAAGCTTTATATTGAGATATGGACTTTATGAAAAGCTAAAAATAAAATTTTATTTTGTAGTTTATCTTTCTGAATTAAATGGAACTAAAAATTTTTTTGGAGAAGTTTAATTTGGAATTAATTCTTAGCTGCTCTATTTTAAAATACCCTTTTTATTCATCCTTTTAGAAAGAAGCGCTTTTCTGGTAGAATATGCTTAATTGTCAGTCTCTCTCAAGCTATTTTCATGATTAGGTCTAACATTTGAAAAGAAAGGAGCATTTATGTCTTTTTTTTTTCTCTAAATATAATCTTAAATGTAAAGTCTAAGAAGTTAAAAATTGTTGAATTTTTTAAATGAATTGTCTTCTGTGAAATAGATTAATAAATAAAGAGAGTTCATATGTTATTTTAAGTATTTTTTGAAGAGTTTAAAACAATTTTAATCGCTTTGCAAGCATCTTTTTAGAATTAATACAAATCTATTTTTTTTTAACAAATGATAATTAAGCCTAATTAAGATATCTAAGTAAATTAAGAAGATTTTTAAAAATGCTGCTGCTTGCAAAATATAAGCAATAATAGTACCAAGGTATAAAAGAATATCTTATTCTATAGCATTCAGCAGTATATATAATATTATGAGCAAACAACAAATTTAAGAAAAAAATAAATCTATTTTATAGTATTTAACCTTTTAGTATGGCTATTTTAAAAAAAATTAAATTTAGTTATTCAGATAAAAAAGTAATCTTACTTTATATTTTTGCAAGAGCAGAAGATAGCAGTAGAGTATAATTAGCATCATAGATGCTTTACTAAGTATATCGGAATCAAAATATATAACTAAAAATACTAAGAGCAGTCTTAAATTCATTGCTAAAAACTCCCACAAATAAAATTTTTATCTATACCCACAAATTAGGAAACCATACTTATTAAAAAAATAAAATAATAAATAAATGATAATAAAATTTATCGTAACTTCCTACTTACTATACAGAGCCAAAATTCAAAATTTTACTAATTTTTTTTACCTCGACTTTGTATAGTCAATAATTCAAAAATAACTATTGTTAAAAGGGTAATTAAGAAGCTACGGTAGTTTATTTTAAGAATATAAATACCTTTTTAATTAATTCAAATTGATGTGAAAATTTATCAAAATGCTATGATTTACTCCATATTTTATAAATCAATATTCCTGGTACTAAAACTATCCATAAAAATGTCATTGGCATTATCATAGATGTTATCAAAATCACATGATTGGTTGAATAGCACTTTTCTAATAAGTAATAATTCATAAACGACTTCATACCTATCTTTTTGCAAGTAAAAGTCTAAACCAAAGACTCAAAGGAGCTTTACTACAAGAAAAAGAATAGGAATACGAAGCAAATGACAGTAGAGTCTTTCTAGAAAGAAATTGAATATATTTACTTTAAAAAAATTATTTAGATATAAAATTTTACCTTGAATTCATAATAAAAAGAGTTCTTATCTTGTATAGAAAAATAGTTTATTACTTTAATTATCGAAATATAGAATAAAAACCCTAAGGGAATAACTATTAAAGGAAAAGCTATAAAAAATAGTACCCTGTAATAATATACTGGTAAGATAGTACTAAATTTTCTTATAATACAATCTAACAAATTTTAATTTGAACTTACGGGAGAAAATATTGAGATTATTTGAAAATTAAATATTGGTTTTGGACTAATACTAGAAATACTGATAAATATTTAAAGGTATCTAATCATTAATCTGCTATAAAAATTTTCTTCGCCTATTTAACCCGAATTACCTAATCTTATTAGTCCTAGCCTATCAATAATCAAAACCTTAGCCATCATATTTAAATTAATTTTAGTTTAGTAAAATAAATATGTCAAATATAACAATGTAATGAAACATATTAAAATCTATTCAGCTATTTACTTTATTTCTGATTAGCATTTATAGCAATTAACATCTAATCCACTTCTTCCATAAGAATTATTCCAAAATTATCCTAATATATCACAAGTCTAGCATAAAGGTCCTATGAAACTTTTGTTTTTTATCAATTAAATATATTTAAAACTAAAATAATTTTTGAGAATAAATTACCCTTCTGAGCAATAATTAGTATCTTCTTATCCGTTACAAAAGTTTTATGATTTAGTAGTACAAGATATTATTTCATCATTGAATTTATCAGATCTCCAAAATCCTTATTTTAAATTTATTTAGCTTCCTTAACAAGAAATAGTTGATGAGTAATCACAAGGCTTGCATTACATATTACTAGTATTTGATTTTGGATCTTCAATTGAATATGTACCATTTTAACATGTAAAACAGTTTTCTAATGAACAAGATGTGCAAGCTGATTATATTATTTCTCCTATTTAACAATTTCTAAAGTTGTAATCAATATAAATAGTTAAAGTATCAGTAAACCCTTGTGTTTAATTAGAATATAAGTGGAATCCTTTAAATTACAAAACTGCTCTCCCTCTTTTACCTAATTACCCTTATTGTTTATAAAATATATTAAAAATCAAGTCAAGTTTTTTACTATTGATATTTTAATATAGCAAAATACACCATAAATCCTCTTTAATTTTATCCATTTTTCCTAAATTAAAAAAAATTTTGACTTGTTGATAAAAGCAAAATATTGGATTTGAATAAAAATTAAAAGGCATTTGTTTTTAATAAAAACACAGGTATATGATAAATTTTGATAAACATAAATAAAAAAAGCAGGAAGGCTACTTAGCATTCAATTTTTCAATACCTGGATTAGCAATATTATATATTTATTAAATGTTTACGTAAATAATATTATATCGCCGTCATATTTGAAAAATTTTTAAATCAAAAAATGTAGATTATATATTTTAATAAAAAATAATTAATTAAATATAATTTTTCTGCACTTTGCTCATTTTGTGCATTCATCATCTTTTTCTTATAAAGATAATATTGAGATTTGTGAGAATTGATGAGGATTTAAGGTTTTATTAAAAAATTACCTGATACTTAGTACTAATTTAAAAGAAATTCATCAAACTCAAAAGGTTGAATAGTTGCACCCTATAATTTCAAATCAATTTATCTTAAATCTTGAATATTATTTAGCAAATATAGCTCCTATAGCTCAACGTAATATTATGAAAATTCTTACAATATTCTATCAGGAATGTTTTTTTTACTCTAGAATTTAACTTAATTTCCTTCTTCGTCTAAGATGTTTATTTTCAAAATATTATTTTATGTTCCACTTTATACATCTTTAAATATATATATTGATCCATTTTGTAATGACTGGTTATTAATTTTAGCACTTTATGGAAAAGAACAAAAATTATTACCATAGAATTAACCATAATTATCTATGCAATTATTTTAATAAGTGGTACCACATGAATCTTTAACTAAGTCACTAGTATTTTTTTTAAGGAATAAGGGTATAAAAGTCAAATATCTAGCTATTCCTCCAATTAAAGCTTTGTTTCTTTCAAAAGTACTATTCAAAATTTAGATATTTGAGTCATTAAGCAAAAAAGCTCCTCCACTTTCTCTAGCTGTGTTATTTGTAAAAGTTACATTATTTAGCAGGCAATCACACATATCAACAAAATATAGTGATCCTCCATCTATATTTAAAATAATAAATATTTAATTGTTAAAAATATTGTAAATAATTACTTTAAGCTTCATTATCTATAAATTAACTATTTTATATTTTAACAAGAGAAGCATCAAAATAAAAGACACCTCCTCCATATTATGTAGAATAAAGTTTATTTGAAATAAAATAAGATTAATCTACAATTACTTAGCTTTAGGTAATTACAATTGGTGAAACATTTTATAATTAATTCTCTTCTAGTGTAAAATTTGCTATTAAAAGCTAGTTTGAATTAAATTTTATTAAACCGACAGATGAGTTACTTAATTAACTTTTCATAAATGTGCTTAGAAGATTAATAGAGGAAGAATTAGTATATATCATATAGCTATCTGGAATTAAGTACTTATTTTACTTTATTTCACTAAATGACATTCCAAAGTAACTATCTTATACTTCCAAATTATAAACTAAAGAGTTTTGAGATGATTATAAAAATTAATGGCCATCAATTATTGCTAGATTTAAATTATTATTAAACTTTAAATAGCTAATAATAATATTTGTAGATATTACAGTCTACAAAAAGAATGATAGCTAAGTGCTAATATTATCAAAAATATCATTTTATTCTATAGTAATTTTATGCATGTGCTAAATTAAAAAGAAATTAGTCAAATTAATTTTGTTATTTACAATCTTATTATTTCTAAATATAAATTCTGAATCATAATTAAAATCAACAGTGTTGTTAAAAGTAAGAAATTGTTTTGTTTTTATATTATTATCAGCAAAGTAGCTCTGTTCTATAATAATATATTATGTGTTTTAAATAATTAAGGAACTTTCAATATTTTGATTAGTTATATTGACATTATTAAAACTAAATTAGTACAGATTTTAAGCATTTAAAGATTTATTGTTAAAGATTATTTAACATGAAATAAATTATAATTAAAATAATTAAACATTTCCTCTTTAATATTGCTGCTATTGGTCTTCATCTTATAAATAAATTATCAAATTTTATAAATATATTTCTACTAACGTTTATGAGTTGATTAACTAATTTAAATTAATAATTCCTTTAACATAATTCTATTTATTAGCTCCATTTATTGTAAGGATAACTTGCAAATTTGAATTTGAATCTACTATTGGAAATCCTTAGAACTTAAAATTTTCATTCATATTTAATTAAATGTAATGTTTCTATTAATAACCATCATAAAACCAAATATTTTCCTTCAAATTCTAAAATTACTAAAGCCGTTTATGTAACTAAAAATAATCAGCATCATTAGTACTATATTAGCAATTTCTTTGACCTTTGATATCTGTCATCATATAATTGATACCATAATAATTATATGAAAGAACACTTATTATATAATCAAATTCTACTTCTTCAACTTTTAAATAAATATTTTCATAAAATTAGTTTCTATTTAAGAATTATTATATGACTTTCAATTATATTTACTCAGTATCTTCGCTAGAACCAATTACAAAAAATGTTTACCCAAATTACACAAAAATTTATCTATTTTTAAGAAGAGTAACTTTCCTCTTCATAAAATTGGTCTCCACTAGAAAATTTCTCTGATAGAAATTTATTTATTTAAATGTTTAATAATCATATAGAATATAGTAGAAATCAGAACTCACTAAAATCAATTAGTATTCTGGTTTAAGTATAATTTACTAATATGCCTACCAGCGAGATGCTGTTTAAATAAGCTATAATAAAGTAAATGAATCTTAATCATCATTTTTATAGATTATGCAATAGTTGAAATTTTGTAAGTTTACTAAAATATAATCAGAATTTACAATAACTTAAAAAATAGGATATCCTAAATGAGTTTATCTTTAAACTTTAACATTATTGTTTTCGACTAGGTATTAAACTAATTAACTATCAAAAGAGTAACTAAAAATTATTTACTCTGTATATATTATCAAATCTATTATAGCTAGTTGATGAATTAGTGGAAATGACTTTGTTATCAAACCTGTTGAACTTTCTACAAAAGCAATAGAGTGGTTGACAAATATAATTATAAATTCAGTTGATTGTAAAATACCGATGAAAAACTTATATAACGGCTTATTTAATTACTACTAATATAATTTTTAAAAATTATATTTATTGTCATTCTAAATAATTTAATAAGAAGTAATTTATTTATTATATCCGCATATAATTATATCTTATTTGTTAACACTGTGAGAGCACTCTACTTAAATTTTTTGAATTAGCTCTAAATTTTTTTTGTAGATTAAATTAATCTACTTTGTTGTGGCTAAAACAAAAATATCTTAGTTTATTAAATATATAGTATTATTACATCTATCATTAAATTATAAAATAGGTCCATTTATTGCTTGTTAATCCGTTAAAAACCACTTTTAAATATTACCATCAGATCTAGTATAATATAGGCTATTATTGTCTTCATCAAAAGCGTAACTTATAATAGAAGATGATCTATGAATAATCTAAAAATAACTACTTTGAAAAGAAAACTCGTATTCCCAAAATTTTACTGTTTAATCATTCGAAAATGAAATAATCTAAAATAATTTATAAAAAATTTTCTGTATTTTAAAATATTTTAAAATAAAAATATACCTAAAATGAGTTCTAATTTAGTATAAAAGAATTTATGACATCTGTATGCTAGTCAAAAACTTGAATAACATTCAATAAAGGATATGAAAGTAAAACTATTCTAAAATTAGAATCTGAAATAATCAAAATTGAATTATCCTTTTATTTAATAAAAATAATAAAATTAATTTTTAAAACAATCAAATTTCAAATAAAATGTTTACCATATCTATATAGCCATATTAAATTTAAGCTATGTTTGTATATTAATAAAATGGTTCTTAAAAATCATTAGAATAATATGGCCATATTTATACTGTGTTATCTAATCCCGTGCTCACAAACAATAAACTAAGAGGATCTAGAGCTATTGTTTTTACTTAACCCTATTATAAAAAAAATAAGTAAGGATAGATTAAAATAATGTTAAAATAAATTATTACTTGATGAATAGGATACTGTTTTCTAAAAATATAGCTTTAAGAAGTGAGGCTGTAATTCCAAACATAACCATCTTAGTCAAAAGTAAGTATACATTAATTATTCTTGTCATATACCCCATCGTTTCCTTGCAAAACCTAAATAATGTCAACTTACTAATCTATACTACCTAGTTAAACTAATAATGGAAACGAATCTACCTTTTTTAATTGTTGATAAATAATAATTAATTATTTTTTTTAATTTATTTTTTAGACTTAATAATATTTTATTTAAAAGTTCATATAATTTTCTTTTTAAAAAGCCTATTAATTAAATTAAATACTGTAATTATTTTTTAATTCAATTAATTTATAATTAATCATCTAGAGAGAATTATAATTAACTTTTAAGTTAAAATACAAATAAATATTTAAGAAGGTTAGAAAAAATGAGATTTTAAAGTATTAAAAAAATAAAGTCAAATTTAAAAATTTACTCCTATTAGTATTAATAAGTTGTTTGTTTAATCAATTATTATTTGAGTAATAGGGTAAATCTACAAATATTAATAATCTTTAAGTAAATAAAAATTATTAATTGAAATATTGTTCTTCCATACATAAATACTCCCAGCTCCACAACCTGAGATTATTCTGTTGTTTTCTACATCTACAGTAAATGTGCTAATATTTTGACAATCAATAGGATCATGTTAAAGTAATTATATGAAATTTAATTCTGGATAACTATGTATAGCTATAGTATTATCTAATGAAGAAGTCATAATAATATTCCATTCATAAATAATATTTAATTGATTTATTTATTGAAGATGCTTATTAAAAAATAAATAATTAATATAAAATTATGAATAGGCACATGAAAAAGAAAAATTACTTCAAATTATGACGCCAAAATCAGATTATACTTTTAAAGACCATACTTATAAACTTTAGTAGTATAAATAAATATACTTTTTGTTTACTAATCTATAACTCCTCCTTAAGTTTTCTCTAAAAATTAAATTTGTTTCATTAATTTTTTCTAAGTGTAATCAATAAAATAAATCATAAGTCCTGAACTGTATAAAATTTTTTTATAAGAAGTGCTTATCTAAAACGTAGAAAGTGTAATTTAACTAGTCGCCTTCCAATCACAAACCTATTTATAAGCAAAATATTGTAAGTGTGTAATTAATGGGATTGAAATTACTTATTGTAGAGATAAGTAATCGTAACTAATAATTTGGTTTGTAGAAAGCAAAATAATTAATAAGTTTTCCTCTTTATCAATTTATATAGATGAAACTGTAGAGCTTAATTAATCAAGTTATTCATTTTTTAAAAAAACTTAAGATTAAGCATCAATAAAAACAAGTTAGTTTCCATTAGGGACAACTAAGAGTAATTCTTCATCCAGTAGTAGTAAACACTAGTTTGGTATAACAAATGCAAAATTAATTATTTTTAAATCATTTGTCTATTTGTTAATTAATATAATTTCGTTTGGAGAAGCCATTAAAATAACCAAATATTTATTTCCAAAGCAAATATTTTAAGATACTTAATTTTACTTTTATAGGAATGATAAACTTTTTATATTTATATTTTAAGGATTCTCTATAATTGCAATCTATTTGTATAATAATTTTTTAAGTAAAATATTTGAAATTTTGTACAAAAATTAATATTTAAGTAAAGATTACTTATAAAGTCCCAACTACATTAAAAAGTATCAATGAGTTTGAAAAAGTATCAAAGTATATTTAATTAGACACATAATTTTGTAAATTTAAAGTATTTATTTAAATTTGGTGACTATCCTATCCTTTAGTGAGCATTTATATCAAATTCTAGTACACAATAATTGGTCCATATTGACTTTAAAAAAATTATACAGTCTAATTGGTAATTGGAGAATCGTAGAGTAGATTAAATTATTTAGAATTGAAAACTTATAATTTTTATCTTTAATCAATAACTAAAATAATCTCTAAATTGTTGTCAAAATATACTTAGCTAACTTTGAAATCATTATCAAAATTTAGAATTTGTAAAAAAGTTCCATCAAGATATGTTGTTATTACTAAATAATTTTAAGGAGTCTAAAATGGCCAAATATATATTTAATCTCCTTACTATTTTAAAAAATGAATTGATTATTAGGATTTTGAATTAAAAATGTTACCTTGTTAAATTATAATCTACTTTAAGTTGAGAGATTATAGTACTAAGTCAGATATTCACCCTTCGGAAAGCTAAAATATCCTAATTTCCCCTAATTCTCAATCATATAAATTCTAAGTAATTCATCATCAAAGTAAAGACCTTCAACTTATTCTGCTGGTATATCATTTATCTAGAAGCAGCTTGTATGCCTTTTTATATGCCCATTTGTTATATCTATAAATAACATGCCACTAGATGTTAACGTTTTTAATATGGAACCTTCAAAAATAGCATTAGGAGTAACTCCTAAAAGTAATCTTTTTGGTAATTAAATTGAATTTAGATAGATGTTAACAAAAAATTTAATTTTACTATGAACCTAAGCATTTGTTAAGTTGTATAACTCTATTTTCGTTTACTACAACAGTTATCATTGTTTAATTTCCATAAAATACTGTGAAATCATCTCCTACAATTAGTTTAGTGTAATTTATCAATTTTAAATCTTGCAGAAGTAGAGCATTAAGACTATCATACACATGATAGTCATTATAATCCATAGATTATGTAGCAGGATTTATAAAATAAGAACCAAAATAAATCATTGAATTATTTCCACATACTATCAAAGACCTATCATTTAAAAATCCATAGTCATTAATTTAATTTGGAGAGAAAAAAAGTAAATTTGTTTAATTAAAATTTTAATTCAAAGAGAAAATGGAATATCCACTTATATTATAACTTATGAATGTTAATCCTTAACTTTATTAGAATTTCAAATGAGTTATATTTCCTAATTGAAATGATAATGTATTTAAAATTTCAAAATTAGTTTAGCTAATTTTGTAAATGTTATTCTTAGATGAAAGAACATATATGTAGTCTTGACTAAAATCACTTTCACAATGAATTACTTCAGAATCTAATTTTATTTAAGAAAATTATTCAATAGAGCTTAGGAAGACCTTTTAAATATACAAAAAACTTTAGTAAAAAAAAACTAATTACATTTAAAATTATAATCATTTGAAAACTCAATAAACAATTTTAAAAAGAAAGAAAATTAATAAGTAGAGATAAATAACTTCATTAAAAAGAGAAAAACAATTATTGATTTTGAATTTAATTTAATAAAAGAGGAAAAGCAAAAATATATTTTACATAGTTATCTAAAGGGAAGTACAAACTACCATTTTTAATGTTGAAGCAAACTTAAATTTTTTTCTATTAGTTATCTACCTTTATATTGCTAAATTTAATAGCCATACTATTCTATTGATAGAGACTTTATTAATACACATTAAAATTGATATCTATTATATATATGAAAGTTTCTGATAAAGATGGATCAGAAATGTTGATTTGCTTATCAGTAAAAATAGAATGAATTTGAATATTTTGATCAGAATAATATGAAGTTGAATAAAAAAGACTAGCATCTGTAAGATTCCATACTCCAAGCAATCCTAAGCTTCCATAATCTACCATTAGCAATTCATATTTATCTTAATTTTTAAAGTACAGTAATTCTCCTCCTAAAATATTCTAATCTCCTATTTATCCTTAACAATTAGATGAGGAATAACCTAAATGAATATCAAAAGGACAAATATTTTAAAATGACATTTTTATTAAATTTAGACTAGCTAATATTATTAAAAGCTTATCCATTTTTACAAAATAGTTAACTATTTATTTATTTATTATCTATTTCTTATATTGATTTTGAAAAACTAATTTAAATTATATACATAAACTAATCAGTTAAATTTTACGTTTATTGTATTATTCTTTTTCCTTTAACAAATATGCATCATATATATTTTACATTACTAATTTATTTAATTTTATATTTATATTTATAATCTGATTTTGCTTTTTTGCCTGTCTTCCTTCTTGTCAGAATGTTTATCTTAGTTTCAATCTATGATTTTACTTCGTTTTCCTATTTTGATATTTAATTTAAATTTCATAAAGTAGTGTTTTTCTCTTCTTCTGCAAAATTTTTTGATTTTTAATGAACCTTCTTGTTTGTTCTCTTTTTCATTCCTAAATATTTCTTTGCAAATATCTATAATAAAGGGAAATTAATTCTTTCTGCTTAGAATTTTAAATTTTTTTCTAATTTATTTTTATAATATTGGGTCGAAAAAGGCCCAGTTTCTTTTTGGTTTTATTTATGAGGTTTTGTTTGATTTTTTTATATAGTAAAAGTCAATCTTTTTGATTAAGTATTTATTTTGGCCAATTCTTGTTAAACACCTTACATCCTATCATGTTAAATGTACACTATTACCCTAACATGATATTTTTACACCTTATGTGCTGGTACATCATTTGTATAGAAGCAGTTTGTTTGCCTTTTTATTTGTCCATTTGTTATATCTATAAATATTATTCCACTAGATGTTAGAGTTTTTAATATGGAACCTTCAAAAATAGCATTAGGAGTAACTCCTAAAAGTAATCTTATTGGTAATTAAATTGAATTTGGAAAGATCTTTATAAAAAATGTAATTTTTACTAGGAGCCTAAACATTTGTTAATTTATAAAACTCTATTTTCAATTATTACAACGGTTATCATTGTTTAATTTCCATAAAATACTGTGAAATCATCTCTTACAATTAGTTTAGTAAAAATTTATCAATTTTAAATCTTGCAGAAGTAGAGCATTAAGACTATCATACACATGATAGTCATTATAATCCATCAATTATGTAGCAGGATTTTTGAACTAAGAACCAAAAAAAATCATTGAATTATTTCCACATACTACCAAAGAACCATCTTTTAAAAATCCATAATCATTAATTTAATTTAGAGAAAAAAAGAAGTAAATTTGGTTAATTAAAATTTTAGTTCAAAGAGAAAATGGAATATCTGCTTATATTATAACTTATGAATGTTAATCCTTAACTTTATTAGAATTTCAAATGAGTAACATTTCCTAATTGAAATTATAATGTATTTTAAATTTCAAAATTAGTTTAGCTTATCTTGTAAATGTTATTATTAGATGAAAGAACATATATGTAGTCTTAACTTAAATCACTTTCTCATTGAATTACTTCAGAATCTAATTATATATAAGAATATTATTCAATCGAGCTAAGGTAGACCTTTTAAATTTGCAAAAAAATTTGTAAAAAAATATATTTACTTTTAAAATAATAATAATTGGAATACTCAATAATTAATTTAAAACGAAAGCAAATTAATAAGTAGAAATAACTTCATTAATTAAAAAGAGAAAATTAATCATAAATTTTTGAATTTAATTTAATAAAACAGAAAAATAAAATATATTTTACATAGTTATCTTAAGGGTAGTACAAAATATTATTTTTAATGTTGTAACAAACTTAAATTTATTACTTTTAACTATCTACCAATTCATAGTTAAATTTAATAGCTGTACTATTCTATTGATAGAGACTTTATTTATATGCATTAAAATTGATATCTACTATGTCTATGAAAGTCTTTGGTAAAGATGGATCAGAAATGTTGATTTACTTATCAGTAAAAATAGAACGAATTTGAATTTTTTTATCAGAAAAATATGAAGTTAAATAAAAAAGACTAGCATCTGTAAGATTCCAAACTTCAAGCAATCCTTAACTTCCATAATCAACCATTAGCTACTCATATTTATCTTAATTTTTAAAGAATAATAATTCTCCTCCTAAAACATTTTAATATCCTATTTATCCTTAACAATTAGTAGAAGAATAGCCTAAATTAATGTCAAAAGGGTAAATATTTTAAAATGAAATTTTTATTAAATTAAGACAAATTAATATTATTAAAAGCTTTTCTATTTTAATAAAATATTTATTTATTTATTTATTATCTTTTTCTTATATTGATTTTGAAAAACTTACTTATATTAAATATATATTAATCATTTAAATTTTATGTTTATTTATTTGGTATCAACTTGCAAAATATGTTTACTTGACTAATAAAATATCTTGACTTTAAATAATATATAATATAAAAAGGGAACTCTAGTGAACTGTGATCTTTAGGATTTATCAAAACAATAATTTTTCAAATAATTAATTATTTACTTTTTTACTTATTTTTTTTAAATTTTAAAATTGAAAAAAATTTAATTAAAGCAGTTAATTTAAAATTATATGGTATATAAGTTAAAAATCTAAGTTTTTATTGGATTATTTTTTAAGATAAAATTTATTAAGAGATTTGATATAGATATTGATTGTTTTAAAATAAGGTGTGTCAGTAACAAATAATTAATACATGAAAATTAAAATTAATTATAAAAGAATGGACTAATTATAAAGCATCTCTTAGATTTTAAATAGGATCTTCTTAATGAAATAGAGAAGATTAAAAATTTATCACAAATATATATTTCAAAGTAAATTAAAAAAAAGAAATTGATGTTGAACAATAAATTATTTTTAAAAATTCAATAAATTGTCACAATCCTAAAAGGTTGTAATAGGAAAAGAGGTATTTGTTTAAAGAAATAACTGCTACATTGCTAAAAAATATTAAATTAACCAAAAAACTGTTAGAAACTACAAAAACTAATATTTTAGTACTTCAAGTGAAATAAAAAAAATAATAATCAAAAAAAGGTAAAGAAATCCATAGTATTACATTTGCCATGATTCATGTTTTACAGCATCTTCAGGTTGGTTTCAGAATTTTAAATATCATTGGAAAATTTCCTTAAGAACATCTACACATATCATTGTAAATAAAGGTGCAGTGAACAAATAGTTTTGAAATATAACTATTTTTATAGCAAGTTTAAGATTATCGCATTTAAATTAGTTGTTTACAGAAATAGCTAATTATTTTTAATAAAGATGAAACTCTTTTATAATTAGATTTAGCTAGTAAAACCTTTAATAGTTAAGGAGAAAAGGATATATAAATAAAAGGGATTTCAAATTTTAAATAAGATACACTCTCACATTAATGATTAATAATCTAGGTTAAATGTTTCCTCCCTAAATAAATAAGTAAAAATTTAATGACACAGAAGATATTTAATTTGTATGGTTAATATTGCTTGCTTTGCAATAATTAAAATGCTTGGATTACTGAGACTCTCTTTGTATTATATTTAAAATCTACAATTAGAAATCTTAAATATTACAAAGATAAATATTAATTATACTTAGTACATGACAAATCTTCAGTTCATAGACTTGATTTTGTCAAAAAGTATCAATATGAAAATAATATTTTGGAATTTTAAATTCATGCAGGATCTACTTCTCTCTTTGAACCATTGGATATTTCGATAAACAACCCTTTTAATGATGAAATCCATATTTAATTTTAAAATAGGGTATATTGATAAAGCCTCAAATTAAAACAGCTGTGAGAAAATGAAACATCCAAAATTAGAAAATATTCTAGAATGGAAACTTTAATCTTTAAATAGTATAAAGAATGATAGTATTTAATAAAGTTTTAAATATTGTGGTAAAAGTTTTAATTTAGATAATAGTGAAAATCTATTACTTAATCCTAAAATTAAAGATACTAAATTTGTTCAACAGCAAATAGATTTAGAAATAAACAACTATGATTCATAAAAAGGGGATGAATTGATTGAAATTATGAAAAAGTAAATGAGATCAATTATATCTTCCATATGAAATTTCTTAAGGTTTAAAAGATAAAATTAATAACACACCAGAATCAAAAGAGGCCATTATATAGGTATTATATGAATTTAGCGACTATTATAGTAGCAGTGAAGAAAGTTAAGAATCATCATTTATAGAATATTTATAAATTTAAGATGACTAAGAAAATAATACATCACTATAATATGAAGGAAGATAATAATGATAGTTCAGAGTTTGATGGTGATGAAAAAGAAAATAATTTAAATACTAAGAGAAATATTAATGAAATATAGTTTGAAGATGAAATAGAAATAAAAAAGAAAACTAAATAAAATGAATATAAATCAAGTAATACTAATATATATATGAAAATAGAAATGAATAAGGAAAGTTGTTTAAAAATAAATATAGAGGAAGAAAAGAAGATGGATATTTAAGTTAATTTTGCAAATGATCCTATTTAGCCATAAATAATTCAAGAATATATAATATTTACTAAATATGGTTCTGACATTATGTTTAAAGAAACTTATATTAGTTAATATAATGAATAAATACATCTTTATAAACTAATTTAAGTTAAAAATAAATTAAATGAATAAAAAGAATCAAAATAGTCTAAATAATAAATGGATAACATAATTATAAATGATATTAGAAAATATATTAAATGATAATATTTTCAATTGTTAGTATTTATTTGCTATTTTTGAAATTCGGATTACAAATTTTTTTTAAATAATTTTAAATTTAAAAAATATTTTTGGAATTCTTGTTAATATTTTTGACACTTATATAAATTAAAAACAAAAAAAAAATAAAAAACTTCCAATAAAATTGACAATACACATACACAATTAAAAAAGCTACAAAGATCTATATAATTGTTTTTTATTAACATGTATTAAGGTTCAATAATTAAATTTTATGCTTTTGGCAATACAAATTTACTTCAATAAAAACTAGTTATACTAAGATTAATCAAATATTATTTTCCTTTAATTTCTTTTGATCATTCTATCTAATTGGCCTTATGAAAATGAATTAATGTTAATTTAAACAAAAGAATATTCTTACTTCATCAGATTAAAGAGTTTTTTTTTTTTAAGCAGAAGGTTTATCATAAAAGATTATATCTAAATCTTTATCATTCTTTTAATAATCTCTCTACTCTATAGGGTTACTCAATAGCACAAACTAATCAGGATTAATATTTTTGATATTGCCTTTTTATTATAAATTTTGAAATTTGTTTTTTTAAATAATAAAATTACTTCTTGTTCTAAAATTATATTTTGCTTAGCAGTTATTTTATTAATTCGCTTCATACTCACTAACATTTTCACTAAATTATGAATCTATTTATGTTTGATTTTTGTTTTGTAATTCAGAAAACTTTATATTTAGTTTCGGACTAAATTATTAGCTAAAAATACTATTTTATGTTGGAGATTAGCCTTCTGAATTAAACTAGACCAAAAATCTTTTTGGTGAATTTTAATTTTGATTTAATTAAAAGCCGCTCTATTTATTAATACTCATTTCTTTCATCCTTTTAGAAAGAAGCACTTTTCTGGTAGAATTTGTTAAATTGTTAGTCTCTTTAAAGCTATTTTCATCATTAGGCTAATGATTAGAAAAGAAAGGAGCATATTTGTCTCTTTTTTTTCTTTAAAAATAATCTTAGATTGATAGTCTAAGAAGCTAAAAATTGTTGAATTTTTTAAATGAATTGTCTTCTGTGCAGTAAATTAATAAATAAAGAGAATTCATATGTTATTTTAATTATTATTTAAAGAATTTGAAGCATGTTGAATTTTTTTTCAAACTTCCTTATAAAATTAATATAACCTTAGTTTATTTTAACAAATGATAATTAAGCCTAATTAAGACATCTAAGTAAATTAAGAAGATTTTTGAAAATGCTACTGCTTGCAAAATATAAGCAATAATAGTACCAAGATATAAAAGAATATCTTATTCTATAACATTGAGCAATATATATAATATTGTGAGCAAACAGCAAATTTAAGAAAAAAATAAATCTATTTTATAGTATTTAACCTTTTAGTATGGCTTTTTTTAAAAAAATTAAACTTAGTTTTTCAGATAAAAAAGTAATCTTACTTAAAATTTTTGTAAGAGCAAAAGATAGCAGTAGAGGATAATTAACATCAAAGAAGCTTTACTAAGTACATCTGAATCAAAATATATAACTAAAAATACTAAGAGTAGCCTTAGGTTCATTGCTAAAAACTCCCACAAATAAAATTTTTATCTATACCCACAAATTAGGAAACCATACTTATTAAAAAATTAAAAAATAAATATATAAATGGTAATAATAGTTACCGTAACTTCCTGCTTATTCTACTAAGCTAAAATTCAAAATTTTACTCTTTTTTTAAAAAACTTGGTTAGGGTAGTCTTTAATTAAAAAATGAATTTTGCTGAATAGCAAGTAAGAAGCTACGGTAGATGATTTAAAGTTTATAAATACCTTTTTAATTAATCCAAATTGATGTGAAAATTAATCTAAATGCTATGATTTACTCCATATTTTATAAATCAATATCCCTGGTACTAAAACTATCCATAAAAATGTCATTGGCATTATCATAGATGTTATCAAAATCACATGATCTGTTGAATAGCACTTTTCTAATAAGTAGTAGTTCATATACGACTCCTTACCTATCTTTTTGCAAGTAAAAATCTAAACTAAAGATTCAAAGGAGCTTTACTACAAGAAAAAGAATAGGAACACGAAGCAAATGACAGCAGAATCTTTCTAGAAATATATTTGAAGTTATTTGATTTTAAAAAATATTTTTGACATATAAATTTACCTTGAGTTCAAAATAAAACGACTTCTTATCTTATTTAGAGAAACAGCTTATTAATTTAACTATTAAAATGTAGAATAAGAGCCCTAAAGGAATAACTATTAAAGGAAAAGCTATAAAAAATAGTACTTTGTAATAATATACGGGTAAGATAGTACTAAATTTACTTATAATACAATCCAATAAATTTTAATTGGAACTTACGGGAGAAAATATTGAGATTATTTACAAGTTAAATATTGGTTTTGGACTAAGACTAGAAATACTAATAAATATTTAAAGGTATCTAATCATCAACCTACTATAAAAACTTTTTTCACCTATTTAACCTGAATTACCTAATCTAATTAGTCCTAGCCTATCAATAATCAAGACCTTAGTCATCATATTCAAATTAATTTTAGTTTAGTAAAATAAATATGTCAAATATAGCAATGTAAATAAACATATTAGCATCTATTCAGCTATTTAATTTACCTCTGATTAACATTAATAACAATTAACTTCTAAACCGCTTTTTCCATAAGAATTATTCCAAAATTATCCTAGTACATCACAAGTCTAGCATAAAGGTCCTATTAAACTTTTGTTTTTATCAATTAAATTTTTTAAAACAAAAATAATTTTTGAGAAAAAATTACCCCTCAGAGCAATAATTAGTTTCTTCTTATCCGTTACAAAAATTTTACGATTTAGTGCAAGGTATTATATCATCATTGAATTTATCAGATCTCCAAAATCCTTATTTTAAATTAATTTAGCTTCCTTAACATGAAATACTTGATGAGTAATCACAAGGTTTGCATTACATATTACTTGTATTTGAGTTTGGATCTTGAATTGAATATGTACCATTTTAACATGTATAACAGTTTGCTAATGAACAAGATGTGCAAGCTGATTATATTATTTCTCCTATTTAACAATTTCTAAAGCTGTAATCAATATAAATAGTTAAAGTATCGGTAAACCCTTGTGTTTAATTAGAAAATAAGTGGAATCCTTTAAATTACAATACTGCTCTCCCTATTTTACCTAATTATCCTTATTATTAAAAAAATATATTAAAATATACTCAAGTTTTTTACAATTGTTTATTTGATATAGCAAAATATACCATAAATCCTCATTACTTTTATTCACTTTTCCTTAATTTTTTTAAAATTTTGATTTGATGTAACACTATTTTATTCCTATAAAGATAAGAGGTAGGTTCGTGAGAATTTATAAGGATTTATGGTATTATTAAACAATTACCTGATACTTAGTACTAATTTAAAAGAAATTAATCTAACTCAAAAGCTTGAATAGTTGCACCCTATAATTTTAAGTCAATTTACCTTAAATCTTGAATATTATTTAGCAAATATAGCTCCTATAGCTCAACATAATATTAAGAAAATTCTTACAATATTCTATCAGGGATGTTTTTTTTACTCTAGAATTTTACTTAATTTCCTTCTTCGTCTAAGATATTTATTTTCAAAATATTATTTTACGTTCCACTTTATACATCTTTAAATATATAAATTGATCCATTTTGCAATGACTGATTATTAATTTTAGCACTTTATGGAAAAGAACAAAAATTGTTTCCATAGAATTAACCATAATTATCTATGCAATTATTTTAATAGGTGGTACCACATGAATCTTAAGCTAAATCGCTACTATTTTTTTAAAGGAATATGGGTATAAAGGTGAAATATCTAGCTATTCCACCAATTAAAGCTTTGTTTCTTTCAAAAGTACTATTCTATATTTAGATATTTGAGTCATTAAGCAAAAATACTCCTCCATTTTCCCTAGCTGTGTTATTCGAAAAAGTTACATTATTTAGTAGACAATCACACATATTAATAAAATACAGGGATCCTCCATCTTTATTTAAAATAATTAATATAAATTAATAATTAAAAATATTGTAAATGATTACTTTAAGCTTCATTATCTATAAATTAACTATTTTATATTTTAACAAGAGAAGCGTCAAAATAAAATACGCCTCCTCCATATTATGTAGAATAAAGTTTATTTGAAATAAAATAAGATTAATCTATGATCACTTAGCTTTAGCTAATTACAATTGGTGAAACGTTTTATAATTAACTCTCTTCTATAGTAAAATTTGTTATTTAAAGCTAGTTTGATATAAGCGTTATTAAACCAATAGATGAGTTGCTTAATTAACTTTTCATAGATGTGCTTAGAAGATCAATAGAGGAAGAATTAGTATATATCATATAGCTATCTGGAATTAAGTACTTATTTTACTTTATTTCACTAAATGAAATTCCAAAATAACTATCTTATACTTCCAAATTATTAACTAAAGATTTTTGATATTATTATAAAAATTGATAGTCATCAATTATTGCTAGATTTATATTATTATTAAAATTTAAGTAGCTAATCATAATATTTGTAGATATTACAGTTTACAATAAGAAAGAGAGCTATATGCTAATATTATCAAAAATCTCATTTTAATCCATAGTGATCTTATTCACGTACTAAACTAAAAAGAAAGTAGTCAAATTAATTTTGTTATTTGCAATCTTATTATTCCTAAATATAAATTCTGAATCATAATTAAAATCAACAGTGTTATTAAAAGTAAGAAATTGTTTTGTATTTATATTATTATCAGCAAAATAGCTCTGTTCTATAATTACATATTATGTGTTTTAAAAAATTAAAGAAGTTTCAATATTTTGATTAGTTATACTGACATTAGTAAAACTAAAATAGTACAGATTTTAAGCAATTAAAGTTTTATTGTTAAAGACTATTTAACATGAAATAAATTATAATTAAAATAATTAAACATTTCCTCGTTAATATTGCTGTTATTGGTCTTCATCTTATAAATAAATTATCAAATTTTATAAATATATCTCTACTAACGTTTATGAGTTGATTAATTAATTTAAATTAATAACTCCTTCAACATAATTCTATTCATTAGCTCCATTTATTGTAAGGCTAACTTGCAAATTTGCATTAGAATCTACTATTGGAAATCCTTAGAACTTAAATTTTTCATACATATCTAATTAAATGTAATGTTTCTTTTAATAACCATTATCTATCAAAATATTTTTCCTCAAATTCTAAAATTACTAAAGCCGTTTATATAGCTAAAAATAATCAGCATCATTAGTATTATATTAGCAAGCACTTATACCTTTGCTATCTATCATCATGTAATTGATACCATTATAATTATATGAAAGAACACTTATTATATAATCAAATTCTACTTTTTCAACCTTTAAATAAATATTTTCATAAAATGAGTTTCTATTTGTAAATTATTATATGACTTACAATTGTTTCTATTCAGGATCTTCATTAGAATAAATTACAGAAAAAGTCTACCCAAATTAAACAAAAATTTAACGATTTTTAAGAAGAGTGACTTTCCTCTTCATAAAATTGGTCTCCACTAGAAAATTGCTCTGATAGAAACTTATTAATTCAAATGTATAATAATCATATAGAATATAGTAGAAATCAGAACTCACTAAAATCAATTAGTATTCTGGTTTAAGTATAATTTACTAATATGTCTACCAGCGAGATGCTGTTTAAATAAGCTACAGTAAAGTAAATGAATCTTAATCATCGTTTTAATAGATTTGGCAATAGTTGTAATTTTACAAGTTTACTAAAATATAATCAGAATTTACAATAACTTAAAATATAGGATATCCTAACTGAGTTTATCTTTAAACTTGAACATCATTGTCTTCGACTAGGTATTGAACTAATTAACTATCAAAAGAGTAACTAAAAATTATTTACTCAGTGTATATTATCAAATCTATAATAGCAAGCTGATGAATTAGTGGAAATTATTTTGTTATCAAGCCTGTTGAACTTTCTACAAAAGCAATAGAGTGGTTGACAAATATAATAATAAATTCAGTTGATAGTAAAATACCATTGTAAAACTTATATAATGGCTTATCTAATTTCTATTAATATAATTTTAAGAAATTATATGTATTACCATTCTAAATAATTTAATATGATGTAATTTATTAATTATATCCGCATACAATTATATCTTATTTGTTAACACTGTGAGAGCACTCTACTTAAATTTTTTGAATTAGCTCTAAATTTTTTTTGTAGATTAAATTAATCTACTTGGTAGTGGCTAAAACAAAAATATCTTCGTTTATTAAATATATCGTATTATTAAATCTATCATTAAATTGTAAAATAGGCCCATTTACTGCTTGTTAATCCATTAAAGACCACTTTTAAATATTTCCATCAGATCTAGTATAATATATGTTATTATTGTTTTCATCAAAAGCATAACTTATAATTGAAGATGCTCTATGAATAATCTAAAAATAGGTATTTTGTATAGAAAACTCATATTCCCAAAACTTTACTGTTTAATCATTCGAAAATGAAATAATCTAATATAATTAATTGATTATAAATTTACTGTATTTTAAAATATTAAAAAAATGAAAATTTACCTAAAATGAGTTCTAATTTAGTATAAAAGAATTTATAACATCTTTATGCTAGTCAAAAACTTGAATAACATTCAGTAAAGGAAATTAAAGTAAAACTATTCTAAAATTAGAATCTGAAATAATTAAAATTTAATTATCCTTTTATTTAATAATAATAAAATATAATTAATTTCTAAATAAATAATATTTCAAATAAAATGCTTACTAAATCTAAATATCCATACTAAATTTAGGCTATGTTTTTATATTAAAAAAGTGGTATTTGAGCATTTTAAGAGTTATATGGCCATATTTATACTTTGTTATCTAATCCCATGCTTACAAACCTTTAATTAATAGGATCTAGAACTATTTATTATACTTAACCCTATTATAAAAATTTAATATAAGTAAGTACAGATTAAAATAATGTTAAAAGAAATTATTACTTGATGAATAGGATACTGCTTCGTAAAAATGTAGCTTTAGGTCGTGATATTGTAATTCCAAACATATCCATCCTAGTCAAAAGTAAGTATACATTAATTAAGCTTGTCATATGCCCCATCATTTCCTTGTAAAACTTAAATAATGTTAACTTCTTAATCTATACTACTTAGTTAAACTAATAATGGAAACCAATCTAACTATTTTAATTGTTGATAAAATAAATTATGAATTGTTTTTTTAATTTATTATTTAAACATAATAATATTATATTTAAAATTTTATATAATTTTCTATTTATAAGGTTTATTAATTAAATTAAATACTGTAGTAATTTTTTTTTATTCATAAAATCATAATTAATCAAAGAGTTTTAATTTATTTTTTTTTTAAGTTTAAAATTTTTTATAAATGAATATTTAAGAGGGTTAGTATAAAGGAGATTTTAAATTATTTATAAAAAATCAAATTAAAAAATTTACTCCGAATAGCATTAAAAAATTATTTTCTTAATCAATTATAATTCGAGTTACAGTGTAAATCTAAAGCAAATATTAATAATCTTTAAGCAAATAGAAATTTTTAATTGATATATCGTTCTTCCATACATAAATACTCCCAAATCCGCAACCAGAGATTATTCTGTTGTTTTCTACATCTACAGCAAAAGAACTAATAATTTGGCAATCAATAGGATCATGCTAAAGTAATTATATGAATTTTAATTCTGGATAACTATGTATAGCTATAGTATTATCTAAAGAAGAAGTCACAATTATACCCCATTCATAAATAATATTTAATTGATTTATTTATTTAAGATGCTTTAAAAAAAAATAATTAATATTAAATTATATATTTACATGAAAAAAAAATAAAATTACTTCAAATTTTGACACCAAAATCAGATTATTCGTTTAAAGATCATACTTATAAACTTTATTAGTATAAATAAATATAGTGTTAGTTTACTAATCTATAACTCCTCCTTAAGTTTGCTCTTCAAATTACATTTCATTCATTAATTTTTTCTAAGTGTAATCAATAAAATAAATCATAAGTCCTGAACCATAAATAATTTTTTTATAAGAGGTGTTTATTTAAAATGTAGAAAGTGTAATATTAGTCGCCATCCAATCACAAACCTATTAATCATCAAAATATCTTAAATGAGTTATTAAAGGGATTTAATTTACTTATTATAGAGATGAGTAATCGTAACTAAAAATTTGGTTGGTAGAAAGTAAAATAATTAATAATTTTTCCTCTTCATCAATTTAGATAGAGGAAACAGCAGAGCTGAATAAATCAAGTTATTCATTTTTTAAAAAAATTTAAGATTAAACATCAATAAAAATAAGTTAGTTTCCATCAGATACAACTAAGAGTAATTTTTCATCCATAAGTAGTAAACACTAGTTTGGTATTGTAAAGGCAAAATTAATTATTTATAAATCATTTGTCTATTTGTTAATTAGGATAATTTCGTTTGGAGAAGCCATTAAAATAACCAAATATTAGTTTCCAAAACAAACATTTTAAGATACTTGATTTTACTTTTATGTGAATGATAAACTTTTTATATTTATGTTTTAAGGATTCTCTATTATTGCAATCTATTTGTAAAAAATTTATAAAAATAAAATTTTTCTAACTTTGAACAAATACTAATATTCAAGAAAATTTACTTATAGCATACCAACTACATTAAATAGGATCAATGAGTTTGAAAAAGTATCAAAGTATGTTTAATTAGAATAATAATTTTGTAAATTTAAAGTATTTATTTAAATTTAGTGATTACTATCCTATCCTTTAATGAGCATTTGTATCAAATTTTAATATACAATAATTATTCCATATTGACTTTAAAAAACTTATAGAGTATAATTGGTAATTGGCGAATCGTAGAGTAGATTAAATTATTTAGAATTAAAAACAAATAATTTTTAGCTTAAATCAATAACTAAAATAATTTCTAAATCGTTATCAAAATATACTTAGCTTACTTTGAAATCATTATCAAAATTTAGAGTTTATAAAAAAGTTCCTTCAAGATAGGTTGTTATTACTAAATAATTTTAAGGAGACCAAGATGGCCAAATATATATTTAATCACCATACTATTTTATAAAATTAATTTATTTTTAGGATTTTGAATTAAAAACCAAACCTTGTTGAATTATAATCTACTTTAAGTTGAGAGATTATAGTACTAAGTCAGATATTCACCCTTCGGGTAGCTAAAATATCCTAATTTCCCCTAATTTTCAATCATATAAATTCTAAGTAATTCATCATCAAAGTAAAGACCTTCTACTTATTCGTTTGGTATATCATTTGTATAGAAGCAGCTTGTATGCCTTTTTATTTGCCCATTTGTTATATCTATAAATACCATTCCACTAGATGTTAACGTTTTTAATATGGAACCTTCAAATATAGCATTAGGAGTAACTCCAAAAAGTAATCTTATTAATGATTAAATTGAATTCAAAAATTTTTATAAAAAATGTAATTTTACTATGAGCCTAAGCATTTGTTAAGTTGTATAACTCTATTTTCGTTTACTACCACAGTTATCATTGTTTAATTTCCATAAAATACTGTGAAATCATCTCCTACAATTAGTTTAGTGTAATTTATCAATTTTAAATCTTGAAGACGTAGAGCATTAAGATTATCATACACATGATAATCATTATAATCCATCGATAATGTAGCAGGATTTATAAACTAAGAACCAAAATAAATCATTGAATTATTTCCACATACTATCAAAGACCCATCATTTAAAAATCCATAGTCATTAATCTAATTTGGAGAGAAGAAAAGTAAATTGGTGTAATTAAAATTTTAATCCAAAGAGAAAATAGAATATCCACTTGTATTATAACTTATGAACGTTAATCCTTAGCTTTATTAGAATTTCAAACGAGTAATATTTCCTAATTAAAATTATAATGTATTTTAAATTTCAAAATTAGTTTAGCTTATCATGTAAATGTTATTATTAGATGAAAGAACATATATGTATTCTTAACTAAAATCACTTTCGCATTGAATTCCATCAGAATCTAATTATAATTAAGAAGATTATTCAATTGAGCTAAGGTAGACCTTTTAAATTTGCAAAAAAAATTTTCTAAAAAATTCTATTTACATTTAAAATTATAATAATTGCAAAACTTAGTAATTAATTTTAAAACGAAAGCGAATTAAAAAGTAGAGATAAATAACTTCATTAAAAAGAGAAAATTATCTTGATTTTTAATTTAATAAAAGAGGAAAAATAAAATATATTTTACATAGTTATCTTTAGGGTAGTACAAAATATTATTTTTAATGTTGTAACAAATTTAAATCTATTGCTATTAACTATCTACCAATTCATAGTTAAATTTAAGAGCTGTACTATTCTATTGATAGAGACTTTATTAATATACATTATAATTGATATCTATTATGTATATAAAAGTCCGTGGTAAAGATGGATCAGAAATGTTGATTTGCTTATCAGTATAAATTGAATGAATTTGAATTTTTTTATCAGAAAAATATGAAGTTGAATAAAAAAGACTAGCATCTGTAAGATTCCACACTCCAAGCAATCCTTAACTTCCATAATCAACCATCAGCTACTCATATTTATCTTTATTTTTAAAGAATAATAATTCTCCTCCTAAAACATTCTAATCTCCTATTTATCCTTAACAACTAGTAGAAGAATAGCCTAAATCAATATCAAAAGGGCAAATATCTTAAAACGACATTTTTATTAAATTTAGACAAGTTAATATTATTAAAAGCTTATCCATTTTTACAAAATAGTTATTTTATTTATTTATTATCTTTTTCTTTTATTGATTTTGAAAAACTAATTTATGTTGTATATATATATATGTATTAACCATTTAAATTTTATGTTTATTTATTAAGTTTCAACTCATAAAATATGCTTATCTGACAAATAAAAAATATTGACTTTTAATAATAAATAATATTGAAAAGGGAACTATATTGAACAGTGATGTTGTGTCCTTATGAATAAATAATTTTCCAAATAATTACCGTAATCCCTCGCAACCTCGCAGCTCGAAATCAAAAATTTTGATTACGAATGGAGAGGTTCTATACTTCCTCTAGTAGGCCAGTTTTTTTGAAAATTGAGTACTGAAGAATAGAGGTAAAAGGATATTTATATAATTAATATTTTTAAATCACTAAACATTTTTATTAAATGAAAAAATAGTTTTTTATTATTATTTAAATTGGTTAAAAATAAAAAAAATAAATAAAATTAAAAAAAACGATATTCATTTCTTCAGAGTTTTTTTATTTGAAACTATAATATTTTTGAGTTAGAACCAATAAAGATATCAAATTATACTAGTTTATTCATTTTTTTGATATTTGAGAGTAATTTGCCTAAATTAACTATACTTTATTTCTACTTTGAATATCTTGTGATTTTCAAGCTATCTTAGAGAGTTAAAATAACAAATAATACTCTCTTAATTTCTTTTTTTGAAAAATTCATTAAATTCAAGCTTCTAACATCTTTAGTTGACTAATGGTTTGTGATAGTTCTAAAACTACCTCTCGCATATAATTTAGTTTGGTAATTGATTATTATCACAAAAAAGATTAATTTTTATTTGTTTCGTGTTTTTCAAATAATTTTTATGTGCTTATTAATTACAATATTTAAAATAATTTTAAATCTAAAAAATATTTTTGACACTATTATAAATTAAAAACAAACAAAAAATTAAAAACATCCAATAAAATTGACATAATACAATAAAAACAGCTGCTAATATATATATATATATATATATATATAATTGTCTTCTATTAACATAGATAAGGCTCTAAAATTATATTATATACTTTTGGCAATACAAATTTACTTCAAATAAAACTAGTGATTCTTAGATTAATCAAATTTTATTTTTCTTTAATTTCTTTCGATCATTCTATCTGATTGGCCTTATGAAAATGAATTAATATTTATTTCAAATAAAATAATATTCTTACTTCATCAGATTAAAGAGTTTGTTTTTTTTAAGCAGAAGGTTTATAATTAAAAATTGAATATAATTCTTCATCATTCTTTTTATAATTTCTGTACTCTATTGGGCTACTCAATAGCACAAACTAATCATGATTGATATTTTTGATATTGCCTTAAAATAATAAATTTTGAAATTTGTTTATTTTAGCAATAAAATTACTTCTTGTTCTAAAATTATATTTAGTTTAGCAGTTATTTTATTAATTAACTTCTTACTCGCTAGTGTTTTCACTAATTTATGAATCAATTTATGTTTAATTTTTGTTTAGGAATTCAGAAAACTTTATATTTACTTTCGGACTAAATTATTAGCTAAAAATACTATTTTATGTTGGAGATTAGCATTCGTAGTTAAACTAAATCATATATTTTTTTGGAGAATTTTAATTTGTATTTAATAATATGCTGCTCTATTTTAAAATACTCCTTTCTTTCATTCTATTGTTAAGAAGAGCTTTTCTGGTAGAATATGCTAAATTATTAGTATCTTTAAAGCTATTTTCATCATTAGGCTAATTATTAGAAAAGAAAGGAGCATATTTGTCTCTTTTTTTTCTCTAAATATAATCTTAGATTGAAAGTCTAAGAAGCTAAAAATTATTGAATTTTTTAAATGAATTGTCTTCTGTGCAGTAAATTAATAAATAAAGAGAGTTCATATGCTATTTTAAGTATTTTTTAAAGAATTTGATACATGTTAAATTCATTTTCAAACATCTTTATAAAATTTATATAACTTTAGTTTTTTTTAATAAATGGTAATTAAGCCTAATTAAGACATCTAAGTAAATTAAGAAGATTTTTACAAATGCTGCTACTTGCAAAATATAAGCAATAATAGTACCAAGTAATAAAAGAATATCTTATTCTATAACATTGAGTAGGATATATAATATTGTTAGCAAACAGCAAATTTAAGAAAAAAATAAATCTATTTTGTAGTATTTAATATTTTAGTATGGCTTTTTTTAAAAAAAATTAAAATTAGTTTTTCAGATAAAAAAGTAATCTTACTTAATATTTTTATAAGAGCATAAGATAGCTGTAGAGGATAATTAGCATCAAAGATGCTTTACTAAATACATCGGAATCAAAATATATAACTAAAAATACTAAGAGCAGCCTTAGGTTCATTGCTAAAAACTCCCACAAATAAAATTTTTATCTATACCCACAAATTAGGAAACCGTACTTATTAAATAATAAAATAATAAATATATAAATTTTAATATAAGCTACCATAACTTCCTACTTATTCTTCTAAGTTAAAATTAAAAATTTTACTCATTTTTTTAAAAAGATAAAACTTAAAAAATGAATTTTGCTGAATAGTAAGTAAGAAGCTATGGTAGATTATTTAAAGTATATAAATACCTTTTTAATTAATTCAAATTGATGTGAAAACTTATCAAAATGCTAAGATTTACTCCATATTTTATAAATCAATATCCCTGGTACTAAAACTATCCATAAAAATGTCATGGGTATTATCATAGATGTTATCAAAATCACATGATTGGTTGAATAGCACTTTTCTAATAAGTAGTAGTTCATAAACGACTCCTAACCTATCTTTTTGCAAGTAAATATCTAAGCCAAAGACTCAAAGGAGCTTTACTACAAGAAAAAGAATAGGAACACAAAGCAAATGACAGTAGAGTCTTTCTAGAAAAAAATTTGAAGTTATTTGATTATAAAAAATTATTTTAAAATATAAATTTACCTTGAATTCAAAATAAAAAGAGTTCTTTTCTTGTTTAGAGAAATAGCTTATCACTTTAACTACTAAAATGTAGAATAAGTACCCTAAAGGAATAACTATTAAAGGAAATGCTATAAAAAATAGAACTTTGTAATAATATACTGGTAAGATAGTACTAAATTTACTTATAATACAATCAAACAAATTTTAATTGGAACTTACAGGAGAAAATATTGAGATTACTTGTAAGTTAAATATTGGTTTTGGACTAAGACTAGAAATACTAATAAAGATTTAAAGATATCTAATCATCAATCTACTATAAAAACTTTTTTCACCTATTTAACCTGAATTACCTAATCTAATTAGTCCTAGCCTATCAATAATCAATACCTTAGTCATCATACTTAAATTTATTTTAGTTTAGTAAAATAAATAGGTCAAATATAACAATGTAATGAAACATATAAAAATCTATTCAACTATTTATTTATCTTCTGATTAGCAATTAAAACAATTAACTTCTAAACCACTTCTTCCATAAGAATGATTCCAAAACTATCCTAATATATCACAAGTCTAGCATAGAGGTCCGATAAAACTTGTTTTTTATCAATTAAATATATTTAAAACTATAATAATTTTTAGAATAAATTACCCTTTAGAGCAATAATTAGTATCTTCTTATCCATTACAAAAGTTTTACGATTTAGTAGTACAAGGTATTATTCTATCATTGAATTTATCAGATCTCCAAAATCCTTATTTTAATGTAATTTAGCTTCCATAACAAGAAATACAAGATGAGTAATCACAAGGCTTGCATTACATATTACTAGTATTTGAGTTTGGATCTTCAATTGAGTATGTACCATTTTAACATGTATAACAGTTTGCTAATGAACAAGATGTGCAAGCTGATTATATTATTTCTCCTATTTAACAATTTCTAAAGTTGTAATCAATATAAATAGTTAAAGTATCAGTAAACCCTTATGTTAAATTAGAAAACAGGTAGAATCCTTTAAATTACAGTACTGCTCTCCCTATATTACCTAATTACCCTTATTGTTTATAAAATAAATTAAATTCTACTAAAGTTTTTTACAATTGTTTATTTAAATTTAGCAAAATATGCCATAAATCCTTTTTAATTTTATCCATTTTTCCTTAAATTAAAAAAAAAATTTGACTTGTTAAGCAAAAATAAATATTTTTTGAATAAAAAATTAAAAGGTATTTGTTTTTAATAAAATCACAGGTAGATCTGATTGATATATTTAAAAAAACAAAAATAAAAAAAGCAAGAAGGCTACTTAGCATTCAATTTTTGTACCTGGATTAGCAATATTATATATTTATTAAATGTCTACTTAAATAAAACTATTGTTGTTAGTCATATTTTAATATTTTATAAATCAAAAAATATGTTTATTCTAATAATTTTTTTAAAGTGAGATTAAATATTTTAATAAAAAATAACGAACTAAAAATAATTTCTCTACACTTTGCTCAATTTGTATTTTCACCATTTTTTCTTTTAAAGATAATAGTGAGTTTTGTGAGAATCAATGAGAATTTAAGGCATTATTAAAAAATTACCTGATACTTAGTACTAATCTAAAAGATATTCATCGGACTCAAAAGGTTGAATAGTTTCTCCTTATAATTTCAAGTCAATTTACCTTAAATCCGGAATATTGTTTAGCAAATATAGCTCCTAGAGCTCAACATAATACTAAGAAAATTCTTGTAATATTCTATCAGGAATGTTTTTTTAATTTTAAAATTTTACTTAATTTCCTTCTTCGTCTAAGATGTTTATTTTCAAAATATTATTTTACGTTCCACTTTATACATTTTTAAATACATATATTGATCCATTTTGTAAAGACTGATTATTAATTTTAGCACTTTATGGATAAGAACAGAAATTGTTACCATAGAATTAACCATAATTATCTATGCAATTATTTTAATAAGTGGTACCACATGAATCTTTAGCTAACTCGCTACTATTTTTTTTAAGGAATAAGGGTATAAAGGTGAAATATCTAGCTATTCCTCCTATTAATGCTTTGTTTCTCTCAAAAGTGCTATTCTAAATTTAAATATTTGAGTTATTAAGCAAAAAAACTCCTCCATTTTCTCTAGCTGTGTTATTCGTAAAAGTTACATTTTTTAGCACACAATCAGACATATCAATAAAATATAGTGATCCTCCATCTTTATTTAAAATAATTAATATATAATTAATAATTAAAAATAAATATTGCAAATAATTACTTTAAGCTTCATTATCTATAAATTAACTATTTTATATTTTAACAAGAGAAGCATCAAAATAAAAGACACCCCCTCCATATTATGTAGAATAAAGTTTATTTGAAATAAAATAAGATGAATCTATAAGCACTTAGCTTTAGGTAATTACAATCGGTGAAACATTTTATAATTAACTCTCTTCTAGAGTAAAATTTGCTATTACTAGCTAGTTTGAAATAAATGTTATTAATCCAACAAATGAGTTGCTTAATTAACTTTTCATAGATGTACTTAGAAGATCAATAAAGGAACAATTAGTATATATCATATAGCTATCTGGAATTAAGTACTTATTTTACTTTATCTCACTAAATGATATTCCAAAGTAACTATTTTATACTTCCAAGTAATTAATGAAAGAGTATTGAGATTATTATAAAAATTAATGGTCATCAATTATTGCTAGATTTATATTATCATTAAACTTTAAATAGCTAATAATAATATTTTTAGATATTATAGTTTACAATAAGAAAGAGAGCTATTTGCTAATATTATCAAAAATCTCATTTTGATCAATAGTGATTTTATTCACATTCTAAATTAAAAAGAAATTAGTCAAGTCAATTTTGTTATTTACAATCTTATTATTCCTAAATATAAATTCTGAATTATCGTTAAAATCAATAGTATTATTAAAAGTAAGAAATTGTTTAGTATTTATATTATTATCAGCAAAATAACTCTGTTCTATAATTATATATTATGTGTTTTAAATGAGAATTAAGGAATTTTCAATATTTTGATTAGTAATACTGACATCAGTAAAACTAAAATAGTTCAGATTTGAAGCGTTTAAAGATTTATTGTTAAAGAATATTTAACATGAAATAAATTGTAATTAAAATAGTTAAACATTTCCTAATTATTATTGCTGTTATTGACCTTCTTCTTACAAATAAATGTTTAAATTTTATAAATATAATTCTACTAACGTTTTTGAGTTGATTAACTAATTTAAATTAATAATCCCTTCAACATAATTTTATTCATTAGCTCCATTTATTGTAAGGTTAACTTACATTTATGAATTAGAATCCACTATCGGAAAACCTTAGAACTTAAATTTTTCATACATGTTTACAAAAATTTTATGTTTCTTTTAAATACCATCATCTTTCAATATATTTTTCCTCAAATTCTAATATTGTTTAAGTCTTGTATATAACTAAAAATAATCAGCATCGTTAGTATTATATTGGCAATCTCTTTATCCTAAGGTATCTGTCATCATAAAATTGATACCATTATAATTATATGAAAGAACAGTTATTATGTAATCTGATTATACTTATTCAACTTCTAAATAAATATTTTCATAAAATTAGTTTCTATTTAAAAATTATTATACAACACTCAATTATTTCTATCCTAGATCTTTATTTGAATCAATTACTGAAAAAGTCTACCCAAATTAAACAAAAATTTAATTATTTTTAAGAAGAGTAACTTTCCTCTTCATAAAATTAGTCTCTACTAAAAAATTGCTTTGATAGAAATTTATTAATTCAAATGTTATATAATCATATAGAATATAGTAGAAATCAGAGCTTAATAAAATCAATTAGTATTCTGGTTAAAGTATAATTTATTAATATGTCTACCAACGAGATGCTGTTTAAATAAGTTACAGTAAAGTAAATTATTCTTAATCATCGTTTTTATAAATTTGACAATAGTTGAAATTTTGCAAGTTTACTAAAATATAATCTGAATTTACAATCACTTAAAATATAGGATATCCTAAATGAATTTATCTATAGACTTTAACACTATTGCTTTTTACTAGGTATTGAACTAATTAACTATCAAAAGAGTAACTAAAAATTATTTACTCAGTATATATAATCAAATCTATTATAGCTAATTGATGAATTAGTGGAAATGATTTTGTAATCAAACCTGTTGAACTTTCTATAAAAGCAATAGAATGATTGACAAATATAATTATAAATTCAGTTGATTGTAAAATACCGTTGTAAAATTTATATAATGGCTAATCTAATTTCTACTGATATAATTTTAAGAAATCATATTTATTACCATTTTAAATAATTTAATACGAAGTAATTTATTAATTATATCCACAAACAATTATGTCTTATTTTTTAACACTATTAGAGCAATCTATTTAAATTTTTTGAATTAGCTTTAAGTTTTTTTTGTAGATTAAATTTATCTATTTTGTTGTAGCTAAAACCAAAATATCTTCGTTTATTAAATATATCGTATTATTACATCTATCGTTAAATTATAAAATAGGCCCATTTATTGCCTATTAATCCATTAAAGACCACTTTTAAATATTACCCTCAGACCTAGTATAATATAGACTTTTATTTTCTTCATCAAAAGCATAACTTATAATTGAAGATGATCTATGAATAATCTAAAAATAGCTATTTTGTATAGAAAACTCGTATTCCCAAAATCTTACTGTTTAATCATTCGAAAATGAAATAATCTAAAATAATTAATTATAAATTTTCTGTTTTATAAATAAAATATTTTTAAAATAAAATTGTACCTAAAATGAACTCTAATGTACTATAAAAGAATTTATGACATCTCTATGCTAGTCGAAAACTTTAATAACATTCAGTAAAGGAAATTAAAGTAAAACTATTCTAAAATTAGAATCTGAAATAATTAAAATTTAATTATCCTTTTATTTAATAAATAATATAATTAATATCAAAATCAATTAAATTTGAATTAAAATACTTACTAAATCTAAATAGCCATATTAAATTTAAGCTATGTTTTTATATTAAAAAAGTGGTATTTGAGCATTTTAAGAATTATATGGCCATATTTATACTTTATTATCTAATCCCATACTCCCAAATCTTTAATTAATAGGATCTAGAACTATTGATTATACTTAACCCTTATAAAAAATAGAAAGTAAGTAAAGTTTAAAGTAGTGTTAAAACAAAATAAAATACTTAATGAATAGGAAACAGTTTTGTAAAAATGTAACTTTAGGAAGTGATATTGTAATTCCAAACATACCCATCTTAGTCAAAAGTAAGTATACATTAATTAAGCTTGTCATATGCCCCATCTGTTCCTTATAAAACTTAAATTATATTAACTTATTAGTCAAAACTACTCAGTTAAACTAATAATGGAAACCAATCTACCTATTTAATAGTTGATAAAATAAATTACAAATTATTTTTTTAAATTTATTATTTCAACATAATAATATTTTATTTCAGATTTTTTATAATTTTCTTTTTTAAATGCTTATTAATTAAATTAAATACTGTAATAATTTTTTACAATACAATTAAATCATTAGTTAGTTTTATTATTTTTTAGGAAAAATAATACAAAAATGGTGAAAATTATAGTTTTCTTCATTTAAAATGAAAAAAGAAGATTTTAAAGTATTTATAAAATATAAAAAAGTTAAAAAATTTACTCCTAATAAGATTAAAAAATTGTTTGTTTAATCAATTATAATTCTACTGACAACGTAAATCTACATCAAATATTAATAATCTTTAAGCAGATAGAAATTATTAATTGAAATATCATTCTTCCATACATAAATACTCCCACCTGTACAACCTGAAATTATTCTGTTGTTTTCTACATCAACAGCAAAAGTATTTACAATTTGGCAATCAATAGGATCATGCTAAAGTAATTATATGAAATTTAATTTTGGATAACTATGAATAGCAATAGTGTTATCTAAAGAAGAAGTCGCAATAATACTCCATTCATAAATGATGTTTAATTGGTTTATTAATTAAAGATGCTTTTTAAAAAATAAATAATTAAAATAAAATAAAAAATAGGTACATGAAAAAATAAAATTACTTTAAATTATGACACTAAAATCATATTATATGTTTAAAGATCATACTAATAAACTTTATCAGTATAAATAAATATGCTGTTTGTATATTAATCTATAACCCCTCCTTAAGTTTTCTCTACAAATTATATTTGTTTCATTAATTTTTTCTAAGTATAATCAATAAAATAAATCATAAGGCCTGAGCCATATAGAATTTTTTTATAAGAAGTGTTTATCTAAAAAGTAGAAAGTGTAATTTAACTAGTCGCTATCCAATCACAAACCTATTAATAAGCAAAATATTGTAATTGAGTAATTTAAGTAATTTAATTTACTTATTCTAAAGTTGAGTAATCGTAACTAAAAATTTGATTGGTAGAAAGCAAAATAATTAATAATTTTTCCTCCTCATCAATTTAGATAGAGGAAACAGTAGAACTTCCTTAATCAAGTTACTCATTTTTCAAAAAAATTTAAGATTAAACATCAATAAAAACAAGTTAGTTTCCATTAGCGACAACTAAGAGTAATTCTTCATCCAGCAGTAGTAAACACTAGTTTGGTATTATAAATGCAAAATTAATCATTTTTAAATCATTTGTCTATTTGTTAATTAGGATAATTTCGTTTGGAGAAGCCATTAAAATAACTAAATATTTATTTCCAAAGCAAGCACTTTAAGATACTTAATTTTACTTTTACTTGAATGATAAACTTTTTATATTTATGTTTTAAGTATTTTCTATTATTGCAATCTATTTGTAAAAAAAATTATAAAAAAATATATAATTTTTTTAATTTTGAACAAAATTAATATATAAATAAAATTTACTTATAACGTCCCAACTACATTAAAAAGGATCAATGAGTTTGAAAAAGTATCAAAGTATGTTTAATTAGAGTAATAATTTTGTAAATTTAAAGTATTTATTTAAATTTAGTGACTATCCGATCCTTAAGTGAGCATTTGTATCAAATTTTAATACACAATAATTGGTCCATACTGACTTTAAAAAACTTTTACAGTATAATTAGTAATTGGTGAATCGTAGAATAGATTAAATTTTTTATAATTAAAAGCATATAATTTTTAGCTTAAATCTACAACTAAAATAATTGATAAATTATTGTCAAAATAAACTTAGTTAACTTTGAAACTTTCTTCAAAATGTAGAATTTATAAAAAAGTTCCATCTAGATAAGTTGTTATTACTAAATAATTTTAAGGAGTCCAAGCAGGCCAAATATATATTTAATCTCCTTACTATTTTAAAAATTTAATTGATTTTTAGAATTTTGAATAAAAAACTAAACCTTATTAAATTATAATCTACTAAAAGTTGAGAGATTATAATATTAAGTCAGATATTCACCCTTTGGAAAGCTATAGTAACCTAATTTCCCTTAATTCTCAATCATGTAAATTCTAAGTAATTCATCATCAAAATAAAGACCTTCTACTTATTCATTTGGTATATCATATGTATAGAAGCAGCTTGTCTGCCTTTTTATTTGCCCATTTGTTATATCTATAAATACCATTCCACTAGATGTTAACGTTTTTAATATGGAACCTTCAAAAATAGCATTTGGAGTAACACCTAAAAGTAATCTTATTGATCATTAAATTAAAATTAGAAAACTGTTTATAAAAAATGTAATTTTTACTATGAGCCTAAGCATTTGTTAAGTTGTATAACTCTATTTTCATTTACTACCACAGTTATCATTGTTTAATTACCATAAAATACTGTGAAATCATCTCCTACAATTAGCTTAGTGTAATTTATTAACTTTAAATCTTAAGGAGGTAGTGCATTAAGACTATCGTACACATTATAATCGCTATAATCCATCAATTATGTCGCAGGATTTATAAACTAAGAACCAAAATAAATCATTGAATTACTTCCACATACTATCAAAGATCCATCATTTAAAAATCCATAGTCGTTAATTTAATTTGGAGAGAAAAAAAGTAAATTATGTTAATTAAAATTTTAATTCAAAGAGAAAATGGAATATCCACTTATATTATAACTTATGAATGTTAATCCTTAGCTTTATTAGAATTTCAAATTTGTAATATTTCCTAATTAAAATTATAAAATATTTTAGATTTCAAAATTAGTTTAGCTTATCTTGTAAATGCTATTATTAGATGAAAGAACAAATATGTAGTCTTAAGTAAAATCACTTTCGCATTGAATTCCATCAGAATCTAATTTTATTTAAAAAGATTATCCAACCGAGCGAAGGTAGACCTTTTAATTATTTTGCATAAAAATTATATTTACTTTTAAAATAAAAAAAATTAAAAAGCTTAATATTTAATATCAAAACGAAATCTAATTATCTTAAAAGTAGAGATAAATAATTTAAATAAAAAGAGAAAGTTATATTTTACATAGTTATCTTTAGGGTAGTACAAAATATTATTTTTAATGTTGTAACAAACTTAAATTTATTGTTACTAACTATTATCTATAGTTTCAAAGTTATATTTAATAGCTGTACTATTCTATTAATAGAGACTTTATTAATATACATTAAAATTGATATCTATTATGTATATGAAAGTTTCTGATAAAGATAAATCAGAAATGTTGATTTGCTTATCAGTAAAAATAGAATGAATTTGAATTTTGTTATCTTAAAAATATGAAGTTGAATAAAAAAGACTAGCATCTGTAAGATTCCACACTCCAAGCAAGCCTTAACTTCCATAATCTACCATTAGCTATTCATATTTATCCTATTTTTTAAAGAATAATAATTCTCCTCCTAAAACATTCTAATCTCCTATTTATCCTTAACAACTAGTAGAGGAATAACCTAAATCAATATCAAAAGGGCAAATTTCTTAAAATGAAATTTTTATTAAATTTAGACAAGCTAATATTATTAAAAGCTTATCCATTTTTAAAAAATAGTTATTTATTTATTGTCTTTTCTTAAATAGATTTTGAAAAACTAATTTATATTCTATAAATATTAATTATTTAAATTTTCTGTTTATTTATTTCTTATTAACTTATAAAATATGTGTATTTGACTAATAAAAATCTTAATCTTTGATAATATTTATAAAAAGGGAATTTTAATAGAGTGTCCATTATTGGCCTTATGAAAAAATCGTTTTTAAAATAACTATTTATCTTTTTTACAAATTATTAAATATAGCAAGATGCCATACAAAAATTTCTTGGTTTGCATGCCACTTATTATGAAATATATTTTTTATTTAGTTATTAAAAAATCTAATTTTTATATTTTATAATAGAATTATTATTAATAATTTAATTTATTATAATTTCAAAAATAAATAATTTTTTTACATCAAAATTTTTAAATTTAGCTAAACCTTTGTATATTGGGCACAAAATTTTCCCCCTTGAGTGACCAAATTCCTCAAGTTTTATAGTAGTTAATTAGATTTTAATTAAAGTTTAAAATATTTATTGTGTAAAATGATAAAATATTTTAAAATATGATCTAAAATGGCTTCTATAAAATAGTTACAATTGTAAAAATAACTTTTTAATCATTTTATAAAATTCATTTCGAGTTTTTTATATGAGTTTTTTTGGTTTAAAAATAATGAAATTGAGTAAAATAAAGATTTCTTTAACTAAATTTAAAAGAAATTGTTGGTTTAATTTAGTTTGGTAATTGATTATTGATACAAAAGGTTTACATTTATTGTTTGGTGTTTTAAAATAATTTTTTTTTTTTGAAATTCTTTTATATTTTTAGCGCTTTTATAAATTTAAAAGCAAAAAATAAAATAATTTTTAATATAGTACAATAATAATATGCTAACATAAATATAATATAGATGAATAACATTAAATAAGGTTCAATAATTAAACTATATTCTAGAATTTTTTTCAATTTAAATATACTTCAATAAAAATTAGTTATAATAATACTAATCAAATTTTATTTTTATTAAATTTCTTTTGACCGTTCTATCTAATCGGCCTTATGAAAATGAATTAATATTAATTTAAATAAAAGAATAATATTACTTCATCATATTTAAGAGTTTGTTTTTTTAAAAGTAGAAAGTTAATCATTAAAGATTGAATCTAATTCTTAGTCATTCTTTTTATAATCTCTGTACTCTATTTGGTTATTCAACAGCGCAAACTAATCACGATAGATATTTTTGATATTATTATCTTTAAATAATAAATTTTGAAATTTGTTTGTTTTTACTATAAAATTACTTCTTGTTCTAAAATTATACTTAGCTAAGCAGTTATTTTATTAATTCTCTTCTTGCTCACTAACATTTTAACTAATTTATTAGTCAATATCCTTTTGATTTTTGTTTTGTAATTCAGAAAACATTTTATATAGTTTTGGACTTCCTTATTAGCTAAGAGTAAAATTTTATGTTGTAGATTAGATTTCTGTATTATACTAAACCAAAAATTTTTTTGGAGAAGTTTAGTTTATATTTAAAAATAGACCGCTCTATTTTAAAGTACTGTTTTCTTTCATCTTTTTGGAAAGAAGCTTTTTTCTTGTATTATATGCTAAATTATTAGCCTCTTTAAAGCTATTTTGATCATTAGGCTCAGAATTAGAAAAGAAAGGTGCATTTTTATCTCTTTTTTTTCTCTAAATATAATCTTAAATTTAAAGTCGAAGAAGCTAAAAATTATTGAATTTTTTAAATGAATTGTCTTCTGTGCAATAGATTAATAAATAAAGAGAGTTCATATGCTATTTTAAGTATTTTTTAATGAACTTGAAAAAATTTGAATTGCTTTGCAAACATCCTTTTATAATTAATATAACCTTAGTATTTTTTAACTAATGATAAGTAAGAAAAATTGAGGTATCTAAGTAAGCAAAGAAGATTTTTAAAAATGCGGCTGTTTGCAAAATATAAGCAACAATAGTACCAAGGTATATAAGAATATCTTATTCTATAATATTGAGTAGAATATTTATTATTGTGAGCAAACAACAAATTTAAGAAAAAAATAAGTCTATTTTATAGTATTTAACCTTTTAGTATGGCTTTTTAAAAAAAAAAGTTAATTTTTCAGATAAAAAAGAAAACTTACTTAATATTTTTGTAAAAGCAGAAGATAGCAGTAAAGGATAATTAGTATCAAAGATGCTCTAATAAGTACGCTGGAATCAAAATATATTACTAAAAAGACTAAGATCAACTTCAAGTTCATTGCTAAAAACTCCCACAAATAAAATTTTTATCTATATCCACAAATGAGGAAACCATACTTTTTAAAAAAATAAATAAATGATAATATAAGTTACTGTAACTTCTTATTTACTCTGCTGAGTCAAAATTCAAAATTTTACTCTTCTTTTTTAAAAAAAACTTGGCTTTGGGTAGCCCATCAATTAATGATTATTGTTTAATTAAAAGTAAGAAGCTACGGTAGATTATTTAAAGTATATAAATACCTTTCTAATTAATTCAAATTGATGTGAAAATGTATCAAAATGCTTTGATTTACTACATATTTTATAAATCAATATCCCTGGTACTAAAACTATCCATAATAATGTCATTGGCATTATCATAGATATTATCAAAATCACATGATTGGTTGAATAGCACTTTTCTAATAAGTAGTAGCTCATAAACGACTCCTTACCTATCTTTTTGCAAGTAAATATCTAAGCCAAAGACTCAAAGGAACTTTACTATAAGAAAAAGAAAAGGAAGACGAAACAAATCACAGTTGAATCTTTCTAGTAAGATATTTAGAGTTATTTACATATAAAAAATTTATTTTGTAATTAAAATTTACCTTGTATTCATAATAAAAAGAACTCTTATTTTATTTAGAGAAAAAACTTATTACTTTAATAATCACAGTGTAGAATAAGAACCCTAAGGGAATGATTATTAAAGGAAATGCTATAAAAAATAACACTTTATAATAATACACTGGTAAGATAGTACCAAATTTACTTACAATACAATCCAGCAAATTTTAATTTGAACTTACAGGAGAAAATATTGAGATTATTTTAAAGTTAAATATTTGTTTTGGGCAAAGATTGGAAATACTGATAAAGATTTAAAGATATCTAATCATCAATCTACTATAAAAACTTTTTTCACCTATTTAGCCTGAATTGCCTAATCTTATTAGCCCTAGCCTATCAATAATCAAAACCTTAGTCATCATATTTAAATTCATTTTAGTTTAGTAAAGTAAATATGTCAAATATAATAGAGTAATGAAACATATTAAAATCTATTCAGCTATTTATTTTCCTTCTGATTAACATTTATAACAATTAACTTCTAAACCACTTTATCCATAAGAATGATTCCAAAATGATCCTAATATATCACAAGTCTAGCAAAGAGGTCCTATTAAACTTTTATTTTTTATCAATTAAATTTATTTAAAACTAAAGTAATTTTTGAGAAAAAATTACCCTTCAGAGCAATAATTAGTATCTTCTTATCCGTTACAAAAATTTTATTATTTTGTAGTACAAGATAGTATATTATCACTGAATTTATCAGATCTCCAAAATCCTTATTTTAAAGTAATTTAGCTTCCTAAACAAGAAATGCAAGATGAATAATCACAAGGCTTGCATTATATATTATTTGTATTTGAGTTTGGATCTTCAATTGAATATGTACCATTTTAACATGTTTAACAGTTTGCTAATGAACAAGATGTGCAAGCTGATTATATTATTTCTCCTATTTAACAATATCTAAAGTTGTAATCTATATAAATAGTTAAAGTATCAGTAAATCCTTGTGTTAAATTAGAAAACAAGTGAAATCCTTTAAATTACAAAACTGCTCTCCCTATTTTACCTAATTGCCCTTATTTTTTATAAAGTTTATTCAAATCTACCCAGATTTTTTGCAATTGTTTATTTTAATATAACAAATATACCATAAATCCTCAAAAAATTTGATTTGATGATAAATAATGAGGATAAATAAAAAAAACTACATATTTCTTATTCAAGAAATAATTATCCTATAATAGGTATATTAGAATTTATGAGAATCAATGGTATTTATTTATTAAAAAATTACCTGATACTTAGTACTAATTTAAAAGAAATTCATCAAACTCAAAAGATTAAATTGTTGCGCCCTATAACTTCAAGTCAATTTACCTTAAATCTTGGATATTATTTAAAATATATAACTCTTAGAGCTCAACAAAATATTAAGAAAATTCTTATATTATTTTATCTGGGACATTTTCTGAACTCTAAAATTTTACTTAACTTCCTTCTTCATCTAAGATGTTTATTTTCAAAATATTATTTTGCGTTCCACTTTATATATCTTTAAAAGTATATATTGATCCATTTTGTAAAGACTGATTATTAATTTTAACGCTTTAAGGATAAGAACAGAAATTGTTACCATAGAATTAACCTTAATTATTTATGCATTCATTTTAATAAGCAGTACCACACGAATCTTTAACTGAGCTGTTACTATTTTTTTTAAGGAATTAAGGTATAAAGTTCAAGTACCTAGCTACTCCTCCAATAATAGCTTTGTTTCTTTCAAAAGTGCTATTCGATATCTAGATATTTGAGTCATTAAGTAAAAAAACTCCACCATTTTCTCTTGCTGTATTATTCGTAAAGGTTACATTATTTAACTGACCATCACACATGTTAATAAAATATAGTGATCCTCCATCTTTATTTTAATATAATAAATCATTAATAATTGTAAAAATTCTGAATAATTACTTTAAGCTTCATTTTCAAAAAATTAACTATTTTATATTTCAACATAAGAAGACTCAAAATAAAAGACACCTCCTCCGTATTATGTAGAATAAAGTTTATTTGAAGTAAAATATGATTAATCTATTAGCACTTAGCTTTAGGTAATAAAAATTGGTGAAAAGTTTTATAATTAATTATCTTCTAGCTTAAAATTCTTTATTTAAATCTGCTCTGAAATAAGTGTTATTAAACCAGTAGTTGAGTTGCTTAATTAATTTTTCATAGATATAATTTGAAAATCAATAAAGGAAAAATTAGCATATATCATATAGCTATCTGGAATTAAGTATTTATTTGACTCTATTTTACTCAAAGACATTCCAAAGTAACTATTTTTTACTTACAAATTATTAATTAAGGAGTTTTGAGATTATTATAAAAAATAATTGTCATAAATTATTGCTAGATTTATATTATTATTAAAATTTAAATAGGTAAAATTAATATTATTCGATATTACAGTTTACAATAAGATAGAGAGCTATGTGCTAACATTATCAAAAATTTCATTTAAATCCATAGTAATTGAATATGCGTACTAAATTAAAAAGAAATTAGTCGATTTTATTTTATTATTTGCAATCTTATTATTTCTAAATATAAATTCTGAATCTTTATCATAATTAACACTGTTATTAAAAGTAAGAAATTGTTTTGTATTAATATTATTATCAGTAAAGTAGCTCTCTTCTATTATTAAAAGTTCTGTGTTTTCAATATTTAAGGAGGTTTAAATATCTTGATTAATTATACTGACATTATTAAAATGAAATAATTACAGGTTTTAAACATTTAAAGATTGGTTTTAAAAGATTATTTAACATGAAAGAAATTATAATTTTTATAATTAAACATTTCCTAATTATTGCTATTATTATTCTTCTTCTTGAAAATAAACTATTAAATTTTATAACTATATTTCTACTAATGTTTATGAATTGATTAACTAATTTATATTTATACTTCCTTCAACAGATTTTGAATAATTAGCTCCGTTTATTATAAGTTAAATTTGCATATCTACTTTAGAATCCAATACTGGAAATCCTTTAAACTTAAAATTTTAATACATATTTATGAGAATTTTATGTTACTGATAGGATTCGTAGTTTATCAAACTATTTTTCCTCAAATTTTAATATTAGCTTAGTCTTTTATATAATTAAAAATAATCAGCATCATTAGTATTATATTAGCATGACATTTACCCCAAGGTATCTGCCATCATATAATTGATACCATTGTAATTATATGAAAGAACACTTATTATATAATCAAATCCTACTTATTCAACTTTTAAATAAATATTTTCATAAAATTAGTTTCTATTTAGAAATTATTATACAACGCTCAATTATATCGATTCAGGATTTTCATTAGAAGAAATTATTGAAAAAGTCTACCCAAATTACACAAAGATTTGCTAATTTTAAAGAAGAGTAGCTTTCCTTTTCATAAAATTGGTCTCCACTAGAAAATTGCTCTGATAGAAATTTATTAATTCAAATGATTAATAATCATATAGAATATAGTAGAAATCAGAACTCACTAAAATCAATTAGTATTCTGGTTAAAGTATAATTTACTAATATGTCTACCAACGAGATGCTGTTTAAATAAGTTACAGTAAAGTAAATTATTCATAATCATCGTTTTTATAGATTTGGCAATAGTTTACATTTTGCAAGTTTACTAAAATATAATCGGAATTTACAATAATTTAAAATATAGGAAATCCTAAATGAATTTATCTTTAAACTTTTACATTATTATTTTCGACTAGGTATTAAACTAATTAACTATCAAAAGAGTAACTAAAAATTATTTAATCAGTATATATTATCAAATCTATTATAGCTAGCTGATGAATTTTTGGAAATTATTTTGTTATTAAACCTGTTGAACTTTCTACAAAAGCAATAGAGTGGTTGACAAATATAATAATAAATTCAGTTGATTGTAAAATACTATTGAAAAACTTATATAACGGCATATCTAATTACTTCTGGTATAATTTTAAGAAATCATATTTATTACCAATCTAACTAATTTAATACGATGTAATTTAATTATTATATCCGCATACAATTATATCTTATTTGTTAACACTGTGAGAGCATTCTACTTAAATTTTTTGAATTAGCTCTAAATTTTTTTTTTAGATTAAATTAATCTACTTTGTAGTGACTAAAACAAAAATATCTTCGTTTATTAAATATATCGTATTGTTACATCTATCGCTAAATTATAATATAGGCCCATTTTCTGCCTGTTAATCCATTAAAGACCATTTTTAAATATTACCATCAGACCTAGTATAATATAGACTATTATTTTCTTCATCAAAAGCATAACTTATAATAGAAGATGATCTATTAATAATCTAAAAATAACTATTTTGTATAGAAAACTCGTATTCCCAAAACTTTACTGTTTAATCATTCGAAAATGAAATAATCTAAAATAATTGATTATAAATTTTCTGTATTTTGAAATATTTTAAAAATGAAAATGTACCTAAAATGAGTTCTAATTAAGTATAAAAGAATTTATGACATCTTTATGCTAGTCAAAAACTTAAATAACATTCAGTAAAGGAAATGAAAGCAAAACTATTCTAAAATTAGAATCTGAAATAATTAAAATTTAATTATCCTTTTATTTAATAATAATAATATAATTAATTTCTAATTAAATAAAATACTTACTAAATCTAAATATCCATTTTAAATTTAGGCTATGTTTTTATATTAAAAAAGTGGTATTTGAGCATTTTAAGGATTATATGACCATATTTATACTTTATTATCTAAACCCATGCTCCCAAATCTTTAATTAATAGGATCTAGAACTATTGTTTTCACTTAACCCTATTATAAAAAATAGAAAGTAAGTACAGATTAAAATAATATTAAACAAACTTATTACTTGGTGAATAGGAAACTGCTTTCTAAAAATGTAGCTTTTAGAAGTGATATTGAAATTCCAAACATATCCATCTTAGTCAAAAGTAAGTATACATTAATTAAGCCTGTCATATGCTCCATCGTTTCCTTGTAAGACTTAAATTATGTTAACTTATTAATCTATACTACTTAGTTAAACTAACAATGGAAACCCATCTAACTTTTTTAATAGTTGATAATTTAAATTACTTATTATTTTTAAAATTTATTAAATAAACTTAATAATATTTTATTTAAAAATAATATAATTTTCTTTTTAAAAGGATTTATTAAATTGAATACTGTAATACTATATTTAATTCAGTTAATTTATAATTTAATTAGGGGTAACTAGTTTTTATTATTTTTTAAAACAATTTAAAATTAAAAAATTTAACTAAAATTAAAACTCATAATTCTGAACATTTGATTTTTTAGTTCACTAAAGTGATTTTGAACTTCTTTTAAACGATTATAATTTTTAACACCTGTAAAGCTATAAATCAATCAAAAATTAATTATTAATTAAAAAATAATAATAATAATAATAATAATATCACAAAAAAATAATAACAAATATCTTCTATTCCTTTCAATCCAAAAAGTGAATTAGATTAACTTCTTTCTTGCTATATCCCTATTACTACAAGAGATAATAAATAAAATTAATTTTGCTATGACACCTAAGCTTTACGATACATTGTGATTATTTATAATTATTTTTTGCTAGGTGGATTCTATCAATAAACTTTAATCAACATTAGAATATCCTAATAATAAAATATTTTTTTTTTAGTACTATTAAAATATATCTTAATTTTCAACCATTTTAATTTTTTCATTTTGGGCAAATTATTAAATTTTAAGCCAAAAAATTTTTTATAGGCTAATGTTAAAGTGAATTAGAATATAGGAGAATTTAGAGTATTTTTAAAATGATAAAAAGTTTAAAATTTACTCCGAATAACATTAAAAAGTTGTTTGTTTAGTCAATTATAATTCGAGATACAGAGTAAATCTAAAGCAAATGTTAATAATTTTTAAGCAAATAGAAATTATTAATTGAAATATCGTTCTTCCATACATAAATACTCCCACGTCCACAACCAGAGATTATTCTGTTGTTTTATATATCCACAGCAAAAGCGCTAACACTTTAGCAATCGGTAGGATCATGCTAAAGTAACTCTATAAAATGTAATTCTGGATAGCTATGTATAGCTATAGTGTTATCTAAAGAAGAGGTCACAATGATATCCCATTCGTAAATAATATTTAATTGATTTATTTATTAAAGATGCTTTTAAACACATATTATTAATATAAAATTATGAAAAATTACATGAAAAAATAAAATTACTTTAAATTAAGAGACTCTAATCAGATTATATGTATAAAGATCATACTAATACACTATATTAGTATAAATAAATATTATGTTTTTTTTCTAATCTATAACTCCTCCTTAAGTTTACTCTACAAATTAAATTTATTTCATTAATTTTTTCTAAGTGTAATCAATAAAATAAATCATAATCCCTGAGGCGTATAGAATTTTTTTATAAGAAGTGTTTATCTAAAATGTAGAGATTGTAATTTAATTAGTCTCCATCCAATCACAAACCTATTAATAAGCATAATATAATAAATGAGTTATTAAAGGGATTGAATTTACTAATTATAGAGATGAGTAATCGTAACTAAATATTTGGTTTGTAGAAAGCAAAATAATTAATAATTTTTCTTCCTCATCAATTTAGATAGAGGAAACAGTAGAACTTAATTAATCAAGTTATTCATTTTTTAAATAAATTTAAGATTAAACATCAATAAAAATAAGTTAGTTTCCATTAGAGACAACCAAGAGTAATTTTTCATCAAGAAGTAGTAAACACTAGTTTGGTATTGTGAATGCAAAATTAATCACTTTTAAATCATTAGTCTATTTGTTAATGAGGATAATTTGGTTTGGAGAAGCCATTAAAATAACCAAATATTATTTTCCATAGCAAACGTTTAAAGATACTTAATTTTACTTTTATATGAATGATAAACTTTTTATATTTATGTTTAAAGGATTTTCTATATCTACAATCTATTTGTAAAATAATTTATAAAAATAAAATGTTTTCAATTTTTAACAAAAATTAATATTTAAATAAAATTTACTTATAATAATCCAACTATATTAAAAAGGATCAATGAGTTTGAAAAAGTATCAAAGTATGTTTAATTAGAATAGTAATTTTGTAAATTTAAAGTATTTATTTAAATTTGGTGATTATCCTATCCTTTTGTGAGCATTTGTATCAAATTTTAATACACAATAATTGTTCCATACTAGCTTTAAAAAATTTCTACTGTGTAATTAGTAATTGGTGAATCATAGAGTAAATTAAATTTTTTATAATTAAAAACAAATAATTTTTAGCTTAAATCAATAACTAAAATAATTTCTAAATTATTGTCATAATAAATTTAGTTAACTTTGAAGTCATTATCAAAATTTAGAGTTTATAAAAAAGTTCCATCAAGATAGGTTGTTATTACTAAATAATTTTAAGGAGTCTAAAATGGCCAAATATATATTTAATCTCCTTACTATTTTAAAAAAATAATTTATTTTTAGAATTTTGAATTAAAAACAAAACCTTGTTAAATTATAATCTACTTTAAGTTGATAGATTATAGTACTAAGTCAGATATTCACCCTTTGGAAAGCTAAAGTACCCTAATTTCCCTTAATTCTCAATCATGTAAATTCTAAGTAATTCATCATCAAAGTAAAGACCTTTTACTTATTCGTTTGGTATATCATTTGTCTAGAAGCAGCTTGTATGCCTTTTTATTTATCCATTTGTTATATCTATAAATACTATTCCATTAGATGTTAACGTTTTTAATATGGAACCTTCAAAAATAGCATTTGGAGTAACACCTAAAAGTAATCTTATTGATCATTAAATTGAAATTAGAAAGCTGTTTATAAAAAATGTAATATTTACTATGAGCCTAAGCATTTGTTAAGTTGTATAACTCTATTTTCATTTACTACCACAGTTATCATTGTTTCTCCATAAAATACTGTGAAATCATCTCCTACAATTAGTTTAGTGTAATTTATCTATTTTAAATCTTGCAGAAGTAGAGCATTAAGATTATCATACACATGATAATCATTATAGTCGATCGATTATGTAGCAGGATTTATAAACTAAGAACCAAAATAAATCATTGAATTATTTCCACATACTATCAAAGATCGATCTTTTAAAAATCCATAGTCATTAATTTAATTTGGAGAGAAAAAAAGTAAATTAGGTTAATTAAAATTTTAATTCAAAGAGAAAATGGAATATCCACTTATATTATAACTTATGAATGTTAATCCTTAGTTTTATTAAAATTTCAAATGAGTAATATTTCCTAATTAAAATTAAAATATATTTTAAATTTCAAAATTAGTTTAGCTTATCATGTAAATGTTATTATTAGATGAAAGAACATATATATAGTCTTAACTAAAATCACTTTCGCATTGAATTCCATCAGAATCTAATTTTATTTAAGAAGATTATTCAATTGAGCGAAGGTAGACCTTTTAAATAATAATTAATTTCAAAACGAAAGACAATTAAAAAGTAGAGATAAAAAATAAGAAAATTAATGATTGTTTTTGAATATAATTTAATAAAAGAGGAAAAGTAAAATATATTTTACATAGTTATCTTTAGGGTAGTATAAAATATTTTTTTAAATGTTGTAACAGATTTAAATTTATAGTTATTAACTATTATCTACTGTCTCATAGTTAAATTTAATAACTGTACTATTCTATTGATATAGACTTTATTAATATACATTAAAATTAATATCTATTATGTATATGAAAGTTTGTGCTAAAAATGGATCAGAAAAGTTGATTTGCTTATCAGTAAAAATAGAGTGAATTTGAATTTTTTTATCAGAAAAATAAGAAGTTGAATAAAAAAGACTAGCATCTGTAAGATTCCACACTCCAAGTAATCCTTAGCTTCCATAATCTACCATTAGTTACTCATATATATCTTAATTTTTAAAGAATAATAATTCTCCTCCTTAAACATTATAATCTCCTATTTTTCCTTAACAATTAGTAGAGGAATAACCTAAATCAATATCAAAAGGGCAAATTTCTTAAAATGATATTTTTATTAAATTTAAACAAGTTAAAATTATTAAAAGCTTATCCATTTTTACAAAATAGTTATTTACTTATTATTTTTTTCTTATTGATTTGAAAAACTAATTTATATTTCAAATTAATCATTTAAATTTATGATTATTTATTTATTACCAACTCCTAAAATTTACTCATTTGATCAATAAAAAATCTTGATTTTTAATTATATACAATATAAAAAGGGATATCTAATTAGCTGATTTTCCGACTTTATGAAAAAATAATTTTTAAAATAATTTAAAAAAAAGATATATAAAATAACTATTATTTGAAGGGGTTTAAAATACTTTATTTTATTACATTACATTAATTTAAATTACTCATATATTTAAAACTAACTACAAAAGAATAAAGGAAGAAATTTATGATATTTTGAATATTCCATTATTGTTATTTTTATAGATACAGTAATAAAATTGCACTTAGAAATTTTCATAATTATTTCCTAAATGTTATTTAATAGTTGAAAGATAAAAAATAAAAGATTAAACATTTTTACTTAAAAAAAGAGCTTTAAAATAAAAGATATATTTTAATTAAAAAAGCAAATAATTCTTTAAAGCATACTTACTGATAGATGTATTTTTAGCTAAATATAAATTCTCAAATTTTATTAATGAATCATAAATTTAGTGCAAATTAAATCATAATATATTTAAATAAGATTACTTAAATTTATTTTGAAAAAAAAGTAAGTATATTTATTGTTTTGATAAATATAGTTAAACTTAGTTTTTATAACCAAAAAAAAGCGCTCGATGTAGGGATCGAACCTACGACCTTGCGGTTAACAGCCGCATGCTCTAACCAGCTGAGCTAATCGAGCTTAACAATTTTTTTAATTATAAGTTTAAGATCATTCATTTTGGTAATACAAAATAAATTTAAAAACTTTAAAAATTATTTTTATTTATATTTTTTGAAATAAATAGTGAACTTTGATTTGTAAATTATATATTTTAAATTCTTATTTTATTAAATACACCATAAATTAATTTAGTATTTCATAGGATTTATTAATTAGTTTCTAAAGTTTACTTAATTTCATATTAATTTTCAAAATTATTAAAAATTAAGCCTTTATAGGACTTATTATAATAAAATTTATAATACATTCTTTACTTATTTATCTGATAGATCTTATCCATTAGTTTTAATAATGTATTTTATATTTTAAGTAAAGTTCATCTAGAAATTTTCTTTTGAAAAAAATTAAAAAAAATTATCCAAAATAAAAAAATTAATTAGAAAAATATTTTATCTATAAAAGATCTTAAAATAAATAAATGTATTTATAATAGAACTTTTTAAAATATATCAATCAATATAATACTGTTTATTCTATTTACTTCTAAAATAAAAATATTAGGAGGTGACACTGAATTTTTTACTTGTACTCTCTTTTATAAAGGCTAATATTTTAAGTAAAAAAAAAAAATAAATTTAAAATTCCTTTTAAAATGTTAAAATGAATAATTTAATATTTTTTGATGATAGTATTTCTTTTTAAAAGTAATAAAATAACAATATATAAAATATCATAATTCATAATCACTTGACAAGTCTTTTATCTTTTTAATATTTGTTTTTAGATTATTAAACTAATAATTTTTAAAAAGTTTATATTAAAATAACAGCTAACTAAATAAATAGCACATGAATAAATAAACTATTAAAAAAGAAAAATTTTTTCATCAATTATTAATGTTAAAGTTAAAATAATGATAAAAAGAGTTAATATTTTTATGTAAAGTATTATTTTGTTTGAAATTTTATCAATAAAAATTATTATTAAAATAGAAGTATTTTCCTTTCAAAAATCATCACTTTTAATAATTTTTTTATTGAATTACGAAACAAATTTTGTTTTTCGTTCAATATTTATCAATTAATTTGATAAAAATAATTCATTTTATATTGAGAAAACGTTTGTTTATTTTTATGTCTTTATCATTTAATTGTGTCTTTACTTACTTTTAAAATTAAGATATGTCTTTAAATCTGAAAAATAGTGGTAATATATTTTGGTAAATCAATAGATATTAAGATTTATAAATTTAATTAATTTTTAATTTTACTTGAAGAAAATATTTATTCTAATGATTAGAAACACCGTATAGCTCTTTAAATAGTGCGCAAGATCTGCAACTATTTTAAAAAAACTTAATCTTAACTCATAAAGCTTTAGCAATACTATTAAAATAGGTTAATTGACTCAAAAGCCAACTTTTCATTTCTCCAATGCAGTTTAAGGTACATAATATCTTTATAATTTTAAGCTGATTGCTTTTTGGAGCAATTTCTTAAAATAAAATAGAAATTTCCTAATTTTTAATAAAATCACCAATCTTTTTTTAAAATATAGAAGGAAAAGCTGAAATTACTAAAAAATTGAAAGAAATCACATTTGAAGATGGAAGTAATATTATTGATAATGGATCTATTCTCACTATCGATATTGAATCAAGTGGAAAGGTCACTGTTTAGCTTAAGTTAGATTAAAATTACAGAAAACTTAAAGGATTATGCAATGCCAAATTGTAAGAAATTCCATGGATTAAGGAGTTTGAAATTAAAATGGCACCAAAAGTAAATAATTATAATGAATAATTTAGATTTAAGAAAATACTTATGTGTTTTTATTCAAAATAAATTAAAAGGATTAAGAAACATCTTTCAAGAAGAGAGGTTAATTAGAAAATGTCAAAAAGATTATTGCTGTAAGCAGTTGCAAAGGTGGTGTAGGAAAATCAACTGTTGCAATTAATTTAGCATTTTCGCTCCTTAAGCAAGGCCACAAAGTAGGTATTTTCGATGCTGATATTTATGGTCCTTCTATACCAACTTTGATTAATAAGGAAAATGCTATCCTGCAAGCACCTGAAGATAGAGTAAATATGAATTAATTTATTAATTTTGTTAGCATCAACATTAAAAAAAAAGATATGCTATAAAATTTTGAAAATTTAATTAATTCTAAATTGAATTTATTTCAATAAATTAAAGCCTAAAGAAATACTTCCAATTGAGTATGAAGGTTTAAAAACTATGTCATATGGTTTTGCAAGAAAAAAAGCAATCATTAGAGGTCCTATGGTTTCAGCTATAGTAACATAGTTGGCTATGCAAACTCAATGGGGAGATCTTGATTACCTTATTGTTGATATGCCACCTGGTACTGGAGATATTTAAATTACACTTTGCTAAGAAATTAAATTCGATGGTGCTGTTGTTGTCACTACTCCTTAAAAATTAGCATTCGTTGATGTTATTAAGGGAATTGAAATGTTTGATGAATTAAAGGTTCCTACCTTAGCTGTTGTTGAAAATATGGTATGAAATTAAATTTGATATTTAAATATATATTTTTACAGACTTTAATCCTTTTTATTCTTCTAAAATCTTAAATGAATTATTTTAATTAAATAAAGTGTTTATTTGTTTGTGATGGATGTGGTAAAGAACATCATCCTTTTGGACCTGGTTATATGAATATGTTGAAAAACTAATTTGGTATTCAAAGTTCTGTTTAAATCCCAATATACGATATGATAGCTAAATACTCTGACTATGGTCGTCCTGTATCTATCACTCTCCCCGATGAGCACACAATTACTAAAATTTACAGCAGCCTTGCTGAAAATGTCCATCAAGAAATTCTTAAATTACAAAACGGTAATAACGAACCTCCTATCGTAAGGTATAAAACTTTTTTTAAAAGATCAGCAATTTAATTAGTTTACATATCATTTGAGTTTTTTGAGCAATTTTTTTAATTTAACTTATATTAAAAATAATAGATACTAAACCGGTAATAGTTTAGTTATCGTTGAAAAGAATAATGGGGAAATCAAAAAGATGAAAGCTGATGTATTAAGAAAGCACTGCAATTGTGCTCTTTGCGTTGATGAATTTACTGGAAAAAGATTAATTAAAGATGATACCATTGATAACGAAGTATATCCTTATAAAATAGAACCTAAGGGTAACTATGCAGTAGCTATCATTTGGAGTGATGGGCATCGTTCTTCAATTTATCCTTATGACACCTTATTTTCAGATAAGATCCCAGCTTATGAAGAGCCTGAAAAGAAAAAAAGTGCCTGTTCTACTTCTAAATGATTAATCAATAATAATTTATTTGTATTTTCATTTTGTTTAACAATCAAAGATATGTTAATTTACAAAATTAAATAAATAAACAAATCTAAAATAAATAAATTTATAGCTTTTCTAAAAATTGATTTGAAGTAGTTAAAATGTTAATAATAATAATAAATACTTTAACCTTTCTAATTTATTAAAAAAGTTACATATTATTTATTACCCATTATATTTTTTAATATCTTTTTTAAATTATATGGACATATATTTTTGGTAAATTTTAAAGGAAGATATATGTTAAATTATTTATTATCCAAATTACTACAGAACATAAAAATATATAAATTTTTAAAGCTTTGCAAAATAAAAATAAGAAAATTAAACTTTGTATGTAAATTATTATTAAGGAAAAAATATTAAAATTAAAATTATTTTTTATTAATTTGAATGAATTATATTTATATTTCATTTTGCCTATCACCAATAACCTCCATGATTCTCGTCTAAATGGTTATAACATTCGGATGAAGTTGCAAAGAACTTCATGCAATTATCTTTCCAGCAAATATGCTGGTTGCATCTTCTACATTCTACCCTATAACATCCATCTATACGAATGATGTAGACTCCACAATTAGGGCATTTACGAGCACCTTCTTTGATTAAGAATTCTATGTTTTTCGCTTCAGTTTCCTAATAAACTGTACAAGTCATACCAAAATGATATTCTGCTGCACACTTTGAACAGTAAGTTTTTTTGCATTCATAACAAGTATATTTAGTTAGTTTAGATGAATGAATAGACTTACAATTTTCATTCACACAAAAGCTGAATTCTTAAAAGTTGTTTTGTATGTAATGATTTAAAGACATTCTTGTCATTTTTTATATTTGATCCTCACTCATAAGAGTTTTTATATCTTTCATAATAATAGCTTAACTGCAAAAAGGACATTTAATTGGAAGAGAATTCACATCACCTAAAGAATTATCTATTACAAACATAATACAGCTTAGGCAAAATTTATGACCACAGCCCTAATTAATAAATTAAAAAATTAAATCAATATTTTGCTCTAAAATATTTTATTTGACAATTTCTATTTAAAAATATCAATTAATGTTAAAATAAAATATTTGATATCTTTGAATTACTTGCAATCTGTATCCTGTGACAATAGTGTCAGAGCAGACTTAGCAATCTTCATATGAATAAGGCATGTTATTTAAGCATGCTTAGCTATTTTTTTCCTCCAATAAAGCAAGTAAAGCATTCTTAGCTTAGTCAACTTACTTAGAATTACCTTCCATATAAATGTCTTTAGATATGTAGTCTAGCTAAATTTTGCAAATGTTAGTTTTATTTTTAAACTCTTCTAAACCTCTTCCATCTATTCCAAGTATGTTTCTAATATTTTTTCCACTAATAGGAATTTTAACTCTGACACTCTATCTTAAGAAGTACTCAACATCTTTAATTATTTTATAAATTCCTTAATTTTGTTTTAAACTTAATTAATAATTTACCTTTATTTATCAAATCATAAATGGCATCAGTACAGAAAACTCTAACTTCTTCTTTGATTAAATTTATTTTGAAAAATACTGGGTATTTGCTTTCTATTTCTTTGAGCTTCTTTTATCCTATTTCAGTGAACAACTAAGAGTAATCTACTTAATCTTCCTCATCGAATAAGCTGGCCAAATCTAATTTTACCTATTTCAATTAATTAATCAATCTATAAAAATTATTTTAAATTTAATTATTTTAATACATTTCTCAAATCAAGCAGTTTTGATTAAAGCAGAGCTTACATAATTCCTTTTGCCTTATTAAAGTGGGTTTCATCATTGCATTTCAAAATTACAATGAATTCTTATTTAGAGGGAATTGGTCTTACAATTTTTTCCTTGAGTTTTATTTCATTCTTTTGTTACATTTAAACTAATTCCTGATTACCTTTTAATATCATTTAGACTACGTTCATCATCTTCAAGTCATAGTTAAAGGTTTCAATATAATTTCTTTAAACATATAATTTTTATTATCCTAAAATATCTGGCTTACTATTAAATCTTTCATAGTAAGTGTTCATCTTATATAAGTAATTTTTAGAAAAGCATATTTTAGCTTCAACAATACCATGATCTTTTCTTCTTACCCAACTTATTTAGTGTTACTCTTTATAAATCTTATTAAGAGCGAATATTAAACTAGTTTTGCTAATTCCTCTGTCAACATCAGCTATTCTATCTACCTATTTTATATTAAAAATAAAATGGTAAAATAAACAAATATATTAATTAATAATCAATTTACATTTATTCTCACAATATTCTTTTAAAGTTCTGGTATCAAACAAGATTTTAAAGTTTCTTCATCTGTGCATTTTTATAGCCCACTCAATATGACGGTTTTATTAAAATTTTTATCCTATTCTGCTTTAATTTCCTTACCATCAACAATTAGTTTATTTTAAACTAATTTCATAAAAGATTAAACTGATGATTCATCAAGAAATTCAATTCTTCCCTTAATTTAAAAAAATATTTTTCAATAAAAATTCAAAGAAAGATGAATAAAATTACAGTTTGTTTTGATTTCCAAGTTTGCCATCTAAAAATGTTATGATATCTAGTAGAATTATTATCTTGATGTATTTAGTAGCTGTGGTTTTTCAAACGCAACTGCAGGACTCTATCTTAAAATTCTATTTAATTAAATGTTTCTACAAAAAATTTGGAATCTTCTGTTTCAGCCACTAAAACTTCTGCAGAAATAGATTTTTCTTCAACATTTTTGAGGGTGGGATCAGTGAAAAATTTGACTTGAACAATATCTCCATATTCTTCAAATAAATTTATAACATCTTACTCTTTCACATTTAAGGGTAGATTATCAACAATAAAGATGTGTTCATTCTGTAAAATAGTAACTTCTTTGATAGTACCTCCTTTTTAAATCTTTAGGATGCAGTTGTTTCCATGTGAAATTTCCATAACTTCTTCTGAGAGTATTTTTTATGCTTCTTAAAGCAAGTTATTAAAGTGTTTTTCTAGTTTTTCCTGTTGAAAATTAAAAAAAAAAAAATTTTTATTTTCATAATTGAAATAATAAAATTAAGAATTACCTTTTAGCTTGCATCAGAATGTATGGTTATAGTGTCCATATGATGATTAGGCTCATAATAACAATCGAATTTATTTTCCATATCTTTAATTATTTAATTGTTATCTTCAAAGTATTAGAACAACGCATCTGAAATACCAAAATATTCGATCTCATGCAAATTCAAACTTTGTCTTTTAAGCAGTCTGAGTTAATGCTTTTCAATAAATTAAGAAGGAGCATTTTCTAGTAAAAAAGGATGATCTATAGCTAAGCATTGCTTTATTTCATATTAATTTTTAGAATTAATTTGAAGCTGAAGGGGAATAATAAGGAAAGGTCTTTCTTAAATAAGGTTCATGCTGCTTATTTCAGCATAGTTCAACATTTTAGCTGATTCAAAGTGACGGAAACCAAGTCTTCTATGTCCTGAATAAACGCATAAATTTTTCCAATATTTTTCTATAGCAACTTACTGAACAAGTTCTGAAAATTTGGTTGCTTCTAATTTCTGTAAGATTTTAACTGGATCTTCTTTGATATTTAAAACTTTTTGAATATTGAGCATTTTATAAACAATTTTATCATATTGATTTGAATTAACTTGATTTTTTTCTAAAATATTCTGCAGATTGAGATTTTAGCAAGCTAAATATAAATCATCAGTCTAAGAAACCAAGAGCTAGTTATGAACAGAAAAGATATCACCCATTCTACTCCATAAAATTGAGATATGAGCTCCTACTTCTGAAGAGCAGCTAAACCAGTTTTCACTAAGATTTATCATGATCTATAACAAAATCCTAATTGCTTACTTTTAAGGGCATTTCTCATTTTAAATTTCTGAAAAGGCCTTATACTATTCCAAATTTATTAAATTCAAAAAATCCCTCTTTTGTAGTCTAAGGAATTCTTTTTTTTCATACAATCTATGAATTTCGCATGATTTAGTATTACCAATGAGTCTTTCTCTTTTAATAGCTTCTTCTCTTGTAATTTTAGAGCTTACTACAGGAATCTAATCAAAAATAGTATCCATGAAATATACTTTGAATGCTTCACCTGTATCAATTTAAATGATTACATTATCTAAGTTATGATGTTTCAATTGCTTATAGCTTTTAGCTATGAAAATATTAAATTCATTTGCTTTGTAGAGATTTTACTTATTTTTATTAATCTATTTATTTAAATCTTCATTATATTGCTGTATATCTTTTTATCTTTCTTCTTCTTCCTGCTTCAACTTATTTTCTTCATCTTGCTTTCTTTTTATCTCTTCATCTTCTTTTAATTTAATTTCTTCTTCTTCTCTTCTTTTTCTCTCTTCTTCTTCTTATAATTATTTTAATTTAATGTTTTCTTCATCTTCTCTTATTTTTCTCACTTCTTCTTCTTCAATTCTTTTTCTCTCTTCTTCTTCTTTTACCATTAGTTCTTCTTCTTTTCTTTTTTACTCTTCTTCTTCTTTTACCATCTCTTCTTCTCTTTGTACTTTCTATAATTAGATCTCTTACTCTTAATTTTAATTTATCTATATTTCTTATAAGTTTAACTATTATTGCTATATTTCTGGAACAGCAGGGAAAGGAGGAATGTTAAGTTCATCTTAATTAATTTGTTGTAAAGGATGAACATCTGGTATTTATTATACTTGTTATTGATTTATTTTTTCTTTTATTAGTTTTTTTTCTTCATCGAATATTTTATTTTTATCTTCTTCAATCTTCCTTTGTCTTTCTCTTTCAAGTGCTAACTCCTCCTCAATTTTCTTGGCCTACTATTCTTTTTCTTGTTAAATTTTTAATTCTTTTTCTTTTATTTTTTTTTCGACCAATTATTTTTCCCAATTCTTTTTGAAATCTTCTAAGTAAAACTTACTTTCTTCTTCATTCACTTCAATATCTGTCAAATCTATAATATTTAGTTTTTCTTTGATAAGATTTAAATAGTGTTGCTATAAGTATTTGCTCTCTTCAATGTTCTTAACAAATATAAGCACGTCAAATCTCAACAAAGTTTGCTTGTATTTTTTCAAAGCATCAATTATCAGTTGCTCTATTAAATCCATTTTACTTTTTTGTGATAAAATAGCATTCTATACATACTAAATTTTTTGAGGCATTCTTTTGAACTCCAAAACTATTTCTAATTAAGGCTTTATCTACTCTTTAAGCTATGATGCTAAAATGTCATCAGAGTAAATCACGATATTTGGAATCTAAGCTTCATTTTTTAAATTATTTAAATGTTTCTATAACTTTGCTATAAAAATAATCTAAGAAGGATTCAAAAACTCTAAATTTAAAAAGTAAACAGTTTTTTTATTATTGGATCCATTTACGATAACGGAGTCCCAAATTGTCTCTATCATCTATTCGTCTAGTTATAGCTTTAAGTTCTTGTCTTCACTAGCTTATGATTCGAATATGTTAACTAAGTTAATTTTATGATAAAGATTAAAAGCACTCTTTAAAAGAGAAAAAATGAGTCCTCCATTCTAAATAGGGTTTTTATCTGTTATAAATGATAATCCACTATTTACAGATTAAAGTTCGTTCAAACTTTATAAAATTTACCAAACATGGCTATTTTAGTCGCTTCCAAGATATCCAAAATTATTTTTGAAATCTTTGATATATTCAGCCAACTCTTGTTCTTATTCAGAGCTAGTGAAAGTTGATTACAATTTGCACAAATAATCTATTTTGCTTTTTTGGATAATATGCTTTAAATTTTCTTGGCTTTCTTTACTTTCAGAAATCAAATAGTTTTGTAATGTTTCTTCTCTTATAATACTATTAGAAGCAGAGTTTCTTGTTAATGTACTGTGTATATCTTGAACTTAACCCTATTAGTTTATGAGTTCAGAGAGTTCCTATTAAAGCTGCTACATAATTTATAAATATAAACTGCTTTTTAAATTCTTATTGATGATTCTACTAATATCAATCTTTTATTATTTGTTGTTATTTTTTTTTGATAGGTTATAGAAACCAAATTTTTTAATCCAAAATTTTATTATAAGATTCGTTTTTTGATATAAATAGTATAAGCATCATATAAAAAAGCTTGTGGGAAAGATCAAAGAGATACTTGATGTTTATTATAGATAAATATTATTTATGTTATCTGATATTTTTTGGTCATAGAGGCTCCTTAATAAGTTTTGAAACTAGCGCTTCTTGCTTTACTTTAGACATAATACGTATTCATTTATGTGTTAATAATTCACCATAAATTAAAAAAATGAAACTTTTCATAGCAAAACCATTTAAATTATTACTTAGTTTATATTGAGCTTAAAATTGATTTTATTATTTATGTATTTCCCTAATTCTTAAAAGAAATAGATGTAGAAGTATAAAATAAGATTTATTTGTATCTTATAGAAAAGAAAGTAAGATATAATTAATCGTAAAATAAATAAACTAATAATATATTATTTAATTTTTCTATATGATTTTATACTAATTTGATTGTATTTTATGAGTTTTCTTCTGTCAATTTAACTATGTTAAAAAATCAATTTTAACAAAAATAAATGATTTTAATAAATTTTATTGTTATCACTTTAATAAATATTATAAAAAATAGCGTCTCCTTTGTTTTCATTAATAGTCACTTTAATTTCTAGAGGCAAATAACAATTTTCTAATTATTAATTTTTTAAAGAATAATTTAATTTTTTATTACCTTTATTAGCAGAGTTTATTTTAATCTATTCTTATCGTATTTTAGTTGAATTTTTCCTTAAAATTAAAGTAGTTTAAAGCAAATTTTATTATTAAAAAAAACACATAGTTTGTTTTTAAAGATTCTTTGATAAATAATAAAGTAAATTATCTAAATACAAATTTAAATTAATTACTTTGATGAAAAAAATTGAAATTTAAAAAAATAATTTTGCATTTTTATGCATTATCTTTGAATAATTATATCTTAATTTATATTTCGCTCTTGTAAAAACTAAACTTTTTTTATTTTTTACTTTTTATATTTAAATAAATTTCATATCGGAATAAATTTATTAATTTTGATTTTCAAAAATGTTGATATTAATTATTTTTGCATATTTATTATTAATGTTTTTCATCTTTTTTTACAATATTCAAATAAATAAATATTTAAAAAAATAATTTTGTGTTAATATGATTTATATCTTTATCTTCAATTTCTTAACTTTTATTTTGGTTTTAAATAAACTGTTTTTATTTTTAATTTTATAAATTAATTTTCATAAATATCTTTATATTTTTAATAATTCCTCACAAAATAAATTAAATAATATTGAATTTAATTATTATTGCATGTTTATTAATATATTTTTATTTTTGCTACAGTAACAAATTATTTAAAATAAGAATTTTATAAATATTATATAATTAAATTTCTTAGCTTTTATTTTGGTTTAAGCATTGTTAATAAAATATTTTTATTTTCAATGATGTAAAATTAAATAAATTTTTTTCTATTTTTTTAATTTTTTATTTTTAATTTAAATGAAATTTATATTAATTATACTTATGCTTATAATTGCTAATTTTAATTATTTTTGTTGCTAAATTTAAATAAATAATAATTGATTTTAGCAATATATTTTTATCTGATTTATATTGCTTCTAATAAGAAATTCAAAATGAAATTTTAAGAATGAAAAAATCTTGTTTTAAATTTTTAAATGAAAGAACTTGAAAAGAAGAATACTAAAAAACTTAATCATATTATATTTTTATGTCTATTTATTTATTTGATTTATTTGGAATGAAATAAGTAATGAATATAATATCTGCATAATTGTATTAATAAAAATCTGATAATTATAATTGAGAAAATGTTAATTTTACTTTATACTTAACTATCAAAGATCAGAATAGAATCTGATTAATTAGGATAAGATATTAGATTTTATTTTGGAAGAAAAAAAGAAAATACAAACAAAAATGAGCTTCAACAAAATATGCCAGGGATGAAATGGTAAAAAGAGAAGGGTTATTTTTTGTGAGATTAAAAAATATATTTTTAACTAAATTTCTAATATATAACATTAGCAACTAGAAAAAATACGAAAATGGTTTAATTGATTATTTATTTATTTATTTTAATAGATATAATATATAATTATGTTTTTAGTGAATAAAATTCTATTAGAAAATATATTCTAGTTCAATTCCTTCCTTCCTAGCCCAATTCGTTGTTTTCTTTAAATAGTCTTAATTTTTCATGAATAAAACCATTTTTTTAGTCACGCACGAGAGAGCAAGATGTATTTAAATAATATATTATCAATTTCCACCAAGTAGATGATTCAAGGCATTTTCTTCTTCCCAGCCATATTTCATTAATACTTCCTATTTATAAAATTTTAATACTCAATCAATAAATCATTTTTCGCTTTGCTTTAAATTGAAAATAATTATATCAGCTTTCTATCTATCTATCTTTAGTTTATCAATTATTTGAATGCAAATTATATTGCTATTTTTTAAATCTATCAATTTAATTTTAGTTAATTATATAAACCCTTTTGGTAATATATTTATTTATATATACATTTTGAATTTTATTACTACTTGAAATAAATAAATAAATGATCAAATAGCTTCAAGTGTATTTTTCGCTTGCTTTGTTTTATTTTTATTTGGTGGAGGTTAACTGTCTCTATTTATTTAAAAAATAACTAAATTTTAATTATTACTCTACTAGTTTTTTCATCGAAACCCATATCTACAAACTTTTTGATCTTCTCATCTTAAGATTTAGTATTTGCATAGTTTTGTGTCCATTCTTTTGCTTGTTTTAAAAATTAATCTCTTTAACTTTTATATTAGCCGGCAACAACTGCATCTTGAGGATCATCTATATAAATTTAAGTAAAAAAAATGCATTAAAATGTGTTTCGTTGATATTTAATCCATAAAAATTTATGTTTTCAATTTCTATTTGTTCGTTTTTCAGAAAATTTTTGAATTTGTTTAAAATCTCAAAATGAGGCTGGCAAAAATAGTGGATTTTGCTTTTGCAAAACATATCTATAAGAAAAATTTATGCCATTATGGAACGGTCTTTAACAATTCATTTGAGATTTGTATATTTTATTGAATTTAAGTCTCACCTGGTTCAGGTGCACACATCAAGGCTTGGAGGGAGAGCAAAGCTGTTCTAATTGAAAGTGCAGGTGACCATTCGTTTTTGAGAATATCTAAGCAGATAGCTCCAGTTTGAGAAGAAATATTAGGATGCCATATTCTAGTATCAAATTTCATCTAGAAAATAGGTAATGTATAATTCAAATTATTTGTTTTTCTTTTAAAATAAGTTTACTTTAGGAGGTTTATAGGGATAGTCATTTGGAAGCTAGATATCAATCTAGAAAACACCTCCGTGATAGGGAGTATCCTCCTTTTATATAAAATAAAATTGAACATTTGGCTTGACTTAAAAAGATATTTTGAAGAATTGTTCCTGAAAGAAAAGGTTTAGCTAAGAAATATTTTTGAATTGCAGTAAAAATGATTAAATTACAGGTCCATTAATGTATCCTTTCCAATGATTGATATTATCGCCAACTGTGCAAACTTTAATATTGCTGGATTCAGCCTATTTGAAGTTAAAATGGTAAGAAATGAGCATTTGCATGTCAAGAAATATGCTAAAGCATTTATAATTCAAATAATAAAAGTAAAAATCACATTTTTACTAAAATCGCTTAATTCTTTTTGAATTCTTCCTTTATTATTTCCAGGTTGCATTCTTTTTTAATAAATTCTATCAAATTTTTCTTTTTTCTTTAAAATTATTATTTTTTTTTTCACTTTACCTGTTTTTTTTTCTACTCTTGATTTGCACACATCATTTCACTATTAATAAAATCTAGTCTTTAAACATTTTTTCCAAATTCTTTCTTACTCGTAAAAGGTTAATGTTTATTTTAATTCTTTATTTATTCTTGTTAATAAAATTGAAAATAATTACTCAACTCTTTAAAAACTAATTGCCCCATTTCTCCATTTTTAAGCAATATATTTCAATTAAAAACTCTTCCGACTCGAACAAAAATGACAAAAGGTATGACAAAAATTTATCCAAAAAGATTATTAATTTCACAATATATTTTAATAGGGAAAAAAGCATATTTAATTTGTTAATAAATTATGTATTCTGAATCAAATGTTAGTGTTGATTTGAGTTAAAACTTTATAGTTATTTGAATTTAATTGTAATTTAATTGCTGTATGTTGTAATTTAAATGAATAATGAAAATAACAAAAAGCTCGAACACTCAATAAATTATTAAAAAGCTTTTGTTTTTTTCAATATCAATTGATTAATTTATTTTCTACTAAAAATATCTATGTTTTATAAAACAAAAGATTGTTATATAATTATATTTTTTAAACAACAAAGTATATTTAACAGTATATTTTAAAACATTAAATAAATTATTAAAATTTTACCAACATTTATTACCATATAATTTTGTTAAGAGTTAACAATATTTAAAGAATTGAATTAAATTATTGAAAATAAAATTAATACTAGTAAGTGTAATTTAATTAAGTAAATATCTTTGTTGCAAATAGAATAATAGCAGAATTTTTAGAAATTATGGTTTTGGATCTATTAATTAGGTTTTTATGCTATTTAATTAATATAAAACGAATAAAAAATAATTTATTGTAATGTAAAAACTTAATTAAATAATTATTTTATTTTTTTCCATATTAAATTCTGGATTTTAATATTAAATTATTAAATGTAAGAAAATGAGTCATTAGAGTCATTTCAAAATAAACCATAATAAACAGTAAATTAAGCATGTTGTAAAAATTGCTACTTATAACTTGAGGGGTATTTTGAAAATGAGTCTCATGACCTATTTTCTTATACATTATAATATTTGTTTTATATTCTAATATGTTGATATATTTATTTTTTGTTTATTTTTTAAATTACATTATCGTTAAAGTCAATTTATTGTTATTAGACTATTAAATTTTAAAAAATTTTATTTTTAAATTTACATAACCAACATTTAATAAGATATCATAATTTTTTCAAATATGAAATTAAGAACTCTTTTGACTCCTAATTATTTAAAATTTCAAAACTATTTTAGGAAATAATAGTATTAGAATATTAGATAATATATTAGAATGTAAAGCAAGTATGATTAGAAATCAAATATTGATTTTAGAATATTAAGCAAATATTTAAATTTGATTAATAAATATTAAAGTATTAAAAGTTAAAAATTTAAAGCATAAGCAATAAATATTTGAATTCGCAGCAAGCATATTAAATTTTAGAATACTAAAATAAATATAAGTATAAGTAATATTTAAGAAAAAAATAAAATCTATTCTAGAATTTTTTAAGCTAATTTCTTTTCAAGGATTAACCTAAATTTTTTTGAAAATTAAATCCTTAACTTTAAAATATAAAATAATATAAATTAAATTCAATAAATAATTAACTTAAATAATTTAATCATTACTTTAATATTTAAAGATAGATATGCTTCATTTAAAAATTAAATATTTAATTAATGCAAATTAAAATTGCAATATGAAATATAAATATTGTGATTTCAAAAATTCATATTAGAATATGAAAGAATAATAATTACTAAAATAAAATTTATACATATTAAATTATCAAAATATTATAAGAAAAAAAATAAACCAATTTTAGAATTTTTTATGCAATTTTCTTCAAAGACTAACCTAAAATTATTTGATAATTGAATTCTAAACTTTAAATCATAAAATAATATACAAAAAATAAAAAAAATAATTAGCTTAAATAATTTAATGGTTATTTTATTATTTTTAAAGATGTATGTCTTTTAAAAATTAAATATTTAAATATAAATTATTTTATAAATGTTAGTTAAAATTAGAATATGATATATAAATATTATGATATTAAAAAATACCTATTAGAATATCTAAAATAACACTATAATATCCAAAATAAATATAAGAATATGAAAAAATATATTAGTTTAAAATTCATAATATCTATTTTTCATATTCTAAATTGAATTTTATTATTCTAATATCTATTTTTCATACATTAATATTAGAATATCAAAAATAAATATTAGAATATGAAAAAATATATTAATTTTCAAAAATTCATATTAATAATTATAAAATATCTATTTTTCATATTCTAAATTGAATTTTATTATTCTAATATCTATTTTTCATACATTAATATTAGAATATCAAAAATAAATATTAGAATATGAAAAAATATATTAGTTTTCAAAAATTCATATTAATAATTATAAAATATTCATTTTTGATATTCTAATTTGAATTTTCGTATTCTAATATCTATTTTTCATACATTAATATTAGAATATCAAAAATAAATATTAGAATATGAAAAAATATATTAGTTTTCAAGAATTCATATTAATAATTATAAAATATTCATTTTTGATATTCTAATTTGAATTTTCATATTCTAATATCTATTTTTCATACATTAATATTAGAATATCAAAAATAAATATTCGAATATGTAAAAATATATTTGTTTTTCAAAATTCTTTTTAGATCATTTATAATAATATTAGAACATCAAAAATTCATTTTCAAATATCAAAGAATAAAGCTAAAATAAAATTTATACTTTAAGATTATCATATATTCATATACTAATATCAAAAATTAATATTTATTTATGAAAAATAAACATTAGAATATGAAAATTGAATTTAGAATATGAAAATTGAATTTAGAATATGAAAAATAAATATTAGAATATAAAAATTAATAAATATTAGAATATAACAATTTAAGATTAGAGTATAGAAATTTATGTATAAGAATATGAAAGATTAGAGATGAAAATAAATAAATAAATTAAATTCAAATTTTATTCTTAGTTTATATTGCAATTATTTTTATTAATAATTTAAACCATAATTAAGATATATGTATGAATTCTATTATTATTTTATCATTAAAAAATTCAAAATAAGCTTTCTCGTATTTTAAAATATGAATAAAAAATTGTAACCATTAAATTGATTATATTTATGATGTTGATAAATATTTTTTATAATTGTAAAAGAATTATTTATGAATATCTTTAATGTATCTATTCTTTATTAAGAATCTCCAAATAATTAATTTCAGTTTTCAAATTAAAGGGCTTCAACTGTTATAATTAAGAACCCGTTTTTTTTTTTAAAGTAGGAGTATAAATATTCTAAAATATAATATATTTTGATATTGTGATGCATTTTAAAAACAAAATCAAAATTGAATTTTATAAATAATTAGATAAAAATAAATAAAACAAATTAAAAAAAACCTAAATAAATGGATTTTAATTTTATTGACGAAAATAATAATGAGCTTAATCATTAGCGATAATAGAATGCCTAGTAATAAAATTAAGAGGAAATTAAGAAATCTTAATTAGAAGATAGACTATTAAAATATTTAGAAGAGCTCGAATTGAGAAATGTCAGCTCAATTTAAGGAGAAATTGAAGAAGTATAAAAAGAAATTGAAAAGTATAAATTGAAAGATAATTAGGCTAGAGTATCTGAAAAAGAATAAACTCTTGAAAAACTGAATGAGATTCAGTAAATGATAAAACAATTATGTGAAATAAGAAATTAATAATTAGAATATTAATTAAATGAAATACTTTCTGAATTAAATATGAGAGATGCGAATCTATTAGCAGAAGAAATAGGAGACGTTAAATCTGAATTAGAAAATTATGAAATGAAAAAAAGACCAAAAAAAGTTGCAGAGAAAAGAAAAACTCTAGAAAAGCTAATAAATGCTCAATAAATATATTTTGAAATATAATACTCAAATGGAGATCCATAAACTATTTTAGATTAGCTTTTTAAGTAACATTTAGAAGAAAAATTAAGAATAGGTTTGCAAGAGCTAAAATTAGAAGATGTTGATTCTATAGAAATAGTGATATAAGAAGTAAAATCAGAAATCAAATAGCTGTTATCTAAAAAAAAATAAAATTAGGCTTCTGAAAAAAAGTGTAACCTTGAAAAGCTTGAGAATCTTTAAAACATTGCAAAAGAATTACATTAATTAGATTAATAGTTATAAATCGATTAAAAGTCAAAAAAGAAACAATAACTAGAACAATAGCTGGATTAATTTATGAAAGAACTTGAGTTAGAAGACGTTTAATAAATAGAAGAAGAAATTTAATAAATATTGGAAAAAATAGAAAAATATTCATAAAGAAAAGAAAATTCCAAAGTTTCATAAGAAGAATAAACTTTATCAAAGCTTAAAAATTGCCAATTAATATACTTAGACTTATAGAAACTAAATGATGAGGCAAATTTAAATAATAGTAATTTAAAAGAAATTATTAATTAAAATTCAGAAATGGAATTAGATTTTACCAATTAAATTTATTAATAGGAGGATCCTAATTAAAGAGATAACTAAATTTTGGATTTGAATACAAAATTTAATGTTAAATATTTAAAATAAGATGCTTCGCAAATACCTTATTCTAGCGAAAAACTACTAACTGAAATGCTAATATTTTGTATAGAATTGTTAACTTCTAATGGTATTAAGATTGCTGATGAATATTATTCTTAAGTCTTAAATTTTCTATTAGAAATAGAAAATAGATTAAAGATAGAAGATTAGCTCGGTCCAGAAATATTATAGTCAATATAGTGTTTAAAATTAAGCATAGATCATGATAATTTAAAATAATTTATTGTTGATACAGAAAAGCTGCTTAAAAAAATTAGACCTTTAAATGTAAATGAAATGAATAGACTAATTAATGAAGCTAATAAGGCATCAAATATTATGAAAGGATAAGACATTATATTATTTTTAGGTAATACTGGGGCAGGTAAATCAACAACAGTTCATTTTTTATCTGGATCAAGGATGGTTAAATTAAAAAGCGAATTTATAGATTACATTGGCCCAGACCCTAATAAAATATTAAACAAGTCTCTTTAAAAAGTTAAAATTGGAGTTTAAGCTTAATCAGAAACACGTTACATTACTCCTGTTTAAGTGCATTATTAAGATGTTTAAATGAATTAAAAAGGACATTTTATACTTTGCGATGTACCAGGATTTGGAGATACTGCTGGACCTGAAGTAGATATCGCAAACGGAATCGGAATAGTCGAGGCTATTAAACAGTGCAAAAGTGTTAGACCTGTCATTTTATTAAGTTTCAAAAGCACTGGAGACAAAGGATAAGGGATAAAAGATTTAGCTCACTTGCTTCTAGGGCTTATTTAAAATCCAGATGATAATTTAAGTCTATTTACTTACTTATTTACAAAATTTCCTCAAGATGTTGACATAAACAAGGAACTGAAAAATATCAAAAAAAGTATAGAAGAATCCTCAGATAAAGCATTTATAAGTCTCTTTGAAGATATGATTTATTAAACTGAAAAAGGTTGCTGCAGAGTAGAACCATTAACAAATCAGCCTTAAGTTTTATTAAAGTAAATACTTAAAAAATAAGGAGTTGATGATCCAAGTTAGATCTTCAAATTTTCAATTACTTAAAACTCGTAATCTGTAATTTAGGATTAAGCTTTAAAAACACAATAAATGATTATTTCAGCTGTAAGTAGATGTGAATATGAATTAATAAATTATTAATTAAATAAATTAAAATTTTTAGTGGATACTTTAAATTAAAATTCTATTAAATAAACTTATGAAAAATGCAAAAAGCTAATCATAGATAATTTTAATACTTATTACAACAATGCTATATCGTAGCTTGATTAATCTATTTAGAATCAAAATAAATTGGATATTTAATATCTTTATTAGTTTTAAGATCTAGTAAATAAATCTAAAAATTTAGAATAGTTAAGAAGCTAGCATTTAGGTAATGAAGTTATGTAATACGATTCTCTAATATAACAATTAAAACTATCAGTTTAAAAGATGGCAAATGTTTTTAATTAAGATGATAATATAACCAAATTTGCTTCAAATAATATTGATAACATAAAACTTATTTCTGAAATCTTTCCTGAAATAAAGTAGTAATATGGTAACTCTTGTTAATTAATAATGAAAAAAATTGAAAGCCTTCTTATACTTTGCAAACAGACAATAAAAAATAAGAATTACGATTAACTTTCAATGTAGCTTTCATAAATAAAATCTTACCAAATTGAATTTAAAAACCATCTGAATGAATAAAGTATAAATGAAGAATTAAATAATGTGAAAAAACAATTTTATGATATTTTTGTTAATATTATTGAATAATCAAACCACACGTTAGAAAAAAAAGAATTATAAATATAAGATATTGATAACTTAAATAGACATTTTTAAGATTTTGGAGATGTTGAAAAAAATTTGAAACTGATTCAGCATTTTTCAACTGACTAAATCTCAAAGTATAAAAAAAATTTCATTAATAATTTGGTAAAACATTTTGAAAAAATAATCAAATAAATTGAAGATACGCTTAAATTAGAACCTGAGCAAGCATTCTAAAAATTAGAAATTTTGGTTTATTAAATGAAATAATTTAGATAAATTAATACAATAGATCATTTGACTTCTGATAAGTATTATAAATCAATCTAAGATGTGGAAGGTTTAATGTAATCAATAAAGAGGTAGATAGATTAATACTTAAATGATTTCTAACATGATAAAAAAAAAGTAGATTTTTAAAAAGTTTATAGATGCTTAATTTAGTTAAAATCTGCTGAGTGGATGGATGGTGTTCAAAAAGGAATTTATGAATAAAAGATTAAAGGTATTACTGATGAACTTTTCAAATATTCACAGTTTTAAATAATTACAAAATTGGTAGATTTAGATTTAAGCTGTAAAAACTATTAAAATATTTCTGTGGCATCTGAGTTGCTTATAGAAATGGAAAGAATGTAGGTCTTTGAAGAATTTAATATTAAATTAAAGGAATTAAGAGAAACAGCTGAAAAAAAATTTTCAAATTCCATCGAAAGTGTGTTTAATTAGATCAAGGAATTAATAAGCAAATATAATAAATTTTTAAATTTAAGAATGGAAGGTTCCTTCTTAATTTAGCCTTAAAATACTGAAACTTCAGAAGAATAAGAAGAAGAGAAGGAGAATATATAAAACAAAATAAATTCTTCAAAATATTGTTTGGCAAATGATAATTAAATACAATAAAAAAAGAGTATTAAATGCTCAAAATAAATTATCAAAAATAATATTGTAAAAATAAAAAGAGAATCAAAAAGGTTTATACAAATTGAGCATCAAAGTAAACTTAAGAATAAATAAAATTTTTTCCCTATTAAAATTGATATGAACTAGATTGAAGACTATTTAGTTTATATCGAAAATTGTTGCACAAGTAAATGGATAAGATTAGATGCAAACACTCTAAAAGATAAACTAAAATAATTGTTGGTCTAATATGGAAATTCTTTAAAAGTTCAAATATAATAATATTTTTAAATAATCACAGAAGCAAATGAATAAAATGATAATGAGAAGTCTTTGGCATCTTAAAAGCTAGCTACATAAGCTCAAGAGCTGATGGAGCTATAAAATTATAAAATGACTTGCTAGCTAGTCTAAGGAGGATAAATACTTAAAGATTTAAAAAATTTAATGCAATAACATTATTTAGAACTGTATGATTAACTGAACTAGACTTCATTAGAAAAATAATTTTAAGCGCAAATAATAAGGATTATAAAGTAACTAATTCACACTGAAAATATCCTTGGCGATAATAAGTTTTATAACCTTTATAAGAATCAGTAAATTGAAATAAATAATGAATATAAAGGAATTTATTAAAAAATAATAGAGTAAATAGAACTAAATTAATATTAAAATGCATCTTTTGAATTGTTGTCAATAGATGATAAATCTGCTAATGAAAAAGCTATGAAATAAATAAGATTAACGCTTGTAACCTCAGTAGAGCTGTTACTTGATAAAGCTTAAGATAAACAATCGTATCTTGAAAATCAAATTCAAAAAGATTTGATAAATCAAATTGTTTAAATTATTGAATAAATAAAAAAGGCAAAGTAATGCTTGTAAGACTATTTTGAAAAAGAATTTTTAGATAACGTAGATAGATAAGTTGATTAAATCATTATTGATATTTAAAATAAAATAGAGCAATATTTAGAGAGTATGTCTGCTCATGTAAAGCAATTAGATTTTTTTTAAGTAGAGGAAAAGAGAGAGCACATAATGTAGATTATATTACTTCTGTCTCGCTATAATAGCTAAACAAAAGAAGAGATAAACAAAAAGCTAAATTAATTGCAAAAAGAGCTCGAAGAAAAAGTAAAACAAATTACTTAAATCGATTATAATGATTAAAATAATTTAATACATAAACCTCCAAAATTTATCTTAGAAAAGCTCAGTAAAGTCTCATCAAGAAATATTAAATATGCTGAATGTTATGATAAATTAAATAAAATTTTGATAGATAGAGTAAGCAATAGTATTCTGGATTATCAAAATTCAATATAATAAGAACAAAATTAGAAAGAACTTAAAATTTAAACTCTCATAAATTCTCTACCAGATGATTTAAAACTATAATCATAAGATTAATTTAATAGTGTGAAGCAATTTATTAAATAAAAGAATGATGTTTTTGAAAAAGATTTTAAATAAGCAGAAAAAAGCAAAGACTTAGATAAAAAATTAAAGTTTATGGAATAATGTAGCTAAGAAAAAATGTTTTCATTTTAAGATAAAATGAGCAAATAAATACAATAAGAGTGCTAAAAGTATTCTTCTTAACTAACAGATTATCTAGGTAAAAATGAAATTAAAGAAAGTATTTAATAAGCAATTAAGTTGTTAGAGAATAAAAATAAATTTTTAGATTATAAAAAGAAATTTGGAGAAGAAAAAGATAGAATTGAAGAGTTCGAAAAAATGTATTCAGAACTTGAAAAAGCTATTTCATCCAATTACGAAAGCGCTCGTAGGGCTATCTAATCGGATATATCAATGAGCTTTGAAAGTTTAAAGGCTATTAAAACAATAGAAGACTAGGATTCCTACCAAAAAGAATATGATAAGCTTTAAAGTTTCATTATAAATCTTAAAGATTATGAAAAATATTTCCTTATCAATGATTTCAATACCAAAATAAAAAGTTTAGGCTTTGAAATTTATAATTTTTTTGAAAAAATCTTTAAAAGTTTTAATGATAACTTAAAGGACATGAAGATCAAGAAAATTAAATAAGATCTTTTACTTATAAGTAAATGGGAGAATTTCATATAAAAAATAGTTATGGATGTAAAAAAATAAAATATTTTCACTGAATAATTCTTAAATGACTATTAAATAACATAATTTAAAGAAAAATATCATAGTTATAAAGATTGCATAGAAAAATTTATAAATTAGATATAAGAAGTAAAATAAAATGTAATAAATTTTAAGTTCTAAGATGATTATTAAATGCATTCTTAACATTAAGAACTGAAAAAAGATGTTAATATTCTAATACAATTAAAAGAGGAAAAAATAGATTTTTAAAGTACTCAACTTGACTATGAATGCTATGAAAAAGAGTGTCTCCCAAAATTAATAAGTAAAATTGAAGAATTTTAAAAAGAAATAGAGATAATTTTGGAAAGCTAAGAGAAATAATTTTCAGAAAATGAATTCAAAATGTTTAATAAGTATTATGATAATTTGAATTAATTTAATGAAAATGTTAAAAATTTAAATATTGATATTGAATATTACAAAAGGAGAATCAGTTAAAAATTAGAATAAAAAATAGAAAATTTATTTTAGAGCATAGATGTTACCTAAATTGATAGTGTTGCCAAAAGTTTGATTTTGATAAAGACTTACTCTGAAAATATACCTTCATTTAAAAAGAATTTTGATTGTCGATTAGATATTTGGATCAAAAATATCTATTTTAATGAATTTAAAGGAATGAAATTAGCTTAGCTCGTAACACATTTATAAAGAGAAAAAACTGGTATAGGAATAATTATAATTGAAGAACACGATATATTTAAACAATAATCCATATCTATCTTTAATAAGTAAGTAAAAGAGTAAGGAATTAAATATGTTTTAGAAAACATTAAAGGTGAAGATCTGAATAAAGAAAAATTAGATAATGTTTACAATAAATTCTTAAAATAATATGAAGATATCGTTTAAAATAATATCATTTGCATAGAAAATAAGAGTCAATCTGAAAAGATAGTTATTGAATCTTTAGCTTACAAAGTTAAAAGCTTTGCCAAAAAAATAGAATTAAAAAATAAATAGATAAAATGGGACAATTCTGTAAGACAAAATATTCCATCACTTATGGCTCATATATTTGCTTTATGGACATTTTTGAATATGGAATATTTCAAAGAGTTAACTCATATGGCAAAGGAAGAGAAAGAAACTTACTTATTTTCACCTCATGCAGGATAAATTATATCAATATTCCGTTTATTAGGATTGGGGTATTAAACTGATGGCTTATAAAATAATTTTATTTAAATAGGAACTGGAGAAGGAAAATCTATTGTATTAGCAGTTACTGCAATAATATTTGCACTGCATGAAGTTGATGTATATTGTGCTTGCTATAGCTAGTACCTTAGTGAAAGAGATTATGAAAGTTTTCTAAAATTATTTAATATTTTAGGGGTTATACAAAATATAAAGTATGGAGCCTTTACTAAAATATGTGAACATTTCATAAATCAATAGGGAGATATTCGTTAGTTAACAGCGGATTACATATGTAATGGCTTTTCTGAAAATAAGAAAAAGACTAAAAAAACAACGAAAAATCCAAGCATATTAATTATTGATGAGGTAGATGTATTCTTTACTAAGGATTTTTATGGAAGCATGTATAATCCTGTAGCTCGTTTGCAAGATGAAAATATTGTAAAGTTAGCTGAATTTATATGGTAATCAAGAAAATAGCATTTGTTTTTGGAAAAAATTTAATAAACAAATTTTTACAAATAATGCATAAATAAATTTAAAAATTTGAGAACTATTATCGACGAATGTCTAAAAGACATGATTTCAGATTCTAAAAATTTTTCTCATGATTATTTGGTTCTAAATGATAGAATTTGTTACAAGGAATAAGATAGAGTGTCTTTTGATATTAATTATGGCTATAAAACTTTATTTGCTTACTTTTATGAACAAGAAAAGGGATAAATAAGTTTAAAAAGTTTGCAAGAAAATACTTTTATTTTATTACGATGTGGTAGTTTTTCCTACTCTGAAATACCTTTTTAATTTGAAAATATTATTGGAGTAACAGGTACTTTAGAGACTTTGAATGATTTTGAAAAAAATATTGTCTAAAAGATTTTTAAAATAACAAAAAGCACATTTATTCCTAGTGTTTTTGGTAAAAATAAACGTAAGTTTGCATAGAAAGATGATACATATGTTGAGAGCGAAGATGATTACTTTAAGATTCTGAGAGAAAAAATTGAAAAAAGTTTATATAGAAATGAATAAAAAAGAGCTGTTTTATTATTCTTTGAAACAGAGTAATAGCTTTTAAAATTTTATAATTCTCCAGAATTAAATGATTTAAAATATAATATCAATATTATTACTGAATAAATTTCAAATTATAATTATGTAGAAAAAATTAAATAACTAATTAAAAAGTCCACTATCTAAGGTTAAATAACTCTTTTAACTTCTTCATTTGGTCGTGGTACTGATTTCAAATGTTCTGATTAACAAGTTCTAGATAATGGCGGAGTTCATGTTATCTAAACTTTCTTCTCAAGTAAAAAATCTGAGGAAATCTAAATTATGGGAAGGTGTGCTAGGTAAGGAGCAGAAGGATCCTATAGCTTAGTACTTTTAGATTCAGATTTAGAAAAAATATTAGGAGCTGACTATAGAAAAGCAATAGAATAGATAAGATAAAATAATAATTTTTATGAAGTTTTAGATAAAAAACGAAATGAAATTGAGTGTTTAGAGTATACTAACTACCATAAATATATTGATTAAATTAAATAAAAGCACATTGAAGGTTAACAATATATTAATTCCCTTGTTTCTTAAAATGAAAATTAAGTTTAAGAATTCTTATTAAAAAATAATAAAGGCTCTAATGATATACAAAATTTAATCAGAATACTATGCTTAGTAGATGGAACAAGTTCAATGGGACTTGTGTTAAACAAAGTTAAAACTGAAATAAGCGTTATGCTTGAAAGGTCTTGTCAGATAATAATAAATAGCGAAAAAAACATTCCTGAGGATTGTTTTTAGATATAATTTGCAGTTTATAGGGATTATGACTAAATGAATGAAGGTATTTTATAAGTATCTCCATGGGAATCAAAAGCAGAGAATTTGAAGCAATTTTTAGAATAAATAACGCCTAAAGGAGGAGAGGATTATGAAGAAGCTATTGAAATAGGATTATAACATGCAAATTAGGAAAATTCAAAATATCCATTATCAGCTATTATTTTAATTGCAGATGCTCCTGCAAAAAGCTTATCTTAAATTAAGAATTACAGAAAAAAATATGGTGGAGAAGATTATTGGAAAAAAACTAAATTTTCATAGATAACTGATTTTTAAGCGGAAATTGAAAAAATCAAAAAAGTTAAAATACCTGTGCATTGTTTCTACTTGAATTATGGAGCTAAGGAAAATTTTACTTAAATTTCGAGCTAGACTGGAGGAAAATGTGAGAGCTTAGATATTAATTCTTCCTAAGCTTCTTAGAAATTGATATAGTTTGTTGTTGAACCCATTCTTGTTAATGTAGGAAAATAAAATGGAGTAGGAGATTCTCTCTATCAAAAATATTTAAAAATATACAGCAAAAGTTATATCAGAGTGAGTGAGTGAGTGTTGATTGTTTTATTTGAAAAATTATTAAATAATATTTTTTCTTTTTCATTTTTTCATTTATCTTTACTATAGAAAATATATTAGCTTATTGTATCCTAATTTGATTTCCTAATGAATTATTTTTAATAATTATCTTAATATATTCTTTTAATAAATAAAAGTGTTTAATTGAAATTTTTAATCTTAATATCCTTATTCAAATAAATGATGATTAAATTTTAAATATTTCTTTAAAAATATATAAACTAAAGTCTATGATTTTTCTGTGATAAATTTTAAATCTATTATATCATCTCATTTTATTAAAATATTTTGCTCATATAACAACTGCTTTTGAAATATTTCTTTAAAATTTTATAAATAAAAGTCTTAGAGTTTCTATGAGAAATTTTTACTTATAAACATTTCTTTTTTTAGTAAGTTATTTATTACTCTTATTTATTATTTTTTATTTTTCAGATTGATTGGCGCAAAATATTATTTATATATATTTTTTTATATCCTGAATTTAAATAATATAAATAGTAAATATATTTAATTAAATAAATAATATTTGGGTAAAATAATTATTTATTAAAAAGCAAATAATTTATTTATTTATAGATTGTATAATTTTAAGAAAATGCATAATAACTAAATTATCTGCTCTTAAATTGTCAAAAAAATTTAATTTAATATTTAAAATTATTTGTATCTGAATTATTTTTATTATTAAATAAATACTGAAATATTAAAAAAAAATTAGCGTGATGAGCCTCTGTTTATTTTAGTCTTTAGTTTTAATGTTGTTTGAATTTTTTATGCATATTATTTAATATTTGATACTTTTTTCTTTTCTTTTCTTGTCTTTTTATTTTGTTAATTTTATTTCTTTTTAATTTTTTTATTATCTTTTTATTTTTCTTTTATTATCTTTTTTATTAGTTAATTTTCTTTTTTTCTTTTTATTTAATTTTGCTTTCTCTCCTCTTAATTAAAAAATTTTGCCTAATTATCTCTCTACCTTTTTGCTTTCTCTACCTCTTTTTGCTTTTTAATTAATTTCGATTTGGGGATTTAAAAACTTAAAATTTGATAAAAAATCAAACATTCAAATTGTTATATGAAAATCATATTGAAATGAATTGGGATGGCGGGCGTGGTCCGGGATTTGATGGATGTATTTATTTATAAATATTTCATTTTCCTTCTATCTCTTTTCGTATTCACATCTTTCGATATTTGTGAGATTTTTATTGAAGGATTATGATTTATTTATTTATTTTTTCTTTTTCAGTTGGGATTTTTATTTCATTTCAATATTATTTCATATTTATGCAATTTGAAGTTTTTAATAAATTAATTAAGTTAAATTCTTTTTTCTTTCTTTTTTCATAATTTTTCTTATTTTGATATGTATGTTATAAATAATCTGATCATAATGAATCTAATTAATATCTTTTTCATTAATATAGTATTTTAAATCAAAATCAATCTTATTTACTTAGCAATCTTAATCTTAATTTCATTCAAAGCATATTTTTCTAGCGATCAATAAATCATTATTATCAGCAGTATTCAACGAAATATCTTTAAGCTCTTGAGATTTTTTGCTAATTTTTTAAACAATTTTGAAAAAATTAAAAACTTGTTTTACCCTCACACCACATAAGGGATTTTATTCGGATCATTGATCTGTGCATTTATTATAGCGTATGATAATTATCTTTCATTTGAATGTTTTACTTGAATATTAACGTATTCACACCACAATTACAAGTAATTGTAAATTCTTTCAAACATTCAGTTATGATTCATAAAATATCATTCTGGATTTTAAAAACTTAAGCACTTTATTTTGCTTTTATTAGGATTGGCCTAAGAGAATCTTTCAAACACCACTTTGAATTCATCTCATAAAGGCTTTTCCTTTATTTTAGATGGTTTTGATAAGAATATTCACCACAAATATTCTTCCATCATTTTATATATTTTTAGTATTGGAACACCACTTCCAGATACTAAAGTTGTTATTTTATTTAAAAACTTATTGTTCAAGCTATTAGTTTGAAGTTCTTTTGTATTTTTATGGGATTTCCGAGGAATTTAAAAAAATATGTTTAAAAAAATGGTTAATATAAGTATTTTTTATTTTAGATGTCTCCTAATTTTATTTTAAATAATCATTTTGGTTTTAAGTAAAAAATATTTAATGGACTTCTTTATTGGACGGAACAGTTTGTGTGATCTTAGAGTTCTCTACCTAGATTTGCTGCTGTTTTACTAATCATGACTTCTTCAGATTTGGACTTTCTTCAGAATAGAATTAGATAAAACAATTTGAGCAAATCGTTATTCTCAACTACTTTGGCTTAAGGAAACTGCTCAATATGGACGGAACAAAGAGAGAGCGCTGTTCCTCATAGTTGAGATGAGTAGGTACTAACTAAGATCTACTTAGAATTCTGATTAATTGGACATTAATTTTAGAATTCAAAGTATTTTTTTATTTTCGCTCCTTACTCATACTTTCCTTTTTCGGGGCAGTTCCTTCTTAGTTTTTAATTAAGAAGGAATTTAATTAATTATATCAAAATCTCTTTGATTTCGTTTTTAATTTTTCAAATTTTTTTTCTTCCAAATCATTAAATAATTTATTTCCTTTATATTTTAATTAATTAATCAAATAATCAAAGATCCACCAATATCTTTTTTGAAAGCAAACCCTCTAATTTAAATTCAAAAAATAAAACCAAATACACTTTTTATATTAATTAATCAGTCAATCATGCTCCTCAAAAATTATCAAAATAAAATGTGAAATTTAACATAATTATAAATATAACAAAAATAAATACTCTTTTATAATATAATTTAAATTAATAAGAAAACATTTAATATGTTTAAATAATGTATATAATTAATATATTATTTGCTAATTTATTAATTTTCATTGATTAAATTAAAATTAAAATATTTATCTAAGCAATTTCTAAAATATTTTTATTATTCAATCTTTAAAGTGTTTTTTTATTTAAAATATTTTAATTTTAATTTTTTTTAAATAATTTTTTAATTTTAATTTTTATGTCACTAATATTGAATAATCTTAATGGTTTTTTAAAACAAAAATATATTTATTGAAACATTTTAATTAATTTTTCACTATTTTAGTGATTGATTTAAAATATTTTTTTAAATTTATGAAACAAAAAAAAAATTATTTAGTTTTCATAATTGATAAGATGATTTTATTCATTTTAATAGATATGAAATCTAACTTTTATAATTTCAATTTCTATAAATTAGATCTTAGATTGATTTTTATATCCAAATTTTTCTAAATTAAATAAATCAAATGCCAATATTAATAATAAAATACTCAAATTAATTATTAAAAAAATTAAAGAAAGTAAATAATAATTTTTGTAATATTTTAAGTTTTAAGTATTATTTATTGCAATAAATGCCTATTATAATTTTTATTTAATTTTAAATAATTTAAAAATAGATAAATAATTGTGTTTATAACTATTTAGGAAATAGCACTAAAAAAAACTAAAAATTAATTTAGGGATAGCAAAATTTAGTTGGTATTTATTAATTTGAATGTTAAACTGAAAACTAGAAAGTAGGTCAACATATATATAATATAATTATGCGAATGCTTTTAGTATATAGATTGAATTATGCATCTTTTAGACATAGATTGTGCATACATATATAGATAAATACGGATATTTATTTATTGGTATATCATAAAAAAAATTAGAGAGTGAACATCAATTACTAAATAAATATACTAAGAAATTAATAATGATTAATTAATACAAGTAAAAGCTAACAAAATATATATAAATAAATTATTAAACCTAGAAATAAGAAGAAGAAAAGAAAGCAAGAAGCAAAAGAAGAAAGAAAGAAACAAACAAACAAAGAGAGAAACAAAAAAACAAAGAAATAAATAAATAAATAATAAAGAGTGGTAGAAAAAGCTTACAAAAAGCATAGAGAGAGAGAAAATGAATGTTGAGTAGGCGTATTAAAAGGCGCCTGATAATCAAGAAAATGGTAGCAAAAGTAGTAGTAACTTATAGTAGCAATAGTTTGCATCACCTACTAAAAGCACTGCAGCAAGCACATTGGTTAGTGGAGGCGAGTAGAGGATCAAAGAAAACCCTTTTACTTTAGATACTGAATAATCTTCTACTACAAGCCCACAAAGAACTGCTTTTCAAGAGGAAAACATGAAAAGGTTTAGTTAAATAAATGTAAGCTAATTTAAAAAGAGTGAATAATTTGTATTCATAATTCATTAATTTAGATTGTAGATGCGATCAAGAAGAATCCTTAAAGGTTGAAGTGGCTTAAGGAATCCTTGAAGGATTTCTGCTTAATTAAGAAAAATATATATCTTTTTCGTAAGCGAAGAATGGTTTCTCATAAAGACATTATAGGATGCGATTGCAAGAGAGTAGCTCCAGAGAATATGTAATAATTTAATATAAATATTCATCCTTAGCTTAAATTTATTCAATCGCAGATTGGCAAATGCGCAAGTTTTTGCATTCTCAATCATCATTTAAAATTAATTTCTCAACTCATAAGAGCAGAAAGTTCAAATTCAGAAGCAGAAGATTTGGTAGATACAGAAGTATAAAGAGTTATTGCATAATAATTAAATTGAAAAAGTGAATTTTGATTATGTAATTTGAGACAATTTAGTGCGAATTGAAGCTAAGCATCAACCAAGACTTAAAAATCTGCAAATTTGAAACTGCGATACGAGAATTAATTACAAGTGAACAAATAAATGATGATTATGCAGATTGAATGAAAATAACAGCAAAAAGGAAAAATAAGATAAAGTTTATTAAAATTAATTTAAAATAAAAATAAAATTAGTTCAAAGATTCCATTATCAAAGCGTATGAATGGCATGATTAACTGTGGTGAAAATTGCTGGAATAGGGCAGTATGTACTGAATGTTGCGATTTATCATGTAGATGTGGTGAACTATGCCAAAATAGAAGATTTTAAAAACATCAAGATGCATGCGTTTATCCTGTACCTACTAGAGGAAAGGTAAGTTATCATAAATAGCAAATGTGCAATATAATGAATATAACAAAAAAACTATTGATTTAAAGCCAAATTTCACTCAATTTTAAAATATTGATAAAATTATTAAATTATTTTTCTTATTAATTTGATTTCGATCAATCTATTTATCTATCTATCCAATAATCGATGATATAAGTAAGAAACAATATTTCTTAGGATGAAAATTATTAAAAAATTTGTTAATTTAAAAAATAGCTTTTTCTGAATATAACTTTTGAAAATTCAAGAAAAATTGGGGCTGAATTGTAAAAAAATGCAAACAAATTATTATAAACTGCCTTGAAAATTTTGAAAAAATTTATAGAATAAGTGTATATAAAAAAACACGAATTAAAATATATTGGCCGATGAAGTCAAATTAATCTTATTTAATATATTATCTAAACAAAACATTATACAAAATCTTGTGTCTATTAAGATCAATAATTTTTGCGGAATTTTCCAATTTTTTTTTTTTTGCATACAAATTAAATTTTGTCATATTTTATTAGACTCAAATAAAATTTTAATTCATTTGTTTACTTATTTACATTTTATTAAATAAAAAGGGTTGGGGTCTTTGTGCAGGTTAGTTTATTCCTAAGGGAACATTTATCATTTAATACACAGGAGAAGTATTTGATATCAATTCTTCCGAGGGTATCAAAAGATGCAAAGATTACAGTGTAAATATTTAAGATTTGTTCAATAAAAGCAATAAAAAAATCATGATTATATGATGAAAAAAAAACAATTTATTCAAGTTAAAAACTTAATGGATTTTATATATAAAAAAGAGATCAACTTGCACTTATCTGATGAAAATAGATAGAAACGAAGTTATTGACCCTACTTATAAAGGAAATTTAGCTCGTTTTATAAACCACTCTTGCGACCCAAACTGCATTACATAGAAGTGGCATGTTTTGGGAGAAATCTGCATTGGTATTTTTTCTATTAAAGACATACAAGAAGACGAAGAACTTACATTTGATTATTAGTTTGATTCATTTAAAACTCCTTTAACTAAATGTTTATGTCAGGCTGCCAAATGCAAAGGATATTTAGGTAAATAATAAGCAAATGTTAAATAAAAACTCAAATTATTTAAGAAATTTAATTTATTTAATATTAATCTTGGTGCTTAAATTCAATTAAGAAAATATTCTAGCAAGTTACATTGAAATATTTCAAATTCTAGTTAAAGAAAGAAATTTTTGATAGCAATTTTGTTTACAAACCAAAATTTAAATTTGAAAATAAAAATTAAAAAAATAATTTTTGCAATAAAATAATATTTATATTTATTTTATAGGATACATTCCCACTGATTTTACTGTAGAAGAATGGGAAGAGAGATTAGATAATCTTCCTTGTAGCATTTGTGATGGAAATACTGAAGATGATGATGATAAGTTATTACTATGTGATAGATGTAATAATGGATTTCACATATTTTGCTTGAAACCTCCCTTAACAGAAATTCCAGAAGAGTAGTGGTTTTGCGCTGATTGTATAAACTAGATGAATAATGTCAATCATGAGAAAATAGCTTTAGAAAAGAAAGAGAGGCTCAAAAAGAAGAAAAGTAAAAATATTACTTTAGAATCAAATGATGAAGAAATATTTAAATATTCTGAATAATATGAGCAAGTAAGAACTATTCAATTACTTAGCAGAATGTGGCTTTATTATTTAATTATTTAATAAAAAGTTTTACAGCTTCATGAAGAATATAGAAAACTAAGCTATTGAGGAATTATATGATATTCACGATAGGGATGACGATGATGATTAAGTTTAATTGAAAATCAAAAGGCGCAAAGAGCTTCATTAGCAAGACAAAGAAGAGTAAAAGAGACTCGAAGAATAAAAGAAAAAAAAACAAAATAAGCATTAGGAAAAAACAGCATCTAAATAGTATTCAGAGGAAGAATTTTAGAGTAAGCAGAAAAAATTAAATGAAAAATTTTATGATTAATTTTATTTTTATCATTAAAAATAGAATAACTTAATGAGTAGTATAAAAAAGCTAAGATAAAAGTAGAATAATCAAAAAAGTCTTAACCTGCAGATTAAAATGCTAATGTTGCTGCAGTATCAAGTTAAAATTAATCATAGTAAGTGTAATCGAATCAATAGCAATAAGCTAGCCAAATGTTGGAGGAAGGTGAAGAGCCTGATATAGAGCATATTGATAAAGAGGAATATTTTTTAAATGAGGATGATGAAGATGAAGAGGAAGATTCATAAAACAGAAGCTTTGTCTTTAAATCTCCAAATCCAAAGAGAGTAAAAAAAAATTGAATTATAAAATATATTTAATACTTTTTTTTACTTAACAGATTTCATCAAGCTAGGATATATAAACTACTAATTAGAAGCAATTGAGTGTTGACAGAGTTTCACCTATGAAAAAGAATAAAGGTCCTAATGGAGAAATTTTTAAAAAAGTTGAACATTCTTATTAGGAATTTTTAACGACAAATCCTTCATTCTTATAAAAAATAAATATATTCAATGAAAATAATTTAGCTTTGAATGATGTTTCTAAGAAGTCTATCATATAATTAAATAAGCTTGAAATGCACCTCTTTCGTACTAATTTCACTTTGTTTGAGAAATTGGGAGTAAGGACATTTTGGGATCATAGCCAAAAAGTAGCCCATGACTTATTTATGAAAAATACAGAACTATCAATTTTGGGTAACGATTAGTAAATTGCTATCTTCACTGAAATAATTGACTCTATGCAGGAAGTAGTAAAGCAGATAAAAAATGAAATGGGTATTGTTGAAGCATATATCACCATTCCAGCTATCTACTTAAAGAGAATTATTGGTTTGAGCCATTCAAATATAAACAGAATGGAAAAATAGCACAATGTCACTATTTTCTATAATAAGCGCTTTATCACTGATGAGTGCTATACCATGGATTAGAAAGTGAGCCTTCTTGTAAAAGGTATCAAAGAAAACATCATTTCGTGCCACAAAGATATTTCAGAAAAGATAAACTCACTTGAAGTAAAGAATATTTTAATTTTTAATTAATGATCAATTTGATTATAAATTCTTTTAGGTTCATAGAGTATATTTGACTCCATGGGAAACAAAGAATGTGTTAAGTTCTCTCTAAATGCTGAAAAGGAAAAATCATAAATCTGAATTTCGTTTGCATAGGGAAAACCCCTTTAAAGATATAAACCATCCTTTCTTTTTCATCCAAGTAAAAGAAAAAGAGTTGACACTTATCGGTACCAGAGAGTATTTAAAATAATTAGTAGTGAGAGTTAAGATTAATTTCTTGATATAATTAGGGAGAATGAATAAACATAGTAGGAGATTCTTAACTTGATAAATTCTACAAATAAAGACAGAGAAGAGTTTTAGTGTTCACATTATTTGATTCCTCATCACTTAAAGAACTGCACAAACCAAATTAAGCAGTAAATAGAAAATAAAGTTCCAGGGTTGAAGGTATACTTGTTTGATCCAACTCACCCTCGTAAGAATATCACTCTGACTACTTGTGGGTTATAAGAATAGAGATCGAAAGCGAAATAAGTCATAGTTAAATATTTTGAGGAATAGTAAAATGAATAGAGATAATTTGTAATTTATACTTTTATATTTATATAAATGTTGTTAACTGTTAATCACTAACCTAACAAAATTTTACATATCAAATAGAAATTCGAAGTAGATAATTTCTAAGATTAAATGATGTACTAGATGACTAAATATCTATTCAAATACATGCAAAATAGCTTTCTTACTAATGACACTTCTTTTATGAAAAATTGGGATATAGTGTCTCCTTATATGTCTTATACATCGTTAGAATAAAATTGGTTTTGGAAAGCTATTAAGAAGCATGTCATGAACGACTACGATACCTAGCTCTATATTTGCTTTGTTGCAAAAAAGTTGGACTTGGTTTAAAGATTTGTTAATGAAAAAGAACAGGAAATGGCAAATTAAACGTAATATAAATACTTTTTTTTAAATATTTTTAATAATAAGATTTATTAGGAAAAATAAAAAATCTCATGGCGATAAATGGGGCAATAAGGATAAGAGTAATTCAAATTCAGACTCATCAGAAATGTCAGAAGAAGATAAAGTTGAAAATGAAGATGCAAATAAGAATAAAGTTCAGAATGATAAAATGGTAGATGAAAATACTACTCGTAAAAGCAGATCATCTTCATCTTCTTCCTCAAGTAGGAGTTCTTCTAGTGAATCTTCAGCTTAGTCTTTATCTCCCTATCAAAGAAATCCTAAAAATAACTTCTTGCATCAAGATGATGATTAAATATATCCATGCTTTGACTAGAATTTAAGTTAAGATGCTAAAGTTAAGAAAAACATTATCCTTTTGATTAAAATGATTCTCCATAAATTGATAAATAAGAATGTAGGAGTTCTTAAGAACTACCAGACAATCTACAATCGTAAATAGCTCCCTAACCACAATTTTTTCAGAGATTCATTTTCTGGAATTAACTTTAACGGTGGATCATATTATAATAGAGAAAGCTCAGAACCTGAGATTGGAGAATTACCTTTAGAAGATGGAAAAAAGTAATTAAAAAAAAAAGATAAAGGAAATTTTAATAATTTAATTTTTATAAATAAATAGAAGCAGATCACGTAGCAAGAGCAGAGGTAGAAGAAGAACGACAAATAATTTTAGCACAATACGCAGAGGCGGATTTTCTTCAATCCCACCAACTTAAACCTAATCTTCTAATTTCAGTGATGCTCCTCCTATTCAGCCATCAAGTTTAGCTCTCACTTCTGTGAATTCAGCAGCTACTCCAGGTAGTAATTGGTCAAGTGTACCAAATGTATCACTTGGAGCATCAAATTCTGCTGGAGCAGTTCCTGCAACCCAATCAATTTCAACAAGATTCTAAAAAAATACAAAATTTTCTTCAAGAGAAAGAAGTCTTGGCCGTTCAAACAATTTTAGCTCAAAACCAAAACATAGAAAGCAAGATAAAAGTAGTAATTCTGAGCGTAATTCTTCAAGCAACTCCTCTGCAGAAGAAAATTCTAGTTCATCATATTCTAGATCCTCTACATCTAGATCTTCATCATCTTCATCTTCAAAGAAAAATTCTAAATCTCAGTCGAAACCAAGAAGAGCAAATAAACCATCTAATTTCTCATCTGGGCCCGTAGTATCTAACTTAAAATAGGTTGGTTCAAGCTAGTTGATTCCTTCTACTTCACCTATTTTAGCACCTTCTAATTCCTTCAGTATAGCTAACGCGCCAATCAAAACTATAAGTCTGTCTAGCAACTTAGCCTAAAACATAGCTCAAACTTCGCAGCAATAATAATAGAATATCTAATAGCAATCTATGTAGCAGGTTATCTCTCCTATTTCTTAAAATAAAGAAACAAATTATTTATTATAGCAGTAGCAGTAGTAACAACAACCTTCTGCAGTAGCAGAGAGTTAAACATAAAATATTTCTCAGCAACAACCAAACTAACCAATTTCAAATCCTGTTTAATAAATTTGTAATAATCCAACAACTTAATCGATTATATAGAATTCACAAAATAAAATTATATAAACATAAAACAACTAATCTTCTGACACTCTTTCATAAAATTAGATTTAATAAACATAGTAAGCTTCATAATAAATTATCGCTAATAACACTATATTACCTGTAAAACTTTAATAATAACTATCTACGCCTTCTAACAACGCTTCTTCTAATTTTTTAATTAATTCTCAAATAACACCTATTTCAGCTTCAACCTCTCCTTTAATTACTCCAACATAAGTACTCTCAAGTAAATTTGACATAAAAACCATAAATCTAACACAAGCCTCTTCGTCTATCTCTTTACCTCAATCAAACACCATATCTACTGTGCAACCTTAAAAGTAAAGACTTTCAAAATGGGATATAAAATCAGACTTGAATAATAATTAACCATCTCAAGTTTCTCAACAAGCCCCAAATGCAATAACTTAAAATACTAGCTAAGCTAATTAAAACCTTCAATAAAATTAATCAAATACATTTATTTAAACATAATAATCAACTAATCCTTTATAGTCACAATAAACAGCTACAACTATACCACCTGTAGTTTCTTCTACTTCCTAAGCTCTTCTCACATAAACATAATAAAACATCATTCCTCAAGTTAATTAGGTCTAGGCTCCTCCACCTGTAAAAGTTAGTAAATTTTCTAGTAAGCCAGTAACTTAAAATGAAGCTAGTACTAGTTTACTAAACTAATTATAGTCTAATTAAATAGATAAGCAATAACCTTAATAATCATCATAATTATAGCAACAAAACTAGTAGTAATAGTAATTAATTGGAGATATTTAAAGTAAAATTGCATAGAATGCAATTAGTAACTTAAATATTACTTCCTAAAATTAGCAAAATGTATCTTCTTTAGCTCAGAAATCAATAATTCTTTAATAGTAATAAGATAATAATATGAATCCTGCTATCTCTTCTTAGCAAATTACAACTCAATAAGTCTAGTCAGTAAGCAAAGGATTCTCTTTACCAACAATTTAAAAGTAATAATCTTAAGAATAGAGCTTTAGTAAAGAAACAATTATTTTGAGCACAAAAGCTATGATTAATGAAATAAATTCTAAAAAATAAACTAATTTTTCAGAAAAAAACTCAATTCAAACAAATAGTGCAAATGCTTAAGACTAAAAGTAACAACAAATATCTTAAAATGAAATTAAATATTAAAATATTTTACAATAATCACAATAAAATGAAAGCTAAAGCATCAATAAAATATAAGAATCTATAGGTAATTCTAGCTAGATAATAAAATAATCAAAATAAGAAACAATTCTAAGTGTTGATAATAAAAATACATTCAATTCAGAATATAATTTAAACAAAAAGTAAGATAATCAGCATTCTTAAATAAATAATAATGATAAATCATAAATGGAAGAAGAAGGGGAAATAGAGGAAGAAAGTCTTCCTGTAAAGGAAATATAGCAAAAAACTTCAATAATTAATTAGTTTGATTAATAATAAGTTGATTCATAAAAGATTCACTCTAGTTCTCCACCATAAAAGTAGATTACTATGTCTCATCTACTAAGCTAATCTTAATAAAAGAAAAAAAATAACAAGACTATTTTGTCAATATTAGATGAAGATAAAACATCTTCTAGTGATGCAGATAGTTCTCCTCTGACAAGTGAATCTAATTTCGAAAGACCAGCAAACAGAAAATCGAAATTTAGAGATATGGAAAAAGAAGAAGGAGAGCAAGTACATGTAGAAGAGGGTGAAGAGGAAGGATTATAAACATCAAAAGTTGGCATTAACAGATAAAGCAAGCATATTAGTAAATTTAGTAAAGGATAAGTCAGTAAGAGCCAAAAAAAAACATCTTCATCTTAATCTAAAAATAAATTAAAAAAGAGAAGTAATAGCAGCAGTAAAAATGTAGTTACAAATACTTAAAAATCACGCTCTAAATTTGATAATTTTTCAGTCAAGGATGACTTAGATAATGATGAAGAGGAAGGTGAGGAGGAAATTGTTCCAAAGACTCGTTAAACAGTTTAAGATCAAAAAAAGTAGAACAATAGAGAATAGGGTGATGAAGAAGGAGAAGAAGGAATGTAATCAGAAAATGAAGAAGATGAGGAAGGAGAAGAATCTGATAAAAGTAACATCAAAAATAAGAAAAGAAATTACATTTAAAAACGTAACTCTGAATCTTCTAATTCATCTTCCAGTTCATATGATTACTAACGCAGAGGAGGCTTTGAATAGGTTGAAAACTATTATCATCCTATGAATTCACAACAATTCAAGTACTAAAAAGTGAATAATAAATATTTTAAGATGGGTAAAAATAGAAGAGGTAATTTATATTTATAATTAAATATTAAATTTATGTATTATAATTATATAAGGAATGGAGAGTATTGTATCTTAATCAGGAGGAGTTTCATAGCCGATGAATAGTGATGTAAGAATGAACAAATTTAGAAAGAAAAGTAGTGGTTTTAGTGATGCAGCCCCTTCTTAGATGAATGAAACACTCTAACAAGAAGGCGAATCATAAATTTCTTAAAAATAACTTTCTAATTTAGCAAACCTGAGTTAAAGTAACAAAAGCAGAAGTAGGTCATCAAGGGGAAGATCATAAACAAAAAAGAAAAATACTAAGGAACAAGGAAGCAATTATAAATAATAAGCCAGACGCCACAGTGGTGCAAGGAATAAAAAAGGCAAATTTACTTCTTCAAGTGGAAGCCGCTCAAATTCTTCATCCTCTTCGTCTTCTTCATCGTCACATTCATCTTCATCTTCTTCTAGCTCTTCTTCTACTCATAAATCCTAAAAGCAGCCTGTTAAAGAAAATAAGCCCACAGCGGTAAAAAAGGTAAGCAGATTCTCGTCAGCAATCCCACCAGAAAATAATTAGGAAGTATCTGAATCATCAAATAAAGAGCAGTTAAGAGTTGATACTTAGAGTTAAGAAAGAAAAAATAAAACCTAAAATACTTCAAAAGGTTTTAACATATCAAAAAAATAGGCTGAGGAAATCAAAGAGCAAATAACCGCTAAACCTCCAATAAAAAAAGCAAGTCTATTTAGCACTAAAGAGGAAATAGAAATGGAGAATAAATAAGAAATTTTTGTTAAATCTGAAAGAAAAACTTCTTTCAGTATTTAGAAAGATTTGAAAGAGGATTAATAAAAGCAAATGGTTGAACAAAAGTAAAATTAACACTAAAAATAATAAGAAGATGGGCAATTGAATATCTAAAATTAGTAACAATAAAATATACAGCAATAGCCCTAATAAAATGAATAAATGTTTAAAAAGGACATCATGTCTCTTATCATGGATATATAAAATAAAATCATGAAAGATGAAAATATACCAAAAGAAGAATTGCTTAAAACTTTAACTTCTCTTCAATTACAACTCATATCTGGTCCGACTCAAATTTAGACCTAACCTACTCAATAATCTTCTAATAAGCAACATCAGCAAGTTGAGAATACAAATTAATAAAAGTTAGAACAAAATAAAAACTAGCAATAGCAAATAAAATAATCTAACTTTTCTGAAGAAAAAAATGAAGTTTAAGAGGAAAAACAAGAACTTTAATAGAAATAAAGCAAAGATATTTCAAAGGGCAGTTTGGGATTTTCAAAAGGTAAAACAGAGAACTATGATCAAAAGGGTGAAGAAGATTTAAAGAAAGAAGAGGGTGAGGAAGGTGAAGATGAGGATGAAGGAGAACTTGACGAAAGTTCTTTGCTTAAACCATCAGATTATAAATCGAATAAAAGTCATAATTTGAAGAAAGAAAAAAATCACAGCAATCCTCGCTTAACAAAAAGTGATAGAAAGAAAAATAAAAATTCTAAATCAAGAAGCAAAGAAAAGAAGAAAGCTAATGTAGCTATTAAAAAATAAGTAATTGCTCATCATCACGGTGGTGGATAAAGACATTTAGTACCTTCTGGCTTGAATATGGGATAGTCTAACTTGCAAGGTGGATTAGTTATGACAAACCAAAGAATGCAGAGAGGCGTTATTGCTACTAGACCTAATTATCACATTTAGTCTTCTTCAGGATCTTCATCTCAGTCAGACTCTGAACCCTAGTAGCATTAGTCTAGTAATTTTTATTCTAGTTCAAGTAGCAGATCATAATTAAGGTATTACTAAAGTGAAGTAGATGATGAAGATGATGATAGTTCTCAATCATCTGCTAGCAAATAAAATTTATAGCTTAAAAAGTATGGAACTGCTAATTCTAATACTAACACAGGTGGTATCGATTACTAACACTTCCAATAGCTTATCAAAGGACGCAAAAGAGAAGCGGGATAAAGAATCAGCAAATTTTCAGAAAGAAAAAATAAATTTAAAAATGAAGAATAAAATAACTAAGATGATAGCAAAAATGTCAGCATCAGTAGTGAGCGCATATCCTTAGGGAATACAATAGTTGCTAACCAAACTGTAAATATAAGCTAATAATCGCCTACTTAATCAATTAAATCTTAGTCTAATGACAATAGTACAAATATTATAATTAATAATAATAATAACTTAGCTTCAAAAACTTCTACAAATGAATCTGGTCAGATTGTTTCTGATTCAGCGCCTACATTAAATAAATCTAATGAAAATATCTAGTTGAGTTAAGAAAAACAATAGCAACCTCACCATCACAGCTCTAAATTTAGCTCAATCCCTCCTTAAGAGGAGAAGGTTGTAAAGTAAGCAACTGCCTCAAGCACAATATAACCAGTAACCGTAGTTACTGCGTAGTAAACTTAATAGTAACAGAGCTCTAGCTAAGCCTTTTCTCAAATGAAGGTTGATCCCCTTTTGAACACTATTCAGCAGCTTAAACAGAAATCATCTCTCAAAAAAGAAACAAGTAGCATTGTGTAAAATATTTCTAAACCAAAAGTTGATTCCGATAAAGAAGCAGGAGAAGAAGACGATGAAGAGGAAGAAGGAGCTGCAAAGCTTGATGAGGGTGAAGCTAAAAGTGAATCAGAAGAGGGTATTGAGGAAGAAGGCGAAAGTGATTAAGAAAATAATGATAGCGAAGAAGAAGAAGGAGGCATTCCTTCAAGTAAAGATAAAAAGAAGAAGAAAAAGAAAGACTCATCAAGCAGTAGTAGATCTAGTTTTAGTCATAAAAAAAAGAAGACTAAAAAGACATCTAAAAATCACGCATCTAAATCTAAAAAAAATAAAACTCATAGAGATGACTCAAGTGATTCAGACTCTTCTTCTGGTTTTTATCATTCTAAATTCCATCACAGTGGTACAGGGACAGGGTCTTAGTCATTTTTCTCTTCAGAATAATATAACTTTGTTCAAGGAAACCGCTTTAGAAACAAAAATAGTCCACCTACTTAGAGATTTAGTGGACGACATGGTGCCTCTTCTTCAAACATACCACCTCCAACTACTAGATATTCAAATAATAAATTTTCATTTACAGGCTAATAATAAAATATGTCTATGCTATCTAATATCCCTTAAAAAGGTTTTAGTAACTTCTCAAGCCAACCATCAACTAATTCTTAAAGCGGAAGCTTAGCTATGGTTTCTTCACTCTAATCAGTATAAAGTTCAAGGGGAAGAGTAAACCATTGGAGCAGAGCAAATCCAGGAGATTCTCCGACATCTTCTAAGATCACCCATCATTAAGAATCTTCAAGAAAAAGATCAAGAAGCCATAAAAAGCATATTAAAAGCAGGTCTAAATCCCACTCAAGTAAAAAGTGAGTCTAAAATGAGAAAAGAAAAATAATTGAACCCAACTGGTTTTCTATTTTAATAACGTTAAACCAAATAAAATGCATTAAAACTAAATTAAAAGAAGAGTTGAACGTAGAATCATACATAGCAAAAGTATTTTAAAAGTAACTATGAATAGAAAATACTTCATTTCTTTCTTTTTGTTTGCTTAATTAGTAAGTTAGTTAGTTAGATACTTATCTACTTACTTAACAACTCTCAAAATATTTAAACTATTTTTTAGAAATTAAAAGAAATAAGCTTAACTTACTTTCAAACCAAAAATAAAATCCGATTAATTAACTTAAAGATTAAAATTTATTTCATAAATTAATCAGTTTTGTAGTTAAAAGATAATCAATTAATCTATCAATCATCTAATAATTCCTATATAAAATTATAGTTGATTCATTCATTCTAGCTTGATTTATACAAATTATTGCTCATTCATTCATTCTATTTGTTTAAACTTACAAATTTTTCTTATCTTTTCAATATATTTTTAAATTGAATTCATTTGTTATTTATAAATTAATTAATTAAGTAAATAAATAAATAAATAGCTCAATAATTAACTAACTTACTTCATTACATTTTTATATATTTCTTATTGTATTCTGTAATTAGTTATTTAATAAAGTGATACAAATTTTAATTCTTTCTTTCTATCAATTTTAGTTAAAATTATTAAAAATCAAAATAAAATTTAAAATTATCTCATAAATTTGATAATTATTTAATAAATAAATAAATTTTTTATAGAAATCTTCAATTTTTTTATTATGTTTGGCGAATATTCATTCAAAATTATTTAAAAATCTTTAATCAAAATACAATAAATATTGATAAATGTGTTGATTAAATAAAACTTTTGATTAATCTTTTTCTTGAAATTTATAATAAATATATTTTTTTTATTGATTTTAAGTAAAACAAATTTTATTAATAAAATATGTAAATTTGTTGATTTTTTTATTGTTTATTTTTTATTCAATTAAAAATTTTTTAAAAAAATACTAATTTAAAAGGGTTATGATAATTTTAATATAATTGACTGATTTACATTAGTTTTTACTCTAATAGGATTTATTCTTTAAAAAAACAGTTTTAAATTTGTAAAAACTCTATTTTAAATAATTTTGAAAAGTAAATAATACTCATTCATCTTTGAGGATTAATTTGTAGAAAGAAATCAAAATTAAAATTTTAGTAAATGATATTTACAAACAAAAATTTATCTAAACTTAAACTAAATAAGTTAATATTTGAATAATTAATTCAGCAGGCTTCATTTCACACATAAAAATACATTAATTTTAGATAAATTTTTATTGAAAGTTTTAAAGTTTATTTATTTGAAAATTAAAATAAATTAAGTAGCTTTTTTAAATTAAATATATAAATAATTAACAATTTAATATTTTTAAATGCTCTTTATTTCTACAATAAATTTTTAAATATTTCTATTAATTAAAATATCAATATTTTATTTCTAATCTCTCTTGAGACAACGAAGTTCTTTATGGGAAGAAATCTGTTATTTCTTTACTTATTGACTCTTTTACATATTTTTCTATACCATCACATTCGTCTAAAGGTTTGCTTTTAATATAGATGATATAATTTAAGTAATTATTTAAGTTATGTTCATATTTGATATGTTGCTCCCAATCTAAAGTTTTCGCTTCTAGATCTTCTACTGTGAGACTGCATATGAAGCATTTACGTTTTATATTTTTTTCATATTTCCTCTAAAAGTATCTGAATTGTGCATACGAGTCTATAATTTAACCAAGCATTAAATCCATAAACAGGAAATTTATTATAATCCAAAAGCTAATATCATAAAAGAATCTATCCCAGTAAACATTTGATGCTAATTATAATTAATTTAATTTATAAATATATAAAATAAAAAAATTGTTGTTTACAAACACCAGGAATTGTTAGTGCTTCGTTTATTCCTTGAGGATTTAATATGCCTTCCAGTAAACTAGTACTGAAGAAAAAGTAAAAATCTAATGTTGAAACGGCTGCGTTTACGGGTCCAAAACTCTCGGCCTTTTTAAAAATAATTTATTGTTTAATTTTATTTATTGCTAATTTAAATTTTACATCAGAGAAATGGTTTGGAAACACAATAGCTCCAATTAGAGAGTAAATAAATATAATTAAAAAGCAAAGGAGAGTCGTTTTTATGAGCTTATTTAAGTTTAACTTAGTTATTTTAATTATTTAAGTAAGATCCTCACTTAGCTTAACAATATCTATTAGAAGCACTGAGTAAATAACAATCTGGTCTAGTGCGACAATAGCAAGTATGAGATATATTAAATAATATATAAAATCAAAGTCAAAAATAAATGAAACTAATTTATGTCTTAAAATAGTTGAGATGATATTATTTCGGTAATTTTATTTCAATTCTATATATTTTTAATAAGTAACAACAGGATATCTCTCAATGGTTACAATTAGCATGTTCGCAAAGGTAAGAATTAAGTGTATTAACTTAAGAACTTAGAAAATCTTTTTTATTAAATTAAATTTTTTTCAGTTAAAAAAAGAAAAATAAAAATAATTTTTAATTACTACGTCCTGAGAAGTACTGAGAGAAGTACTACCATCAGGTTTTATTTGCATTTTAAATAGAAAAATTAAGTTGATAGCAACTATAAGCAAAAATATAAAGATATTCAAGGCATTCCTATATTCTACAGCTTGAATTATTAATGAATATTTTGATAAATTTTAGCAAAATCTCATCTCATGCTAAAAGTATTCACTGTACCTCATTAAGAGTTTTAAACGATTCTAAATTTTACAAATAAAAATAAATAAATAAATAAATAAATAAATAAATAAATAAAGGGAAAATTTTTATTCAAAAATATTGAAACTAATTTGATAAAAATTTAAAAATTAAAATTTAAAATTTAAATTTATTACTTTATCTGAAGAAATATTAAAATTAAGATTTAAAATTAAAAGTTTTTACTTTATCTGAATAATTAACGGCTTTTTGGATTAGATTTTTTCTGATGTTATGAGTTAAGTAAGAAGAAAGCAATGGTATTCTAAAGAAAAGTTTAGATATTTAATTTTCCTAAACTATTTCAACACTACCTACAAACTGTAAATAAAAGCTCAAGCTTTCAATTAAATATAATCTTTCTTTCTTGTAGTAGTTTATTTTACCACTAGGATTAACTTCTCTCTAAACTCCCATATCATGGACCAACTAGTCTTAGTAGAATGCATCTATTTCATCTTATTTGCTCTTTTTAATTTTAAAGAAAAAAACTTATTTTAGAAAAAATAATTTTTTTTTATTTTAAATTTACAGATTGATCGTCTTTTATTTCATTGTATATTAAATTATGTAAAGTTGTTGATTTTTTAGTAGATATTTTTTTAGCAGTTTTTTGGTTTTTGTAAAGCTTCTTTTAACCAAAAGACTGGGATAATTTATCAGAAACTTTTTAGACTGATTAGCTATTTTGTTGAGCAGCTTCAACACTTAGCCCAGAATGCAGTTTGGTTTATTCCATTTCTATTTTATTTCATAATTTTAAATTTATTTTTAGAATAAAATTATTCTTACCAAAAAAGTCTTCTTTTTTCTTCATTTCTAACAAAATTCCAAGTAAATTTGAACTTTCTTCCTGCATTCTCATTTTCATGTTCAAGTCCTCTTCGTTTACTTTGTCAAGGATAAGTTCAATTACTATGACAATGTTAAATGCCAACTTTATATTTAAATTACATATTTTCTAGAAGAAAAGAAATATTTTTTAAAAATTACTCTCATCACTAACTGGTCATGATAAGTAATGCACTTTTTATAGCAAACACTTGTGCTACAAGTAGTAGAGTTTTTATGAGTACATATCTATTCCTATTGGATTATTTCTAGTCTAGATTTTATTTTATAGTGGTAAACGAAATTCAATAATTTAATTAGCTTTTCTATATTCATGATTGTGATTAAACCAAGCAAAGATTTCTCATTGTTTGAACATACAATTATCGTAAGAAGTAAGTCTATACAGTTAGAAACAGTTTAGAGAATTCTTACATCTTTCAAATTTTCACTTTAAAGATCTAAATCAGATTCAGTTATAATAGCATTCAGTTGAACTAAGAAATGGCTATTGCTTAGAAGCAATTCTTTGTTCTTCGGTGAAGTTCCGTTGCAAAGATTTTTTAGGGTGGATATACATTAGTTTATAACGAGATAATATTTTAAATTCTATCCTTAAAATATGTTGCAGTTAATCCCTTAGCTGCTTTAATCAAAGGAATTAAAGTAAGAACACTTCAACTAGGTGAAATTAGTCATAAAGTAAAGAATCTCATTGAGTATATTCAAAGGGACATACGATTAACTGGAAATGATATTCTTTTATATATAATTTTTTTTAATTATTAAATTGATAAAATTTATTTGTATTTTACCTGAGTTCTAAAGAAATTTTAGAATTCTTCGTTGCATAGTTCACATGAGTTTTGGATAACTTTGAGAACTTAGAGCACTATCTCTTCTTAATTCTAAAGATCTTTTTTCTTTTCTTGGTATAAAATATAGTGCTAAGCGTCCTAATTTGAAAGATTCTCTATAGCTTGTAAATAATTAGAGAAGCTCTGCTTTATAAAGCTCAAGAAATTCCTTGTTATTTTAATATTACTCGGTTTTTTCAAAATAGCCAGAATTTATGCATGAGAGTTTTTCAAATTAAGATGATAAAGTCCATTAATAATTTCCATACAATCTAAAAGAATAGAAACATTTTACTCCCTTTTACTAAGATATTATTTAACTTAGCAAGAAAATCTATTGTGAAGGTTTTCCATATTATTAAACGCATCCTACTGTTATTGTTACATGCTTGCTGTCTGGGCTTGCTGTTAAAAGATGCTTTGGAAAGTATTTTTATTTTAGTTTGCAGCTTATTACTATTATTCAATATGAATATCTGAAATTGTTTGTAGTATCTAATAGTAGAGTTTCTGATTCCAAATTAAGTTTTAAGATATTTTTATATAAACTTATGGGTTTGTTTATTTTTTTTACTCCTTACTTTACTTGGATTAAAGGCCTATTTATTCTTTTTAAAAAAATATTTTCCATTAACTTTTTAAATAATATTTTTAAAAAAGTTTACCTAATGCGTTTGCTAAGGTTGTAGTTGATTATTTTTAAGAATTTTATATTTATTACACACTTTTGCTCTATTGTATTCCTAAATCTTTAATAAAGTATTAAAGAATTCTAAAATAGTGAGAGTCTTTCTTTTTTAAAATGCTCACAAATTGCTCAAAGTATAACTTTATCTTCCTTCCTTAATCTGTATCGTTGCTTTATAAAATCTCGTTCATAATTTTTTAAGCAAATAGTTTGAAAGGTTTTTCTTTGCAGTTTTCTTCACTAATTCTTTCAAAAATACTTGTGTATTTTTTAAGAGACTAGAGTTGCTAAAAACTTTTTTCGTTTTCTGTTAATTAGATGAGTTCATTTTTCTATTTCTACAACTTTATTTATAAAATCTTTTAATTCAATTAAAATGACTTATTTTAATTTACTTTAACATAGACACTCTTGTTTTTTTCAACATATCTGCTGAGTTTTTTCAAAAATACTTATTTGTCCATTTTTTAAGCTTGGTTGTTGCTTTTTGAGGCCTATTACATTCCAATATTTGTTTAAATCCCTTCTTTTTGAGCTCCTAGCTGAATCATTTTATCTTTAACTTCTTAGAAAGGGTAAATATTTATAAATGCATTAAAAAAGTAGTAAATATCGTCATAATCAATGTATGTTTGGTCATTTATTCCAAATATTTCTACAGACTTCATCAAATTCACAAATTTAGCAATAAATTCTTATTCATTAATCAAGAACGGATTTGGCTAAAGTTAGACTTCATTTTCAATTTAATTAATAAATCTTAATTCCTCTTTTAAAAACTCTTCATTCTAATCCAAAGGATTATAATTTGAATCAAAAATCCTATTATTAAATAATTTAGTTAATACCAAAAAAATAAATAAAATTCATAAATTTTGAAATTTATGTTTAGAATTAATCTGAAAATAATTTCCTAAAAGCCAAATTTGTTTTTATATAATTTGATTAACTAATTTTTTATTTATTTTTTACTGTAATAATCTGATTGATAATATTTTAAAAGAAATTAACTGTTTTTATTTTAGAAACATATTAACTTAATTATCCTATTTTATTCAATAATTTCATTTTTTTGTAAATATTTATTGAATATCATTTGAATTAATTATCTGATTGGTAATATTTTTAAAAGAAATTAACTGTTTTTATCTTAGAAGCATATTATTCTATGTAAAATTTTTATTTAATTGTCCTATTTTATTCAATAAATTCACTTTTTTGTAAATATTTATTGAATATCATTAATAATCTGACTGGTAATATTTTAAAAAGAATTAACAGTTTTTATTTTAGAAATATTTTATTTTTTGAAAGATTTTCTTTCATTAAATTTTCCAATTTTATTCAACCAAAAAATTGATTTTTTGTGTAAATTAGCTAATTAGTTTTTATTATTTTTATTTTTTAAATGCAGTTATTTATTTTTTGATTTTTTTGAAAATCTATCATTTAAATTAAAAAAATTTACTCATAAACTTAGTGAATGGTAATGTATTTTAAAAGTATCAAGTTTCTTAACTTTTCTAAGAATAAGAAGTATGTTATTATAGAATTTTTCAATTCTTCTTTAGAAGCTTTATTTTTTTAAGTATGAACTACGCTTGCAACTTAAGAAGAAACTACCTTGTCGTTGGTAAAATTAATCGCTTCCTTTGGAGCATCTTTAATTTATTATTCAAGCAATTAATATTTTTCAAACAAATTTTTATGTTTTTCTAATTATTCATTTATTTGATTCAGCTTAGCTTATCCAAAACTCTTGACATAAGTATCTAAATCTTCTGTTCTTGTTTCTTTTAACTTTTTTTCAAGACTAATGCTTGGGAGATTTTAACTCTGATGCTTGAAATTGCTCATATTTGTTCTATGTTTCTTCGTTGAGCATAAAATGATGCACTCAGAAAACATGTATGTAATTTCAGTAAGATCTATCTAGAATTTATTTTATATTTTCTTCAAAATGAACCTGATATTCTCGCACATAATTTTAATCTAAATCATAAAAATTTATAAATAAGAACAAAATTATTTTGATTTTTAACATACAGATAGAAGGTGATCGGTGAGGTTTTCTTCATCAGTGCTACCTCTTTTATTTTCTTAGGATGTTTCAAATGCCAGCCATTTTCTTTTGTCAATTTCTCTATAAATATCTAATAAAATTTGCAAAAGTCCATCTTTTGAAAAATTCCAATTGCTTCCTGAATACAAATAATCCCAGTATTCCTTTGGAGATGCTATTATATCTATATTTGCATCCTTTAAAATTATTAATTTATTAATTAATTTTATTAGAAATATTTACTTCTTTGTTGTTACTAGACTTCCTAATTAGTACTTACTTCTGCTCGCTTTAAACTGACTTTTCTTCTATTAAATCTTTAATAAATTCCCTCAGCTTTTGTTAAAGTTTTACTCCTTTTTCTTTGTTATCTTCAAAAAGATATTTATTATTAGGATCAACTAATCCCTCTATGTATCTCGAGAATTAGGAAAGGTCTTTTAGCACTACATTTTAGAGCAGCTCATTCATTTCAACAAGAGCGAAGCCGTTATTTTAATCCTCATATTGCTGTATGTAACTTTTATGAATAAAATATTTATTTATTATTTTTTATTGAGCGATATTTTGTTTTACATCTAAAACAGAATTTTAAAAACTTCTTTTTTAATGATGAAGGGACTTTAAGCGCTTAAAAGAAGTTATTTCAAATCTTCATAAACTAAAATTCTTTAGCATTAGATTATTCCAAGTTAGTTGTTTTCTGAAAGTGCACTCATTAATTTCATGATACTTTTATATAAATAAATATCTTGTTTAACTTTTTATCCTTCTTTAAAGTGCTTTAAGAAATCGCTTGGAGTTTTGTGCTAATCCAGGAAAGGCTAAATGATATTCAACTAAATTTTAATTTATATTGAACATTTAAATAATGATTAAATGTAATTAATTTAATTACTTGCAAGATTAAATTTAAGATTTTTGACTAATTTTCTGGGATTAAAATGCCTTCTCTTTTAATTTTTTTCTAGAATTAAATGGTATCTTAAATAACTTAAAATTTTGGAGTATCTATTTTTTTAAGAAAAGCTAGAAGCATCTCAAAAATGTGTGTCTATCCTACTTTAGTTATGCCTGGAGATGTCAGTTTCTAGAATATTGCTTACAGATAAGGCTTAAACTCAAGCTCACTTTAACACACTGACTATAGAGTTAAGCCTATTAACTTTTATGCTTTAACATTGTAATTTATTAGATTTAGCAAATCATCAAATCTTGGGAGAATTTCTTTCTTATTTATATGATTATCCTGACAAAATATAATCAAAAAGCTTATAACGCATTCAAACATATTATGATAAACTTTTTCATCAGAAGGCAGCTAATTATTTTGTAAGTAAATTGAAATAGTATTTGACTTTTAAATAAAATTACATTTAGAAGATTGGCTATAGATTTGTGCACTCGTACATTTCTTAAAATATTTTGCATTTTATTCAGCAGCACGGCGTTAGAGTTGTTTCTTTTATTTTTGAATTCTCCTACGATCTTATCAACCAAATTGTTTATTTGTAGGATATTCTCAGCAGACGAATTTTCATTCTTTAAAGCCTTCGCTTTGTTAAATTCGTCAAAAAGTAGATTATTTACTTGTATTTCTAGTTTAATTGGTGAAACTATCTAATTTTCTGAATGATTGCTATCAAGTTGCTTGTATAAACTTAATTCGTCTTCTCCATCAATTAGCTCAACATGTTGAATCTCCTCACAAAAGAATTTAGCATGGTTCATAGCTATTTACATTGTCTCTGCCACGTGATCATATGCAAGACTTATATTAGATTTCTCTAAAATTCAAAAAAATAAATTAATAAATAAAATAGCAAATAAATTGGCTTTCTTTTGTCTTAATATACTGATTGAGTGATTGTTGATGAATATTTATTAATATGTTCACTCAAATTCTTTTACATTTGATTAAAAAATAAATAAAATATATTTTTTTATCATCAAAGCTAGTTTTATATTATACAATGTCCTTTAAATATTTTAGAATTTCAAAATTACCTTTGCTTAAAAGGAAGGTCAACATCATATTTTCTATTTTGTTTGCTAAAGAATCATCATCTAAGTTATCTTTTTTGTCTCCTTCATTCTTATCTGCATTGAACTAGCTGATCATATTATTATTGCTATTATTGGCATTTAGACTATTGCTATTGTTTCTACCATAAGGATTAAAAGCTGAGTCTTTAATAGATTATGATTGACCTTCATTTTGTTATATAAAATTCAAGAAATCCACTCTACGCTTTTTATTTTCTTTGAGAGGTACATTGATTTACTTTTATACTATTGTAAAATCTTAGATAATTTGTTAGAAATCTTCTTGGAGCTCTCTAAATTTCTTTCTACTCTTTTGACTTGTGTACTCTTAATAAAACTACTTTAGCAATTAATTAATTTAAAGATTTTATTTTATTTTTAAATAAAGTCTGATTAAATTGGAAACTTCAATAATTATAGCTTCTAATTCCTAATCTAAGTCTCCATAATTCTAAATCTTATTGAAAAATTTCTTAAGCCAGTGCTCTTACTAGAAAATGCTCTTAAATTTACTGAAATTAATAAAAGCATTTAATATTTAAATTGCTTAATTCACAATTTAATCTATTTTTTCAGTTGTGAGTTAGCCTAAATCCATAGCGATTCTTGTGACCTACAAAACTACTAAGACGAATCTAAGCAGAATTTTTGCATTTTATTATTTTTCTTGCTGTTACTCTAAGGCTTTTTTTAAATATTCATTTAAGTCTATTTATTTTGCTTAAGTTGTATTTTACTTAAATTGTTGAACTAATATTTGTTTAAGGCTTGAATTTCTAATTCAGGCATTCCCCTTTCCCAAAATTCTTCTAAAATAGGCAAAATATTCTAATCAAAATTTTAAGTGCTCTTTATTACATCACTTTAATCTGAAAGCTACTTGAAAATCTCAGCAGTCTTTCTTGATAAAAAGCGCTTTTCTATATCCTTCCATATGTAACTATTTAATATTAACAATAATAAAAATTGATTTTAGAAAAATTTAGTTTACCTTCTGTTTTAAGATTTTTCTAAAGTCAAGAAAGGTTCATCGTCAAGGAATATTACCTCATAAATCTGAAAATAGCTTGTTCTTATGCTTATATTAATATCAGTCGACTTGAGTGCATTAAAAATGTGAGTTTCATTTATTCCTAATGTATTCTTAATCTATGTTAGAGATTTTTTATTTCTGCCATTACATAAATTTGCTAATAAAGTTAGAACAGAAGACACATAATTTAAATATGGAGCGATACTCTTATTCTTTTCTGCGTCTTTACTCATTTTTTCAAGCGAAAAAGCCATTTTATCTCTTTTATTTATTTCTACTCCAATATTATTCAAAGGAGCATTACTATTTATGAATTCGTTCAAAGGAGTTTCATGATAAAACGAGATATATGTCCCATTGGTAAAATCTTAATGAAATTAAATGATTGCCTTACTCTAACCACCTTTTCCCTTAGAGAATAGTTCTGTTGAGCATTTGTTTTAGTAGCTATTGAAATACAAAACCTTATTTTTAGAAATAAAATTTAAATAGAAATTACATTTAAAGTGGTTTTTGTTAAGGATCAATCATTGCTAATGAAATAAAATCAATGTAAAAAGTTTAATCTAAGATGTTTGATTTGCTTTCGTCTAAAGGTTCAAGCAATTTAACCCACTCAACTATTTCATCACCTTAAGCACCTTCTCCTTTGAGATTAAATAAATTTTTGATTGCTTCTTTAAGCAACGATCCAACTTCTTTTGGATAGTAACGAAGTTGACCTGAAAAAAAATCATCATTCTCAAAAATATAAGATGACCAATTAGCATTCTACTTCGATCCTAAATATAGGATGTTGAAGATTTTAACAGGTAACTGACATAAGTGTTTATTTACTATATATTGTGGTGATTTCTCATTTATTTTATAACCTACACTTCTATTCATTTTTATTAATTTAGATTTATCTTTTTAACCTTGCTAACTCCTATTTCCATGGGACATAACATCAATTAATTTAACAATAAGTATAAGCAACTCTAGTACTTTTTATTCTCTTAAAAATTATTATTTCATCTAAAAAACTTAAAGAGAATCAACTGATTCTTTCATTAATAATATCTCTAACTCATTGAGAGCTCTAAGTACGTATTGGTATTCAGACTCTAATTTTTTTTATTAGTGTACTGCCTCTTGATAAGAGTACACAGTTTCTTCATTGCCCTTTAAAAATATAAGATTTATTTAATTCAATTTCACCCCAAAATATTATTGAGTAATTAGTATTTTTGCAAATCTATTAAAAAATTTTACCTTTAATTTGTCATTTATTGCAAAGCACTGAAGAAAATAATGAAACTGTAGCAAGGTATTGTATATTTACAAGCTTTATTCTAAAAAATCTACAACTTTTTTGTCAGTAGTTGTAAAGGCATGCAAGTAAGGCAGACTTACTCCTGAAATTTTAGGTTGTAAGCTCAAAGTAATTTTACCTTTCTCAGGGTTGGAAGCAACATGAATATATTTTCTTTCTTAATTGTATATTTTGAAAGTATCTTACAAGTAAATTTTCTTTTTTTCGTTGTTTGTTTTATCTTTTTTAACATAAAAATAGCAATCCTAATCTTTTCCATTCCAAATTAACGAAAATTTCGTAGGCATTCCTTTATCACGAGAAAGAAAGAGTCTAATTTAGATATTCAAAATTAAAAACTAAATTAATAAAATCTTAATTTTTTTAATTAATTTACCCTGTTGCTAAATTTTTCAACCTGAAGCATTCCTCGCTATATAGGTCACCTATTGATCATTAATATAAAATGCAATGAGATATAAGATGTTTTTAATTTATATTTACCTCCAGTGAAGTGATCTTTGCGTTGTATTTCCCAAAATGAATATGATGAATTAGTATTTTCAGAATCATATATAGCTTCAAAATTTTCAGGAGAAGAAACTTTATTTTAATCTAAAAACCTAAGTGTGAATATTTAATCACTTAGACCAGAATATACTTCATCATGGCTGTGTTGGATTCTACAATTTTTGGTCAAAATAAATCTTGAGAGCTTTTTCTCAGAAACACTCAAAAAAGCTCCTGAGTCGAGATGTTAAATTTTTATAATATCTCCAGTTTTAAAGGCAATTCCTTCTTCTGCTTGGTCTTTCGTTTATTCTAATGATTCTCTACTAATATAGCATTTTACCTATACAAATAAAGATTATAATACTAAATAATAAAAATAAATATACTTTAAATTTTGTTTGTTCTTCACTAGCATTTATATGTATCCTATTTTATTATCTACCTCTGAAAGGACTAGGCTGAATCGATACATTATTTTATAAGAAACCAATATTACCTTGCTGAGGATCCTAATTTTTATAATTAACATGTTTATTATTAAAATTCTATAAAATGTTTTGTTTAATAAATTTTATTAATTTCTATATAAAAATATCTAAGTATTATTCAATTAAATTACCTAATAATTAAATAACAATAAAGATTCTAAAAATTTTAAAATTACTTAATAACTAATTTGGAATTATTTTAAAAATTTGCAAAAATATTGCAAATGCAAATGCAAAATATTGTTAAATCGCAGCAAAAAATAAAGTATATCGATTTTTGAATAGCAATCAAATTTAACTAATTCAAGTTTATGTAGAACTTCAATAAGTTTATATAAAAAAATTGAACGATAAGGTAATCTTCATGCTTTTTTTGTATTTAAATATCAAAGTTTATCATCATAATTTATAGATTATTAATAAAAATTAAGGTTTTTATTATTAAAGAATAAAAAATGTTCTTAAAATTCATTTATTTTCTTAAATTTATATTTTCCATTTGAAAATATTAAAAAATTAATTTTATCTTTAAAAATTTTTAAAAATTTAATTATTACTTTTATCATTTTATTGGTAAGAGAAACATTGAGGAAAAATTAACTATTTTTTATTTCTTGAATATTGATTACATCAGAATCAAATATTTTATCTCCAACCCTACGGCTATAATCATTTGGGAGCATTCTGAATATAGAAAATTAGTTAGGGAATTTCTCTAAAGTACATTAGATGCATCCATTTTTTTTTGCTGGTTTCTATGGGTTAAATGTTAAAAACATTTTAGAATATTAATGATAAAGCATAACTTATTTTCCATAGACGAGTAAATCTCCATCATCTTCATGGGTATCGTTTTTAACGTTAAGCTACTATTCAAACATTTAGAGCTTTTTATTTCTTTGAAAATTATTTTCATCTTAGTTACTTAATTCCAGAGACAATAAGCTCTAACGTTAGACTTTCTTTTATACTGCATTATATTGATTATGTTTTTTGATTTCTAAAGCTTATCTTGGGTTAAGAACTTAAAAAAGGCATCTCCTAAAATTAGCAATAGGGTTATCAAGAGATTCAACTTATTCACTAATGCATTCAAGCTAATTCCTTGTATTTGTTATTACTAAAAAGCTTTTTAATTCCTCACTGTTAGTCTATTTTATTAAAAATATTCTTTAAATTAAAATAGAGCAATAATTTTTTGAGAAAATCTAATTTTAAAAGAAGGTTTGCATATTTAATTATGTAATGCTTTTACATTTTTTTCCTTTCTAATTCTATTTTTAAGTTGAATTTTCAAGTTTTGGTTAAATTTCAAAAATTTTAATCATTATAGTATTCAAAGAAACTAATAAATTAATTATTCAGTGTTCTTTTTTATTTAAATATATTTGTATCTATTTATATTAGTTTTTTGCAAAATATTAAATAAAATTACACTATATTACCTCTTTCTTGCTTTCATGCTTAAATTTTAAATATACTATGTCATTGAATTGCAGGGTTTTAAATGCTTTTTCAGTTGATTACAGCTCCTTTATTTCTTAATTATTGTAGTTGTTAACAAAAATGTTAGGAGATTGCTGTGATTATACACTGTCTAAATTGAGCTAGCGAAATTTTGATAAAGATTTCGTTATATTTTTTTAGTTTTCTACAACCTGTATAACTTCAGGTGGTTCGTCTATTATTTAATCCATCATATCTGATTATTACTCATTTATATAGTTTTAAATCAGCTATGGTTATATGCTTGATAATTTACTGGTTTTGTATGAAAATTATGATTAAATGTTTTAAGGTGATTTCGTTTCCGTATTTCCTAAGCCTCTAGGCGTTTTTATTTAATCAGATATGTTTTTGCTATCATTATATACTTCTTCCTTAATTGTGGATTGAATTTTTTAGGTCTATAATTCATTTTCTTCTTACTTATTTTCCTCATATTAATCCTATCCACTAAATAGAGATTTAACATAATACCGCTTTAAAAGATAGTCTAATTGCTTAAACCCACTCTCGATTTAAGTCCTGTACATCCAACCTATACTTTGACTTGTTTCGTCCATCTTTCCAACTTATATACAATAAAATAAACTTGTTTGATCTTCTTGTTGAAGGAATTTAAAATTTATAAGAGCTAATCAATCTATTTCCTACTTATGTTTAGGTAGGAGAATGTAATATTTATATATTATTTAGAGTAAAATAGAGAATCTATATTAATTAATTCATTTATTTATTTTTTGCATGTTTTTTGAAAATATCTAATTTTAAAATTGATTAACAAATAGTTATAATACGCAAACGTCTTCCATTAAATCATAAAAATCAAATTTAATTAATTTATTTTAAACTACTCTATTTTAAAATAATTGGTTTTATAAATGATAATATGTAACTTCTTCTAAATCTAAGAAATTAATTTATTAGCAAATAATTTCTCAAATTAAATAAATTTGTTTATTGAATACATAATTGTATCATTTGATTTTCACAAATATTATAAAGACATTTAAATAAATCAAATTACTTCAATAAAACTAAAGAAAAAACCTTTTCTTTTTTAATTTAATATTTTAATATTAAATAGTTTTAATATGCAAAGTATTCATAAATTAACTAATTAGGATTATATTTATTTGGAGTTATGAACTAATTATAAATGAAACCTTAAAAAATTTATTTATTTTTTACAAAATGTTTGTTTGTTTGTTGTATTTGAATTCTACAATTTTCAAATAGCTTAATTTATCCCTTACCAAATCTGAATCTTTATAATTAGTTACAAAACAAAAGAGATAAAGAATAAATAAATTAATAAAAAACAGCTATTTATTTATTATAGAGTTTTTATAATATTTTAAAATATTATTAAAAAACAAATATTTGGCTCTTCTGTATAAGAATAAACCATTATCTTTAATTGATATACACATTAAAGGGTAAGCTTTTTGATTTGAATCTAAGTTTGAGCTTATAAACCAAGCCAAATCATTAATTTTTAGATCATCTTTTGATGTAACTAAGTTAATGTTGTGTTTAGAGATAAAACTTGAATAGTTCTAATATGCTAAATCGATGACTTTTCTCTATTAATTATATTTTAAATTTTATAAAAAGGGGTGCAGGGTTATTAGAATTTATAATAAATTTTGATAATCTATTATAAATAAATATTAAGAATTTTTAAAATTAAAGTAAATTTAATATTTCTCCGCTCTACTTATAAGCATATTTAGAAATAATAATCATCATTTCTTAAATTTTTAATTAAAGGAAAACTGATACATATTTAAAGCAACATTAAGGATATAATAATTAATAAATAAATACTACTTATCAAAATTAAATCAAATTTCAATCTATTAAAAATTAATAATTAAATTACATAAAAATATTTCTTTTTTCATTCGAGGAGATAAAATTTAAAAATAAATGTTAAAAATAATTATAAAAATAAAAGACTCTTTAGCAGATTTTAATTATTGTTTTCAATATTTTCTAAACCATTACTAAATAATTAACTTTTTAGAGTAATAAAAAGATGAAAAAACACTATTAATTGGTAATTTAATTATTAGGAGCTTATATAACTCAACAACATAAAATTAATTATTATTGTCATTTTTTAAATTATTTATTTTAAATTTTTTATGAAAAATTGTAATTTATTTATTTATTTTTAAAGCAATTTAATAAATTTAAAATTTGTATTAATATTTTTAATGGTATCTCTCACTTAATTTTTTTGTTTAACCTTTCTATTGTGAGAGTATTTCTTTAAGGGAAAAAGTCAGTTTATTACTTAGAAATACACTCTTTTACATACTTTTCAATACCATCACATTCATCTAGAGTTTTGCTTTTAATGTAGAGAAGATAGTTTAGGTAATTATTTAAATTATGTTCGTATTTTATATGATTATCCCAATCTAAGGTTTTTGCTTCTAAATCCTCTACAGTAAGTCCACAAATAAAGCATTTGCGTTTGATATTTTTATCATATTTTTTTTATAAATTTCTGTACTCTGAATAGGAGTCTATGATTTATCCGAGCATCAAATTAAGAAACAGAAAATTTACAATTAGCCAAAAGCTTATGTCATAAAAAAATCTTCCCCAATATTTACTATTTTCTAAAATAAAAATTTTTAATTAATATTTCAATAAATATTCTTAAAATTTTACAAGTTCCAGGTATAACTAAAGCTTAACTAATTCCCTAAGGATTCAAAAGCCCTTCTAAAAGGGTAATTGTAAATAGATCATAGAACTCAATACTTGAATTCGTATCAACTGATCCCATAACAGTGCTCTAATTTTAAATAACAATATTTAAAAATAAATGCATTTTTTTTTTGATGATAAAATTTACTTAGGTAAAATTCTATGTAAAAGACAATGATCCAATTAGAGAGTATATAAAAATGATCAAAAAGCAAAGGATTGCTGTTTTAAACAATTTCCTAAAGTTAAGGCTAAATATTAAAAGGATTTGACTAAGATCTACACTCTGCTTAATAATATCTACAAGCAAGACTGAATAAATAATGATATTTCCTAAAGCGCAAAAGGTTAAAACAAGATAGAAAAGGTAGTATATAAAATCAAAATCAAATGCAAAAGCAGCCTAAGGATATTTTAGAATTTACTGCATAATTTTACTCCTATATTTTTATTTTATTTCTATATAATTTTGATAAGTTACTACTGGATATCTCTCAATTGTCACAATTATCATATTCAATATTGTTAAAATCAAATGAATCAGTCTAATTATTGTGTAAACCTTAAATAAATATTTTCAAAAAAAATAAATTATTCCATTTCAAATTGATTCAAAGAATCTTAAAAAATTTTATTGGATTTATAATTTCAGTAATTTAAATTTATTGTTTTTTATAAAATTTCATAATTTTAATAAAGAAATTCTAAATACTTATTAAGTAAATTAGCAAATTCTTAATTTTTAGTTTAAAATCTGTTTTTAACATTTAATTAAATTTTATTTTTACCACTTCCCCTGTTCCACTAAGATTTTAAGAAGCATCGACAATAGTTAGTTTAAATAAAAATACAAGGTTGATTATCAAGACAAGTATGAATAGAAGATTAATTAAATAACTTTGGTATTCCACAGCAAAAATTATGAGTTGATACTTGGAAAGATTTTAACAAAATCTCATTTCTTATTAGAAGTAATCAGTGTACCTAACTAATAGCTTAAGACGATTCTGTAATGTTAAAAAAATTTGAATTAATTTTATACAATCAAAGACAATTTTATTTAGTTCATCAAAAATTATTGATGAGAAAAAAATTACTTTATCTGATAAATCAACTGCTTTGTTTATGAGATTTTTTCTTATACTATGAGTGAGATAGGAAGAAAGGAGGGGAATTCTAAAGAAGAGTTTAGAAATGGACTTTTCTTTTACTATTTCAACACTTCCAACAAATTACATATAAAAGCTTAAGCTTTCTCTTAAAAGCGCCCTTTCTCTTTTCAGTTGATTAAACTTTGTTGAAATTCTGCTTTCTCTATGAAGACCCATATCTTCGGCTAGTTATTCTTATTGATAGTTATCGATTTCATCTTACTTGCTCTAAATTTAAAAATTTAGTAAATGTTAAAATCAAATAAATCTTTGGATGAGAAATTTTACTGAATCATCTTCTTTAATCTCATTATATAGTATATTATGTAATGTCATGCTTTTTTTTGCACTTGTAAACTTTTTATAAGTTCTACTCTTAAATATTTGACTCTTCTTTGAATCGTAAATTTTTGATTATCTGCTATCATTAGAACGTTTCTTTTCTAAAGATTGCTTGTTTTCAAGAGAATTTTCTTCATTACTCAACTTAGCCCTATTATAAATATCTAATTAAAATTTAAAAAACAATCAGTTTAATTTTTATTGTAAATTTAGTTTTTATTTACCTGTAAAATCGTCTTTCTTTTTCATTTCTATAAAAATGCTTAACAAAAGAGTGTTTTCTTCTTGCATTCTTAACTTTAAATTCATGTCATCTTCATTTAGATTGTCAAGTATTAGCTCTAGAGCTATAACAAAATTAAACGCTAGCTATTTATTTTAGGCAAAAAAAATTGTAAAAGATTTATATTTTATTTAATAATTAATACTCTCATTATTAAGTGATCGTGGAATGTCATAAAGTTTTTATAACAAACACTGGCACTGCAGTTAAGTGTGTTTTAGTGAATGCACTGCTGCTCTTGCTAAATTATGTAAAGTCTTGATTTAATTTTAAAGTGATAAATAAAATTGAGCAACTTGATTATATTTTCCATATTCATAATAGAAATTAATCTCATCAATGAGTTTTAGTCATCTGAACAGACAATAATAGTTAATAACAAATCTACACAGTTAGAAACTGTTTAAAGAGCTCTAATATCATTTAAATTCTCACTTTGTAAGTCTAAATTTGATTCAGTTATTATGGAATTAAGCTATATTAAGAAATTAGTGTTATTTAATAATAAATCTTTATTTTTTGAAGAAGTTCCGTTGCAGAGATTTTTAAGAGTTGCAATGCATTAGTTTATTAATAAATAATATCTTATATTTAATCTTTTTTGTTAAGAAATATTCTATTGAGATTGCTTAGATGTAAAAGAGTAAAAATAGGAACTTTTATGTTTAGTAAAGTTTGTAAAGAAGTAAAGGATCTCTCTCAAGATATTTAAATGAACATAAGACTGAGAAGATTCAATATTCTATATTTTAATATATTGTTAACTTTTTATTTTATTTTTATTCAAATATTACTTAAATTCTAAAGAAGTTTTAAAACTCCTCATTGCAATGTTCACACGAATTTTCTATGACTTTGAGTATTTGCAGCACTATTTCTTCTTGCAATTAAAGCTCTTCCTTTCTTTCTTTGTAGAATAACTATTAATTCACATCTTAATTATGGAATTATTCTATTTATTGAAGATAATTCTAAAAGCTATTTTTCATGAAGCTGAGGAAATTTCTAGTTATTTTGATGTTTCTAGGCTTCTTTAATATAGAGAGTAACTAAGCATGAGAGTGCTTAAGATTCAAAGAGTATAATCCATTTAGTATTTTCATGCAATAAAGTACTATTTTTGTGTTTTCTTTTTTCCTAATCAGTAAAGCCTTTACTTGCTAATGCAAGCTGTTGTTCATGCTGCTTTCCTAGAAAATTTAAGTCTCTTACTAATTAGGCTAAATCCATTTATTTGTATTAGAAAGAGTCTAATTTTCAATAAAAATATCTGAAATTGTGAGCAAAACCTAATAATAAAGCTTTTGATTCCAAATTAAATTTTAAGAAACCCTCATATATTTTGAAGGATGGAACAGTTTTCTAATTTCTTTAGTCCTATTCACACTATGATTTCCAAAGAGATCTTTATTATTTTAAAAATAAATTAAAAAATTTTATTCATATTTTTATGAATTTTTTATTTTAAATTATCACTTTTTTGTTAAAATTATTACAAAAACTTTTTTTTTTTTTGCTCTTTTAAATTTAATAAAATGAAATGCATTTAAAGTTTTATTTATTTATTTTTACTTAAATTTTATTTTGCGTTCTTTTAATTAATTAAAATAATTAGATTTTATTATCCATTTTTAATTAAATTAATTCAAACATTTTTTATTTGTTATTTTGTTTGTTTCTCAGATTATTTATTTGTTTAAAAATTAATTTATTTCAAATTAGAATAATGAAAAAGTTTAGAGTGAACTCATGAACAAAATTATGAAATATTGTTATTATTACCCATCTACTAAATTTGGTATTAAATTTAGTTGTGAACCTTTTACTATCCATAAGAACTTGTAAGGCTTTGATTTTATTAAGCAGCCAACTCTTCAATGAAGTTCATTAGGATCAAAAAGTATTAGTGATCCTTCTTTTTTAATAGTGTGACTAACTATTCGAAGAAAACTTTACTTTTTCTTCTTTGATCTGATTCGTTGCACATAATTATTTCATTTAAAATATTATTTGCAAAGGTAGAATATGATTTCTCTTTTACTGATTAGAGACTCACTTATTTGAAGACATTTATAAAATACTTAAAAGATTCAAATTGTTTAAAGCTCTTTTCAAATGATAAAAGTACAATTTAGTCATGACTTTATATAGAAACATGATAATTCTTTTAAATATATTTGGTAAACTTAGTTAAGAAATAAAGCTTTTCAATATCTTTTTTAATTATAAAGCTCCCTTACAAATTAAGTTATAGTTATGTAATTTCTCTTTAAGTGGTATTTCCTTTACCTTTTTGCTAGACTTAAATATTGTAAGAATCTTTATATTAAGGATAAACAATAGCAAAAGCATCAAAGAAGAAATTAAGATCATCATAGTTTATCAAATTTGCATCTTTAATTCCATAAAGAGATATATCTTTAAGCAAACTAACAAATTTAATTATAAATTCTTCTTTTTTAATAGCTGTTTCACTGTATTTATCTAATTCAATAATTGGCTAATTTCCTTCCTTTGCAAGCTATTGAGCACCAAATGTTCTAATTAATTATAAAAATTCATTTTAATTAAAAGCTAATCCTTTATTTTATTTTACTTGTATATTTATTTTAAGGTTAGGAATTTCCTTTCAATTAAGAACTTTAATTTGTCATAAAATAAAATGAGTGTCAGAATTGAATTTTTTTATATTTAGATGCTTTCTAAGTATCTTTGTTTAATTAATTGCTGGTGCAAAGGCGCTTACCTTTAAGTTTGTCTTTCTTGTCTATAAACAAATTCTTTAGATGGTTCTTTTGGCACCTAATCAAGCTTCTAAAACCTATCATAAAGTTTATTATGTTTTCTAAGCTGCTCAACTATCTGAATCATCTTGACCTCTTCATAATTTTTAACATAGCTCTCAAAATCTTCAGATATTGTATCATATAGTTTCTATTACATGCCAGATATGCTTAGTTAAGCTTACTTGATATTTTTAAGGTTGTTGAACTCTTTCTTCACTTTATTTTTCATAATGCATTCAGACAGCATATATATCAACTAGGAAAGATCAATGTCAAATTAATTTTATATTTTTTTTAGGATGCATCTGATATTCTGACAAACCAATTTTATCTTTTTTAAAGTTAATAAATTTTGATATTAAAATATTCTTCTTTTTGAAATATTTTCAGTATTTAATTGAGTTTAATATATTTTGTCTAAGTTTTTAAATTATTCAAAATATTCTTTCATTTAATTACTAAAATTATAAACAATTAAATTTATTATCTAAATTTATAATTTTTTTGTAGATTCTCAATTACAGATTATTCAGTCATATAAATCGAAGATCAGTAATGTGAAATAATTTTTTTTTAAAAATACAGAAATTCTTGAAACTCTAACAAGCAAAATTACTTAGAAATTACATTAAAATTAGTTCAAATTTAATCTTCATAAAAATGAGGAATTTTAGAATAATTAAAACTTTTATTTAGTTTTTTTAATTTAAATAAACTCTTTTTTTCAAACTTAAAGTTTACCCTAATTAATTTCATATTTTACTAAACAATTTATTCTCCTCTTTTTAGTTTATTTTCAAAATAATTCATATTTTTCACTTTGGTTTAATGGTATTTAAAATATTTAATTGTTTATTTAAAATTTTAATTTTAATTTTCATAAAATTTTAAGTTTTTAAATAACTTTAAAACATTAAAAATGAATATTTTAAAAAAATATACCAATAATAGCTAATCTGTTAATATCTCTTGTTCTGTGGTGGGTATTTCTTCTTCATTAGCTTCAAAATTTGTCCAACCTCTTTTATTTATTTCTTAGTAACTGTCTAATATTATTTATAAAAGACCATCTTTAGTTAAGTTCCAATTATGGCCTGAATATAAGTAATTCCAATACTCTAGTGGAGAGTCTATAATATCTACATTATTTTCCTGTTAAGAGATCATATTTAAAATTGATAAGATAATAATTATTTTACTGCTTCTTTTTGCAGAGCTACTTTAGGAGCAAATCCTGGTTGGTTTGGCTTATCAACATTTAAAGTTTTATCTTCAAAAAACTCTTTGGTATATTCCTTTATTTTAGCTTAAAGTAACTGCTCTGATTCTAGCGAATGCTATCCAACATATACGACTCCTTCTATATACTGTAGATTTAAAAAATGTTATCAATTGAGTAATAAAGTAAAAATAAATTGCATTTACTTTTGAGAATTAAGTGAGGTCTTTTAAAATTACGTGTTGTAAAATTTCATTCATTTCAGTTATTGAGAAGTTGAGATTTGAATCTTCAGTTTATTGAATATATCTATATAATAATTCAATATTTTATTTTTAATCTAAATAAGCAAAAGTTACATTTATAACAAGACTTTAAAAGTTTCTTATTTAATAATGTATGGCGTTTATGGACTAAGCAAGAACTACTTCATATCTTCATATATCATTATTCTCTAACATTAAATTATACTTAGCTAATTTTTCTCTGAAAGAGTGCTGAGTAACTTCATCAGGCTTTTGTACATGTATATATCTTAGTATAATTCTTATTTTGTTTTACTTTTTTATTAGAAATCATTGAAGTGCTTATGAGATTCTATGAAAAGCTAAACTGGAGATATCTGTTAATATATAAAAAAATAATAATAAATAAATTTAATAATAATGTTTTAAAAATTAATTACCTATAGGATAAGATTAAGTATTTTTTGCTAGTTTTCAGGTATTAATTCAGCTAAGCAGTTTATTTTTTTTTATAATTTTATTGGGTCTGAGCTTTAAGAATGTTAAATGTTTATTTGCTTCTTAAGCACAGATAAAAGCATCTCAAATATATGAGTTTATCCTGCTTTTGTTGAAAATGGAGAGTTTAATTTCTAAAATATTGATTATAAATAAGGCTTAAATTCATGCTCCCTTAAACAAACTGACTATAATATAATTCCAAGTAAAATTTCAGCACCTACTTCATAATTGATCAAATTAAGGAGATCATCAAATCTGTACAAAAGTTCTTTTTAATTAAATTCATTATTTTTGCTGAAGTTAATTAAAAATCTAATCACGCACTCCAAAGTGCTTTAATAAAACTGAGGACTCAACTATTGCAATAAATAAAAAATAATTTCATATTATAAAAAATTTAATTTAAATTGAATTGAATTTAGAAAATTTAAATAAGTGAATCAAAAGCTTTTTTTATAAAAGCAAAAAATAAATTCATATTTTTAATCTAAAATTTTATTTTTAAATATATTATTAAGTTTTATTCTTATTAGATTTAGAAAATATAAAGCATTTTAAACAAAAAAGTATTATTTTAGCAACCACTTAATTTAAGTATAAGTAATACAGCTAAATTTTTTAATTATAAAATTAAGAAAATATAATTATTGATAACTATTTCTTGAAATAAAACTTTCAATGTATAAAAATAATAAGCTGATAAAAAATTAAATACATGGAAAAAATGTTAAAAAATTAATAGGAATGTTAAAATTTAAAATAAGAAATTTTTTTTGATTTTCAAATATCAAAAATAAGTAAATATTTAATGAAATTATTTGGATTCTTCTTATAAAATGAATTAAAATTTATAAAGAATTTGAATAATTTTATTGACACTTTAAATATTTTTAAAAATAGCAAACATTAATTTTCTTAACTTTAAATTGAATTATTAAATTAAATTGATAAATAATTTTAAAATAAATTAATTAAAAATTTTATAATAAATTAATTAAATAATTTTACAATGAGTAGTTTAGAGATTGATTTATGAACTCTCAGATTTCTTATGATGTTTTAAAACTTTTAAAAGAGGATGTGATTTTCATTCTTATGCATGATCTTAAACTCATTATTAATTGTTTAAATATATTTATTTATAAGATTTGATACTGTTTCATTTTTTTGTCCCTTATTTTTACTAGACTCCTCAAAAAGCAAGGAATCAATCAAATTTTCTAATTTAAAGAAGGAAATAAGTTGAGTTTCTGAGCCAATTTCAAACATCCTGTATAAGTTATTTTCATCTTCTCCATAAAATAGCTCTACATTTTTCAGCTCTTTGAAGAATGTTTCAACATGGTTAATGGCTTATTTTAAAGTCTCTGTCATGTGGTCATATGCTTAATTAAAATGCAGCTTCTCTAAAAATTTTAAAAAAATTCAATAAATAAACAATTTCAAATATTTAAGATAAAATCAAATATAAATACCTTTGCTTAGGAGGAAAATTAATATCATATTTTCGATTTTAGATGCATTTAAACTTTCATCTTCTTAGAATAATTCTTTTCTTTCAAAAATAGTTTTTTATTCTAAAATTGCAAGTTTGTTTTGTAAATTATTATTGTGCTCGCTTAAAATATTAAAACTGCCTAAATTTTCTCCATTTCCAGCACTTCCCCCATCTTGTTTATTTAAAGGCAAGACAGCATCGTCGATTCTATTCAATACTGCAGGTGCAGTGATATTTAATACATCAGCTTTTTTCTTTTTTGAATCTTTAGACTGAGAGTTTTAAGCATTTTTTGTATTGATTATAAAGTTGAGGATTACTTGTTAATATAGCTCTTAGAGCTCTTTCTATGATTTTTTCCCCTTCATAGAAGTGTACTCTTAATAAAATATCTTAAGTAATGCATTTATCTGTAAATTTAATTTTATCCTTAAGTAAAGTCTGATTATATTTGAGACTTCTATTATAATTTATTCTAGTTCTTAGTCGAAATCTCCAAAGACAACTATTTTATTTATAAACTTTTTAATCCAGTGATCTTACTGATACAAACTCTTTTAAACACTAAATCCAACAAAAGCACTAAGACTTTATATAACCTAATTTGTTATAAATTCTATTTTTTCAGTTGTAAATTAACCTAAATCCATAGCAGTTCGAGTAACCTTCATTACAGTAATCAAAAATTATAGTTAATATCTCCCTTTTTCTTCTCTTTCCTATTTTTATTCTATTAAATTTATTTAGTTTTATCTTTGTTTTACTTTTAAACGAAACTTTACTTTGAGTCATATTTTGAAAATTAACTGCAAAATTGTATTCAAAATCAGGCAACCCTTTTTCCCATAAATCAACTAAAATTTGCAAAATTCTCTAATCAAACTACTTCACATTTTAAATGTAACCCTCCTGCTCTTACTGAACTTACTTGAAAATATCAGCTGTTTTAGAAGTACAATTCTTCTTCTCAATTTATTCCCAAACATAGCTTTTAATATTTTTTTAATATAAGTTAAAATTTTTGATTGATATTTTGAAAAACAAAAAAATACTTTCTGTTTTCAGAGCGTGCAAGTGACAAATAAGGCTCATCATCTAAAAATAAAACTTCAAAGAGTTATAAAAAGCTTGTTTTAATACTTATGTGCATATCACTTGACCTTAGAGCATTAAAAATATGATTTTCATTTATTCCTAAACTATCTTTGATGATCATAATTGAATTCTTATTCCTTCCTCTGCATAGATTCGCAAGTAAATTCAATGCAGAAGAAATATACCTTATATATTATAATAAATTTTTATCCTTATCAATAGAATCTTTGCTCATCTTCTCCAAAGAAAAAGTAATTCTATCTCCTTTGTTTCCTTCTATTCCTAAATCTTCCAAAGATTTATTATTTGCCTAAATATCCTCAGGTCTTTAGCTATAAAAAAACGAAACATTCACTCCGTTCGCATTTGAGCTATCATGTAATTGAATGATCGGTCTCCCATCTTTCTTAGACAGTAGTTCGCTGCAACATTTATTTTAGTATCTATATTTATATTACAAATATTTTAAATATAAAAACCATAAAAAAGTTTTATTTGTTAATAAAATTAATTTTTTAAAGTTTAATTGAAATTAAAATTATTAATAAATAATTGAATTGCCCTAAAAAATAGTTTTAAAATGTATTTAAAAATTAAAAAAATAAATAATTACATTTAGATGGGACGCTGTAACGGATCAATTATAGCCAAGCATATGAACTCAACAAAGAATATTTAATCTGAAATATTTGATTTTGTGTCATCTAAAGGTTCCAATAATCTTACCCATTCTGCAATTTCCTCTCCTTAGGTGTTTTCATTTTTGAAATTTTCAACATTCTTAACTGCTTCTTTAAGTAAGGCACCAACTTCTTTTGGATAATAACGTAGTTAGCCAGAAAATAAATCATCATTCTCAAATATGTAAGAAGACCAACTTGAATTTTACTTTGATCCCAGCAGAAGGATGTTGTATATCTTAATAGGGAGCTGTTAAAGATGTTTGTTTACAATAAACAGAGGAGATTTATCACTAACATTTCTAATATTACGGATAAATTTAAATTTGTCTTTAGACCCTTAACTACTTTTGCTTCCATGAGACATAACATCAATAAGTCTAGCTAACAAAATAAGCAACTCAAGTATTTTTTATTCCTTCAAAATTTACTGTTTCATCTAAATAGTAAATTAGCTATCAGTTGAGTCTTTCATCAAAAGATTTTCTAGCTCAGTGAGTGATTTTTAGACTTACTGTTATTCCGTTTCTAAAGCTTTTTATTAAAGACTAGCTTCTTGATATGAAAAAGAAATGACATCTTCACTGATTTTTTCATTTGTTTGCTTTTTAGATTTGTCTAAAGTTATGGCAAAATTTTACAGATAAAAATGAAACTACAAAAGAATATTATAGATTTGCAAAGACTGTTCAATAAATTCAACTACTTGCTTTTCAGTAGTAATAAATGCATGAAGGTAAGGTATGCTTACTCCAGATATCTTTTTTTAAATGCTAATTTCTAATTTCCCCTTCTCAATTAAATTAGCAGCAACATATTTTCTTTCATAATTATAAATTTTAAAAGTATCTTGTTGATAAATATTCTTTCTCTCGTTTGTAGTCTTATCTTTCTTAATATAAAAGTAGCAATCTTCTTCTTTTCCATTATAAGTCAAAGATAACTTCCCCACTCTTAATTAGTCTTAAGTTAAAAACAATCTAATTAATTAATTATTAATAAATAAATAAATGATAATAAGCTAAAAAGTATTTTTTTAGAATTAGCTTGAATTAAAAATATATTTTAAATTTTAAAAGACAGTCAAAGCAGATTAGCAATTTAAAATTTAATATAATTGCAATAATCTACCAAATTAGTATAAATGTAATTCTTTTATTTACAAATATTCTAACCTGGAAAAGCATAAACATTTTTTGAATATTTGTTAATATTTTAATTTGAAGTTTTTGTTTGAAGGAAAATTTAATTAATATTTTTTTTTTAAATTAGTTCAAATCAAAAATGATTTGTTAATATTGTAAAATCTTTCAATTTCCTTTTCTAACAAATCTATTTTTCTTATTTTGAATAGTGAAAAATATGTTTTTATCAATTAATTAATAAATAACCTTAAAGGAATGATTAAATGAATTTAAACCCTTAAATTATTTATTTATTTAAAGCTAATTTAAATTATAATGAAGCAGATATTGGTTTTATTTATATTAAGAATATTTAAAAAAATATTAATAGTTTACCCTGTGGCTAAGTTTTTCAATCTAAAACACTCATCACTAAATAACTCTCCTAAATTAATTTTAACAAATCAATATTTCACTCACTTAAATTTGAAAGCTTATTTATCAAAGTATTTTATATAATATAAATTACCTCCTTTGTAATGATCTGATCTTTGTATTTCCCAGTGACAATATGAAGAATTAGGATTCTCTAGCTCATATAATAATTAAAAATTATCGGGAGAAAAAATTTTGCTTTATTCTAGCCCTCTAATAACTAAGTTATCACCATGACCAGATTATTATTATTCTTCTTAGCTATTTTACACTTTGCAAGTTAAGCTATATTTACTGAATTTTTTTTCAGAAACACTAAGAAAGGCTCCTGAATCGAGATGTTTAATTTTTATGATATCTCCTGTTTTGAATGCTATACCGTCCTCTGGTAAATCATTATTTTATTCAATGTACTCACTTCCCAAATAGCATTTCACCTGAAAAATTTATATTTTATAAATTTAAAGATTTTTTAACAAAAATCCAAAATGAATTACTTTAAACTTAGATGATTCTTCACTAGCATAAATTTAAGATACACTGCTTTATACAATTTAATTCGATAGAACATTTTCCTTTTTTAATAAGAAAATATTTATTTAAATTCTAATATGCTTTTTTCTTACTTTCAAAATTTTGTTGGTCACCTAAACATTTAAAAAAAATAATCCTTTTTTAATTTCTTATATATTAATCACATCAGAGTCGAAAATTTTATCTCCTAACCTACGACTATAGTCATTTGGAAGCATTCTAAATACAGAGAAAGAATTTGGATACTTCTCTAATGTGCATTAAATACATCCATTCTATTTTGCAGGCTTTTAAGGATTGAAAGTTAAAAACATTTTTGAATATTAATGATAAAGCAAAACTTATTTGCCATAAACAAGTAAATCTCCATTATCATCTTCGTTCAATTAGTTTTGTTAACTCTATAAATTATCCCCGTTAAGAGTATTCTGATACTTCTAAGTTTCTAATTATTAGCTGTAAATTTATTGACTTGAATTAAGCTATTTCAAAGTTCCATATATTTATTTTTTAGAATTTGAGCTGGCACTTTAAACACTAGTAATTGCATTAAGTTTCTATATTTCTAATGATTATCTTGGGTTCAATATTTAAAACAAGCATCTCCTAAAATTTGCAACTGGGTTGTCCAACGATTGAACTTATTCACTAACACATTCAAGTTAATTTTTTGTATTTGTTATAACCAAATAGCTTCTAACTGATTATCTTTCATTCTTTTTTTGTAAGTTTAAACAAAATTCATTAAAAAATATCTAGTTTATTTTCAATTTTAGTTTAAAGTTCAAAAATGTATTTTTTGTGTTTTAAAATAATTTCTTTCAAAATTTAAATTTTTTTTCTAAATTGTAGAAAGTAGAAAATATCAAATAAGGCAAAGCTTTTTGAAGCTTAAATTTACTCTTTTTACAAATAAAATATTAAAATATTTTGAATGTAACATCTTTTTTTATTTAAAATAAGTATTCAATGTAAAATTACTTCTTTTTTATTCTCCTGCTTGAATTTTAAATAAACGATGTCATTAAATTTTAACGTTTTAAAAGGTTTATCTGAAGATTTCGATTTATTTTAAGAGTTTTCTGGAGTATTTAAAGAAAACCTAGGGAAAAAAATTTCATTCTAAAGTCTGGATTTGGTGCTTTTAACAATCGGAATTTGAGATATTTCTCCATTACTATTTATATTTTCAACTTCATTATCAAAATGAACAGTTTGATCTATTAATTCTAGTTAATCATTAATGTTACTCCTCGACTGCAAACTATCAAAAAACTTCTTAGACTTGAAAGAATGTAATTTAGGAAGAGTCTGAGGAGATACTGAATCTTATTTTTAATTAACTAAACTAACTTTCTTTTCATCTTAAAAGCTTATCCTTTAGTTAGCACTTTGAGCTCTAGGCGCCTCTTCTATATGGTTTGTCATAGCAGGTCTAAATAATTTTAGTATTTATTCTTAATCCTATCTATCTTCTACAAGCATATCATCTTATCCATTCCATAAACTATTAAAATAGCGTTTCTTTAAAAAAATATCTAAATATTTAAACCCACTATTGATTTATATCAAATCCATGCTTAATTATATATTTCAAAATATCAGAATTACAGATTGATTCAATTTAAATAATCAGTAAGTAAGTAAGTCTATTAATCTTAATAAGAAACAAATATTAATTATTTTTTTTTTTTGCGTAAAAAAAGCTAAAAATCAAATCTTATTCTTTTTTGTATAGGATTAAGCAAAGCAAATTAAATTTCATAGCAACTATCACAAATCTTTAAAATAAACACAAATTTTTTTTCTATTTTAAATTTTTTCTCATTTTAATCTTTGGCTATTATCAGAAGAATTACTGAGAATCTTTCTTAACACATAAAATTAAAGATTTATGTAACTTATTTTCATTTTATTTTCAATTTTTAAAACAATATTTATTTATCATTCATTAACAATTTATGAATATTAAATATTTTTTTTAATTTTCAAAACTTTAAATCATAAAAAAAACAAATCAAAAATAAAAAAGATGAAAAATACTTCAGATAATTAAATGTAAATAATAATTTAATTGTAGGAAAACATCAAGTACATGTTCAATTAGCTACCTTTAATATTATAAAAAGGTATTAATTATCTTAAGTAAATAATAATATTCAAGTGGCATAAGTTATATCTTAAATATATTTTTGATAAGAAATTAATCTTTTTATTGATAATTTTCTAGTAGTTTTATATAAGAAATAATAATTATAATTATAAATTTTGTTGTTTTAAAAATGAAAAGGAAGTATATCCTTTCTTAGGTTTTATTAAAATTTATTATTTAACTTTATTTTATTTATTATGAATGAAAAAAGATTTAAAAAAATCTAAATATTTTTATTTACTTTAATAATTTTATAGAAATAAATCTTATTGTTGATGAAATAAAAAAAATAAATAAACGTTATTTTGCATTACTTGCTTTATTTTAATTTTTCTGTTAAATTTTTAAATGTTACTTTTAAATTTATGCTATGGTTGATTGTTTGATTAATTAAATAATTAGGCTTTTTGATATCTTTGTAAATTGTAAATGAATTAATTAAAAAAAGTTATGAAAACAAAATTTTAATCTAATTTGCTAATTTATTAATGAAAGAGTGAGATGAAATGCTCTTATTTATTTACTTATTAAATTAATTAACATTTTCTGTATATTAGTAAGAAACAAACAAACAATATTCACTTAGAAGTTAAAGTACAAAAGGTATTTCATTGACAAGCAACTATTCGAAATTATATATTTATATTAAAATCCTTAAAATTAATTACAAAAAATATCAACTTTGAATTATTGCAAATAGCAAGCAAGCAATATTACAAAAAAATAATCAAACAATAGTTAAAATAGCTACAAAAAGAGAGCAACCCTGTATTTGAATCAAAATGTTTGTTGATTAAGTTGAGAACAGGTATTTTAAAATATACTTTATAATTAAAATAATTTTAAATCCTTCTTATGATCTAAAAATTTTTTTTTGATGGCAATTTATATGTTTATAATGCTAAAATAAATGTCCTTAAATTAAAAGTAAATAATAAGTGTAAGTTAATTTTTCTCTTTTATCTTAAATGCGTTTAGGGAAAGTTAAAACTTTAAGGCTCCGAAGATCATTAATAGCTACTCATTCAATAGCTTCAAAAAATCTGGAGAAAGTTAAAGTCCTCTAGATGTCTCTTAAGGCATTCTGAATTAAAATTTGTTGTAGCAGTTTAATCCAAATCAGATTTAACAAACTGTAAAAATTAACAAAAGAACGAACTCAAATTTAGGAAATTCTGAAAACAATTTGAATTGCATAAACTAAGATGATCCCTATTCTTCTTCAAGAAGAGGTCCTCCTAAGATTCATTATCACAAACTCCCTTCAGCCTTCATGAATCTGTAAGCAAATCCACCAAAAAAGCTAAAGTAAGTCTATTTCTATTGAAAATATATATGGACAAAAGGAGAATTTTTTACTGTTTAAGACTATTACTATAATTCTTTGATACTACTATTTTTAATTGTTCAAATTAAAACAAACAGATACAAAATCATTTAATAGCTATACTTAATGTTAAATTTTTTTATCTTGCTTGCTCTCTTAGCTTATTATTAATTTCATAAATAGGGCTATTTTATAAAACATTTCATATTTTTCTCCTATAATGAATAAAATTATTTCTGTTATAACACTTTAATTCATTATTTTTTTATTTTATCAGACCAGCAGTTTTTTCTCAGATGTCATTGCCTAAACCATAAGAAGAAGATATTTCTAAAAAAATCGATAACATGGTAGACATATAAGAGTACAGATAAATTTAAAATCTACTTTCTCCTTTGAAAATAGTAAGACTTTTGTTCTAAAAAGCTTTTTAAATATTTTACATTCGATAGGATAAAAGTAAAAAAAAATCAAATTTAAAACACTTAAATCAATCCTGATAGTTTACATTTCAATTAAAGTATATTACACAAGATGGCTAATAAATAGTTAAAAAAAAACCATTTAAGATAAATGAACTTTTTTAAAAAGAGCAATTCTTGCTTTTGAATAATTTAAACTAACAAAAATTGTAGCTTAAAATGAATTAAAATATTATTAAAAGAATATAAATTCAATCTAAAATTTGAAAAAGTTTAGAAAATCTAAATGAAGATTAGAAAATGAACAGATTGAAAAATGCTTATTCTACTTAAATTTAAAGATTTAACTGATTATTTTTATAAGGAATTAGAAGAAAAAACAAAATTATTATTTTCTCTAAACAATAAAAATAAATATTTTAGTTAAATTATAGTATTACCATATATTAAAAACGACAAACATATGATTTAAAAAATTGGATTAATTAAAGATATCTTAGATAAGCTAATAATAATAACATATTAAAAATGACAAATATTTTACTTCAAAATAATCGATAAAATCATACTAATTTAGATTTAAAACGGAATAGTTGCATTTATTTTATGTTATTTATCATAGAATTTTATATAATTTTTATCATCTATCTATTTAAATTATTTTATAAAAAGAGAGAGGGCAAAGTTGTTCACAATAAACAAAAAAAACTATTTTCGTTTCATGAGCAATCAAATCCTAATAATGACTCAAAAATAGGCACAACTTTATCAACTCCACTTTAGCAAGGAGATGCATTACAAAATTTAATTAAAGGATAATAAAATGGTGGGTTATAATATCAAATGGTTTCTATTCCTCAAATGAATAATAGAAAATCTCTCAGTAAAGAAAAATCAAATAATAATCCTCTCAATCCTTTGAGGGAATATATTGACACAATGCAAAAATTTAAAGATTAATTCAAAGAAGTTCCAGATTTACTTATGGATAAAATTAACTAACTTATACTTAAAAATGAAAAACTTGGATAAATTGATAATTAATATCCACCAACGTTAACTCCTATACCTTCTTCGATGAATTAATAACAAAATAACTAAGCCTCAGGCCCTTTAATTTCATCAAAATTTATTTAATAAAATGGTTTAATACCTTCTAACTTTAGTAACCCTAGCTCTACTACAAGTAATGGTTAAATTTACAATCAAATTCACTCTGAAGCTCATCTAAGAAAAGGATTTTCATCTAAGCCTAACAAAGAGTAAAATCTACATCATACAGATTCTAGCAACTAAAATTTAAATAAGAGTCATTCTGTGTCTGTAGGCGGATAGTCTTATCCAGTTTTTAAAGTTAGACTAGAAGAAATGATAACTCTAAATCTCTTAAAAAGTAATAAAAACTCAGGAGCTATAAAAAAAATGCTTCATGCTCCAACTTTGTCTATTTTTGCTGTTAAAGAATAGCCAATAGCTACCAAAGACATTAGAAAAATTCTTAAAGATTGGCTTCACTTTTGGCCAACAGTGCTAAACTCTAATGAATAATTTATTAGAGTTTATGGAACTTGTTGGAATGTACCAGAAGGCTGTGTGTCAATAATAATGGAGCATATGAATGGAAATTCTCTTTAGGTAATCATCTTAAATTGAATTAATATTATTAAATAGTTTGATTCTATAGATATTTCATATAATTATAAATAGGATTTATTAGAGAATATTGGAAATTTAAATGAAAGAGCAATACAAGAATTAACTATGCAAGTAATTTCTGCTCTTTACACTCTCCACAATGAACACCACATTTGTCATGGTAGTATTTCTCCATCTCAAATTCTCTTTAACAAACAAGGATTTCTGAAGGTATAAATAATTATACTACTCAAAGCTTGATAGTAAAAAGTTATTCAATAATTTTTAAAATAAATAAATAGCTATCCCTTGGAATAACTAACAGAACACAAAATAACTAGTCAGTTAGCAGCAGCATTTTCAATACAGTAAGCTATAATAAAAATGAAAAAAAAAGGTAGTTAGTTAATTTATTTATTTATTTATTCTGTCTTATATTGATTATTCAAATTTTTAAATTAACAAACATAATAAATTAAATTGTTAACAGATTATTCACATTTTTAAATAAATATGATTTATTAAAATAATGATTAGCTTTTTATTTAACTCCGTTAATTATAAATTTAATTTTAACTGTTTAAGTGTAACATATATCTCTGTATTATGCAATTTTAGGGATATATTGTTATTAATTCTTATCAAAAGAATGAAAATTAGCACTAATTAATTATTTTTATAAAATAAAATAAATTTATTTTAAATGTAATTTTTTATTTCATTTTAAACATTAGCTTTTACGATTATCAAAGTATGGCAAGTATTTGGTAGAAAAGTATGTTAGAACGAAATGGAGATAAATCGAAATAAGGTGACTTATTAGATAGATAAGATGAAATTTTCAAATTAGGTCTTTTATTACTTGTCTCTGCTATTGGAAATCTTGATCTTTTGGATGATCAGCTCTATTTATTCTTTGAGTAGGTTTAAAAATAAGTTGAGCTTTCAAGTAAAAACAACGATAACAAGTTCTGTTGTCTACTACATGATGAAGAAAATATCATGCAATCTATTAGAAAAAATGGTGCCAACTGCTTGAGTATAAATATCCTATTAAAGAAATACTCTTCTAATTTTAAGGATTTTTTGTGTAAATGCTTGTAATATAATTACAGGTCTAGGCTGTCTATAGAAGAACTGCTAAAGCATCCTTTTGTTAAATCAGAATAGAATCAATCTCTTCCTTCACTTAGAGAATTGATTTCTGTTTCTAATAAAATATCTTCTCACTCAGTACTACTTCCAGAAAAGTACCAAGCAGCAAGCGAAAAGCAATTGGAAAGGGTTTGCGAAGGAATATAAATGATTTTACCTAACTGCTAAATATGGTTTAAAGTGCCCTAATATATGGAATTTGTGCAGCACTTGCCCTTATTAGATGCTTAAAATCCCTTTATACTTGCACTAGCTAACGATTTAGGAATTCAACCTAAAAAAGTGCATCAGAAAATATAACAAACATACGAATAAATACAAGTTTATAACGATTTCAAACACAAATTTATATTTAATCCAAACAATAATAATTGAGTAAACAAACAAAATTTTAAAGTAAAATGCAATAAAATAATTAAAATAGAATAATAAATTCATCGTATAAAATAGATAGATCCTATAGGTTATAATAATCTACTTTTCTTTGTACATACATTCAAATATACTTTTTATATTATAATACTAAATAATAAACTAAATAAATATTTAATAAATATATTAAAATTCATATTTATTTCTAAGCTGAATTTTATCATCTTTTCCAAAAAAAATTACATCACAAAATAATTGCAAGTGTTTTTCAAATAAAATCTATAAAATTGTATTTATATTTATATTTACTATATATTTTAATATGAAAATAATTGGTTTAGCTAATTTTAATTCTAATTATCTTTCTCTTTCTGGCTCAAATTAAAGTCCTATATAATAATTAATAATATATGAATAAATATAAAAGATCTATTAGGATATTAATATCTATTTTTCTTTGTAAATACATATTTATACTTTTATATTATAATGCTTAAAAAAAAATTCAAATAATAAATAAAATTTTTTCACAAAAAAATTTATCTTTTTTTCAATTTTCATCCAAGAATTTTTCAACTAAAATTGGATTTCTATTTATGAATAAATTCTCATTTAAAATCTACTATAACTTATTAATATTTACTATATATTTAAATATGAAAATAATTGGTTTAGCTAATTTTAATTCTAATTATCTTTCTCTTTCTGGCTCAAATTAAAGTCCTATATATATAATAATTAATAATATATGAATAAATATAAAAGATCTATTAGGATATTAATATCTATTTTTCTTTGTAAATACATATTTATTCTTTTATATTATAATGCTTTAAAAAAAATTCATATAATAAATAAAATTTTTTTCACAAAAAAATGTATTTTTTTTCAATTTTCATCCAAGAATTTTTCAACTAAAATTGGATTTCTATTTATGAATAAATTCTCATTTAAAATCTACTTTCACTTATTTATTTTTTTAAGTTTAAAATATAATAAAGAGATTTAGAAAAACTTACAAATTATTAACAATAAATATATATCAGCGAAAGAAAGCAGTTTTCATCAAAAATAATCAATTCTAATCGTTTGATAGATTTCATTCATTTTATTGAAATAATATTTAGATATTTATTTTCTAAACATTTTAAAATGAAATTAATTATTTAGGTTAATTTTAATTATGATTATGCTTGTGCTTAAGAGTTTAAAGTAAGTAAATCATGTAAAATAATTAAAAATAGGTAAATAAATTTAAATTATAAAATATATCTTATAGGACATGATAAAAATTAAATTATTTTTTCCAAATTTAATTTCAAATTACAAGCAAATTTTAAATAAAATTATATTACGATTTGTAAATAATTTCCTTTTGAATATATTAACTAAAAAATTAAGGGAAATGGATAGATTATTAACTAGATAAGCTAGAGAAGCTTTCATCAAAAATAATCAATTATAAAAATATATAAAACAATACTAAATAAATTTGTTTTTTATATTTCAGATACTATAAAAGAAATAATCTTTAGAAATATATTTACTATATTTTAGAATACAAAGCTATTAAAAAAGGCTAATTTCAATTTTAATTATGCTTGTCTTTAAAAATATTTGCAATTTATAAGTTGTCTAAAAAACCGCATTATGCATTATGACATATATTAACTTCTTATTTTAATAAAATTAGAAATATCAACGAAAAAAAAAATTTCTTAATTAAAAAAGCTTTTTTGCTAACTGATTTTTGTGAATTTGAGAGGAGTTTTTCATGTTTTTTATGTATGATTGTTTTAATAGTTATTTTTTATCTTTCTTTCTAATTTTTAATTAATTTGATTTATTTTTTCTATTAATTTAATTTGATTTGATTGTTTTATCTGTTTGTTTATTTGTTTATTTTATATCTGTTAGAAAGGATTTAAGATTTTTTTATTTATTTTTTTTTAACTTGTGCGTTAAAGCAATATATTTATTTTTTATTTAAATGTTTAAAAAAGATTAAAATGATTTTTTATTTTTATTTTACTAATTAGTAATAGGAATAAAACTATTAGGGAGACATAGCTAGTATCTTTTTTCAAATAAATTTAACTATTAGCAAGATTTTTAAAAATTTGTTTGCTCATATTTAATTCATTTGAACTTTTCGACCTTTTGCTGATGCCATTTTTTATTTTTTTGGATCCGAAGGTTTATTGTTTGCTTCATGACATACGATTTTAAAAAACTTTGTGGAATGGTACTTGATCTTTGAGTTTTTATCGTTTTAATCAAAAAAATAATGTTGTCTGCCATGAAGCTTTTGGTGATTTGAGATTCCTTTTACTTTTATTTTTTGTATTCTTTTAATTTTTTTCTTTATTATTTATTATGAAAATTTTATTAATTAAGAATTCCGTTAAGAAGGTCCTTTTATAAATAAATTTCTAATCAAAAAATATTTAAATTTTTAAGAAAGAAAGACTTAATTAATTTCGAAATAAATTAAATCTGAATAATGAAATTCTTAACTTATTTTTCCATCAAGTAATTAAAAGTGACATTTTGACTAAAAAGCAAGAATAATCTATTTATTAATATTAATTTTATTATATATATTAGCTCATTCAATGAAATAAAATATTTAAGTTAATAATTAATTTTATTTTGAAAATAAAAATATTTTTTTATTTTTTTTTTTATCGTTATAATTTTTTTTAAACAAAATATTTTATAAATTAATGTTTTTAATTTATTTTGTAGACAAAAAGTATATTATAAACTAATTAATTTACTTGCTAATATATTTACTCAAGAAAAATAATCCTAGTAAATCATATATTAATGTTCATTCTCTTTTAAGAAAATATGAATATTTTTAATTTTTTTTTTAAAGTTTTAATAATAAAGTTATTATAAAATAATTTATTTACCTAATAATGTATTTATAAATATATTTACTAAAAAAATAACCATAATAAATTATAAATTACTTTTCAGTCATTTTAAATTATTTTTTAATACTTTTATATTTTTATTATTAGATTAAATTTCTATCTAGTAATATTTACTTTTTTAAAGATATTATTACTAGTAATTTATTTATCTATTTATTAATCAATTTATCTATATATTTACTAAAGAAAATTAATAATAAGAAATCATAAATTATTTTTCAACATATACGAACAAAATATATTCTATTTCTCTAGCTTTCTTTTAAAAATATTATAGATTTTTATAAAATTTTGATAAAACTTAATAACTTTTTAAATTATTGTTTAGAATAGATTAAATTAATAAAGCTTAAATTATCCTTTTAATTTATTATTTTTTTGAAAAAGATAGTTTAAAAAATATTATTAAAATAACTGTTATCTATTAATTGTGTTAATATATTATTTTAAATCAAAAAAGTTAAATGGTATAATTTTTGAATGAAAAGTATGGTATGAAATAGAATTATTTATTGATTGATTATTCATATATATCATTATCAATTAAATTCACTATTAAACAATAAATTAATGCTATTAATTATTTTATATAATAATTACTTTATACAAACATATGAAAATATTAAATAAAAACAAACATTAATGCTTTTCTATATTTAATTATGGAGATTCTTAAATAAAATAGACTTTCTTTGAATTTAATTTGAAGTATTTTAAAATATCTTTATTTTCATTATTTTATAAACAATTTGATATAATTAAGTTTTTTCTATAGATTTTTTATTGATTAATGTAGAATATTTTTCAACTTTTTAGAAAATTAAAAAATATGCTTTATTATTTGAAAAAAAATTACAATAATAAGATAGAAAATTACTTTTATTATGATAAGATGAAACTGAAATAGATACTTTGATATGTTTTAGCTAATTTATTTGTATTTATTTAAAAATTATAATAAATTTTGAGTAAAATAATTCTAGAAAACTATATTTGAGTGCTTATTCTATGATCTGATTTACAATATCATTTTACAACAATATTTAATTTGATATAAAATTTAAATCAATTTTGTGATAGATAATTGTTATTTAATGGTGTAAAGTGATAAAATCTTTCAATAAATCTTTATAAAAACTTAAAATTAACTAAATTTAAATCCTAAAAAATTAAAGAAAGAATTAATGAAAAAATTAATCAATTTATTTTAGATAGCAGGTTGGAGTTATGTCATTATTGATGTGATTTTCAACATTTTAGAAAAACCCGAAAAATTCTTAGACTAAAGTAGCGAAAACACATTTAGCAGAGCCATTTTTGTCATGAGAATCGTTTAAACAGCTTAATTTATAGACTTCATTTAGTCTTCTGGAAACCTCGTTTCAGTATTTGCCTAGTACCTTGGAAGAATGATTGTTGCTTGGCTTTATATGAGTGAGGTAGTCCCAACTTGTTATGCTACTAGTGTGCTTCTAGCCTGGTCTACTGCTGATATCATAAGATATCTCTATTACATTTCAAAAAGCGATATAGTTGCATTCTTTAGATATAATGCATTTTTAATATTGTATCCAGTTGGAGTTTTCTTAGGTGAAATTTTTTGCATTCAATACACATTGGCTAAATTAAATCCCACATCTGATTTCTATGACATTTAGTATTATTTTGGAAAATTTGTCTAAGTAGCCGTTTGTATCGGTATGCCTTTGCTCTATGCTTATCTTTTAAAAGTTAGATCTAAATTCTACAGCAAAAGAGAATCTACTAAATAAGTTAAACAAACCAAATCTTAATAGAAAAGAGATTGAAAGATTTTTCTGCTTAACTTTAATATTTTTGTCAAAATCTAATAAAATTTTGAATAAATGTAAGTAAAATGATGGATTATTTGTTAATTTCAATTATTTATGATTTGTATAAGAAATATTAATTAATCTTTTGTTAAATAAATATCTTAATCTTAATTTAATCTTTTTTTTTATAAAATTTTTCATTTTTCTCAATCAAAATTTATTCTCTAGCTGAACTTAAAAAGAAAATTATTATTATTAAAAATAAATTGCCATTAAATCTATTTCTATTAAAAATACCAATTATTTATTTAATATTTTATTTTCTTTCTTTAGTTAATAATCAACTTAAATAAAATGATGGATCATTTGTTAATTTCGACTATTAATTATTTGTATAAGATATATTTATTAATCTTTTGTTAAATATCATAATCTTAATTTCATCTTTTTCATTTATAAATTTTCCATATTCCTCAAACAAAATTATTCTCAAGCTAAACTTAAAAAAGAAAATTATTATTTTAAATAACAAATAATCCATCATTTTCTTTAAATTGAAAACTAAATAAAGATAAAATAAACATTATTTCAATTTTTGTTTAATATCTAAGTCTTTATGTAATTTATTTTTTCTTAACTTAATTTTCCATTTCTCTAAATCAAAATTTATATCTCAATCTAAATTAAAAAAATAAATTATTATATTTAAATTAAATTTCTATTTCAATTAAAAATACCAATATTAAAAATTTTATATCGTATCTTAAACTAATTATTAACATAGATACAATTTTGGTTGATTTTTTTAGCTTTTTAAAAGGTTAAAAATTTAACATATATTTATAAAATTTTATTTTTCTTAATGCTAAAATTAAAATTAATATGGTATATTTTTTCGGCTTTTTCAATTTAAACAAATAAGACATAAGTATATTTCTGATAAACTTGAAAAAACCATGAAAAAAGTAATGAAGTTGTGTATAAATATAAAATGATTAAAAGTAAATAAAATTAATTCAAATATGATTCTATTATTATTCAATCTAATAGAACTTTCTGATGTTTAGGATTTCGTTAAAGTCAGCTTGTTAAATGTATGTGGGACGAGTTGTGAAGATAGTGAATAAGAAAGTTAATAAAAAATTATAAAAAATTTAAATAAATAGAATAATTTTTTATTTTTTGTAATTAATAGGAAATAATTTTATCAGTCAATCAAGCAAAATATTCAATTCGATAAAGTTATTTTTATAAATTTCTTAAATTTATTTGATTCTTTATTAAAAAATAAATATGAATGTAACACAAAGGCATAATTAGATTTATAGACAAATTAATTAATTAAATAAATATTATATAAATTTGTTAAATAAAAGAAATAAATTGTTTATGTAAAGAAAATATAATTTACTCATAAAATTTAATTAAATATCTGATATTTCTAGTAAAAAGTAGGTTATTGAATTGACTTTGATTAACAATAATTTAATTAAAAAACATTAATAATATAAGAAAGATAAGAAAAAATGAAGATAATTAGAGATAAAAGAGATAATTAATAATAGTTTTTAAAATGTTATTACCCTTGGATAGCAAGTTTTTTACAAAAAAAGATGAGATTGAAATCATCTAAGTGGTGGCATACAATATCTTCATTTTTATGAATGATTTGTTATACTTAAGTTATTATTTATAGCTAAACAAGTATATGCTTAGATTGATTTTATCTCAATAATTTGTTTTCTTTTATCTCTAAAACAATCATCATATCTTTCGAGGATGAAGCGAAAACACAGTTAAAATTACAATTTCTAAAGTTTACTCAAAACTAATGAAAATATTTTTTTTATTTAAAGCTTTATCGTTTGATTTCTCTTTTAATAGTTAGATATTAATAATTTTAAACCATAAAACTTATTTATTGATAGTCTCAATAATAAAGAAACTCTGAAGCCTTTTTATTTTAATAAAACTTAAATACTCTCTTTCATCTATTCTTCATAAATACAAACAAATCTTTATAAAATAAACACAGGACAAACTCTTTTATCCAAATATAAATAAAATACTTAACAAACTTCTAACATAATTGCTAATTAATTAATTAAAAATAAAAATAATATGAAAAATTAACAAATAAATAAGGAAAAAAATTTAACAGCTATAAAAAAATAAAAGAAAATCTTAATTAAACACAAATAAAGAAACAAAGTAAATTTAATAAATTAGAACAAAATCAAAAGAACAAGTTTTCATAACTGCTTTAATCAATAAATTTATATTTTCTTATAAAATTTTTTAACTTAATATATCTTTGCATTTAACAATTTAAAGAAATTTGTTTTATTTTGATTGCTCTTTATACATTTAACCTATTAATATTTTAATAAGCAACTAAATAACATTTAATTTATTAAAAAAAGAGGATTTATAGTATTTTTATGTACAATTTAAATTAATTTTTTAGTTATTTAATTAAAGTTAGTGATAAAATTTGTTCTTGTTTTTGATATAACAGCTTAACTTTATAATAAAAGCTAAACTTAAAATATTATTTCAATTAAAATTGTTTTGAATAATCTATTATGAAAGTGTTTCACTTTTTTTTTTGGGGTAGTTTTTAACTGAATGATTTTATACTTTGAAAATAAATATTTGTTTTTTTATACTTAAAAGCACAAATTTTTTAACAAAAATATCATTAAATGTTTACTAAACATATATTTTATATTGCGCAGTTAAAGTAGGTTTTTATATAAAATTATTTATTTATTTTTTAACATTTTGATTGAATCAATACAAAGGATTCAACAAAAAGATAATTATCAAAGTATTTATAGCTGCCACCTTGTATTTTTTTAATTTCATAAATATTTCTTATGAGTATAAGATATTTTGCTAGAATTTTAACAGTCATTCCTCAATATTAATAAGAAAACATGTAAATTTTATAAAAAAATTTTATTACATTGCTATTAATCATAATAATAGCTTTAATTGAAGTTTTTTTGAAGACGTTTATAATTTAGTTAATTCATTTTATAATATCAATAATAATTATGATAAATAAAAGCTAAAATTAAGAATTTATTGATATTTGTTTCATAATGTTGATATTTAAATGCTTTTATTTACTTTGATTTATGTGTGATATAAAATAAACTTTTAATTTAAAATGTATTTTAACTTTTTAAATATAAATTAATTAAAATATTTTTTGAATTAGCTTTATTTTAATCAAAGGATAAATATAATCCTATCTAATCGTATTATTTCTACAAATAGCCAGTAAGTATTAAATATTAAAGCTAATAATAATTCATAAATAAAACTTTAATAATATTAACATTAAATTTTCAATAAATTTAAATTTATTTAATGCACAAGACATTTTTTTTCTTAACAATATTTAGAATAATAAATTAATTTTTTGATAATGAACTTGATAAGATTCAATTTTAAAATAAATATAAACTCAATAAATAATACAAAAAATTAAAAAATTTTTAATATGCTACTTATTGATCTTTTTTAGAGAAGAATGGATAAATGCTAGTTGATCATTTGGTATTTGGTTTTAAAAATAAATATAAAATAATGAATTTGTTCTTCAAAAAATGGAAACTTAGAATGGAAATAAGAGAAACAAATTTTTAGAAACTTGAAGGATTTATATTAAGTTAAAAATGTTTTTGATATTATTGAGTAATAATTAATTGATATTAAGGGATGATAGAATAGAGTTAAATTATTAAATAAATAAATTAGTTTTTAAGTGGAGCAAGAAAGAAAGATAAATTAGACAAATCAGAAGAACTTCTTTCTTTGTTTTAGTATGTATGTATATTTTTTACAAGAAAAGAAGAAAAAAGGAATATATTAATAAATCAAAACAAATATAAAAATATACAGAAAAAAACTAGAGACTAAATATATAAAAAATTAAAAATGAACGACAACGACTTTTAGTTTGAAAATAATATTGATGATTTCCAAACCCATATTCGTAAAGAATTATTTTTTTTAAGTTTCAAGCAAGAAGCAAATAGAAAATCATTTTAATTCAAAGGAAAGACCAATTTAAATATTTAACTATAGGATTTTAGTGAGAAATAGCTGCGATTTGAATTATTTTAATTTGTTAAATTTATGAAATAAAATAATTTTTAATCAATTAAATAACATAAAAAGACATTAGAGTCGAATAAAGAAGAGGTAGAAAGTGTTTCACCACTGTAGAAGGTATTCCTCCTGAGTTTGATTATGAAAAGATTATGAAATACTGGAAAAAGGTAAATAAATATTGATAATTTAAAAACATTACATAAATGCACATAACAAACGAGTGGATTAATCTAATGATAAAAAAAATAGATAAAAAACATATTTTGCAACTTTTAAAATTGCTTTTGATCACAAATTAGCAGAATTTAATTGAATTTATTTATAAAAAAGTGGTTGTCTTGTAACGCTACTATTGTTGAAGAAGATGAAGGAAAAAAAGTAATTAAGCTTAATGGTGACCACAGAAATTAAATCCAATAATTCTTGAGTGAAGAAGGTATTGCTGCTGTTGATAACATTACTATCCACGGTATCTGAAGAGTGCTGCTTATGCTTTTTATTTTCCTAATACATTAAAAAATATTCTATAGAGATTATATGAGTGAGTGAATGGATTAAAACACATAAACACAATTAGCATCTCAAACATATAAATTCAAATATAATTACTTGCTTGCTTGCTCTTAATTCATCAACTCATATAAAAATCTTTTGTATTATGATATAATTTAAAAGTTAGCCAAAGTTTAATAATAAAAGCAATGAATTGTTAAATAGCAAATTTAAGATAGAAATAACTATTTAAATGGAATCTTTCTATGTTTTCTAAATAAGTCTTAAGACAAAGGCGAATTAGCATTAATAACATATAAAATATTTAAGCCCATTACTGATTTAAACTAAATGCTAATAAATAATAACTTCTATAGCCATTAATTAATATTATTACTAATAATTAAAATACACACAATTGTGAATTGAAATATTGTTATTCTGCATAATTTACTTTTTAGTATTTCATTTATTATTAAACTTTGTCTTTCTAATTTATTAATTCAAAATACTTCTAGTCATATCAATTATTCTAATTCTTTTTCTTTAAAGAATTAAAAACTTAAATTTTACTAATATCTTATTCAAATAGACAGAAAATAACATAATTAACATTTTTGCATAAAATTTAATTTAAGTTTGAAAGGAGAAAAAAAAGTTTTTAATATTTCTTTTAATAAAAAAACTTAATTAGATTTTTTGCATTTTAAAATATAATTCATAAGATTAGCAAGTTAACATAAAAAATTTTGTTCAAAAACAAAATATAAATTAGAATATAAAAACATATGAATATTATTTATTACTCTTAATGTTAATTTTACAAGCTAATTAGATTTTTAACTGGATTTATTATATTTATTTTTATAACTATCATTTGTAAAATTAAAAAATAAATATTAATTAATATGTTCTGTTAAAAAATTAAATATAAATTAAAATATAATGGTTAATCAAAATCGTGGATATATTAATTTTAAAAATAAATTTAAATTAGATTTATTCTTTTTTAAAGTTATTATTCAAAAAATTAGTTTTTTATCATAATATATTTTATTCTTAATATAGGAATATAAATTAGAATAATGTTAATATGATGAAAAGGTTGATTAATATAAATTTTACAAATATATTAAAATAAGAATTTATTACATTTATTATATTTTTAAAAATATTATTCATAAATAAAATAAGCAAGTAGCAAGAATAATTTTTGCTTAAAAAGGAAATATAAATTAGAATGTAAAATTAATTTTGCAAACACATTAAAACTAGATTTTTCATAATATTTTTATAATTAACATTCATAAAATTAAAAAATAAGTATTAATTAATATGTTCTGTTAAAAAATTAAATATAAATTAAAATATAATGGTTAATCAAAATCGTGGATATATTTATTTTAAAAACAAATTTAAATTAGATTTATTCTTTTTTAAAGTTATTATTCAAAAAATTAGTTTTTTAGCATAATATTTTTTTCTTAATATAGAAATATAAATTAGAATAATATTAATATGATGAAAAGGTTGATTAATATAAATTTTACAAATAAATTAAAATAACATTTATTATATTTTTAAAAATATTATTCATAAATAAAATAAGCAAGTAGCATGAATAATTTTTGCTTAAAAAGGAAATATAAATTAGAATGTAAAATTAATTTTGCAAACACATTAAAACTAGATTTTTCATAATATTTTTATAATTAACATTCATAAAATTAAAAAATAAGTATTTATTAATATGTTATGTTAAAAAATTAAATATAAATTAAAATAAAATGTCTGTTGATCAAAATATTTTATAACACTTAATATACATTTTATAAACAAACTAAAATTAAATTTTTCATTAAATTTTATAATTATTATTTATAAAATTAACAAGTAAGAGATAGATACTTCAAAGGAAATTTATATTAGAATATGAAGATTGATGAAAATGATAAGTACTCTACTATATCTAAAAATTTTACAAACTAATTTAAATTAGATTTTTCTTTAGATTTTTGTTGTTTTTTAGATAAAATAATATTCATAATATTAATATTTGAAAAAAATGAAAAAATTTTGTTAATAATTTAGAATATACGCACTCGCACTCTTGATAAAAACGATTAAGTATACTTAACTTATCAATAAATATTACAAAGAAAATTTATATTTAGTTTCAAATCAATTAAAAACTAAGAAAGAAATTTCATAATTATTAGAAAAGATATCTAAAAATTTTATCCATAGAAAATTAATAATTAATAACATTAAATTAAATAAAGAAGAAAAAAAACAATTAAATAATACCGTTAAAAAATAAAAACAGCTCTCTAGCTTGAAGATGAAGAAAAAGTTTGAATCATTATGGATTTAGTTTAGATTTCAAATAAATGGATAGAGAAAGTTAATTATTTTCTAAGTTTTTAAGGTAAAAAGTTTTTTAACTCGGCTTAAATGCTTATCTGGTGATACATTTGCCCGCATATGAAAATAATCATCATATATTTATTACTATATCTCGTATATCCATCTTTGAAATACTAAACTGCTATCATGGTTTAGATTTTATTTCTAATCTTTCAGTAAAGAGAAAACATTTTCAAAATTTCCTACTTAAAATAATATTGAAACAACTCTCTTTTCATATAAAATTATATATTAAAGGAATGACTTTATTCTTAACTATAAGCCTCTTAAATCTACTCAACAATTTTATTTAAAACAAACTGCTGCTAAATCTACTTAAAATGAAAACTCTCTTTTTTAATACACAAATATTTTAACTTAAACTCTAAACAAAATAAAAAAATAGAACAACTCACTAAAAATAAAATATATATATAAATGAATAAAAATAAATTGAAAATTAAATAGATTTAAAATCTAACTAAATAACTAAAAATATTAATAAATACAAACATAAATCACATCAAAATAAATAAACTATATAATAAACAAGATAAAAACTAAAAAATATATTTTTGTTTAATGAAAACCAATTATAAAGCAATACTTATCCAATTAAAAATTAACTGTTATTTTATGTTTGTTTTTTTTAAATGATAAATAAAATTAATTTATTTCTGATTATAAAAGAATTTTAAATAATAAAACATATTTTTAAACTATAATTTATATAAGATAACTAATTTAGTTTTGGATTTATATTTTAATGGGACTAATCTTGAAGTATTGCAATAATTCAATTATTTTTAATGTATATTTTTATTTCATAAAAAGTATATAAGTAACTTATTTGGGTTAAGATAATTAAAGAATTATAAATGAATACATTAACTCAAAGTAAATTCTTAGAATTGCTTATTTAAAATTATAGTAGTATTTTTAAGGAAATGAAATAATTTATAAATAAACTAGATTAATAAATTTATTCTTTTTTTGTAATTTTAATAATTAATCATTTATTTACGCTTGAATAGAATATATCAAATAAATATTATGATTAAAATTTACTTTTTAACGAATTTTTTATAGCTGATATTATATGTTTTTGAAATATATAAATACTATTTTCTATTTTAAGCTAAATTTAAAAAAATAATAAGAATCTTAAAATGTGTTAGATGTATTTTTAAACAAATGAAAGTGCTGAAAAAATAAACTAGATTAATAAATTTAAAGTATATGTTAATGATTTACATAATTAATTGTTTATTTATGCTTGACAAAAATAAATAATCCAAGTTATAATTATGATATATAATTCATTTATTAAATAACTTATATCTATAAAATAAAGTTATAATTAAAATGTTTTATAAAAATGATAAGCAAAAGAAAAATAACAATTAACCTATATTTTAATAAATGTAAAATATTTACTTTCTACTCCAACTTCTAATAAAAATCATCTTTGAAAAATAAAAAATATAATTAAAAATATAATGCAATTAAATTAAAATACAAAGATAAATAAATAGCCTGCTAATTAAGAAAGAAAAAATATTTATAAGAATTGTTTTGAATGTTTTAATTATTTTGTTATTTATTTATTTTATTATTTTGATATGTTTGTTAAAAATTGATTGATATTTTTTAATTAATTAATAATGAATATATTGTCATTGCTATTATTATTTTGAAGAAATTCTAGTTTTTTACTATTTATATATCCTTACTTCTTATCAAGATTTGTGGATTTTTTCTTCATTTTTTTGGTTTTTCAATACATCATTTAATAAAGCAAATCTTCTGATTGTGACTAACTTCATGATATCTTTTTGGTCTGAATCTAACTTTTTATAACCTAATAAACCTGGTACTAAGGTTGCGCAATAAGTTAGAGAGGATTAGCCTTAAGCATTGCATCCAACAACATAACAAATTTTACTGGAAGGTGAAACAGTACCAACTAATGGAGCTTTATCAGGTGTTTCTGAGTAGACACCATACTTTGTTTCATATTTCATCTCTGAATTTTTCATATAAGGGAATTTTTGAATAATCCATTTAGCTAAAATTCCGCATCTTTCATCTTCTCTTGGAGGCTTAAAAGCGGAAAAATGATCTTGTCCACTCAATCTGATATGTCCTTAGGTCAAGCACCAGTCATGAGTGAATCCCCAAGTAAAATAGTTCATAGAATTAGGATGTTCTAAGCGATGATGTTGGGGATTTATATTTTCAGGTTCTTTCATCGAAACGAGATAAGAAAAACAAGGAGTAAAAATACCACATAATGTGGTTGAATTAGTAAATAAGCCTCCTGTGCAAAGGACTACATATTTGCTTTTTATTGTGCAACCATTTTATAGAGTTGTCAAGGCGTATTCAGAGTTAATAGTTTGTACGTTAGTTACTTATGAGCAGTTTTCAAATAACTTAGTTGTCTTGTCTTATTCTAAAACGTAATTGACTAAATTAGCTGAATATTATTAGGAGTTAATTATTGCGTCATGAGGATAATACAGCCCAATAGTAAATTTACTCTCCTTACCTAATTACTTTTCAACTTAATCTCTTCCCCACAATTAAATATCAACGAATCCAAGTTTCTTTAATGTTTCAAACTCTTCTTTGATATCCTCTTCATCTTTTTCTACACCTACTTGAAGAGACCCCTTTTCAAGTAGATTTTCTTCTAATTCCTCACTTTTAAATACAAGTCTTGCAAGTTATTTTTAGATTTGCAAACCTTCGTAGCACAGCTTTAAATAACGGCGTGCTCCTTGTTCACCATGATGAGACATAAAGTACTCAGAAGTGCATGGATAGATATTTACCATCATTTTAATTCTAGAAGCTGGTTTATCTAGTACAGCTGTTCCACTTTTTCTGGCATGTTAGAATTCTCTGCCTTAGTAGATATCATCTTCTCTTATAAATGCATGGTCTTCAGATACTTTGCCTTAACTACTTCCTTATCCACATTAACCTGCATCAAGAATTACCATACCCTTAACACCAGCCTTGTGGAGCTAGTAAAGAGTACTGGCACCAGAAACGCCTGCTCCGACTATCAAAACTTCACATTCTGAAGGATAATTAGTGTTGCTTGCTTCCTCTCTATTAATATTACTTTCTTGCATTACTCCTTTTAAATTTATAAGTACACTTTTTAAAATTTTTTGATTAATATTTGAAAAAAGATTTATCTATTTATCTGTGTAAAACCCATAGGTTTATTACTATTTATAGGCGGATTAAGTATGAAGTTAAGCATTATATAAATTTTACTAAATAGATTAAATATCAAATAATTAATTAGAGAAAAAGGAGTTTTAAGACTTTTTTACAAAATTAAAAAATTTTTAAATGTCAAATATTAAAAATAAACATTTTATTTTCAATTTTAACTTAACTTTATAAGATGGAACTTTTAAAACCTAGCATCAGACATATTTTATTTAATCATTTTTACTGTTGTTTCATTCAGACTTATAAAAAGAAATGGCACAAATACGTTTTAATTGTTGTATCTTAAAATAATGATGTAAAAATTTACTTACATATCTTACATTTGTTTTATTGGATTATTTTCTTATGTAATTTAAGTAATTTCATGTAAATTAAAATAAAAAGATATTTTTTACCAAAAAAAACAAAATAATATTTATTTTTAAAATGATTTTTAGTATTTTTCTAAGATATAAACAAAATCCATCAATTTTGATTTTAATTTTGTAATGTTCTCCATGTTAAACTTTGAAATGAAGTAATAAAATTTAATTATTTTCAGATTTTTAAAATAAATGTAAGTTATGTATAGTTAAGTATTTTTTACCAAGTATCTTTAAGGGCAAATAATTAATTTATCTATTACTTCTTTAAGATGTAAATTAAAGAAAAATTAATTAGATGCGTTCAAACATTAATAAATTTAAATATTGTTATTATTTAGTGCACTATTTTTTTATAAATCTAATCATTTATTTTTTTTGTAATATAATGACGCAATTATACAAGCTATCTATCTATCGTATGTTAAATTTCTAATAATTCTTTCAAAACTCATCATTAAAATCACTAAATTTCTTTTTGTTAAATTAATATAATTACTTTGAAAATTGGTATGATATTAAATTATTTACAATAATTTCAATTTTTTTAGAATGAAAGGAAAATAATAATTAAAAGAGTTAGACTTTGAGATAATTATATGCTCAATAAATAAATAGAAATAGTTAAACAAAATCAGCTTTAAAATTCATAAAATTACATTCAAATTTTTGCCTATTTTAAAATATTTCAAATAATAAGCTTTAAAAAATTAGAAGATAAAATAAATTAATTTTATAAAATATTTAAATTAGAATAAATATTATTCATAAATAAAAGCTTATAATTTATCCAATTTAATTAATTTTAATCTTTGGAATCTTAGAGTTTTATATTAAATATAAGCCTGTGTTTTGTATAATACGTGTGTGATAATACTTGAGAATTTGCACTCTGTTTTAATTCCTTTACATTAGTCAATTATTGTAATTTAAAACCTAAAAAGATCTTAAACATAAAAATAAATTTAATATCAAGCTTTTAATTTTACTTAGTTTATAAATAATTTGTTTCTTTTTAATTAGAGTTATAAAATTATTTTATTAATGAAGTAAATTAATTTGTTATAATATCTCAGATTTCCCATCTAAAAATATCCAATTAGACAATTTAATATTTATTTATTTATGCAAATCTATTTAAACTTTAACGGATATTTTTTTTGTTTATTAAGAAATTTCATAAAAATTATTACTTCTTATAAGAAAGATTTTTAATAAAAAATACTAATAAAAAATAAATCTTTAATAACAAAAGACAATTTATCTCAATAAAGTTAATTAAATATTCCGCATTAATTTTTTTGTTTTAAAGTTAATAATAATTCAAAGAAGAAAAAAAAAATAGAATCATTAAATAGCTAACAAAAAGCTTAAGCATTTGTAAAATTTCTAAAACGAAAGTGAAATGTAACAGTTAAAATGATATAGTTTTTAATCCAAAATTATTTTAAGCCAGGAAAACACACACACACACACAAACACATTCTTAATCCCTTACACATCAACATTGATTGTTACATATTTCCTTTAGAGATTATTAGCGAAAAAATAAATACATAATCAAATACATTTTTTTCAAAATATTAACAAAGATTCCTTTATAAATTGCTATCACCGCTTTCTTTTATTCATATAAAATTTAATACTATTATAAAATCTAGCTTTGGGGCTGTATTTTCTTTTTTAACTTATTTTACTTAAATAAACAATAAATCTTCTTCCTCTTTCAAAATTACTTGCTTAAAAAATTAATATGCATCGCAAATCTTATAAAAAAAGTAAAATGATTTATATTCATCTAAAAACAAATACAAAAATAAAACAATTTAACAAAATAAAATAAAAAAATAAAAACAAATTGATAAAGTAAAGTAAATAACATTCATTCAATAAGATCAATAAATACATTCTCATAATAAATTAATCAAATAATAAAAAATTTAGAAATTCAATATAATTGAAGAAATTCATGATCATGATACAAAACAAAATATAAAGCAAACTTCTTTACTACTTAATTAAAATTATTTTATAAATTTTACATCTAATTACAAATTTTTATCTGTCTGATTTATATTTTTTTAAACGTTTTTATTCTTAAACAAGTTAAGGAACAATAATTTCTTTTTATGTAGATGCTTAACTAATTTTTTAATAGAAAAAGACTAAAAATTTATATTCTACACATAAAGATAAATAAATATCTTTAAATTAAATAAAAATTCTTGTTAAATTATAAATATTTCATATCTAATTTATTTCATTTAAGATTCCATTATTCAAAGTATTTTCTGATAACATTTTTTAAAGAAATATGAAAAACTATAATTATTTATTTAAAGATGTATCTTAAATCTAAATGTATTTGCTAAATGATATTATAATTAATAAAAAATTGCATTACTTAAAATTCAGTAGAGGTAAATTAAAACTACTTACTGTTGGCGATTGTGATAGAAAATGAAAAAACAAAAAAAAAATCAATTTACTTAAATAAATTTCAAAACTTTTACTATATATAAAAATAAAATGATAAAAAGTAAATCAGAGAAAGAAAAAGACATAAAGAAGAAGGATTCTTTATGTAACTGTTTTTAAGTGGGAAGGTAAAAAACCAAAATATCTGATAAACAGAAAATAATTTAAACTAAGAGGATATTTTAACATTAAAAATAATTTCTTGCAAGAACCATAAAAATAAAATTTAGTCCAAAATAAATAAACAAAGAAAAATTAAAGAAAATATAAATAAAATTTAGATAGAAGATTTAGTAAAAAAATAAATTATTTGAAATGCATGGAAGTGAAGAAGAACATTAAAAGATATCTTCTAAAAATAAATAAAAAATTATTTAAATATAAACAAAATGATATTAATGAAATAAAAATATAAAATAAAATAAAAAGATGGATTTTAGAGAAAAAAAAATATAGAAAATAATAAAATAACATAGAGATATTTATAGACAGACAACACATCAATACATTTCAAAAAGATAGGGGGTCATTCAAATAATGAATAAGAAGATTAAGAAAAGAATTTATTTATATTTAAAAAGTAAAATAAATTAAATAATTATAATTAGTTATTATAGTGTACGGTATTTAAAATAATATGTATGTAAATACTAAAAATAAAAATATCATTAATATAAAATCTAATAAATCTTTGAAATAATATTTTAACAATAATTTATTTAGTATTTATTTGATTATATTAAATATTAAGAATCTATGCTATTTAAAAAAATGAAATTAAAGGAAGTTAACTATTTTTAAAATTTTAATAAAAATGATAAAAATAATATTGATTTAACAGGTTGAATAAACTAAATAACTAATATTGATTTTACATAATTTATGATTCATGAATTTTAAAAAAATAAATAACGAAAAATATGAAAATAAAATGAATTTTAATATAATTAAGAATTATTTATTTATTTAAATAAGTTAAATACATAAAAACTTTATAAAACTTAGCTAATAATTTATTAGTTAAATAAAGAAAAAATTTTTATTAAGCAGGTGAAAAAAAGAGCTATACACTATATTTTATTTAGCTTAAATACCTATTTTGACTTAATTAAAAAACAAGATCTGATAAAACTATTTATCAATGGAAGATATTAATAGAATTACAATTTATTAATCTTCTCAAAACTAGACATCTTTTCAAACAAATCAGCTTTTAAAGTAAGGAGGCTAAAGAGATGAATAAGAATAAAACGAACTCAGACTTAAAATGTAAACAATGCATGACAAATTAAAGGGTTAAACTAAAATTGGGAGATCACTCAATGGAGATCATGGAAATGATCCTCCTTCTTTTAAAAGTATAGAAGATTTTGAATTTATAAATTAGCTTGGTTAAAGTGAACATTAACCTAAAAATAGATTTTAGCTTGGCAAATAATCTATAAATGCTAAAGAAATGAATTCTAATTCTGATTTTGATGATATTAGCATTTAAAAGGGAATATTCTAGTAGAAGTAGGAAGATGATGAAAAATAATAACTAGGTCAAGATTTAAAATTAGCTTTTAGTGAGGATTCGCCATAAAATATGCTTTCCTATGATTTTAATCGAAATGATCTTGTTGTTTCTCCATAAAGCGAAAAATTACAATAATCTCTTAACAAATATAATGAATCTTCTGAAGATTCTAGTAAATACAAGACCCATTAAAATATTGAAATGAATAATTTTAGTATGTTGAGTGGAAAAAATCTAATGAGATAAGATAATGGTAATGAGTAAAAGAAAAAATTTAATTTCTAACAAGAAATTAATTCTCTGTTCTTTAAAAATATAAAATCAAAATCAAAAAGCAAACAAGGTGTGTTGAATAAACTTATTTGTTGCATAAAACCTAAAAAAAAGTTTAAAAACTACAAAAGGAGTTTAACATTTTTTGAAAATCTTTAGTTAAACTAAACATAAAAATAGAATAGAATTTAATTTAAAATATTTAAATTTGCTTCAGCAATTAAGCAAAGGCACTTAAAGAAAAGTCTAAATGATGTAGACACTGGTAATTTATAGCTAATTAGTGATTTAAGTTACTATTAACAAAATTATAATTAAGTATCATTTAAGGCTTATAAAAATTCTTTTCTAAGGGCTTTTATTATAAAATATCAACAGATTAAATCATTAATAATTGATAGTTTTAAAGAAGAAGTTATTCCTATCAAAATTTTTATGCCAACAAGCTCAGCAATTGTTTTATGGGATTTGCTTTAGATTACAATGACATATTTATTTTTGTTCCTTTACTCGATTGAAGTGTTTTTTGCTTAAAATGAGACAACAAACTTGTTTATGGTTACCTTTTTTGAAATAATATTATCAATAACTTTAATTGATATTTTAAAAAAATTTAATACTTCATACTTTGAGAAAGATTAAATTATTTAAATAAGGTCAAAGATTATATTTAAATATATTACCTCAAGTATCTTTATAACCGATGTAATAAGTCTTTCCACCATCCTTTTTAAGTTAAAATATAGAAATAAAGAAATTTCATATAATCCAAACAATAGCCTCTATTTGTATCTAGAAAATTTTTTAATCTTTTTACTCCTTAACAGGGCTTTAAAATAGAAAAAATTATTGCAAAGCATTATTACATTAGAACAAAGTCAAAAGCATTTATTTTGGCTTTTTTCGTAAGTCTTAAATGTAGTCACAGTTACTCACATAGGTAAATAACTAAAATTTTAGCAGTAATTATATTATTTTATTAAATTTTTCATTATTTGTAAAAAGTAAGTATAGCATTCTACATGTTAGGAATCTATGAAGATTCAAACAACTTTTAAGTCTCTTGGTTATAAAAATATGGAATTACGAATTTAGAATATTATGATAGATATATTTATTCTATTTACTGGGCAGTAACAACAATGACAACAGGTAATTAATTCATTAATTTCATACAAAAATATTTTATAAATAATTAAAATTGTTTATTTAAAAACGATATCAAAATATTCTTTAAATAATCCAAATCTTAAATAATTTTTCCATAAGTCTTAAAAATAAATTTTAAACATATTTACTTTTTCATAAACTTTTTAAACGTAATTTAAATGATGAAAAAGTCTCTAAATTATTAAAAAAACAACAAAAAATTTTAACTAATTAATTAATTGATCATTAGTATTTGAAGTGTTATCTATTAATTAAAAAGTTGGTTATGGTGATATTACAGCAACAAACTCTTCAGAAGCATTGTTTATTTCTATAGCCCTGATTGTTTTCAGCTGTGTATATGCTTATTCTATAAATAATATTGGTTTTATCCTTTAAGAAATAGAAAGATCATCAAAAAAGTTGAATGAGAATATTTCTATTATATAAAGGTATATATTTAAATAAAACCAAATAAAATTATATTAAATAATTATTTTTTTTTTTAATTAATCATTTTAATTAAAACTTGTTTAATTTTAATTATTTTAAATTAAGATATAAAAATAAACAGATGACGAATTAACTATTTTTTTCATAAGTTTATTATTATTGTTGAATTTAAAAAAAATGAATAAATTTTTAAAATCTTTTGAATGTTTAAAAAAATCTTTAATTTGTTTTAATAAAAATTGTAAAAATTAATTAATGTGTTTAAATAGATATTTAAATAGAAAGAATGTGGATATTTAGCTGAAAACTAGAGTAAGATTCTATCTCAGTTTTTTAGAATAAGAATCAAAAAATAGAGATAAGTAGGCTGAGGATAAGATTATAGGTACATTATCTAACTAGCTTAGAGAAGAAATCACCTAATAGATAAATTCAAAAATTCTGCAAGATTAAAATATTTTTAAAAATAATTTTTCCCATAAAATTAATAAGAGTATCGTTTTTATTATGGAAGAAGTGCTAGTTACTCCAAATGAAATAATATTTCAAGAAAACGATACGAATGATTAATCAATTTATTTTATCTAAAACGGAATAGTTGAAATATACTCAGATTGCTATAGATAAGACAAAGAAACTTCTTGTAAAGTATATTAGACAATTACATAAAACTAGTTTTTTGGTGAAATTTCCTTCTTTTCTGGTTTAGCAAGAAGTGCTTCTGCAAGAAGTGTGAATCTCACTACTTTATATAGAATAAAAAGAGATAGATTTATTGATTTAGTAAAAACTAGTGAATATGATTTTGAGAGATTTAAAATGATATAAGAAAAAATAGCTATCCATGGAAATTTAAGCTGCCTATATTTAAAGTGTTACTCATGTAAAAAAATAGGTCATTTAGCTTCTAATTGCCCTGTAACTCATCCATTTTTTGACAAGTAATTCATATTCTTGAAAAATAATTTTTCTGAGATTTAAGAAAGACAACCAAACTATTTAAGAGCAGAAAAAACAAAATAACTGAAACCCATGTAATGTTTTATTTTTTTTATTTGCTTAGTGAAGCCTATTTTTTATATATTTTTTAATTATCATTTTTATTAATTTCAATTAGATATCTTAATTAAATTTTCAAAAATTAATTCAGATAGATAATTCTATCTTTATTTTTTAAACATTTACTAAATTTTTATTTTAAAAAAATAAATATTCAAATGAATATTGAAATACTAAATAAAAAATATTTATTTTGAATAATTTATTAAAATAACTTTTTTTAATGAATATTTAATAGAAAATTAGTAAAAATATGAAACAAATTTTTAATTTAAATAATTATCTATATTCATGATATTTTACTTAATATTAATAGTTCATATGTATTTTCTAATTATAATTAAAACTAAATTTAATAATTTTTTTAATGAATTAAAAAATTAATTAGAATTTAAGCTAAAAAGAATATCCAAATTTGTAAAAAATTAAAAGATTTATGTAGAAATCTCAATAGTAGAACATAATTTCTCTACAATATTACTTCTGATGAAGATGAAGGATTAACTTTTGATACTGACAGCTTACTATCTTAGGATGCTTAATCTAGTAAATTTGGGTAAGAAATAAAAAGTTTTGCAAAATAAACAACAGATTTATCTTAAAAGATAGAAAATAAACAAATACAAAAACTCATTAAATCTAATTAAGATGAAATAAGTATAATAGAAAAACAAATAGGCTTAATTAAATAGAATTCGGCTTTGAATGATTAAGTTTCTAACAATTGTGCTAATAATTATGATTTATAATAAATTAATAATAACTTTAACATATCTCCTGATACACAGTATTTTTCTAAGGTTGAATAAATAGTTTCTGTTTTAAAAAAGCAAAATTAGCTGTATAATAGTCTAGCTAATGAAAATGCTAAGGAGAATAACTAAAAATAAGGTTAATTTATTAAATCAAGAAGTGATTTTAAAAATTATTTGAATTCAAAATAAGTCAATTTTAATAAATAAAATACTTAAAATTCAAATTAAGATCCAAAAAATTAAATTTTCTTTTAGAAGAAAATATCGAAAGAGTTACTAGATGATTAGGATGTTTTTTTTCTATCTCCATAAATCATAAAGGTTTAATCCAATATATAATAAAATAATAAAAAAGAATAACCTTCTTTGTCTGCAACAAGCTTCAAAATATTTGAGTAGCAAATATAATAGCAAGAAAAAGGAGAAGAAAACCCATCTAAAAATTAATTAAACAGAATTAAATCAAGCGAATACAAGGGTAATAGATCTTTAACTAAATTAAGCTCAAGTAAGTAAACAAATTTGTAATTTAAAAATTAGACAAATTAGTTAACGTAAGAATTTGCTTCCGAAAAAATGAGAAACAGTTAAAAAACCAGTAATAACTTGATTAGATCTCATGACTATTCTTAATATTCAAAGTTTTATTCTTAATAAGATTTTTTTGAGTAGATTTAAATGTATGATTTTGAGAGAGTAAAAATATACAAAAAATTTTTTCCTCATAATAATATTGATAGAGTAATAACAACTTTGAAAAAAATTTAGACTTAATAAAAAAAAGAAAGATTTAAAAAAAACTTAGAAAGAAGAAGATAAATTATATTTGCTTTAGACCATATTTAAAACAGGTTAATTTGTGAAACGCCTTCTAAAAACAATGTACGCTAAAAAAAAAAGGAGCTTACTTCGTTATCATATGGAGTTACTTTAAAGTAAAAAGAATAGCTAAAATAAGTAGTCTGATTTTTTTTGTTTTTAATTTATTCATTAAATTAAATAAATAGTTAATTATAAATTTTTAAAAAAACATAATTATTTAATTATATATTTATATATTAGTGCTTCAAAGCTAAGTCATATCTAATCTAAAAAACTTTTTCAAAACATAATTAATTTTTTATATTTTGAAAATTTTTACTATTATTTAAAGTTTATACGAATTCTGTTTTTTTGTTTTTTGTGAAATTATTAAATGAAATTGAAGAAATTTTTTGATAGAGTTAATGAAAATAAAAAATAAAAAAATACTCGATATAAACTTATTTAAAAATTGAAACATAAGTTTTTTGAAAATATTTTATAATTTTAATTGAAACCTAACTCTTTTTGATAAAGTTTAATTACTTTAACAAATGTAATTTAAGTTAAATTAGATAAAATATATAATTTAAGAGGTAAGTGTACAATTAAAAAAAATCAAATCGTTCAATCTTGATCAGAATCACTTTCTTCACTTTCCCTTTCTTCAGTTGGATTGTAAGAAGTTTCGCTTTTAATATTTCTAGTCATAGGAGTTGTTCTCTATTCATAGTGAGGAGAACTCATGTATTAAGGTGATTGTTAGGATCCCATATAAGCTGACTTAGATCTATCAAGTGGACTAGATGAACTAGCATGAGGATTTTGATAACTTGGGGAATTATATCTAATTTATATTTCATTTTTTATTAATAATTAAATTAAAATTTATTGTATTTTTTTTATTTTTATACCTCACTTGTGAAGGTGAAGTGTAAGAGGGAGAGTGAGCTCCACTAAGACTACTGCTTTTATATTAAGGTGAGCTTGCATAAGGACTAGCGTTTGCAGGGCTTGTTGAACCAGCTGGAGTGTGGCTTGGAGGTGAGTAGTCTTTATGATATTAGTATTAAAAATTAAAATTTTAATTTATATTTTTATGGTTTTAAAATTTATTTTTCAAGATTAAATTAATTCTTTCCTGATTTAAAGTTGTAAAAAATGGAAAAAAATTACTTGGAGAAGGAACAAATGGAGAATTATTGCCTGTCTGAGGACTATATTAAGAACTTCTGGTTTGGTTATAGGTGTTAGAGTAAGAGATAGGAGTTGACATATTGTATCCTAATTTATAAATTAAAAATTATGCTGTTGATTGAAAACAAAATTATTTTACCAGGAGAGTTTAGGTAGGGAGTGGTTGGAGTGAAAGATCCAGCATGTTATACTGTTCTAATAGAATTAGGATAAGCAGAAACGAGACCGGGACCAGGAGTTTGGAAATGAGAAGGAGTATTTTCGTAACGAGAGGATTCGTTTTCTGAATAATCTTCCATCTCTAATGTCTATTCAACCTATCTCTTTGTTTTAAATTCACCAACCTTATTCAAGTCGACTAATAAGTCGAAGCAACCAGTACCAATATCACAATTTTGACCAAAGATAATATTTTCAGTAACACCTTTCAACTTTAAAATATGAAAATAATAATTTAAAAATATTTCTTGATTAATTAATTAATTACATCATCCTTTTCAAAGAAAATGGCAGCTGTGTTGAGAATATCTACTGTCTCTTCAAAGGAAGATTTTCTGAGGCAAGATAAACCAGGAATACGATTGATACCGTTTCTATTAATAGGAGTCAAACGACCTCTTACAGTCATCCACTCAGCCAAAATAGCTAAATGACGATAGTTGATGTAAATACCATAAGGTTCAATGACGACTCTAATTTAATTAACAATAGATCTTCTACCTGCTTCGATACCAAGAATGGTAATGATTTCTTAGATATCGTTAGAATAAGTTCTAGTAGCATCTACTTTATCAACCTTCAATACTTCTTTGAGATTTGAACCAGAAGTATTGAAAATATGTTCTTAAGGTTTTCTCTCTGTGAAGAAAGCTGCACCTGGTTTGGGGGCTTCACATATACATTCATTTTCAACCCAAGGTCTGAATTCCTTCTTTTGGCTATTAAATATAAAATAAATAATTAATTGATAGTTATGTGTTTGTTTGTTTATTTATTTATTTTTAACATAATTAAATAAAAGAGATAGAAAAAAAATATAAAATATTACGTAGGATAAACTTTTTGGATTTTCTAAATACCTCCTATGTATGCATCCTTGAATTCGGATTCAAAGAGAAGGAGAGAAGAATAAGCGTTCATTTAAGAATCTGGATTTTATTATCCTTAACCTAATTGGGTAGAGTCAAATTTAACATGAATTTGTCCTTTTTCAAATTATTTCTTTTCAACTATGAGGTTACCCCACTTTTTAGAGTCATCAGCAATTTTTCTAATTTTTGCATTCAAGAGTTCAAAAGTATCAATTGTTGTCTTTTAAGTATCAAAATAAATAATGAGGACAATAGGATCTTCGAGATCATCAGAAATATTATCATCATCGAAAATGTTATCTTGTTATTAAAAGTCTTCATCATCTTTAGATTTATAAACAATTCTGGTTTGATTAATGTAGTAAGAAATAGTTTAGTATTCAATCTCTTGTTTAAGTCTTAAAATTTCCTATCTTTCCTACGAAACAATTTCGTCATATTCTCTCTTAAAGCTTTCTGCATCATAGTTGCTCATCATATCTTTCCTGAAAATTTTTTTTCTTAAACCATTTTCAAAGAAGACAGTCATTTCTGGTGTCTTTACATTTTTAGAAGCATCTAATATTTCCTAAAGACGAGGGACACCAAGCGTAACGTTACGATCTGACACACCTGCAAAGTGGAAAGTATTCAAAGTCATTTATGTTGTGGGTTCACCTACAGATTAAGCTGAAATAGCACCAATGGTTTCACCTTTAATAAAATTAAACCAACTCATAAGAAACAGAATAAAAAAGCATAAAATGAAATTAACAAATAAAAATTTTCTTGCCAATTAATTTTAAAAATATATTTACCTGGGTGAGAAATGGCTTTTTTAAATTTATCAAAAATTTCCTTTGTGAGTTTATCAAATACTTCCATTGAAAGCTTATGCCTTAATACTATCTTTTTGGAACCAAGATGGAGACGGATATGAGCCTTGAACAAAGCCAAAGATTCATACTCCATACCTCTTTTAACTGCATAGTCATCAAGATTCTTAAATAATTCTAAGAGACTCTTATAAACTTAAATAGGATTAGTCTTACATTAATCTCTAGTATAAGTTTTATTCTTTTAAGACATTTCAATTTTAGCAGATTCAATCATTCTACCAATGTTGACTGGCAAGTTAATATCAAGTTTGCCTTCTTATGCGTAGAAGTAGAAATTCTTTCTAAACAGGTTTCTAGCTTCGATGAGTTCTTCGTACTCTTATTCTAAGATAAATTTAGGATCTTCTCCTTCGTTTCTTTCGTTAATCATACGCATAAATTCTTCCTTGATTGCAATTAAAACATCTCTACTGATTTCTTTGCTAATTTGATTTTCCATCTAGTCCAATTTTGTATATTGGAATAACCAGTCGTCGCTTTTATTTGCTTTGACAAATCTGTATTCCTTTTGGAAATCTTCTTCCTTATAATCAACTTCTCCGATCTTTTAGGTTTCGATGAATTCACCTGCCAATGAATCTTCACCATAGCATGTTTAAATAATCATACCCTAACTATCTCTAACTGTACCATCATAACGTACGATGACATCTTCAAGAGCCTTGACAAGCTTTCTTTAAATATAACCAGTTCTACTTGTCTTGACTGCAGTATCAGAAAGACCTTCTCTACCACCCATTGTGTGGAAGAAGAATTCGTAGGGCTTTAAACCTGTATATATTTAAAACAATTATTACATTTATTTTTTAATATTTATTTACCTATGTAGAAATTGTTAACGACGAAACCTCTTGCAATAATACCATTATCATCTTTGCAGAAATGAGGAAGAGTTCTTCTTGAAAAACCATTCCTGATTCTAGCACCTTCAATATTTTGTTAACCTACAAGACCCATGACTTAGGCTAAGTTAGTAGCTTTACCTTTTGAACCTGACCACACCATCTTGTTGAATTAGTTGTACCTATTTTAGATTTTTTAGAGTTACATTTTTAAAAGTAAATAAATAAATATACTTGAATTTAATTGTTTCTTCTGCTTTCTTTTCGGATTCTTGTCTGAGTTCATTCAAGATGGAGTTAACTTGAACTTCGAAAGAATCAAAAATCTTCTTACCAGCCTTGTGCATATTATTTTAATCAATATAAGCTGCATCTTAGAAATCTAATTCAATTTTATCATATTTTTCAAAGGCTTTCTTTCTAATTTTTTCAATTTCTTCTGAACATTTTTCACTAGGCACGATATCAGCACAACTGATTGTGTGACCAAACATAATAAGCCAGTTATTAACTACCCTCTAACATCTAGTCATGAAATTTTTAGTTTCTTCATGACCAATATCTAACCAAATCAAATGGACTAAACCACCAGGACCATCACCAACAATAGCCTTATTCATATAGCCTTAAATTAGTTCACCTTTGTAGATGTAAATAGATCTGTTTATTAAATTAATCGTTTATGTAAAATATAAATAAGATAGATGTAAATTAAAATAAAATTTAACTAATTATTACTCATCCTATTTATGGAACCACTTGTCATCTTCCTTGTCACCTTTGAATCTGGTCATAGTCATTTATTCAGGAATGACTAAAGACATAATTTATTTACCAGTCCATAAAGGTTCAGGTTTAAGAATAGCAGGCATGGGTAGGTCTCCTTCCCAATTGTCAATCCACATAACTAAATTCATAACTTATTCTCTTGTTAAAAACTTATCTCTTAAAGTAAACATAGCTACACCTAATAATGAATCTTGCACCAAACCCATAACTGGTTTGTTAGCCTTGGGAGTGACAATTTATCTAGGAACATGGCAAATATAACCAAGTTCAACACCTTTATATTTAAATTAACTTTTTAAAAAGATATTTTCAATTCAATCATATTTACGAGTTTCATAAGATTATGGCACATGCATATTCATTTCATCACCGTCAAAATCTGCATTATAAGGGGTTGTGACTGATAAGTTAAGACGGAAAGTACTGTAAGGAAGAATTCTAACTCTATGTCCCATCATACTCATTTTATGGAGAGAGGGCTAACGGTTAAATAGCACATAATCACCATTCTATAAGGCTCTTTCAATAATAACACCTATTTTTATTTATGAACAATAACTATAATCTAAAAAGAATGAAATTAATAATATTTACCATCATTAACGTGCATGTCAAAATTATCATCAGCTTATCTATCACCACTGCAAATAATAGCATCGTAAGCTTCATAAATCTATTTTTCACGATTAGGTTTCATAATACTTTTAATTTTGCCTTACTTCCATAATTCACGAATTCTGTTTATATTTTGTTAGTTAACTATTTCAGGAACAGTCAAACTGTCAGCAATACTTCTAGGAACACCTAATTCATCCAACCATAAATTTGCATCTGGGGAAATAACAGATCTTGCAGAAAAATCTACTCTTTTACCCATTAAATTTTATCTAAATCTACCTTCTTTTCCTTTTAATCTCTAAGAAAAACTTTTAACAACCTTTGATTTAATTTTAAGTGCTTCTAATCTTGGTTTATCGTTATCCATCATTCTGGCAACAACACTCTAGATTTACTCAACCTTTTAAACAAAAAATCAAAATTAACTTCATAATCTAAAAACAATTTATATCATCATAAAATATGTTCGCTTAGCATTTAAATATTTTATTTTATAAAGCTTTATATTTTTAAAGATATTCTTGCTCTTTTTAAATATTAATTAATATTATCTATCTAAAATTTTAATAAATTTTTGCTAAACTATATACTGAGATTTTTTATTTTTTAAAACAAATATAAATTATTAAAAAAATGTTTTATTTACCAGCTTTCTGTTATCAGAATTATCTTTAATTTATGCATTTAGCTTCAATACTTCTTCATAGCATTTAGTGAGTTCATCTTGACAGGTCATATTAGATGACATTTCAATAGAAGGGCGAACTTAGGGTGGAGGTACAAGCAACTTTGTTAAGATAAGATTAGTTGGCTACAAGAAATCGTCATCATGTTTTCTTTATCCTTTTAATATAAAAAATATTTCACTTACATATAAAAGAAGTATTCAAATATAATCATCAATAAATATGATTGTATTTTAAAACTCTCATTTGGTTTTTGATTACAAAGTATTAACTAAAAATCTTAATACCTTTGTAAGCTAATAACTTTTTGGAGTCAGCATATCTAATCTTCTTTAAAATTTCTAATGCTTATTCTGCACTCAGATCATACTCAATAGCATCCTTATCACTTTACTTTTCAGCTACTTTAAGATTTAAGAACTTCACTACACTGACTTTAACAAATAAATATGAGTTGCACTTATCGTTTTGGCATTTGGATTATTTTCCAAGGATTTTATACAATTCATTAAGTCTTCTCTTAGGCTAAGAAATATTCATAACTTCTAAATACTTTTCAAGTTTAGCAAATTCTGTTTTACTTGCAGGTTTACCACTCTCATTTCTCTATTGTTTAATATTGAATATTCTTTATAAATAGAAATTAAATGATTTATTTTTCTCTTTATGTTGAAGCTGTTTTCTCTCTAAAAAACAAACACAATTAAATTAAAATTGAGTTGTGTCTAATTTATTTTATAAATGCTTCCTTTTTTCATGCAATTTGTAATTTCGATGTTATGAGTTAAGTTTTTTTTAAAGGCGGTAGAATTGAATTCATAAATTATACAATCAAAGGTAATTTTAGCAAAATTGATTTCATTTTAGGGAGAAATACAGCCGAATTGTAAGAAAAAAATAATGTATTGCTATAATAATTCACCTTAATAGGGGGCTCTCTTACAGCACCACATTTGTGACAGACGCAGAGAAGAATTTGCTTGACTGTGTTTATGAAATTGATATGATATATAGGCCTTCTAAGATTGATGTAACCAAAATGACCAGGACATTCATTCTTTTAATTACAAGTTTTGCATGCATCCTTAGAGGTAGTACCTAATCTTTTATCGTTTATAAAGCCTTCATCTTCTTTATTACCATTTTCAAAATTTTTAATTTCACAAACGCACCAGCTTTCCTATTTTATTTTATGAAATAATTTAATGATTGCTCTTTGAACCGCTAAGAATAAGCAAACTCCAATTTATTTAAATAGACTTATTATTTAATTATGCTAAATCTTGAAACATTCATTTTATGCTTATTACAATCAAATAGTAAAACAATAGCTATAAAAAATTTATATCCATTTTTAAAAAGTATATTCTAAGATTTGAAATATGCATTAAATTTTAAAAATTAATATTCCCTCTAATGTAAATCTTAATATTTGAAGTCCATTTAAATAATAAATTCTAATCTTGCATAAAAAAATAATTTTATAGAATGTATATGTACTATTTCCTTTTCAGAGAGAATAGAGAAATGGACGCCATTAACTTTGGCTGTCTCCATCTAGGAGTAAGCATACTTTTGTCCAGACTATTTCATTTCTTGATTTTTTTTTGCTTTTTAATATCAATAAAATGCAATAAATCTGATTTATTAATTATATCAATTGCTTTGTTTAATTATTAGCTGTAAAAAGATTTATTTTTTTAATGTATCTAACTAAATAAATACACTTTTTAATTAATTAATTTCTTCCTTTTCGAAAACAGTCTATTCAATTACTTAGTAAATCATCTTCCCTAGACACAACCAAATAAAGTATTATATCTATCAGACTGTTTTTAACTTAATTTTTTAATAAATATATTATTTATTTTACTAATTAAAATTTTATGAAAATCATTTTATTCTATTTTATAGTGCTTTTAACAAAAACATCAATAAATTGTTTATATCTATTTTATTTTTCATTCATAACAATGCAATTTGTTTAAAGTCCGCCAAATTATTAAAAACAAATTTAGCTAAACATTCAAATTTTCATGAGCAATTTCAAATTAAAAATCTAGCTAACTAAAAAATCACCAAATAAATATTAAGTCAAAAATTATACAAAAGTGATAATTTGAAATATTATTTGATGAAAAGGAATTTGGTTTAAAATTAATTTAAATTTATAAATTTATTTAAATATTTTAATTATATTTTGAATAAAATAATTATAAAAATATATTATTTATATTATTATATATATTTTAAATTTTTTAATTATCATTTAAATATTTTGAAAATAAGTTTGATTTTTTGTAAAAATAAAATAATTCTTAATTTAATATTGACTAAATTCATTTAAAATAAATATATTTGAACAACTCAGTTTTTTCATTTAAATATAATGAATAATGTTGATTGATTGATATTTGGTTTTAAATAAATTTTTCAACAGTTAATGATTTACTTAATTATGTTTACTATTTTAAGAAAATGGAATAAAAATAAATCAATAAATTTTGAAAATGACATAAAAATATAATATAAGCTGAATTAATTAAGGATTGTAAAAATCTATTTATAAATAAGTATAATTAGTAATTTGGGTTTAAGTAATTTAACTAGAGTTTTTGTTGATATCAGTTTTATACATTAAAATTTTAGTTTTATGAAGTCATTCTAGCAATAGAATAATCTTATACTTTGTTTCTCTAGATTGTAAATAATATACATAATTAATTTTTAATAGTAATTAGTTCAATTATTACAAAAATAACATAGAAGAAGACTGAACTATTAATTAACATACTTCTTTTGTTTGTTAATATTATTGATAATTATTAATCACAAATATTCTTTGCTTTGTTTGCATTTAAAATAAGTTTTCAAAGAGATAGTTTGCTAAGGAAATATTTATAACTAAATAGCAACTCACTAAAATCAACATGGCATCATAACCAATTTAAGGAAACATATTTGAACCCAACTAAGATAATTAGAAGGGGTATTCTTATGATGACGATTACTATGAAGAATAAAATAATGTCTTTGACAATGCAAGCTAATCATCTGATAATGTAAGATGCACAATTTTATAAATAAGGCTGTTAGATTTTGCTTGGATTTTACATAGAAAATCTGCAAAGATAATTAATTTATTTTGTTTAAACTAGGAAGTTCAATATGACTATTATTATGGCGATAGCGATTAAGATGAAGCAGAGGTTTAAGAAATAAGTTAAATTCCTGCCCAAACCGAATTAAATCGTAAAACAACAACGCAGTTAGATGAAGAAGCAACAAGAATCAATAAAGCATTTAATAAAGACAAAAAAAAATATTTCAGGAACTACATAAAGATGCTAGTAAAATTATTTTGAATAAATAAATTATGAGAAATATTGCAAAAAAAAATTTAATCAGCTATAAATCTAATTATTTTAAGGCTTGTCTTATATTTCATTGCTTGCTACTTATATAATCAACAAGGAATAGATAGAATAATACTATCAAATATGTCAACAAAATTTATTGATAATCTTTATTTTATAAAATATACAGGTTTCAAAACAAAAAAAAAGATTTGAGTCAGATGAATTCTCCCTCGATTTAACATGTAGGCATTATTTATTAAGTTTATAAAATAAGTTAAAAAGCACTACTTTAAATAACTTCAAAGCAAACTTACTTAATGATAGTGAGAAAAATATTTAAAATTTCAATTTAGCAAAATAATTTGTTACTATTTAAATAAATATAAAGATGATTTTAGTAAAATGAGCATTATTGTTTATATTTATACAAATAGATATAACATCAAAGATTATAGCTATGGGGTTTCCTGCAGACAAATTGGAGAGTCTTTACAGAAATGATCGTAAAGAAGTGAAAAAGTATAGAATATTTCATTTACATTAATTTATTTTATAAAAGCAAAAAATACTGGCACTTTTATGAATTTATTAATGAATGATTATTTTTCCATATAAAAGCTAAAACTTTATACATCAAATTAACAGGCTTTGAAAGAGATAAATCCATTCAAATTCATTGAAAAAAATTTTTTTTTTCCTAAATACTTTGATAAAAAGTCGATAAAATATTGCAAAATTAAATTTTTGTGGTAATAACTATTTTAATAGAAAAGCAAATTATGTTCGGTAATCTAAGAAATTTTAAGAATTATTATAAAATTTGTTTTTTTATTCTTTTTAGTCCTACGTCTATTCATAATTTTTATCAAAATTTCCAATTTTGATTTTTTATCAATTTTACCCAGTTCTATTATTATTCTAGCCTTGTTACTCTTTCTAAATTAAGTACAACCATAAAAATTTTATGCCAAAATACTTGGTAGAAAAATATAATTTTAAAAGACTTTCTCTTAATATTTTTTATAATCCTAATATAACCAAACCAAGCATAATTATTTTAAATATAAATCTAATTTAACTAATGAATCAACTAATTATTTAGTGTATGCTGAATATAAAAGAATTAAGAGCATGATGATTGAATATATTTATTAGATTTTAATTAAAATTTTTTACTGATTAACTTCTTTATTTTTACTGATAAATTAAGAAAGAAAAATAGATAAATATTATTGTTACTTTTATTATTTAGATAAACCTCAAATTAAAAATTAAAAACATATTTTGAATATTTTTTTCAAGATTATGTTATGTTTACTTTTTTTATTTATTAATAATCTGCAAAAAATTAATAAATACAAGTAATTTTTTTAGATAACTCTATAAATTGAATAAATTTATCAATAAATAAGATAATTTAATTATTTTAATTAACAGCAATAATAATTATAATAAAGAGTAATATAGCTAATAATATAATATTTATTGATTAATTTTCTTTTTTTTAAAATCAGATAAGTTAGAAAGACTTTTAAATTACTATAATTAATTCATTTTTTTAAATTATTTTAGCTTCTTCAAAAAATAGCATCAAGATAGTTACAAGATATATAATTTATGTTCGGAAAGAGAATACAATAAAGAAGAATTTTAAAATTTTGCTCATTATCCTTTTGAAGATCATTAAGCACCAGAGTTTTAACTGATATACAACTTTTGCAAAGACCTGTTTAAATTTATTTATGAAGAGGGTAATGGCGAGAATATTGCTGCAGTTCATTGCAAAGCAGGAAAAGGTAGAACTGGAGTGATGATATGTTGTTTCTTAATGTTCTCAGGAGTTTATGAAAAAGCTATAGATTCTTTACGTTACTATGGCATAATGAGAACGAAAAATAAAAAGGTAAAAAACACCCAAAATTAATTTTAACAAAAAAAAACATTAATTATTTTAAATAAATTCATAAAAGGGAGTAACTATTCCAAGCTAAATAAGATATGTATAGTACTTCGAAAAAGCGCTATAATGCAGATATAACTTAGAAAATTTTCCTAGAATCAACCTCAAATTACTAAAGATAAAACTAGTCACAATTCCTAATTTTAATTTCTTTGGTGGTTGCGGTAAAAATTATTAAAAACTTAAAAACATTTATTTAATGATCTTAAAAAATATAATAGAGCCATTCTTTACAATTACTTACTTTTAAGATAATAAGGAAAAAACAGAATACAATTCGCTAGTAAATTATTTAATTTTTTTATATTTTCACTTAAAAATATTTTTTTTTAAACAAAGGACAACTTTAAATTATAAAAATACCATAAAGAGCCATATATAGAATTTGTTTTAGATGAATATGAAGTTAAAGGCGATGTTTAAATTCAATTCTTTAATAAATCTCTCCTTAAAAAGTGATTACTTTTCACATAAAATATAAATTAATTTTTAATTCATTTAAAAAGGAAAGAAAAAATGTTTTAATTTTGGTTTAACTGTGCTTTCTTTGAGCCAAATGGAGTACTAGTCCTTGATAAAAATTAGCTAGATTCTGCATGCAAGGTAGAAATAATATATTTTATTTTTTACACTCTCTTATATGATTATAAATTTTTTAGGATAAAAAGCACAAATAATTTAGCGAAGCATTCCATGTAGAAGTACACGCTTTAAGACCAAATTAATAATAGGAAATATAAATTATGAGTGAAGAAAACGGATATTTATAAGTAAATAAAAGAAAAAAAGAAGAATATGAAAGTAGAATGAAGATGAAACAGGGTGCTTCAACTTTCAATCAATAAAATATCCCATAAAATTTAGAAATTGATAAAATAAATATATTTTAGTTACAGAAGAACTAAAAAAATTGAAGTTTTCATTTGAAAATATTTCAAGAAAGTAATTTACTCAAAATAAATAGTAATAAAAGATAAGCTCTTAGAATTAAAATAAATCAAAAACTTAATTAGAAATTATGAACTTCTCCTTACCATCTTTAATTAGGGAGTTCATATAATGTAATAAATTTCCATTATTGAATTTTAAAACCATAAATAATAATCTTTGTTTATTAAAATTATTAAAAAAATAATTTCAAAGGAATTCAAATATAAGAAGCAAGCATTCATTAGATGATTATTCTTAATTGAATTTCGTTTATAAATGTTTAATTTACAAAAAATTATTTCAAATTTTGACAAAATTATAAAAAAATATATTTAAATTAAATTGAATTATATTTTTAGAAGATTTTAACATATTAAAATAAAAACTAGAGTTAAAATCTCTTTATATAAAATAAAAAATCATTTGTATATTTGTATTTAAAAAAAGCTGTTTTGTAACTTTTTTAAAATTAAATAAATTTTGTTGAATTAATCATTTTTATAGATAATTTAACATCATCAATTTTTCAATTAAAATTATTGTATTAAGTCCAATTAAAAAATGTCTTAATTAAAACTAAATGACTATATATTTCACATAAATGAGTTAATAACAAATTTTTAATTTGTAAATATCTATATGAGAAATTTCAGTAGAAGCTGAAATATTAAATATATAAATAAATATCTTTCTTGAGTTGTTATTAATAATGAGTATGCATATTTGATTCAATTATTTACTTAGCTAATTAAATTTCCTACAAATCTTATTTTTATTAATTTAATTAGATTTTAAATAGGATTTAATAAATATTTTATTAAATTTTAAAAATTCTTCTCAAGAAATCTCTTAATAATGTTAATAAAAAAATTTTTTTTTTAATTTTATGCTGAATTCAAAAATATAAAAATATACAGTACTTCTTAATCAAATATTTCTAACATTTAAATTTTTATTCTTACCATTTTTATGAGATTATTATGTTTTAAAGGTCATGAATATTTGTAAATCTTCAATCAATATTAACAAATTATATTTACATAAATACTATTAATTAATACTATTTAAATTTAAAAAATTTATTAAAATATAATCTATCTTAATTTTTTAAATATTAAGATTTAAACATAATATTTTTTGATTGATAATTGAATTAATGCACTACTTTTATAATATGTTTAAATTGCCTCACGCATGATTGCTTGTTGTAGTCCTTCTACATATTCATCATTATGAATCCATCTTAAAAATGAATGATCGCTTGCTATCATCAGCCATAGCTTAATCAATATTTTTTTTTAGGAATTTATAAAATATAAAAAACTGAATTATCTAATATAAAATTAATTTTAAATTGACAATTTTTATTTATTTTTATATAATCTTTTATTTTTTTATCAATAATAACTTATTTACTAACAGTAACCCTTCTTATTTAAAAGCAATTGGTTTATTTTTATTCAATTTGGAAGAGATATTTTTAATTGTTTAACAAACAAACCAATTATAATTACTTTATTAATAAATATTATTTGCGTTATTTAATTCTGGTGATTATTGATAATGTTATGTTATTAATCAATCAAATAAAGAGGATTACTAAATAATATTTCAATAGACTTAATTAAAAACAATAATAATTATCAATAAGATTTGAAGAGGACATCCATTTTTATAATAAATTTTTAAATTACCAAAATATTTGTCCTTAAAATGAACCAATTTACTATGTATGAGAATCCTCCTTCTGAAATAACTTGCAAAAGTTGGTGTATTTATTCTCTCAAAGAGTTGTAAGTAATATGTGGAGCTAATTAAAATATGTAATTACAAATTGCTTCGTTGACGAAAATGATGACTTATATCGTAGTTCTCCGATTTTGCAAGAAGCATCAGATAGATATTGATAATCTTTAGTTTGTGGTTAGCAGAAACGCATCAGCAATTTTAGGAACATCTTCTGGATTGAAGGTAGGCGATTAAATATCAATTCGAGACTTACTCTTTTGCTTAATGCTACCTAGTGGGAACGATGCAGCTCTATGCTTAGCTGAAAATATAGGATCTCTTCTATATAAAATGCAGAAAGGTATTGAAAAATAAGCTATAATTAATTACACTAAATATACTTTAGAGTTTTAATTTAATTCATTTTATTAAAAAAGATTCATTTTTTAGAATTTAAAAGGTAAGCTAGACTTACACTCAAATTTATTTAATTTATAATTAAGGTCTGGTTAAATCAGCTTATGTAATAAGAAATTTAAATATTCTGAATATATAAAATGAATCTACTGCAATTTAATCTTGCTCTGTAATGAGTTTTGTTAATGAAATGAATAATATGGCTTAAGAGTTAGGGTTGAATGAAACTAAATTTTCAAATCCTCATGGATTACATGATAAAGTAAATGTTTCTTCTGCGAAAGATATGGCAATTCTAACAAGAGAGATTATGAAGGAAGATAAATTTACTCTTTAGTTATGCCAAGCAAAAAGTTATTAATTTGAAGTTAAAAATTAAATTGACAATACATGTAGGTAAATTAATTTGGTTAATACAAATAAACTGCTAGAGAAGCCAGGTTATTTTGGAATGAAAACAGGTTATACAAATTCAGCTGGTGGCTGTTTGGCTTCATTGTTTAAATAATATGATAAAATTATGGCTTAAACAGTTGAGGTTATAATAGTTGTCCTAAAATCAGACTCTATGGAAAATAGGTTTGTTGATACTTAGTTATTAGTGGAATGGTATTTTAGATAACTGAATCATAAAATAAAAGAGAGATGCAAATTCTATGAATAATCATTTAAATAAATGGCATCCTTACCAAGTTGATAAAAATAACTTAAAAATATCAAATTTAAATATTTACATCAACGGATTTTTGTTCTAATGAATTTTTTTCTTTGAGGAAATAACTTTGAGATAAGACAAAAATAAGATAAATTAACAAATTAAAAATTGAAATAAAATTTAAATCAGTTGGCAAAAGACTAAAAATAAATATTTGCTAAAAAAAGTAGTAAATAAAATTCAAAATTTAGATAGATATTTATTACAAAATTATCAAAGAATGAAATTTAAAATTTTTGAACTTTAAAATACTTGTTTTAGTTTGATTTCATATTATTAAATTAAATGTGCTTCTTTTAATAAATACTTTCTTTATTTATATTTTAACATATCATTTAATTTGCGCCTGTTAGTTAAAACGAATGTGATATTATTTTTCTCAAACTAAATATTTAATATTTTTAATTTAAAAAAGAATGAAGATTTATCTGTAATCTCATAAAAATATTTTCAAGTATTTTCAACAAAATGTTAAATTCTATTACAAATATTTTAGATAGAATAAGCAGATTTAATTTTAAATTGGAAAATTCCTTAAAGTGCTGAGTGAAATAAAATTGTAACATTTATTTTTTATAATATTATTAGTAATTACTATAATCAATATATTTACCAAATAATGCTTTAATCTCAAGAAGCTTCTCTAGTAATTACATTATTCAAACACCTGAATTTAATTATAAAAAAAATATTTATATGTTACTTTAACTCTACTCATAAATTGAAATCCTTATATTAGTTTAATTATAAATCATTATAATAGATTTGCATCGTTTGGAAAAGAAAGCTTTGATTTAATTAAAGTTATTTGTCATTTCCTTTTGCTTACACTTTTAAAATTTAATAATGAGGGAATGGAAATCTTGTTTAAATCGAGAAAGTTACAAATTTCGCATAACTATTAATTTGATATAATTTTATGACATATAGGGTGAAAAGGTATTAATTAATCTGTATTAATAATTTGATTTATTCTTTACTGCTTAAAACCCTTTTTTCAATCAGTTGAAATTAATAGTTTTAATAGAAATACTTTTTAAAATAACTCATAAAATTGTTTTACTTATTTAATAAATTATATATAAATGTAAATATTAAAAATATTGTTCAATAAATTTTAACTATTATAAATGTATTTATTTTTGTTTAAAACTTTATCCTAAAAGACAAACTTAAAATTACAAAGGATAATTGTTTGTTTTTATTTTTAGATTATATTTTTGATGAAGTTAAATTACATTAAGAGGAGACGAATTGACTTAAAATTTATGAGCTAGGGAGATTTATCAATAAAATTAAAACAAGTTCGATTTTCGATTCAATCAAATTTAATTTTTTTTTTAGGCAAATTCAAAAAATTGGCAATTTGTTTTTCTAAATTTTAGAAATGTAAACTTACTTTTTTGTATTGAGTTTTGATTTTGTGTAACAAAAAATATTTAAAAAAGACTTAGTTTGATTATATAATAAAAAAACTTTAGAATTTTTTATCTCATACGACTAGCTAATTTGTTTGTTTGTTTATCTGTCTATCCGTCTGTTTGTTATTATTGATAAAAAAATAAGTATGCGTAATTTGTTTAAAAGGAATGTAGGGTTTATTATTTATAATATCTGAGTTCTAAAAATTAACCATAAAGGCATCTAATTTTTTTAGGAATCTCTAAATAAATTACTATCTGAAAAAGAAGTAGTAAAAAAAATAATTAAAAACAAATAAATAAATAGAAGGATTGATTTCACGCACTCTCTTTCTTTCTAATTAAATAATTAATCAATCAAAAAGCAATAGATTATAAAGGTATTTAATTGGATTGAATAGCAACCAAGTAAGCAAAGGCATGTCTTCTAGCGATATTAGGATATAAGAAGAAGAGAAATAAAACTATCAAGTTAGTTAGAGAGGTTATTCATCCGATTAAGCTGATAAGCTCTTCAAAAATCGAAAGAAGGCACAGTCAAGCGATGAGTCTGACTCTTGCTCTTCTGATGTATTTTATTAAAAAACAAGATTTATTTTGAGATAATAGCAGAAAAATATTGGTTATTTACAAAAAATTCAAACAATTCAATCTTGCTAAACAATCAATTATGAGCGAAATCTTATTGCCAATAATTTAAATTTAGGAAGAAATAGATGACTTTTATTATGGAGATAATTTCGATGAAATAAACGGTGGAGAGGGTGATTTTTTTGAAAGAAACTAGAATAATTAATAATTTCACCGCAAGACTACAAAAGAGTTGGATGCTGAGGCAGAAATGGTCAACAAAAAAGTAAACCAAACAGCTAAAGACAAGAATGAGAATGTGGACCAAAAGAAAAAGTTCTTTAAAAATTACATAAAACTTCTGGTAGACAATTTGATTTGATTTGATTGTTATGTTAATATAGTAGCTCATTCATTCATTTATTTAGCTCTATATACATTCTATATATAATTTTAAGTGATAAATTACTGTATCATAAATAAAAATTAGAAGCTAAAGTATTAAGTTTTAGATAAAATAAAATTAACCTGTTACAAAAAACATTTATCTGATAAAAAGTTAATGTCATTAATATTATTTAAAGGTATCAAAGCAGAAAAAGAGGTGGGAATCTAATGGTTTCTCGCTTGATTTAACATGTAATTTATATTTATAAACTTATTAACGCACATAAATTTGATAAGTAAAATTAAAGTTAGAAAAGGAGGGAGAACTTAAGCAAATAAATAAATAAATAAATAAAAGAAAATTTTAACAAGTTAATTAGCTTGCGTATCCCTCTTTTCCTTACTCATTCTGTTTTCCATAAATAATTTACTCGGAAATTTATGTTTTAAAAATAAAGCTTCAATATTGACAAGTTTAATTTCAAAATACTAAAATAGATATAACTCCGAGAATTATTGCAATGGGATTTCCTGCTGAAAATTATGAGCGATGGTATAGAAATTCTATGATTGACGTTTAAAAGTAATTTGAATAAAAATTCATTATATCAACAAAATTCAATCAAAATAAACTTTAATTGAATATTAAATTATTATTAGCTTACTCTTTCGAGGAGTAAACTAATTTTTATTTTGTCCAATAAATTATTAAATACTTTACTTCCCTTCTTGCAATATTTATTTATAGATTATCTTTTATTTAGATTAGTTAATTAATTAATTATTCTTTTTCTCTTTCAAATAAAATTACCTACTAAGTATTTAATAGATTGCAAAAAATTACAAAGAAGATATTTTTTTTTCTTTATTATTCAATATTTTTTATAGTAGAATAATATTTAAATATTCTAATTACATGTAAATTAATCCCTTTTATGTGTAATAAAAGCTTTTTCAATAAAATGCACACTAACCACTATAAAGTTTATAATCTTTGCTCTGAAAGAACATATGAGAAAACAAGATTTCCTGATGTATCATATTACCCTTTTGAGGATCATTAGGCTCCAGAATTTTCTTTAATATACCGCTTCTGCAAGGACTTGTTTTAGTATATTCATGCTGATAAAGAAGGCAAAAACACAGCAGGAGTCCATTGTAAAGCAGGTAAAGGTAGAACAGGAGTTATGATTTGTTGTTATCTAATGTATTCAGGTGAATATGAAAAAGCTATTGATGCTCTGCGCTACTATGGATTAATGAGAACAAATAACAAAAAGGTATTTTTAATAATTTATGTGAATTAAAATTTAGTTGTATATTAATTATTTAGGGAGTAACTATTCCAAGTTAAATAAGATATGTTCAATATTTTGAAAAAGCCTTACACAATAAGTGGAAATTGGATGATTTCCCATAGATATGTAAAAAGTTGATTAAGATAAGATTGATGACAATTCCTAACTTTAATTTGTTTGGAGGATGTGGTAATCTATTAACTACAAGAGGAATAATATTTATTTTATGATATTTTATAAAAAAACAGAACCATATTTCACAATTACTTACTCTAGATCAAAAAAAGAAAAAGTCGAATTCAATTCTCTGGTAAGCAAACTAACTCAAATCTTCTTTTAACGTTTTTTTAATTAATATTTTTTATATTTCTTGTTTAATTGCTTTAATAAAATATTATTTTAAAGGATAAATTCAAATTACAGAAGTATGAAAAAGAAGCTTATATAGAATATAATTTAGACGAATACGTAGTCTATGGGGATGTTCAAGTTTAATTTTATAATAGATCTTTATTCAAAAAGTAATTAATTGAATTAAATAAAATAATAACTTTGATTAATTATTTTATAGAAAGGAGAAAATGTTTTAATTTTGGTTCAATTGTGCCTTTTTTGAACCTAATGGGGTCATGGAAATCGAAAAGACTATGTTGGACACTGCATGCAAAGTATGTTTGAAATTAAATTGAGAATTTAAAGAACGTTTAACTTATTATATTTATTAAAATAGGATAAGAAAAATAAGAAATTTAGTAAAGAATTTCATGTTTAAGTTCATGCAATTCACCCATAGCAGGATACAAAAATCGAATTCTTGTAAACAAGCTATTTAGAATAAAACAGACACTTTATAGCTCAACTAAAATAATAGCAGTAATAAAAGAGTGCAATATAAAACTAATGATAAAGAAATAGTATAACCAAAATAGAATAAATTTTACATTAACGTAGTAGGCTCGTTAAACTATTTTACATACTTATTTCCTCATAAGATGTACATTCTATTTAAGTCGAGTTACTTTTATATTTTTCCTGGCTAAAAAAGCTATTCTTACAAAAAATAATAAACAAAAATATTTATTTCTGATGATATAAATTAGTAAATAAAATTGTCTTCTTTATTAAAATTAAATATTATTCTGTCAAATAAATGAATTAATTCTTCAAGAAAACATTGTTAAACATTATTGGAGGACGAGCTATTTAGAGAAATAATCAAGCTATATAAGATTATTGAATGCTAAAACTACAACAACAAGTGCATTTCAATTACTTTAATATATAATAAATATTTATATAATTTTAGAGTGGATTAATTACTATAACCCTAAGTATCTTACTTTTTTCTTTTAATTAGTAAAATGTATCATATGTAGTTATTTAGTTATATATTTTTATTATTATCATTATTAAATTAATATAATATAATTTATTTATTTATTTTTATTTTTTATCTTAGAAGTTCATTTAGTAGGAATAAATTATGTTTCAAAATTTTTTTTTTCATTATTTTCAACAGAATTTTTATTTAAACGAAATAAAATTTTCATGTGAGATTATTAATTTTAATTAATAATTTGGAATTATTTGAAAGATCATCATGAATTAGATCTTTAATATTTATAATTATAATTTTGAACAGAAAGCTATATCAATAATTTTTAGACAACTTATATAGAAATAAGAAGATATTAGGTATTTCAATATTGCTACTTTTATATTTTAGAAATTTGTATGAGAAAAACTTTTGTAGTGTTTAGATAAATTTATTTCGAAAACGCTTTAAATAGAATACAGTAGAATAATCAATGTAAATAAAAACTTTGCAAATAATTTGAAAAAAGGAATAAAGATAAATCATGAAAATTTAATATATTTATGATAGTTTTAGTTAAATGACAATTAACACGAATTCAATGCATCTTTGGCTGTATAGATTTATTTTCGCTGGCATGCGTGTCAATAAATAGGAAAAGAAATCCCATGAAAAAAAGAATTGCAAAATTTTATATTTTTTGTTTGTTTTTGTTAGTTTGCATAAATGCATGCATCTATATACTAGCTTGATAGATTATTTGATAGAGAGAGTGTGTGAGTTTATATATGTTTTTGTTAGTAATAAAAGAGAGAGAAGAAAAAGTGAATAATAAAATCAAGATATAAGAAGAGAAAAAATATTAATAATTAATCTTTGAATTATAAGAAGGTATATATTTAAAATAAGAAAAAGTAAATAGTAATTAGCAATTAGCAACCAATATTTTAAAGAAACAAAAAAAAAACAAAAACTAGGTATGAAAGAACGATTTTTAATCTTGTTTCTATTCATAGTAGTAACAGGGTTTATCTAGCAAGCACCACAAGGTATCAATAAATAGCTTCTTTAATGCCGCCAGAGTTGAATCGAAGTGGTCCTTCCTTGATAGAGTTCATTTAGCAAATCCAACTTTCAAAAGCCATCAAATAAAAGCATTTTTACTATCACGTTCTATTTTTTTTTTTCGATCTTTATTATAATTCAAAACTCAGAATGATCAAAAGCAAAACTTAAGGAAAATAGAATGAACTAATAGGACTATGCGATTTTCAACTCTGCTGGCAAAAAATTACAAATTGCTGATAAAGCACAACTATGCAAATTTATTTAAAATTTCTATCAATTATAATAGTTAGTGGATAGTAGTCTGGAAGTTCATCTAGCCAGTCCATGTGTGGCTAAGAAGAACAACCAGTATACTTAAAAGATTCGTGTAGAATTCTTTTTAGTGATCATAATGTATAGTGCAGTTAGGACATCGATCCAAGCAGGAGAAATGGAAATTATTTTCAGCAAGGGCGAATAGTAAATGGAAAAAATGGATAAGGGTGCAGTAGTGGCCACTATGTTATTAAGCAATAAGGCCAAACTCTAAATAGCAATGTTAATTCCATAATTTTGAACTAAAATTAGTTTCCGATTACACCTTATATATAGCAAATATCAAACAAATAGCATTGCTAAGAATTCTTCGAAAAAGCAGCGTATGTCTACTAGGATGATTGCGAAATCCTTCAATCAAATACAATACAAGTTAATTTGGATGATCATTTCTATATAAATTCCAATAAAGACTTTTCATTCATTGAGGTTATGAGTGATATACAGTTTCCATCACATTCTTCTTGCACTTCGTCAGCAGGTTGCTCTTCTTAAGCACAATCAAGTACTACGTCAGAATAAAGAAGAGATATTCCCTCTGATAAATCTAATACAAATTCTAATCTTTTATTTAATAGACTCTTTAGCTCATGGAATCAAGTCATTTCAGAAGAAATGTATGTTTTCAAATTTTCATTCAATAAACAAACAACACCTCTACTCTACATTCATTTATTTTACTTGCCCTTAGTAGCTAATTTAGCCTGATAGATTGGTAGGGAACATTTTCTAAATAAAACACATTTATATTTAATTTATTATTCTTACCAAAACTATTTCGCATATTAAATTAACTTCTTTTTATTACTTCAGCTTATGATGCGACATACTCACATATTCAAATAGATTGTTATACACATTATTTTTGACACTCCAATTTTTCCTTAACATTCCAAAAAATAAAACATAAATTTTTCTTTCATTTTTCCAAATATTTTTTGTCATGCTAATACAGAAAATGCAAAATATTTTTAAATAAAGCTCTTTTCCTATCAAAAATACAATAATTTGAGAAATAAATAACCTTTTAAATCATAGCATCTATTATTAAACATAAAATTACTCTTAAGGAATATTTAAATCTCTTTATACAAAAAGTAATAAATATTGCTAATAATAATAATCTGATTCTTTTCATAATAAAGCAACATATTTGAATTATGAATGAAGCCATTTTAAATAAATGAAGCACTTAAAAAGACAAAAAGTTTTATTTATTCTACATTTTTGTTTCTAGACAAACTAAAACTAAAAATACCTTAATAAGACTAATTTAAATAATTATAAAAGAAATGCATTTCTGATATGAACAAATTTTAATTAATTTTTTAAATAGTAGAGTTGTAAAGAGGGAAACTAAAGTTGATTTATTAATAAATTTATTTATTTATTTATTTATTTATTTTATCAATAAAAAAGTCACACATTAATTGAAACTTAAGGAGAAATAAAAATTTATAATCACAGCACAGATTATGTTCTGTATATCTTAGATATTATACAAGACTCTAACATTATAACAATCCCTGAGAAAAAATAAGATATTTATTAAAATAAAGAGCGTGTGATAAAATTTTATGTGATACCTGAGGAAACAGGAGCAAATCAAGAAATAAATTTATATTTTAAAGTAAGATTTTACGACAACAGGCTTATGAAACCAGTTTCTTAAAGAACTGTGATGTACACAATAACTCTTGCAAATGTAAAATTTTATTTTAAATTTTTAATAAATAAAATGATTAATAATAATAAATAAAGGTAAAACATAATGTTTTTGGGATAAAACCTATCAATTTAGGAAAAGTTATTTAAGGATAAATTTCTCAATAATAATTATCATTAATTAACCCTTTTCAACAAGATTTGATTATAAGTGAAATCCAGTTTCTAAAAAAGTACCTCTTTTTATCAGAAAGTTTAGATGAATTTCTTCAAAGTGAAAGAAATCACATTATTTAATCTAAAGATCTCTAAAATAAGTAAAAATGGATTCTAAAATAAAACGAAAATTCTCATATCATTGACATATTTGCCTATCAAAACTAGACTGGATCTTTTACAGATTATATTAAAATATTCTATGAGCATTCATAAATTGTTATTTAAATTCCAATACACTTTAGAATTATAACAAACTCAATTTCTTTCAAAAATAATTTTTTATTCATGGGTGTGATCTCTAGCCGCTAGGTAAATACATATTTTTAAATCAATCAATCAATAAAATATCATTAAATTCATTAAAAATATATCCATAAATCAGTAAAATAGGATAAATGTATGTTTATGCATATAAAAAAAAGGTTTTTCTAAAAATAATTAAATTTTTATGATTGTTTTTTTTTTTTGAAAATCAAATTCTTTAAATATGATTGTTAATCAATTTTAAAATAAAATTGTTTATAAATTTAAGGGATATAATAGTAGAAGTATTATCATTGAAAATAATAGTGGTGTTGCAGTAGAGATTTTAGATATCATAGTGCATTTTAAAAATAATTATAGCTGCTTATAGGCAGAAGCTGTGTTGGATTTTGATGAATAAAAGTAAAGATAAACCTCTAGTAGTTAAATCTATCCCTTCTTAGAATATTCTAAAGTAGGTTGTATATAATAAAATAAGAAACTAGTAATTAGGGCGTTTGAGTAAAACAAAAAAATAGGTGTTTTAAAAATATTTCCTAAATTTTAAGACTTAAATACTTAATAAAAAATTTTTGAAGGGCGCATTTAAATTGTGACAAATATTACTAATTTCGATATTGAATAGGAATTTAAGTTTTATCGTCATGAGTAGTTGATTAATTACACTTCTACTCAAACCAGTTTTAAAGTTGCAATAAAACCAGAAGATACAGTTAACTAATAAACTTATATTCCATCTACAAAAGTACCTTCTGAAAAAAGGGTTTTAGAAATAGTTAACACTTTTTCTTCTTAAATTAAATTAACTGGTTTAATTAAACCTCCAGTCACTAATGGCTTTGACTTTGACAAGAATATCCTTATTTCTGATTTCTAAAAAGTTAAAATTGATGTTGGAGAAAAGAAATCAATCTTTAATTTTTAATTGATAGGGAACACATAAAAAGTTGATACATACATTCTTTTAGAATTTAATCATAACTTCGTAATTCCAGTATTCTTTAAAATTTACAACATGCATCTTCTATGTTCAATAAACTCAATACCAGACTATTTTGACTGTACTGAACTAAGCTAACACGAATTAATTAAATTTGGCAATAAAGCAATAAATAAAACAGCTATTTAAGAATTTAGATTAAAAAATGATAATCCCGAAGTTGTCACTCTTTATGGAATATATAAATTACAATCTCCAATCAACATTATACTCAAAAAGCAAATTAACTATTAAGGTAAAACATTTAAATTTCTTTTATTTTTATAAATTGAAATGGGATACATTTTAAACTTAAATAAAATCTAAACAAAATGAATGAATGAATGAATGAATAAATAAATAAATAAATAAATAAATAAATAAATAAATAAATAAATAATAAATAAATAAATAAATAAATAAATAAATAAATAAATAAATAAATAAATAAATAAATAAATAAAGAATAAAAATTCAAATGTTTAAAATCTTTTTACTTTTAAAACTATTTAGGTTAAGTTTAGTAACAAACTTAAAACAGGGTGATTGTTGAAACAAATAAAAAGACTCCTTTAATGTATGTTGGTCCTTATGATGAAGCAATTTTTACTATAGAATTAAATACACAAAACATAGTTAAAAGCTACAACGATTTAATTCAGACTTAAACTAATTATGAATAATTTTCATTTTTAATGGAATATAACGTAGTTGATGGAGATACAGAACTGATTCCTCCAAATATTCATTTCAAACGTTTAATTAACGAATTGGATTAACCTTAAGTAGTCTATATTAAAAATACTTATGATGTAGCTCTGAAAGTAGTTGACTTCTAAGTAAGTGATCCTAGATTTTAAATTTTAAGCTACACCAGAACTATTCCAGCTAAGTCAACAAAATAACTACTTACTTTGGTCTTCAATAGAACATTCGGATATGTATTTGATTTAATTAAATATTAAAATAAATAAATTAATAGATAAAAATTTATTATTTTAGGGTTAAAATATAAAACCAACAAATGACGATAATTTCATCAGTATTGAAGACATGATTATGTGGAATGTTACCTAAAGTGTAAAGTTTTATAATAAAACATTTATCTTTTTTAAATATTTTTATATTTGCTATTTTAGATGCTTTAAAATGCTGAGAAAAACATTTTGAGTGCTGATGTTATAGTTAATTTTGATATTAAGAATATTTTTATCAGTGCAACTGCAGAAGTTTAATAGCTAAAATTAATTAATGAGTAAGTAATAGATTTCAATAACACAGAAACTAATTAGTTCTATACTAAATCTCTAACATTCTTTAATCCTTTAGATATTCCTGTTTCCTTCTAACTCTATTTAGCTCCTCAAAATATCTCAACACCTGAAAATTATATCAGCAAGTAAACCAATCAATTAATTAGTTAGTTATTTAATTAAATTTTTTATTAATTCTTTCAAAAAGACAAACGTAATTCTAGCAGGAAGTAGAGTTCCTCTTTGTGGTACCATAGGATAGTTTACAAAATAGCCCTATTATTAAGGAAGTTTATGATAATTTATCTATCTTTTTCACTAACAGAGGTGCTGAGCAACTAACAGAAATACAGCACCAAGATGTTGTCAAAATATTATCTAATGTAGCCTTATAATAAATAAATTATAACTAATTACAATATTTTATTTAAATAATAGAATCCAGACTTCGACAGATCATAAGAAAAAGATTTAATCCATTGCTCTGAGGTGATAAAATAATATTAAAAATACTTCGAAGAGCTTGAAGCCTAGGAATAACAATTCTAGAATAACAACTAAGGAGATAATAAGAGCAGTAGTAATAACAACAAAATCAGTTAAAGTGGAAATTATATCTGCAAAAAGGGTCTTGTTACACAAAAAATAAACAATTACTTGATCAAAATAGAATTCAACAAATAATTAGCAGATTTTTATAATGATCCTTAGAGGCACATTCAAAAGATTAAAAACACAATTATTCAAATTTAATCTTTGAAGCGAGAAGTTGTAGAAATTACAACAACTACACGCAATAGACCTTCTCTTTTCAACTATAACATAAAGACAGATAAAGGATTGTGGGAAAAAATTAAATACTTTTTAAGCTTTGGTATATCTTTTAATTAGAACTCTGCTGAAAATACTGTAGCTGAATGGTAATCATAGCTTCATAATTTCAATAATGAATGGTAATATTCATATAACAATGCACAAAAGAATAATGATGTATTAAGCTAATAATAATTCTTCTTAAGTAGCGAGGTGCTAAATAAAACACTGGTATTACAACCTAAACAAACTCTTGAGATCAATTCTTTGATTTATTTACCAAAATATGGATAAACTTAGAATAATTTGATAATAAAAAGTAACGCAAGTGGTATCGATATTATCCCTATTAGAGGCAGAAGTGGGGTTGGTTAAATTAAATTGACAGAAATTAAAAATATGTCTCCTTTACTTTTTTCTTAGCTTTAAAGCCAAAAAAATAAATCAGATGATGAAATTAAATATAGAGAATTCATTTAAGATAATATAAATAATGATGTTTTCCTGTATGCATTGACTTAAGAAGAGTTAGATGGAGCGCAAAAGCATAAGGTAGATAGTATGAAGAATTTTGTTATCAAAAATATAGGCTAGTATCCTATTAGTATTAAAAATATTTTTATTGAGAGTCAGCCATGTGCAGCATATGGGTTTTTTATATTGGGATGTAGTTGTTCCTTTAAACTTGAACCTTAATAAGAGAGAACAATAACTATTGGTTATAAAACTGACTATCCATATGATACCTTGGAGAAGAATATTTATTTCTACACTTAAACATACCATATCAAATTTAAATTAAGAGCTTAATTTTATCATAAGCCTACTTACAATCCTGAAGCTTCTCCTGGCACTTATACAATCATACATCCAATGGTAAATAAGAAGCTAGCTGATAACATCATAGAAATATTCAATGAAAATAATGAAAGTATCTTTGGTAATTAGGATATTTCAAATGAAAATAATGAAAAACTACTTAGCATTTTCTTAGAAAATATTGAAAAAGCAACAGTTGCAGCTCATAAAAGTTTCGAAATACGTGAAGATGTTTTGGAATAAGCCAAGCATTATCTGATAACTAATACCTAAATCAATCGTCATGAAATAGCAAGCAAAGTTAATGCAAATTATTATTTTAATTATTTTATAATTACCATAATTTTTATGACTTTGATATTTTTCTTCTACACCTTTATTTCGTTCTTATTCTAAGAAATTCTCAGCCTAAATAGTAAGAAGAATAAATATGAATTTTCTCAATCTTCTAAAGCATAAACAGCTAATTAATCTTAACAATCTCAGCAAAACAAAAATAATTAATCAAATTCAAGCAATTTAAAGATTAAAAAAAACTCAGGCTAACAGATAAATGTAGCTGATTAAGCCTAAGATTAAATTAGTTATGACATATCATAATTTATTAAATAAAATAAATTAGATCCTTCAATATTAAGCTATAAAGCAGAACTTTAAAAGATAAAAGAATTTTAAGAAAAGTAATAATTAGAAATTCGACTTTAAAAGCAAAAATAATTGCAACAAAGAAAAAATAAAGAAAGAACTCTTGAAGAATTAAAACAAAATTAGGTCTAATAATTTTATCAAAATTAAAAAGATAATTAAAAAGACTATTTTAACAATAATTCTGATAAGGAAGATGATGGATTAGAAGAAGATGAGGAAATCGACTGCATTAAGACTACAAACAAAAATAAACAAATTGATAATAAATCTAATTAACACTAATAAAATACAAATCTAACAAATAATTAAACTTAGAGATTTGAGAAAGAGGATTTGCAAAACGTAAAATCCAGGGATTAGTAATAACAACATATGATTTAACAGTAATTAAATGGATTACAACACTAGTAGGGGCTTTAATCATAGATATAATAGTAGGTTTAACAACAATAATAATATTAGGTTTAGGAATAGCAATAAAGCACAACTCAGACTACTCAAGAAGATTAGTAGATAAGCTCTTAACAACAAACTTCTTCATAGTAAAGTAAACCAAATATTTAGAAGAAGTAACAAAAAGACAAACACAAGAAAACAAAGAGGGAAAAAGAAAGGGAGAAAGTTGTGATTATCACCAGAGAGAACGAAAATAACTCAAAACCTCACTCATTAGATAATAATGAATCCTCATTGCAAAATGGCCAAAATAAATAAGAAAACGAAAACTCTGATGAGGAAGAATATGATGAAGATATTGCAGTGATAAGAAAAAACTCAAACAAGTCTTCTTCATCTGCTACTGCCACAAACGCTAGTATGAATAACTCTCATGCAAATTTTGAAACTAGAAAATCTTCTGGATCAAATCCAACTTCTTCTTAACAGAACTAGTCAAACAGAGTTAAAGACGAAAGCATTTAAAAAGAGATAGAAGAGTTGTATATGAGACAACAAAAAATTAAGTACGAGTAGAAGTCTCAATAATAATAGTAAAAACAATAACAATAGCTGTAGTAAAAGCAACAACAAAGTAAAGCTAACTAAAAATAATAGGTGCAATAAAGTAGATAGGGTTTTACTGACAATAAAGTAGGTAAAATGTCAAATTACTAATCTGAGTAACAATCTTAATAATAGTAAGTCATGCAAGCTACATAGAAGATTGCTGATGATTTAATGAATTAATGGGGTGGATAGAATTAAGCTGCACAAAAGAGAAAAAAATCAGAAAATTTCATTGTTGATGATTTCCATTAAGCGAATGAAATTGGCCTTCAAAACTCTAATCAAGCTAATTCCTATCAATTCGGATAACAGTAGCAAATGCAAAAAAAGGCATTCCTTGTCCATGACCATATTAGTAGCTGTGGAGAGGATGATGATAACAATCCTGCTTCTTCTAGTAATATTCGCAAGAAGAAAATTTCTAAGGCAAGCTAAGATATTATAACTTAATTCCCTTAAATTCAATAACTTGTTGACTAAAGCAACAAAAGCTAGTACTAATAATATTAGCAGTAGACAACTCCTAGTAAGCCAGCAAAGATGCAAGATGATAAATAACAACTAAATTAGTTTTCTGCAATTTAGTAAAAGAAAGATGATCAATTCAATAATTAAAATGACTTTTAAGAACTAGATTATATGGATAACCCTTTGCTTATGACATTAACTGCTAGTTACAATAGTAGCAGTAGCATCAACCATACATTTAATATCCTTTAGAATAACTAAAAGTTATTGTAATAATAAAATGTTGATTAAACTGCTAAAAATATGGAAGACCATAACCCTTCTGGTGTTGCTGAGAAGAAAGAATAATAAACTCATGAAGATGAAGAGGAATTTGATGAAAACCAAAGTAAATCAAATGATTTAAATAACAAGAGTAGTGAGAGTAGTCAACTTTCTAGTGGTGATAGTTTATCTGAGGAAGATATCGATAATTTCAAGAGATCGAATGAACACATTAAGGCTATTGGCTTTACTCGCCTAGGTTAATTACAAGGTAGCTTCTTAGGAAACGATGACGATAACAACAGTACTTATAGTAATAACAATAACTCCTTGAAGAATTCTTAGAATTTCACAAAAGATACAAATGTGCAAGTTAATTAATTATAGAGCTAAAACAGTATCACCAGCTAAGGCAACCTAAATACTCAGATAAAAGACCCATTCAATAGTAGCACTGCAAATACTTACATCCCCAACTAAATCTAAACTACTTAGAATTCAAATCAAAATGAACCTTATAGAAACATTTTCAATTATTAATCAGAAAGCAGTGACGATGATAATTCTTAACCCATTCAAAGAAGATACTATAACGTTTTCTCTTAGCCTACATTAATTTACCCCATTAATTTACTTAGTTAAAATAATGCTGTAGATATGTCAAGTTCAGTTGATCCAGTTGGTGTAGAAAGTAGCTTTAGCTCAGACACACAATAACTTAATTTAGGAGGAGTGCTAACTCACAATAGAGCAAATTCTAGCTAATTCAGCCCTAGCCAATCTTAGAATTTCTAACAAACTATTGGTACTTCAATATTAAATAACCCTCCTAACAATAGAAACTTTGTCCCTTATGCTAGTAATAGTACAAATTTATCAGGTTCATAAACATTAATTGAATCAAACAATATCCATCTCTTTAATAATCCTGGTACAAGTTTTAATCCCAACTCTTCTTAAAACCTTTACTTAAGTAATTAGAAATACTCTAATCCTCCACAATAATAATCAGCTTCAAGCACAGTGCCTAACAAAGATTCTGAGTCTGAATTCTTTTCAGATGAGTAGCCATTATGTAATCCTACTTTATTATCAACAAACTAATCTTAAGAAAAAAATGAAATTACAGTTTCTAATCGCTAGCAAAACACCCAATAGCAAAGAAGTAATACATCATTTAATTTCCCTCATATGGCTAACTCACGTAATCCCTACCCAACTAGTGGAAATATCAGTAAAAAAATGCCTTTGAAGTCTTCAGCTAATGAACTGGATGAAGGAAATCCTTCTGTAATTTAATAGTAGCCATTCAACTTCTAAAAACAATTCCCATAGTAAGGATTTGTGAATACTACTAATACTAAGCCTATTTTATCAAATGCAGCAATTAAATTCCCAACCATTGGTCCTCCTCCTGGAATGTGCATGGTCCCAGATAATTTGAAGGGTAGCAAAACTCTAAATTCAAACCAGCCTGAATAATTTAAGACTACAGAGCTCAAATTCGATCTCTCAGCTCCTCCTGGACTGATAGGATAACCACCTAAAAATAATCAGTGATAAAGAGTATTATCATTAGTTAATTTAAATAAATTAACTCATTTAATTGCAACATTCTATTAAATTTATAATTACCTTCACCAACAATAAATAAAAAGACATACATAATGAATATTAATAAGGCTAATCAAATAAATAAAAGCAAGCTTTAAATCAATACATGAACTAATAAAAGGAAAGTTGAATGTTTAAAGAATGTGATGAAATAAAAAAGGTAAAAAATACTCGAATGACCTTTATTTATGCCAATTATGGGCTATTTCATATAATTTATCTAATATTAATATATAAATAAACAAAAAATAAAAAATATATATATATATATATATCTATATAGCTCCAAATATTATAATTGATCAATAGATAAATTCAAACTAAAATTTAATTATTTTTTTTGATTAACTCCAAAACAATTTTTCTTAATCTTTAATTCTAAACTTTTATTTATTTCAATTACCTTCATTTAGATTTAAAAAGTTGAATATAATTTAACTTTCTAAACTTTCATTAAAAATTTAAAAATTTGAATTAAAAGTTTAATTATAAAAATAAAAAAATATCAAATAAATGTAAATTACTTTAAGGCAATATCAATAAATTATTTTTTTTAATTCTATTCACCATCAAAACAAATTATCTACATTTTTAAATCTAAAATTTAATATAATAATTATATTTACTTTTAACAAACTTATTGAAAAATTAAAATATAAAATAAAAATTTTACTTGCGAAAGGTGTTTTCAAATCAAGTATTAAGAATTTTATTTAACATTTTTAAAAATATCAATTATAAATAATTAAAATATATTTCATTAAATTCTAAAATTGAATTAATATCAATCAAAATAAATGTTTTTTTTCAACATTTATTTATAAATTTAAGTATGAAATAGAAATTAAAATTAGTAAAGTTGCTTTAAATCTAATTTTATTGAATAATTTTGACATAAGTCTTTTATTTTATCATTTTATTTATTTAATTAAAATAATAGAAGTTGCAATTAAAATAAAAAGAAACTATTTTGCATTATAAAAACAAAAAACAAGTTATTTTTAGATAAAATATTATTTAGAAACTTCTTTGTTTGTTTTAAAATTTTTAATTTAAATTTTTTTTTCAAAATAATTAAAAATAAATTTCATGATTCATTAATGTTTTTTAAAAATGGAAGAAACAATTCTATTATTGACATCATTTTTTTAACAGTTCAGTTAATTCTTAAAAAAGAATTTTTTTATATATTCTTCCTGTAACTGTTAAGATTGCATTATGCAAAATTACTTTTCAAAATAATTAAGCCTCTCTTTTATTTCTATTTATTTATTTTAAAATATTTGTTATTCCCTTTTAAATAATAATAATTTACTTTGATAATCATCTTAGAATTTATTGCTCGCAAAGTCAAGATTGAGTACATTTTCTGTTAGACCTACAAATTAAATAGCAGCTAATTAATCTTTCGTTAATAGAATTGAGATTGCTTTTTTTAAAAAAATGATGTCTTTGTATAACTCATATATGTTTAAATTTTTATTCACTTCTTATCCAACATTCATTAAAATTTTTAGATCAAATCCTTTAGACTTAAGAAATTCTTTAGATCTATATAATCTTTTTTGAAAATCAAATTGAAAAAAGAAGTTAATATATTTTAATTATAAAATTAATTTACTAAAATTTAAATAAAAGATTTTGGATCATTTATTTAGTTGGTTTATTTTTAATGGCTTTTAACTTTTAAGAAATAACTTAACTTATTGTGTCATTATTTTAATTTTTTATTTATTCATTTCTTTTTTCTATGCTTAATCTGTTAAAAGCAGATTTTCCTTAATTAAATAATGTTTTTTTAGAATTTATTTGGATTTGACTATTCTCTATTGATTGATTTTTGTTTATACTCATAAAACTTTCTTAGTTGCTCCTGTTTTAATTCTTTGAAAACATGCAACTTTCATCTTTTAGTTCAAAATCTTCAATCAGTCTATTACTCTATTTGGCAAAGGGCGAAACATCATTACAATTATTGTTGCTATTATTATTTTAACTGTTCTAATTAGAAAATTTACTTTTTTCTGTAGAATCTCTAAATTTAGCTGGGAATGTAGGAACCAATATTTCACTTTTATTCTAATATTCTGAGATGTCGTTAATTGATTGCTTTAAATTTAATATTTATTATGAAATATCTTCCTTTTTTTCAATTAGATTATTATGCTCAAGTATTTTTTCGTATTTATCTTAGTAGATATTTTGTAGTAAAAGCATAAAGAAGTCTTATCTAATAAGTTTTTGTGAATAAAACCTACCAATAAATCTTGCAATCATAACTAATGCAGCAACTCCATTTATTAATGCCAGAATTTCTGTAAATGTAGGATACTAAATTTAGAATTACTATACAATTTCATCCATAAGTATCATCGCTTAACTGTATGGGCCAAATCCCGAGTTTAAACAATATTATCTGTCAAAACTTTAGCTCATTTAATTATATTGAATAGGTGATTAAAAATTAAGCTCATTCTGAAATAATAAACCTAAATTAACTTTTGTTTGCTATATTTATGTATTCATAGTATTGATAGTTAATTAATTAGATAATAAATAGCTATATATACTTCTATAATTAGTTTGAATCTATTTAGAAGTAGTGTTGTATTGTTATGTTTTAAGTTTTAGATAATAATAAGAACCTAAATTATTAATAGCATTATCAATTTCAGTTTAAGAAGCACAGTTGTCTGGTTTTGTTGTTTTTACAGAATCTAAATCTAAACATCCATACATATTTATGTAAATTGCAGAATATATTTAATTGTCATTACTGTTATCAAGTAAAAAAGTGTAATTGCTTACTTTGGAAAAGTCTATGCAATTAAATCCTTTTAGTGAAGGGTCAGTACATTTAACAACATCAAGATCGATGGTTTAGTAAATGTTATTTTTCAAGTCTTAGTAATATAATTAAGGATAATACAAGACATAGGTTTTATTCTATGAGGCCTGATATTCATCTATCGTCATAGACAAATTGTAAAAGTATTAAAACCCTATAAGATCTTAGCTTAAAGGTACTTCTTTCCTATCGCTAGTGATGAAACTCTATGATCTAAATTTTGGATCAATTAAATTACAGAAATACTAATTAAATATGTAAAATATATAAAAGAGAACTATAGCAACAGTAATCACAGATAAGAACAAACCTAAAAAAGTTCCTCTTCTATATCTTCCTTCTCCCATATTAAATTAAAATTCAGAAGAAAATAAATCTAATTTCAGAATACTCATTATTTTTATTATTTCTACCCTACTCTTTTATCTTTACTTCTAGTTTTTGATTCTACTATGTCACTAAATCTCCTTTAATTAATTTAGAATAAAATTATTGATATGATTGTTTAACACTATTTATAATGTAAATTTTATTTTTTACCATAAAAAAAAGAAGTAAATTAGTAAAAATAACTCTTAAAGAAATTATGATAGTGGCTTATTAGAAAATGATAAAAAAAATCACAAATTAATAACTAGATTTAATATGAATAACTCAAAATAAATATAAATAATTAATTATTATGAAAAAATAAAATATATAAATGTGTTTCATTTTAAAATGATCACTATTTTGATATTTGATAACACTAGAACAAATTTTTGATAATATGAAAGTTAAATTCTTAAAGCATAAAATGATTATAATAGTAAAAATGTGTGAATTTTAAGTTTAGGTGTAAATGCAGATTTACTTCCTTCTTCAAATTAATATATAAATAAATCCAAATATTTTTTTTGATATTTTTTAATTTAATATAAATAATTAGAAGTTTCTTTTTATTGAATACATGACTAACTTATTCTGCCTTCTTAAAAAATGAAAACTCAAATATAATTATTAAAAAATTAAAAAATATTTATGTATTTAAATGATTTAGAGAGAATTGTTAGGTAAAAGCATTTTACTAATAAAAAAATTTATTTTTTTTTACTTTAATTGTTAACATAATATTATGAATGTATACATAAAATTATTATATGAAATATTTTAACCTCAATATTTTACTAATGAAGAAATTATTCTTTAATCTAGACTATCTTGTTGTTATATTTCTTATTACTGTTTTTTTAAAAATTTTTTTAGATATTATTCTTGCAATAATTAGGAATTTTAGATGCAAATCTGCTTCTCAAAATAATTTAACCTTATATTATTTAATTCTTAAAAAAAAATAGAATGAATGATTTTGTAGCTTTATTTTTAATTAAACTTACATTGATCGTTCATATTAGATATTTTATCTAAACTTTAAAATTATTCAGTGAGAGTTATAAATTATATAGCTGCTAATTGCTCTTCACTTAATATCATCATAATAGCCTTTTTCAAAAAAATAATGTCTTTGTATAAATCATAAATGTCTAAGCTTTTATTGACCTCTTTCTAAATGTACTCTATAAAATCACAATCTATCCCTCTCTACTGATAAAATATTTTTGATTTAAATTACCTTTTTTTATTTAAAAAAATGATTAAATTAATAAATTTGTGATATTGTTGATAGTTTACTTGAATTTAAAAATGGTTTTTTTAATGGTTTATTTAAAACTATTGTCTTAAATATTTTAGAGATTTTAAAAGGTAGATTCTTTCAACATCTCTTTTTTTTATCCTTAAGTTGGACTTTATTAGATAGATTCTCTATTAATTGTATTAATAGATTATTTTGTATGAAATTAGGGCCTATTTTAGAAAGCATTGGTACCTTTCTACTAATTATTATTTTTTGGGCTTGATCTCATTTGTTAACTGTAAAACATATTTTTTAATTTAATTTTATTTTAATAATTAGATAGTTAATTTTTTTATTTATTATCAAAGCAATTATCATTAATTTAGCTATTTTTGATTATATCTTGATCATATTATTCCTTTTACTAACTTCTTTCAGTTTGAACAAAAATACATTTTTTGTTTATAAATTCTGCTTTTGGAGAGTTTATTTCACTATTTAACAAATGAATATTATCAAAACTACTCTAATTTTTTAATTTTAAATTTAATTTCTAGCTATCTATTTTTTCGTTCTCTTCATTGAATTAATTATTAAATTTTAAGCGAAATTAACTATTGTTATTGTTATTATTTATAGAAAGAGACTAGCTTTTTTCTACATAATCTCTAAGTTTCGTAGGAAAATCAGGCACAATAATGTCTTTTTTAATAGTATTTTCTTAGGCTTCATCTACATCTTCTTCTTTTTCAGTTTTTTCTGTAATAAAACATGAATTATTTTCCAATTTTTTAATAAGATTATTATGCATTATGACTTTTCTATAGTTATCTTAATAAAGATTTTGAAACATTAGCATAAAGAAATCTTATTTTATTAACTTTTAACTGTAAAATTTACCCACAATTCTAAATACAACTATTAATCCAGCAAGAGCATTTATAAGTGCTAAAATTTCTGTAATTGTTGGATATTAAATTTGAAATTCTTAAACAATTTCATCCATTAGTATTATTTATTTACTATATGGGCCTACTCCTGTGGCTAATGCTTTAACTCTACCAAAACTTTAAGTTGCTAGAGTATATTAAATAGGAGAAGAGTAACTTTATCTCTACTAAAAAAGAAGACCTGAGTCTACATTCGTCTCTTATTTTTACGCGCTAATAGAATTAAGTACAAATAATTCAGAGCCTAAATAATTATATATATTTCTGTAATTAGTTTGCATTGTTTTTGAATTTGTATTGTATTACTAAGATTTAAGTTTCAGCTAAAAATATGCTTCACCTCCATCTACAATACTATCAATATCAGATTGGGCTGGGCAGTTATTAGGTACAGTTGTTTTTGTCTAGTCTTGGTCATTGCAGCCATACATACTAATGAAAATAGAAGAATAAACTTGATTATTATTACTATTATCAAGCAAAAAAGTATAATTCATTACACTAGAAAAATCAATACATATAAAACCTTCTAATTAAGGTGAAGTGCATTAAAATGTATTGAGATTAGTAGTAATGAAAATATTATTTTTAGGGTCTTAATAATAAAATTAAACAATATAAATTAAATATGTCTGATTTAAAGATTGTTAATATTAATCTAAGCTCATTGAGAAATTATACATAAACTAAAACCCAACTAAATCATTATCAAAGGGTACTTATATCTTATCACTTTTAATAAAGCTTTAAGATTAAAACTTTGGGTTCATTTAGTTGCTAAAATTGAGATAAAATAAGTAAATCGCATAAAAAAGTATCATACTAACAGCTAAAAATGTCAAGATTAATCCTAAAAAAGTGCCTCTTTTATTATGTTTGGACCCTACATTAAAATAAAACTCCGAAGAAAATAAATCTAAACCTTAAATATTCATAGTTTTTTTAATAGTGATAAATGCGCAGCTAGCGATACTACTAGAGATTTAATTTGCTTTTTGATTATTTTTTATTTACTTTTTGCTTATATTTTTTATTTATTTTTATGTACTATTAAATAAATTATTCTTAACCAAGACTAATAAACTAAAATTTGTTATTGATATAAACCTAAAAATAGATTTATAAATTTTATTTCTTTATTTAATTTAATGTATAATTATGATTAGCTTGAATATAAGTGAAAAAATATAGTGTTAAAATTCCTCCCCAACTAACTGTTTTTTAAAGTAGGGAAAAAAACTATTTGAGCAAAAATACAAAAATTAGAAAAATGAAAATGAAAAGTCGTTAAAAAATTATTTTTATTATTAGAATTTTCCTTTTTTATAGTTTAAACTAGAAAGTAATTAGCACTAACAATTCGTCTTGGTTATTTATTTAATTTTCATTTTTATCAAATGTTATTTTCAAGAAAGTATACTTATTTACTATTATTAGAAACTAACAAAAAAATTCTTCCAAAAATTTTTAAATTTTTTAATAGTGATAAATGCGCAGCTAGCTATACTACTATAGATTTTTATTTACTTTTTGCTTATATCTTTTATTTATTTTTAGGTACTATTAAATAAACTATTCTTAACCAAGGCTAATAAAACTAAAATTTAGTTATTGAGATAAACCTAAAAATAGATTTATAAATTTTATTTCTTTATTTAATTTAATGTATAATTATGATTAGCTTGAATATAAGTGAAAAAATATAGTGTTAAAATTCCTCCCCAACTAACTGCTTTTTAAAGTATGGAAAAAAACTATTTGAGCAAAAATACAAAAATTAGAAAAATGAAAATGAAAAGTCGTTAAAAAATTATTTTTATTATTAGAATTTTCCTTTTTTATAGTTTAAACTAGAAAGTAATTAGCACTAACAATTCATCTTGGTTATTTATTTAATTTTCATTTTTATCAAATGTTATTTTCAAGAAAGTATACTTATTTACTATTATTAGAAACTAACAAAAATTCTTCCAAAAATGTTTAATAGCAAGAGTAATAATTAAATTAATTTCTCAAGAAAAATGTTTAAAATTTCTTAAGAAAGTACCGTTTTATTAATTATTACATAGTATGCAATAAAATAATTTTAATATTTTTATTTACTAAACTTAATCATCACAAAATTTTTTAATTTTAAGATGATAAACTATTTTATTTTGGATTTTTTATAAAATATAAAATGAGTTTCTTTAAAGAAAAATATAGCGTAATTAAACTAATTTAAGTTTGCTTAATAATACCAAAATATTGCAATTTATTTTTAAATAATGACAAGCTTGAGCCAAAAAGCTGTAACCCAGTGTTAATATTTACCTATAAATCAAAGTATATAATAGTAATTTAAATTGGTGAAATTTGTTTTAAAATCTAATTTATTTTATAATTTTTTATTAAAATAATAGAATCCTTTCGTTACTCGAATAAAATATAATTTATAGGTTTAGATTTATTTTATTAAAATAATAGAAGTTGCAATTAAAATGCAAGCAAATTATTATGAATATTATTATATTTTAGAAATAAATTACAAGTTATTTTTAAATAAAATATTGTTAAATAATTTCTTTAATTGTTTAATAATTTTTATTAAACTTTTATAAAAAATAAATCACAATAACATTCACTAATTTTTTTTAAAAATAGAAGAAATAATTCTATTATTAATTTCATTTTATTAACTGTTCAGCTATTATTTAAAGAAGAATTTTTTTATATATTCTTCCTGTAACTGTTAAGATTGCATTATGCAAAATTACTTTTCAAAATAGTTAAGCTTCTCTTTTATTTCTATTTATTTATTTAAAAATTTTTGTTATTTTCTTTAAAATAAAATAATTTACTTTAATAATTATCTTAAAATTTATTGCTCACAAAGTCAATATTCATTACATTTTCTGTGAGACCTACAAATTAAATAGCAGCTAATTAATCTTTCGTTAATAAAATTGATATTGCTTTTTTTAAAAAAATGATCTCTTTGTATAATTAAAATATGTTTAAATTTTTATTGACCTCTTATCCAACGTTCATTAAAATTTTTAGATCAAGTCCTTTAGATTTAAGAAAATCTTTAGATCTAAATAATCTTTTTTGAAAATTAAATTAAAAAAAAAAATTAATTTATTTTAATAATAAAATTGTAATTTACTAAAATTTAAATAAAAGATTTTGGATCATTTATTTAGTTGGTTTATTTTGAATGACTTTTAACTTTTAAGAAACAGCTAAACTTAAAGTGTCATTTTTTTAGTTTTGTATCTATATATTTCGGGTTTCAGTGCTTAATCCGTTAAAAGCAGATTTTCCTTAATTAAATGATGTCTTTTTAGAAGTTGTTTGGATCTGGCTATTAGTCATTTTTATTTGATTTTTGTTTATACTTATAAAACTTTTTTAAGTGCTAATGTTTTATTTCTTTGAAAACATGTAACTTTCATCTTTTAGGTCAAAATCTTCAGTCAGTCTATTACTCTATTTAGCAAAGGGCGAAGTATCATTACAATAATTATTGCTATTATTATTTTAATTTTTCTAAAAAGAAAATAGATTTTTTTCTGGAGTATCTCTAAATTTAGCTGGGAATGTAGGAACCAACATTTCACTTTTATTCTAATATTCTTCTGAGATATCGTCTGTTGATTATTTTAAATTTTATATTTATTATGAAATATCTTTTATTTTATCAATTAGATTATTATGCTCAAGTATTTTTTCGTATTTATCCTAATAAATGTTTTATAGCAAAAGCATAAAGAAGTCTTATCTAATAAGCTTTTGTGAATGAAATCTACCAATAAATCTTGCAATCACAACTAATACAGCAACTCCATTTATTAGTGCCAGAATTTCTGTAATTGTAGGATACTAAATTTAGAATTACTATACAATTTCATCCATAAGTATCATTGTTTAACTGTATGGACCAAATCCTTACTTTAAAGAAATTTATCTATCAAGACTTTAGCTTATTTAACTATATTATATTGGAGATTAAAAATTTACTTCATTCTGAAATAATAAACCTAAATTAACTTTTGTTTGCTATATTTAGGTATTCATAGTTATGATATTAAATTAACTAGATACTAGATAATTATATATACTTCTATAATTAGTTTGAATCTATTTAGAAGTAGTGTTGTATTATTATGTTTTAAGTTTTAGGTAATAATAAGAACCTAAATTATTAATAGCATTATCAATTTCAGTTTAAGAAGCACAGTTGTCTGGAATAGTTGTTTTTACAACATCTAAATCAAAACATCCATACATATTTATGTAAATTCCAGAATATATTTAATTGTTATTACTGTTATCAAGTAAAAAAGTGTAATTGCTTACTTTAGAAAAATCTATGCAGTTAAATCCTTTTAGTGAAGGGTCAGTACATTTAACAACATCAAGATCGATGGTTTAGTAAATGTTATTTAACAAGTCTTAGTAATAAAGTTAAGGATAATATAAGACATAGGTTTTATTCTATGAGGCCTGATATTCATCTATAGTCATAGACAAATTGTAAAAATACTAAAACCCAATAAGGTCTTAGCTTAAAGGTACTTCTTTCTTATCACTTGTGATGAAACTCTAAGATCTAAATTTTGGATCAATCAAATTACTAAAATACTAATTAAATATGTAAAATATATAAAAGAGAACTATAGCAACAGTAATCACAGATAAAAATAAACCTAAAAAAGTTCCTCTTTTATATTTTCCTTCTCCCATGTTAAAGTTAAATTCAGAAGAATATAAATCGAATTTCAAAATACTCATTACTTTTATTATATCTACCCTTCTCTTTTATCTTTACTTCTAGTTTTTAATTATTTTTTTCTTCTACTATCTGATTAAATATCCTGTTATTAATTTACAATCAAATTAATGATAATTGCTTAACACTTTTTTATAATATAAATTTTATTTAATTTAAAATCAAAAATGAAGTAATTTAGTAAAAACATTTCTCAAAGAAATTATGATAGTGAATTAATATAAAATAGAAATAAAATCACAAAATAACTAGATTTCTTATCAATGACTCAAAATAAATATATAATTAATTATTATGTAAAACTAAAATAAAAAAATGTTTTTCCTTTTAAAATGATCACTAATTTTTTATATAGCTGTTCCTGCATTTGAAATATCACAGATCATGATATCATGATTTGTGATATTTCATATAAATTTTATATTACTAATGTATTTTTTTTTTTTCTAAATCTTAATTATTTTCTTTTTATTTGATTTCTTATATAAAAATTTTTAAAAAAGGCTAAAATTAATTAAAAATTTAATAGAAAAATCATAAATATTGATATAAATTAAAATAAAAAATATTATTAATTAAATTCTATTATAAAATTATTTATTTTAAAATAATTAATATTCAAACGCATCAGCAATTGAAAAATATAGTGATCTCAATTAACTAAATTTTTGAATGGCGTTTGGCTCTACCTAGCTAACATTTTCTGCCAATCTTAAGAATTGAAAACTCAAATAAAATTATTTTAAAAATTAAAAAATATTTATTTATCTAAAAATATAAATTAATAAAATAATTTAGTGTGAAATATTAAGTATCAACATTTTACGAATAAAAAAAATATATTTTTGTTTGCTTTAATCATTAACACATTATTATGGATTGATACATAAAATTATTTTGTGAAATATATTTAGCATCAATATTTTACTAATGAAGAAAATATTCTTTAGTCTATAACATCTTTCTGCTATTTTTCTTATTACTGCTTTATGAAAAATTTTTAAAAATATTCCTCTTACAATATTTAGGAATTTTATATGCAAATCTGCTTCTCAAAATAATTTAACCTAATATTATTTATTTCTTAAAAAAAAATAGAATAATTTTGTAGCTTTATTTTTAATTTATAAAAATAACTTACATTTGTCGTTTATATTAGATATTTTATCTAAACTTTAAAATTATTCTGTGAGAGTTATAAATTATATAGCTGCTAATTGCTCTTTGCTTAGTATCATCATAATAGCCTTTTTCAAAAAAATAATGTCTTTGTATAAATCATAAATGTCTAAACTTTTATTGACCTCTTACTAAATGTACTTTATAAAATCACAATCTATCCCTCTCTCCTGAAAAAATTTTATTGATTTAAATTTCCTTTTTTTATTTAATAAAATGATTAAATTAATAAATTTGTGAAATTTTGATTATTTACTTGAATTTAAAAATGGTATTTTTAATGATTTATTTAAAACTATTGCTTTAAATCTTTTTGAAATTTTAATAGGCAGATTCCTTCAATATCTCTTTTTTTTATGCTTAAGATGAATCTTATTAGATAGACTCTCTATTATTAATATTAATAGGTTATCTATTAAATTATGACCTATTTTAGAAAACATTCACACTCTTCTACTAATTCTATATTTTAGGGATTTGTTAGCAGTTATACAAATTTTTTAATTTCATTTTATTTTAATAATTAGATAGTTATATAATTATGTTATTTACTATCAAAGTAATTATCGCTGATTTAGCTTTTTTTAATTATATCTTCCTCATCTTATTATTTTTACTAATTTTTTTCAGCTTGAGAGAAAGTTAATTTTTTGTTTATCGATTCTGCGTTTGGAGAGTTTATTTCATAGTTAGTCAAGTCACTATTACCTAAACTACTCTAAATTTTTAAATTTAGCATATTTTCTTCAATATTTTAAAAATTCTTTTTTAAGTTTATATTTAATCTATTGCTATCTATTTTTTCGTTCTCTTCATTCAATTAGTCATTCAATTTTAAATTAAATTTACCATTATTATTGTTATTATTTAAAGAAAGATATTGGCTTTTTTCTACATAATCTCTAAGTTTCGTTGGAAAATCAGGCACAATAATGTCTTTTTTAATACAATCTTCTTAGACATCATCTACCACTTCTTCTTTTTCAGTTTTTTCAGTAATCAAATAAGAAGTATTTTCTTACTTTTTAATAAGATTATTATCGATTATGATTTTTCTATAGTTATCTTAATAAAGATTTTGAAGCATTAGCATAAAGAAGTCTTATTTTATTAACTTATAACTGTAAAATTTACCCACAATTCTAAATACAACTATCAATCCAGCCACAGCATTTATAAGTGCTAAAATTTCTGTAATTGTTGGATATTAAATTTGAAATTATTAAACAATTTCATCCATTAGTAATATTTATTTACTGTATGGGCCTAATCCTAATGCTAATGAAGAATTTCTATCAAAACTTTAAGTTGCTAGAGTATATTAAATAGGAGAAGTGTAAGTTTATGTCTACTAAAAAAGGAGACCTGTGTCTACATTAGTTTATTATGTTTACGTGCTGAGAGAATTAAGTACAAATTAATTAGAGGCTACATAATTATATATGCTTCTGTAATTAGTTTGCATATTTTTTGAATTTGTATTGTATTACTAGGTTTTGAGTTTCAGCTAAAAAAATGCTTAATCTCCATCTATAATACTATCAATATCTACTTGGGCTGCACAATTATTAGGTACAGTTGTTTTTACATAGTCTTGATCTTAGCAGCCATACAAATGAATTAAAATAAAAGAATAAACTTGATTATTATTACTATTATCAAGCAAAAAAGTATAATTCCTTACTTTAGAAAAATCAATGCATATAAAACCTTATAATTAAGGTGTAATGCATTAAAATGTATCGAGATTGATAACATTGTAAATATTATTTTTAGGGTCTTAATAGTAAAGTTAAACAACATAAATAAGATATGTCTGATTCAAAGATTGTTAATATTAATCTATACTCATTGAGTAATTATTAAAATATTAAAACCCAACTAAATCATTTTCGAAAGGTACTTCTATCCTATCATTTTTAATGAAGCTTTAAGATTAAAATTTTGGGTTTATTTAGTTGCTAAAATTGAGATAAAATAAGTAAATCGCATAAGAAAGTGTCGTAGTAACAGCTAAAAACGACAGGATTAATCCTAAAATAGTGTTTCTTTTATAATACTTGGGTCCTATATTAAAATAAAACTCTGAAGAGAATAAATCTAAACCTTGAATATTCATGGCTTTTTATAGAGATAAAACGCCCAGCTAGTTATACTTCTAGAGGTTTTTATTTGCTTTTTGCTTCTACTTTCTATTTATTTTTATTTACTATTAAATAAATTAGTCTTAATTCATTTAGTTTCTAAAATTGAGATAAAATAAGTAAATTGCATAAGAAAGTGTCGTAGTAACAGCTAAAAGCGACAGGATTAATCCTAAAATAGTGTTTCTTTTATAATACTTGGGTCCTATATTAAAATAAAACTCTGAAGAGAATAAATCTAAACCTTAAATATTTATGGCTTTTTATAGAGATAAAACGCCCAGCTAGTTATACTTTTAGAGGTTTTTATTTGCTTTTTGCTTCTACTTTCTATTTATTTTTATGTACTATTAAGTAAATTATTCTTAATTCAAGACGGGTTTAGATAAAATTTGATATTGAGATAAACCTAAACATAAAAATAATAATTAAAAATTTTGATTCTTCTCACTAAGACTTATTAATTTTTATTTCTTAATTTAATTTGATGTAGAATTATTTGTAGTTTGATTGGTTAATTTTTTACTAAATTAAAAATATATTTTGTTAAAATTCCACCCAAACTAACTAAACTAACTGCTTTTTAAAGTAAGAAAAAAATTGTTTTAGCAAAAATACAAAAATTAGATAAATGAAAATGAAAAGTAATTAAAAAATTTTATTTGAATTATTAAATTTTTTATTATTCCCATTTTCCTTTTTTTTGAAAAAATTAGACTGTAATTATCACGATTAATTCATCTTGGTTATTTATTTAATTTTGATTATTTATCAAATATAACTTTCCAGAAATTATATTAATTTACTATAATTAGAAACTTGCAAAAATTATTCCAAAAGTTATAAATAACATAAAGTAATAATCAAATTAATTAAATAAGAAAAATGTTTAAATTTCTTTCTTAAACTTCCTTTTATTAGATATTTCCTAGTAAGTAATAAAATAATTTTAATATTTTATATTTACTTAATTTAATAATTATAAAATTTTGTTTATTTTAAGATGGTGAGCCAATTTATTTTGCATTCTTTTTTAAATATAAAATAAGTATCTTAAAGGATTAATATTGCATAATTTAACATATAAATTTATTTTAAGTTTACTTAATAATATAAAAATATTGTGAGTTATTTTTAAATAATATATGTTTTACAAGTAAGAGCTAATAGATTTAAAAAGTAATTTGAAAATATAATGATGGATAATTAACTTAAATATATCTGTTTCTGCATTTGAAATAATTATTATATTGATTATGAATATTTTTTTTTCTGAATCTTAATTATTTTCTTTATATTTGATTTTAAATGAAATTTAATATATTAGATAGTCAGAGACCTGACTCAACCCCCATTTTTTAGAGGAATTACAGTATATATGTAAATTTAATTTTATCAGAAATTTTTTAAATAACAATATTTCTTTCTTTGTTAATTTAACTCATCATTTTATTTAAACTTTTGCTTTTATTATTTATTAATCTTATTATTTCATATTTTTCCTTCCAACTATTTAACAATATTTTATTTCTTCAATATTTAAAAAGTTACAACTAAATTAGTGTATTAAGCTTATGTTCAGCTTTAACACACTAATCTCTTAAATTTGATACTTGAGCTTTAGTAAAAATAGTTTATTCATTTTGAATTGTGATGTTTTAATTATTAAAACTAATTTAAAATAATATCGTTCTTTTTCTTTTTATTATACTTGCTCTTTTTTTTTTATTTGTTTGTTAATTTAACTCATCATTTTATTTTCAAATTTTGCTTTTATTATTTATTAATCTTATAATTTCATATTATTTCTTCTAATTAACTATTTAACTATATATTCTTTCTTTCATATTTAAATGAATGAATTAAATTGGTGCAAAAGGAGCATTAGGCTTAGATTTTACTTTAGTAAAATTGTGAAAACATTGATTTTTATATAATTATGTAAAAGTAAAACTAGAAATTTAAAAGAATTAGTTAAATAATAAAGGATTATTTGAATTTATAAGAAATCGAAAATTAATCAAATTAGAAATAATTAAAAATCAAAGAATTAGTTGATTAATTTTCAAATAGACAAAAAATAAAAATAAATTCAAAATCAATGCTTTAATTGGTTAATTTTTCAAATAGACAAATATTAAAAAATAAATTAAAAATCAATGTTTTAATTGATTAATTTTCAGATCGAAAATAACAAAAATAAATCAAAAAAAATTGATTGACAAATTATTAGAATAAAAATGTTTAAATTTTTCTAATTTAAAATAGTATTGTTTCGATTAAAAAATTAAAGAAAAAAATGCCTTAATTAAAATACTCCTTAATTAATGAGCATTTACAGTATTTTACTTTAAAAATAAATTTAACACATTATTATGGATTGATACATAAAATTATTAAGTGAAATATATTTATCATCAATATTTTACTAATGAAGAAAATATTCTTTAGTCTATAACATCTTACTGTTATATTTCTTGTTACTGCTTTATGAAAAATTTTTTTAAATATTCTTCTTGCAATATTTAGGAATTTTATATGCAAATCTGTTTCTCAAAATAATTTAACCTAATATTATTTATTTCTTAAAAAAAATAGAATGAATGATTTTGTAGTTTTATTTTAATTGATAAAAATAACTTACATTCATCACTTATATTAGATATTTTATATAAACTTTAAAATTATTCTGTGAGAGTAACAAATTATATAGCTGCTAATTGCTCTTCGCTTAGTATCATCATAATAGCCTTTTTCAAAAAAATAATGTCTTTGTATAAATCATAAATGTCTAAGCTTTTATTGACCTCTTACTCAATGTACTTTATATAATCACAATCTATCCCTCTCTCCTGAAAAAATATTTTTGATTTAAATTTCCTTATTATACAATAAAATGATTAAATTAATAAATTTGTGTATTTTTGATATTTTACTTGAATTTAAAAATGGTATTTTTAATGATTTATTTTAAACTATTGCTTTAAATACTTTTGAAATTTTAAAAGGCAGATTCCTTCAATATCTCCTTTTTTTATGATTAAGATAAATCTTATTAGATAGACTCTCTATTATTAATATTATTAGATTATCTTGTGTTAAATAAGGATCTACTTTAGAAAACAGCCACACTTTTCTACTAATTCTATGTTTTTGGGCTTGATAGAAAATACTTTTAAGAGCCGATTTATTAACAGCTATACAAATTTTTTTATTTCATTTTATTTTAATAATTAGATAGTTAATTTTGTTATTTATTATCAATTTTAATTATATCTTGGTCGTTCTATTCTTTTTACTAGTTTCTTTCAGTTTGAAAGAGAATTAATTTTTTGCTTTTCGATTCTGCATTTGGAGTATTTATTTCATAGTTTGGAAAATCGCTATGATCTATACTGGTCTAATTTTTTAAATTTAGTACACTTTCTTCAGTATTTTAAAAATTCTTTTTTAAGTTTACAATTATTCTATTGCTATCTATTTTTTCGTTCTCTTCATTCAATTAGTCATTCAATTTTAAATGAAATTTACCATTGTTATTGTTATTATTTTAAGAAAGATATTGGCTTTTTTCTACATAATCTCTAAGTTTCGTTGGAAAATCAGGCACAATAATGTCTTTTTTAATACAATCTTCTTAGACTTCATCTACCACTTCCACTTCATCTTTTTCAGTTTTTTCAGAAATCAAAGAAAAAATATTTTCTTAGTTTTTAATAAGATTATTATGGATTATGATTTTTCTATAGTTATCTTAATAAAGATTTTGAAGCATTAGCATAAAGAAGTCTTATTTTATTAACTTATAACTGTAAAATTTACCCACAATTCTAAATACAAATATCAATCCAGCAACAGCATTTATAAGTGCTAAAATTTCTGTGATTGTTGGATATTAAATTTCAAATTATTAAACAATTTCATCCATTAGTAATATTTATTTACTGTATGGGCCTACTCCTGTTTTTAATGCAATAGTTCTATCAAAACTTTAAGTTGTTAGAGTATATTAAATAGGAGAAGAGTAAGTTTATCTCTACTAAAAAAGAAGACCTGAGTCTACATTAGTTTCTTATTTTTACGCGCTGAGAGAATTAAGTACAAACTAAGCAGAGGCTACATAATTATATAAGTTTCTGTAATTAGTTTGCATTTTTCTTGAAGTTGTATTGTATTACTATGTTTTGAGTTTCAGCTAAAAATATGCTTAATCTCCATCTATAATATTATCAATATCATTTTAGGCTGGGCAGTTATTAGGTACAGTTGTTTTTGTTTAGTCTTGATCATTGCAGCCATACAAACTAATGAAAAGAGAAGAATAAACTTGATTATTATCACTATTATCAAGCAAAAAAGTATAATTACTTACATTAGAAAAATCAATGCATATAAAACCTTATAATTAAGGTGTAGTGCATTAAAATGTATCGAGATCGATAACATTGTAAATATTATTTTTAGGGTCTTAATAGTAAAGTTAAGCAACATAAATAAGATATGTCTGATTCAAAGATTGTTAATATTAATCTATACTCATTGAGAAGTTATACATAAACTAAAACCCAACTAAATCATTATCGAAAGGTACTTCTATCCTATCATTTTTAATGAAGCTTTAAGATTAAAATTTTGGGTTTATTTAGTTGCTAAAATTGAGATAAAATAAGTAAATAGCATAAGAAAATGTCATAGTAACAGCTAAAAAGGATAGGATTAATCCTACAATAGTGTTTCTTTTAAAATACTTGGGCCCTATATTAAATTAAAACTCTGAAGAGAATAAATCTAAACTTTCAATATTCATTGTTTTTTATAGTGATAAAATGCACAGCTATCTCTACTTCTAGAGGATTTTATTTGCTTTTTGCTTCTACTTTTTATTTATTTTTATGTACTATTAAATAAATTATTCTTAATTCAAGACTGGTTTAGCTAAAATTTGAAATTGAGATAAACCTAAAAATAAAAATTTATCTTTGATTTTTCTCACTAAAATTTATTATTTTTTATTACTTTATTTAATTTAATTCAGAATTATTTGTAGCTTGAATTTTTTACTAAATTAAAAATATATTTTGTTCAAATTCCGCACAAACTAACTACACTAGCTTCTTTTTAAAGTAGGAAAATAATTGTTTTAGCAAAAATACAAAAATTAGAAAAATAAAAAGGAAAAGTAATTAAAAAATTTTATTAGAATTATTAAATATTTTTATTATTAATATTTTCCTTCTTTTCATAGTTGAAATTGGACCGTAATCAGCATAAATAATTACCTTGATTATTTATTTAATTTTGATTATTTATCAAATATAACTTTCCTGAAAATATATTAATTTACTATTATTAGAAACTTGCAAAAATTCTTCCAAAAGTTATAAATAACATAAAATAATAATTTAATTAACTACATAAGAAAAATGTTTAAAAATTCTTTCAAAAACATACTTTTATTAGATATTCACAGTAAGTAATAAATAATTTTAATATTTTTTATTTACTAAACTTAATCATGATAAAATTAATTTTATTTTCAGATGATGAGCTAATTTATTTTGGATTCTTTCAGATTCTATTTTATTAAGTATTTTTTATTTAAGGCCTATTTTTTAAAAACTAAAATATTGTTTTAGATTAGTCCATAATATTCTACAAATGAAATTTATTTTAATAGTCTAAACCAAAATAGGTAAAATTAACTTCATGGATTAAGTTAAATTTTTTTCAAAATAATTTATTTTATTGTAAATCCTCCTTTTTTTCATCCACTCAAATATTTACACATAAAAATTTTTTGATTAATTTTTAAAAAAATTTTTTTAATTCCATTATTCTTTTATTCCTTTATTCCTTTATTCTTTTATTCCTTTATTCCTTTATTCTTTTATTCCTTTATTCCGTTATTCCTTTAAACATATTATTTTTTAAAAGTATCCATATAAATTTCAATCAAAAATAACAAGCTAACAATGAAACACAGATATTAAAATTGAAATTAGTTTTTGTTTGTCAATAAAATTAATTCAAAAAACAATTAAAGAAATAGATGTAAAATTAATTTTTTTAATTATGCATTGATGATGATAACTTTAAGAAGTTTGAATTGTTTAAAATATTTTGATTGAAATTTCAAAAACAATTTTAAGTCGTAAATAAATAAATTAATTTGTTCTGTTCTGTTCTGTTTTGTTTTGTTTTATTTTATTTTATTTTATTTTGAAAATGGAAATAAATTTGGTGATAAAGGAGCAAAAATAATCAGATTAGGTTAGAGTAACTGTGCTCAACATGTAAATTTAGAATTTTTAAAAAGGTGAATTTATTTCAATTTATTACTCTTGAAAAAAAATTATGGAAAAGCTTTTTATTCAAACTGAATTAAAAAGAAACAGCATCAAAATTCAATAAACGTCTTTAATCTTTAATTAAGCTTGACTTCATTTATAACAGCTCTAAATTAAATTTTGGGAATGATGGAGCTTCCGCTGAAAAATCTAATTTGCTGAATGCACATTTTTTTAAAGTTGAAAGCTTATTACATGTTGCTGAAGCTGAGCCTAACTTCTGATGCACGTTTATCGCCGGCGCTACTCGAAACAAGTAAAATAAAATAGTTGTACTAAGATGAAAATTCCAAAAAAACAAACGCTGCAATCTTTTTTTTTTACAGTTGATTTGCCTCTCAACTCGCTCATCTTATGGCTTAACACTTAGCTTTGGGAGCTGCATGCAAACGAATGGCCATCTAATCCTTTTTCTTTTAGATTTATGTTGTTTTATCATCATAATTTTTTTGAATTAATTGATCTAAAAATTGAATAAAATCAATAATGTATACTTTAAAAAAAAAAAGATTAATTAAAAAGTTAAAATTCAAAGTTTCAACATACAAAAATAAATAACACAAATGAATAACATAATAAGACTAAATGATAAGCCAAGCTTTTGAATTTTTATATATATATATTTTTTTTTTAATTTTCATGTTTCGAATGCGCTAGAGCAGGAGCAGCCTTAGCAGATAATTAAGTAGCAATTTATATAGTAGTTTATCGAAATTTGTTTGCTTCCAGCCTTCAGTTGAACTTTTTTGCTTGCTAAAGCATTTAGTTTTGCTCTTTAGTCAGCTTGAGCTCATTATCGAAGTGAATGCCCTAAAGCCCTAGTACCTTAGACTGCTCCATCGCGCAGCCCTCCTCGTGATCCTTGTAGGCATCGAAGTCATTCGAAGTATAGTCCTCACATACTTCACAAATGTACTTGATATAGTCTATTTTTTATAAAGAATTAATTGAACAGTAAGTAATTAAAAGATAAAGGAAAAATTAAATAGAAATACCAAGTTTCACAGCAAGCATCTTATGCTTGTTGATAATGTGCAGCTTTCTCGCCTTAAACGTACCGTAAGACTTTTTGCAATCTTACTTGAGACAGGGTATACGTGCCGCCTCCTAGCTCCCATTGCCCTGATGTTATCTGTCCTCGTCCTGATCATCTTCATCATCATCATTATCAGCGCCACGCAGTTTGTTCCTCTCCAGTTAATCCTTGAATGACCTGTACTCGTTAATCAACTCCAGCTACCTTTGATTCTTTTGCTCGAGTACTTTTTAAATCTTTTCGATTTTCTACCTATTTAACCCACTATTTGCAACCTTTTTCATGCCACTGCTAACCTCTACATTCTTCACTTTTATTTTATTTTGGCTCAAGTTATCAACTTCCTTTGCTTTGTTAAACTCTTTGAATTCTTTCAGCGCACTAAAGATTTATTCTTTATCAATCTTGACGTTATCTGAGCACTTGCTCAATAAGAAGTCGCCCAACTCATTTAAACTTTTATCACCAATGCTCATGCTTTTTAAACTAAAATATTTTGCTCGGGTTTAAGGCAAAAAATAATTGTAATTAAGTAAATAATATTTTGATTTTATATTTTTTATAAAAAAAATGAGAAAAAATATAAGTATTTAAATTTGTGTTTATGTCTTTGTTTATATTACAAAAACAAAAGATGTTAATATTCTAAACTATCTTCTATTTTCAAAATTATAAATAGGTTTTACTATTTTTATTCAAATCAAAGCAATGTTTTGCTAGATAAACATCTTTTTGATATGTACGGTAGAAGGGAGAATGCTGTTTTTTAATTTTCAAAAATATTATTATAAATAGTTCATTTAATATAAGAACATTTAATGTATTTAAAAGTTTCTTTTTATTAAATACCGAGCTAACATATTCTGCCAATCTTAAAAATTGAAAACTCATATAAAATTATTAAAAAAATATTTATTTATTTAAAAATATAAATTAATAAAATAATTTTGGGTGAAATATTAAGTATCATTTTACTAATAAAAAAAAAATATATTTTTTGCTTTTAAAACTTAACACATTATTATGGATTGATACATAAAATTATTATATGAAATATATTTATCATCAATATTTTAATAATGAAGAAAATATTCTTTAGTCTATAACATCTTTCTACTCTTTTTCTTATTACTGCTTTATAAAAAATTTTTTAAAATATACTTCTTGCAATATTTAGGAATTTTATATGCAAATCTGCTTCTCAAAATAATTTAACCTAATATTATTTATTTCTTAAAAAAAATAGAATGAATGGTTTTGTAGCTTTATTTTTAATTGATATAAATAACTTACATTCATCGCTTATATTAGATTTTTTATCTAAACGTTAAAATTATTCTGTGAGAGTAACAAATTATATAGCTGCTAATTGCTCTTCGCTTAGTATCATCATAATAGCCTTTTTCAAAAAAATAATGTCTTTGTATAAATCATAAATGTCTAAGCTTTTATTGACCTCTTACTAAATGTACTTTATAAAATCACAATCTATCTCTCTCTCCTGAAAAAATTTTTTTTATTTAAATTGCCTTATTATAAAATAGAATGATTAAATTAATAAATTTGTGTATTTTTGATATTTTACTTGAATTTAAAAATGGTATTTTTAATGATTTTTTTAAAACTATTGCTTTAAATACTTTTGAAATTTTAAAAGGCAGATTCCTTTAATATCTCCTTTTTTTAAGCTTAAGTTGAATTTTATTAGATAGAATCTCTACTATTAATATTATTAGATTATTTTGTATTAAATAAGGATCTACTTTAGAAAATATTCACACTTTTTTACTAATTCTATATTTTTGGGCTTGATAGAAAATTCCTTTAAGAGCCGATTTATTAACAGTTATACAAATTTTTTAATTTTAATTTTTTATAATAATTAGATGGTTAATTTTGTTATTTATTATCAATTTTAATTATATCTTGGTCGTTCTATTCTTTTTACTAGTTTCTTTCAGTTTGAAAGAGAATTAATTTTTTGCTTATCGATTCTGCGTTTGGAGTGTTTATTTCATAGTTTGGCAAATCGCTATGATCTATACTGGTCTAATTTTTTAAATTTAGAACACTTTCTTCAGTATTTTAAAAATTCTTTTTTAAGTTTATATTTAATCTATTGCTATCTATTTTTTCATTCTCTTCATTCAATTAGTCTTTCAATTTTAAATGAAATTTACCATTGTTATTGTTATTATTTTAAGAAAGATATTGGCTTTTTTCTACATAATCTCTAAGTTTCGTTGGAAAATCAGGCACAATAATGTCTTTTTTAATACAATCTTCTTAGACTTCATCTACCACTTCCACTTCATCTTTTTCAGTTTTTTCAGAAATCAAAGAAAAAATATTTTCTTAGTTTTTAATAAGATTATTATGGATTATGATTTTTCTATAGTTATCTTAATAAAGATTTTGAAGCATTAGCATAAAGAAGTCTTATTTTATTAACTTATAACTGTAAAATTTACCCAAAATTCTAAATATAACTATCAATCCAGCCACAGCATTTATAAGTGCTAAAATTTCTGTAATTGTTGGATATTAAATTTCAAATTATTAAACAATTTCATCCATTAGTATTATTTATTTACTATATGGGCCTACTCCTGATTCTAATGAAGAAATTCTATCAAAATTTTAAGTTGTTAGAGTATATTAAATAGGAGAAGTGTAAGTTTATCTCTACTAAAAAAGGAGACCTGAGTCTACATTAGTATCTTATTTTTACGCGCTGAGAGAATTAAGTACAAATTAAGCAGAGGATACATAATTATATAAGTTTCTGTAATTAGTTTGCATTTTTCTTGAAGTTGTATTGTATTACTATGTTTTGAGTTTCAGCTAAAAATATGCTTAATTTCCATCTATAATATTATCAATATCATTTTAGGCTGGGCAGTTATTAGGTACAGTTGTTTTTGTTTAGTCTTGATCATTGCAGCCATACAAACTAATGAAAAGAGAAGAATAAACTTGATTATTATCACTATTATCAAGCAAAAAAGTATAATTACTTACATTAGAAAAATCAATGCATATAAAACCTTATAATTAAGGTGTAGTGCATTAAAATGTATCGAGATTGATAACATTGTAAATATTATTTTTAGGATCTTAATAGTAAAGTTAAACAACATAAATAAGATATGTCTGATTCAAAGATTGTTAATATTAATCTATACTCATTGAGAAGTTATACATAAACTAAAACCCAACTAAATCATTATCGAAAGGTACTTCTATCCTATCATTTTTAATGAAGCTTTAAGATTAAAATTTAGGGTTTATTTAGTTGCTAAAAGTGAGATAAAATAAGTAAATAGCATAAGAAAGTGTCGTAGTAACAGCTAAAAAGGATAGGATTAATCCTACAATAGTGTTTCTTTTAAAATGCTTGGGCCCTATATTAAATTAAAACTCTGAAGAGAATAAATCTAAACTTTCAATATTCATTGTTTTTTATAGTGATAAAATGCACAGCTATCTCTACTCCTAGAGGATTTTATTTGCTTTTTGCTTCTACTTTTTATTTATTTTTATGTACTATTAAATAAATTATTCTTAATTCAAGACTGGTTTAGCTAAAATTTGCAATTGAAATAAACCTAAAAATAGAAATTTACCTTTGATTTTTCTCACTAAAATTTATTAATTTTTATTTCTTTATTTAATTTAATTCATAATTATTTGTAGCTTGAATTTTTTCTAAATTAAATAATATTTTGTTAAAATTCCGCACAAACTAACTACACTAACTGCTTTTTAAAGTAGGAAAATAATTTTTTAGCAAAAATACAAAAATTAGAAAAATGAAAATGAAAAGTAATTAAAAAATTTTGTTAGAATTATTAAATATTTTTATTATTAGCCTTATCCTTTTTTTCATAGTTGAAATTGGACCGTAATCAGCACAAATAATTATCTTGGTTATTTATTTAATTTTGATTATTTATCAAATATAACTTCCCTTAAAATATATTAATTTACTATTATTAGAAACTTGTAAAAAGTTTTCCAAAAGTTATAAATAACATAGAATAATAATTTATTTAACTACATAAGAAAATTGTTTAAAAATTTTTTCAAAAACATATTTTTATTAGATATTCACAGTAAGTAATAAATAATTTTAATATTTTTTATTTACTAAACTTAATCATGATAAAATTATGTTTATTTTCAGATGATGAGCTAATTTATTTTGGATTCTTTCAGATTCTATTTTATTAAGTATTTTTTATTTAAGGCCTATTTTTAAAAAACTGAAATATTGTTTTAGATTAATTAGTCCAAAATATTCTACAAATGAAATTTATTTTAATAGTCTAAACCAAATAGGTAAAATTAACTTCATGGATTAAGTTAAATTTTTTTCAAAATAATTTATTTTATTGTAAATCCTCCTTTTTTTCATCCACTCAAATATTTACACTTAAAAATTTTTTGATTAAAATTTTCCCTGAAGACCTTATATTTTTATTATAAAATGCGGGGAAAATATCGATCTCTATTGTATTTAAAAGCTTCGTTTTATTAAGTACCTGATTAGCTTATTCTAGCAATCTTGAAAATTGATAACTGAAATAAAATAATATTTGAAAATTTAAAAATATAAATTAATAAGTTATATAGAGCGAAATATTAAATATAAACATTTAACTTATAATATTTTAATAAAAAATTGATATTATTTAATCTATAACAATTGTTAATGATGGATAAATAAAATTATAGTGCAAAATATTTAGCATCAATATTTTAATAAAGAAGAATATATTCTTTAATCTATAGCATCTTGTTATATTTCTTATTACTATTTTATGAAAAATCTTTTTAGATATTCTTCTTGCAATAACTAAGAATTTAATATGCAAACCTGCTTCTCAAAATAATTTAATCTTCTTTTGTTTATTTCTTAAAAAAAATAAAGTGATTTTACTTTTCCTTTAAAATATAAAAATAACTTACATTCAGAATTTATATTAGATTTTTTATCAAAACTTTAAAATTATTCAGTGAGAGTTACAAATTATATAGCTGCTAATTACTCCTCGCTTAATATCATCATAATAGCCTTTTTCAAAAAAATAATATCTTTGTATAAATCATAAATGTTTAAATTCCTATCGACCTCTTACTCAATGTACTTTATAAAACCGTATTCTATCCCTTTCTACTTGAAAAATGTTTTAGACTTAAATTACCTTTTTTTTTTAATAAAATGATTAAATTAATAAATTTGAGAATTTTTTGAATCTTTACTTGAATTTAAAAAAGGTATTTTTTATGATTTTTTTAAAACTATTGTTTTAAATATTTTTTAAATGTAAATAATCATTTTCCTTCAATATCTCCTTTTTTTATCCTTGAGTTAAATTTTATTAGATAGATTCTTTATTACTAATATTAATAGGTTATTTATTAACAAATAAGGACCTACTTTAGATAACACTGGCATCTTTCTACTAATATTACTTTCTTGGGCTTGATAGAAATTACTTTTGAGAACTAATTTATTAGCTGCTAAACTAATTGTTTATTTTTATTTTATTTTGAGAATTTGATAGTTAATTCTATAGTTTATTATATTAACAATTTTCATTAATTTAAGTATTTTTAATTACATCTTGCTCAATTTATTCTTTTTACTAATTTTTTTCAATTTGAGAGTAAATTAATTTATTATTTATTGTTGATTCTGTATTTGGAGAGTTTATTACAGAGTTAACCAGATCGTTATTATTTATACTATTCTAATTTTTTATATTCAGCATATTTTCTTCATTGTTTTAAAAATTCTTTATTAAGTCTATATTTAATTTCTAGTTATTTACTTTTTCATTTTGTATGTTTAATTATTCATTAAATTTTACATGAAATTAACAACTATTATTATTATTATTATTATTACGATTTAAAGTTAGATTTTGACTTTTTTGAACATCCTCTCTAAGTTTTGTTGAAAATTCAGGAACAATAATGTCTTTTTTTATACAATTTTCTTAGACTTCATCTACATCTTCTTCTTTATCAGTTCTTTCAGTGGAAATCAAACAAGAAATATTTTCTTACTTTTTAATAAGATTATTATGGATCATGATTTTTCTATATTTATCTTAGTAAAGATTTTGAAGCAAGAGCATAAAGAAGTCTTATTTTATTAATTTTTAACTGTAAAATTTGCCCAAAATTCTAAATACAACGATTAATCCAGCAACAGCATTTACAAGTGCCAAAATTTCTGTAATCGTTGGATATTAAAATTAAAATTTTTAAACTATTTCATCCATTAGTAATATTTATTTACTATATGGGCCTAATCCTTATGTCAATGAGGAATTTCTATCAAAATTTTAAGTTGTTAGAGTATATTAAATAGGAGAAGAATAAGTTTATCTCTACTAAAAAAGGAGACCTAAGTCTACCTGAGTATCTTATTTTTATGTGCTCAGAGAATTAAGTACAAATTAAGGAGAGAATACATAATTATAAATGTTTCTGTAATTAATTTACATTTCTTTTGAAGTTGTATTGTATTACTAAGTTTTGAGTTTTAGCTAAAAATATGCTTATTATCCATCTATAATATTATTAATATCCTTTTGGGATGGACAATTATCAGGTACAGTTGTTTTTACTAAGTCTTAATCTCTGCAGCCATACAAATGAATGTAAATAGAAGAATAAATTTGATTATTTTTACTATTATCAAGCAAAAAAGTATAGTTACCTAGATTAGAAAAATCAATACATGTAAAACCTTATAATTAAGGTGCTGTGCATTAAAAAGTATTGAGATTGATAGTATTGTAAGTATTACTTTTAGGGTCTTAATAGTAAAATTAAACAATATAAACAAGATATGTCTTATTCAAAGATTTTTAATATTAATCTATGCTCATTGAATAATTATACATAAACTAAAACCCTATTAAATCATTTTCGAGAGGTACTTCTATCCTATCATTTGAAATGAAGCTTTAAGATTAAAATTTTGGTCTTAATTAATTGCTAAAATTGAGATAAAATAAGTAAACAGCATAAGAAAGCGTCGTGGTAACAGCTAAAAACGACAAGATTAATCCTAAGACAGTATCTCTTTTATAATGCTTGGGCCCTATATTAAATTAAAACTCTGAAGAAAATAAATCTAAACCTTAAATATTCATGATTTTTTTAGTGATAAGCGTGTAGTAGCTAGCTATACTTTTATAAGTTTTTATTTGTTTTTGTCTTCTAAATTTTTATTTATTTTGTGTGTTTATTAAATTAAATATTCTTAACTCAAGGCTGGCTTAACTTAAATTTACTTTTATGAAAAATTAAAGAATAGAATAGTAAATCTATGATTTTTCTCTTTTAGATTTATTAGATTTTTTTTATCATGTAATTTATAGAATTTATAAACAAATTGAATTATAATTAAAGCTTGAATCTAACTTTTTACTCAATTATAAACATATTCTGATAAAATCCTACTCAAGCTAACTGCATTAACTACTTTGTAATCAAGGAAAAAAATATGTTTAAGCAAAAATACTAAAATTAGAAAAATGAAAATGAAAAGTAATGAGTGACTTAATATCGTAGGTACTCATATAAAAGGATGATTTTTGAATAAGGACGAAAAATATTTTTCCTTATAAAAAGGTACTTCATCTTAAAAAATTTTTTTAAGTAAAACATATCAAAAACACGAATCTAATAAAGTATTTTATCAAATATTTTTTATTAAAATAAAAATGTACTTTTTAATGTATTTTATTTACTTAAATATTTATATACTTTAAATCACATACTTATTATATTATTAAAATAAATTTAAATAAAATATTCTCAAAAAATTAAAGCTGGTAAGTGAGATGTTTAAACTGAAATCGAAATGGCCTTAATATATGAACCTTTACCGTATATATATTTATATATGCTTTAATCTTAAACACACTATTATATACAGAAAAATAAAATTATACAGTGGGTAACATTTAGCATCAATATTTTAATAATGAAGAAAATATTCTTTAATCTATAGCATCTTGTTCTTATATTTCTTATTACTATTTTATCAAAAATTTTTTTAGATATTCTTCTTGCAATAAATAGGAATTTAATATGCAAATCTGCTTATCAAAATAATTTAGCCTGATATTGTTTATTTCTTAAAAAAATAAAATGATTTTGTTTCTATACTTTTAATTTATAAAATAACTTACATTCAATATTTATGTTAGATGTTTTGCCAAAACTTTAAAACTATTCAGTGAGAGTTACAAATTATATAGCTGCTAATTGCTCTTAGCTTAGTATCATCATAATAGCCTTTTTCAAAAAAATAATGTCTTTGTATAAATCATAAATATTTAAATTTCTATTGACCTCTTACTCAATCTATTTTATAAAACCGTATTCTATCCCCTTCTACTTAAAAAATGTTTTAGACTTAAATTACCTTTTATTATTTAATAATATGATTAAATTAATACATTTGAGAATTTTTGAATCTTTACTTGAATTTAAAAATGGTATTTTTGATTGTATTTTTAAATCTACTGTTTTAAATATTTTTTAAATATTAATAAGGAGATTCCTTAGATATCTCCTTTTTTTATGCTTAAGTTATATTTTGTTAGATAGATTCTTTATTGCTAATATTATTAGATTATCTTTTATTAAATAAGGACCTATTTTAGAAAACACTGGTACCTTTCTATTGATTCTATGTTTTTGGGTTTGATAGAAATTACTTTTGAGAGCTGATTTATTAGATGGTAAACTAATTATTTATTTTATTTTGAGAATTTGATAGTTAATTCTGTTATTTAATATAGCAAAAATTTTAACTAATTTAAGTATTTTTAATTACATCTAGCTCTTTTTATTTTTTTTACTAATATTTTTCAATTTGTGAGAAAATTAATTTATTGTTTATAGATTCTTCATTTGGATAGTTTATTACAGAGTTAGTTAAATCATTATTACCTATATTGCTCTAATTTTTTAAATTTAGCATACTTTCTTCATTATTTTGCTAATTCTTTTTTAAATTTATATTTAATTTCTAGTTTTCTTTTTTTTGATTTTCTACATTTATTTATTCATTAAATTTTAAAAGAAGTTAACAATTATTATTATTATTATTCTTATTATTTAAAGTTGGATATGGACTTTTTTCTACCTAATTTTTTGCTGGAAAGACAGGCACAATTAGGTCTTTTTTTATACAATTTTCTTATACTTCATCTGCCACTTCTTCTTTTTCATCAGTTTTTTAAGTGGAAATCAAACAAGAAATACTTTCTTACTTTTTAATAAGATTATTATGGATCATGATTTTTCTATATTTATCTTAGTAAAGATTTTGAAGCAAGAGCATAAAGAAGTCTTATTTTATTAAATTTTAACTGTAAAATTTGCCCAAAATTCTAAATACAACTATTAATCCAGCAACAGCATTTACAAGTGCCAAAATTTCTGTAATTTTTGGATATTATATTTGAAATTTTTAAACAATTTCATCCATTAGTAATATTTATTTACTATAGGGGCCTAGTCCTGATTATTAAGCAGAAATTCTATCAAAATTTTAAGTTGATAGAGTATATTAAATAGGAGAAGAGTAAGTTTATCTCTGCTAAATTAAGAGACCTAAGTCTACCTGAGTATCCTATTTTTATGTGCTCAGAGAGTTAAGTACAAATTAACCAGAGGATACATAATTATATATGTTTCTGTAATTTGTTTGGATTTCTTTTGAAGTTGTATTGTATTACTAAGTTTTGAGTTTCAGTTAAAAATATGCTTGTTATCCATCTATAACATTATTAATATCCGTTTGGGCTGGGCAATTACTAGGCACAGTTGCTTTTACTAAATCTTAATCTCTGCAACCATACAAATGAATATAAATAGAAGAATAAACTTAATTATTATTCATATTATCAAGCAAAAATGAATAGTTACCTACTTTAGAAAAATCAATACATGTAAAACCTTATAATTAAGGTGTTGTGCATTAAAATGTATTGAGATTGATTGTATTGTAAATTTTATTTTTAGGGTCTTAATAGTAAAGTTAAACAACATAAACAAGATATGTCTGATTCAAAGATTGTTAATATTAATCTATACTCATAGAATAATTATACATAAACTAAAATCCAACAAGATCATCTTCGAGAGGTACTTCTATCCTACCATTTGCAATGAAGCTTTAAGACTAAAATTTTGGGTTTATTTAGTTGTTAAAATTGAGGTAAAATAAGTAAAGAGCATACGAAAGTGTTGTAGTAACAGCTAAAAATGACAATATTAATCCTAAGACAGTATCTCTTTTATAATGTTTTGGCCCAATATTAAAATAAAACTCTGAAGAAAATAAATCTAAACCTTAAATATTCATGATTTTTTTAGTGATAAATGTGTAGCAGCTAACTGTAGTTTTAGGAGTTTTTATTTTCTTTTGGCTTCAAATTTTTATTTACTTATAAAATAAAGTATTCTTAATTCAAGGTTGGCTTAATTTAAATTTGTTATTAAGATAAATCAAAAAATAAAATAGTAAAAATCTTTGATTTTTCTTGTTTAAATTTATTCGTTTTTATTTTTTTCTTGTAATTATGCTTAATTATTTTTAAATAAAATATTAACTATTTAATAATCAAATAATTTTCAATTTAAGAAATTAGATAAAATATTAAAATTTGAATAATTTTTCAGATTTTTTATTTTAAAAATTTTATCTCTTTATTCAAAAATCATCCTTATTGATTGAATACCTACGGTATAATATTTTAAATATACAATTTTTAATTTATAATATATTTTTATTTTATAATAAAGCATGCTTAATTATTTTAAAAGAAAATATTTATAATTAATAATCAAATAATTTTCAAATAAAGAATATTAAAAAAAATAAATAAGTAAAAAATTAAAATTCTGTAATAATTTTAAAGAATATTTTGAAATAAATAAAAGAAACTTCTAAAAATATTATCAAAATTTAAGATTTCAATCTAAAGCTTGATATTTTTAAATGTTTCTTGAAAATTATGTAAATTTTATTAATTTTATTTGATTTCAACTTCAATAAAAATAAATTAAAACAGATATTCTAATTAATTAATAAAACTTTTATAAAAATAAATAATGTAATTAAAAATTATATTTTTAAAATGGTAGTGTTAAATCAAAATTTTAGATAGTCTTTCTCGTTATCTGAATTTTCAATTACTTTTCAGGCGCATGAGAATAATCAAGTACTTCAGTTACGAAGAAAGTCATTATTTCTATTCAATCAGTTTTAAAACTTTTTAGGCGATTGAGTTGAGTCCATAGAGAAAACCAAAAGGTGTATTTACTAGCATAGGAAATAGGAATATTTAGTTTAATTACTTGAGGGGGTATTTTGAGTTTTTTATCAATAATTATGAGTTAAATTAAATATATTTAGCTAGGAAATATAACATAAATTAATCATAATAATTAAATAAATTAAAAAGGACTTAATATTTTTTTTAATTAATTGAAAAGTAATAAATCTTTTTTTATTTATTTAATTTAATGCAAATATTTATAAGTATCTTTTTATTAAATACTTAACTAGTTTATTCTGCCAATCTTAATTAAATAATATCAGTGAATTTAAAAATATAATAACTTAATAAAATTATTTAGAATGAAATATTAAATACCAAAATTTTACTATGAAATAAATAAAATATTTATTTATACATTTTAATCTTTAACATTTTGTTATAAATTAATAAATAAAATTAAATAATGCAAAATATTTAGCATCAAGATTTTAATAATGAAGAAAATATTCTTTAATCTATAGCACCTTATTCTTATAATTCTTATTACTGTTTTATTAAAAATCTTTTTAGGTATTCTTCTTACAATAACTAGGAATTTAATATGCAAATCTGCTTCTCAAAATAATTTAACCTAATTTTGTTTATTTCTTAAAAAAAATAAAGTCATTTTTGCTACTATACTTTTAATTTATAAAAATAAATAACTTACATTCATAATTTATATTAGATTTTTTATGAAAACTTTAAAATTATTCAGTGAGAGTTACAAATTATATAGCTGCTAATTACTCTTCGCTTAACATCATCATAATAGCCTTTTTCAAAAAAATTATGTCTTTGTATAAATCATAAATATTTAAATTCCTATCGACCTCTTTCTCAATCTATTTTATAAAACCGTATTCTATCCCCTTCTACTTAAAAAATGTTTTAGACTTAAATTACCTTTTTTTATTTAATAAAATGAATAAATTAATAAATTTGTGAATTTATTTTTTGAATCTTTACTTGAATTTAAAAATGGTATTTTTGATGGTTTATTTAAAAATATTGCTTTAAATATTTTTAAAATGTTAATAGTCATTTTCCTTCAATATCTCCTTTTTTTATCCTTGAACTAAATTTTATTAGATAGATTCTTTATTGCTAATATTATTAGGTTATATATTATTAATTTAGGAGCTAGCACTTTTATACTAATTCTACTCTCTTGGGCTTGATAGAAATTACCTTTCAGAGTTGATTTATTAGCTGCTAAACTAATTGTTTGTTTTTATTTTATTTTGAGAATTAGATAGTTAATTATTCTATTATATATTTTAACAGCAATTTTCAAAAATTTAAGTATTTTTAATTTCATATTGCTCATTTAATTCTTTTTACTGATCTTTTTGAATTTGAGACAAAATTAATTTATGATTTGTTGATTCTGCTGCATTTGGAGAATTTATTACAGAATTGACCAGATCTTTATTATTTATACTGTTCTAATTTTTTATATCCAACATATTTTCTTCAATTTTTAAAAAGTTATTTTTTAAGTCTATATTTAATTTCTAGTTATCTATTTTTTCATTTTTTATGTTTATTTAGTCATTAAATTTTAAATGAAATTAGCAATTATTGTTATTATTTTTAATAGGATATTTATTTTTTTTGAGATAATCACTATTTTTTGTTTGAAACACAGGTACAATTAGGTCTTTTTTTATATAATTTTCTTAGACTTCATCTACCGCTTCTTCTTTTTCAGCCTTTTCAGTGGAAATTGAACAAGTAATATTTTCTTACTTTTTAATAAGATTATTATGGATCATGATTTTTCTATATTTATCTTAGTAAAGATTTTGAAGCAAGAGCATAAAAAAGTCTTATTTTATTAAATTTTAACTGTAAAATTTCCCCACAATTCTTAATACAACTATTACTCCAGCTACAGCATTTACAAGCGCCAATATTTCTGTAATTGTTGGATATTAAAATTGGAATTTTTAAACAATTTCATCCATTAGTATTATTTATTTGCTATATGGGCCTAATCCTGATGTTAATGCTGAAATTCTGTCAAAATTTTAAGTTGTTAGAGTGTATTAAATAGGAGAAGAATAATATTATCTCTGCTAAATAAGGAGACCTAAGTCTACCTGAGTTTCTTATTTTTAAGTGCTCAGAGAGTTAAGTACAAATTAAGAAGATGATACATAATTATATATGTTTCTGTAAGTAGTTTGGATTTGCTTTGAAGTTGTATTATATTACTAAGTTTTGAGTTTCAGCTAAAAATATGCTTATTTTCCATCTATAACATTATTAATATCATTTTGGGCTGGGCAATTATGAGGTATAGTTGTTTTTACTAAGTCTTAATCTCTGCAACCATATAAATGTATGTAAATAGAAGAATAAACTTGATTATTATTACTATTATCAAGTAAAAAAGTATAGTTATTTGCTTTAGAAAAATCAATGCATGTAAAACCTTATAATTAAGGTGAAGTGCATTAAAATGTATTGAGATTGATAGTATTGTAAGTATTATTTTTAGGGTCTTAATAGTAAAGTTAAACAACATAAACAAGATATGTCTGATTCAAAGTTTGTTAATATTAATCTATGCTCGTTGAATAATTATACATAAACTAAAATGCAACTAAATCATCTTCGAGAGGTACTTCTATCCTATCATTCGTAATAAAGCTTTAAGATTAAAATTTTGGGCTTAATTAGTTGCTAAAATTGAGATAAAATAAGTAAATCGCATAAGAAAGAGTGGTTGTAACAGCTAAAAAAGACAAGATAAATCCTAAGACAGTATCTCTTTTATAATGCTTTGGCCCTATATTAAAATAAAACTCTGAAGAAAATAAATCTAAACCTTAAATACTCATTGTTTTTTTTAGTGATAAGCTTGTAGCTGCTAGCAATAGTTTTAGAGGTTTTTATTTTCTTTTCGTTTCTAAGTTTTATTTATTTTTATGTATTAATTAAATGAAATAATCTTAATTCAAGACTGGCTTACCTTAAATTTATTATTAAGATAAAAAAAAAATACAAAATGTTTGATTGTTTAGATTACATTTTTTCATGTAATTTAATTTAGAATTTATTAAAAAAAATTGATCATAATTAAAGCTTGAATATAATTTTTACTCAATTGCAAGCATATTTTGTTAAAATCCTACCCAAGATTATTAAATTAACAGTATTTTAAGGTAGGAAAAAAATTTTTTAATCAAAAGTACTAAAATTAGAAAAATAAATGAAAAATATAAATTTCAATAATTTGATTTTATTGAGCCAATTTTAAATGCCCTGGCCATAATAGAGAAATTAATTAAAAACTCCAAGTTACTTTTTTCTTCAAATTAATTGCTATTTTTATTTTCTTAATTTAATGTAAATATTTAAAATTTTCCTTTTAGTAATTACCTGACTAACTCATTCATTCATTCTGCAAACCTTTAAAGTTGATAACTCAAATAAAATAATATTTGTTAATTTAAAAGTATTAAATAAAAACAATATGTAGAATGAAATATTAAATATTAGTATTTTACTAATAGAAAAAAAATATAAATTTTCTTTAATCTTTAAATCGCTATTACAGTTGGATATATAAAATTATATTAAATAGTTTGATATATTTAACATCAATATTTTAATAATGAAGAAATTATTCTTTTATCTTTAGCATTTTGTTCTTATATTTCTTATTATTATTTTATGAAAAATCTTTTTAGATATTCTATCTGCAATAACTAGGAATTTGATATGCAAATCTGCTTTTCAAAATAATTTAACCCTCTATTGTTTATTTCTTAAAAAAATAAAATGATCTTATAGCTATTCCTTTAATTTATAAAAAGAACTTACATTAAATATTTATGTTAGATGCTTTATCAAAACTTTAAAATTATTCAGTGAGGGTTACAAACTATATTGCTGCTAATTGCTCGCTCTTCGCTTAATATTATCATAATAGCCTTTTTCAAAAAAAGAATTTCTTTATATAAATCATAAATGCTTAAATTCCTATTGACCTCTTACTCAATGTACTTTATAAAATCACATTCTATTAATCAAAATTTGAAAATAAATAAATAAACAAATAATTGCTCGAAAAAGTTAGTTTTTGGCCTTAATAAAATAAATTAATAGTTTGTATTAATTAAAATTTTGTATTCATTAGAATAATATTATAAATGAAAATATCAATATGCATAACATAAAATTAAATATTGTAAAATAAGTCCTCCAAATGAAATGGTTGGCAGACGAAAAAAAAAAATGGCCTGATACTTTATTGTGAAAATTATTTTATTTTAAAAACAAATTACAAGTTTAAAATTGTTATCATTATATATATATTATTTAAAATTAATTTACTTAAATTTTCTTATTTAACAATATTTAAAATAAAAGAAATAAAATTTGTTACTTCGTTAATTTTTTTATAATTTTTAATTTAAACTTTTACAAAAAAATAATTAAAAAACAAACATTCACTAATTTTTTTTAAAAATAGAAGAAATAATTCTATTATTAATTTCATTTTTATTATTGTTCAGTTAGTATTTAAAAAAGAATTTTTTTATATATTCTTCCTGTAACTGTTAAGATTGCATTATGCAAAATTACTTTTCAAAATAATTAAGCTTCTCTTTTATTTCTATTTATTTATTTAAAAATTTTGTTATTTTCTTTAAAATAATAATAATTTACTTTGATAATCATCTGAAAACTTATTTTTCACAAAGTCAAGATTCAGTACATTTTCTGTGAGACCTACAAATTGAATAGCAGCTAATTAATCTTTGGTTAATAGAATTGAGATTGCTTTTTTTAAAAAAATGATGTCTTTGTATAATTCATATATATTTAAATTTTTATTGACCTCTTATCCAACATTCATTAAAATTTTGAGATCTAATCCTTTAGATTTAAGAAAATCTTTAGATCTATATAATCTTTTTTGAAAATTAAATTAAAAAAAATTAATTTATTTTAAAAATAAAATTGTAATTTACTAAAATTTAAATAAAATATTTTGAATCATTTGTTTAGTTGGTTTATTTTGAATGGCTTTTAACTTTTAAGAAACAGCTAAGCTTAAAGTGTCATTGTTTTAGTTTTTTTTTCGAGTTTCAATGATTGATCCGTTAAAAGCAGATTTTGCTTAATTAAATAATGTCTTTTTAGAATTTGTTTGGATCTGGCTATTAGTCATTTTTATTTGATTTTTGTTTATACTTATAAAACTTTTTTAAGTGCTAATGTTTTATTTCTTTGAAAACATGTAACTTTCATCTTTTAGGTCAAAATCTTCAATCAGTATATTACTCTATTTATATAAGGGCGAAGAGTCATTACAATAATTGTTGCTATTATTATTTTAATTGTTCTTAGAAGGAAATATATTTTTTTCTGGAGTATCTCTAAATTTAGCTGGGAATGTAGGAACCAACATTTCACTTTTATTCTAATACTCTTCTGAGATAATGTCTGATGATTATTTTAAATTTATAATTTATTATGAAATATCTTCCTTTTTTTCAATTAGATTATTATGCTCAAGTATTTTTTCGTATTTATCTGAGTAGATGTTTTGTAGCAAAAGCATAAAGAAGTCTTATTTAATAAGCTTTTATGAATAAAATCTACCAATAAATCTTGCAATCATTACTAATGCTGCAACCCCATTTATTAGTGCCAGAATTTCTGTAATTGTAGGATACTAAATTTAGAATTACTAAACAATTTCATCCATAAATATCATCGTTTAATAGTATGGACCAAATCCTTACTTTAAAGAAAATTATCTATCAAAACTTTAACTTATTTAATTATATTGTATTGGAGACTAAAAATTAAGCTCATTCTGATATAATAAACCTAAGTTAACTTTTGTTTCCTATATTTAGGTATTGAGAGTAATGATAGTATATTAATTAGAGTATATATAATTATATATACTTCTATAATTAGTTTGAATCTATTTAGAAGTAGTGTTGTATTATTATGTTTTAAGTTTTAGGTAATAATAAGAACCTAAATTATTAATAGCATTATCAATTTCAGTTTATGAAGCACAGTTATCTGGAATAGTTGTCTTTTAAACATCTAAATCTAAACATCCATACATATTTATGTAAATTCCAGAATAAATTTAATTGTCATTACTGTTATCAAGTAAAAAAGTGTAATTGCTTACTTAGGAAAAATCTATGCAGTTAAATCCTTTTAGTGAAGGGTCAGTACATTTAACAACATCAAGATCGATGGTTAAGTAAATCTGATTTTTCAAGTCTTAGTAATAAAATTAAGGATAATACACAACATAGGTTTTATTCTGTGAAGCCTGATATTCATCCAAAGTCATAGATAAATTGTAAAATTATTAAAACCCTATAAGATCTTAGCTTAAAGGTACTTCTTTCCTAAAGCTTGTGATGAAACTCTATGATCTAAATTTTGGATCAATCAAATTACTAAAATACTAATTAAATATGTAAAATATATAAAAGAGAACTATAGCAACAGTTACCACAGATAAAGACAAACCTAAACAAGTTCCTCTTTTATATCTTCCTTCTCCCATATTAAAGTTAAATTCAGAAGAAAATAAATCGAATTTAAGAATGCTCATTACTTTTACTATATCTATCCTACTCTCTTATCTTTACTTCTAGTTTTTAATTAATTTTTTTCTTCTACTATCTGACTAAATATACTTTTTTAATTTACAATCAAATTATAGATAGTTGTTTAACACTTTTTTAAAATATAAATATTTTTTAATTACAATCAATAAGAACTAATATAGTAAAAAAAATTCTTAAATAAATTATGATAGTGACTTCAAAGAAAATGATAAATAAAATAACAAATTAATTACTAGATTATCAATAAGTAAAATAAATAGACAAAATCAATTTTTATGTCAAACTAAAATATATAAATGTTTCCTTATTTCGTTTTAAAATGATCACTAATTTTTGATATTTGATAACAATAGAGCAAATTTAGTAATATTATGCAAGTTAAATTATTAAAGCATGATTATTTTTAAAAAAACTCATTCAATTTATTTTATATGTCATCTTTTAATATTAATAATTTAATTGGGAGACAAATAAAAGAAATAGAATAAATTTTATCAATTAATTATATTATAGATTTAAAATTTATCAATTCAGTTATCATTAAAACAAAAACAAAAACAAAAAAATATCTAAAAATTCTAAAAGTATTTATAAATTTTAACAACTTTCTTATAATAATCTAATTCTATGTTTCACTTTTAACCTGATTTGTTTTACTTTAACTAATCAAATTATTTTTAATATGTTAACTCAGTTAACTTAAAATATATTTATTGCTTATTACAAAAACAAAATATTTTAAGTTGATTTACTGCTTATAAGGGTATAATTTATGTAAAGCAAGATGCCATACAAAAATTTCGTGGTTTGCATACCACTCATTATGAATTAGATTTTAATTAATTAAAAAATTTGATTTTTATATTTTATAATAAAATTTTTATTATGAATTTAATTTATTATAATTTCAAAAATAAATAATTTTTTTCATCATAATTTTTAAATTTAGTTAAATTTTGTGAAGTAGGGTAGCAAAAATACAGGGTTTGGGGTCATCAATTTCTGTAGAAATTATTCCAAACATTCAAAATTTGTAGATAAAAGAAATTAATTTATTTCTTATCTCACAATATATTTTAATTATTTAATAATCAAGCTTTTTATCCCTATTCCAAAGATTTAATGCTAATATTAATATTTTATTCATAACTAATCTAATTTTTTTCTACATATTTTCAAAATTTATTGTGTCAAATTATTAAATAGAGAATTAAATTATTTTATTCAATAAAAATATAACAAATTATAAAATATACCAATTTATACATTTTATATCATAATTTTATTAATATTGAAGACATTATCCTTTAATCTATTTCGTTATATTATTTGTTTTACTAGCATCTTTAAATAAATTTATATATATATTTTTATTGCAAATCTTATGATCGTAGAATGCAAAACTATTTTTCAAAATAATTAAGCTTGCTTTTTATTTCTTAAAATCATAAAAATATAAATACATGATTAGTTATTAAAATAATTAATTTACAATCATAACTAAGTTTTGATTAGCTATTCTTTAAATCTAGGTTCAAAAATTGTTCTGAAAGACCTATACAATATATAGCAGAGAGTTGATCTTAGCTAAGAAGCATAGTAATTGCTTTTTTCAAAAAAATAATATCTTTATAAAGCTAAAATACATCTAAGCTTGTATTAATCTCTTGTTAAACTTTGTGGATAATTTTATTCTCTATACCTTTTGATTTTAAAAATTCTTTTGTCTTGAAAATTCTAATTTTTATAATAAATAAATAAAACGTTAAACAAAAAATTATTTATTTATTTTTTTAAAAAATTTTACTTAAATTTAAATATAATATTTTTTATTTATTATTTTATTGAAGGACTTTAAATCTTTCTAAATTTAGAAGAATAAGCTTGACTAAAATCTTCTTTATTTCTATTCTAATAGATAATTTTATTATTTAGATTTTCTAAATTATCTTTAATATTAAGCTCTCTTGTTTACTTTTAACTTTATTTACTTGAATTTTAACTTTCCTTTTAATAATTAGAAGGTTGGAGAAAGTTTAATAAAAAACTTTAAGACTTGGTCTATGAACTTGTTAAAAAACTAAAATTTGGAGAATTGATCAACAGATTTTAATCACTTTTTTTGTTTCTTGTACTAATTTATTCTACAGTAATTAGCTGCTAGTCATCTTTTTTATACATTAAATTTTCTTCTTTATTCATATATTTTTATAAATTTTAAGTGGCATCGTCTTTTGATTAATGAGTCAATTAATTTTTATCAACATGGATTTTTGATTTAGTATTGAGACTTGGTATAAAAATTTGCTTTTTTAAATTCTTTTCCAAGTTATCATCTGAAAATTCTTGCTTTATATTTGTTAATTAATCAAAATTATAATTCTTTTAAATTATAAAATGATTATGTTAAAGTATTTATTCATACTTGCTCCTAAAGATGTTTTAAAGTATGAGCATAAAGAAGTCTTAGTAAATTAGCTTTTAGGAATATAACCTACAAAAAAATCTAGAAATGATAACTAGAATAGCAACTCCATTGACAAGTGCCAAAATTGAAGTTATTGTAGGGTACTAAATATTAATTTTTTATACAATTTCATCAATTCTGATAATTACTTACATATATGGACCCACACCTGATAACAAAGATAGATTTCTATCAAATGATTAAATTACCTAATTATGCTATATTGGGGAAAAATAATTTTCTTAACTTTAAGATAATAATCCTATGCTAACCTAAGTCTCTTAAGTTTATGTATAGATAGTATTAACTATGTATTAATTAGATAAAACATAGTTGTATACACTCCTATAATTAGTTTGAATCTACTACGAAGTAGTATTGTATTATTAAGTTTTAAGTTTAATATAGAAGTAAGCATCTTTTCCATTAATTACATTATCTATATCAATTTAATTAGCACAATTACTAGGGAATGTAGTTTTTACTTAATCTAAGTCTTAACAACCATACATACTAATATATATCTAAGAGTAAACATTATTATTATTACTATTATCAAGTAATAGAACTTAGTCTTAAATCTTTGAGAAATCAACACAATAGAAGCCTTATAAAGCAGGATCATTGCATTTAACAATATCAAGATTGATAGTATTAAATATATTATTTAAAGTATCCTAATAGAAATATTAAGCATAAAAAACTGCATATGTTTAATTATAAATTTGTTAATACTGATCTATTGTCATTGAGAGATTATAATAAAATTAAAACCCTACTAGATTCTAGCTTAAGTCTACTTTTTTCTGATAGTCTGTGATAAAACTTTGAGATCTAAAGTTTGGACTAATCAAATTATTCAAATATTAATAAAGCATATAAACGAAGTAATAAAAAACAGCACCATAAGAAAGTATAGATAATATGAAGCCAAAGCAACTACCTCTTTTTTACTGTTATTAAGTTCCAATATTAAAATAAAACTCAGAAGAAAATAAATCATATTTGTTAATATTCATTTCTATTGTTATGAAAATCACTATATTTTTATTTCTACTAACTAATTGATATCACTTATCTCTACTTTTACTTAATTATTCTTTTATTATATAAATTATTAAGCTCATAAAATTCCAATTTTAATTTATGTATTCCCAAATCATATAATTCTTTTAGCATTCTCTCTATAATAATTATTTCCTTAATAAAATTAAATTTAATAAAAAATTAAATATTTTTTTATAAATGAAAAAAAAATTTAAAAATAATAAAAAAAGGTATCAAAATAGGTTTGTTTCGAACCTGAATAAACAACAATAAAATATATTTTTTTCATTGAATTATATTCGAATACTGTTATATGTAAATTTTTTGATGTTTTAATTGAATTTAAAAATGGTATTTTAATGATTTATTTAAAACAAAAGATTTAAATATTTTTAAAACATTTTAAAATTTGTTTTACTTTAAGTTGAAAATTTTTATTTGTTTATTTTATATTCTTGATGTAATTACTTTTAGCAATTTTAAGTATTTTTTAAATAAAGAGTAAATTAATATATTTTGGATTCTTTATAAAATATAAAATAAGCTTCTTAAAAAATGTAATATTGCATAACTAAATTTTATAATTTACTCAAGTTTACTTAATTATTACAAGTAAAGTATTGTGTGTTGTTATAAATAAAAAAATCAACTAACTTTTTACAATTTACAATTAATAGATTTCAAAAGAAGTTAAAAAATATAAAGGATGATTAACTTAAATATTTTTAATACAACAACTGTGATTAACAATCTAGTTCTTCATGAATTAGACCTAAATTTATACTTAGTTACATTAGAATTGCATATGAAATTTTATATGCCAATGAGTTAGAATTTGAGGTGAAATTTTTAATTTCATTTTGTCATAAATATAGATGAACATATTCTTTAGTCTATTTCATTTTTTTGTTTATTCTCTTATTATTTGAGTAAGAACTTTTATAAATACAAATCTTATAATTCCTGAGACTGTAATATACAAAGCTACTTTTCGAAGTAATTTAATTTGTTATCTATTTCTATTTATTTTTTAATACAATAAATAAACATATGCTTTAGATCCTTATTTATTAAGACTTTTTTATTAAAGCCATATTTTTAAAAAATTAAATTAAAAGCCTATTTGGTATGGGTCAAAACAGAGTTTATGTGATTTAAATTTTTGAGAATTTACAATATTTCAGCCAAAAAACTGAATGTAAATTTATATGAAATAACTTTATTAAGCTCCTATTAGATGTTCATCTCTTTTTAAATTTAGATTAAAGAAATTTTCAGTAAGACTTATACATTAAATAGCCGCTAATTATTGATTGCTTAAAAGTATTGATATAGCCTTTTTTATAAAAATTACATCTTTATAGAATTCATATATGTCTAAACTTTTGTTGACTTCGAACTAAATGTGATTTATCAATTATTTATCTATTCCTTTAGACTTAAAATATTTTTTCGATTTGAAAAACCTTTTTGAAAAAAATTTTAAATATCAAATTTGATTAATAAAAATATAATTTAAATATTTTACTTAAATTTAAAAATAAAGTTTTTAATCAGTTTTCTTATTGAATTGCTATAAATTGCTTTGAATTTCTCAGTTAGGGTTTTATTTTTCAATTTATTATTGCTTTCCAAATAAATAGTTTCTTTCTTTTGAGTTTGTTAAATTTTATGAGTAGTTTTTTTATTTTATTTCTTTAAAATATTAGATTTACTCGAATCAATACTTTCTTTTTGATAGAAAACTGCTCTTGGACTCTTAACGTTTCCTTTTGGGGAAATAGTTAGTAGGCTACCTAATTGTTTAGCTTTGTTTGTAAAATCGTAAAGTAAAATTTTATTATTTTTTTATAAGGTTTAACTTGTTTTGTTTATTTGAGTGAGTAATATATATCTGGTTTTTAATTTTCTTCGCTTTTTATACTACTTTAAAATATATTTTAATTGAAATCACTAGCCTGAGATTTTTCAACATTATCTTTTAATTTAATTTAAAAATTTGGGATAAAAATATTATTGCTATTGTTCCTTTCAAACATTTCATCATCTTATTTTAGATTTGATTCATTAATAGATTTATTTTATTAAATAAATTTGTTTTATTATAGTATCTTTAAGTATTTATCTTGATAAATATTTTGAAGTAGTATCATAAAGAAATCCTATTTGATTAATCTTTGTGAATAAAATCTACCAAAATATCTTAAAACTGTAACTAAAGTAGCTACTCCATTTACAACAAACAGCAAATATTTCTGTGAAAGTGGGAAATTAAATTTCAAATTACTAAACAATTTCATCCATTTGTATAATTACTTAATTATATGGACCTAACCCTTATTTTAATGAGAATTCCTTATTAAAAGTTTTATTTATTTAATTATACTAGATTGGAGAGGAAAATGTTTCTTAACTTTAAAATATTAACCCTTAATTGACACTAATCTCTTGCATTTAGGTGCTTAAGGTGTTGACAAAAAACTAATTAGATGAAAGGTAATTGTAAATATTTCTATAATTTGTTTAAATCTTTTTGGATGTTGTGTTATATTGCTATATTTTAAGTTTTAAATAAAAATAAGAATCTAAAACATTAATTACATTATCAATTTCAGTTTAATTGGCAAAATTATTAGGAATATTAGTTTTTACATTATCTATATCTAAGCAACCGTATGTATTAATCTATATTGAAGAGTAAACAGTTAACTAATCACTATTATCAAGCAATAAAGTGTAATTACTTATTTAGGAAAAGTCTATACAATAGAATCCATTCAAATAAGGATCAGTGCATCTTACAATATCAAGGTTAAATGTATTGTAAATATTATTTTTAATATCTTAGTAGTAAAATTAAGCATAAAAAATAATATATGTTTTATTTTAAGATGTTTAATATTCATCAATAGTCATTGAATAATTATAATTAAACTAAAATCCAACCAAATCTAAAGTCAAAGGCACTTCTTTCCTGTTTTCTGTGATAAAACTTTAAGATCTAAATTTCGGATTTATCAAGTTATTGAAATATTAATTAAATAAGTAAAAAAAGTAAAAAAGTACAACCACAGTAGCTATCACAGATAACGATAGTCCCAAACTGTGCCTCTTTTGTATTTCTAGCTTCCCATATTAAAATATAATTCTGAAGAAAATAAATCGTACTTGAGAATATCCATATATGAATCAAAATATTATCTTAATTTTGTTATTAATTACTTCTACTTTTTAAATTAATTAAAAGCTAGCTGAATTTCTTGAACCAATTAAATTCTTATTTTTTATAATTATTAAATTAAAGTTATCATATTTTTAGACACTAAGATAAAAACAGTAATGATTTTTTTGAATATTTAAAGCTTTTTTCTGTTTATGTTAAATTATAATTAAAATTTAATAAAAATTAAATTTAAAACTAATTACCTAACATATACAGGATACGAAAAAAATAATGTCCATACTTTTTCAAAGATCTTTGATATAATGAAACTTATTATATTTTGTGAATATATTGTAGAATTATTGGCGGGGTAGTCTGGAACCGGACAATGAATGAAAAATTCAATTCTTATTTGATATAATTTTTGTGATAAAGTATAAAAAAATTTTTTTAAATAAAAATTTCTATCAGAGCATAATCTAATTTTGTTAAGCATATTTTCAAGGCCATAATGAAATTAATTAAAAATGTCAATTTACTTTTTTCTTCAAGTTAATTGATAAGTAACAAATTTTTTTTATTTTTAAATTAATGCAAATATTTTTAAAATTCTTTTTATTAATCATATGACTAACTTATTCTACCAACTTTGAAAATTGGTAACTCAAATAAAATAATATTTGTTAATTTCAAAATATAAATTAATAAAATAATGTAGAATGAAATGTTAAATTTTTACTAATAAAAAAAATATATATTTTCTTTCATCTTTAACACGTTATTATAGTTGGATATATAAAATTATATAGAGTGAAATATTTAGCATCAATATTTTAATAATGAAGAAAATATTCTTTAATCTATAGCATCTTGTTCATATATTTCTTATTACTATTTTATGTAAAATTTTTTTAGATACCCTTCTTGCAATAGCTAGGAATTTAATATGCAATTCTGCTTCTCAAAGTAATTAAACCCTAAATTGTTTATTTCTTAAAAAAAATAAATTTAATTTGTTGCTATACTTTTAATTTATAAAAATAAATAACTTACATTCAACATTTATGTTAGATGTTTTATCAAAACTTTAAAATTTTTCAGTGAGAGTTACAAGCTATATAGCTGCTAATTGCTCCTCGCTTAATATCATCATAATAGCCTTTTTCAATAAAATGATGTCTTTGTATACATCATAAATGTTTAAATTCCTATTGACCTCTTCCTCAATTTACTTTATAAAATCATATTCTATCCCCTTCTACTAAAAAAATGCTCTAGACTTAAATTACCTTTTTTTATTTAATAAAATGATTAAATTAATAAATTTGTGAATTTTTTGATGCTTTACTTGAATTTAAAAATGGTACTTTTGATAGTTTATTTAAAACTATAATTTTTAATATTTTTTAAATATTAATGGGCATATTCCTTCAAGTTTTCCTTTTTTTATGTTTGAGTAAAATTTTATTAGATAGACTCGCTATTACTAATATTATTAGATTGTTTAGTATTAAATAAGGATCTACTTTAGAAAACACTTGCACCTTTCTACTAACTCTATGTTTTTTGGTTTGATAGAAATTACTTTTGAGAGCTGATTTATTAATTGTTTAACAAAACTTTTAATTTTGTTTTATTTAGAGGACTCGATAGTTAAGACTATTCTGTATTATTACAGCAATTTTCACTAATTTAAGTATTTTTAATTACATCTTGCTCATTTTATTCATTTTACTAACTTTTTTCAATTCGAGAGAAAATTAATTTACTGTTTATTGAATCTGCCTTTGGAGAGCTTGTTACGGAGTAAACCTGATCGTTATTATTAGCACTGTTCTAAATTTTAAAATTTTCTTCACTATTTTATAAATTATTTATTAAGTCAATATTTAATTTCTAGTTTTCCGTTTTTTCATTTTCTTCATTTATTTAGTCGTCATTAAAATTTAAAACAACTTAACAATTATTATTATTTAAAGTTCGATTTTGATTTTTTTCAACATAATCTCTAAGTTTTGTTGGAAAGTCGGGCACAATAATGTCTCTTTTTAAACAATTTTCTTAGATTTCACCTACCACTTCTTCTTTTTCAGTTTTTTCAGTTTAAATCAAGCAAGAAATATTTTCTTAGTTTTTGATAAGATTATTATGGTTTATGATTTTTCTATACTTATCTTAGTAAAGATTTTGAAGTAAGAGCATAAAGAAGTCTTATTTTATTAATTATTAACTGTAAAATTTGCCAACAATTCTAAATACAACTATTATTCCAGCAACAGCATTTATAATTGCCAAAATTTCAGTAATTGTTGGATATTAAATTTGAAATTATTAAACAATCTCATCCATTAGTAATATTTATTTACTATAGGGGCCTAATCCTGATTATTATGCAGAAATTCTATCAAAATTTTAAGTTGTTTGAGTATATTAAATAGGAGAAGAGTAAGTTTATCTCTACTAAAAAAGGAGACCTGAGTCTACATTAGTTTCTTATTTTTACGTGCTGAGAGAATTAAGTACAAATTAAGCAGAGGATACATAATTATATAAGTTTCTGTAATTAGTTTGCATCTCTTTTGAATTTGTATTGTATTACTATGTTTTGAGTTTCAGTTAAAAATATGCTTAAACTCCATCTATAATATTATCAATATCTATTTGGTCTGGACAATCATCAGGTACAACTGTTTTTACTAAGTCTTAATCTCTGCAACCATACAAATGAATGTAAATAGAAGAATAAACTTGATTATTATTTGTATTATCAAGCAAAAAAGTATAGTTACCTACATTAGAAAAATCAATACATATAAAACCTTATAACTCTGGTGTTGTGCATTAAAATGTATTGAGATAGATTGTATTGTAAATATTATTTTTAGAGTCTTAATAGTAAAGTTAAACAATATAAATAAGATAAGTCTGATTCAAAGATTGTTAATATTAATCTACACTCATCGAATAATTATACATAAACTAAAACCCAACTAAATCATTTTCTAGAGGTACTTCTATCCTACCATTTGTAATAAAACTTTAAGATTAAAATTTTGGGTTTATTTAGTTACTAAAATTGAGATAAAATAAGTAAATGGCATAAGAAAGAGTGGTAGTAATAGCTAAAATTGATAGGATGAATCCTAAGATAGTGTTTCTTTTATAATGTTTTGGCCCTATATTAAAATAAAACTCTGAAGAAAATAAATCGAAACTTTATGTCATGGTTTTTTTTGAGATATGTGCGTTGCAGCTAACTATACTTTTAGAGGTTTTTATTTGCTTTTTGCTTCTACTTTTTATTTATATATATTTACTTATTAAATAAATTATTTTTAATTAAAGGCTGGTTTAACTAAATATAAATAAAAAAATAAAAAAGTAAAGTTTTAATTTTATTCTCTTAGGTTTATTAATTTTTATTTTTTTCATGTAATTTAATGTAGAATTTATTAAACAAATTGAATTACAATAAAAACTTGAATATATATTTTTACTCAATTAATTGGCAAACTTTTTTTTGAAGGTACTTATATATATTATTTAATCTTTGTCATTTTATGATATATAAAATTATATAATGCGAAGTATTATAATCAACATTTTAATAATGAAAAAAATATTCTTTAATCTATAACATCTTGTTGATGTATTTCTTATTACTATTTTATGTAAAATTTTTTTAGATACTCTTCTTGCAATAGCTAGGAATTTAATATGCAAATCTGCTTTTCAAAATAATTTAACCTTCCATCGTTTATTTCTTAAAAAAATAAAGTGATTTAGATGCTATACTTTTAATTTAAAAAAAGAACTTACATTCAATATTCATGTTTGGTGTTTTATCAAAACTTTAAAATTATTCAGTGAGAGTTACAAATTATATAGCTGCTAATTACTCTTCGCTTAACATCATTGTAATAGCCTTTTTCAAAAAAATAATGTCTTTGTATAAATCATAAATGTTTAAATTCCTATTGACCTCTTCCTCAATTTACTTTATAAAATCATATTCTATCCCCTTCTACTGAAAAAATGTTTTAGACTTAAATTACCTTTTTTTATTTAATAATATGATTAAATTAATAAATCTCTAATTTTTTTGAATATTTACTTAAATTTAAAAATGGTATTTTTAATGGTTTATTTAAAACTATTGTTTTAAATATTTTTTAAATGTTAATAGTCCCTTTCCTTCAATATCTCCTTTTTTTATCCTTGTGTTAAATTTTATGAGTTGAATACTCTATTAGCAATATTAATAGATGATCTGTTATTAAATTAAGATCTACTTTAGAAAACACTGGCACTTTTCTATTTATTCTACATTTTCGGGCTTGATAGAAGTTACCTTTGAGAGCTGATTTATTAGCTACAAAGCAAATTGTTTAATTTTATTTTATTTTGAGAATTCAATAATTGATTCTTGTATGTATTATAATAGTAGTTTTCATTTAATTAAATATCTTTAATTGTGCTTTGCTCATTTTATTCATTTTATTAATTTGTTACTACTTGAGGAAAACTGAATTTTTTGTTTATTGATTCTTCATTTGGAGAGTTTATTACATAGTTATTCAGATCGTTATTATTTATAGAGTTCTAATTTTTTAAATTTAGTGTATTTTCTTCATTGTTTTAAAAATTATTTTTTAAGTCTATATTTACTTTCTAGTTTTCTGTTTTTTCATTTTCTTCATTTATTTAGTCATTGAATTTTAAAAGATATTAACAATTTTTAGTATCATTTAAAATAGGACTTTGACTTTTTTCTACATAATCTCTAAGTTTTGTTGGAAAGTCAGGTACAATAATGTCTCTTTTTAAACAATTTTCTTAAATTTCATCTTCCACTTCATCTTTTTAAGTTTTTTCAGTTGAAATCAAACTAGAAATATTTTCTTAGTTGTTAATAAGATTATTATGGATTATGATATTTTTGTATTTATCTTAGTAAAGATTTTGAAGCATTAGCATAAAGAAGTCTTATTTTATTAACTTTTAACTGTAAAATTTACCCAAAATCCTAAATACAACTATTAATCCAGCAACAGCATTTACAAGTGCTAAAATTTCTGTAATTGTTGGATATTAAATTTGAAATTTTTAAACAATTTCATCCATTAATAATATTTATTTACTATATGGGCCTAATCCTAATGCCAATGAGGAATTTCTATCAAAATTTTAAGTTGTTTAAGTATATTAAATAGGAGAAGAGTAAGTTTATCTTTATTAAAAAAGGAGACCTAAGTCTACCTGAGTTTCTTATTTTTATGCGCTCAAAGAATTAAGTACAAATTAAGGAGAGTATGCATAATTATATATGTTTCTGTAAGTAGTTTGAATTTCTTATGAATTTGTATTGTATTACTAAGTTTTAAGTTTCAGCTAAAAATATGCTTATTATCCATTTATAACGTTATCAATATCCGTTTGTGCTGGACAATTATCAGGTACAGTTGTTTTTACAAAGTCCTAATCTCTGCAACCATACATATGAATGTAAATAGAAGAATAAATTTGATTATTATTATTATTATCAAGCAAAAAAGTATAGTTACCTACATTGGAAAAATCAATACATCTAAAACCTTGTAATTAAGGCGTTGTGCATTGAAACGTATTGAGATTGATAGTATTGTAAGTGTTATTTGTAGGGTCTTAATAGTAAAGCTAAACAACATAAACTAGATATGTCTGATTCAAAGATTGTTAATATTAATCTATGGTCATTGAATAATTATACATAAACTAAAACCCAACTAAATCATCTTCGAGAGGTACTTCTATCTTTTCATTTGTAATAAAGCTTTAAGATTAAAATTTCGGGTTTATTTAGTTGCTAAAATTGAGATAAAATAAGTAAATGGTATAAGAAAGAGTCGTAGTAACAGCTAAAAACGAGAGTATTAATCCTAAGAGAGTGTTTCTTTTATAATGCTTTGGCCCTAAATTAAAATAAAATTCTGAAGAAAATAAATCTAAAGCTTAAATATTCATGATTTTTTTAGTGGAAAGCAGTTAATTATACTTTTAAAAAAAATTTTATTTGCTTTTGATTCTATATTTTTATTTATTTTTATGTATTATTTTCTAGTTAGATTAATCACAAAGTAAAAATAAAACTTTAATTTTTATCACTTTACTTAGTAATTATTGTTTCTATATTTATTTTTAAAATTCCACCCACACTAGCTAACTAGAATAGCTGCTTTTTAAAAAACAAAGAAAAATTTGATTTAGCAAAAATACTTAAATAAAAAAAAGGAAAATGAAAAGAAATTAAAAAAGTTTATTCAAATCATTAAATATTTTTATTATTAACACTCTCTTTTCTTTTTTTTATAGTTGTTTTTGGAACTTAATTGGCAATAATAATTGATCTTAATTAATTATGATTATTTATTGAATATGATAGTCGAGAAAATAGATATATTTATTTTTAGAAACTTGTAGTTCTTTAAAGCTTTCTAAATAGCATAGAGTTTTCTTTGATAAAAATTCTATTAAATCTATTATAATTTATTTAGGAAATATAAGTATTACTAAAGAATTAATTTAAGCTCTAAAAAGAATGAAATCAGTTAATGACCTAATCGAAAATTTAATATATACTGAAGTTTAAGAATTAGCGAAAATAAATTTTTATATAATTTTACCTTGTCTAAATTATATAATAATAAAGAAATAATAGATTGCATGGTAAAATGTAAATAATACTAAATTAAAATAGAAACAATAAAATAAATTAAACGCTCACATTTTATTTAACAAAATAAATTATTTAAATTTACTTTATTTAAAAAATTATAATTTAATTTTAGAAACTATTTATTTATTTTTTTGAAAAATAATCAGTATTATGTTATTAAGAATAGAAAAATTCATTTTTATTTTTTAAGGAAGAATATATAATAATTGTAACAAAATAAACATTAATTTATACTTAAAGTTTAGGAATAGGTAATAATTGAAAATTAATATGGTTTGGAATACGTTAAAATTATTTTTGTATCTAAATTAAGGAAATAACAAAAAATAATTTAAAATTTATTGTGTTTGTGCTCATTAATTCTTTATTTAGATGACTAATTTTAAACTACTCAAATCTGTATTTTATCAGCAGATGTCTATGAATAAATTATAATGGTGTAGACTTAAACTCTAAAAATGATGCAATTCAAAAAATTAATTTGAATATTGCGGTAATTGTTTTATTGATGCAATATTAAGTATCCACCTATGCTCATATAATTTCACGCGTTTAAACTTTGATTTTTTTAATTTGTTTGTAATATTAACAAAATTTATCAAATTTGAAGTTAATAATTGATCAAGTGTACAATTTTTATAACAAATGTAATTTGACTGTGTTTTTGAGGTAAATAAACAATAAATAAACAAATAGTTCATGGTTTTAGAGACTAAACAATTTTGAAATTTATTTGATTAAATTTTGTGCTATTTGGCTATTAATAATAAAATACATTCATATAAAGTTATATATTTTTTACGATGTAAGCTAAAAGTTAAGCATTTAAAATAATTTGTTAAACATATATATGATTTTTAATCACTTGCTTTCAGCAGGGTTGTTGACTCTTCCCATAAAGAGAATAGAGCCAGTAGGCTTGTGGGAGATGGTGTAGAGGAAAGGTCTTGTGCATCTTACTTCAGGATTGAATTCCATCATCAAGCATCTCATTAAGATAGCGGTGGCAGCAGCAGCTTCAGCTCCTTCTTCGTTAACTTCAATCATAGCTTTGTGAACAACGTCATCAATAAAGATTTCTTTAGATTCATCCATACCAGAGAAATCAGCATCACCTTAGAAACATTTCTTTAATCCAAGCTTGGATAAGATGAACTTCAAGCTATTAGCTGAAGGATCTTCAATCTTGAATTTGGGTAAACCAAGGTTAATCTTTGTTTCATGAGCATTTTATCTTAAGTCATGAAGAACTTATTGACTGAAATCACCTTCAACCTAGCTTAAAGCAACACTTTCCTTAGGTAAAATAACTTCCATCATATATTCTTTACCTTTGTAAGGAATTTAAACGTATTAGCAAGAGTCATTTTCGAAATAAGGATATTTCTTTTCAATAGACATATAGTCTACTTAGACGGTAGAGTTAGCAGAAACGTTGAATTCGCTCTTATAAGTATTGTGCTTGGGGAATTATTCATCCCAGTTACCCTTAAAGTAGATGGCATTGACTAAGACCATGACTGTTGAGGGAGTGAGAGTACCAGATTGGAGTAAATCCTTGATTTTATCATTAGTAACTTCTTCAACCCACTTATTAATTGTTAAACGAACTTATTCGTATTCAGTCTTGAAGTTAACTTATTCAACAGGTGAGTTAAAGCTCTCCTTCATCATGGTTTAGTATTCAGCCTTTAAGTTGGGAAGTCCAGAGTAAATCTTGTTAGCAATTCTAGTTTAAATGCCTTCAGACTTAGTAAGTAAGAGCTAAGTAGCGTTGCTGACTTCTTTAGCGAACTATTGAGGGTTTTCAAAACCAAGAACATCCTTGAATTCTTAGAGAGTTTAGCTGTTAGAGCCTAAGCCAGCCATAGCAAGAGCTAAGTAAATGGAGGCAGGAGAGAAAATTAAGTTAGAATTAGTAGGGAGTTCCTTGAACAATCTGAGACCGAAGGCAGAAATTTAAGAGTTAACTTATTGAGTTTCCATTTAAGATATTTTTGATTAAAAGATATTTATTTTTTGTTGTTGTTTGGATATTTATTTATTTGATAATTGTTTTTATTTTTAATTAATTACAGATTATCAGTCATACAATTTATGCAGAAATATAAAGTATGATTTATGGTATCTTGTCTATAACCTTTAATTTTATTGGAGACGATCCACATATTAAATCATTAAAATTAAATTTCTAAAAATCTATATTTTTCTGATCAAATTAAAATATTCTTAACAATTAGCATCTTAACTTACAGCTTGAATTAATTAATACACTTTGTTTGACCTAAAATAAGACTTTGTAAACTAAAATAATTCACGCATTAATTAAATAAAATAATTAGCCCATCGAATTTAATAGTTATTTATTGATCAAATAATTGAATGGAACACGTATTTTTATTCAAATAACATCTCTTAACAAATAATTTAATGTTTTTAAAAAAATCTAATTCATATTTAAATTAAATAAGAAATAAATCTCTATTAAAATAATTTCTGATAAGAAAAATTTTATAAAAATAGCAAACTAATTATGATTTTATTTTCTATTATCATTAATATTTGAGTCTCCTACAATAAAATAAATAATTAAGATCTATTTAATGTTCATGAATGAATTAATTACTTTTTATTTATTTAATTATTAATTGTTTTTTTGTCTATATTAAATTTTTGATATAACTAAATTACTTCAAGCACATAAAAAATAGACAAAAATTATCTCTAAAAAAACTAATAAATTTAAAAAATCTATATTTAGATAATGGGTGATATAAATAAATAACTCCTTTTCAACTAAATGTTAAATTTAGCTTTTATTAAAAAACAAATTTATCTATTTTAATACATTTAAACAAATAGATGATTTTATTTTTAGAAGAGATAAAACATATTTTTGTCTTTGTTTTATCATTTATTTAAAATTAAAATTTTTAATAAACTAAAAAATTTAAAATATTTTTTTAAATAAAATCAACAAATTAAAAACAGATTTTATTTGTTTTTGAAGTGAATATAATTCTGAAGGGTAAATTATTAATAAAGAAACATATCATTGATTTTTATGAGCAAAATCCATTTTCTTATCAAGAAATATAGATTAACTAATAAATTATTAAATATATAAGAATTTAACTAGCTAAAAATCTATAAAATTAAATTATTTTTGGATTTAAATTATATAAATTATTATGTATTGCTACTGTCCTTATAGCTAAGAATTAATAAAGTTTTATATAAATAAATATGTCTCATTATTATTGATCAGATAAATAAAAAATTACTTTTTTTTATGTATTCTTGTTATTTATAGATAAATTATTTTAAATACAAATGATTTAATGAGTATTTTTAGCAATAAATTTAAATAAATCTAGAAATAAAACTTCTACTTTAAATATTTTATAAGTTTAAAATATCATAAAAATAAATTTTATATTTAAAACAAAAATATTATTTAAAATTCAGGTTTGGAAAAAATAATAAAAATGTCTCTTTAATTTTAAATATTTATTTGACATTATTTATTATTGATTAGATTATAAATAGCTTATTTATTTTAACAATAATGAAAAACTTTTTTTCATCAGGCTAAGTAAGTTTTAATTTACTAAAAATGTATTAAAATTATCAATTATGGATTAGTTAAAAGAGCTTATTTTTTGAGACAAACCTAAAAACCAAAAAATATTTTAAGGAAAAAAAAGTGAAAGAAGTATTGTTAAAATGTTTAATTTTTAATTTTTTTAATAATTTTCCTTAGTAAAGATAAAAAGAGGAAATAAATAAGATATTTATGATTATAATAATTTTATCTAATTTATCTAAATCTTTTAGAAATGTAACAAATAAAAAAAAAAACCTAAATAATTTAAATTTTAAAAATTTATGGATAAATTGAGAGTAAGGCATACCTGAAAAAAAGAGTAAATGTGTAATTTTTTTTATTATTTTATAATTTTCTTGTTCATTAATCCATATTAGGTATTTTTATTATATAAAATACATATGATTTTAATTCATAAAAAATAAAATACTTAAAAGTAATTAGAAATATACCTTTTATCATAAGTTGAAAATCAGTTTATAATATATTTTTTTTATTTAAATAGAATTTTATTATTATTATTATAGAATTTGATAGAAAATTTTTCATATAAAAATTCATTTAATGGATTGTTTTATATTTTTAAATATTAAATAAGATTTTACTAAAGAATAAATAAATCCATATTCCAAGAGATTGCTAATGATGTTATTTAAATTTTCTGAAGATAAGGTTTATTTAATTAAAAACATGCATAAATAAATAGTTTGGTAAATATTTCTATGGAAATTTAGAGAAATCATTATTATTTTAAGCAGATACAATGTGGGATATATTGATTTGATAGAGCAAGTAAAATCAATATAGGAATGAATAAGAATATTAATATGTGAATAGAATTTTCAAGGTCTTGCAAAGGATTAGTTGTAAAGGAGAAGAATAAAGGAGGATGAGGAGGTAAGCAAATTTAGAAATTAAGAAAACTAAAAAGAAAAAAGAAACAAGAGTTATTAATTTAGAAAAATAATAAATTTTTTTACGCACATTAAATCACCGACGTAAGAAAAAGATAATCAGATTTTATTAAAAATATATTGCCCTTTCAAGATATCTAATTTGATAAAAATAAGGCAATACTGATGTGAAGTAATTGTAATAACGTAAGTAAAATGCTAAAAGTTGCTATCAAATATTAAAAAATAGCTCTTTCAATTTAAATGAATTATTTTGAAACAAAATCCTTTTTAGATTAAAACTAGATTTAATCCAAAGTTATTCATATTTTTTTACTTAAGTATTAGATTCTCATCAAATTTGAATGAATATAAAATTAATTAATATTTTTTATTGTTCTTCTGTGTGTGCTCAAGATTTTTTCCTCTAAAGTAAATGAAAAATCAATCAATTACAACTTTAAAAATACATTTGATATTTAAGTTTTAATTTGGAAGATTTTTACATTAATTTAGCAGTTATCAGACTGTTAATATTTCTAAAAGATGTTAAAACTTTAAAGATCATAATATTTTAGGTATCAATATAAAATTATGTAATATTAATATAGTTTATATAAATAATGTACAGCACAATCATAATTTTTTATTAAGATAGATAGATAGATAAATTTGATTGATTGATTGATATAAAAATCCGTGAGTTAGCGAGCAAATGAATGTTTTTATGAATAAAAATTTTAATTTTTATCTTTTATCTTAGTATCATTTCAATAAAATTTGAATAGAAGGTATTAATGGATGAATGATATTTATTAATCAATTTTTTTTGTAACAAGAAGCACTCAAAATATAAATTGTCTTGCTTATAATTTTGTTTAATCTGTTTTCTGTTATTTCTGGATAGTTTCAAGCATGTTAGATTTTATGTGATTATTTTTTTGAAGCTCAAGCAAAAATTAGCAAGAGACGCTAGCAGATAATTGGGTATTAATTTTAAATGTAAAATTGTATCATTGATTGATTGAGTTACTTCTATGATTAATTTGGTTGCTCCTCTTTCTTTTTGAATTTTAATAATTTATTAGTATGATGAAATATTTTTTTCTATTCACTTAGTTTTATATTGAATGCGCTAGCCTAGCTCATTTGATAGCGAGTTTTTAGATATAAAATGTATTATAAATTAGTTAGTTAGTATTATTGTTATTATCATATTTAATCAAAAAATCTATTTTGTTTGTTTAAATAGGAGCTATAGTTTAATCTCCTAATGAAATAATTTAGTTATTTATTTATTTGTAATTATATTTTTTTTGGTAGAGTAAGCTTTTAAGATAGAAACTATGTTCAACTCACTGACAGACAGACAAAGAAAAGAATTTTGTTTTGATTTTCATACCACTCACTTTTATTTTTTATAACGAATGAAGGAGTAAAGAGAGTCATAATTAAGTTTCCATTTATTGGCAACTTCTCTCACGTTATTACTCTTTTTATAGTCTTCGTAGATGAGTTACTTGTCATCATCAGAGTATTAGCGGATGGATTAGTTGTTAGGTCCTCTAGAGTTTTGAATGAAATTATAGAGACGGCGATATTTAATCTTATATTTTTCAGAAATTTTACGAATATCTCCTGTTTAGTCGTATTCTTGCAAAATAGTTTCTTTTTCTTTAGGCAAGAGGTCGCGGATTTTGCGTATACCTTGAGCAATTTTAGGCACGCCTGTGCTTTGATTTGAATGGCTACTGGATTACTAATAATCGTTATGATTTGAATTATTTCCATGGTATCTATGATAGGCACTGTTCGATTTAATTCTTTGACTTTGATAGCCATTTATAGTAGAATGATTATTTTAAGAGCCTCTGTTATAGACGCCTTGACTTCCGTTTGAAGTTCTACGTCTTCTCTGTATATATTCGAAATCTGCATCTTCTTCATCATCCTCTTCTTTGCCATCATCATCTTCTTCATCTATTTCATCTTCGTTTTCAGATTTTTCTGAGTATTCATCAGGATTTCTCTCAATCTCAAAATGAAGATCTTCTTCTTCCTTCGAATTATCCGTTTCTTCACCATTTTATCTCTAATTTTAATTGTTTTGGTAGTATTTATTTCCATTCTGAAGGTTTTCTGTTTCCATTTGACTCTGATTTCCAAATATTAAATCCTTTTTACCCCTACTTTAGTCGCGCTGACCATTTAAACGAGAATCATTCTTAAGGTATTGTGTATTGTAAATATTGCTATTTCCATTCATAAAAGTCATGCTTGGGTTATTATTTGTGGATGCAACAACATTTTCTGCAGATTCAATTTCTTCTTCAGTTTTGACAACCCAGTCTCTTCTCTATGAGAAATATCTGTTAAATTTAATCCATATCTCCATTTCACATTAGTAAACGAATTCACGGTAGAAATTCATTGTTGTGCGTAGAGGATTCTCCTCACTTGCTTTCGGATCAAGGATAACAATTTTGCTTATTTCTCGAACTTTATCTTTGAGCACTTATGGTGAGGGTTGTTTACTCTCTTCCAAGTTTTTAATAGTCTTAATCAAAGTCAAAAGCTGCTATCTCTAATTCTCTTGTTCTTGGAGATACTCATAAGTTTCTGTTTAGATCAAAAAAAAAAAAAGATAAATTTTTGATTAAAATTTTATAGAGTCAAGCAAGATTCCATAAATATTATGGCTAAGTCTAATTAATTAGTTTAAAAAATACTACTTCATTTTTTTAAAAACAAATTTTATCAAGATGAATTAAAAACAGTATTCTGGACAAAAATTAGAATAAAAAAATATTACTCTAATTTAAGCAGTAAATAAATTCAAATGCGTAAATTAGTAAGTAAATCAATCAAACAAACCTTGTATTAGTACAAAATCTAGAACGACTTAAATTATTTGAATAGACCATTTTTAAAATGGTCAATAAATTACACAAAAATTCATTTGATTTACTCTTAAAATGATTCAAATTAATTTTAAGTTTGACGCAATCAAAGTAAATAAATTTATTCATAAAACCTTTTATTGTAGTTTTTCTATAAAAAAGATTTAATTGGGATTGATCGATCTTTGCATCAAACAGCTTTTTTTCTTTAACGAATTCCTTAATTACTTTTATTCCTGTTTTATTGATTATATGAATGGGTGAGTGATAATAAAAGTCGATTAAGATGCAAAAAAAAAAGTTTTTAGATTTTTAGATAAGTAATTAGCTGGGAAAAAAAATACTGTATGAGAGTACAATAAGTGACTAACTTTTTATTATTTAAAACGAGAAGAAAATTTAAGAGAAATTGAAAAATCTGATTGATTATAATCAATTGCATAAACTTAATTTATAAGGTTGTTTGTTAAACACAAGCAAGCAGTATTAATTAATTAATAATCTAGAGATAAATAAATAAATACATTGATTTATTTAATTATTCATTCATTTAATGATTTATTTCAAACTAATTTAAGCGTAAAAAATCAATATGCAAATCTTCTAATCGATATCAAATTGCAGTGCTAAAAGAGATTCATTTGCCAAACCTTGCCTCTCAAAAATATTTTCGTTCAATCCTAAATCATACTTTTTATTGATGGATTGAGTTACTTTGGCAGTGCTTGTAAGCGAAGGAACGTATAAATTGGTAAGAATAAGATAGGTGGGGAGGAAAAGAAAAAAATAAAGAAGAGGTTTTATATGAATTTAAAAGTTATTTTCAAGGAAAAAAGGAATCTATTTTTAAAAAGGCGAGGGCAATAAGGAAGAAAGTAAAGTAAAAGAAGTAGAATTCAAACCAATAGAGACTAAAATGTCAAGGGGGGACTTAAAATAATAATAGAAATCATCTTACTGAGCTTGAGGTTCTCTATCATGAAGTAGGTTTAATTCAGAGATTCTTAAAATTGCAATAATTTTTTTTGGTCTATTTCAAGAATAGCAAGGGAGTCTTAAAATATCAAAGAAATCTTTTTCAGATAGGTTTCTAGGGATACCGAGGAATGATAAAGGCTGTAATGGCATGTAGCACATATCGCTTACAATTACTCCTGCTTACTGCACTTTTGGTCAGTACAGACTAAGTTTATTGGGTTGTTAGACTGGCATATGTTACATAAAAGCTAACAGCTACTGCCTCCGCCGTTTTCCAAGCTTGGTTATCCCTTCGGGGTCTTAGATTTTCCCATTATTAATTGAAAACTCTCTACTTTTTTTTACTCTTCTTTTCTTTTTCACTCTTTCTCTTTCCGATTAATTTTTATAACAATTAAATTATTTGAAAATAAATTTCATTCATAGCTGCTCTTTAAAGCTAATTTTTTTGCCTGCTATCTTTATCATTCATTCATTCATTAATATATACTCATATACAAACAAACACACACATACACTCACTAACTTGTCTCTGCATTATTTGATTAACTAAAAATATAAAGAAATCATTATTGAATAATTACAAGCAAACACTCTATTTCCTGTTTTCACTTACCTTCTACATTATCGACACATTATAATAATAATTATTATTAAGATTATTTCCTTAATTACTATCTCTTTTAGTATTTCGTTTGTCGTTCTGACCAAAATAAATATTAGCACTCACCCTCTCATTGAACATTGCCTACATATATTAAATTTATTAATTTATTTAATTTGGTTTCTAGCTGGCCCCTCCTCTCTCTGTTGCCAAGCGCTCGGTTTAATTAATTCACAAATAAAGCTAACTCCATCAAACCTATCTATATACATAATTTTAAACGTATAGCTTAGTAAAATCCAGATTTATTTACAATTTTTAACCTTAATAACTTTGAAAAAGTAATTTTAGGGATTAGTGCTACTAGCGAATATCAAAGATCCCTTTTAAAATTATCTTAAAAGTACTTGTTTGAGGCATGAAAGGAAAATTAATTAGTAAAAATATTAACCTATATATATTTCCTTCTAAAAACAATTTTATTAACGTTTTTTACTTTGACCTTCTCCACTCTGAGGTTTAATCCGAAATTTTGAGTTTTTTATTGTTGTGTCTTTGGTAAGTGTTTATTTTGCTTTCACTCATAAGAATATTCTAAGGGTTGTTAGTTAGTTAGTGAATTTGATTAATATTTTTAAATAAATAAAGAAATTAATTAGCTTGATATGCTTCCTTCCTTCCTTCATACTCAGAATTTAGCTCAAAGTGAGCTTAAAAAAAATCATAATTTTTACATTAAAATATTGAAAACCTAAAATTCATTTTACAGCGACTAATCTAAAATAATATAAAAAATTTGACATTTATAATTCAAGTAAGAAGTAAAGACATATATACATTTTTAATGAATAGATATTGTGAGAGTATTAAAAGCAGTACAACCATATTTTCCTTACAATAATTTTTGGGAAGCGATTTCTATAATAACCCAGATTTTAATAATCGAATTTGATCAGTCAGTTGTCAGACTGTGCAGAAATTGATTCTAGATTTCTCTCTCTCCCCTTTTTTTTCTATGTTTCCTTTAATACCGCATTTCATTTTATTCCTTATATAAACATGAAAGGATTCTTAAATTATTGCATCATATGCAAACAAAACTCACTGACACTGTTTAAATAGTAATCACTTTAAAAATAATTAGACTCTTGTCCATCCCTTTCACAATAAAAATTTAGCCTAATCAAATCTAACTTTAATTTTATTTGATTATCTTTGACAATAGAAACGAAATATTTCAAATTTTGAAAATCAATCAAGTAAAATTAAATTTGTAAACTAAGACATTTTTTTTTATTTAATTTTTTAATTGAGGTATGAAATACTAATTTTCAATAAACTTGATTACTTGCTGCCACCATTTTGAAAAAACTTCTTTTTACTGAAAGCGTAAATAAATAAATAGATTTTCCTATTTGCTTTCTATAAAATCACCTCAAAAAAATTATCAATATATAACATTATTCCAAGATACTCTGTTTTACATCCATTTTTTATTAATAATTTGGCTGAAAAATCATATTTTTTTTGGATGAAGCAAGAATTTATTTGTTAAATAACATTTTTTGAATTATAAAAAACGGGTTACTCTTTATCATTTCAAATTTGAAAACAATATCAAAAAATTCAATTTTTTTGCTTTCTCTTGATAATATATTCCTAAAAAATAAATAAAAAAGGGAAATAATTACAGTTTTTTATTGTCAAAAAATATTTTCATAAAGTATTTACAATTGAATTTGAAATGTTAAATGTCCATTAATTACATAACCTCTTTTTTAACTAAAGCCTATTCTGATAAATATTTATTGTCTATTTTTATTTTTTTCATCTGTTTTTTATTAGGCTTTTTTTTTTTGCAATATTTTTCTATTTGCTTGTAAGCTTATTTCCTCTATTAATTTTTATATGACTTGTATATTAATTTGAATGAATAATTAATTTCTTTTGCTTTTTTGTTTTTTCATATAAGCTTTATGTATAAATAGAATGAATGTATCTTCCTTCTTTCATAAAAAATAAACAATATGATAACGCAGCACTAATTTTACTAGGTTTTCAAGGTAAAAAGAAGAGTTTCTTAAAAAATTTAAAAGAAACAAGGCTTTTAATAATTAGTTGGTTTTTGATTTTTAAAAAAGAAAAAAAAATAATAAATAAATAAATTGAATATTTTAGGATTTAACATTAAATAATCAATTATTATTTGATAAAAGATAAAAGAAAAGTTATATATTATAGCACATAGAGATAATGGCTGACGTTAGAGAATAAAGAATTTACTGTGCCGAATAAATTGTAGTCCCCCAAGAATTACCAATAATTTTAAAGCATTATTCCAAAGAAGTTATCAGAAATAACCCAGTTTCAATTTATGATTTCTCTGCCAAGTAATTGCATTGCAAAAATATTATTTCAACATAATTATTTGTATTAAAATAAAAGTAATCTAAATCATTTTTTTTGTTATTAATTAGGTACTTCCGCGATTTAATAGAAAAAAGAAGTAAGAATTTTCATTTAGCAAATATTTAAAAATGTTTAATAGATTAGATAAATTAAAATATCTCATATTAATTATGAATTAGTTGATTTATTGGCTATTTTTATTTAATTATGCATTATTTGCTATATTGTCAGCCTTCTTTTCTTGAATCCCCTTTGTTTAATTAATTAACTTCTAAAAAGTTTCAAAATTTATAAATCTAAAAATATAAATTTATAACAATAGCAAATATAATGAAATATAAAAAATAAATCTACTTATTTAAATGTAAATTTAAAAAATAAATATTTTAAATTTTAATAACAAAAGAAAATAATTCCGATAAGCACATTATGAACGAACTCGAAAAGCCAGATTCCTCTTCAAGAGTCTGAAAAGAAAATAATATCTAAATAAATTAAAAATGAATGAAATAAAAGAGCTATGAAATATTTTACAATCATGAAAAATTTAGAAAAAAGATGCTAGATTTTCTTAACTAGCTTTAGATAATTATAAATTTGACTATAAAATTAAAATACAAAATTGATTAATTGATTGATATTATAATAAAATTAACTTTAAAATCAGATTATGTCTATTAAATATTATTATTGACTTATGTACGAATATTATAAAAATCTTTACTTTGTTTCTTTAATCAATTCTAAATAATAATAATTATTAAATGCCTGTAAGACCATTTTTAACTTAAAAATTGTTTTATTAAATTTTATTTTATTTATTTTTATTAACAAATTCTATAAAAATAGCTTAAATTTATTCAAAAATGAGATTATTTGTTATATTGTTTATTTATTACTATATTGTATTGATTCTTAATTAATTATTTTATTTGATATAAAAAGAATAAAGTTATTTAAATTTACTTTTTTTGTGTGTGTACTTTCTGATAAATTACTAAGAAATAACTAAAATCTTTCAAAACTTTATTTGATCAGATATTCTTATACGAAAATTTATTATAATACTTTTATAACCTAATGTATTGATTAGGTAATATCAAATATAGGTCAGGTGTTACAGTCTAAATAATTTTATTTAAGTATTTTTATTTGAAACCTTGAGAAAATGGTGAAAAGCAAATCAAGTAAAAGTTTGAAATTACAAAGCAAATCTAGATTTAAATTGTTTTATTTTAAATGAGTTTACATACTATTATAAAAATAGTTTTGAATAAAATTCAATTTTTAAAAATTTAATAAATTATTTGTGCTTACAACGTGCGATATAAGGATAAATTTACAAGTGCATGGATAAAATATGCTCAAATAATTAATAGTACAGTACACTTGTAAGTAATGATAAGTTTTGATGAGATTATTACTGATTAATTAAAATTGTTTCAAGAAAATAAAAATATCTTATATAAAATAAACATCATATGTAAGTAAGTGTGTTAAATTGAGAAGACTTATGCATTAATAAAAAAATTAACATTAAATCTGGAATTAAAAGATTAGAAATTAAATATTACATTTAGCTTCTTTTGAGTGATTTTTCTGTTATGGTAGAGGAATAATTTATTTTTTATAAATCGTATTATGTGAGTCATTCTCATAAATAGGAAAGCTTATAAAGAGATATGGGAATAAAATAAGAAAATTGCGAAATAGCAAGTCAGTCAGTCAGTGTACATAATATTTATTAGATATTACTAAATCTTTAAGATTATTGAAAGAAAATTTATTATCAAAAAAAGATTAAAAACAATCAGATTGTTATTATTTTCGTTTAGAAAAAAAATTACTATTTCAAAAATATTTAATACCTTCTTATTTTAATCACTCAAGCAGAAAAAAGCTCTTAAACAAGCGTTTGTGCTAGTAAACATTAAATTATTAAACTATTATCACAAAGAATGACATGATTTTGATGATTCGCCATGTCAAAAACAAAAATTATTTATAGTTTTCATTAATAAAAGAAGCATATTTATTCAGATGAAGGAATATTTATTTTTTTAATGCAGGAATCAATTAGATAAATCTTAAAATTATCTATTTTTTCCTGAATATTTATCAACATTTTTAGCACACTAACATATTTATTTATAAGCAATAAAGCCATCTAACTAGAGAGAGACCATTTACTCAATATTGACATCAATACTTGTATAAATTAATCAAGAACCAAAAAAAAGAATCATAGCTCTTAAAATAGATTTATTTAAATTTATCTGAAAAATATAAATCCCTTAATAATCCTTTAATAAACGCAACAAAAATGAGCAAAGGTACAATGAATAAAATAGTCATTATTGGTGAAGGTAATTATTGCTTTTTACTTTTAGAAGATATTCATTAAAATAGTTAAAAACTTTTTTGATATTTCTTGTAAATATTGAGAAAAAAATATGGATGCTTTTAATCAATCAAACAAAATAATATCTAAAATTGAGAATATTTTTATTGGAAAATGTTTAGGTAGAGTTGGAAAGACTTCACTTACATTGAGATATTGCAAAGGAGAATATAGCGATACATAAGAATCTACAATTAATGTTTCTTATTTAGAAAAAACAGTCCAAGTAAATGAGACAGATAAAGTTAACATTGCTATTTGGGTAAAAATTATTATTAATAATAAAATAGTTTCTGATAAATATTATCTTTAAAATTGCATTATTTTATTTAAAATTTAGTATTTGCTAACATAATTTTTTATATAAAAGGATACTGCAGGACAAGAAAAATTCAAATCTATAACTCCTATGTATTACTAGTAAGCTGTCTGCGCTATTATTGTATATGATATTACTTATAAAGAATCTTTTGATAAGGTAAATACAATTAATTATCTTATTTTGAATATATTATACTAATTTCTCCTATAAAAAAATGATATTTTTCATTCAATTTAGTTTATTTATTTGATCAATTAATGAAATATAATAGGTTAAATCGTGGGTTACTGAGCTAACTTAAATTTTAGATACAAATAAGATAGTAATATGTATAGCAGGAAACAAGTGCGATCTAGAAAATAATAGATAAATTGATAAATAATTTGCAGAAGATTATGCTAAATCTGTGGGTGCTCGTCATTTCCTTACATCTGCTAAAAACAACAGAGGTATTGATGAACTTTTCTAATATGTTGGCTAAGGTAATAAATAAATAAATAAATAAATTAATATTATTAAGCTTAATAGTTTGTTGTTTTATAATTTTAATAACATTTTATAAAAAAGAAATTCTAAAAAGAAATACTAACAAAGGAAAGAAAAATAGTAAAATGATTATAAATAATCAATCAATTCTTGAAGGTGATAAAAAGAAAGAAGAAAAAAAGAAGAAGGACTCTTGCTGTTGATTAAAAATGAAAATATTTAGATTTGACAATTCATGCATGCATACATAATATATTTTATTGACAAAAATTATAAAAAATAAATAAAATAAAATGAAGATACGATAAGAAACTGAATATATTTCTTAAATATTATCTAAATATTAATATTAAAAACCACTCGCTTAAAAAATTTATAAAATATGATAACGAAGAAAACAAAACTATTTTTGTTATATCTATCAAAATTACGATGAATAAAAAATTATATTTATATATAAAAAAATAAATGTGTCCATATACATTATTAACATGTTTATAATCTGAATTAGTTTTCTTCATAAATAACCAATAATAATGTTTTCTTTAACTTTTAATTTTAAATACAATCGATTTTCCATCTAAATTAAAAAATATTCATTTTTTAAAGATCAAAAATATTAATTAAATAGTTAAATTATTCAAGAAAATTACTTGGTTTTCTATTTAAATAAAAATAATTTTACTAAAATAATTGAGCAATAAATTTGGTAATTGAAGAAAAATGTTTATTTATTTACATTTTGAAACCTTTAAAAGACAAATTTTTGTTTATAATTTTAATTAGTTTTTTTAATAATTAATAATCTTCATAATTTTTCTATATACTAATCATTAATTTATAATTCTAGCAAGTTTGTGCTAAAATGAATTCAAAATATTTATTTTTTAAGATTTTAAATACCCATTAAAAATTAATTAATAGAAGAAATACAAATTGTTTATTCAAATAAAAATTTAATTTTTGCCAAAAATAAACTATCAATCACTATATGATTTTATAGAAGAAAAATATTTTTTATGTTTTGAGAGAAAAATTTGATTCTTAATCTTAATATCAATTTTTAAAATGATTGATTACATATTTTCAAAAAAAAAAAATAGTTGTTTACAAATTCTACTTTTATTATATCATTAATAAATAAAATTAATATTGGGGTTTGAAATTAATAATATTTTTATGAGATTTAAGACATGGTTGATATTCTATTTCAAGATAAGGAATTACTTTATAGCTTCATAACAAACAGCTCATTCACTTTTTCTTTGAAGAGACATGAAACACAAAAGCATTTTTTGTAAAATTAATTTAAATTATCAAACAAGAGATTCAAAATTTAACATAGTTAGGAAGTTGCTTTAACTTTATTTGTTGTCTAGAAAAAATTTATTAAGAAACAAATGATTATTAAATAATTAAGAGATAATTAAAGCAACTAAGATAAAAAATATAATCAATTATAAACTAAATAATTTATATGTAAAGTATTTATTTTATAATGGTTTAAATAAAGGAAAAAATGCATATAATTAGACTTTAATTAAATTCATCTTGGTTATTAAGTAGAAAAATTAAGTAGAATTGGTGCTAGTGAATACCAAATATTATATCAATTTTCTTTAAGAATTTTGTTGATTAAGGTTATTAAAAACAAAGATAATTACAGCTTAATTAAAAAACACTTAGTAGTTAAAAATACTAATTCAGAGAGAATAAAATAAGTTTTGATTTCCAATTTTTTTTGAAACACTCAATATTGATTAGAAAATTTAAGCTGATCAACATATTTATTCATAAGCAATATAGCAAGCATAATTCAAGATATAAATAAGAATCAATTTAGATTTCAAATTTATTCTAAAGCAAAAGAGTGACATAATAATTTTAACTACTAAATTAGATTAATATAAAAGTAAATATTTGACCCAGTTTCACTTTTTAAAAAATATGAGCAACGATACAAAGTATAAAGTAGTCATTATTGGTGAAGGTAATTAACTACCTATTTTTAAATATATTTAATACGAATATAATTTGGTCATTTTATAAAAAAATATCATATTATTGTTTTTAAAAATGCAAAATAGATTGAGATAAAAAAATAAAAAATGTACTAATTTTTATTTATTAATTATAAAAATATACAGGGAGAGTAGGAAAAACATCTTTATTAGTTAGATATTGTAAAGGTGAATATAGCGATAAGCAGGAATCAACAATTAATGCTTTTTGTTTATAGAAGTAAATATAAGTAAATGAGACTGATAAAGTTAATATTGCTATTTGGGTAATATTTTTTTTACATGTATATTTAAAATATATAATTTTCTTTGATTTTTGGTATTTAATAAATGTAATTAACTCAATTTATTATATTATCAAAGGATACTGCAGGATAAGAAAAATATAAAGCTTTAGCTCCTATGTTTTACCAAGAAGCAGTTTGTGCAATTATAGTATACGATATTACTTTCAAAGAATCTTTTGATAAAGTAAAATTAATTATCAATAATTATAACATTCATTAATTAATTAATTCTTTCATAATCTAATTTGAAGTTAAATTTTTAGATCAAAGAGCAAATTTTCTAATCATAATTTAACAAAAATCATATATCAAATATCTTCAATTTATTTAATAAAATTAACTTAGGTAAAAATGTGGGTGACTGAACTCACTAAGACTTTAGATACAAGTTAGATTATTTTATGCATCGCAGGAAACAAGTGTGACCTTGAAAAGGATAGATAGATTGATAAATATTTTGCAGAAAGCTATGCTTACTAAGTGGGTGCTTGCCATTTCATGACCTCTGCTAAGAACAACAAAGGAATTAATGAGCTATTTCAATATATTGGATCAGGTGAATATTTTCTTTTCATCATAATAAAACAATTTAAGATAGCTTTTTGATTTTTTATTCAAACAGAAATACTTAAAAGAAATTGTATTAAAGGAAAGAAGAAAAAAGAAAGACTTGTAATTAATAATCAATCATTTCATGAAGCAAATAGAAAGAAAGAAGAAGAAAGGGATTAAGGTAAATCTTGCTGTTGATTCTTCCTAACTAGTATATATATAAAAAACTATGAGATTAAGTACTTCGTTAGCTAAAAATAAAAATGAAAGTGAAATTAACAAATAAAAATATTTATAAATTTTTCAAGTTACTTTCAAATTAAAATCGAAATAATTTAATTTGCAACAAAAAATAAACAATAATAAAAATATATTATTTTAACTCATCAAATTCAATCAAAATATAAATTTAAGAATGTTGCTTTAATATTTATTCACAATTTATATTGGTTTTATTTATATTCTTTAAGTTTTCAAATAATCTTAATAGAAAAATTTATATTGTTTTTGTCATTTGAGATATTCAGTCAAAATTAATTAAATCAGTTTTTATAAGATTTATAAAATAATTAGGTAGTTCCGAAAACAAATAAGTATTTTTCTATTTTTTATTAACTCATTTCTTTTAAATAATCACATCTTAATTTGTTTTTATAAAAGAAAAATTGTATTTTTGAAAAGTAAATTTATAATTCTGTAAGATAAATGGCATAAATTTAAGAGATTCTTATAAAATTATCTTTAAAAAGACATTTATATGTTTTTTTTAGCTAAGATTTATGATTGAAAAAATTTAATTTTATTTGTAAAAATATAATGAAATTGATTTATTCGTTTTACCTTTAAATTTGATTTTATTTTTACAGTATTTTAAGTGAAAATCTAATTATTATTTTATATAAAATCTGATAAAATAATATAGAAAAAATAAATATAGCAACAAAATCTTTTATCAAAAAAGAAAGTAAAAAAGCGGTTTATCTTGATTTTTGTTCATAAAAAAATTATTTAATAAGATTAATTACTTTTATTTTTTTTTTGTTTGCAAAGAAGGAAACATTATTAAGTAGAATATTTACAGGTAAATCTTTAATTATTAATTAATTTAATATTATTGAAGCAATTTTAGATTATTATACTTTATTTAGATAAAATAAAGAACTTTACTTCTATGTGATAAACTTGTTGATACAAACAAGTTTTATATCTGTTTTTTAGAATTAAATAAGCAGTATTAGACTTGTACATTCATTTTTTTAAGGATGCAAGGGATTTACAAATAAAATTATTTATAGAAATCTTTTAAGATCTATTTATGATCAAATTAAATATGAAGCAAATACTTTTACAATTCGTTGTTTATGATTCAACATTTTAATATTCTAAATAAATTAGAATAAAATGATGAGCAAAGGAATGAATAATAAAATAGTTATCGTAGGAGAAGGTAATTAATTCTAGTTTAATATAGTGTGTCCATTTTTTAATTGAAAACTATGAATTCATTTTTCAGATTATAAAAAATGTTGCAGTTTTTTGATTTTCAAAAGCAAATTATTAACAAATTAAATTATGAAAATGAAAAGGAAGAGTTGGGAAAACATCTTTGATTTTGAGATGCTGTAAAGGAGAATATAGTGATAATTAAGAATCGACTATTAATGCTTTTTATTTAGAGAAAACAATTCAAGTGAATGATACAGAAAATCTTAACATGTACATTTGGGTAAAAATTAAATTCAAAAGAATATTATTTATAAATTAATTTCTAGTATACTTTAATTGAATCTAAGATATTTAATTTATTATTATAGGATACTGCTGGATAAGAAAGATTCAAGTCTATTACTCCAATGTATTATCATGATGCAGTTTGTGCTATTATAGTTTATGATATTACTTTCAAAGAATCATTTGATAAGGTAATAATAAATAAATTATTAAATTTTTAAAAATTAAAAATTTTTTTAGGATTATTTATATTCATTTTATTAAATGATAAATTTTTTTAAAAATTAGGTTAAATTGTGGGTGACTGAGCTCACTTAGATCTTAGATACTAGCAAGTTAATAATATGTATAGTAGGCAATAAATGCGATTTAGAAAATAATAGATAAATTAGCAAGCAATTTGCTGAAGAATACTCTTAATCTGTTGGTGCCCATCACTTTCACACTTCAGCAAAAAATAATAGAGGAGTTGATGAACTGTTTCAATATATAGGTCAAGGTAAATTAAAATTAGTATTGATTTAAATCTTTCATTTTAGAATCATTCATTATTTTATTTAAAATATTTAATAATAAATTTATACAAAATAGAAATTTTCAAAAGAAAAAATACAAACGTAAAAAAAAGAAGAGGTCCTCCTATATTTGAAGATAAGGCTTAAAATTAATAAAATTAGAGAAAACCTTGCTGTTGATCTTTCTTTCAATCTGAGATTTTATACAGATAGTTTATTGATTGTTATAAGTAATAAAATAATAAATTCAATAAAAAATAAATCAATGATAACAAATAATTAGTAAAATAATTTTAAAAATCTTCCTTTTTTAACAAACTGAAAAATTTAAATTATTAACAAATAAATATCTTGTAACAAATAACAAATAAGTTTTATATTTATTTATATCAAATATGAAGCTCTCTTTTATTGATTGATTTCAAAAAAAAAATCTGATTATATTAAAAATTTATTATTTGTTGATGCTCTTTATTGAAAATTATAATTCTACTTGATAAATTGATTTTTGCACTAAATAAATAAAAATTTTGACTCTATTTTATTTTTTATAATTTAAGTTTATTCATTTCTTTTGATAAGTTAGTGAAACTTATAATTGATATAGAAGAAATTAACAATGCTTTATAAATTTTTGTGCATTTTTTGTTATAGAATCTGTCTTCTTAAGTGAATTTATTATTTTGTGGAATCTTAATTTTATTTGAATTTATTGTTTTTTATTAATGTTGATGAGAATTGAAGTAAAATTATAAATAATTCATAAAAAAAATATTTCAATTATAAATTTATTTTTATTTTGCATAAATAGACAGAAAAGTAAACCCTTTTCATTCAATTTAAATTTGTTTATTAAATCTTTTTAAAAAAAAAATTCTGGCTATTTCTAAAAGGAATGATCGAATAAATTTTGAGTTATAAGTTTAATTCGATAAACTTTTTTTCCCTATAAATCAGTAAAAAAAAGAAGTTATTTCAAAGCTGATTAAGAAAATACATCAAGCTATATCTATTTATTTATTTACGCGTTAATCAGAAAATCAACAAATAAATAATTATTTATATCAAATAATATCCAAAAAAATTTGTTTTTATTAAAGATCTATATAAATCTAATAAATAGATGAATATGAAGAGCTTTATAGCTTATATACTACTATTAGCAAGCATTTTAGCATTTTGTTGTGCTGAGAAAGAATATCTTTTTGAAAAAACATTTGAAGCACATTAAGGTCCTACGATAGGACTTGCAATATTCTCTGTATAAGCTTATTTTATAAATATTTTAAAAATGACTTATTCTACTTAAATAAAGGAAGAAAAAAGAATCATAACAGGAGGCATTTTTGATAAAAAAGTTAAAGGTATATGCATTAAAATAAATAGCTATTTAAATATTTCTTATTTTAATCCAACTTTTAAAATAATATAGTGTGGAATGCAGACGACCATACACTGATTCATACTTTTGATGATCACAAAGATCAAATTAGAGGAGTTGTAGCCTTAAAAGTAAATTATTTGAAAAAGAGAAAGAAAATATCTAATACTTGATCCAAATATAAATTAGAGTGGTGACAAAAGATACATTTTAAGCCATGGATTTGACAGTGTTATTTATAGTAATATTTAAATTGAATTATAAGCAAAAAGCTATCAATTATTTAATTATCAATTAGTATGGGATTTGTTTACCTTCGAGCTAGTTCATAAATTAGATTCAATAGGAAGAACAATTAAAGTATTTTAGTTTGAGGTAAGACTTCAATTAATTATCTTAGATTGATTTCAATAATAAATATATGATTTATCAATAAAGGGAACTGATTTTATTGTCTCTCAAGAAGAAACTGTATCTAAAGGTAAGATTAATAATTTAAAATTAAATAAAGTTATATAGATAATATAAATACTAAAGAGTTACTCATATTATATTTTATTAAATTAGTTTGGAATTTTGTTCAAGGAGGAGAACCTATCATTAAAATAGACAGACCTCATGAAAACGGTACTCGTCTGACAGCAGTTATGACATCAGATCCAATGCAATTTGCAACTGTAGGAAATGATTATATTAGAGGTATAAAAAAAGTATTGTTTGTATTTTTAATTTGTTTTTTAAATAAAGTTTGGGATGCCAAAACCGGAAAATAGGTAGCTTAGATGAGAACAGCTGGGGCATTAGTTTATAGTTTAATATATATTAAAGTAAAACATATTAAAATTAATTTATTTTTTAATCAATTAATAAATAAATAAATAATTTATATCACAGCACCTTGATCTACTTTTGACAGGTGACAATGAAGGATTCATCTACTGTAAATTTGAAAATACTGAAATGATTATCATATCAATTATTTGTTTATTAATTAATTAATTATTCAGCTTGGTATTGGAAGGTAGGCAGACCATTTTAAATTTACAAAGACTTCAGTGGATTTTTCCCTTTAGAGTTATTGGTAATCCCTAATAGCAACATTTTGATAGCAGCTGGGTTTGGAAAGAAATAGATCTTTTGTAAGTATTTAATTAAGTAAAATAAAATATAAAATATATTTAAAAACTAGATTTTGATGTTACCAAATAAAATCAAAAACCTCTTTACCAAAAGCAAGGACACATCAATGAGATTTGGAGATTAGTTTATTTAGAAGTATGTTTTTTGTTGAAATTTAAGCACTGTTTGCTAAATAATTGAATATTAAAAATTTAGGGTACTGGTTACTTTTATAGTTCATCAGCAGATTATTCAACTAAAAGTAAAAAAATATTAAATTTACAATAGATAGAAACTTTTTTGATAATAAATTAGAATGGACAATTTGTAAAACAAAATATGATTATTACAATCTTGAAACACATACTTGCATTGAAAATTGTGTAGAAAAAGATGAAAGTAGATAGATTTGCCTTTCAACATAAAGTGGAGAAAAAGTTGAAGAAGAAAGCGATGAAGTGGTTATCAAGCTTCCTTTTATGGATGATTTAAATGAAGAGTTATGAGTTTTTGCTTATTTTACTTTTCAAATTAATAATAATTTGTAAATAAAATATTTTGTATTAGTCTTAAATTAAATTAATAGTTATTAATATTATAATTAATTACCTTTCTTTACTTTATAAATATATACATACTTTAATTTTTTTTTGAATTATTGCTATTCTCGAATAAATATTTCTCTAGTAGGAAATAAATATTGACTAGAATAGTAAACATTATTTTATAAATTAAAAAAAAATTAAAATAATAAAAAAAGGTATAGAGAAATAGGATTCAAACCTAAACAAACAAAAAAAATAAAAAATGTTAATAAAATATTTAATTAAGTTTTTATAATAAAATATACAAAAAAAGCAATAATTTAAAAATAAAATTTTTTAAAGTATGTTCTAAATCTATATTAAATTCTATAAAAAACATATTTTGTAAATGTTGCATTAAAATTTAAAGTAAAACTTATTAAATAAATACTGTAAATTTAAATAATTAAGTTTAAGAAAAACTAATGAAAAGTAATTATTTATAAAAAACTAATATTATTTCATAAATAAAAGTATTCTTAAATTTAAATCATAATTAAATCTGTTGGACATAAAAATTAATTTCAAAATAATAAATTTTAATTATTTTACTGTCAATTAATAACTATAAGAAAACTAAAAAGTAATTTTCTTACTTTGAAATGATTATTTGAAAAGAAAAGAAAATAAAAAATTGAAAAATATTTAACATGGTAAATATTTTTACAACAATTAATAGAGTAAAGCAAATATTTGTTTTTATAAACTTTCTAAACATTTTTAGCACATCGACTTACTGTAGTAACAAATTAATTCATTACATTCAAGAATTAAACCATATTATTTTTTTAAATATTGGTTAAATATTATTAATATAGACTATTATTAATATAAATAATTAGTTACTAAATGAGGTTTTTTATAAAGAAATATTTAAAATTCTAAAAAACAAGGGCTGATAAGATTTAATTATACATTTTTACTAGTTGTTTGACTGCTAGAATTTTTTATTTTATTATTAGTAATTATTTATTAAGACCAATCAATGATGCAAGCAAATATAATAAATAAAAATAGATAAACATTTGTGAGAATGGAGATTAAAATATAACAGTTAGAAAATAATTATTTTACTGCAAAATTTAAGTAAGATGTATTATAAAAACTTTTACCATAATAAAGAAAATGCTCATAAGCTTTTTTTTAGTTTATTACTAAATTTAACATTAACTATCATTTTTATGATTATGAGCTTACAAATATTTAAATTTTTAGAATTTATTTATTACATTAAATTTATTGCTAGATTGCTTGAACGCAATTACTAAGAATTAAGAAATATATCACTATATTTTTACATAATTATTTTTAATAGATTTTATGAAAGTTTACAACTGAAACTATTCAAATTATAAAAACAGTTTTATCATTCAATCATTATAAAAGCTATTTTATGGTTTTGGAATGAGCTTTTTAAAGTGTAATTTAAATTTAAAGATAAAGACTTTGATAGTAAAAATTGCATCATAAACATTAGATTTTACTATAATTTTATTGTATTATCAGATATTAAAAATTTTAATAATCTTTATGAAAGAATAAAATTTCTGAAAATATTGTATTTAATAAAAACCACATATTGTCATAATAAATTTAAATGCTTTTAGACTCAAGTAGCGCCTAAAGTCTAGTTGTTTATAAAAAAGGGTTTATATTACTCAAAACAAAATCCAAAAAAATTAATAAACTCCAACTTACTTTTATGATAGCTTTATTTGAAAAAAAAAAAAATTTATCTTAAATAAAGCAATAACTTTTTTATGTGATAATAATAAAATTTGAAATTAAGATTGTCCCATTATAAAATTGAGGGATTTTTTAACAATCAAATTAAATTTTTTTCAATCTAAAATTTTTTTCTTGAAAGATTGCTTTATATTTATTTGGATAAAATTTTACAATGAAAATTTAAATAACACTGATAAAATCTAGAAATTTTTCATATTTGTTATTTAATTATTACTGCTTGAATTTCTTAGCTATTTGTCATGAATAATTATTGACAAATGAAAATACAAATAAATAATTTAGTAGCATAGAAAAATAGAATACTAAAATTTTAAAAATTATTAAAAAAGAAATTTAAAATTTATTTGTTTTTAATGTTACTTCTCCTTTTTATCAAAATAAATTGTCACAATTGATTTTTAGATTTGTTTTCCCTTCTGTTTTCAAAAAAAAATAAATTAAATTCATCTCAATGAAAATTTCAAATTTTTTGATTTTTCAGTCAATTAATAAGAAAATAAGATTAATTAACAGGTAAATCATGCCAAAAAAACAAATCAAACAAACAAATAAATAAATTAATATATAAGCAATCTTTATTTGATTTTTTTGTGGGGATTAAAAATCGGATAATTCTAATTTTTTTACAATATTAAGAAAAAAAATTGTAATATAAGAATATCTGTTGGCTTTAATTGAGTTTTTTTGAGCGGTATTAATGAAAAAGGCATTTTTGAAAAATAAGATAATCATTTTACTATCATGTTTATTAAAAATTACTACAAAAGAGTCAACAAAAAGATAGAATAAGGTAAATAGTAGTAGGGAAAGAATTCATAACTGATGGATTTTTGAGAGTTTTTTGAGATATAAATAATAATTAATTATATAGTTCTTACAATAATATTTAATATAAAGTTAAAACAAAAAATGAAAATTTTAAAATATAGTTTAATTTGGAGTTTATAAATAAAAAATCATTGATTTTAATTGATAATTTATTAAATAATGTGTTTGGTGTTTGTTTGCCTGCCTGCATGCCTGATTTATTTATTGTTTAATGCTAGTAGTTGTGCACTTCTATAGAGTTTTTGTCCATTGAGTGGCTTTAAAACAAAGTTTATTTTCTGGATGTTTTTTGGTGAATTGTTTGTTTGATTATGTTTAGTTTTTTTGAGGAAAAAAATTAAATATTAAATTGCTAATTCAAGTACACACTAAATGTGTATTATTTTCGCGGATTTAGCGAGAATGAATGCACACATATGAAGCTCATACTTAGAAAACTCTATCAAGATTGATTTAATCATTCAAGCAGTGTTTGTTTTTCAGATTGGCATATAATTTATTATTACTTATATATTTAATTATATATTTTTTCATTGTAAATTTATAATTTAAGGAAATTTTTGTCATAATACTTGCCTGATTCTTAGCTGCCATCGTTTGAATCGACAAAAGGAAGAATCAGCCTACTGAGCATTTATAAAAGTAGTTTTTATAAACTTATATTTGTCTATTGTATTAATTAGGTTATTAAATAAGAGAAAAATGAGCAGCCAGCACAATAGATAGATAGTACTATAATTGATTGATTGATTCATTCATAAATCTGTTGATAAGTGAATGGATCTATGGATGGCCGACTGTCAGTTAGTTGTTACTATTTATATAGGATAGGATAGTTCAATATACGCTTTATTCAATTTTATTATTCTGATTATTGGTATTATTATTCATTTTATTATTGGTTGTTTATTTTTTGTTTGTTTGTTTGTATAATTTGATTTGATAATTGATCTTAAATAATTTATTTGAAACTATTGGTACGATTTGTATGTTTAAATGAATGAATAATTAAAGAAGATTAAAATCATTGAGAAGTAGTATTTGATATAAAAGAGGTTTGGGAAGAGGTTAGTTTTTGGAAAATGTCCAATCTCCTAGAGGCAGAAGGTTGGTTAGATGAGATAGATGTTTGAGAGGATGAAGAGGAGAGATCTAAGAAGATTTCTGGGTGTAGCATCTTTTTGGTGTATTCATTGTTAGCCTTAATCTCTGCAACAGTACGAATATCATGAACAAAGTGGCAACGAGGACCGTAATTGCAGACGCAGCTTTCGTAGTATTATTTGCATTTTTTTGTCTTGAAATGTTTATTGGCAGCTACCTTTTGAACGAGTTCATTCTTGCCATGGGCGAATTTGCACTTATCTCCATAGTTGCACTTTCCATTTTCAACCCAGTTCTTACACATTTCAGTCTTATACTTGGCTTCTTCGGGAATCACATTAGTGGAAGCAGCTGATGAGGCGTTAGTTGAAGGAACAGTAGTGGTAGCTATTTTAGGGGCAATTTTTTGGATATTATTATGCTATTGTTAGGAGTTCAAAGCGATAGCAGGGGAAGCAGCTTAAATATTCTTAAAAGAAAGAGTGGGTTGCAATTAGGGCATTTAGTCAAGGAAATCGTCTTGTTGATTTTCTTCAGAGCCACAAGAAGTGGAATTTTCGGAGTACTAATCTTGGTTATTTGAAGTGAAACTAGCATGGTTCAATTGCATGGGGCTAGAGGATTTAACGAATTAGTTTTAAGCGCAGTAGCCAAAGTTGTTGATGGGCTTTGGAGCAAATAATTAGTTGTTTGCGTACTATTATTATTACTGAGGTGCAAATCCATTTAATAATTAAGATGGATGTTATTATTGTTGTTGCTATTGTTAAGGATGAGTTTAGAAGCCCTAATATTAGGGGTATCCAATTTATTGGTTGGTGAAGGAGGAGTATTAATTATTGTAAAACATATTTACTGAGGTTTTTTAAAATAATTGGTTTGAGTAGCAATCAATCAATCTCTTTGATTTTTGTTAATAGATGGTGATTTTGAATATTTTATTGATTATTGATTAATTCAAAGAGGTTTAAGCTTTTCTTTCTCTCTTTATTGTTTGTTTTCTTAAGATTGTTTATTATAAATTTTTTTACTTATTTTTTTTTCTTTTTGATTTATATAGAATTTGGAATGAAAAAATAATTATGATTTTAGGATAGAGACAATATATATAAACAAGCAATCAAGCAATCAAGCAAACAAATCGAATCAAAAAGGCGTGAACGAATGAATGAATGAATTAATTAATTAAAGTGTGTATTTATATATGAATGAATGTGCTTATTTTTTCATTATTGAATGAATAAACAAATAATTAAGCAAACAATCAAAAAAACATTGATTGAAGAACCTAATTAAACGTTCGCTTGAAGGGCAATAGTCTATCGATAGATCAATCAGGCTACCTTTGATTTTCTTTCTTTCATAGCTTTTTGCAAATCAATTTATTTGATTTTTGATTGCAATATTATAAATTTATTTGATTCATTGATTAAATACAAAACACATATATTTTATATCTATGAATCTATCAATTAATTCATAAATTTTTAATCACTCTTAGCTAAATGAATCAAGGAATTTTAAACGATTAGAAACAATTTGATTTATTTAGATCAGATAGACAATCATCAATCAATAGAAATATCATCTCTCTTTAGGTTAGGGAATTTCTCCAAATTTAATAAAAGACAAAGCGAAACTCATGAAATTCCTAAGCAACTTGCTGGCTATTAAATTTGCATTGATTATTTTGATCACTAGAAAATTAAATTATAAAATTGACATTTTTACCTCTGAGCCAAACAAAAATTTAATGATATGTATGTTGTAAATAAATCTATATGCTTTTTCTTTTATTTTCTGTATTTACTGTCTAAATTAGTTTTCTATCACTACTACTTCAAAAATCCCTGCGAATAATTTATAGTTTCCATTAATATAAGTCCTAATCAGTTTTCACTTTCAAAATAAACCAAAAAAAAAAACCAATTCTCAAATAGACAGAAGTAGCCAAAGTAATGTTATGAAGAAAAAAAAAAAAATTAAAACCCTCTACTCTATTTAATTAAAATATCAGATTTATTTGATTAATTAAAATTGAAATAGTCTAATTAAATCTAAAAGCACAAATTCTAATAATGGCAGCAAAAAATAGCTTTGCTGTGATTTTTATATTTATAAGCTTAATTTTAAGTACTCATGCTTAACTTTCAATACCATTAATGTGTGATTAAAATAAAGGTTAAATTAAATTTAATGCTAAATATGGATATTGTTGTATAAGTTGTTGACGCCGTATTTTTATAAGAAGAGTGATAAAATGCATTGTTTACATATAAAAATAATTGTAGAGAAGTATAAACTGTAAAGCAGGAATATTTTCTTGTTGATATTCATATTAGAAATTTTGATGCTTAAGTCCTTTATTTGGTTATGACATTGATAAATATTGGTTATGCTTTGGAAGATCAATATTGCAATAGGCACCATTATCGTTTGTGGGGCAACTCTAATAGAAAGGCTTCATATAAAATATATAAGACTTTTTTTAATAATCTCTTCTATTCTTATATTATTTTTGACATTATTGGATAAATGAACCTTGGGATACCTAACCTAGATTATATAAAATAAGGTTCTATCTTTGTAAAGATATTAATTTTTGTAGATTTATTGAATTATTAATCAAATGGAAAAATGTCATTATTTGATTCAACAATTAATGTCATAAACAAAATCAGCTTAGGTTTTTACTTTGATAATAAGATATACTTTGAAAAAAACATATGTGAATAAATAATTAAGAATTTTAAGGGTTTTATCAGGGGTAATCATTGCTTTTGAATTATATTGAAGCTTAGTACCTATTAACATTAAATATTTCAATATTTTAACAAAATACTACAAAATATGGGATTTAGAACAGCTTTGTTACAGAAAAAATGCAAGGCTTACTCTTAAAAATGTTGTAAAAGATGCTTAAATTACTTTTAGTATTTTAGAAGTTGAAATATTTGAAGTAGAAACTAAGTAAGTAAGTAAATAAATACTTATTAATTTGAAATTTGTCAAAATTATTTTAATATTTTAATATTGATGTTCATATCAATAGCATTAATAGTTATGATAAAAATAACATTTTTATATTACCGTAAGTAAGTAAGTAAATAAATATATAGTTACACATGAAAACAAAAATATTTATTAATAAATGAGTGAATGAGTTAGTATATATAAATTATTAAATAATAACTAAAATTAAATATATATGATATTGTTTTTTTTGTATTGAAAGTGTGTGTATATATTATCTATTGTAGTATATATTTGATTATAACAAAATTTTTAATCAAAATCAAAAGAATTAGAATTAGAATCATATGTGAATGAAATATATGGTTTCAATCAAGCTAAGAGAGGATCAAAAAACATAATGAATATCACTAAATATCAACAAATAATTAATTATAATAAATTAAATGTGATTTACATTTACTCATCTTCTGAATAAAGAGCTAAAATCCAAAAACTTTTAATAAAGAAGAAGCGAGAATTCCTCGTCATACAATTTAATTTATTGAAGAAGTTCTATTCCAAAAACAATAAACAAATAATTACCTTTTCTTGATGTAAGGTTTTTTAGTATACTTAAGTGGGCAGGTAATGCCTCCAAAAATCTTATAAATTTAAGCAAATTTACTCGTTAATAAATTAATTATCTCTATACTTATTCTGTAATACAAAAATTTGTTGGTAATATTTATCAAGTAAATAAACTGATTTTAATCACCTATTAAATGCTCTAACTCAAAAAACTTTCGTACAATAAAAATAATTCTACAATTTAATTGATAAACGATCCCTTCCTCATTTAGTAAGTGAATCTCTTAAATAATTAAAAATATAGATAATATTTTTTACCATTTTCATTTTCATTTTTTTTCTACATAAGTATTTTTTTATCTCAACTAATATATGAAATCTTGCTTTTGTTATATTACTCAATAACAATTTTATACTAAATTGATTACAAAACATTATAACTTAAGAGTTTAAAATACTTAAAAATAAAGAAATAAACTCAAAGCCTAATATCATCATTCATCTAGAAGCTTAGAGCAACTTAAACTTCTTATTCAAATTCATTTAGTTATTTAGACTTTCTTGACAGAAAATTTATTCTATTAGTAGATATTTCATATTTTCATAAATAAAATCCTAATTTATAAGCATTATTTAATTATGGTATTTAAAAAAAATGTAGAATCCTTTTTTCTTAACTTATTTACATTTTGGCCATTAATAATTACCTTAAAAATTCATTTTTATTGTAAATTATAATCATAGTTACTTTCTTATTAAGCATCAAGTAAATTTAATTAATTTCAAATATTTAAACACAGCCTTATTATGAATAAGTGTTATTAATAAAAAGGTTAATTATTTATTAATCCTATCTGACTTTTTAGCATCCAACGCTACTTTTACACTGTCATTCTCTATTATTCAGTTTGATTTACTTGATAAAATATGACCTTTTAAGAAATCCTAAGCATTAACTATAGAATTGTTAAGAATCATCATAAAAATTAAAAATGCATTATAATTATTTGATTCAGAATCATTTTTTTAAAGATTAAAGCTAATTCACTAAAAATTATTTTTGATCATAGAATTATTATTTAAATATGAACCTTAAAAAGCAACCTTCATGGATCTTATTGAATGTATATATCAGTTAAATTGTTAAGATATTTTATTTGATTTTAGTATTTATATTATTAAGTTTTTTTGCCGCTTTGCTGAATTCATCAGAAGTAAAATGGGTTAATAAGTAAGAGAATAATATTTATTACAATTCTTTAAAAAGAAAAATATGTTTGTTAGTAAGTTAATTGAATAATTTTTCATTATAAACGAAAATAAACTTAATTTTTTTAAAGTATTCATTTATTCCTAATGTTTCACAGACCATAAAACATTAAAATAAATTTTATTCTTTCTGTCTGCATTTTATCTAGGGATAAAGTGCATGAAAATTGACAAATAATTTATAATAGGAGATTTTTGATTTTCGTCTATTTCAGATTTAAATTTAATTTACTAATTGATTGGTTTTAATAATCTAGATAAAAAATTATCTATTTTCTATTTCTAAAATATTTTTGAAATTTAAACTTTTATTCCAAAATTCTCACAAATAAGACTACAATATTAATCTTGCTTTTATTTCTTGAAGTATATTTCATATTTACTTATTGAAAGATTGGTATTAAGTTAGTAAATAACTAATAGGCTTTGATAATTTTATATAAATCTCATAAATTTACTATGAAACGCTTTAAAAATAAATTAATTTTTTAATGTTGGAATGACAAAAGTAGATTTTTTTACTAAAAAATTTTTAAAAAAATAAACAAATGAAAGTTTTTAAATAAACTAAATATAAAATATTTTAAGGCAAGTCTTACTTCAATCCTAATATTATATTTATAGAATAATTAATACATTATTCATATTACACAATATTACTTATGAAAAAATTCAATATTACTTTGACTTAATTAAATTAAAAAATATTTGGGGAATTACCTCAGAAATTTTTTTGTTATTGCTTAGAAAAATTCAAGCATGAATAACATTTTTATTAATTCTTTCTTAACAAATACTTTAATGATCAAAAATTAGAAAAGATCTATTTAATTTTTGAAATAGAAAGGCTGGCTACTCGAATTCAAACAATTAATTATTTACTGGTTGAATACTTGATTACTTCAGTTAATTTGATCAAAAATATAGCAATCAAATTTATTATATCTATTAAAATAATTGGATCAAATTTACTTATCAGATTTTACTTCTATTTGGTATCTAAAAATAAAACCATGTCTCTTATCCTCTAAATTTGTTATATATTTTCATAAATATATGCAGAATATTCAAATTATATATTTGCTAGCCTTTTTTAATTCAATATCTTCTTTATTTTTTTGTGCCCCGCTATTCAGCTATTTATTTTAGTAGATAACTTTTCACTATATATTATTTACTTTAGAATAAGATTCATTCAGATTTTAAAAAAATAAATGCAAAAATAGCTTTAAACGGGCATATAAATTAATTAGGGTTTGAAGAATTTATTGATACATAGTTAGTTTACTTAATGAAAAAACAAATAAAATTTAAACAAATTATATTATAAATTTAATAATAATATCATTGTTATTTTTCCTGTTGTTATTAAACGTCTTATTTGAAAATATTTTGAAGGTGCTCATCAACTTCGGTTCTACTAACGAAAACATTGGTCTTAAAATATATTCCTTCTTTTATATAGCCAAGCATCCATATAGGCTTTTCTCTTCTCATTGCTTAATTTAAAAAAAATGATAATTTTAAAATTATTATTAATTTAAAGCATAATTAAATAAATAATTACCTTAGGTATCTGCCATTGTGTATGTGAAAACCTATGGAAGATTTTGAGTTTTACCACTCAAAAATATCTTGTGGTCTTGTGTTTACAAGTCTTTTTCACAACCATCGCATTCAATAATTATATAATATATGTATTTACTAGCAGAATGATTATTAGCATGTGAAATAGTGAATTCAAATGAACCATATTAATATTCAGATAGCTCTACATTCTACCAACTTTTTTATTTCACATCTACATCTTGAATAAAATCTATAAAAATATCTCCATTCTTTCCAACCTACTTCATTTCTCCAATCTTGATTAAAGGAGTCCACATGATACTTTCAAAGTTCTAATTTTTAAACAAATTTATTTTTTATAAATTTTAAACTTTAAAATATTTTTTCTTAATTCATCTAAAAATTTTTAATTTTGTCATTATAATGAAAGTTTATTTTTTCTTTTTTAAATAAAATTTTTGGCTAGACTTATATCATATTTTTAGCTGTAAAATAGTTACTTAAACTTAAAAAAAATTATTGAATCTATTTTTGAAGAAAATAGTAATTAATTTTAATTTAATATTTTCATTAAAATTAAAATTTCTTTAAAGTTAAAAATATTTTTATTTTATTTTAAATTTATTATTAAATTAATTTTTATTTAGGTGCTTTCTTCAGATTTTAGTCATGCTTTTAATGATATTTATTTTCTCAAAAATTATCATAAAACTAGTTCAACTTGGAATAACAATTTCATTTTTTATTAAATTATGTATTAAAATTTTACTTTAACATAGATTTTCCATTCTTCGTTCTTTTGGAATTAGACACCTAATTCATTTAAAACTAGCTTGGTCTCTCTTTCCAAACTGCTTACAACTATCTCTCTTGTATATTAAACTCTTTTGAATCCTTTTTCATCAATTGCTGTAATTTCTGCAACTATTGTGGTGTAAATATCATGCATTTCGATATCAACTTCATCCCTCAATGTCTTGTATACATTATCATTCTAGCCTGTCTTCTCTAAGACTGTAACTAGTTCTATAAAATAAAATGAGCTTAAATACATTAATCTCTTTCAATTTATTTTTTACAATTATTTTCATTTAATGCCTGTATTTTATAATTAAAGGACTTAAAGGGAATTGCTATATCAAGAAGCAACTTTGTTTATTTAGGCTTTTAGTCCCAGTCAATACCTAATTCGTATTTTTCTTACTTATAAGGAGTAAAATTTTCTTTAAGCTTTTCTTATTCATTCTTATTCATACCTCCTTTAATACCGAAGTATCTATTTCTTAAGATTTTATCATAAATTCCCTGGATAGGCTCCTTTTCTTCACAAGTATTCATGTAGATTGTTGAGCCCTTAAGCTTCTTGCTGTCTAAGGTGTAAACTTTTTAATGCTAAAAAAATATATATGATAAATATGAAAAATCATATAAATAAATCAAATAATATTTAAAATTATTTACGACATGGATAAGCCAGTTTTTGATTGGTGTGATTACTTTTGATAAGTTAGAAGGATTTAAAATTACCCATTAACTTAATTATTTTTAGAAATTTGAGTATTCATTTTATATTTCAAGTAAAATAGTCTTTTAATTTTAGAGGATCTTGCTTAAGTTTTCAAATCCTTGGAAATTTTTTTTCAAAAATCCGTCAATCAAAGCTATGTTCTATTTTAACTCTTCTAAGAAACTCTCAACAACTCTCAATACATTATAAACTGGTGGGTTTTATAACTAGAAGAAATATTTATAAGTTTTGTCTATTATCTCTCTGTAAGTTGCAATTTTAATGTGGAGATTTTACTTACCAATAACCTTTTTAATAAATATTTAGTTTAAAATTTGAATCAAAATGTGCTTAAATATTGATTACATCATTATAAACCTAGAAATTATTTTTTATATGTTCTATTTCGCTGAAAAGATTCAAAAAATCTGGGTAGTTGAAATTTTGCAAATGACCCTTCAATTCGACCATTTATTCATAGCAAACTTAGACAGCTTTTTAGAAATATTCATTTTAATCAGCCTAAATATCTGTATTAAGTACGTCTGCTATTGATTTTTGGAGTTTTTCCTTCATCTAGGGGATCATTTCATACTTAAAAGTTAGTTTCAATTCACAATAAATCATGTTTCTTATTAATTTGAATAGTCTGTCTCTCAGCTATTATGGAGTAGACTCCTTTAATTGAGTTTATTCTATAGCTGCTTCGATTTTATTGTAATATTCAATTTTATCTTTAATTGTTTCTAAGCTGGGCTATTTCAAAATCTAGTTCTTTTTTAATATAAATTATAGAATTTCAATAAAATGAATATTAAATTTTACTAAGAGATTAACTAGTTTCTTTTTCATAAGAGAATGCATCAAAGGGTCTTTTATGGTAAGCTTCTTAAAGATAGTTCCTAAAAGGTTGTTATTTCTAAGTTAATCAAATTCCTTTTACATATGTGAGAGCACGTTTAGGAAGTTTGAAATATTTTGCTTTTGGGTTTCAAGTCCATTGATTTCCATCAAAGAAATAGGATCATCAAGCAAAAATGGTGATCCATAAATTGTTTCATAGAACAGCTAAGAGGTCTTGGTAATTTTATCTAAGAAATTTAACTCTCTTGTGATGACTTCTTTATCATCCTCGAATAAATCAACTTTCATGTCCAATTCCTTTCTGAGATCTCCTAAGAACTTCCATAACTCAAGATATCTCTCCTCTATCTTTTTACCTCTTTATTTCAAATCTGCAAACAACTTCTAAGAGTCAATATCGATGTACAATTGCTAATCTGGGTTTCCTTATTTAAGTTTATCGACAAATGGTCCTATTTCTTATTTGTAAAACTTAATAAGATCGTTCCATTTTTAATTGAACTCTTGCTGTTTAACCATGTACTAATTAATTTAAAAAATAAATAAAATTATTTATTAATTCGTTGACTAAAAAAAATACTTTATCGAATTTTTCCTAGAAAGAAGGCAACTTTTTGCTGATTGAAGTGAGGAAACGTTCATTGTTCTTGAATTAGTTTATCATTTGCATTTCAACCTTTTCAAGATTCATATTAAGACAAAATTTGGCAGAAATCAAATGCTCCAAAGTTTCTAACATAAGATAAGGAGCTTGTTGCATCGATCCCATAAGCTTTTGATTTATATTTTCCATGTCTTCTTTGTAGGCGTTGGCTTATTACCTTACTTTAATAGAAAATAGCTAATAATTTTCTATCTAAATGAGACCTTCAATAATTGCATCTCCCTTGGGTAAGTGAACACTAAAAACATTAATAGCATCCTCTTAATCATATGATTCGGTATCCATCAAATCTACTGTAGTAAATTTACCAACTTGTCTACGATATTCATGATATTCGTTAAAAATCTTCTTGGAAACAGCAGCTTACTGAGCAAATTACTCTAAGAAGTGTTAAGTTAATATTTAAGTGTATTTTTAGAATATTTGTTTGCATTCAACATCAGTGATCAATTATTTGTATTTATTCTTAATATCGCGAATATCTTTCTAAACACTTACTTCAGGTTAAATCTTCTCAGTACAAAGAACCTTCTCAACGTACATTTCGCATTCTAATGTAAAGTCATAGCAATGTTGGCATGTGGTTAGCTTTAAATTTTATCTATTTTTATTAAAATTAAATTATATTTTTAATCTAAAATCTTCATTCTAACAAATTTGTAAAAGCTTGATTGCTAATTTTTCAATTAATTTTATCAAATAAAATATTTTTAATTTTCAAAAGCTATTTTTTTATACCTTGATAAAGTCTATTCTACGTTAGTCAAACTGTGATTTTGGTGTATTGCGCGAGATGGAATGATAGACAACATAATGTATTTCATGTATTTTTAATTGTATGCAAGGGCATCCTCAAATAAAATAATAGATTTTTCTGTGTAAAAGCTTGCTTTTTCATATAAATTGTTGATTATATTGTCTATTTAAAGTTTCATAATCTCTATCCATTGTCTGAAATATTCTACTAAAATACCAACTGGAATTTATTAATTCTATTTTTTTATATTAAAAATAATTAATAAACAATCAATGATAATAATAATTATAATTAATTAATTAATTAAAATTTGTAACATCTTTAATATCTTTATTCGCTATTATTAACTTTAATCTATATATACATATATTAACTATCCTCAAGGCTTAAACATACATAGTTCATTTAATTTATTTACTTTTTGCTTGTTTTGCAAGGCTCTGTAGTTAATAAGAATGGGCATTCCCTTGTCTTAAAATTTGTACCTGTTTCCTGTGCTTATATTCTTTTATTTAATTTTAATATTACTATTAAATTATTCATATGAAAAGTCAAATGATAAAAAAAAGCTTTTAAAGAAACCAAATTTCAAATAAATTTAGAATTACACCATAAGTAGAATCGTACATTAAGGGCATGACGCTATCTACAATCTTAGGAAATTCGGGTTTAAGCTTTTACCTTTAAATAAATACAGAATATGATTTTCATCATTTAATGTAACTTTAATTTATCAATTTAATATGATTTGTGCAAATAAAATTAAAAGTGTGCTCTTACGAATTATGATTAAATGTAGGAAAGACTGTCATTGAAGCAGTATTTCTCTCAGGTGATAAATTATCATGCGACCTAATTACCATTGACTATACTCTAATGCTATTGCTATTAATTTTATTTTAAATTTTACATAATGATAAAAAATTAGAAAAAAAATCATAAGATGGTTTTTGACAATAAAACCACAAGCTAATTCAAAACAGAAATGATTTTATTTTGTTAATCTTTGTTTCTATTTACTTGCTTTTAGCTGATTGTATCCTCAAACTATCTGAATATCTATTATTAGCTGCACTCATCTATATTATAAAGTCTACGATTATTTAAACAATTAATTATTTTTTTAGCTAATAATTTTTTGCTGATAATTTTTTTGCTGAACAAAATATAAAGATTTATTTGGCTATATTTTTACTACATAAAATTATTGATTTCTTTAAAAACAATAAACTTCTATAAATTAAAATAAATAGATAAATATTGGATTTAGCATGAATCAGGTATCAGTCAATTATTTAATTAATTATCTTATATCAAAAAGCTATGACAAGAAAAATATAATAAATTGTTTATATTCTCTGTCTATAAATTTTATACTGGATCGTTTTATGTTAACTATTTTTAATGCCAAGGAAAAATTGTATTCTCAAGCATGAAAATAAAGTTACTAACTTACTTAATTTATGCAATAGTTCATTTTTATTACTGTGCGAATTTATTTTATTAAAACTAAATTTCATTAATCTGTACATTAAATTCCATAAAAAATTTTTTTAAATACTTTTTTTAATTTAATTAAGTAACTATTCTCAAATTCAATAGAAATCCTTGACATATAAAAATTTATTTATCATAACACTTAAGTTTGATTTAAGCACTGTAAAATAATTACATGATTGCTGTAATTCAATACTTTTAGTTATAAGAAAAGTGTATACTAAACCAAAAGCTTTTTTAAGTTTTCATTTTTATTACTGAAATAATTTATTTTATTAAAACTAAATTTGATTAATCTATCCATTAAATTTTGTAAAAAGCTTATTTAAATACCTTTTTTTTAATTTAATTAATAAATTATCAACAGATTCTATAAAAATATTTTATGTTTAAAAAAATTTATTTATCAAAACACTTAAGTTTGATTTAAACATTGTAAAATAGTCATAAAATTTCTGCAATTCAAAATTAAAGTTATAAGAAAGTGTATTTTTAATCTACAAAACAAAAAGTTTTTTAAGTTTTAAAGTTTTCATATCTTTATATATTATATTTTTGAATAAAAACCAAAAATTATTCTATTCTATTCCTTCAAATTTTTAGAATTTTTACAAGTTAAGTAATTTAACTATTTAAAGAAAATTTTGCTTTAATTTGAAATTGTTTTCATCCATTAAAAATTTTGTATTATTTTTCAAACAAAAATATTTAATAACAATATTAATTTTTTTTCTAACTTTTCTTTATGAAAATAAGAACTAGAAAATAACAAAGCTCATTCAGTTTTAAATCAAAAAAGCTAAATAATTAATTTGCTTAACTTGGAGATATAGTACCAAAACCAAAATGATATAAAAGTAGATTGTAATTTTAAGTAAGGAAATTGTTGGTTGGAATATTTATTTAAGCATTTCAATTAAATTTTATAATATTATTTAATATGAGTTTTTTTATTTCTTTTAAATATTTATAAATGATCTTTTATTTATTTATGAAAATTTTGATAGTTACAATTTATTTATTAATTTCCTATTATTTTTCTCTTAAAATTTTTTGCAGATTTGTGAACGAATCTTTTAAAATAAAAATTTTATTTTTATATTAGATATTGATTGTCTAGCTCCAAATAAAGAAAAATGAGTTTATCTTTTGAATTTATTAGAATTTAAAACTTATATAATTCAATATAAATATCTCTATTTAAAATAATTTTACCTTTTAAAAAATAATTATCATTTCTACTATTATATTCCTTTTTTTACTAATTTGTGATAATTTATTTTTTAATATCTGTTCTTTGATGTTTGATTCTATATCCTTAAAAATATTGTGTATACATTTTGAAAATTATAATTGAGAATTATTTAAAAAACTAGAATTTTACAATCTTTAAAATTACTGTTTTTGATTTTTATTGTTTATTGCATAAAATTATAATAATTTTAATTTATTCTCTATTATTAACATTATTTATCATGTTTTGATTAAAGACTGTTTTCTCATCTTTTATTCTAAAAATTAAACTTTTTATTAATTCTTTTGTAATTAATAAGAAACCAATAAAAAAATATTTTAAATAAAGAGAAAGCATAATTAATATATTCGATTAACATTAATTAATTTGGAAAATTTATATATAAGTATATATTTATAACTTTTAAAAAGGTGATTTAACTAATAGAAGTAACTTTAAATCTAAATTTATTTGAATTTATGAATTTACTTTATTTAATTATATTCATTAAGAATTAAGATAATATTAGTTAATGTATAAATCTTTAATTTTCATTTAATATTTATAAATATATTATTAAAATAAAAATATATTAATATAATATAAAATAAGTGTTATATAAATTTATTATGAAAAGGAACATTGGCTTATGCTTACTTCCTTTACAATTTATTTTCAGAATACATCTCTTTAGAAGAAAATGAAAAAAAGTATGTTTGTTTTATAATTCAAGAATAAATAAAGAATTTGAAATATCATAAAAAGAGGGAAATACAATTTTATTTTACCGGTTTTAAAGTGGATAAGTTATATGTATAACGATTGCTTATCACAAAATGTATGCTTAATTAATTTGGTGATCACCAAGTCTTAAAAATGAATCTTATTAATCATTATTTAAATAAAAAAATTTTGATTTATAATATTTTGGAGGAAATAAATTCTATAAAAAAACTTAAAAGCAATTGAAGTAAATAATTAGTATTAGAACGCTTTATTTAATAAGATGGGTTAAGAAAAATTAGATTAGGAATGTGATGTTTTATTCTTCCCTGATAAAAGCAATGAGTAGAAGGTGATTGATTTCATTAATTTGGCTAAAAAGGAGCTTAAGATTTGTGTATTTACTTTTACCAATACAGCCATTGCTACAGCCATCTTGAAAAAAGTTGAAAATGAAAAAATTAAAGTAAGAATTATTACTGATGACGTACAAAATGAAGGTAAATTTAGTATAGTAGATGTGCTTTAATATGCTAGCGACGATTTAATTAAGTTCAGAACAGATTTAAATAAGGATGCTCACATGCATCATAAATATGTTGTTATTGATGACAAAATGATTGCAACTGGGTCCTTTAACTGGACTTCTGCTGCAGTATTGAAAAATAATGAAAATTTACTTCTAATCAAAAATCAGAAATTGGCTAAAATATACTCAAAAAATTTTGAGGAACTTTGGGAATAATTTAAATCAACTGAAAAGTCTCTCTCAAAGCTATCTAGTGATGTAAAGTAAAGAGGGACATCTCTGAAAAATAAAATAGAAAAAGAAGCTTAAAAAGGTGAAAAGTAGGCTAGTAGCAAAGGTAGAAAGAAAGCTTAGCCATAAGAATAAGAGAAAAAGTAAGTTGCAGGAGATATGATAATTGAAAATGAGGAAGAAGATGAAGATCAAGTAAAAAGATCAAGAAAACCAAACAACTAATAATAATAAAAGCCCATTGAATAAGAAGATAATAATAATCCTCCACCTTCTAACTAAACACAAAACGGAGATACAACTCCTGTAAAAAGAGGTAGAAAACCAAGATAATTAAGCAGAGAAGAAGAGGAAGAGTTATAGTAAAAAAAAGAGAATGCAAAGAAAAAAAAGAAGATTAAAAAATTGGTCAAAATGAGCAAAGTAACTGAGGTTAAAAGGGTGGTTTTATAGAGCAAAATGGCTTAATCTAGATTCCAAAAATTCAAGAACATACTTTACAATGCAGCTTCATTCACTTTGGGAGTCTTATCTTTTGGTTCTTACCTCTATTTATCCTAAAGAAAATTCTGAGTTAGTTAAATAACTGTTAATATTTTTCTTATTTTTCATGTTTGTTTTTATCTACTGCTTGCTACATGCTTTGCTTTATATTATCAGAAAATAGTTAGTTTTTAATCAATATATATTTTTCATCTAATCATAATTTATTTATTAATTAATTATGATTAAATCTTATTTAAATTAAGTTCCTACCAATCATTTCTTTATCTATTAAAAATCAAATTTAAGTCATTTTTTACATCACACCTCTTCCAAATAAATTTTTATTTTGAAAAAATAAATAATTTTCTTTCATATAAATTTAATATGCAATTTTCTTTATATTGTTTTTAAAGGCCTGTAATTTTTCTAAAAAAAATAAACATTTTAAAACAAGATTGACTAAATTTAAAGACGAGAAAAGGATTAAAAAAATTATAATTAAAATTTTAAAAAATCTAACATGTTTTTTTTATAAATCTATTCATAAAATTATCAAAAAAAATTTATTTTTTTCATTTTTTTGTTAATTAATTAATTGTATTGTTATAAAATTTGATTATTATTAATTTATAAAATTTTTAAATGTGATTGATAAATAAAAATTAAAAAAATTGGTTATTTTATCTATAAAAAATAGAATTAGAATTTTGAATTAACATATTTAAATTTGAATGGTTAATTTAAAAACTAAAAAATTGACAAAAAAACTTTTAATATAAAGCAAAAATATTTATTTACATTGAAAAATATATAAATGTACAACTACTCATTTTAAGATGATTTTATAACTTAATTTATTTATTTATTTAATTCATTAATAATTTTTTTAAAATATTTTTTAAAATCAAAAATTTTGAATATTTAATTTTATTTAATTAGATCCTGTAGAAATTGGATAGAATTCCTCTGGAAATACTGCATGCACTATTTTATTATTAAATTGAGTTTATGTCTTTAAACCTTTATCCAAACTTCTTTTTAGCGTTATCTTCTTACTGTTTTTACTATTGCTAGTATGGATACCTAGTGATTTTTCATCTCCTTCTGTAAAAAGTTTTTAGTTTTTATTATAAACTTGGTTCATTCCATAGAAAGTAGATTCTAAGCTAATAATATTCTATATTTCGTTTGGTTCTGTATTTAAACCAGTAATTGTATCTAAAGGATTTGATGCATTTGTAGTTGTTCTATACATAACATCGCTTGAGGTATTTAATCTTTTAACATTTTTTTTGTTATTTGAAGGAGGCTTAGCATTTTAGTATACTCCAAGTTAAACCAAAGACGGATTTTATTATTATTGATTTTATGCAGGTTAAAGGGATGTAGTTCTATCACCTCCTCTGCTAGCAATTTTCCCTCTTTATTGATTTTCAAAATCTTAAAAGCTTGCCAACATAAAATTATTTTGATTGCTTGAACTTGAACAAAATGATGATTCTGTTCTATTTCTATGATGTGATGATTAAGTTCTGTTTTGTTAAGATGTTCCAAGCAATTTTTTCTCTCTAACCTTATTAGCCTTCTCCACATTTCGCTTAATAAGATCATCTTAAGCCTTTTTTTTATTCATTTAAGTCATTTAGCGAACTAGATAGTTCTGAGATCTGTTAAAATTCTGCACCCACATTTCTTCACTTTTTGTTTGCATCCCAATTTGCTTTAGAATTTCGACTCTTTGCAGTTTTTCTAATTTTTTGAAAGAATTAATAAATAAATAAATAAATAAATAATTAAATAAATAAATAATTAAATTAACAAAATTAAAAATATTTTACATTCAATATCTATTTTCATATTAACTTCTTTTGTAAATTCTCTGTTCTTCTTCTCAATATTGGTAATTTCTTTTTATTCGTTTTAGTGAATGAGTTTATCCATATTCTTTATCTCTTTTATTAAATAAGATCTCTTTTTACTATCTTAAATTCCTTTTTATTTTGCTATTATACTTTGTTCTTCTCTTTCCTTCAGTAAAACCTAATTAATTAGAATAAAATTTGTAAGCATTTTCAATAAAAAAATTGAAAAATGGCATAAATAATTAATTAAAAACCATAAAATTTTACTTGGAAATCTCTGCTTAGACACCTTTACTGGTCTTTTAAAAGTGTAACATCAGTGACTATGTTATTTAAAGAGTTGTCTAAGAGAGGTTTACTGCGATATCTACTATGAGAAGTTGATAAAGGATTAACCTAATTTCCTTTATAAAAACTTATAACTGTTGAATCAAATTCAGACTTAGCGTATTTGGTAGAAGTATCGTTAGTAGTTACTGGTAAACCTCTTTTTGAGAAATCAAAATTCTCATTTTAAAGCTAAGGAAGTCCCCTTTTATTAGGCAATTCAATATTCTAAGCTTCAATTTAAACTTTTATCTATTCATTTAAATTTTTACCACTAAGTAAAACTTAATTATTTTGAGGCTTGTAAATATAAATTTAATCATTATAGAATAAATTGAATTCTTATTCTAGTTTTTAAAGTGGTTTCTATTTTTTTGTGTTACTCAGTTTTTAAGTGGATTTCTTTTAGAGCAAGGGAATCATAGTTTCTTTGTATGTGACAAGGCTTTCAACTTAGCTCATTTAGCAAATCTTGCTAGCCTTCGAATTAAATTCTATTTTATTTTGGCTGCTTAAGAATAAACTATTAGGATTGTTGATAGATTTTTCTTCCTTTGCAAGACATCTATTTTAGTCATACTTCAAATTTATGTCTGTTAAATATAAAATTAGTTTTTTATTTTATATGAAATAGAAATTTAAAATCCTTAAAACTTATTGAATATTAAATGAATATATATGATATTAAAGTTTGTAGAAACAAGTGCGAAGTGCTTAAAACTGATTATATACTAAAAATATATCCTAAAAAGAGCTTAAAGCATGTCTATAAAATAAGTCAAAGTTTAAATATAATAATAAATAAATTTTACCATAGGTTGCTTTGAGCTCAGTCTCTTCGGAAAGTATAAATGTATAGTTTGATATTTATGAATAAGTAAAGAGCTTAATAAAGTATCCGTTATTTCTAAATCTATATGTTATTAGAGCAAGGGCTGCTGCTCTATATTTAGCTTCTTGGAGGGAAGCAAATTCAATTTTAAGATACTTCATTCCTCCAATCTACAATAATCCTATTTTTGTAGAAACATGAATCAAATGCATAATATCACCACAATATTCTTCATCAGACATTTCTTTAGTATTTGAATCTGCAGTCAATTTTAACCACTTTGGGAAAATTCTTTTTTCTTTTACAAAATAAAATTAATTTATATTTTTTAAATTTACTTTTACATAATTCTATGAATTTTTATTGCTCTTAATTATCAAAATTCCAAGTTAATCTCGCTGTTCCTTTTAAGGGAGAGTACTAAATCATATTGTCTTATTCCTTAAACGTTAGAGTTTTCTTTTGGAGAGTTTTTTAATAAATTTTAGGAAGTTCTTCATAAGTAGAGTAATGCAGGAAAAGTGTGTTTGTATTAATTTGTTAATGTACGTAGTATGAAAGCTAACTGTAAAAGGATCTTTTGTGATACCATTTTATATTTCGAAACCAATGCTGAAGCTTACTGCAAGCTCTTTTTTGTTGTATTATAGCAAAAACTTAAATTTGCTGTGGCTTGCTTTTATGGTATCTCCATATTTTTTGTATCTTTACAGCTGCAGATACTTAAATTAAATAATTCTTAAAAAACACTAAAAAAAGAGGCTTTTTTTAATTTTTTTTTTGCTATAAACTTTCTTGATTCTTAGGTAAAATTTATTCAGCTTAGTCAGCTACACTAGTAAGAAAATTGGTTTCTTCCAATTCATTTGATCTATTCTTATTTCTTAATTGATCCTCTTATTCTTTATATAAATCTCTAACTTAATTTTAGCTTTCCTCTTCTGAACCATGGAAAGCTATATAGTTGTATGATATAACTTGCTTTGTGAAAGCTGTAGCTATACTCGGATCTGGGCATTGAAATTCCATAAGGCACTCATATTCTTTTTATTAAAATCTTCTTAGTTTATTACATAGATAATTAAACTTCTCCCAATCTTTTTCAGTCATTATTTATTTTTTCAATTCTCTATCCATATTAGGCAAACTAATGTAGCTATGAAATCTATTGAAGAAGGGATGATATTGCATTTCGTAATATTTTTGATCTGTTTTTGTGAACAAAACCTTTGATCTTAATGAAGGACGCATTAAAGCGTTAAACGGATACTTACTGTAATAAATATGATTTTTAGATTCCTAACTCTCTATTACACGAAATCCCAAAACTTTTTCAGCTTTTTTTACATACTTTGAAAATAGATTTTTTTTAATATCTTCATAAATACTTTAAGCTTAATCTTAATTTTATATATATTTGTAGCAATCATTAAATATTTTACTAAACTCCCTCACTTAATCACGATGAAAATAAATAATTATTTAGTTAGGTTATAAATTATTATTGTTATTGTCTGAGTTTTGAATTTGCATATTTAAATTAGAGTTCTTTTGGTTTTATTTGTACTGAGATGATTAGAATTTATTAGCAGGCGTCATTTAATTTGACTTTGTGGAAGATTATGGAAGAGCAGGTTAAGGAAAGAGTACCTGCTAATATGAATTTAAAAACTATTTCATTTTTTTGAAAGCCTTTAATATAATTCTAGCTGCCATTTACATTTACTTTTTAATACGAAATCTGTGCAAGTAATCCCTAAACAATTTTTTAAGCATATCAAGACTTCTGTGAAATTAGTATGACTTTTTTTCATATAATAAATATTCCTTTCCCCTTTCTTATAATAACGTTTTGAGAGTTAGCTTCCTCATAGTATGTTTCTTCCAATGCTGAGATACCCTTAACGACATCTGTAAGCGATCTTCAGCTGTTTTAAGTTTACTTTTGAGCTACTTTCTGCAAACGTAGCCTCTCCATATCCTTTATATTATCACAACTGGGGAATTTTCTGAATATTTTTTAATAATAATCTTAATTTCTTCTCTCATTAAGAGGAGATAGTCATCATCTTAGAGAACAGTTTCAGAGGGGATGCTAATAAGAGGCCAATTTATTTTTGTAGAAGGAGAAAGAGCATAAAATCTATCAGTTTTTGATATCTAAAAAAAATAATTTAATTTGTGATTAAAATAATTTGTTTTACCATCTCCATCCTTTCTTCATCAGAAATTGCATTAAAATCCAAGGCGAATAGCTTAGGCATAGAATTAACAACAAAGTGACGAAGTGACCACTTAGTTGATAGAGGATTGTTGAAAATAGTAAGATACATTAAATTAGGTATTTCAAAGACCTTATACAAACTCTCAGCATCATCAATTAAATTATTATGAAGATAAAGTAACTTAAGAGATGTTAAATTTTTGAATGAAACATTCTTAGGAAAAGACTATATTTTATTGCTACTTATATCGAGCTTTATCAAGTTTGAGCATTATTTAATATTTTCTAATTCTTTAACCATTATTTCTGTCCCTTAAAGAATAAGAATTTTTAGCTTGAGTGGTTCTTAAATTCTGCTAGCTAAAACATTTGTTTTTTAAATAGTTACATTTCCTTCTTACAAGCTGTCAATATTTTTATTCAAACTCATTATATTAACTTTAATGAGCGTTTAACCTTCCTATTCAGTATTTATAAAGACTGCTTACTTTACCCAATATTTTTCTTTTTCTTTTGATTAAACAAACAAAAAAATCAATTTTTTTACCAATCAAAAATCTAATTAATAGTTAAAATAAATAATTAAGCATGAGAATAAATTATGCAGTTAAAAATTGATTATTTTCTCAAATTTCTAATACACAAAACTATAAAACCAATTTGAACTCATAAATAGAAATCTTATTTACTATTTATAAAATCAAATCCTTTTACTAAAGTTTAAAAAAAGCAAAATCAAATCAAAAAAATAAATTATTTTATTTAAAAATTCATTTAATAAAGTGTTTACAAATTATTTTCAACTCAAAATGATATTTTTTATTTTAATAATTTAAAGAATTAATCTTTGCTAAAATAAAAAACATAATTTTTATCTTAAAAAATATTTGCCATCTATTTTGTTAAACAAAAAAAATTGTTATGTCATTTTTATTATAAAAAAAAATACACATTTATGATTTTCAATATAAATTTGTTTAACTAAAATTTTTAAATTAATTTAAATAAGAAAAATCAATTTGAGAAAAATACATAAATAAATAAATAAATTTGCATACTAATTCGGTAATTTATTGGTATTTATTCTTTCCTTTAATTCTTCTTTTTTAAAGTTAATGCATAAAATGTATTTAGTAAATCAAATAAATATATTTTTGCTTTTAAAATTGAATTGAGTTAATTTTTTTGTATTTAACAACAAATATATTGAACAGTTAATATGATATTAATGAGGGATATTAAATATCAGATTAAATAGGATTAAATTTATATTAGTAAATAATTTTATTTATATTAAATTTTAGCTATATTTAAATTTTTAATCTTGGTAGAGCAATTTATTATAAAATATAAATAGAAACTAGCTGTTGCTATCTCTTTTTATATATTCAAGCATAAAAAATAGAAATTACATGTAGATTCAAATATGTTTGCATTATTAAATTGGATCCATTTAGTAGAAAAGATTAGACGCTGATAATTTATTTTGATAAATATCCAAATAAATTAATTATTTAGTTACTTATATTTTAATTTATTATTGATAGAATTAACCTAAAAATAAATCAATGTCTTTACAATTTAAAACAGAAGATGTAGTAAAGCTTATGCTTTAATTCATGAAAGAAAATGGATTAGTAAACTCTTTAAAGTCATTACAAGAAGAAACATAAGTTTCTTTAAATGTAGTTAGTAATACTGAGTAGTTTGTTGAAAATATTAAAGAAGGTAGATGGGATAAAGTTCTAAATGAGGTATAAAGCATGAAATTACCTGGAAAAAAGTTAATGGAGTTATATGAAATAGTTGTTTGCGAGTTATTAGAATTAGGAGAAAGCGTTGCTGCTTAATTCATTGTTAAATAGGCTGTTAAACCTGCTGGACTTTTCGAAGAATTCAAAGAAAGAGCTTTAAGATTAGATTATCTATCTAAAAAAATACCAATTGACATTAGAGAATTGTATCAAGATAAATACACAAAAGAAAAAAGAAGAGCTAATCTTGCTAGTTCACTATTAAAGGAAGTTGTTTCTGCACCTCCTTCTCGTCTTTTGCAGTTATTAGGTAAATAATTTTTAATTGAATCCTAATATCAAATTAGATCTGTTATTTATTAGGAGATGCATTGAAATTTTAAGAACAATCAGGATAGCTTACAACTGGGATTAAACTAGACTTATTCACAGGCTAAGTACCTCATACTGAAGATACAGAAGATATTGTAAAAATATTTATTATTTAGCAAAGGTTTTAAGAGTCTCAACTTTAGTTTTTTTATAAAAGCCTATCAATAAGGTAGAAAAGGTTGTTCAATTTGGAGGTGAAAGTAGAATTCTATGTGCAGAATTCAGTAAAAATGGAAATTATTTGGCACTTGGAAGCGCAGATGGCATAATAGAAATATGGGATAGTGTATTGATGAAATTAAGATCTGATTTAAATTATTAAAAAGACGAGCAATTTATGTTCCACGAAGAAGCAATTCATGCGTTAGCTTTTTCAGATGATGGTGAAATATTAGTTTCAGGTGATAAAGCGGGAACATTAAAAGTTTGGAAGACATAGACAGGAAAAAGCTTAAAGAAAATAGATAATGGCTTAAGTGAAAGCATCTCTTCACTTAAGTTTGGAGCTGATCCATCACATTTGATAGTTGGATATAATAAGAATTTAATAAGAGTCTATGGTTTAAAAAGCGGTACTGTCATTATGGAGCATAGATCAAAATAAGAAGGAAATATAAACGATATATTTGTACCTTCATTAGAAGAGGTTATTTCTGTTGGAACTGATGGCTTCATTAGAGTTTGGGACTCTAAAACAGGCTAATAGCATTAATAAATTAAATTACCTCGTACAGAAAACCAATCTGCAAACGAAGTAGAAATATTTAATATCCTTGAATCTAGACATAAAAAAGGTTACTTTGTTTGTGAAAAAAGTAACAGACTAGTCATCTTAGATAAAAAAACATTTGAAATAACAAGTTAGTACGTAAACGATAGAAATGAAGACTTTTCTTCTGGTTCACTATCAGCTTAAAAAAGATTAGTTTATGGCGTTACTAATAAAGGTTATTTATATTGTTATCGTGCCAAGGATTCTAAAATTTAATCCTTCTTTTAAGTCTCACAAGACGAAGTAATAGGCATAAAACACCATCCATCTCGTAATATTCTAGTAGCATATACTCTAGGTGGAGATTTCTTGTTTTTGAAGGCAAAATGAGTTATTATTGTTTTTATAAGTTAAAAATAAAAAATTTCGATTGATTAAAAATAATTTATGTATTGCAAATTCTATGAAATTTATCAATTTTTATAAAATTTAATAATATTTTTATTTAGTTAAAAAATTAAATTTAAAAATGATTAATAAATACTTATAAAATTAATTCTTTTATTTACAATTACTGAAATTAATTTATTACAAAGTTAGATTGAAAATGAATTAAAATTAATTTCATTGTTTGATTTTATTTAATTTTAAAAAAATTGTAAAGAAAACAACATTAATGTGTTTTAAATTTAAATTGAAATTTGAATTAATTTTTATTAAAAGTTTTTTTTGAATAATTATTTTACTTAATAAGATATTTTAAATAAGGAAATTTAAAAAGTTTAAAGTAATTATATTTTTGTCACTTTAGTTAATTATTTAGCTAAACAAGTTTTAAAAATTAAATTTAATTATTATTTTAAATTAAAGTGTTTTTATTCTAATTTTTTATCAAATTAATTCTTTAATTTATTATTACAAAACCAACTTATGCAAACATATTTGAAAGTTAATTTTAAAATTCATTTGTTTTTTAAGCTATATTCTTGTATTTTTTCTGATCTATAAACAAATTATAAAGAAAACATTAAAATGTCTTAATCAGTTAAAATATTTGATATTTAATTCAATTATTATTTTTAAAAAGTTTTTATTAAATAATAAATTTAAGTAAATTAAATTATACAATTTAAAAAATTTTAAACAAAAAGTTATTTCTTAATAGTGAAATGTCAATAACAAATAAACACATTCAAATAATAAATAAATTTTTTTAAAGATTTATAAAGAAAAGTTTGTTTGAATAGGGATAAAAACTTTAAAAATTAGTTTTACAAACATGAAATTAGAAATTAAAGTATTATTATCTTTGAAAGTAAATTTAATTTCATTGATAGAATTTATTAATCTATGCTTTGAATTATTTGAGCCATTTATGAGAAATAATTAATTTTTCATCAGGAACACCTAAAATAGCTTTTATTTTTTTTGCTTTTTAAAGTTATTTTAGAATGCTGTTTGGAGATTCATCTTGAAATTTGTTGATATATTTCTACATATATTTCTCAAAGGTTTTAAAGTTATCAAGTTTTTATTATTGCTATACATCATCTTTTCTTTCAATGTTAGGCTTGTCATTTTATGGTGATGGTGCAATTATCTAATCTTTAGGGAATTTAAATTTCTTAGCTTAATTTTTTATCTTTTTTTCAACTCTTACATTATTTAATTCTTGAATTAAATTTTAAGTAGGTGACACAGTCTTTTTCTAATGATCAATCTAAGGTGTTTTTAATAACTTGAATTCATTTTTATTTGAATCCTCTTTTTACTCTTCAAAATCGTCTTCGAATTCTTCATCTTCAAGTTCCACATTTTTTAAAACAACTTTTTTATTCTAAACTTCATTTTATTATTATATGGGAGACTAAGGAATCAATTTTTTTTACATAAATTAGTCAGCATTTTGTTTATTGTCAATTAATTAACTTTAAGCATTGTTTTCTTGATTTTAATTCATTTCAAATTTATTTACTGCCTAGCTTTGCAAAGGTTTTTATTAAAGTTAAGGCATTTACTATATTTAATCAATTTATTAGGACTTGATTTAGATATCTGCTTGGATACATTTTGAATTCTAATGAGGTTCCTTCTAAATTAAATTTCTTGGATATTAAGCTTAGGAATAGTTATAATAATTGTAAATTTATCTAAGATTTTTGCATTTTTCTTCCCAAATAGATAGTTCTTCTTTAGTTTGATTCTCTAGATCACATAGAATCTACAGCTATCTGTCAATTAATTTTTTCTTATTTTAAAGCTCTTCTAAAATTTATGCATCTATATCACAAGTAATATCAGAATTTTACTCTTCTTCCATTTACATTTTAGAATAATTGCCAATTAAAATTAATTATTTTTTTGCAAATAAAAAGTTTGTTTAAAATTATTTATAATTTAATGTTTTATGCAGTAATATTTTAAAGTGTTTTAAATATTAAAAAAAGTATTTCTAAAAAATTTAACATAAACTCTATTAATTTCCTATAAAAAACATCAAAAAGTAATTTTTAAAACAAACATCAAAATTCTAATTACAAAGATAATTTAGAAAATAATTAGAATTATTATTTTTCCAATCTATTTTGGTGGTATTTATTTTTAATATATTGACATCATAAATATAAAATAAATAGACTGCTTATTTATATATAGGTTTAAACTAAATATTCATTCTTAGCTTAATTCTTGCATTATTTGTAAATAAGCTGCATTAGATTAGAATTTATCTGAAAGTGAAGGTTTTTCATCATGTTGCCATTAATATAGATTACATTTGTTTACTTCGTTGAATTTTATACTTTCAAAATCTTATGCGTTACGCTTGAAGAAGTGAGCTTATATGCCTTCAGGGAGCTATACTTAATTTCCCAAGAGTTCTCTGCCATATAAACTGGTTTTATAATGATCAATTTCCTCTGTTTATTACTTTTTCTTTTCTTGCATTATGGATTCAAAATACTCTTTTACTTAAGCAGGACCATCAACTTCAATTTTAAATGGAATCATATGCACATTGACTGGTTCCTCCTATATCTATTTTTTATTTGTTTCTTATTTTGCTTAAAAGCTGTACATTTCAACAAATTATTTTATAACTAAACTTCTAAATATTAAAACTAAAAAAGTTTTGAATTGGATTGCTGTGTTAATATTTAATATAAAATAATCAAAAAATTAATAATTAGATTTTAACCAAAAGTGTTAAATTGTTATTTGTGTTTGTTTTTTTTAATCCCGCCAAAAATAAATGAATGTAGATGATATTTATTTCTACTAAGTATTTTATTAAAGGTAAATAGCGCCTTTATTTATATTTTCGATATAATTATCTTTAAAAGAATCTTAACAAAAAAGAAAAAGTAACAAACAAACACATAACTTGAAAAACAAACTACTAAGTAGAAGTATAAACTTTAAATGCAATAAATTGTTGTTAAAAATGAATTTTATTCATTCTTCGAATTCTATTTAATATTTCTACAAAAACTATTTATACCATTTTTCAGATAAAGTTAAATCTTTTTTTGTTAGTCCAAGTGATTCTCTAAGGTGATACGCCTTTTCTAACACAGAATCAAGATCTCTCTACCCTTCAGAAATAAATTATATTAATTGTTCTTCAAGTTATTCTATTTTTGTATTAGAAAAGTGAGAAATTAGTTATGTTTAATCATTCGATTAAGACATTAAACTTGATTAAAATTATTCATTTTAAGAAGGTTATGTTGATTCTATAGCACTTTCATTAGGAGAATTTAATAAATGGCAATTTTAATTTTATACTTTTTTTTCTGTACTATAATTAAACTATTTCTCTCTTGACTACTCCTTATTTAAGGAACTCTCCTTAGAACTTTAGTTTTCACAAGTTGACTTTACTGGAGTTTAAAAATCCAAATCTTTAACTTATTTGTCATGGTCTTACTAAGTTTATTCTTATTTTTATAAGTTGTTGTTATTAGCATTTTAATTTTCTTCAACAGTTGATTTCTGAAGTGATTTATTTTGAAAATTATTGGTAACTTGAATCAAATTGAGATTTTTATCAACAATTTATTATTTTTGGTTAAAATTTTTTGTAATTTCTTCAAATTCAAAATCGAAATCAGAATGTTTTTCAAATTCATCATTAAAATTATTTTCTTCAACTTTAACTTATTTATAACTTTAATATTTATATCGATTGTATTCTAATTCTTATTCGGAGTTTTTATGAGACTTGTGTTTTTCTTTTTACATTTTTTGCAAAGCCTTTTAACTAGTTTTTTCTGTTTATTAATATGGTTTCTATTTTTATTTTTACAGATATTTACATTGAGATTTATCACTTTTTTTCATGTTTTTTTAAGGGTGGTCTCTATTCTTCTCTCTATTAATATTAAGTTAGCTATCTTCACAATCAAATTCTGAAACTTTTGATCTTTTTAAATGAGTGACTTAAGAATCATTTACAGAATTATTTTACTTTCTACTTGTATCAGATAACTTCTGATGATCTCTTTTCTCTACTAAACAGCTATCTTAAGTGCCTTAATTTGATTAGATATTTTTTTAATTAAATTTTGGAGTTTCTTCAAATGAAGCATCTTCATTAGATTAGATTATTTGATTTTTTAATTTTTAAGTTTTCTAATCATGCAATTTATTGTAAACATCTTAAGAAGGAATAACTTCTGTCTTTTAGGGTGTATGTTAGGATAAGCTCTAATTGACTTCTTAAGAAGGAGGAGTAACAGATATTTTTTAAAGAGTATGCTAGCTTAAGCTCTAATTGATATCTTAGGAAGAATTCGAAGAATAAGAAGGAGGAAGTTCTGTTTATTAAGGTGTATACTTGCATAAGCTCTAATTTACATCTGAAGAAGATTGTGAAGGCTATTTATTTTCTTAAGAAGATTTCTTTTTAAGAATTTGATTTTCTTCTTCAAATTTCACAGATTTATTGTTTATTTTCTATAACGTATTAGCATCTTGCATTGTATTGTTCTTGGTATACTTTTTCTAATAAATCTAAAAATCAAGTTTCTTTTTTTCTAGTTCTTTTTCTTATTATAGTAAAGCAATCCAGGTAAGCAGTCTTTTCAGCATTCTTTTTTTCTTGAAAGCACACTTAACTATTTTTTTATCGATTTCGCACATATCATGTTAAAATTGTGATATTCTAGGTTGTTGTTATTGTATCTAAAAATACGATGGAACAAATGGCTGAATCATTTTCATGCTCGTGTTGGCTAGGATATTCTAATTATATTAAAATTAGTTTGGCATATTATTGAGTATAATAGGCTATTACTGCATTTTCTTTAATATATTTTTGTTTTTAAATTGTTTTATTTAATTAATTATTATATTTTTCAAATCATAATTTGAAATTGTAATCAAAATTTTATCTTTAGAGCAAACAAAAAATAAAATGGTAGATAAAAAAATAAATGTTTATTACATGAATATTTTTTATTTTTAAAACCAGTCAAATAAATAAATAAATAATATCTCATATTTAATTTGCAAATTATTTTTTATTTTTTAAAAAGCACTCATCAAATTATTAATAAATAAATAAATAGTTTTAAATAAAAAATTTAATTTTATCGAATATTTGTTTCATTTTAAAATCTAACCTTTAAAATCTTTTTAGAATAATTTATCGTTATTTTTCTCTTAAAAGATAATAAGCTGTAATTCTTTTTTAAATTATAGTTATATCTTTGTTTTATTTTATTGTAGATTTGATTAATTAAAGAATAATTAAATTAAAAATACATAGTTATATGTTAGGAGTGTTCTTTTGTTTTTAAAACAACATTTTTACTGGAAGATATTTCACTCATAATTACAAGTTTTAAAGATCAAAAATCTATATTTTTTTTTAGTTAGTTTATAAGTTTCAATATTCTTTTTCTCAACTTTACACATTTTATTTCATCTATTTATTAAATAAAAAGTTATTTTTCATTTAATATTTAATTATCTGTTATTCTCTTTTGTAATTACAATATTTTAATTATATTTTTGACATAATTTTGTTAGAAATTTTATTGAATTCAAGAATAATTGTATTGAAATAATATTGTAATATTTTAAGATTGTTCTGTATTTTTAAACAAAAAATAATTCTTATTGATATTTATAGGCTAATTATTCTTTTAGTACATAATTATCTGTTTTAAAGATCAAGCATCTAAGTATCTTTTTAAGTTATCTTACTAAATTTCATTATACTTTTTCTCATGTTATTTCATCAAGTTATTTCAAAAAATTTATTATTTCATTTTAGAATAAATTATATGTTTTTTTTTAACAATTAGTTTACCATATTTTAGTTATATATTTTATATTCAACATTAGTAGATATGATTTTATTCAAAGAATAATAATATTAAAATAAAATACAAAAAAAGTTATATCTTAAAATTATTGATTGCTTTAATTAAAGAAATAATGAATGGATGATATTTAGGCTAAATATTCAATAAATTTATTATAATATGATTTTATTATAAAAAATATGGAAATTTTTAATAAATTTCTTAAATTTTAATACTTCTTCTCCTTCTCAATTAATTTACTCGGATTTCTTTTTAGTTTATTTAATGTTTAAATTAAATTAAATTATAATTTTTACAATTAAAATGATCTTACTTATTTTTAAATTCAAGTTGTTTAAAATTATTATTATTAAATTCTTTTAGAAGTTATTTTTGGCATCATTTTATTTAAAATCATAAATTTTTTAAAAAATTAGCATTAAATTTATATGGAAGCTTGTATGAATCGAAAGAGAAGAGTTGAATAACTTTTAAACAAAACATATTTTTATAATTTTAACAATTAAGTTAAGATAATTGAATTAAATTGCATCATCTAAACTGCTGAAAAATTAATCTTCTTTTATCATTTTCATATTACTTACTTAAAATCTAGAAGATTCTTTTGGTTAATTTTAAAATATTAATTTTATAAAATTTTCAATTTGTGATTTAAAATTTCTTCAAAAGCAAGAGTAATGAAAAAGAAAATATCTTTAAATATATTTAATTAAATTTCTAAGTGAATATAGCTATTTTATTTTGGAAATTATTGTAATTCTTCATTTATGATAATCTCTAAAAAAATATTTTTATCAAAATTAAATTAAAAATAATAAAAATTTTAAAAATCATGTATTTTATTTAATCATCACAATTTTAATAAAAATAACATTATATAAATTATTAATAAAATTATGTTTTGAATTTTTAACATTTCTTGTTTATATAAATAAAAATTAAATATTTACATTATTAAATTATAATATTTTTTCAAATATTTTTGTTTTAAAATTATTTTTACTATTCAGAATTAATTAAAATTTAAATATAATTTTCCTATAAAAATTTTTTAAGAAGTAGATAATTTTTAGATATCAAAAGCTACATCTTAAATTCAAATAAAATATTAAAGTTTGCCAATTCAAAAAAAATAAAAAATTTTGAAAATCACTTTGATTTATGATTGGATTTAATTTCTTTTGAAGAGGAATTATTTAAGATTTTGTGATTTTAAAACAAATATTTCGTTTGATTGCAAAAAATTTAAAATCATAAAAGCAGAAATTCGTTTATATCTTTTTTTAGTTATTTATTTATTTGTTTGTTTGTTGCAAAAGGCGTATTTTAAATTTAAAGTGCAAATGAGTGATTAAAAGTATAGAGATAAAGAGAACTTTTCTATTGAATCTTTAGATTCTAATATGAAGTAAATAGAGGCAACTAATAATATAATTAACAATTTAGAGAATTAGTTGAATGAATTTTTTACTAAAAAGTCTGGAGGATATAATAGCAATTATTAGAGCAATCACAATAATAATCAGGAAATGGTTTTACAAATGAGCAGCTATTCTCCAAATATGAAGAGCAGTCCATTTAAATAGAATGAAGATAGTTATATAAATTCTATTAACTAATAAAGCAGCAATACAACTATTGTAAATAGTAAATAGCAAGCTAGTGATTATTCGCAGAATTTATATGGAGAAAGAGCAGCAAGCTCAGAAAAAAAGTAATACAATTTTTAAGAAGAGATAAATTCTGTAGAAAAAGACAGTGATGATGAAAATTAAGATGAGTAATTTAGAAACCAAAATTTAAATAGAAACAAAAATGAAGATTACAATCATGATAAAGATGAATTAGATGTAAAAGTGAATGAGAGCTAGTTAAATAACACATTTACAAGTGAATAAATGTTGAGATTAAAAGATAAATACCTCTTAAAAAATTATCAAACTAGCAATGAGTTATAAGCAATTCAAGAAGATTAGCTAGATGAAAATGGTTATTATTACAAAAATTATAAATCAGAGCAAGGTGCATTAAATGTGAAGAATAATTATAGTAACTTAATTTAGCAATAACAAGAATAGCAAGTGCCTTTGTTTTAGAATAAGAATTTGATGCATCATTTTTAATAGCAATAAGTAGGGTTTATCGATTAATAATAATAGCAAAAATAAAATTTATAATAGCAATAATAGTATTTATAGATGAAATAATAATAATTATAGGAGAATTTGAAATAAAATATTTAACTAAAATAACAATAATAATTATCTCAAGCAATGAATCAAAAGGATTTAAATAATGAAGATACAGTTGATAATTTGTAAAGCTTTAGAGGCGATGCAAGCTATGGAAGAGGAAATAAAAGTATGTTGGATAATTCAGTGATTTCTGTTAAAAATAAAGAGGAATTAGAAAATGAGTTAATTTAATTGCAAAAAAGATTAAACTAGCTTGATTAAGAGTCTACTGCTAGAAGAAATAACGTAGATCAAACAACTTTTAGTCCATCAAAAGCCTCGTAATAATATTAACATTCAACCGTCTAATAGACGAATCGAGGTTTAAATTCGATTGGCGATATATCCATAATTAATAACAGCTCTTCTACTATATAAGCATAAAAGCAAAATGCAACAAACAGAGAATAGCTGCCACAAAGTTATTAAAATGCTTCATCTCGTTCTAATTCAATGATTTAAAATAGCTAAAATAATAGCTCAATGCTTCCTTCAACTTATTCAACAAGAGGAACAGACAGTATTGTATCAAAATTACAAAAAATGGAGGAGTTTTATTAAAATAGAACAAGGATTTTGGAAGAAAGAATAAACTCTTTGGAAAGTGAGAACTAAAAGCTGTTAAAGACAAATAGTGAATTAGTTTAGCAAAATGAACAGCTTTAATAAAAGTTGATGATGTAAAAAGAACAATTTTTAATAGAAATATAGCAAAAATTGAAAGAGTAGGAGCATCGACTGAATACAGAGTTTGAGATGAATTTAAACAGGTTTTCTAACAAAAATTAAGAGTTTCTGTCCCAATAGCTTGAAGAAAAGCACGCCTACTAAAAAGAACTGGATTAAATAAAATTTGAGAGACAGAATTTGATGAAAGAGCTGGACGAATTAAAGAAGAATAACACGTAAATTAATTTTGTCTTTTTCGTTATAATTAATTGCATAGGATAAATACCAAGCGCAATAAGCAAATACTGGAAGTATTCTTTTATTTAAAAGCTGATAAGCATTTAATAAAGTAACATCTAAATATTTTTAGGAATGTTTACATTTCACATAAAAATCTCTTCAGTAGATTTTTTTTTTTTGAATTAATATTACTAAACAATTATTAAATTGAAAAATGTAATTACACTCACCAATAATTAGCTAGAAGAAAGTCTTAGTGCTATCTAAAAAATAATTTAAAAATAAGTTAAATTCTAATTTTTTTTTTTTTAAATTGAATATCTTTAAATGAAATAAATTAACTTTTAACTTTAAAAAAAAAATAATTTTGTAATTTGATGAATTTATCTTTGTGGAAAAGATATTTTTAGTAAAATGCTTTGAAATAAATGAAATTTAAAAAAATGGTTTCTTCAAAGCTAGAATAAAAAACGAAAAAAAAAGTGGCTTTTAATGAATATTTAATTGTCTTACTTCAAGGAATATTTAAAATAACAAAAATCTATCAGGCGAATATACAATTAAATTGTAATTGCGTAAAATTAAATGACATCAAAAATTTAATTAAGTTGTATATTTACTCAGATAGTTTACATAAAAATGAAAAAATAATAATTTGAAAACTTTCTCTATAAAATAACTTATTGCCAATTTAATGGACCATTAATTAATTGAATTTAAATTTGTTTAAAGAGTTAAATATATGTAGTTAAAATTAAATTATTCCAATCAAACTAAATACTGAGCTGAATTTAAATAAAGAAACAAAGCCAAAAATCAAATTAAATTTTATCTAATTAAAGCGAATTAACATATTTTTCTAGAACTAAATCAGTATTGATTAGTAACATCTACATTACGATTATTTGGATTACTCATAAATAATTAAGTATTTTGATTTTTATGAATTAATTAATTTATCCAATATATTTTAAGCCTTTTTTTTTACATTTTTAAGCAGAAAAATAATTTTGATATTCGATTTCTCAAAGATATTCAAATTCCAATTTTTTATTATTTTTTTTAAGGCAGATTTGCTGCTTTGATAAATAAATAAATATCTTATTGCACTTTTCATATAGCAAGCAAAAAGCTTATTTGATATTTCTTTTTAAATAAAAACTTAAATTCATGTATTTACTAAAATTTTTGCATAATATTGCAAATTGGAGTAAATTGATAGATAATGACTATTAATTCACTTTGATTTATTTTTTTTTTGTTTTTAATTTAGAGAACTTGTAGATGAGAGAGATAATATAAATTAGAGTTACTCTAATTTATTAGCTGTCCACAATTAAATGCTTTAAATTGACATTTAAAAGAATGAACGTAGCTTACATCATTCATTTTGTCAAAGCAGTTATTCTGATAGAAATACCAAGCCAGCGGTTGTCACTAACTAGTTAATTTTTCCTTAATGTAAATTATTTATTATTTTTAATGAAAATTGAATGAGCTTTTAAATTTAACTTCGAATTTATTATTAAATTAGCATAAATTTCAGAGCATAAAGTCGAGAGCCAGTAATATATTCAGGATAAGCGTTGCAACTATGAAAATCCTAATAAGAATTAAAGCTACATTTCAAAAGCAACTGATTAATAAATATCAAAAGAGGATTAACATGAGTGGAGAGAAGAGCTCAGTAAATTAAAGGAAGAGCTGGAAATAGAGAAAAGACAAAGGGATAAACTAGAGTCAGAGCTTAGAAGCTAGAATATCTAGCACCAAGAAAAGAGTCTATATGAAGACAATTAAGAAATTAATTCTTTGTATCAGAAAATTTTTATGACCAGGGAATTGAAGGCAAGAGAAATAGAAAAAAATAAAGATGAAGCCGATTTGTTGTAGAAAGGAATTAAAATAGATTCGAAAAATCAAGAAAATATAATTGAATAAGAGGAAGAAATATAATAAAATGAGTATGAAGATCAATAATTTGCACCTAGGTTCTAGCAAGATGAGAAAGACAAAAGCGAGTTTAAGAGTGTCTAGTTTGAAGAGAAAGGCAGATATAGTACGATATTTAAAAATGAGTCCATCAATAGTAACATTCCGAAAAACTACAGCTCAAATTTGAAATTAAAAAATAGCGAGTTAAGAGGATATGACTAATTCACTTAAAAATCTATAAATACTACTTAAAATTAAAAAAGATCTTCCTCTTAGTCATCTAAAGAAGGCATAAAAATTAATAATTAATATGTAAATTAATAAAAGCCCCCAAAAACTGGGGGATTAATGATTTCTACCCCATAAAGTAAAAAATAAATAAAAGAATCATATAGTAGTAGAGAAAATTCATAAAAGCATTATAACTCAAATTCATCATAATCACATCTGATGAAGTCTGTTTCTTTAGAAAATTATAACATTGCTAACTATGATACAAGCGAGTCTTAATAAAACTTAAATAGTAAATATACTCAAGATTAAACCACAGATAAAAAGATGGTTAAGGAATTTATCAAGCAAATCGATAAATTAAAGAAAGTGATCCTATAAAAAAAGAAGAAAAGCTCGATTCCAAATAGTACTAATCAATCACAAGGAAGTACGAAAGACAAATTATAAACTTAAGAGAGATAGTCAAGCAGGAATAATAATGAATAGTAAATGCAGGTGAGTGTTTAGAAAAAATCAGTTAAAACTCCAATTTCTTCTTCCAAAAAAACAGCAACCAGTGCAGCTGTTGATGGAAATGTAAAAAGAAGCACTATACGCTCAAATTCAGCCAATAAACAGCGTATTTGAAATTAAAAATATTTTATTGATTTATTAAGAAAATCAAGAAAAAAATTAATAATTTGATAAGGAAATATCTGTGTTTATATCTATTTATTTTTGTTTGCAAAAAGATTGATAGATCTATAAATTAATTGGTAGTTAAATATAAAATTTAAACGGGTTAATTATCTCATAATGTTTTTTTTTTTGCAGTAATTTTATTAATCTATTTACAAGTAATATGTATGTGTTGGTATTTAAATTAAAATTTTTCATAATTTGCCTTAAAATTAATATTAATAATATTGCAGTCATTCATTTGTTAATCGATATTTAAAATAATCTTAGATATCATTTGGTTAATTCTTCTCTTTTCCTCTTTTCCACAAAAAAACTTATCGGATAATAAATATCTTTCGTGAGTGAGATTATTATTTAAAAGCAATGAAGCAGCTAAGTATTGAAATAATTTTAAAATTAACTAAGCTGCAATTTAAATTTTAGCATAAAACTGATAAAATATTTTTAATTTGATCATTAAAAATAGACAAAGTTTTTTTAAATTAAAATAGATAACGCAAATTAAGAATAAAAACATAAACTTTGATTGCTTTTACAATATTTAAACAATTTTTGAATTGAAAATTGGAAAATGAGCTTTTTTTAAATTTAAATGCCTTACTTTGATCTTGAAAGAATTTGCAAATTACAGTGCAATTATTAATTACTCCTATAACGGATTTCTCTGATAAAGACGTCAGGGAATTATTTTTACTTACCAGGTACATTTAAATAGAAACATGATTTTTTAATAAAAATAGAAGTAATGAAAACAGAGTTTGTGAATAGAAGGAAATACATACAATGATTCAAATTTCCTAAACCTTTGATTTATGTTGGTGTTACATTATACCTATAAAAGATTTTCTTTTCAAATAGAAAGACTCTTTTTGTTATGTTTGGTTTTCTTAATGTATCTATCTACTTTTCTCTTTCTTTTTTAATATTACTTACTAATTTAAGGCAGATAATAATTAAGAAATTTTTGATTACTTTGAGTGCTTGCTGTAAATTATGGAAAAAAAATAAATGCAGAAAAAATTTATCTATTAATCAAAAAGTTATGTTTGTATTCTGATTAAACATTTAGTTATATATCACAAGCATCTATCCGAATATAAAGGTAAAAAATAGCTATTATCTTTATTTACATTTATAGCAAGCACCAATAAATAAAATAAATAGATCGAAAAATTGATTAATTAAAAAAAAAGAATTTTATCAGTATATCTTCTTGTTTTAAAAATAAGAAAAAGTAAAAGAAATTGAAATTTATAATTAATAATTTAATAAATACTATCCAAAAGCTAAAAAAAACTCAGAATTAGCTTATACATACTAACAAATAACTTCATTCCTTCTAACAAACACATACATACATATTACAATGTCAAGCTCTCTCATCAATCCCGCAATCACTAAGCTCTACAAAAAGAGTAAATCAAATCAAAGTACCAGTACCTTAGAGACTATTTCTGAGGAAAAGTCTTTCTTCTTATGCACTAAGGCTAAGAAGGTCAGCAAAAGTGGTCTTTTTTCAAATGACAGATTTATTTGTATCGATAACAACAGAATTTGCTACTATAGCAAACTTTCATAAAAAAGCACTATGAGCATGAAAGAAATGCAAAAAGTCACTCCTAAATTATCATTCAAGCACTCTGAACTCCACTCTGTTCAAACAAATCCCAACAAACCTAACATGCTAATCATCAATGTTCTTGGCAATGTAGAAATTAAAGGATAACTTTAAAAATTCAAGACAATTCAATAAATTAAATTTTTGTTCAAAAACCAAAATGACCAATTTAAGTACAAAATGATCATGGAAAAGATCATTGATAACGAAAAATTATGTTTAAACAAATAAAACTTAGAAGATTAATACATTTCTATCTTACATAACTTCTGAAAGCTCTTTTCTAATAATTAAACTAAGTCAGCGATTTCAAAGATATTTAAGATCTTAGTTAAATAAATTAAATATTTCAGAAATACTCTAAAAGTGGAAAAAAGTATATACGAGTATATTTATCAACTCATTAAGATACTATTAAACTCCAGCTTATAATAAACAATTATCTAGTTTTCTATACCTAATAACATCTCTCAAATCATTAAATTTAAGCAATACCATGCAATAATAAATCTACCACACCATATAAAATTACTAAAAAACTTAACTTAAAGTATTAAAAAAACTCAATGAAACCTTAAAATATCCAATCCTTCCTTATATTATTCAATTATTTTACAATTAATTAATAACTAACTAACTAATCTAACAAACAAACAAAATCAGTAATCACCCTCACTCACTCAATCTACTTTCTCAAAAAAAAAAAAAATATTTATTTATTAAACATTATCATAAATTATATTTTCCTTGTTGATTATTTCTTTCTATATTAAAAATGTACAAAGTCATTCATTTACACAAATCTTTACCTATAACAATGCAAATTTAAAATCCGCAAATTAATTTCAAACAATCAAATTAATGTAAATTTTAACAAAAGATACATCAATCAATTCAATTAGCTATAAAAAAATTAATTGGGGTTTTTTTATCATTCCAATTACTTGGTGATATCAATTAATTAATTTTCTTCTTTAATCATTCGCCAAGCGATTAACTTACACAGAAATTAATATTAAATACTAATTTCCTCATAATTTTTAAGATTCCTAAATTTCCTTATAAAAACTTATAAAATTCATAATCCATATTTGATTAACTTGGTTTTTCTTTTATATTTCTAACCTTTTTACACTTAATTCCTTTACTCCACTCTCTTAGGATTAAATTTAAACTGAATGATAATTACTCATTAATTTTAGCTCGAATATTATCTGGCCATACTCTTTTATCCTTATTTTTGTATTCAATAGTTTTAACTAGTTCATAATATAAATTGCTTTCTACTTTTTAATATTCTTAAAACACTAGATTTTATGTAAAAGGTGTTTTTGTTGAAACTCTATTTTTAAATAACTATCAGTAATTAATCTATATTTAGCATTATAATAAAACAAAATATTCTTTCTCAAAAAAATTATGTATAAAATCAAAACAACAAAAATGAGTAAACAATTTCGATTTTTTTTTTTTATTTGTATTTTTTAAATATTTCCAAATGAATTTTTGCTTCAATTGAAAAGAAACTATTAATAACAGCGTTCTTTTTTAAGATTTAACTTACATGAGTATTTACTATAAATATATAAATAAATAAATTGAAGTATGAAAATCCTCATTATTTAAATTGTAAAAGAATAGTGCATCTTTTAAAAAGAATAAATGTAACATAAAAAATTTAATTAAATCAAGTGAAATTAGATTAGTGATCTTCGTGCTCTTGAATGCGAAAATAATATCTTCGAACATTTGCTTCAAAAAAGAAATTCTCTAATGATAAATATCTAATATATTTTACTAAAATATATTATCTAGTTTGATTAATTTTAAGAAGAATACTTAGAAATTTTATAAAACTCTTTATTATATTTCTTTAGTAGCTACGTAGATAGTCTTCATAACTTTCGAAAAGGGTCTATTTAATAGCATATAGAAAGACTCTAAATATTCAAATAAAATTTAATTATTGTACAAGAATTTCTAAAAAAATATAATCAATATTAAGGAATTAATCAGACAAGCAATCAATTACATAAATATTATTCTATTTTTAAAAGTGAAGAATAATTTTGAAGTCATTATAAAATAAATATGTTTTATAAGAGTATTTTATTAAAAAAGAATTTCTTATAATTCTAAAAGAATTTAAATTAATTATTTATTATTAATATTATAATAACAAAATATACATTTTTAAAATAATACATATCATCATCGAATAATACTTCATCTGATTAGCTATTTATAAGAAAAAATACTTTTATAATCATTAAATTTCTAATTGAAATGATCTATTCTTAATCCACTTCTTAAATATTTTATAATTGATTATTTATCATACAAAAAAATAACATCAAAAAATTACTAATCATAATTAAATAACTTAACTTTATTTATTTATTTGTTTTTTATATTACCTAAAAGTTAAAACAAATTTAAATTCATGTATTAAATTTTATTTTATAAAATATTCTCTGTACCCCCTCTATTAAAAAGCATTAAAGAATTTCATATACCTAACTTTTTTTTGTAAAAAATATTTGGGATGGTATATAGTATTTTAATGGAATTAATTTGATTTTGTTTGAATAATATCAAAAATTTATCTAAAAATTGTCTAAAAATAATTTCAGAATTTATATTTTTAAAAGCTAATTTTTGAAACTAACCAACAAATATTTTTTGCTTAGTTTTTTATTTCAAATTTAAAATGAATAAATATTTTTAATGTATGTATTTTAAATTATAAAAATATTTTAAAAATATTATTCGTTTTTTATCAGTTGTCTGTTTATTAGTATTAAAAATAATAAATTAAGTCAACATATTATATTTTTGTTTTAACTAATCTATTTATAATAAAAAATTTGTTTAATTTAAAATGAAAAAAAGAAATTAAAATATTTATGAAAAAGTAAGTAAAATCACTATTCAATAAAATTCATAAATTGAATATAATATATAAATATATAGAATAAAAAGTGTTCAAATATAATATTATCTTTTAAATTGCTGGTTGAAGTTATTTAATTGAGGAAAATGCTTGAAAGATAATAAGCATTACATCTATCATTCAAAATATAAATTATAAAAAGCAATTTTGCAAATTGCTAATCTTTTAAACTCACTCAGAGAAAAATACAATCGATATCATTTTAATAATATTTTATTGTAATAATATAATTTTTAGTAAGTTTCTTTCATGAAAGCTTTTAGCCTTAAAATTTTGTATTACTTCAATACATAATTAATAAAATTTAAAGAGATAATTATTTATCAAAATTCAATAAATTATTTTGAATAAAAAAAATACATATTTTATTTTTAAATTAAATAAAAAATATAATTCAATAAAAGAATAAAAACTAAATAAATTTATTTAAAACTTTAATTTACTTTCTAATAAATAAATGAGCGAGTAAATTATTTTATTAGATATCCTTTTAGAATTAATTTATTTTATTGGTCAATACATATTAATAAACTAAGATCAAGTTTAGCAAATTAATCTGTAAATTGCTAATATCTATATTTATCTTAATTATCAGAACTCTACTATTTAACTATTAAAGATCATAAATAAATGCTTCTTGATAAATAAATAAATTAATTTTTTATTATGATTATTTAATAAATTTTAATTCTAATTAATATTAATTTTATATTTTTTTGTATTTGCTTTAAATTAAAAGAAATTTTAATTTCAAAATTTTTATTATAGGAATTCTTTCATATTTACTTGATTTTCTATTCTATTTCTAATGAATGAAAATGGTACTTATTCTAAAATAATTTACTTATTTGATATAAAAAATATGCTAAATTTTTATTCAATTATTTTGTATTTCTTATTCAAAATTAAATTTATTGATTATGTTTATTTTAATGTAAATATAAATATAAATAGTTAACTTTTAAACTATTTAAAAATAATCAAATTATTATTAAAAATAGTATTATAAATTTCTGATGAATTTTTATAGAAAATGAGTAAAAATATAATTTTAAATATGGAATTTAATTTAAATTCAAATGAAATTATTTTCTTGAAATTTATATTGATGGAGTTTATAACTTTTTAAATATGAATTTAAATATCTACTTATTATTTTTTTAAAAAGAGTTTATGATTTTTAGATTATGACGTTATAATTTATAATTCATTTCCCAAAAATGATGCATCTTTTAATTGTAATTTAAATCATACAAATTATTACATAAAAATAAATATCGAAAATTTGATTTCTTAATCTCATAAATTTATAATTACTCTCTATGCAATAGAGATATTCTAATGTCTAAAAGTAAACATCAAAAATAATCTATTTTACAGCAAATAAAATTTACATTTTTAAGAGAGAGGTGTTTAAATTTGTAATTTAATTTTTTTTGTATTAAAGATATCATAAAATATATTTTTTTAATTTTTATATTAGATATAAGATAAACAAACACCCAGTGTCTTGTTTAAATATATAATAATACATAATGTAAGTAAAATTTATGATAATAAGATAGGAAAATAATAAAATTTTAGAAGAAAATTTAAAAATTACCTTAAGATAATTTGTAATCAATTTTATTATTTTGTTTAAAAATTATACCATACTATAAAGAATTTGCTTCTATTTTGACCAAATAATATTAATTTCAAACATAGAAAATAAAATTTTGCTTTCTTTTAAGTTTACACTAAGATAAAGAATACATAAATGAAATTTATTGTTTGAGGTTAGATTTAGAGAGTAAAAACTAAAGCGATAAAAAATTAGCTATTTAATAGTAGTAAATAAGCTTTTATTTTCAAAAAAATAATTTTTTTTTGTTTTTAAATGTTAAAAATGTTGAATTTAACTTAAAGAAACAAATTTATTGTATCTTTGATAGGCAAGTAAGTATCCTAATTTTTGTAAAAGAGGAAATTAGATACTTTACATAATTTTGTTTAAGATACTTTTTTATTTATGAAAATATAAATTTTCTGAGTAATTATTTTGTTTAAAATTAATTAAGTAAGTAAGTACTATTACAAAGCAAAATAATTCAAAAATACTAAATTTTTCCAAAAATCAAATTAAATATTTTCTTAATGTATCTGAGAATTTGTAAGTAAAAATTTTAAAATTAAAGTTTGCTTTTGTTTACATACTATGTGAGCTTAATCTTACTTTTTTAATAACATTTTTATTTTTTACAAAGTTAAAATAATATTTTGGGTACAATAAACACAACAAAAATTAGCAAAAACTAGTTAGTAATAAAATTCTAAAGAAAAAAAATTGTAAATAAATAAAATTAAATGATAAAATTTTGATTTTCAATTAAGAAAAATAAAATAATTATTAGAATCGTTGATTCATGTAAAGAAATTGTAAAGATGTATGTATCTTTTAATATTTTTTAGTAGAAAAAAAATAAATATCTATTTTGAAATATCATCAGATATTATAATCTGTAAAAAGTCTTTAATTTCAAATTTAATTTATCGCTGGAGGCTTTTATTATTTATTTATTAGAAATGAAATACTTTTTAAAAAATAAAGATCAAAGAAAAAAAAAATAACTTAATTTATTTTTAATCAATAAGATTTCATATGTTGTTTGAGATTATATTTTGTGTAGATAAGTATTTAGCGAAACATAGATATGACCAAGAAAGCACTATCAAAAATTTAGTAAATTAGATATTTTTAGAGTCTAAGTTGTAAGTGTAAGCAGGATAGAAAATATAAAAAGTTTGGTAAAACATATAAAAAGATAGATAATCAATAAAAAAGTTAATCAATCACTATAAAAAGTTAGTTAATTTATAAGATATTTAGATAATTGTTATAATTATTAGAGTAAGGTTAAACTGATATTAATTATCGCACTTACTACTATACAAGTAGTAGAAGAGAAACTAATATCTAATAGGTTCGGAATTAAAAGTAGTGAGTGAGGGACTTTTTTATTAAATAAAATTAAAAGATACATACAATGAAATATTATAAATTATTAATAAATTTCGATGTTTTAGAAAATTTTGTGATTTACCGCTTTAAATTGCTTGCAGATTTATTTTTCTAAATATAATTCTTTAAAGGACCGAAGATTATTATTTTCTCAAAACTTTGATTGTAACCATTAATTTTATTACTTTTATATCCTCAAATTTTTTATGGTTAAATATAAATATTGACTTAATATTTTAAATGAAGATTCATAAAAATAGAAGAAAGCGAATAAAGGAATTAATATTTATTTATCTAAGTAAATGATTAATCTTTTATAGGCTGACTGTATTTGGGAAATGACAATTTAGATTTAAATCAGAATTTAGTCTTGATAATATTAATTACCTTTTATGAATATTATATATAATTTAATAATCAAAAATAATCATCAAAAGTTATTAACTTCAAAAACAAATTTTAGGATAAAATATCTCGCTTTAGATTGTTAACATTATAATTTTTTTTGCAAATTTAAAGCTCAAAAACATTTAAAACATGAGTTTACTAAAAGATTCCAGCATCTTCAAGTCTTCTGGATAGTTGTTACTAGCTAGTCCTTCTGCTAGTCTTTAATTTATTAAGTAAGATAATCATTTTGGAAGCTAAAATTATTTTCTAAGACCATCAAGCAGGGGATCTGTTCACCCTAGATAAATTTTGATCTAATAATCATAGTAAAATCACACAGCTTAATAATAGTAAGTTTAAGAAAAGACTTCATTTTTACCACAATTATCTTAGCAATAGAACCTAAACAACAGTTAGCCTTAATTGGTTGCTTCAAGAAAGAACTCTTTAATCGCTAAAAATATGAGTACTGAATAATTAAAGGATTGGTTGATAGGTAAATAACCTTCCTAACAAAATTTATTGTAAGGAGAGAAAAATTAGAATTAAGCAAGTATTAAGGGTAATCACAGCTTAATATAAATAGGATCTTCTTCAAAAAAATAAGATTTTTTTAATGGAGACAAAAAAACAGATATAAATAATACTCAAGAATAAAGTACAATTCAGAACTAGGACAACTAGCAAATTAATCAAATTTAAGAAAGAGGTATTATTCGTAGAACATAACGCCGTGCGCAGAGTGATATAATTTATTAACGATAACCAGACGTTTCTAATAGCAACTAAGTGTAAACTATCATTCAAAATACTTAACAAAAGAATTAAAATGAATAAAATTCAGATGAAAAACAAAAAAATGAGGAAAATGAGTAAAAAACTCAAGCAAAAATCATTGTGCGTAAAAGACATAGAATGCCTTCTTATAATCCTACTAATCCATAAAATTTTGATTAACATAGTCTATAAAATCAACAAAATAACTTATAAAACCAATAATTAGAATCTTAATAATCAAATCAAATGCTACAAAATTTTATATAAACTGATAACCACAAATCTGTTGAATTTACTAAATAATAACCATCACCTCTTATAGAGGAGAATTTCAGATCAACTTTGAACATGTTTTAGAGTCCTAATAAAAATAATAGAGTCGGATTCTCTTCTGCAGAACCTTCACCAATTAAAAAACCTGCTTCGATGACAAGCTTAATGGAAAACTCTTCTACAGGTTTTCACAAATTTTAAATAAAAAATTTGGTAAATTCAAACTATTCAAACACTGTCACTATTCCTTAGTCATAATCTACTAAAAACCTCACTTAAAGATAAATTCTTTTGAAGGACCTATAAAACATAACAGATTCTAGAAAATTGCTAGAGATATCTAGTAACAATGCACCTCTCAACTCTAAATTGGGGAATTCGTAAACATTTTAGCACGATTAATTAAATTAATAATTAGGAAAAAAGCTTACAATTTTTAATTCTCCTAACTCAAGCAGTTCTTCACCACTCGATGAGATGCTATCAACAGCTAACTCATCATCCTCTTAGCAAAACCTTCCTTTGATCAAAAATAGATAAATTAAAAACTCTTCATTACAGCATATTGAAATGCCATAAAAACTTTAAATTCACTCTACAACATCCAAATCCTCTGTCATCTAAAATATGTGGGGCAGCTCTTCCAATCTTGACCAAACCAGCGAATAAAGCTAGATCTAGCCAAAGGGTATTTTAAAAAACAAAAGAGACTCATCAAAAGTCAAAAAATAAGTTGCATTTGATAGGAATCTGCATATATTTGAATTAGGATAAGACTAGTAATCTTGATTAATCTATTAAAAAGCATGCAGCGTATTATTTATTAATAATGATTCCTGTTTGCATAAAATACTTAGAATGAACCCTACAAAAAAAACAAAATCACATAAATCTTTATAACAAATATACTAAATTAATACTAAGTTATTACATTTTCCACTTCACTATAACTAACTATATACAAATTGCTCCATCATTTTATAAATTATAAATATATGGGTCTATACAAAAACTATCTATCACTCATGATTAATACTATGTAAAATCAATAATTAAATGCATCAATAATGGCTATTATATGGCTAAATAACTATCCATTAATATTAATTTAAATTAGATTATAAATTTTTAATAACAACTAAATATACTACCAATTCTAATTCAAAACATATTTACTAAGGTTTTTTTTATCATATATATTTATATATTTCGTTTACACCTTAATTCCCTCAAATCATTCAAATTTTTATACTAAAATTAGTTATATGCTAATTAATCAAAATATTTAAATGTAAGTTAAAAATATTTTGCAATACTTCCAAAAGGTAATAATTATAAATTTTTTAGGTACTTTTTGTTAATAAATTAGCATAAAAATATAAAATAAATTGAATTTTGTTTTCATAAAAGACAAATTAATTTCTAAAAATAGATTATTCAAGTCACAACTTTATCATATTTTGCTACAAAATCAAAGAAAAAGCATAAAAATTGTTCAAATTTTACATCAGTAAGCAAGAAATGCAATTATAATCAAAATTTGTCATTATTATGGCAAAATAGAACCAATTTAATGAACTCAAATTTTTATATTAGTATTCAAATAATTTATTAATGAAAATATTCCAAAATATTTTTTATTTATTTGCTTAATTTAACACTGATTATATTTTTAAATTTTAAATTCATTGAGAAAATATTTTTTCTAGTTCTACAAAAAAAATAAAAAGAGTGTAAGGAACTAAATAAAATAAGAAAATTTTATAAATTTTGATTCATTTAATAATTAAAAGTAAATAAAGGTGATGATGCTTACAATTTTTCATAGCTTTATCTAATTGAATAGAAATTAATGGTTTTTTATAACAAAAATTGAATTTTTACTTAAATTTAAAAATAATATTTTCTTTTTAATTTAGAGTCAATAATTGGATTAAACATTTTTGAAAAAAAATACATTTAAAATGATCTAGTTAAAAAACAATTCTAATCTCAATCAATTTAATATTTTTAGTATAATGTATATTTCAAAAATATTTTATTATCTAATATATATATTTAATTTTACAGATAGATTTAACATATTTCTTATCCACTTAAAGTTAAATCAGGCAGCATTTATTTGCTCCTATTTTATTTCTTTTTGTTTAACAAATATTTAATCACAAAAATCTCTATAGATTTCAACTCTACTCTTTCCTTTTGTTTCAATGAACTCTTTCTTGTAGTAGATAAGGAAAATAAAAGTTATAGCTGCAAATATAGCAAAAGTACCGCCTGCTTTTATTCCTTAAGCCATGTATGGGAAGATTATACCAATAACAAGGGTAAAAATCCAAAGTACGCATGTATTAATTTGTAGAGCCTTTTATTCTAGCATTTCACCCTAATAAGCCCAGACTAAGGGTCCTTAGCTTAAAGAAAAAGCGATTAAGAACAAACAGATTGCTAAAAAGCTAGGAATGAATAAATCCAGAGATAAAAGTATTGCAATTAGTGCTAATGAAATAACTAAAAGCACAGTTCCCCATAGCATCATAGGTCTTCTTCCCTTCTTATCAACAATAAATACACTAACTAAACAAGCAAAAAATTGTATAAATCCTAAACCGATAGAATAATAGTAAGCATTATCTGCTTGGTTGGCATCTTCGAAAATTTAGTTTGAATAGAAATTGACACCATTGATGCATGTCAATTGTTAGCCTATGCACATCAGAAGACCTAATAGCCACCTTCTATTGAAGCTTTTTTTAGCATAATCATTTTCTTCTGAATGTTCATGTAAATCTGAGGTTGCATTTTTATCATTTTTTTAATGTTTTGTTTCAGAAGATATTTCAGAATTAGTTGCAGGATTAACATTTTGACTATTACTTTTAGCTTTTTCAGTATCGATTTTATTGTTTGAGGAAGACGTTGCATTGACTTATTCCTTTATTAAATTAACTTGAATATCTATTTCAGATTCATCTCTATAAATTGTTCTTAAGAAGCTCTATAATTCTTTTATTTTTCCCTGCTTATACAGTTCGCAAGGAGTGTCGTATCTGAAAAAAAGGACAAAATTGATAAATCTTAAAATTGTAAATATTACTGGGAAGCCAACTACAATTCTCCAATTAACCTATTTATTAAATAATTAATTAGTAAGTACAAAAACCAAATGCTTAAAGCAGGAAAATTTAAATCGAAGAATTAATAAATATATATTAAAAATTTTTTGATAATTATAAATAATTTACCTAATTATCGTAAGTGGGATCATCAATTAAGTTTTACTTACTCGGAAGACTCAAACCTAGCAAAAAAACCACACATATTCCAAAACAGACTAGAAGTTGATTGATACATCCAGTGATACCTCTTAATTGAGTAGGCGATACTTCAGCAACAAAAGAAGAAACATAAGTACAATTCAAACCTATTATCATACCAGCAATAAAACGACCTATCATCAGATTAGCTACATGTGTATCAACAAGTTAAACTATACAAGCAATTATAGTCAATAAATCAAGAAGCATGGAAGCTCTACGTAAGTTGTTCTTGAAAATTTTCAAAACATTAACAGCAACAGGAGCAGAAATAATGCATCCAGCTGCAAGAGAGCTAGTTATCAATGAGGGATAAAGAGTTTCTTTATCAGTTCCTCTCCATCCATTCAAACTTATGATGACTATATTTTAATAAAATTGTATTAAGAATAAAAATAATATCTTCAGTTAAAAATTTTAGATTTTAGTAAAATTATTACTATTATATATTTTAGAAATGATTATTAATATTAATAATTTGGTTTTTTTACCTTAAGAAACCGAGTTATAAGTGGAAATATTATAACCAAAGTAGAGACTAGCTAAGCATATATTAGAAGCCATAGCAAAAACTCTAGGCTTATTGATATTTATTTCTTTTTACATTTATCAAGAAAATAAGAGTGTGATTTACTTGTAAGCAAATTTTTTCTTTAAACTTTTTTAATTGTTATTTTATATTATTTTATTTAAATACATAAATTATTCTTCGATATAAAGTAGAATTTAAAGTAAAAAAACATAGAGGTATTTTAAACAAAGTTGTGAATTGAAATCAAAAAACAATTATATTACGTAAATTTACTAGTATATTTCGGTATTTAATTTATCTATTGTATGATTTACATTTTATTTTTTTTAAATACACTATTTAAGGATTTATATAAACTGATAATTGAATAATTTTATCTCAATGGTTTATACATCTCTCTATCAGTTAGTCATATTTAATGGGAGTTATTCCATTTGTAAATGAGTAAAAATTTTTGAAGAATAAAGTAAATTTATCCTTCAATTAGAATGAATATTTATTTAAAAAATTTTAACTATTAAATTTAGGTTTGGCTGATGTTAAATCTTCATTAAAGTTAAAGAATATTTAGAATATGATGCAGAAATATTACTTTACTATTAATATACAAAATCTTTAACGATTTTTAATTTAAAAATGATGAAATAAACTAAAATGAGTCATAATTAAACAAATTATAATTATGTTTAATCAACTATTCAAAAAAGTTTACAATTTTATTGAATAAGCAACAAAAATTGATTACTAAATTTCTTTATAAGCTAATTAAAAATTTACCTCAAATTTAAAAATAAAAATAGATATAATTAAAATAAAAGAGATATTTGATGTCATTTTACTACTAAATATTTTTAATTGTGATGAGTCTATTTTATTTGATTTAGTTGTATTTCTAATTGAAGCTTAAAAATTTTCAAAATGTTTCAAAAAATAATTTCAAATTGATTTTTTATATATTTAAAATATTTATTATATAAAGTTTAAGTTAAATTTATTCGTTTTTTGATTGAAAATAGATTATATTCAATTCGTTTGAGATGGTTTTCAAGTTATTTATCCTAATACATATACAATAATTTATAATCAAGTTACATTAAAAAAGTGTAATAAGAGAGTGTAACAACATTCAGAGTTTATAAATAAGACTTATATTTGTAAATCTATTGTTTTATTAATTATTTTTATAATTTAATCAAAGATTAAAGAATTTATTAGAAAATAATCTGGAACATAAATTACAGTTCCAAAATAACAAATTAATTTGCAAAAAAATCAAAATCTTACAAGATATATATTCTAAAAATACATTTAAAAAATTGTAAACTAAATAATCTAATAAATTAATTGTGTTTAATATATAAATAATAGTATATTGTTTGTAAACCATAAAACTTTTTTGTGTAATTTATAATATATATTTAGTCATTTTCAAACGGTAAAACAAATACTATTTTCATTAATACATTTTACAAATTTAAATTTACTTTTTAATATTTTATTAAATATTTTATTTAAATGTATTTTTATTTAATATCACATTTTATTAAATCATTTTTTGATTAAATTTATCAAATATTATTAATTTATAATTAATTACTTTAAGTAAATAATTAATCCTATATAACTAAATTATATTTTTAAAATATTATCATTAAAATGATTTTTTAATAATACTGTTTTTATTATTTTTTAAGAGATATTTATTTCTTTTAAAACATGCTTCAAATTATTTAAAGAGTAACTAATATTTTTATATTCTCATTAACATTTATTTCTATTATTTATTTTTTCACAATTTATTAAAACTAAATGATTTAGTCAACAAATAGAAAAACTAATTAATATCATTGAATTTTCTTTATTTAGAAATTATAAAACAAGAAATCATAAAATTACTTTTACATAATTTATATTACATAATGCTAACTTATTCATTCTACATGAATTAAGTATTAAACTAAATCTTTGATTAAATAATCAATATTGTTCTATTTTTTGATTAACTCTTGTAACTTCTGTCTTATAAAAATATTTTTTATTTAAATTATTCCATTATGAAAATTATCTAAAAATTTTATTTTATCACAGATAATAAGTATTTTCTTCACTTATTAAGTCTTCTAAGATTAATTATTAAATTAAATTTTTTATTGAATCATTTATATTTTTGTTCATATTTAAATTCTTAATTTGCTCCTTTATCTGTTTTAATTTAATTCCTACGAAAATTTGTGTTTTTAGGAATTTTCTAAGTTAGTTGGAAATCATATAACTTAGATTATTTAAATATTTTTATTTTAGCAAAAAAAAAATAATGAAAATAAAATTTTAGATTGAATATGATTGGAATTGTAAAAATGAATGATTATCGCATGTATATTTTCATACATGAATAGAATATATATTTATACAATCAAATATTTAATGAGGTATAGACATTTTTGTATTGAAGTATGAGATAAGATTTATTTATATATGTATATATTGTTTATTTAAATTGGTTGGTTTATTGTTTATAATTTGAATATCAAATAATTTTTGATCAATCGATCAAAGTAAATTTATTTTTGTTGCTATTAATTTTCGGAAATGAATTTTTTAATCAAGCAGCATTCATTTATTCAGGTTATTTTTGTTTTAAGCTTACAGCAGGTTTATTGCAGAATTCTCTGTAGATTTCGATTCTGCTTTTTCCTTTGGTTTCAATAAATTCTTTCTTGTAGTAGATAAGGAACAAGAAGGTAATGGCTGCAAAAATAGCAAAAGTACCACCAGCCTTAATGTATTAAGCCATGTAAGGGAAAATAATACCAATAACGAGAGTGAAAATCCAAAGAACACAAGTATTGATTTGTAATGCCTTTTATTCTAACATTTCACCTTGATAAGCCCAAACTAAAGGACCTTAACTCAAAGAGAAAGCAATCAAGAATAAGCAAATAGCTAAGAAACTAGGAATGAATAAATCGAAAGACAATAAGATAGCGATTAAGGCCAAAGAAATGACCAAAACAACAGTTCCCCAGAGCATCATAGGTCTTCTTCCCTTCTTGTCAACAATAAATACACTGACTAAGCAAGCGAAGAATTAGATGAATCCCAAACCAATAGTATAGTAATAAGCGTTGTCAGCTTGGTTGGCATCTTCGAAAATTTAATTAGAATAGAAGTTGACACCATTAATGCAAGTTAATTGTTAACCAATACACATCAAAAGACCTAATAACCATCTTCTTTTGAAACTTTCCTTAGCATAGTTGTGTTCTTCAGAGCCATTTGATAAATCATCACTAGCACGGTGTTCGTTCTTCTTTTCTTTATTGGTTGAAGAAATATCGGAGTTGGTGGCAGGGTTAGCAGGTTAAGCAGGATTTTATGCCTTTTCAATATCAACTTTGTTTGAAGAACCAGAAGTAGCATTGACTTATTCTTTAATCAACTCAATTTAGATATCGATTTCAGATTCTTCTCTGTAAATTGATCTAAGGAAATTCTTTAAATCATCTAACTTTCCTTATTTATATAGTTCGCAAGGAGTATCGTATCTGAAAAACAAGATAAAGTTAATGAATCTAAGAACTGTAAAAATGACTGGGAAACCAACAACAATTCTCCAGTTAACCTAATTATCATATGTGGGATCATCGATTAAAGCTTACTTACTAGGAAGAATCAAACCAAGCAAGAAAACAACGCAGATACCAAAGCAAATTAAAAGTTAGTTAATGCAACCTGTGACACCTCTTAATTAAGTGGGAGAAACTTCAGCAATAAACGAGGAAACGTAAGTACAGTTCAAACCAATGATTAAACCAGCAAGGAAACGACCAACGATTAAATTAGCGACATGAGTGTCAACAAGTTGGATAACGCAGGCAACAATTGTCAAGATGTCAAGAAGCATAGAAGCTTTACGCAAATTGTTCTTGAAAATCTTTAAGACATTGACAGCAACTGGAGCAGAGATAATGCAACCAGCGGCTAAAGAACTTGTAATAAGTGAAGGATATAGAGTTTCTTTATCAGTTCCTCTCCAACCATTCAAACTGATGATGACTAAATTATTATAAAATTATATTTAATATCATTTTATTTTTTTAATATTCAAAATTAATTCATTATTTTCCAAGTATCTTTTAAATGTTTTTATCATTGAATATTTAATTTTAAAAAAGCACTCTTTCTTGAGAATTCATATAATTTTAATTTTTAATACTCAAGAGCGTTTGCATATTTATTTGCATTTTTTTTTTTTGAGATTTTTTGGAAGTAGGAATAAAATAATTTTTTTGTAATTACCTTGAGAAGCAGAATTGTATGTGGCAATGTTGTAACCAAAGTAGAGACTTGCTAAGCAAATATTTGAAGCCATAGCAAAGACTCTAGGCTTGTTAATGTTAATTTATCTATCCATTTGGAATATTTAAAGCAATTAAGCGATATTGATTTTATTTCTTGAGGAAATATTTGAATTCTTAGTTATATTTGAGGTACTATTTATTAATATGTAATTTTTATTTTATTTAAATTATTATATTATGCTATAGAGTTTGAGTCAATTTTTAAAGTTAAGATAGTAAAATTATACATATTTGTACTAGCGTTGATAATCGAAATCAAGTTATTAAAAATAGCATCAGTTATCTAGTATTTCTTAGTGTTTAACGAATCTGATGAATTACTAATTAATTCAAAGTCTGGTTTAAAATTTATTTACAAACATTTAGACAATTTAATAGTATTATACAGCTTGATTTTACACTTTTTTTTTATTAAAAAGTGTACTTCTTGATGTAATTTATATTCTGAGGGTTGTTTGTTTATTGCCCAACTCCTTTTTTAGAACTAGAATTTTTATGTGCGTATTTCGAAGTTTTTTCGAAAATATATGAGAATAGCTCAACTAAAATAGTTAAGTTTGACTTATTAAATTAGGTATGAATTAAATATCTAGTAACTGAGAAAATATTTATTTGATATCTTATCTATCAATACGCACCATTTAATAAATTAATATACATGGTTACTTAAAATATAGAGATTTCCTTTAAATGGTAAAATGCATCCCTTCAGTATGTCTACAATTTATATGTTTAGCAGATATATTTTGAAAGAAGAGCACAAAAATAGAAAAATGATCATGAAATTTGAATTTAATTGATATTTAAAAACAAATATACTAACTGTATAACTAAGAACGCCATATTGATGATTATTAATAAGCATAAAATTTATATGTTTGAGCTTAAAATTAATAAAAAAGCAATTAATTTATCCTTGCAAATTAAGAAATTTAATGCACTATATTTATAATTTAGTTTTTTAATTCTTTAATGTAGGCTGTCAGTAAGACTTTTGAGAAAGCATAATGAAAGAAGCCAAAAAGGACTAAGACACGTTAATTACAGTGATTTGAGGTAAGTATCAACAAAAATGAAATTACCATCTTTGATCTAGATGGATATCAAACAAATTTTAATAATTTAGAGCTGTGATATGGTCTACTATTTATTAAGTCTTCATTAGAACGGTAAATTTTTAGACAATGATGCTTGAACATTAAATTAATTATTAAATACAAAATCTTTAACGATTTTAAATTTGAAAATGATGGACCAATAGAATAATTAAAATAAAATGAGTCATAATTAAGTATTTTACAAAGATATTTCATATAATATTAAAATTCATTTTTAATTTTCCTGTGTAAGAAACATTGAGCGCTTACATGATTTTCTTAGACATTAATTTAAAATTAACCTCTATCTTTTTTAAATAGAGCCATCTAAATAAATTAGCCTTATCTAAATATATAATTTGAAGTCATTTTGCTACTAATTTTTTCTAATTATTGCGCAATCTATCTATTCTATCTTTTTTTACTGCATAATAATTTACTGAAAATTTTAAATTTCTTAGTAAAGGGTCAAGTAAATAATTACAATCTATTTTTAAAAGCGTTTGAAATACATGATATATAGATATAATCTAAAATACCCACTGATAAATTATAATCTTAATCTTATTATACTCATCCTTTTTAATTTAATTTAAGTATTTGCTTTTTTAAAACATTTGAATCACATAAGGGACTATTATAAATGAACCATTCTCAAAATAACCACATAATACTCAAATAGAGTTTTATGAAAAGTATAAAAGCGTCTTCTGGCTTTAGATTAGATTATATTTTATCTGTATAATAATGAGATATAATATTTAAATTTATGTTCATATTACGCCATAAATTAAGAAGAAATTATTAAAAATCTATCTAGAACAAAAAATACAGTTCTAAAAAGACATAGATGGTATCACTTAAATTAATAAGATTTACATAATATACAAAATGAAGTACTATCTAATTTATTGTAAGCCAGTTTTGATTAATTAATTCACTCCCTCTAACAAACAACATTAATTGTAAATCATACAAATATTTTGTTATAATATTTATCTTTGACATATTATTGAATAAAATGACCACAATTATTTTTCTTATATTTCTATGCTTATATGAATGTTTTTTATTTCTCATCTCTTGGATATCATTTCAATAAAAAGCCATTATTTATTTCAAAGGAATAAATAGTCATTTGTCTATTTACTTATATTTTATTCTACAAGCTAAAATTATTGGCTCACTATTTATATTTTATCCCAATATACTGTTTAATCGAATACTTACGAATAAATAAATATAAATATGGTATGTTTTATATGATTATCTCTTATGTAAATTTAAATCTTTACTTAATAATATTAAATAAATGCATTCATCCTTGTCTTTTTTTCTACTAATTATAATTATTAAATTAAAGACCTATCTTCTCCCACCATCGAATTAAGTTCATAAAAAATAAAAATGGTTTCATATAATAGTTTTTGTGATATTTTCAGCTGCTATTGATAGAGCACCGATACTATTTTTATACAACTAAATATGACCAATAATATTCATTGGTTGCTAAAAATTTTTGCCTAAATTAAATCTGTAATAATTAAATGTAAAATTATTACGTACTAATAGTTTTACAAAGTTTAATTTTCAAACACTTATTGCATACAGGTTTGGTATAAAATAAAATTAATTGAAATTATTTTGTCATAATTAGGATAAATATTAAAATATTAACTAAGAAGTCATAAACAAATACTTGCTTACTTGTTTTTTATGGATAATATTGCTTATTTAAAAATTTATTAATTTTCCCAATGATAACAACAAATGCTTAATAATATCAAACTACCTAATTTTCATGAAATTTAAATGAATCAATTGAATATAAAAGCATTCTAAATTATATATAGAAATGACTATTACGAATAGATATTTCCTTTTATAGCTTACATAATTTTGATAACTATCAAAAAATAGTTATACAACAGCAATAATTTTTATTTATTTCAAAAATTTAATATCAAATTACTCTCGTATTATCCATATATTCTCTTTTGAACTATTTGCTTATTTATCATTTTTATTCATGTATTTAATAAAATAATATTTTAATTAAAAAAGAAAAACAAATAATTTTAAATTCTAAAGTCTATTTTTGTAATGCAAATAAAATTTATTTCATTATGTTTTTTTAATAATTGGTTTCAACTAGTTTCATATTCTATTCTTAATTAATTATAAATAAAATATTTTTAAATAGCTTTTTTATATAGACTGATTGAAACTTGCAAAAATTCTTGATTTAATTATATAAATTATGTATACTAATGAGCTGTTATTGGAATTAAGATAATCAAATTTATTTTACTTCTTTTTTAAATAGGATTTAAATATATAATTATTTATGAGTGAATATGCCAATTAATCGTATTTTCTTAGTTATTTTGATAATTTTTTTTAATTAACCAGAATTTAAAGTCTTGGTTGGATTTTAATGATGATTTTTTTATTATGAATACATTTTAGCTGATTTTGAGTATAATTTTGAGTAATAATTTCAAATGCAGTCATCAGTCTCTATTAATTTGAAGCATGAAAGATAATAAAAAATATACATGAGAATAACTAGGACTAAAAAAAACTCTTTGAAAATTTAATTTACATCATTATTAACTTTTTTTAATTAAAATAGAAACTTATTGTTTTTAAAGTAAGTAAATTAGAAAGTAAAAATGTTTTGTTTTAGAAATTAAGACTCTATTCTAATACTTTTTTGTAATTCGAATGAAATAATAAATTTAACTTAAAATTTAATCAACTTTGGTTATTCAAGAAATTATATACAAAATTTAAAAAATAAAAAAGTAGTATAATTAGTATCATTTTATTCAAAAATAAATATGTATGGTATGGTATTGGTTTGTTTTAACAAGAAGTAGAAAAATATTTATTCATAAATGAGGAATATATATTTAGTTTTAGAGAAAAAAAAGTTAAAATTAACAAATAAAGCACTATTTAGATTCTTATAGATGCTTAAACATAATAATTGCTATTTAAAAATAAATAATTTTATTTTAGCTTTTATTATTTATTTATTATTTTATGGTTAAATTTTAATATAAAAATAGATTTTTATTTTATTAAAAACCAAAAATTTTTAAATTTTGACCAAGATGAAAACCAGTCAGAATATTATTTATAATTAAAGAAAACATAATATTAAATAAATTGATAAAAGAAGAATAGATGCAATATATAAAATATTTATGTAAGTAAATAAACATACATATAAGTAAGATAATTAAAATAGACATATTTATTTAAATATAATTTAACTAAGTTTTTTAAATTTCAAATTTAAGACCAATATAGTCCATCGCAATCTCTGTAAACATTTATTTTTTATTCATTTACACGCTTTCTATCAACTAGAATCCAGACATCTTCATTAAAATCACTTTTAAATCTATTAACAATTCCTTCTTTATAGTATGATACATTAATTTATTTATCAGATGTTTCTTAAATTTGATGGGCAAGCTCTTCATAGATTTCGTTAGCAATTCTAATTTTCTTAAAGTGCTTCTTTAAAATTATTCCAACAATAATTAAAGAAACAAGGGTTAAGGAACTTATAGCTATGCTTTTTTAATTATTTTTTATTAATTGCTTGCACTTGCAAAATATAGTAAATCTAAGTCTTGAAGATGTCAAAGTTTATGATTCTTAATCATATTTGAATCCTAATTTTTCTTGATTTTCAGTGCTTACTAAGAACTTTTCTAATATCTTCTTTTGTTAAGCAACGGCTTTTTTATCAGCCAAACGTTGTTAAAGCTCTTCAAGCAACTAAGCTCTGCTTATTTTGATTACTTCTTCTTCCTCTTTTTGCTTTTAGTCAATATCACTTTCCTATGCAAAGCACATTCTATGACCATTATCGTATTGTATTTGTGTTATTTTTTCAATTATGAAACTCTCTGAGCTGCTTATTAAATTTGGATTTAGTTTGCACTTATAACCTTCTTAAATGAATCCATCGTTGCATTTCATGACATAATTTTTACATTAAGCATTTTCAGGACATACAATGCATTTAGGTGTATCATATTTAACCTCATTTTTGCAAAACTTGGGAGTGTTAGATGCAACATAATCCAAGGAAACCATTACAAAAAAGACAAAAACGCAAAAATAGATGAAGTAAAGTGAATAATTGATTTTAGATGGATTATAAGTTAGATTCTCTGTATCTGAGTATTCTTTAACAATTTTTGAAAATATTTTCTTGTAGTCTTCTTTGCTTTAGTTTACTAGTGAATATTTAGCTTTGAGCATTTCTTATTTTGACATGCCTGCACTTTTGTTAGAAGTATTTGATTTATTAGAAGAAAAGATACTTCCAACGCTTTTATTAGATTGAACTCTTTAGTTATTGCTTACTATTTTATTGTTAGTGTTATGAGTATTTGTGTTAGAGGATATTTGTTAATTAGCTTTATTGTTTTAATTTATGATATTGTTGTTCTTTGAGCTATTGCTACTGTCGCTATTAAACTAAATACTATTTTTTTTAGATATTTCTGTAGGTTAAATTGCATTCTTATCTTATTTATTATTCTAAGTTTGTCTGAAGACGAGTTAATCACCTCCTATGTTAACAACATTATTCTTATTAATTTGCTATTGTGGTGAATTTGCTTATTATAGTTGGTTGGGTTTAGATATAATCTAGTATGTATTATTTATTTTATTTCCTTCACTTATATTTTTAGGTGGAGCAGCTTACTAAATGTTTGGTTTTTAAATTTATTTCTTTAAGCTATCCTTTGCTTCCTAGTTATTTTTGAAGGGATTGTAATCTAGAATTTAGACATCATCATCTTTTTTATTAGCATTCTATGAGTTTTTCTTCTACTACTATTCAAGCCATTCATTTTTTTATGCACCTGCTAAATTTGGAGGTATAACTGCTTCTTTAGGAGTAGTTGTATTTGAATTGCTACCTTTTATTGGTTATTTATTCTAAATCTTGTCTGGGTTCTTAATTAAGTCTAAAAAATTGACAGGTTTGCTCATTTTTATAAATAAAACAGATTTTCTTTCTTATTAGCTAATTATCCTTGATAAATTTTTTATAAATATAATAATTATTCTTTTTAGAATGATTTAATTTTTGTTTTTGAATTTCTATTAAAATATGACTCCAACTAGTAAATATTCGCTCCAATAAAATTTCTATTCATTTGATTTGAAATTGAATTGATAATCCTAGGAGACATTTCAAATATTATAAAATTTCTCACATAAAACTGAATTAGAGTAGATTATCAAAAGTAAAGATATTTTATCATTTCCTCTTTCAGCTTTTAAAAATAAAAATCGATTTTCTCTAAAATCTCAAAATAAAAGAACAAAAGTATCTAAATTACTAAAATCATGTTAAAACTTTAAGAAAAAAACACAATAAGTTAGGTATAACAGATAAAAAGCACTCAATATTATTTTTGCTATTTTTTTTATTATAAATGAGAAAAATTTACTTTAACTGAAAATAATTTTTTAATTAATTATCTTTGTATTCATTCTTATAATTTTAGTATAAAAATATTCAAATAGAAAAATACTTTGGTTGTTAATATAAATTCTTTAAATAATTCAGATTAAGATCAGATATACTTGATATTTCTATCTTTAGTGATAGTAGATTGTCATCAAAAATAAAGATATTTAATGAAATATTTTTTCATTCCCTCTTTAAATAAAAATGGAAATCTATTTTCTCTAAAAATCTCTAAAAGAAATTAATAAAAAATAATTTTTATGACTAAAATTATACTAATTATGCTAGAAACAAAGACAAAAATAAGAAATATCATCTAAAAAACACAAATGATGAGTTTTTGTAATTTTTTTATTTTTAATCAGTTTATTTGATAATTATTTTTAATCCAACTTCTTAGACTAATTAATTTTTACTATTCTATCAAAATTTTATTTAGAAGGAAAACTATTTTAATTTATTCTAGTTGAAAAATTGATTTCAAAAATAAAAATAAGATTTTGTATATTTTAGTGAAAGGTACTTATAAAAATTACTATGGAAAGTATTTTGAATTTTAATATAGATTCTTTAAATAATTCTAAGCTAGATTAAGATCAGATATGCTTGATATATCTATCTAGCTTTAGCAATTGTAGACTGGTTCATAATTGCATTAAAAAAATAAATTAGATTAATTAAGTCTAAAAAAAATTTGATCAGTTTTTAAGATAAATTAAAAGATATGAGAGTAACTAAATCTTTTCTTATATTTAATATGTACAAAGACTACATGAAATTTAATAAAAAACTTCTAAAAGCTAATTACAAAGGGACGTACCTATTTGAAATCTTGGTAGACGAAGAAAAAAAAGCATACCAATATTATTTAATTGACTTCGATAACTTAAGCGTTACTTGGCAAGAAACTCCATTTGAAAAATATGATGTTAAATTCAGTACAGATGATGCTATAATGCTTAAAATAACCAACAAATAAGTTAATCCTTCAAAGCTAGTAGCTGAAAAAAAAATAAAAGCAGAAGGAAAATAAGAATATATAAGTAAACTTACCTCAGACTTTTTCCCTACTGTACCCAAGCTCTGAAGAAGCTACATAATAAAAATCAAATAAATTTTTTATTAAATGTTGATTACATTTATTAAAATATTTGCTTTTAGTCTTTATAATTAACTCTGTACTTGCACTACAAGTTTGGGAATAAACTTTATTTTAGAAGAAAATGATTTGATAATTGATATAAAAGCAAAAATGTGAATATATTTATTTAAGTATTAAATTTATTTTTCATTAATAAATGATTAAAAATTGAAAGATAAGTTAATGTTTTATCAACATATTCTTAATTAAATTATTTAAATAAAAACACAATTCTTTTTAAATTCTTTTGATACTTATTATAATTTAATACAAACAAAATACACTATAATAATTTTAATGAAAACATAAATAATAACACTTTTAAATTAATTAATGGTAAGGGAGGATGCTTTATTTTAAAAGAAGAAGATATAAATTATGAGCTACATTTTATTATTATTGAATAATATATGATAATAATTAATTAATTTATATAATAGTTAAATTAAATACTCAAAATAGTTTATTAGTTTTCAGTAATTGTTGGTCTGATAATTCATTTAATAATTATTTTATTATCTATTTATCATGTTATTGTTGTTAATTTTATATTGATTTGGAGGTAGCTAGCTATTTTATTACATTATTTTCTAGTTGTTATTCATGTTAAGTGCTGATAGCGCTTGTGATTATCTAGGGTGAACTTACCCAAATATTCCAGCACTACTACTGCTATTAAAAATTTATTTAGGAGGGTTGTTAAAATTAGTACCATTTATATTTGTAGAAGAAGGAATAGAAGATGAAGAAGGAATAGTTGAGTTGTTATTACTATTAAAATTGCTTACATTATTGTTGTTATTTTTGGCAACTCGTATTTCATTGACATTTCCTGTAGCTGCTTTACTAAGTTAATTTCCTTGAGGAGTGTTTTCGTTGTTTAAGTTTTAAATACTTTTTCTCAACTAATTTTATTATTCACTCGTTTATTATGCAACCACTTTGTTTTTTTGAACTCCTGATTCAGTTAAAAGTTAATTTTATTAAGGCTATTGCTGATTTTTACCAACTTATTGCATTAAATCCTTAAATTTATTTTCTATATCTTGTTAATCTTTATCATTTCCTTCCTCGAAAATGATCCATCTTTCTCTTTGTCCATTTTTCCATTCTCCCTTTTTCTTTTAGCCATTTGAAGTGAAAAAAGTACCTTTTCCATGCTGTTTACCATTTTTCCATCCACCGATATATTTTCTTCCATCTGGCCTTTAATTAATTAAATTATTTATATTTAAATTTACTTATGCACATACTCAATTTACCATTCAAATATTCCGAGTCCATCCTTTTTATCATCTTTGTACTCACCTATATATCTCCTCCCATCAATCCATGTAAAAATTCCACGGCCATTCATTTTATTACTTCTCCATGTACCTGTGTATTTTCTCATATCAGGCCAGATGTAAGTTCCTTGTCCTTCAATATCATTGTTAGAGAATTCTCCATCATAGCGAGATCCGTCACTCCAAGTAAATGATCCAAAGCCATCCTTCATACCAACTTTGTATTAGCCTTTATAAGTGGCGCCATCGCTCCATGTTTCTATACCTTTTTTTAATATGATGAAAGGATTAATTAAATAGAAAATAAAATTTTTTTTGCTTTCAAAAAACATATTTTTAAATTTCTTGTAATTTTTAGAATAATCAATCAAATATAAATTTTTAGAATAACTTTAATGTAAATCTGATTTACCTTCACCGTGTTGAAGATCTTCATACCATTACCCTTCATATTTAGAACCGTCTTTGTGAATATAAACACCATAACCATGAGATTTATGATTTTTCCATTCTCCATAGTAAATATCGCCATTAGCATGGACTAGTCTTCCATAACCGCAAGCTTTATCAGCAATCCAATAGCCTTGATAAATAGAGCCATCTTTCCAAACTTAAATACCTTTACCATATTTTTTATCGAAAGCCCTTTTATTTTTTAGAAAGAATTATCTAAATAAGTCAAAAATAAAGATGTTAATTACCATTCTCCAATATAAATTGCTCCATTTTCAAGGAGAACAGGATTTCTAAAGTAACGAGAGTTAAAATCATCAGTGTCTTGTTCAGGATAAGGCTTATCAAATTCAAACTAAGAAACTTTTGAGAATTTTGATAGATGTTTTATAGAAAAATCAGCCAATAGTTAATCCACTTTTTTATTGTAAGAGTCAATTCTGAGTTTTGTAAATTTTCTACGAGCAAGCCATCCTCTCAAAAGAGATTGAATTTTAACGATATTGCGATATAAAACGAATTCATAATTTTGCATTTTTTGGTTTCCTACTTTTTAAATTGTTCCATTATCTCTAGGTAGAGGTTTTTTATCAACTTATATTTCATATTAGCTTCCCTCTAAAGATTTTACACATGCTCCACAATTAGCTTAACCCATTTTATAAAATTTTTATTGCTTAAAGTCTACTTATAAATCTATTGTTTTTCAAATTATTTATTTGTTTGTTTTTGTTAAACAATCTGTTTGTTTTAAAAGATCTATATTAATTATTAATTAATTACTATTTTGAAAAATAAAGATCAAAATATGAATATGTGTTTTTGCATGTGCTTTTATAAATTTGCAATCTTTAATAAGTTTTTCTTTGTTCGCATTTTTGAATAAATTAATAGAAATAATTTCAAAATTGATTTTTTTTTAAAAAGAATTGGTAATTTAACATCTCTTTTTTTTCTCTTATGTATAAACTATCTCTAATACCTAAAAAGAAAGCCACTTTATGAATTTCAAATAATTTATTATTTGTAAAAAGAATATTTTCTCCTTCTAAAGTTAAGTTGAGATTGTAGAAATTCTAGATAGATATTTTTACATTAAATTCTAAAACATAAATTAAAATATCTAAAAAATTAATTATTTCATCTAAATCTTCTTCAATTTCTAAATCTTAATACTACTTGTTTACCAAAGCAAGTTTTTATATGAAAATTTTATTTTGAAGAAGACAAAGCTTTTAGATTAAATTTTCATTAATTTATCAACATTTTATCAAAATTTATTAATTAAAGTGTTTCACATTTTAAAATAATTAGCTAATTGAAATAGCAGGTTTTATTAATTAAAATATTTCACTTTTTAAAGAAGTAAAAAGAATCTTAGCTGCTAAAAATTTTGAATGAAATTGAATAAATTTTTACCTAGTTTTGATAGAGTTAAACAAATTAAAAATAAATTCAAATTTTGATAAAGTTGAAGATATCAAAAATAAATTAAAATTGAGATATAATGAAAGCAATTTTCAAAGAATTTTAAACACAAAATATATAAAATGCAGATAAATTATATTGGTTGATTGATTTTAATAAATTAGCGAAAATATTTTTAAAATTGGTTTATTTAAATTGTTTTTAAATTTACATTTTTATAATAATTAATTTTATTTCAAGAATATCAAATATTAGAAAGAGTTATTAAAGTAGGATGATGATCTATAAGAAATCATTAATTTTTAAAACATTTTATTTCATTAAAGATTTAATTAGGATCATTATTATCTGACTCCCTGCAATGTTTATTTAAGGAAAGAGTTTTTACCAGTAATGTTTTTCAACATGTTAGAATTAGGTCCAGAGCCAAATGTTTCAATGAGCTTCTTGTCGATGTTTTTCTTAATAATCACTTATGGTGATCTGTCGCTGACATTGGTTGAATCAGTTGATTTCTCTTGTTGATACAAGGTATAATATAGCTCTTAAACATTTCTTACACTAACTTCAAAGGCTATAAGATAGTATTTAAGCTTTATTTTTTTGGAAGGATTTTTATAGAAAGATTGGACAAATTTACAATGAGCATCTAAATTAGAAAAGCCTGTCTAAGCAATGGCATATGTGAGAATGGAAATGATACTTTGTTCATCTAGTGAAGTGTTGAAAGTTCTTCCATTCTGCTTGTAGTATTCGGTAATGCACTTTTGGATACTTTCGCATGCCAGAATTATTGATTTAAATTTACCAGTTGGGGTAGTACTATTTTTCATTTGATGAATGTAATCTATGCACTTTTAATAGGGATTAACTTTTTATTGTTATTATTATTATTATTCAGCTTCACCACCTTAGTTCTATACTCCCTATACTTAATCAGAATTAAATATGGTAGAATTACCTCTAAGAGGATCATTTTATTAATAATATTGCATAACTTGCATTTTACTCTTGTTGTTTACTTTAAGTTCAAAGATTATATCTTACTCTTCATCATTGTTTTCTATATCAAATTCATCTTCATCATCTTCTTATTTTTTACCCTTTTCTTTAGCTTAAGGCTAAGAAGGTTAAATTAGAGGACTAACGAAAACCTATTAATGTGAGCTTTATTTGCTTTAGAAGTTGCTATCGATAGTGTCTGTGAAGCTGCTAGATTTGGAATACTTATCGCTGTTAATAGCATTCTAATCTGATATTTTTTGTGCCTATAACTTTGGCTAAGGCTTATTACATGTTGAGTAGCTTTTATCATTTTATTCTTCTAATTCTTCTTTGATTGATCCAAATCCATCAGAAGAGATAAACCCTTAGCTACCAAACAATCTTCTTGTTTCTTCATCAAGAGACAAATGTGCAGGAATACCAAACATCTAAGGAGTTAATCTTGAACGATCAATTGAGCTTATCAACTCCCTGTCGTCAGGGATTACCAACTTAATCAGCTCTATCAATATTTTTGGAATTTTTTCATTTTAGAAGACTTTGGAAATAACAAAATTTTAGAAATTGTGGTAGGAAAAAAGCTATTTAAGATCTTCGTTCATAAAAACATTTTTTTTATAATGAATATCATAATATTATTTAATAACTTCCATATAAATTTTAACAAAATATTGGAATTCCCTTATTGCATTTTTGTAAATTTTGAAAGCATCAATCATTGGACTGTATTTTTCTTCGCTGCTGAATCTATAGGAGCTGATATTATTGTAGAGGTAGTTACTTTCTTATCCATGTTATAGTTGATCTAAGGGAACTACTTAAGGAGCTTAATTTTGTTCTATTTGCTACTAGAATTAATCTTTAGGGATTTCTTAACTCTCTGTGGGGTTCTAGTTTGTGTTAAGAGTTTCTTCCTATTTCTTCTTTTGAACCTCAAGCTGCTCGCGATATTATTTAATTTATAGAGAGTATCTTGCGTAAAAAGAGGTAATAAAAAGTTATCTTATTTAGAAAAGAGTAAAATTGTGATCATCAAGATGCTAGCTTATGCGTGTGGTGCATTCAAAGTAAAATTAAAGATTCTTTTTCTGAGTGTCAGGATCTATATCTTTAATCATCGATCCATGACCTGCTCTGAGTCCTTGGAACTAATTTTCGAGCATGTATGATGGAAAAGAATTATTATGAACATTATGATTATAATTTGTTGGAATGTATCCAGATATATTAGTAGGATCCTCTTTTTGTAATTTATTTTAATTAATATTGTTTGTATTGCTATTGCAACTTTAATAGTTAGACTAGTCATCGTGTCTGTGAGATCTTTTTTGACCATCTGGAAAGTTATTTACAGGAGTTGGATTGCTTAAAAGATCTGATTTAACGCTTTGAAATTCATTCTCGTTGGTTAAATTTGAACTACCAAAATGCTTTTCAGAGCGCTTATGAGATGATTCGGACCCTCTTATTTAATTGTTTTCTCCTTGATTATGGTGTAAGTGAGCATTTTTTTGGTTCTAAAATGCAAAATTATTTTAGTTCTAGTTTGGATTCTATGTAGTATCTAAATCGCCTAACAAATTATTCATATTAACCTCAGGCTCTTCTTAAACAACTATTGGTCTTTCGCTCATTATCTATTTTATCTCTTTAGGAATTAAAAAATAATTTAATAAAAGCCCAATTTATTCAACAAATTAAAATTTGCTAAAATTTTTTCTTAATAAAATAAATTTTCTCATTTTTCCTTATAAATTCTAAATTTACTTTTCAAATTTGCATTAAAAACATCATCGTATTCCCCTCTATAATCCCTTTTTCCTTTCATTTCAGATATAAGTTTGCCTTCGTATGCCCAAGGTATGTTGCTCAAAATCATTTTATCACACTTTGAATGAAAAAACCTAAGCCAATTTGGCTTTTTACCCTATTTTATAAAAAATGAAAATTAATAGTCTTTTGAAGTACTTTAAAGCAATAAATATTATCTAAATCCATAAAACATTAGCTAATCCGCTACAGACTAACTTAAATTAATGGTAAGTAAATGTTGCATTTAGTTAATTAATAAACTAAGATAATTTAGTTTGCATACTTTTTTAAATTAACAGGACAGACAATTTGACTCTTTTACTATTCTTAACTCTTCATAATTCGAGTAATAACTACTTGAGCTGTTATCTAATTCGGTGCTGACAGACTACTATGATAAATCACGTCTATCTTTTAGCCTTTGCTTAGAATTATTTGTCCCCATTTTTATTATCTTTACTTATTTAAAGAAAGTATTTTTTATTCTATTTATTATTGTTATTTAATTTTTTTTGATCTATCACCAAGAATTTATAAATATTTATGCATCAAAAAAATACAAAATTTTTTTGATTTATCTTTATAATGCGATATAGTTAGTTATTGTAAATTTTTTAACATTTGTTTAATAAGTTGATTAAATTTATGTGATTTATAAGCACTTACTATATTTTTATATGTTTTACATTTTTTTACAAAAATTTAAAGAAATTCTTTCTGTAGTTGATCTTATGCAGATTTTTGATCTATTGATCGATCCATTGCTTGCTTGAGCCCTGCATACTTTATTTAATCTAATTTTCTTCAATAAAATTAATTGACTTTACTCTTTACAACTCTTTTGGAATGCTTATAGAAATATATTTAAGAGAGAAATTCTCCACTCAATTTAAAAAAAGAAATTAATTATCTACAAATAATTAACTCAACCTAAATTATAATAATATGATAATCAAAATACTTTATTCAAAGTAAATTATTGTAGACACTTTTAAAAAAGATACATATTCCAAAATATAAAAATTAATTACTTATATAATTTAATAAGCATAGAATTTTCTTTAAAAAAAATCTATTTGACCGAAATTTACCGATCAAAATTAATAAAATACTCACAAGAAGTTTAATTTTAAGTATCTTAAAATATATTAATAATATATTAAAACTTAAATATCATTAATCTTTCTTAACTTGTTGTTAATGACGAGCAGGAGTGTTCTTCCAGTAGATGAGTAATTGAGCGAAAATGGTTCCATTTAAGATAACAGCTTCGAAATTATTGAGCTAATATTATAATAATTAAAATATTATTTTCTTTTAATACTTAAAAACTAATGAATAATTACTAAGACAAAGAAATCAGGAGCTTCAGTGAGAACAGTGAAAGTTCTAGCAATGCAACCAGAAAGATTCAAGAAAACTGTAAAAGCAGCAAGTTAACCAGTGCTTTTGTTCTTGAAGTTGGAATAAATTTGAGGAGCTCTTCCGAAGAAAACTATTAAAAAAAAATAATTGTTAAATTTCTATTTTATTTTACTGATTAAAATATTTATTTGAAAATAAAGTCTTACATAAGACCATGTTGATGATCATAGCAAAATCGTAAAGCTTAGTGGGAGCAATCTATAAAAGGAGGGGACCAGCTACAACACCAAAAACTATGTATGTACTTAACAACTTAACAAGGCTGAAATTCTTTCCATAGACGTAAAAGAGAGCCATAATGATAATATTTTAGATAATAATGAAGACGTTTTCACCATATAAACTGAAACTATTTTGCTTGTACAAATTGTAGCTGACTGTGAAGAAGTATAAAAATGTCTAATTTTATGATAAATAATATTTATTATTTCAAGGATTAAATAAGGCTTTTAAGCATTTTTTATAATGTAGTTTATATTTAAGTCCTTCATATATTAATTTATTTATTAATTTTATTTAAAATATTAATATCTTTTATATAGCTATAACTACCAATTTTATAAATAATAAATGATATTACTTCAGAAGCAAGAGCAGGGAATGATAAACCTTCAACTGATTTATTCTTAACAATCTTAAGGATCTAGGGAACCTTCAAGATAGTAGAAAAGACTACAATACTAGTACCAAGGATCTTAGATAAAGTCTATTTGAATAAAATATAAATTTAGCATTCAAATTATGTTTTTTTATCTATGATCAAAATTCAAATGAAACTAATTTATAAGGTATGATTATTTACAAACTTGATGCAAGGAACGTTCAAGAAATCATTCTTAGTGAAAAAGGTGTCAAAACACTCTTCAGTGAAAATAACAAACTTGTATTTTCTGGTCTATAGATGTTATTTAATATAAATGTTAGTTAATACATCGCTGATTTGAGCATTTAAGAAATAAAAAATAAATTATTTCATTCATTAAATGTAGTTTGTAATAGATGAATTTATTACATCAGGGGCTTTGACTCCAGCAGCCATGACAGTGCAAACTAATATTGCAAGAACTAAAATTGATTTGTTCATATCTATTTATCTAATTTCCTAACTCCTAATTGATTATTTTTTAACTTTTTAATTTAGTTGAAAATTTATTCTTTTCTTAAATTATATAAAAAAATCTGCTTTTAATTTATCTGTATTTAAATCAAACTAGTTGTATCAAAAATGGCTTATCAATCAATTAAAATTTAATATTGAAGTAAATTTGTGTATTAATCAAATTTTGTTAGACTTATTTAATAAACGTTTGTATCTTTGATAATATATCATTATCATTTCAACGCGTAGCACTAAATTATTCGATATGTGCTATAAAAATGATGTAATTAAAAGTGTTTCGCTTATTTTGTTTAATTATTCCATATTTTTATCATTAAAATTCAAATTTTGCTAAATAAAGCAATAAGCAATCTTCTATTATTTAATTTATTTTCCATTTTGTGTAATTTATGATTAACATTATACATGATTTACATATTGAATATTAAAATCTAAATTTTTTAATTAAGGAAAATAAATTTATTATGAAGATTTAAAAGAAAAGAAGATTTTTGCAAAATTTTTGTTTAGTTTAATTGGATTTGAATAGAAAATTTATTACTTTTAAAAAAATTAAAGTTCTTACAATATATTTTGAAATATCATATTATTTTAAATTTATTTTGAACTATATTTTCTTCAAATAAACATTAAGTAAGCTAGTAAGAAATTATTCTAATTAAAATTTTTAAGTCCCTAATTTCAAAGAATTTTACAAAAATTAAATTAATTTCATACAAATTCTAATTATTTAAAAATTTTTGTGAATAAAAAAAGTTTATTCTTTTGTTAATCAAGAATTAATATTGTTAAAATGATTAATTCTTAGAATTTTTAAGTTTGTAAATTATTTTTTATATTAATTAAGCTTTACAATAAATATTCTTCAAAATAAAAATAATTTATTGCAAAGATAGTTCAATTTAAAATACATAAATTAAAAAACATTTTATAGGATTTATTAGAATAAAATTTATTTTGTGGCCATTTAACTACTTGATAAGTCAATCAATCCTATTTAGCAATATATAAAAAAAGAAGTAGTTATATATTTCAATTTTTAGATTTACATATTATATTTTTTATTAACTAAGAAGAAAAGATTAAATAATGAAAATAAAAATAAGAATCTCTTTATAATTTTCTGATTTGATATTAAATAAATCTAAAATTATATCATTTAGCCAAGTTTAAAGTTTTAGTTTTAAAAGTACTTTTAAATATCTTATGAGTTGAATTTCATTAATTTTTGTATTTAAAAAATGCTATTAATTTTGATGGTTTTATTTTAATTAATTTAAAATAATTAATAAATAGATTTAAACCCTTCTTAAAAACTGGAATATCTAATTTTTAAATTTAGAGTTTAAAAATAAAAATGATTTAATAGAAAAAATAGTTTACAAACTTAAATGACGTAACAACTAACAAACTGGCAATTTTATCATTCAAAATTTAATTTTGATAACAAAAATAGTTTCTATCCTCTTCTCATGCATCACATACTGACATAGAAATAAATATAAGGTTTAAAATACTAATGAATACATTTGCTTTTTTATTTTTTATTTCAAAACAATACTTTTTCTCTCTCTAAATATTAAAATAATTAAAATTTTTTTTAATTTTAACTTTATTCTAATTTTAATTATTAATTTTAATTTGAAAATTTTATTTTAGGTTTTAATTTTTTTTAAGCTGATTAATTAATAAAATATTTTTCCATTATTGAAAAGCAATAATCATAATTATTCTTAAAATTTTGATTATTTAACTTCTGCTCTATAAAAATGTACCAATATCAAAAATTTGACACTATCCTTAATGTAAATAGAATTATTTTTTTAATTATTTAATTGTTAATTATTGACGCTGATAATATTATACAAGTTTAAACTCTTTTATTTACACTTAATTAATTTTTCATAAAATATTTATTTTCATTTATTTTTAAATTTTATTTTTAAGCACTTAAAAATTTTTTAAATCTATTTTAAATAAGTAACCTTAATTTAGGTGATTAATAATTATCAAATTTGGGTTTAGCTCTAACAAATTGCTCTTAAATTACAACTTTATCGCTTTAATTATGGTAAACGATTGATTAGACATTCAAATTTACATTATTATATTCATAAGAATTAAGCAATTTATTATTATTATTATTAAAGTTGGTTTGTTTGTTTGTTGCATTTTCTTATTTGCTTAATTTTCATTTTTCACTTTGATTTAGAAATTATTATTTGATGGATTAAAAGTTAAAATTAAATTGGACCAGAAGGTGTATAGAGTCTAAGTCTTTTATTAACAAAATATAACTCTCTTTCAAGTCTATCACTAAACCTTGTGTAAAAATATTTAGTTTTTAGTTAAAATTACAATTTTTACAAAATTAATAAAATAAAATGCATTTATCAGTTTGCTTTTTATTCCCTCAAATTCATTTTTTTATTATTTCAATAGGTAATTCTGCCTTTTTTCGATTATTTATTTAACTAATGCAATATAACTCAAATTATGTTTGAATTATAAATTAAAAGTGGAAATAGAATCTAGCATTAAGGTATTTCAGATATAGGTTAGGCATTAGTAAAATGTACTAATCTAGCATTTTTGACACTCATAGTAGAGTAAAAGTTTTTTTTATAAATTAATTAGTTTGTTTATTTATTATAAAATAATTTGGTGATCTTTATTTAAAATTATATTTGCATTCTTAAAATTGCTATTATAGGACAAAAATAATAGGTTTTAAATGTATTAAAAGTTAGAATTAAATAGGAGATGAAGGCATATCTAATTTAGGTTAAGCTTTAGAAAAATGTATTAATTTAACGAAATTAGTACTTGGTATTGGGTAAATAATTTCTTATATATATCAAATAAATTATAAATTCGGCGTTTATTATTAGTAAATAAGAATAAAAAAAGAGATTTAAAGTATTAAGTTAAATATAAAATACTTTCAATATTCCGCAAATATCATTTGTTTGTTTCTGAAAAAATTTTAGTCTTCATTACATTTTTTTTGTTTTTCTCAAAATAAACTAACAATTTTCTAATAAAATAAATAGTTGGAATAAAATTGGGCCATAAGGTGGATAAAACTTGAGTTCTTCTTTAGCTAAGTGCTCTCATCTAACAAGTTTAGAACTTTTATTACAGTAAATTTTTTTCAAAATTTTAATGTAAAAATTGTAGAACATGTTACAAATAATTGTAAATTATATCAGTTTAAATAAATAAATAGTTTATTTTATAATTTTAACAAGTAGAATAGCATTAATAAAAAAATAGGAAATTATGTATTTATTAAATTTCCAAATTAAATTTTTATTGAATATGAAAAAAAATTTTTATGGACTAAATATTTTACTATTTTTTGATTTTTTAATTTATTTCTTATTTATAATATATTTATTATAATGTTTTAAAAGTAACAATTAAATAGGCCCATAATGTGTATCAAATTTAGGTTTAGATTTAACAAATTGTTCTAATCTCTCCACATTAAAGCTAAATATTAGGTTATAAGCTTTAATATTTTTGCAATCAAATTAATAATTTTATATTATTCAAATTTTAAAAGTAAAAATAAAATTGGATCTTAGGGAGCTTCAGATCTATGTGTTGGTTTCACAAAATTTACCTAACTTAAAACCTTATCTCTTAACTTATAGTAAGAAAATAATTAAATATATGATTGATTTCTTATTTAGGAAATTAATTTATTTTCATTTAAAAAGGAAAAATTTAAACTTTTTACAAATTTTTTGCATAAATTTATATTTTAATTTTCCAAATAAAATAAGCTTTTAAATAATCTAAAATATTTAAATAAATTCTTATTATTGAAAAGAGATAATCAAATTTAATCTTAAGGTGTTATAGGTTTAGGATCTGCCTTAGGAAAGTGTACAAATATCTCACATTTGACTGTTAATATAAAGTAAAAAAAAGATAATTTATGAATTATATCAGATTTTTGAATTTAAAAAATTATTAAAGGAATTTTAATTTTATATATATTAATCTAAATAATATATTAGTTAGAACTAAATAAGTGATGAAGATATAATTGATTTTGGTTCTAAATTGTCTAATTGCACTAATCTTCATTTTTTGAGTCTTTTTCTCTGGTAAAATAATTTATGTGTTGATTTAATATAGTAATTATTATCAAATAATCCACTAAGCTTGCTAAATTTATTTACAGTTTAATTATTTGTTTATTTAATTTTTTCTGTTATTATTATCAATTTTAGTATTTTCATTATTTTTTTTATTTTTTATTAAAAAATAAAGTAATTTAAATTTGAAGAGTACATCAGGTTTAAATTAAATTTTAAAATGCTGTAATAAAATTTCAACTTTAACACTCTACCTCAGGTAACTTACTTCATTTTGATTGAGTTTTTTCTTTTAAGGGAAATATTTTAAAAATATTTATTGAAAAATATAAGCAACAATTTAATTTGCAATGAAAATGTATCGAGTTTAGGCTTAGCTTTAGCAAATTGCTCTAATATCTAAACTTTGACACTTAATTTAGAGTAAAAACAGTATTTTTATTTATTTTTACTATTTTTTGAGTTATAAAAATACCATAATATTTATTCTTAACTAATATTCAACCTTATAAAAATGAATACTTATTTAGTAAAATTTTACCTGAATATAATAGTTATAATCAAATAGGGAATTTGGGTGCAAAAAATTTAATTTCTGGTTTAGTAAAGAGTGCTCATCTCTTAAAATCATTACTTTATCTTCGGTAAAAATATTATTCATTTTTGAAAATGTTTGTAATATTTAATCAAATAGTTATTAAAATAATTTTTAAATAAAGTTACAATTAGGTTGATGAACTGCAAAAGAAGAAATTGAAAAAATAGATAATTAAAGCCAAGAGATTAGTTATTAATTTTGCATTTTTATGATAATATAAATAAAATTATATTGTTTAAAATAGAAAATAAAAATAAATAAATAAAAGTTAAAAAAAATATTTTATATTAGTGCTTTGAGTCTATTCTTGTAAAAACAAATAATCGCTATTTTTACATATTTTTGTTAAATTTTTATATGATAAATTATTTATTTAACTGTTTTAGGTTTTAAAATATTTATTGAAAAAATGATTATATGACAGTCATTTTATATGTTTTTTTTTCTTTCTTAAATCAGAATTTATCAGATAAACCTTTATTTTAACTAACATCAAACATAGTGTGTTAATTTTTTATATAAAAAAATTAATTTTGCTACAAATTAATAAAGTTTAATTAAAATTTTTAATTTTAATTAAAATTTTTTTGATTTTCAATATTAATTAATATAAGGACTAAAATCTATCTATGACTAAAAAATCTTGGTTAAATAGTATTTATAACTAGATTTTCTTTCAAATATTGTTTATATCAATTACAGTTAATTAAATTATAAATTTATGGACAAAATTTTAGGTGTCTGAAACTTTTTGGGGAGTTATATTTTTAGTATTAACTTTCATTTGCAGCCATTTTTTAATTTAAACATAATTTATTTTAAATAATAACACTTCGTTTTAAACCTATTATTAATTAAAATTTTGAAATATTTCTCAAATCAAAATGAGCCAATTTTTAGAATATCAGATGATTATTTTATATTCAAAACTAAGATTTATAATTTTATTTTATTAAAATAATAATAAATGAAAATACATATATATCTATAAAATTCAAGCTATATATTTATTTTTAAAATATAAAATTAATCATCAGTTAAGAATTTTATTCTTTTATTTTTAATTCCTTCAAAGTCTTGGATGATATCTTTGCAATTCAGACTTAGCAACGGCCATTAAATGTACTTCATCAGGTCCATCAGCTAATCTAAGTGTACGAGCATTAATATAAGCTTATGCTAGATGGTGATCCTAAGATACACCTGCTCCACCGTGAATTTAGATAGCGGCATCAATAACTTCACAAGCAACCCTAGGAGCAACAATCTTAATCATACCTATTTTTTTGTATAAAAAATATATAAATTAGAAATTTTAATTTATAATTTTATATTATCAAATTACTAATTTCTATTCTAGCATTTTTGGCACCAACTGTATCAATCATTCTAGCAGCATTTAAAGTTAATAATCTAGCTTAATCTATTTTACATCTGCAATCACCTTTTATTTTAATATTTATGATTATCATATAATTAAAATATATTTTTTAAAATATACCTATGATTTAAAGTACATTATCATTGTCCTTAAGTTATTTGCCAAATGTAGATCTTCTTCCAACTCTATCACACATTGAATCATAGCATCTTTCCATCAAGCCAATTAATCTCATACAATGATGGATTCTACCAGGTCCAAGTCTTCCTTGAGAAATTTCAAATCCTCTTCCTTCTCCAAGAATCATGTTTGAAGCAGGTACTCTTACATTTTAGAAATCGATTTCCATATGGCCATGAGGAGCATCATCACTTTTATAAAAAAGATTAAAAATTTAAATATTTATTTTACTAATAAGTTGATTTAAGCCTTAATTATAAAATAACTTTTAACATCCAAAATACAAATTTTTTAACTGTTAAATGAATTTTTTTATAATTTAAGATGATAAAAATAAATTTTAATAAAGATAAATTGTAAATATTTTAATCTAAAAATAGAATAAATTTTGTAATTTGTAGATAAAAAAATTTTTATTAATCCCTTTCATGAATATTTATTTGTTTGCTTGTTATAAAATAAAATATGATTTTTTACATTCCAAAAACTTATAAGGGTCTTAGAATCTTAACTCCAGGTGCATCCATAGGTACCAAAATTTAAGAGTGTTATTCGTGTCTACGTTTCTTAGGATTAGGAGTAACACCCATAACGATAGCTACCTTGCAATGAGGATCTCCAGCACCTGAACTCCACCACTTGCGTCCATTTACAATGTAGAAATTTTCAGGCTCTTTAGGACATCTGCTTATTTATAAACTCATATTAGTAGCATCTGATGAGGCTACTGCAGGTTCTGTCATGCCATACATAGATCTTATTTCACCATTTAACAAAGGTTCTAACCATTGTTTCTTTTATTCTTTTGTTCCATATAAGTGTAATACTTCCATGTTGCCTGTATCAGGTGCACTACAATTGAAAACTACTGGAGCTAAGAAAGATCTTCCCTTTATAAAATAATTTTTTTACTAAGATAAAAAAAATTGAATTAATATTACCATAATTTCACAAAGAGGAGCATATTCGAGGTTAGTTAAGCCTGAAACAGAAGGGAGGAAGAGATTCCAAAGTCCTTAAGCTTTAGCTTTTTCTTGAAGTTATTTTAATACAGGAGGAACTGTTTACCATCTTAACTTTTTGTCTTCAGAAATCTAGTTATAGTAGGTTTATTCATTTGGATAAATATACTTGTCCATAAAAATGATTAATTTTCTTTCAAGTTCTTTATATTTTGCAGAGAAGTTATTGAAAATTCCCTGGAGCTTGGGATTAGGAGGAATTTCACCAGTACTTTTCTTAATCATTAACTTGCATCTGTTTGCAAGGAATTTTGCATTTTTATGATATAAACCGGCATTTGTACTGCTGGCGTTTCCAAGTTAAGATCTCTTTTATATAAATATTAGAAATTATTAAGATAAAAAATGGATATAATTTTTAATATTATGTTACTCTGAAAACTCCTTAGCTGATTGCTGCTAATCTAAAAAAGGAGAAACACAGATAGAAGTACCAGTCTTTATCAGAAATTTCTTATAAACCCATTTTTTCGCAATAAGTTTAACGAATAGTGAACTCATGAGGAATGCCATGATAAGTAAAATCTAATTTACCAAAGCCAAGGATTGATGGGTAGGAATAGTAAGCCATACAAGTGTAAGCAGCATCAGCAATAGGATTGCCTAAAGCAGTAAGTTCCCAATCAAGAACAGCTAAGATTCTGGGTTCAGTAGGATGGAAAATAACATTATCTAATCTGTAATCACCATGGACTATACTGATTTTAGAATTGTCAGCAGTTTTAACAGGTTTATTATTAGGTAGCCATTCAATCACATCATCCATATCCTTTATAGGATCAGTTTCAGCTAACTTATAATTGCGGCTCCAAGTTTCAATTTGCTTATCATAGTAAGCTTCAGGATTTGCAGATAAGTCTCCAAGCCCAATTTAATATGGATCTAACTTATGAAGTCTTACTAAAACATCAAGTAATTCTCTATATATCTCTCTTCTTTCATCTGGAATTAAGCCCTTTAAATCTATGTTATCAGCTCTAAAAATTCTTCCTCTAACATAGCTCATTACGTAGAATTCAGTACCTTTCCATTAAAAAGTAAATTATTTTATAAATCAAATAAAATTATAAAATTTAAATAGATTTTTTTAGAATAAAAATCAAAATGAATGCTTTCTATTCATTTTTTATCTTATAAAATAAAACATTTTATCTAAATCCACTTAAATAAAATTGTTAATTTGTTTTAATATTAATCTTTGTTTTTCTTGTTTATATTTTACCTATTATTTAAGGGTCACTGCAGTATAATATGGGTTTAGCTACTGGGAAGTTTGCTTTATGAAGAGCAGAAATAATTTTGAATTCTCTATCAACTAAATGAGCTCCTTTAAGAAGCTTGCCTGGAGGTTTTTTTCTTAAAACGTATTCTTCGTTTCTGTAATTAATATAAAATGTAGGATTAGATTGTCCATGTGAAAATTGCTTGATTTCTATTGGATGAACTTATCCGTTAGTATTTTCGTTGTATAAAATTTTATCAAAATATGTTCTCAATTAAACAGAGTCAAATTGATGATTTTTTCTAACTTCGGTAGTGTCCATTTCTTCTTCTTCTTCTTACTTTCTATTTATTTATTAATCCTTTGAAATATTTTTTTTTTTTAATTATTTGTAGATTAGAGAGAATCTATTTTTGTTTGAAACGAATTAAGTATTGTTTATTTAATTTAGAAAAGGATTTTTATAATCACAGTCATAAGTTATATGATAAATTCCAACAAAAGTGATTCATATGACGTAGAATCAATTCCAATTATATCATTACTCTTTAAATTTATCTAAAGATTTCTGTAAAAAATCTTTATGTTTGCTGAAATTAACAGTTGGAAAAACAAAAGAAGTAATAATTGATTGTAAAAAGATTTATATTAACCACTAAATTAGATATACACAAATAAACAGATAAAAAATTAAATACAAAAATAGAAAATTTCTCAACATTAATTGGTGAATAATTAAGAAAATTGTAGATTTTATATAAATAAATAAGTTGTATGTTACAAGTAAAATAGATAGAAATTAATGTATTTTTATTATTATTTTATTTAGTTTTTATCAAGCAAGAAGGCTATGGAATGTTTTATTTTCAATTTTGATTAATTAATTACTAAGTTAATTAAATTATAATTGCTTTAATAATAGTGTGTAAAGAGTGTTAGTAAATAAAATAAGTTTTTATAGATCAGATTTTTATTATATCAAAATAATATCTCATTTTCCTCATAATTTTAATTCAAGTTTGTTTTTTATTTGACTGGAGTTTCATTGATTTCTCAAAATTTGCTTACTCTTTTATAAAAATTATAGATTAAATCGTCTAAATATAAACAAAAATATATAGCTTCATAAATCAAGATTCTTAAATTTTGCTTCGTCTAAGGTTTTATGAGTTTTCATTTTCTTGTAATGTTTAATCCAAGAAAATAAAAAATTCTAACTCAGTGTGACTTGGATCAACAAGTCTAAGATGTTTTTCGTTTGCCAAATGCAGTATGCTAATAAAGCAATTCTAGACTGAAACTCCCTAAGCTTAATTATCTTATCCAAGAGAATTTGGTAATTAATGCATTAAATCACTAAACTTGAGAGAAACATCTTCACTATTAATTTGAGTAATCGCACTTTCAATTTACTCCTATTCTTCATTTTCAGATAGCTTGGCTTTATTTTTTCTTTTTCCTCTTTTATTTTAATTTTCTTATACAATTTAACTTAATTAGGTTAATTAGCTGTTATTTTCTTTGCTCTTCTATTAAGTCATAGTCTACCATACTGTTTCTTTTAAATCTCTAATTCTCACAGGCTTTCTTTTTATAGTTTATGAAAAAAAGTTTTGGGTTTTATTTTGAGTGTAGAGACTTTGTGAATTATTATTAGCAGAGAAAGGGTATTGATATCTTCCGTATGGTGAGTTATTCATTTAAATATCAAATTGACTTTAGCCTTCTCTTTGTGTGTTAAAAAATCTATTATCTCTTTAATTATTATACTTCTAAGGATTGTAAAATCTATCATCCATTTCATCATATAAATCATCAAAGCCAATAGCTTCGTACTCATTTTAATATTCATCATTTTAATTAATAGCATTTTAGCTTGTATTTTAATTCTATTAGCTCTACTAAAATATATCAAATTAACTGTCATATTCACTAGTAAATTCCTTTATTCTACTTTATTTTGTATTTTCTATGTATTTTAAACCTATTTAGAATACTCTTTTAAAAAATAAATATTTAAATATTATCATAATATAATTAAAATTAGTACTGCTCACTGGTAATTTTATAATCTTTTTGAATAGTACTTTTCTACTTTATTTTTACATATTTTAATCCTAAATTACTCTTATATCTCTAAAATTTCTTGCCTATTACTTCTTTATAGCTTTCTTCTTTCTTTTTGGTTTAGAAAATAAATTATAATTAATCTTTAATGTTTTGACAAATTACTCCATTATTTAGGCTAAAATCAATATATTTTTGTGGCTTCGTTAATCTTTCATACTGGTTATTCATGGCTATGTTTTCATTTTATTCTTCAGCTTCCATATCTTCCTTTATCTCTCCAAGTAATAGATCATCTTACAATTTTTTTGAACGTATTTTTTTCCTTTTATTAGCACTCAGCTTTTGTATATCCCATTGCTTAGGGTCTCCCCAATTTAAATTCCTTTTTAATAAATTTTTATTGAGAAACATTACATAAATTAAAAATTTACATGAGAAAATTAGAGAATATTGTTTTATCTCCTCCTCCTACTTTGTTTAAAGAATTATGAAGTAAAGAATTATCAATTTGCTTTGTTTCTTAAGTTGATGGATTTTCATCCTATAATATATTTTACAATTTTCTATTTTATTGAAGAAGTTTTAACTGAAATTTATACATACATGATAATTTGCATAGTCATTTGAAGAATCAAAACCTTAGTATTCGTCATTCAAATCGAATCTTATCTGCTTTGTGTTCTTAAAAATACTGTTATCAGGCGTGTAACTTTAAGACATTTATGATAAAATAAAATCTTCTTTGTTTTATGAAGACTGAGATGCATTTTGAAACAATGAATCGTCACTCAGGTTTCTGTACATAAAATTTTATGAGGTAAAAGCATTCATTTAATATGCTAGGTTTATTTCGTTTAATAAAATTTTATCATTCTCATTTTAAAGCACTTAATTGACTATAGAAGCAGAATTTTCATCCATGATTTCCATTTTTTTATTATTTTGAGTTAGAATCTTAATATCATTCTCAGAGTTTAAACTTTAAATATTATCAAATAGCAATTATTAAGAAACTTCGTCAATCACTGACATCTTAAAATCAATTAATTCTGGAAATAAATCGATAATCTAATCTTCAACAGGAGCTGAGAATTTATTTTTAAATTCTTCTTAAGTGAATAATTTCATATAATTTGACTTAGTCTATTTTTTTTAATCTCTTTAAACTAATTTTTACTATTTGCCCAATGCCTCATCTAATTCAGACAAATTTATACAAAGCTCTTTATCTACTTCCAGTACATTAAGAAGAAGACCTTCCGAGCTAGTATCGTCAAAATACTAGCTTTTCTTCCTAAATAGAGGATCTAGATCAAAAAGAATATCATACTTATCAACAATTAATTTTTCTGGCTTTTCTATCTGCTTTTAACCAGCAATAAACGGATCAAAATTTTCAAAAGATCCTTGTTAGATTTATTTTTCTTCAAATGAAACTATCTTTTTTTCTAATTATTAATTAATTGAATGATTAAAATATAAAATAATGATTTTTTAAAGAATACTTTAATCGTTTCTGTCTTATTTATTTCCTTCATTCTTGCTTTCATCCTCTTATTCTTCATTTTCCATTTCTTTACTCTTGTCTCCACCTATTTATCCTCTTGCTATACATGCTAATAAATGATAAGCCTCTTTTGATAGTCTATCAACTTTCATAGAATAGAGCTTGGAAATACACTCTAATATACATCCTGAGTCTTTCCACTCATACAAAACTAATTAAAGTTCCTATTCTACATCAAAATCAAAAGCTTCATCCGTCTTTATTCTCTTTGTATTTAATGTTTTAAAAAATAATGATGTGTCTTAACTTTACTTTATACTTACTAAGATAGTAAATATAAAAAATAAATTCTTACACTTTTAGATATTTTTTGGAATATTTGAAGCCATCTATCTTTTAGTTATTTTTATTCTGGAGTGAGATGTGAATCATCATCACTTTCTTGATCGCTTTCAGCATCCAAATCTATGCTTTCATCCTATATTTATACAGAGCTCTAACTCATGCTTATGCTTGTGTTAACTCTCCTGATAGGTTTATTAGAAGTCTTCATAGCTAAATCGTCAGATTTAACTAGCTGACTATTATTTCTCCCTTTAAGACTGCTATTCACACTTACATTTTTTTTCTAAGAAAAAGATATTTCAGCTGCTTTTTAATTAGAATTAATCTCCCAAATATCATCCTAATAATCAAGATCATAAGATGATATGTTACTTTCCTTTTCTGTTTCTAAATCTTCTATGCTATATTTTTCCTTTCTAGAACTCTTCAAAGTGCTTTTTGCCCTTCTAATTTTTGTTTGCTTTTTGTTTGCATTCATCTTTACTATTTTTGCTAACTAAATGCGTATATCTATCTATCAATATTTATGATTTATAAGCTGATAAAAAAAATAGAGTGCGCAATAATTAAGATTTTATTATTTTATTTAATTAAGTATTTTTAAATCACAAAAATAAATACTTGGTAGAATGTCAATCCCACCAAAAATTAAATTTGAATATTTTCTAATTTTTGGCATAGTTGTTATTACTGCTTTTTTAATAATAAACAAATAGTAATTTATTTTTTTGTATTGCTAATTTTGCATTAAGTAAATTAGACATCCAGAAATTCTGAATAATTTAATGTGCAAAAAATATTCTTCTAGATATTATTTTAAGCTAATTAAAATATTTTTTGATATCATCAACCTTTTCCTTTAAGTTTTTTAAAAGTTTTAAAAATTAAAATTTATTAAATAACCACAATTAAATTTTTTTTTTTCCTAAAAATAGTTATCAAGCAAATTATATTTGTTATCATACTAGATTTTATTTGCTCTTTTATTGAGTCATTTTTTATTTCTTGATAAACTAAAAATTAAATTTAATCTAATAATAAAAAATTTCAATGCTCACCTTAATTAATTTTAAGATAGTGATTTATGTAAATGAATGAATTAAAATGATTTGTGTCTAATGATATTTTAAACTACGCTATTTTTGTTTTAATACTATTAATTTCTAAGTATTTAAGATTAAATATATATTTATCAAAATTGAATATTTATGGGTAATATCAAGGTTTTACTTAAAATTTTGATAGGCAATTAAAACTCTTAAAAATATTAAATATATAACAAATTAGTAATAAGGGTAGGAGATAGCATATAATTTAAATGGAATAATAAAAAGAAACATTAGGAGAAACTAATGTAGGAATTACTGCCTTTTTAACCTAAGGTAAACCTTTCAAGGGCATTGTTAAGTATAGAATTTAAGATTTTATTGTAAATGAGGTGACTTAAGAAAAAGAGACACTTTATCCTTCTGAGAAGACAATATTTTAGAAATAAAATAATTAGAAGAAAGATTAAAGCAATTAAGAGGCTCCTCAAGAAGAAAAAAAATCAGAATATGAAATTTCTGATGAGCTTTCCTAGAAGATAAAAGAAATATTCGGGTAGGAAAAAGGAGAAAAGATGATAAAGTTTTATAATGATTTAGAAGCAGGCTTGAAGGCTAAAGAAAACGAATTTAGTATTTTAATAGACTGCCCAGATGAAAAGGAGGAGAGACTCAAAATTCATTAATTTGTGAGAGAGGAGCTAATTCATATGGACTCATCCACTGAGGGAGATAATGCAAAAAAGTCTATTAAAGTATTTTTTACAAAAAACAAAGCAAAAAGAGGTAAAATTGACCAAAAGGTTTACCATTGCGTTTTATTTAAAAATGGCATAGATAACTTTACTGCCATTCAAAACATCAGCAAATATCTGAGATTACCTCCAAAGAATATTAACGCTGCTGGTATTAAAGACAAAAGAGGAATCACTACTCAACTTATAAGTATTGCTATGAGTAACACATCAGCTGAGATACTCAATCAAAGATTCCAAAATTCAAGATGGAACAATATGAAGGTCTAAAATGTTAAAGATGCTACTTCTCAACTTAGAACTGGTGATTTGTACGGAAATAGATTTTCATTAGCAATTAGACTGGTTTCGTACGAAGAATAAGAAGTCATAAAAGCAGTTGAAGACCTTAAAAAATTAGGGTTTATCAATTATTTTGGTATGTAACGTTTTGGCACAAATAATAGCATTCATACTCACGAAATAGGTAAAAATATTAACACTATAAAAAAAATTAAATTACTCAAACAAAAATATAATAAAATTTTTAATTTATGGGTGATTTTTAGCAATTTTTATTTTTTAATTAGGTTTACTCATCCTAAAAAGACAGTGGGAATAAGTTTTTGATTCAATAGTCGGATAAGAAACAAATGATAAAAGAGTAAATGAAGCTAAAAAAGCTTTCTTAAAGGATAAAACTTAAATTAGAGATGCTTTGAGAGACATTCCCTTTAAATACAAAATAGAAAGAACATTGTTGTAAGGTTACGAAAGAGTAGGTATGAAAAATAATTTCCTATAAGCCATTTGCTTTTTAAACAGGAGCACTAGAAATCTTTATTGTCACGCTTATTAGAGCTATATATGGAATCTACTTGCTTCTTATAGAATTCAGACATTAGGTAACTAGCTTGTTAAGGGGGATATAGTAGCAAAAAAGAGAGAGAATTTTTTGATAGATGTTGAAGCTGAAGTCGAAGAAGAAAATGGCTAAGAGGAAGAGTAAGAAGAAGAATCTAAATATTAAAGCATTGGTGATTATGAAATTGAAGTGATAGACGACTCAAATATTGATAAATATACTCTCTATGATGTTCTAATTCCTATTATAGGAGGAAAACTCAAAATACCTGAAAATTTTAATTTAAATGCTTACCTCACCTCAATTTTAGAAAAAGATGGTCTTGATTAACAATTGTTTGAAAAAATCTAAAAGGAATTTTTTGTAGAAGGAGGTTATAGATTTTTAATATGTTAAGCTGAAGACGTTTAATATTCCATTAATAAATACAATGAGAAAAACTAGGACATTCTCACTCCTTACTACAACGTTTAGCAAGATCACTCAGAAGAAAATGGTAAATATAGTGCCCTTTGTTTAAAGTTTACTCTTGCGAAAGGTTCATATGCAACTATGCTAATCAGAGAATTAACGAAAATGCCTTCTGATTTTGACACCTAAATGGGTTTAAATAAAGAGTACTAACAATTAGAATGATTAAAAAATAATTTTTTCATGTGATTTTTCATGATATATATTTTTATTTTTTTAAAAAGGATATAATTTAATTAAATAAATTAGCTATACTTCATAATTATATAATAGTTAGATATTAATGGATAATTGAATTTGAAGTAATTCAAGCAGTTATATAATTTTTAAATTATTTTCAAAAATTAACTAGGAATAATAATAAATATTCTAATTCTTTTTTGCACTTCAAATTTAGCTTACTTTCTTAAACTTTGTGCTTTAGTTTTTTATTTTATCTTCAAAAAAGCAGTAATTAACTCTAAAAAAACCACAATTTTTAAAAAATTTTATTTCAGTTATTAAGAGAGAAAGTTAGAAATAATAAATTAAAAATTAATTCATTCATTTTTAGAAAATAAAGAATGTAAATTAGTTTATATTTTTATGACAAATATATTTTATTCTCATCCAATATTAAAAAAAACTATTTTTCTTAAAACATTAGTAGTAGAAGAAAATAAAAATTTTATCTAATATAAGTAATTATATACTTTATTATTAATCTAGTATTTATGCATATTAAACTTAGTGAAATTGATGTTTATAAGATTTCTTTCTATTAATAATACTGTTTCTTAACAAAAATAAAAATTAAAAAATTAATAAAATTGGGGTAAATAATTTATTTTATTAAAAAAAATAAATTTATGAAGTGACTTTAATATTAAATTGCTTTCTTATTTTTAAAAAGAATTTCAAAATTTATTTATCACTATAACCTAAAAATATAAATATTTAATTCAGTGAATCTAACAAAGAATTTTCAAAAAATAAATGATTATTTTAAAAATTAAAGAATTTTAGAATTAAAATTCTTTCACTTTATACAAAACACCACAGAGAATTAGTTAAAAACCTAGATTGTAAAAAAATTAAACATCTTTTTATAAATAAAATAATTTTTGTCAAAAATATTAAAACATTCATTTTAAGGAGGTCTTGTTCATAAAATAAACTCATACTAACATATTAATTCAGTAAAGTATATCATGCATAAATTAAAATCCTATGTCAATTATACTAATCAAATAAATTTTCTATGAACTCAAATATAAACCAAATATATGATTTCACTAAAAGTTAGTTTATATATTAATCATAATTTCTTTTTTCATTAATATAAAGAATCTTTTTTGTTTATTAAATATTCTGATTAAATTAAGAGTAGTAAATATTTTTTTATTTCATAATTTTAAAAGGAATCTTTTAGTACTAAGCATAAAAAGTAAAAAATAATTAAAAAAGTGATTTTACACCAAAAAAAATTGAGTGTTATCTATTTATTGTTTGTAATTAGAAACAAAAGAATAGATAGAACAGCCCAAATCTAATTAACTATAAAGTAAATGCATGAATTTTCCTGTTTATTGTATTAAGGATAATAATCAGAGTGTCTTGATTTTATTAATTAATATAATATAATTATAAATGAAGATAATAAAATAAAATTTTTGTTTAGATTAACAAATTACTTTAAAGTTTTTTTAGTTATTTAAAAAACCATAATTAAAAATAATGCAAAAAATAAGAATAAAAAACTAAAAGTAAACACAAATTCTTTATCAAGCAAATACATTTGAAATTATACTATCTAAAAATAATGAAAAAAATAGGAAAACAAATTCTAAAAGTCTTTTTTGTCTTACTTTATATAAAGACTTTTGTTAAATGTGCATTATCTTATCAGTAGCAAAAAAATCTAATGAACAAATAAGTATATTCATCACTTCAAGTTGTTCAAGTTGACATAGATAATATATGCTAACTTAAAACGTTAAAATATATAATAACTCTACAATAACCATACTAGGATTACTTCTTTGCACACAGCAATAAATGCGGTTTAATACTTTTATAACTTTAAATATCTACAGGAGACTATAAGCTCATTTAAAGTTATCCTATTATAAAGGATGTTTCAGCAATAGCTTACAATTATGCTCTAAATACATTATGGGTAGCTGATTACTCCTATAAAATAACTATTTATGACGCTTCTAATCCATAATAGCTTTAAGCTTTGAATCAGATAACTTCATTTAATTTATCAACTTAGGCCATCTACTTCAGTTCGGATAACAAACAGGTCTACTTTCTTTAATCATAAGGGAATATTCAAATTTATTTGATGTAGAACTTAGTTTTTATCTAAAAGTTTATCAACGCTAATAATCCAGCTTCAATCCTTGTTTTGCCTCAGTAAAACCTTTTAATTTTAGGAGGATATAATTTATACTTCTACTAAATCTAGAATAGCAGTTATGATCCCACCTAACCTTATTAGCTTGGTAATTCCTAATAAATTATTACAGGAGACAATACACCTAAAATGTACTTTGTTGATAATAAATATCTATTTACTTGGTCCACATTTACAGGATTAAACCATTACGACATTTCTGGTTGCATTAAAACATAAATATGTGATAATACATCAGTTATCATGATAGCAACCCAAAAGTAGCTCATCTTAGGATTTTAAAATATCTATTTGACTAAGGACACAAATTACTTCATCGTTTTCTACAATTTTTATGGAATCTACATTTATGATGTCAGTTAAAGATCAGGATTTACTCAATACTATAGTATTTAGCTTACAGGATAAAACACTGCTATGGGAATAAGTTAAGATGAAAAATATATTATCCTAACTTTAGATAATTCATTGAATGTCTATAGGTAAATCCCTTCAAACCTAAATATTTAAGCTCCAAATATTCTCAATACACATTAAAATACCTTATTTAATCAACATGTTTAGTCTATAAAAACATTTTGGCACTGCACTATAGACGATAATCTTAATATGGCTATTACTAATGGAGCTAACGGTGCTTGGCTGATGAATATTAATCCTATCAACTATAGTATTAATATAGTATAGCACTTAACTTACCAATTTTCAAATAATATCTTAGATGAAGCTCGCTTCTTGTCAGGACTTAAGTATATTGCTCTTTCTCCAGGCTACTTGATATATTTCTATTCAAGATCTGCAGATCTTTCACAGTTAACACAGCTTTCTATTTACACACCACCAATGAATAATGCTCATATAGGATGCATAAGATAATCAAAAGATGGAAAAACTTTGTTTGTTGCTGGAGGCTAAGCAGGCTTAATAGTGATAGATATTTCTGACATTAATAATCCTAAACATATTTCTGCAGTTTATTATACTTTCCCTTAAGCTCCAAGCTGCTAAAGTAAAGGAATTTCGATATCAAATGATGAAAAATATCTTTATATGACATATAGATATTTAGGTGTTGTAATCTATGACATTTCAGATTTCCACAATCCTAAATAAGTAAATGTTGTTTACACTTTGGGTGGAGAAGACGTCTTTCTTACTGATGACAATTTAAATATGGTAGTTGTTGATACAATTTATGGGCTTTCTTTCTGGTCACTTGAACCAGATAGAACTCAACCAATAAAATAAGCATCTCTAATGACTTAAGGATAAGCAGTACACATGAGATTTCTTTAAAACTATAGCTTTATTTTAACAACTTCTATATACAAAGGATAGCTTTTCTTGATAGACTACAGAGACAGAACTAATCCGTAGCTCATTCAATCATACTAGTATTAAGGAGTGGAGAATAACTCAGCTGATGTGTGTATTTCACCAGACGAATCATTTTCTATGATGATATTCCCTAATGGAGTAGTTTATGTACCTCTAAGAAATCCAGTCGTATTCCATACAGATATTATTTGGTTGCAAGAAACACCAAACTCTTCAACGAATAAATAAATCTTAATGAATCCAGTAGATTTTAGCTCACAAGCCCAAAATTTATAAGTTGGTATGAAAGTTATACTTAAACTAAGTCAGCTTTATTCAGTAAATACCGTAGCCTTGGTAAATGCTTTTTACTATGAAAACTAAGTGATGAACACACTACCTACTTGGGTTACTATCTCCTAGAATTCCTTAAGCGTATAGGTTTCAGTTGATAAAGCTGCTATTGACTAATCATTAATTTAATCCTAGGTAAAAAAATAAGGTAAGGGAGATGGAATATCTTCTTAAGTTGTTATACAAAATAAACTCTTTTTTTTCTAGCTTTCAGAAAGAGTTTCAGTTACTGATTTTGTGCAGTCCTAAATAGGAATTACAAGCGCACTCTCTACTTAGATATATAATGATTGCACGATTTATTAAATAATACTTGACTCTGGTTTTGTAAATCCAAACTACTCTGATAATTAAATTTAAGCTTTTTTAACTTCTTCAGTTTATACACCACAAATCATGGAATAAATAAAGTACATTCTTCGCCAAAAATTAACTAACTATCCTGTTCAATTCAATATTCAAAATTCTCTTTTTATAGACATTTACTCTCAGGTAAAAGTTATCACTTCTTACTCTTCATCAGTTGTTGTTTACTTTTTTGTCAACTCTACTGTAGCATAGTTTGTGAATAAAAACTACCCCGCAGTCTTAACTTCTTTTTCTTCTAACTTCGACTAAATTTAAATACAAGGAGGTATTGATTCTGTTAACTCTGTCCTTCTAAATGGTGTCAAAATTTCAAATTTAACAGATCCATCTAAAATCTAAATAAAAATATAAGTCAGTGATGGAGTTAATTATGATATATACAAACAATTTGAATGTGGAGATACTCAAATAATTACTCTAAATAGTCAGACATATAAAAATCCGAATCTTAGCTTATAAGATGATTTTAATCATAAATTTTCATAAGCCAGTGTTCAGATTTTAACTAAATTTGATTATTAAATCAGCTCTGAAGTCTTTCTTAATAAAGATGTCTCTAATTTAATTTTAACAGCATTTATTTTGAGCAATAAAGGCACATACACTCCTTTGAATAATTAATTTTGGCTCTCTTATGATTAAAATTAAAAAGTTTTCTCAGGAACTCCTTCATCAAGCGAATATAATACAGTTATTAGACTCAAAGTTGTTGCTACAGATGGATATACAACAGCAGAAGATTTTTTAGAAATTCATATTAACGCTATACCTCTTTCTTATGTTCTGACTATTTTATTTTAAGTTTTAGGTCCTACTCTAGGTCTTTTAGGTTTGTGGAGATACAGCTCTACTTTTTATAATATAATCAATAAAAGTAAACATGAAACTTCTTTGATTACGGTTAATGCTGGAGAGTAGATTATTTTACAGATTCCACTAATAAAAGATGAAATGTAAATCGCTAGAGACATCTGGGGTAAATTCTACAAGTAATTATCTAAAGATAGTTTTATATTAGCACTAACCAAATCAAAAGAAACGTATTCAAAAAATAAAATGCATCAAAATATTCAAAAAAAAATTGTAAAAAATTAACAAAATTTTATTAAATCTATTCAATCTGACTATTTCTTAAAAGTTAACTAAAGTTAAGAATAACAATCTCCATAGAGAAGTAATCCTTTGAGCCCAATCAAGCTTTGCAATGACGAAAATGAAAGTTAATTTTAAAACAACTCTCCAACTCATTTACATGAGCTAACTTCTTAAGGCCTCAAAAACAAATTTAAATTTCCACAACTAAACAATGATAAAAATATCGAAAATTCATCTTAAGTATCTTAATTTTAGACAATAGTTAGTGCATCTAAAGCTAATAAAATTTAAAGATAAGTCACCAAACTTGAAAAAAAACAAGTGAAAATGTCAATAATGATATCATAAAAATATAAGTAAGAAGAGCCCAAATAAGCTGAGGATTAATCAAATAACAGCTATTTTACTTAATCTGGATACCTGAATAAATAATACATACTAGACTAAGTAAGAATATTTTTAACAACTTAAAAAAAAATTAAAAATAAAGAATTTGTTATCAATCAACTTAAAGATTCTAATAGTAAATTATCTTACTGTATCTTTGGTCTTGCATCAGTTTAATTTGCTGAATTTGATGAATCAACTAAAAGAATTATTGAGTTTCTTAAAAGTGTTGCAAGCTAAAGTTTCTCCAGTCAAGAATGGTATAAGCAATATGTTTTTGTATAACCTTGTATTGAATTAATACAGACATAACCTTTTCCTACCATTTAAATAAATGAATAAGCATTAAATGAAACTCTGAAGATATTTAACTATGAAGAAATAAATTAAACTTAAAAAACTAATTCTAACTTATTCTTCTCAATTTTTAGACCACTTATTGAAGATTACTTGATTGCAAGCTGTTATGGTTTTACCTTTGATACCTTTTACTTTATTCCTCACCCTATTGGAGAATGTCTTCAAATGAAAGCTCACTCTCTAAAGTGTATCGAAGGATACGTTCCAGTAACTGATTCTTCTTGTATGAATTTAAGAAAATGCTTAGGGCTTGACTATGTTTAAAAAGAATTTATTGAAAACTAAAAACTGAACTCTTGGGTTTAGATGATTGACATTTCTAATAATGTCATACTACTTAAAGGGGTCCCTTTAAACAAAGACGTTGGAAGATATTTATTCAAAATAAATGATTTCAATGGTTACACAATAAAAAGAATAAATATTGAAGTTAATTACAATAAATAATTAGCTTCCTAATTTAAAAAGAATGAATTAACATAGAAATCTACTGTTTTTCCAGAAGCAGATTAAAATATTGAAGAGGGTTATGCATAAGATGAAGTGCAAATGATGGTTTCTCAGTATTGTAATTTTACTAAAAAGAATTCATAGAATTTGAATGATATTTACTAAACAAGTTAAAAAGACGAGCTACTTGAATGAAATAAAAGTGTATTAATATTATTTTAATATATATTTTACATTACTAATTTGTTTTTGCTATAAAGTAGATTATTAATTTTTCTTTTAATTTTATCATAATAACTTTTTTTAATGATTTTTTAATTTAATTTTGCAATATTAAATTCAAATTTCTAATTAAAAATAATTTTTTATTAGAGAAGTTACAATTGGAGGATTTTTAGACCAGTAGGCAGAAAAAACGTCTCTGCCTACTATTTTTTCGCCTTCCAAGTATTTTCCTTGGAGGGCTACTTTTTTAGACTTTTTTAAAAACATTTTTAACAAATTTTAATTATAAATTATGTTTCAGTACTTTTTTACTGAATAATTTTTATTTTTTAACCCTTATAAAGTAAAAAATTTTTAAATTCTGAAATGAACTAAATTGAAAATAATATGAATTTACTTGATTTAAAAATATTTTATTGAATTTGCTTGAAAATTATTTTTTAAATAAATACAGAAGAATGAGTTTCTTGAATGTAAAAAAAATTATAAAAAATTTATTTCAAAAATTTTGTTTACACCACATATTTCCCTTTATATTAACCTTAATTAATTTTATAATTTATGTAAATAAATAATAAAAATGATTTGTGTCTAAAGATACTTTAAATTCTACTATTTTTATTTTAATACTATCAATTTCTAAGTATTTAAGATTAAAAAATATTAAACAAAATTGAATATTTATGGGTAATATCAAGATTTAACTTAAAATTTTGTTTTACAATTAACACTCTCAAAAATATTAAATAAAAAACAAATTAGTAATAAGGTTAGGAGATAGCATATAATTTAAATGAATTAATAGAAAGCTACATAAGGAGAAACTAATGTAGGTAATAATGTCTTTTTAACCTAAGGCAAACTTTTTATAGGCATTGCTAATTATAGAATTAAAGATTTTATTATAAACGAGGATATTTAAGATAAAGAGACCTTCTGAGAAGACAACATTTTAGAAATAAAATAATTAGAAGAACGAGAAAACAAATTAAATGGCTATTCAAGATGAAAAAAAATCAAAATATGAAATTTCTGAAGAAATTTCTTAGAAAATAAATGAAATATTTGGGTATGAAAAAGGAGAAAAGATGATAAAGTTTTGCAAAGACTTAGAAGCAGGCTTGGAGGCTAAAGAAAACGAATTCAATTTTTAGTAGACTGCCCTAATGAAAAGAGAGAGAGACTCAAGATTCATCAATTTGTGAGATAGGAGCTAATCCACATGGATTCTTCCACTGAGGGAGATAATGCAAAAAAGTCTATTAAAGTATTTTTTACAAAAAACAAAGCAAAAAGAGGTAAGATTGACCAAAAGGTTTACAATTGCGTTTTATTTAAAAATGGCATAGACAACTTTACTGCAATTCAAAACATCAGTAAATATCTGAGATTACCTCCAAAGAATATTAATGCTGCTGGTATTAAAGAAAAAAGAGGAATCACTACTCATCTTATCAGTATTGCTATGAGTAATACATCAGCTGAGATACTCAATCAAAGATTCCAAAATTCTAGATGGAACAAAATGAAATTCTAAAATGTTAAAGATGCTACTTCTAAACTCAGAGCTGGTGATTTGTACGGAAATAGATTTTCATTAGCAATTAAACTGGTTTCTTACGAAGAACAAGAAGTCATAAAAGCAGTTGAAGACCTTAAAAAATTAAGGTTTATCAATTATTTTGGTATGCAACGTTTTGGCACAAATAATAGCATTCATACTCACGAAATAGGTAAAAATATAAATGCTATATATAAAAAAATTAAGTCGCTCAAACAAAACAAAAATAAAAGTTTTTAATTTATGGGTGATTTTTAACAATTTTTATTTTTTAATTAGGTTTACTCATCCTAAAAAGACAGTAGGAATAAGTTTTTGATTCAATAGTTGGATAAGAAACAAACGATAAAAGAGTAAATGAAGCTAAAAAAGCTTTCTTAAAGGATAAAACTTAAATTAGAGATGCTTTGAGGGGCATTCCCTTTAAATACAAAATAGAAAGAACATTATTGTAAGGTTACGAAAGAGTAGATATGAAAAATAATTTCCTATAAGCCATTTGATTTTTAAACAAGAGCACTAGAAATCTTTATTGTCACGCTTACTAGAGCTATATATGGAATCTACTTGCTTCTTATAGAATTCAGACAATAGGTAACTAGCTTGTTAATGGGATATAGTAGCAAAAAAGAGAGAGAATTTTTTGATAGATGGTGAAGCTGAAGGTGATGATGAAAATGGCTAAGAAGAAGAAGAATCTAAATATTAAAGCATTGGTGATTATGAAATTGAAGTGATAGACGACCCAAATATTGATAAATATACTCTCTATGACGTTCTTATTCCTATAATAGGAGGAAAACTTAAAGTCCCTGAAAATTTTAATTTAAATGCTTATCTCATTTCAATTTTAGAAAAGGATGGTCTTGATTAATAATTGTTTGAATAAGTTTAAAAGAAATTTTATGTAGAAGGAGGTTACAGATTTTTAATATGTTAAGCTGAAGACGTTTAATACTCTCGATTAATAAATACAATAAAAAAAACCAGACACTCTTACTCCTTACTACAACCTTTAGCAAGATTAATAAGAAGAAAACGGTAAATATAGTGCAGAGAATTAACGAAAATTTCTTCTGATTTTGACACCTAAATGGGTTTAAATAAAGAGTACTAACACTTAGAATGATTAAAAAATAATTTTATATAGAAATTTTTTATCATAAATATATTTCTGTATTTTTTAAAAAAAGAAATAATTAAATTTAAAAAATTAGTTCTACTTCACAGTTTATTATAATACTTAGATAATAATAATTCTTTATAGTATGTGTTAACACTAAGTTTAAATAGAATTTGTAACAATTTAAAAAATTATACAATTTTAAAATTATTTTTTGAAAAAAGGAATAATTATAAATATTTTAACTCTTTTTGAACTCAGAATTTAGTATAATTTGTTAACCTTTGTGCTTTTATTATTGTTACATTTTATTCTATCTGAAAAAAAACAGAAATAAAAAGCTAAAAAATCCTCAAAATTAAAAAAATTTTATTTAAATAAAGCAATAAAGCAAAAACTACTTTATTTTTAGGAAATAAAGAAGGTAAATTAACTAATATATTAATGATTAATATGATTTATTCTTTGCTTTTAAGAATAATACTATAATACTTAAAACGTCAATAGATGAAAATAGAAATAATAAAGAAATTAAGTATTAAATAATTCCTGTTTGATTTATTCTTATTACCCCAAGATTTTTATAGCATGTTATTAAATATAAGAAAGTATATACTTTACATATTCATTTAGCAACGAATTTGATGTTTAAAAGATTATTTTTTTAGTTTTTATTAATCCTCTTGAATGATAAGAAAAATTAAAAAAATAAAAATTAAAAAAATATGTAAAATTGGGGTAAATAATGATCCTGTTATTGAAATAAGAAATTTTATTAAACCACTTGAGTTTTTTATTACTTTCTTATCTTTTTAGAAGAATTTCAAAAAATAAATAAAATCACAATAATCTAAAAATAGAAAAATATTTATTTGATTTTGAGTGGACCAAATAATATCTTCATAAAATAAATGATTATTTAAAAAATTGAGTTTTTTAAGAGCTTTACAATTATAACTCTTTCACTTTTTATAAAATGCAGAGAGTTAGTTAAAAATCTAGAATATAGAAGAATTAAGCATCATTTTGCAAACAAAATTTAATTCTTGCCAATAAAATAATAATTGATTTTTAGGAGGTCTTCTTTATATAATTAATTCATACTAGTTTTTTAATTCAGTAAAGTGTATATCATTTATAAATAGTTAAAACCATATGTCAATCATACTAATCAAATAAATTTTCTACAATGTCAAATATTAAACGAAATATATGATTTCAAAAAAATATAATTTATATATTGAACATAATTTCTTTTTTCATTTTATGAAAGTATCTCTTTTGTTTACTTCATCAAGATTGATTTTAGTTTGTTAACAAATTTAAGAGTATTAAGTATTTTTTTTAAATTTAAAATGAATTTTTTGTACCAATAATATAAAATAAAATAATAAGAAAATTGAAAAAGTGATGTTACACTAAAAAAAATTTGAGTTTTATCTATTTACTGTTTATGATTTGAAATTAAAAAAGATCAGCCCAAATCTTATTAAATATAAACTAATTGAATGAATTTTCCAGTTTATTCTACAAAGAATTATATTAACTATGTCTTATTTTATTATTTGACATCATTACAATAGAGGATAACTTTGCTAATGAAATAAAATTTTTCTACATTAAATAAAATTTTGCTCTTTTTAATAATTTACTTTAAAATTTTTCAAGTTAATTAAAAAGCCACAATTAAAAATAATGCAAAAAATAACATTAAAAAGTTAAACTAAATACAAATTCTTTATAAAATAAATAAATTTGAAATAATACTTTCAAAAAAAAGATGAAAAAAATAGCAAAACAAATTCTAATAATCTCTTTTGCATTACTTTAGATAAAGACTTTCGTAGAATGTGCATTATCTTATGAGTAGTAAATAAATCTTATGAATAAATAAGTATATTCATCACTTCAAGTTGTTCAAGTTGATCTAAACACTATCTGTCAAACGAAATAACTAAAGTTTATAATAACTCTACAATAGCCATACTAGAATTACTTCTTTGCACTCAGCGATAACTGCGGTTTAGTACTTTCATAACTTTAGATATCAACAGGAGACTATAAGCTCATTTAAAGCTATCCTTCTATAAAGAATGTCTCAGCAATAGCTTACAATTATGCTCAGAATACACTATGGGTAGCTGATTACTCCTTTGCGATAACTATTTATGATGCTTCTAATCCCTAAAAGCTTTAAGCTTTGAATCAGATAAATTCATTTACTTTATCTACTTAGACCATCTAATTTAGTTATGATAACAAGCAGGTCTTCTTTCTTTAGGCATAAGGGAATATTCAAATTTATTTGATGTAGAACTTAGTTTTCATTTAAAAGTTTATCAACACTAATAATCCAGCTTCAATTCTCGTTTTGCCTCAGTAAAACCTTTTAATTTTAGGAGGATATAATTTATATTTCTACTAAATCTAGAATAGCAGTTATGATCCCACATAACCTTATTAGCTTGGTAATTCCTAATAAATTATTACAGGAGACAATACACCTAAAATGTACTTTGTTGATAATAAATATCTATTTACTTGGTCCACATTTACAGGATTAAACCATTACGACATTTCTGGTTGCATTAAAACATAAAAATGTGATAATACATCAGTTATCATGATAGCAACCCAAAAGTAGCTCATCTTGGGATTTTAAAATATCTATTTGACTAAGGACACAAATTACTTCATCGTTTTCTACAATTTTTATGGAATCTACATTTATGATGTCAGTTAAAGATCAGGATTTGCCTAATACTATAGCATTTAGCTTACAGGATTAAATACTGCTATGGGAATAAGTTAAGACGAATCATTTATTGTCTTAACCTTAGATAATTCATTGAATGTCTATAGGTAAATCCCTTCAAACCTAAATATTCAAGCTCCAAATATTCTCAATACACATTAAAATACCTTGTTTAACCAACATGTTTAATCTGTAAGAACATTTTGGCACTGCACCATAGATGATAATCTTAACATGGTTATTTCTAATGGAGCCAATGGAGCTTGGTTAATGAATATTAATCCTATCAATTACAGTATTAATATAGTCTAGCACTTAACTTACCCATTTTCAAATAATATCTTAGATGAACCTCGCTTTTTGTCAGGACTTAAATATCTTGCTCTTTCTCCAGGCTACTTGATATATTTCTATTCGAGATCTGCAGATCTTTCACAAGTGACACAGCTTTCTATTTACACACCACCAATGAATAATGCTCATATAGGATGCATAAGATAATCAAAAGATGGAAATACTTTGTTTGTTGCTGGAGGTTAAGTAGGCTTGATAGTAATAGACATTTCTGACATAAATAACCCTAAACATATCACTGCTGTTTATTATACTTTCCCTTTAGCTCCAAACTGCTAAAGCAAAGGAATTTCGATATCAAATGATGAAAAATATCTTTATATGACATATAGATATTTAGGTGTTGTAATCTATGACATTTCAGATTTCCACAATCCTAAATAAGTAAATGTTGTTTATACTTTGGGTGGAGAAGATGTATTTCTTACTGATGACAATTTGAATATGGTAGTTGTTGAAACTATTTATGGGCTTTCTTTCTGGTCACTTGAACCAGATAGAACAAAACCAATAAAACAAGCATCTCTAAGGACTTAGGGATAAGCAGTACACATGAGATTTCTTTAAAGCTGTAGCTTTATTTTAACAACTTCTTTATACAAGGGATAGTTGTTTTTGATTGACTACAGAGACAGAACTAACCCATAGCTTATTCAATCATACTAATATTAAGGAGTGGAGGTTACCTCAGGTGATGTGTGTGTCTCACCAGACGAATCCTTTTCGATGATGATATTCCCTTATGGAGTTGTTTATATACCTCTAAGAAATCCCGTCGTATTTCATACTGATATAATTTGGTTACAAGATATACCAAACTCTTCGATGAAGAAATAAATCTTAATGAATCCAGTTGATTCGATCTCAAAAGCTTAAAATTTATAAGTTGGTATGAATGTCATACTTAAACTAAGTCAGCTTTATTCAGTAAATACTGTAACCCTGGTAAACGCTTTTTACTATGAAAACCAAGTTATGAAGCCACTTCCTACTTGGATTTCTATCTCCTAGAATTCTTTGAGCGCAGAGGTTTCAGTTGATAAATCTGCCATAGATTCATCATTAATTCAATCTTAAGTAAGCAAATAAGGTAAAGGTGATGGCATATCCTCTTAAGTTGTTATACAAAATAAACTCGTTTTTTTCTAACTTTCAGAAAGAATTTCAGCTTCTGATTTTGTGCAGTCGTAAATAGGAATTTCAAGTTCACTCTCTACTTAAATATTTAATGATTGCATCGCATATCAAATAATATTAGACTCTGGTTTTATAAACCCAAACTACTCAGATAATTAAATCCAGTCTTCTTTAACTTCTTAGGTTTATACACCACAAATCTTAGAGTAAATAAAGTTTATTCTTCGCCAAAAAATAACTAATTACCCTGTTCAATTCAATATTCAAAATTCTCTCTTTATAGATATTTACTCTCAAGTAAAAGTTATCACTTCATACTCTTCATCAGTTGTTGTTTACTTTTTTGTCAACTCCACTGTAGCATAGTTTGTGAATAAAAACTACCCCGCAGTCTTAACTTCATTTTCTTCTAACTTCGACTAAATTTAAATATAAGGAGGCATTGATTCTGTTAACTCTGTCCTTCTAAATGGTGTCAAAATTTCAAATTTAACAGATCCTTCTTAAATCTAAATAAAAATATAAGTCAGTGATGGAGTTAATTAAGATTTATACAAACAATTTGTATGTGGAGATACTCAAATAATTACTCTAAATAGTTAGACATATAAAAATCCGAATCTTAGCTTATAAGATGATTTTAATCGTAAATTTTCTTAAGCTAGTGTTTAGATTCTAACTAAATTTGATTATCAAATCAGCTCTGAAGTCTTTCTTAATAAAGATTCCTCTAATTTAGTTTTATCTACACTTGTTATGAACCACAATGGTACTTATGCTCCTTTGAATAACCAATTTTGGCTCTCTTATGATTAAAATTAAAAAGCTTTCTCAGGGACTCCCTCATCAAGCGAATATAATACAATTGTTAATCTCAAGGTTGTTGCTACAGATGGATATACAACAGCAGAAGATTTGTTAGAAATTCATATCAATGCTATACCTCTATCTTATGTGTTGACTATTTTATTTTAAATTTTAGGTCCTACTCTCGGTCTTTTAGGTCTATGGAGATACAGTTCTACTCTTTACAATATAATCAATAAAAAGAAGCATGAAACTTCTTTGGTTACTGTTAATGCAGGAGAGTAGATCATTTTACAGATTCCTCTAATTAAAGATGAAATGTAAATTGCTAAAGAAATATGGGGTAAATTCTACAAGTAATTATCTAAAGAAAGTTTTATATTAGCACTGACCAAATCAAAAGAAAACTATTCAAGAAATAGATTGCATTAAAATATACAAGAGAAAATTGCTTAAAATTAACAAGCTTTTTTTAAATCCATTCAATCTGACTAGTTCATAAAAAGCAGCTAAAGCTAAGAATAGCAAAATATTATGAGACTTAATGCGTTGAGTCCAATTAAGATTTGCACAGAAGAAATTGAAAGCTAACTATAAAACAACTCTCCAACTCATATGCTTGATCTAACTCCTTAAGGCATCAAAAATAAACTTAAATTAACACAAAACGATGATAAATATTTAGAAAATTCATCTTAAGCATCTTAATATAAACCAGTAGTTAGCGCATCTAAAGCCAACAAAATTTAAAGGCAAGTCACCCAACTCGAGAAAAAACAAATGAAAATGTCAATGATGATATCATAAAAATATAAGTAGGATGAACCAAAATAAGCTGGTGATGAATTAAATAACAGTTATTTTACTTAATTTGGATACCTGAATAAATAATACATACTTGATTAAGTAAGAATATTTTTATCAACTCAAAAAAAAATTAAAAATTAAGAATTTGTCAATAATTAACTTAAAGAAGCTAATAGTAAATTATCTTGCTGTATCTTCGGTCTTGCATCAGTTTAATTTGCTGAATTTGATGAATCAACTAAAAGAATTATTGAATTTCTTAAAAGTGTTGCTGACAAAAGTTTTTCTCCTCAAGACTGGTATAAGCAATATGTTTTTGTATAACCTTGTATTGAATTAATATAGACATAACCCTTTCCTACCATTTCAATAAATTAATAAGCACTAAATGAAGCTCTGAAAATATTTAACAAGGAAGAAGCAAATTAAGCTTAAAAAACTAACTCTAGCTCTTCCTTTTAAATTTTTAGACCACTTATTGAGGATTATTTGATTGCATGCTCTTATGGTTTTACCTTTGATACCTTTTACTTTATTCCTCACCCTATTGGAGAATGTCTTCAAATGCAAGCTCACTCTCTAAAATGCATAGAAGGATATGTTCCAATAACTAATACTTCTTGTATGAGTTTAAGAAAATGCTTAGGGCTTGACTATGTTTAAAAAGAATTTATTGATAACTAAAAACTGAATTCTTGGGTTTAGATGATTGATATTTCTAATAATGTTATACTGCTTAAAGGGCTCCCTTAAAACAAAGATGTTGGTAGATATTTATTCAAAATAAATGATTTCTATGGCTACACAATAAAAAGAATAAATATTGAAGTTATTTACAATAAATAATTAGCTTCCTAATATAAAAAGAATGAATTAACATAAAAATCTACTGTTATTCAAGAAGCAGATTTCAATATTGCAGAAGGTTCTATTTAAGATGAAGTATAAATGATGGTATCACAGTATTGTAATTCAACTAAAAATAATTCATAGAATTTGTAAGCTATTTACTAAATGAGTGAAAAAGATGAGTTAATTGAATGAAATAAAAATGTATTAATATTATTTTAATATGTAATTTTTATATACTTCATTCTTTATATTGAGTAGTATCATTTTAAAGATTATTGGTATTTTTTTATTAATTTTGAGTTTGAACACTCTCATAGCTCGTTATTTAATTTTCAATGCATCTCTGTTTGTGAAAATTAAGGTTTATATTGATATTTGATTATATTGCTATTTTTTAACTGTTGAATTTGATAAAATGTATTTGTATAAGTGTTGAAGTTTTATTGGTGTCTATAATTATTAATTTTAACTAATGTGGTTATATTGTTGTTAATTATAATTCACCAGTAAATACAATTACTATTATTTTTTTGCTTTTCGTACCTAATTCTTCTATATATACAAAGATTTATACATAATAAATTAGTTTTTTTTTATTGTAAATTATTTATTGAGATTAGAATTAAAATTCTATCACTTTATAAATAACCTCTTGAGTTTGTTGAAAAGATAAAATATAAAAACATTGAACCTCGTTTTATAGATAACATTTTAATTCTTGTCAAAAATGTCTTTCATAGACTTTATAAAATTAATTAATAATTGTATTTTAATTCATTTAAGAGCATCTCATAAATAAAAAATTAAAATTAAAATCAATGTCAGTCACTTATTTAATCAAATAAAATTTCTACAGCTTTTTTAAATTTTATTTTTATTTTCATAACATTGTGTATGACGTCAAATAATAAGCTAAATATATGTCTTCACAAAAATTTACTTTTTTTCTTAAATATAATTTATTTTTTCACTTATAAAAAGTATCTCTTTTGATTATTAAATATTCCTATCAGGATTTTAGTTTGCTAACAAATTTAATTGTAATAATTATTTTTTTATTTGAAAATTTTAAAATATTTTAAGAATTAAGCATAAAAAATAATCAAAAAAGAAAATTGATAAAGTTATGTCAACCTAAAATAAATTCAGTGGTTATCTATTTAATGTTAATAATTTAAAGTAAATAAACAGTACCATTTAAATCTGATTAATTATAAAGTAAATTCATTCATATTATAGATTATTCTACTAATAATTATAATCAATTTTTTCATTATAATAACTGATATAAGTAGAAAAGGGGATAACTTAGCTTAATAAGTAAATTTTGTTATTTTTATATGAAATTTTTTTGAGTAATTTTAATTAAAATTTCTTGAATTTATTTAAGAAGATTATACTTAAAAATAATGCAAAAGATAACAATAAAAAGTTAAAAGTAAATAAAAATTCTTTATAAAACATATAAATTTTAAACAATACTTTTAAAAATAAGATGAAAAAAACAGTAAAATAAATTCTAATAATCTTTTGTGGATTGCTCTAGATAAAGACTTTTGTAGAATGTGCATTATCTTATCAGTAGTAAAAAAATCTTATGAACAAATAAGTATATTCATCACTTCAAGTTGTTCAAGTTGATCTAAACACCATCTGTCAAACTAAAAAGCTAAATTATATTATAACTCTTCAATAGTCATACTAGAATTACTTCTTTGCACTCAGCGATAACTGCGGCTTGGTACTTTCATAACTTTAAATATCAACAGGAGACTATAAGCTCATTTAAAGCTATCCTTCTATAAAGAATGTCTCAGCAATAGCTTACAATTATGCTCAGAATACACTATGGGTAGCTGATTACTCCTTTGCGATAACTATTTATGACGCTTCTAATCCCTAAAAGCTTTAAGCTTTGAATCAGATAAATTCATTTACTTTATCAACTTAGACTATCTAATTTAGTTCTGATAACAAGCAGGTCTTCTTTCTTTAGTCATAAGGGAATATTCAAATTTATTTGATGTAGAACTTAGTTTTCATTTAAAAGTTTATCAACACTAATAATCCAGCTTCAATTCTCGTTTTGCCTCAGTATAACCTTTTAATTTTAGGAGGATATAATTTATACTTCTACTAGATCTAGAATAGCAGTTATGATCCCACCTAACCTTATTAGTTTGGTAATTCCTAATAAATTATTACAGGAGACAATACACCTAAAATGTACTTTGTTGATAATAAATATCTATTTACTTGGTCCACATTTACAGGATTAAACCATTACGACATTTCTGGTTGCATTAAAACATAAAAATGTGATAATACATCAGTTATCATGATAGCAACCCAAAAGTAGCTCATCTTGGGATTTTAAAATATCTATTTGACTAAGGACACAAATTACTTCATCGTTTTCTACAATTTTTATGGAATCTACATTTATGATGTCAGTTAAAGATCAGGATTTGCCTAATACTATAGTATTTAGCTTACAGGATTAAATACTGCTATGGGAGTGAGTGAAGATGAATCATTTATTGTCTTAACCTTAGATAATTCATTGAATGTCTATAGGTAAATCCCTTCAAACCTAAATATTGAAGCTCCAAATATTCTCAATACACATTAAAATACCTTATTTAATCAACATGTTTAATCTATAAGAACATTTTGGCACTGCATCATTGATGATAATCTTAACATGGTTATTTCTAATGGAGCCAATGGTGCTTGGTTAATGAATATTAATCCTATCAATTACAGTATTAAAATAGTATAGCACTTAACTTACCCATTTTCAAATAATATCTTAGATGAACCTCACTTCTTGTCAGGACTTAAATATCTTGCTCTTTCTCCAGGCTACTTGATATATTTCTATTCGAGATCTGCAGATCTTTCACAGTTAACACAGCTTTCTATTTACACTCCGCCAATGAATAATGCTCATATAGGATGCATAAGATAATCAAAAGATGGAAATACTTTGTTTGTTGCTGGTGGTTAAGTAGGCTTAATAGTAATAGACATTTCTGACATCAATAACCCTAAACATATCACCGCTGTTTATTATACTTTCCCTTTAGCTCCAAACTGCTAAAGCAAAGGAATTTCGATATCAAATGATGAAAAATATCTTTATATGACATATAGATATTTAGGTGTTGTAATCTATGACATTTCAGATTTCCACAATCCTAAATAAGTAAATGTTGTTTATACTTTGGGTGGAGAAGATGTATTTCTTACTGATGACAATTTGAATATGGTAGTTGTTGAAACTATTTATGGGCTTTCTTTCTGGTCACTTGAACCAGATAGAACTAAACCAATAAAATAAGCATCTCTTAGGACTTAGGGATAAGCAGTTCACATGAGATTTCTTTAAAGCTGTAGTTTTATATTAACAACTTCTTTATACTAAGGATAGTTGTTTTTGATTGACTACAGAGACAGAACTAAACCATAGCTTATTTAATCATACTAATATTAAGGAGTGGAGATTACCTCAGGTGATGTGTGTGTCTCACCAGACGAATCTTTTTCGATGATGATATTCCCTTATGGAGTTGTTTATATACCTCTAAGAAATCCCGTCGTATTTCATACTGATATAATTTGGTTACAAGATATACCAAACTCTTCTATGAAAAAATAAATCTTAATGAATCCAGTAGATTCGATCTCAAAAGCTCAAAATTTATAAGTTGGTATGAATGTCATACTTAAACTAAGTCAGCTCTATTCAGTAAATACTGTAACCCTGGTAAACGCTTTTTACTATGAAAACCAAGTTATGAAACCATTACCTACTTGGATTTCTATCTCCTAGAAAACTCTAAGCGCTTAGATTTCAGTCGATAAATCTGCTATTGACTCATCATTAATTCAATCCTAAGTAAGCTAATAAGGTAAAGGAGATGGAATATTCTCTTAAATTGTTATACAAAATAAACTCGTTTTCTTCTAACTTTCAGAAAGAATTTCAGCTTCTGATTTTGTGCAGTCGTAAATAGGAATTTCAAGTTCACTCTCTACTTAAATATTTAATGATTGTATGACATATCAAATAATATTAGACTCGGGTTTTGTAAATCCAAACTACTCAGATAATTAAATCTAGGCTTTTTTAACTTCTTCTGTTTATACACCACAAATTATGGAGTAAATAAAGTACATTCTTCGCCAAAAAATAACTAACTACCCTGTTCAATTCAATATTCAAAATTCTCTCTTTATAGATATTTACTCTCAAGTAAAAGTTATCACTTCATACTCTTCATCAGTTGTTGTTTACTTTTTTGTCAACTCTACTGTAGCATAGTTTGTGAATAAAAACTACCCCGCAGTTTTAACTTCTTTTTCTTCTAACTTCGACTAAATTTAAATATAAGGAGGCATTGATTCTGTTAACTCTGTCCTTATAAATGGTGTCAAAATTTCAAATTTGACGGATCAATCTTAAATCTAAATAAAAATATAAGTCAGTGATGGAGTTAATTACGATTTATACAAAGAATTTGTTTGTGGAGATACTCAAATAATTACTCTAAATAGTCAGACATATAAAAATCCGAATCTTAGCTTATAAGATGATTTTAATCGTAAATTTTCTTAAGCTAGTGTTTAGATTCTAACTAAATTTGATTATCAAATCAACTCTGAAGTCTTTCTTAATAAAGATTCCTCTAATTTAGTTTTATCTGCACTTATTTTGAACAACAATGGTACTTATGCTCCTTTGAATAACCAATTTTGGCTCTCTTATGATTAAAATTAAAAAGTTTTCTCAGGAATTCCCTCAGCAAGTGAATATAACACAGTCCTTAGACTCAAGGTTGTTGCTACAGATGGATATACGACAGCAGAAGATTTTTTTGAAATTGATATAAATGCTATTCCTCTATCTTATGTGTTGACTCTTTTATTTTAAATTTTAGGTCCTACTCTCGGTCTTTTAGGTTTATGGAGATATAGTTCTACTTTTTATAATATAACCAATAAAAGCAAACATGAAACTTCTTTAGTTACGGTTAATGCAGGAGAGTAGATAATTTTTCAAATTCCATTAATAAAAGATGAAATCTAAATTGCTAGAGACATTTGGGATAAATTCTACAAATAATTATCAAAAGAAAGCTTTATATTAGCACTAACCAAATCAAAAGAAATTTATTCAAAAAATATATAGCATCAAAATATACAAATGAAGATTGATTAAAATTAATACATTTTATCTAAATTAAACCAATCTTATTAGTCCATTAAAAGTAACTCAGCTTAAGAATAGAAAACTCCTAATAGAATTAATCAGTAGTATTCATTCAAGGATTGTGTAGATGAAAATGAAATATCATTTTCAAACAACTTTCAAGCTCATGTTCTTGATCTAACTGAATAAGGCCTCTAAAATAAATTTACACTTTCACAAAAAGTAGATGATAAAAGTTTTGAAAATTCACCTTCATCATCTTAAAAAAAATCTCTATTTAGTGTATCTAAAGCTAATAAAATTTTAAGACAAATCTCCCAACTTGATAAAAAACAAGTGAAAATTTCAAAGAAGATATAATAAAAATATAAGTAACAACTTTAAAGATAAAAAGCTGGTAATGAATCAAATAACAGTTATTTTACTTAATCTGGATACCTGAATAAATAATACATACTTGAATAAGTAAGAATATTTTTAACAACTCAAAAAAAAATTAAAAATTAAGAATTTCTTAGCAATTAGCTTAAAGAAACTAATAGTAAATTATCTTGCTGTATCTTCGGCCTTGCATCAGTCTAATTTGCTGAATTCGATGAATCAACTAAAAGCATTATTAAATTTCTTAAAAATGTTGCAACAAAAAATTTCTCTCCTCAAGACTGGTATAAGCAATATGTTTTTGTATAACCTTGTATTGAATTAATACAGACATAACCCTTTCCTATCATTAAAATAAATGAATAAACACTAAATGAAGCTTTGAATATATTTAAATAGGAAGAAATAAATTAAACTTAGAAAACTAACTCTAATTAGTTTTTCTCAATTTTTAGGCCACTTATTGAAGATTATTTAATTGCATACTCATATGGCTTTATATTTGATAAATTTTACTTTATTCCTCGTCCTATTGGAGAATGTCTTCATATGAGAGCTCACTCTCTAAAGTGTATTGAAGGATACGTTCCAGTAACTAATACTTCTTGTTTGAGTTTAAGAAAATGCTTAGGGCTTGACTATGTTTAAAAAGAACTTATTGATAACTAAAAACTGAATTCTTGGGTAAATATTATAGATATTTCAAATAATGTTATGATACTTAAAGGGCTTCCTTAAAACAAAGATGTTGGAAGATATTTATTCAAAATAAATGATTTCTATGGCTACACAATAAAGAGAATAAATATTGAAGTTAAATACAATGAACAATTAGATTTCTAATTTGAAAAGAATGAAATAATATAGTAAAATATTGATTTTCCAGAAACAGATTCAAATATTGCTGAGAGTTTTGTTTAAGATGAAGTACAAACGATAATCACACATCATTACTACCATACGAAAAAGAATTCATAAAATTTGAACACTATTTTCTAAACAGAAAAAGATGATTTAATTCAATGAAATAAAAATCTATTAATATTCTTTTAATAAATTTTACATTAAAATTGGGTTTTTAGTTTATATTTTTTCTTATTCTTTAAATTTAGTAGCATTTTACTTAAAGATTATTGGCTATTTTATATTAATTTATGTAACTAAAATCTTAATTTTAGATTTATTAAAACTAGCTTTAGATGCTATTTTATAAAAATTTTTAGCTAAATATTTATTTGGTTTTAGTTACTTCAATTTAATTTTTTTTAATAAATCAAAAATAAAAATATTAAAGTAGAAATAATTTAAATAATTTGACCTAATTATAGACCTCCCCTCTTTACCTTGTTTCGGCATAGTTGGAGGAGTTATGGTAATAGATATTATTATTTTAAAAGTCTTTTAATATTTAATTCTTATCAAAAGTTTTTATAATATATTGAATTTTCTATTTTTCTAAATCTAAATAACTCAAATTTTGAATAGTTAATATTTATACAAGTTTTATAATGTTTAATAAAATCATAATTTATTATTATCTAAACAAATTTATTAATTCTTATAATTTAGATTTAAGTATGATTAGGAAATTCTTTTTGTAAACATTAAAATAAAATAAATAGTTGACAAGCTTTTAAGGTTACACTTTTGCTAATTACAAATTTGATATTAAGTACTGTGTTTCATGAGGTTCAAGAAGTGCTTTTAACTAATTAGAAAGACATATTAGGTAAAAGTATGAAATTAATTAAAATACCGTTTAAATTGAATCCAAAACAGCTGATTCTTTTGATGGAAGTTTTGAAGTCTTTCTTTCTTTAGATAACCAAAAGCAAGTGTAAATATGGAGTGCCTTGAAAGGAGATGGGAGATTTACACAAAGAAATTTAGCCATATTTGATTAAAGAATTGAAAACTCAATTAATGAAACTAAAAAAGCTTGAAAAGTGAAAAATTATAATATTAATTGATACATTATCTTGATTATGATTTATAAAATTTTTAAATGAAAAATAAAACCAAAAGTTTTATTACAGGTTTTGTTTTGAGCTGCTATAATATTTATAGATTTTATAATAAAGTTTTATATCAAATATAAAATTAATTTTTTAAAATTATTTAAGCGCAATGTCCTTCTTACAACTTGTTAGCATTTATTTTTAATACAAATTGAAATACTCATAATATTATTAAATTTCTTTTATTTAATTAAGTTTTTAACAATTCTTTTTTTTCTTTAAAAATATATTAATTTGTTATTCCACTATAATGAATTTTGTTTGAATGAATAATTGCAACAAATGACTAATATTTTTTAAAAATAAAGCAAATCCTACATAAAAAATGTCTTTTTGTTTATCATTTAAAAATTTTTTTTAATTTTGTTTTAAAATAGTTAAAGTAAAATAAATTTTTTTAATAAAACAAAACAAACAAATTTCATTTTTTAGTTTCATTAATTGTTACATCTATTTTTAAAATATCTTATTTTAATTATTCGTTATTAGGATCTAATTTTAAAGCTTCTTCTAGGTCAGATTTGGCATTGAAAATTAAATTCTATTTCAAATAAGCATTTGCTCTTCTGACCAAGAACCTGGATTCAAAGCTAATTAATTTATCTTTTTCCTCTTTAGTTAATTTTTGATTTGTCCAAGAGATGACTCTATTTTTGTAGCTTCTAATTATTTTAAGACCACGAAGGCAATTTGTTATAATATCTTCATACTTTTCTAACTTCAGGAAGCATGCACATCTGTTTAGTAATATGGCTAAATATTCTATTGTTTCAGTACTATCTATTTTCTTCAAGCATTCATTATAAATTTCAAGTGCTTCACTTACTTTATTTTCCTTAAAAATTAAAAAAATTAAATTAAAACTGAAATTCTTTTAAAACTATTTACTTTCATAAATGCAGCTGCTTATGCTTTAAGATGATTGACTTCTTCAATTGCAAAAGATTTTTCTATTTCTTTATAAATTTCTTTAGCCTCAGAGTTTTTATCATTAATTTAAATAGCTTGTTTAATTGTATCAAATGATTCTTTTAATAATTTCAGTTACTATTGAGCTTTTGCCTTTCTTATGTAAAGCTTTATCAAAAAATTATTTGAATCTTACACACTTTGCTTATTTATTGGGTTAAAGCTTGCAAATCTTGTAAATTTTTAAACTTTTTCAATACTTTTATTGCAAAATTCAACACACTCTTAGTTTTTACCCATCTTAAGATATGTTAAACTTATATTTCCCATAGCTGTTTCATTATTGTCAATTTCAAGGCATTTAAAATATTTTTCTAAGGCTTTTTCATACTAAGCAGATTTGAAAAGAGTATCTCCTTGCTTTTTTATTAAAATACTTTCTTTTCTTTTTTATATAGTTTATTAAACTCCTTCAAACTATTAAATCAGCTAGTTGTCTTTCAAGTAAAAGATATCTTCACTTAAAGACTTGTCTAAAATTTCTAAACTTCTATCAACATCTCCCTATTTATTATATAAAAATTATTTATACCAAATACTTAATTTAGAAATTACCTTCCATGATGTTGCAATAGCTTTCCTTAAAATTGTTTTTAGTCTTAAAGATTAGTTTTTAGCAAGCTCTTTTTCTTCTTCTTTTAGAGAATTGCAGTAGCTAAGGACCATATCTGCATCCATCAGTGCTTCTTCATAGTTATATAAATGGATATTGCAAGCACAACGATTAGCTATACAATTTATCATAGACTAATCTAGTTTGTAGGCTTAATTATATGCCATAATAGCTGAATAAAAATCTTAATTTTTATAGAATTCGTCACCTCTGTCCTTCAACCAAAGAGGATTTTTATTTTCTAAATCATCGCCGCTCTTTTCTTACTATTATTTTACTTTTGGAAGGGGAGGTTCTTTAAAGTGTTATTCTCTAGCAGCAACTCCTGGATACATTCTCTAAGTAAAGGCTAAATCTAACTTCTTTTATTCTCTCACCTTTGGTTTATCATCATATTCAACAGCTAATTCTTCGTTCCTGAAAATGTCTTCATCGTTGAAAATAGTATCGTCGTATTTATGAGTCCAAATAATTTAAGGTTTGACTTTTTATGTATTTTAAAAAATTAAATTTTTCTCATCAATTATTATTTGAAATTAAAAATAATTGAAGTACTTTCTTCCTTGACCTTTGTTTTCTATTCTTAGTTTTGAGTTATGTTTCCTTTTTCATCAACATCATCATATATTTTATCAATTGCTTACTTTTGAAAAATGAATAATTTTATTGAATTAAATTTTATGTTTAAAATAATTACATTTTTTTCTTCGGTCTTTTTGACTTCTAAAACCTTTCTGTTTTCATCTTCCAATCTCATTTGTTCTTTAGTGGCATGAGTATCGAATTTTATTTTTAAATCATTTCTTTGCTTTAAGTGCTCTTAATAAGCTGTCTCTCTTCTTTAGAATGATTCTTATCTTCTTTTCTTTATTTATTCCTTATCTAGACCATCCTCGATAAGGTCTTCCCAATGTTTTTTTTCTTCTTTCTTTACTAAAATTATTTCTAGAACTTCATTTGCATAAACGACATTGTTTTCTTATCCTTAAAAGTCGATTTCATGCTTAAGGTCCAAAACTCTGACCCACTTCTTTTCTGTGATGTTAATTTTTAAAACTAAATCTGAAATAAAGATATCAATTTTCTTCATAGTGATTCCTTTAATTGGGATTCTAATCTTAACTATTTTGTTATCTTAATACCACTCATAACCATGTTTTGGTTTAATTCTTGGAACTGGCTCTGGTGGAAATTGAGGGACTCCTGCTGCATTATTTCCTATCATTTCTATTTACTTGGCTTTTAAATATTTGGTGAAAGACTAATTAATTAACTATTTTAATTTATTTTCTAAAGATATTGATTGAAAATGAATTATATTTTTTATCAAAAATTTAAAATTTTAATATCTCTTTCACTTTTATTATAATTAATTTTTGTTTTAAAATTTAATAACTCATGAATAATATGTAAAAATGAATGAATATTATTTTTCAAAAATATCTAATTAAATGTAATTTTTTTTTCAATAATAAGTAAAAATTTGAAACTTTCTCAAATTTATGCAATTATAATTTAATTTAATTCAAACAGCAATTTTTGGTAAAAATTTTAAAATTATTATTTCAAAATTCATTTTAAAATTTAAATATCTTAAAATTAGATTTAATTAAAATATTTATTAAAATTATAAAAATTAAATTTGAAAAAAAAGAATATTAATTTTATAATTTTGCAACTATTTCACTAAGAGATAAATTATAATTTAGAATGAGTTAAATTTTAAGTATTTGTCAGTAATTATATATCTATCTTCTTATATAGTTAATGGTATTACAAGTGACAGTTTTTAGGCGTAATTATATAAATAAAAATATTAATTAATAGAGATTGTTTTTACTTAGAATAATATTTATAATCAATTTATCTATAGATAATCAAAATAATATCTTTCTCTATATTAAAACATTACTTCAATGAGGAGAAAATCAACTCTCAATTAAAGCGCTATTCCTGTAAATAGATTATAATCATACTTATTTAGAATAAAAGTTCTTTTTCTGGTATAATAATAAATAGGAAATAGTTAACATCCTTCAACTTCCACTAAAAGAGAGGATGAGTTAAGATATTTAAAGATTATGTGAGTTAACATAAAATCTGCCTTTATTTGAATCTGTAAAAAAGAGTGGTTAGCTTGATGCAAATTATTAAGTATGCAGTGAGCTCAATCACAAAACATACAGAGAAAATGAAGTTATATTAACAATTGGTAATAAATAACATTTAAATTTGTTTGATATTTCTTAAATTTCTAATGATTATTTAATCAAAAACATTTAGATAAGCTAAAAATCAACGATTAATCATTTTTTATAAATAGGTTAGCATGCTCAGACTTTCTAAATAATCCTTACAGGTCAAGTGGGTGTCTATGTTAGATAAAAGCGCAAAGACCAAGTTTAAAAGGAAGAGTAGCTATTTTTGGTAAAAACCTTAGGACAAGGTGACTGGTTTGGAGAAGTAGGAATGGTTCATAATTAAGCGAGCTTAGTAAATTATGTATGTCTTACAGAAACTCAAACTGCAACATTAGACAAAAAAAGATTTAAAAATGTCCTTGACTAATTCTTTTTAATTCGCATGACATTTTAATTAAATTTTCTGAGAGAAATTCCCTTATTTTGGGGCTGGAGCGAAAACGACATGAGAATATTATATTAAGTTTATTCAAGATAGAAGTTTATTCAGGAAGAGCCTGTCTATCTGTAAGGTGATACATCATAATATATTTACATCGTTAAAGAAGGTTAATTTAGGGTAATATTATCTTGTTTTATGCACATATTTAAACTATCTAAATAGATTAAAAGAATTTCAATTTATGGATAATATTATTTTTGTTAATTCTTTGTTTTAAAGATCTTTCCTTAAAATATTATTTTTGTTTTTAAAAACATAGATTTTTAAACATTTTGATGAGCTTCGTATTAGAAAATACTATGATCAAAGTTTTAAGCAGTAATTGGACTAGGATAAATATCACACAAAAGCAATTAAAGAATTCGAAGAGGAAAAGAATCTTCAAGTAAAAAATCTAATTTAAAAAATTTTATCGTGTTTATTGTTTTTCAATAGATTGTGTGTGTTAAAATTACTTTAAAAATACAGAAAAGCGAATTTATAATTTAATTAAATAGGTTGGTACTATAGAACGTAATGAGATGTTTGGAGAAGAAGATATACTGACAAAAAGGAATAGAAAATACTCTGTAGTTTGCGAATCTGATTATGGAGAGCTATTCGTTTTCACAAAATCAGCAATGAGTTGTTTAATAATGAATTAAGAAAAATCTAAAAATTACATCTTAGCAAGATTTAAGAATAAATAAAATTCTTACTCTAAAAGATTAGATAATATTTCTTAGTATATTTCAAGTGTTAAAATTGATGTTATAGAAAAAAATTAAGATTAGTTACGAATGACAGAGGATTTTCTTTCAACAAGGGCATCTAAAATTATTGACTAGCAAAGCATGATTTAAAGCATGAAAACGCTAACAAAACTTAGTGATTCCAAGTATGGAACTATGAGAAATCAAAGTGGTATCAAAAACAGTATTAGAATAGATCTACCTTAATTAAATAATAGCACTGCTTAAAATTTGACTTTCTATAGACAGCATTCTAATTAAGAAAATTAATTATCTTCAAGCAGGACTAACAACTTAAATAATGAAGATAAAAACAATTTACTACTAAGCAGGACTTAAGTTAACTTCAAATCCCTTAACAACTTAAATTCAAATGATAGTCTTGTTAATACTCAATATTATTCTAGTTAAAGCTAACAATAGATAGCAGCTGCTGGAAATTATTCAGGTCTACAAAAAGGTCAAGCTGTTTATGAAAAAAGGCGCAAAAATTATATGCAAAAGTATTACGATTAGTTTAAATTTAATGTAGTTGATAAAAATTACTGCAACAAAATTATTGATTAATGCACAGATATTAATAAAGAATATTCAAATAATAAAATGTATGCTAAAGGGGCTTTTAATAATAAATTGGGACAGAGAGGTTTCCGTTGTTTGGGTATTGAAGAAATTAGAGATACAAACTAAGAATACGAAAGAGCAAAGCTTAAAATCTAAGAAGAATTTGATCCAGATTATAAAATTAAGAACTTGAATCACTCAAATAGTATAAAAAAATGAGTACAAACAAAACCAATCTTCATCTAGTTATAATTTTTAATATAAATTAATTGTGTTGATGTTTATTTATATATACAGTTAAAATTCTATTATTACAATATTCTTTATATGAATTAGTATAAATAAAGAACTGATAAAGATATTCTTAAATATTTAATTTTAATAAATTACTTTTTCTATTTTAATTTTTTCTTCTTATTCAAAATATATAAATGCTAATAAGCTAGCTTGAAAAAGTAAATTTTAATGAAAAAATTTCAAAAATATGTCTTTGTTTTAAGTAAAAAATGCGAGAAAAAAAATTTTTTACTTTGAGGGTTTGAACCTCTATAATAAGATAAAGAAAGCTTAATGAATAATTATTTTAATTTTTTGATTAAGTTTTTAAAAATCTAATTCAATTTTATTTTGAGCTTCAGTAGAAATAAGATTGGTTTTATAATGCATTTTAGATAATGCAAGAAAATAATTAAAAAATAAAAATAAAAAAATATTCTTTTTAATAAATTTTAGACAAATTGTATTTAAATTTGTTAAATTATTATTAGCAGCAGGAAAATTTTAATATGAACTAGATTTTAAATAATAAAATTCAAATAGACAACATTATATTAAATAAAAAATATGGATGGATATTAAAAGAATTTTGTTTTAAAATAAAGTTTTAAATTTTTATAAAAATTTTTGAACAAATTTGAATGTAAAAGTTTTTTTAAGCTAAAAATGAAAAATCACAGTATTTTAAAACTAAAAATCCCAAAGATAAAAATTTAATTTATTTTTATAAATTTAATTAATTAAAACAGCAATTATTGATTTTGGTTTCAAAAAATAAAAAATGGACAATTTAAGTTAACTAATCGAATCTTTTCAATTAAAAATGATTGCATTTTCTAACTTCTAATACGAAGATATTGTTTAATACTTTGAAGAAAGTTTGTTTGATTTAGATACTAATGAAATAGATCCTAATTACGAATAAAGTAAAATATAGACCCTTTAGAAAATTATTTTAGACTTGATGAGTTTGGAAAAAATTTCTTTTAACTTTTTTAAAAATTGTGACATCTACAATTCTGCTCTTTAGCTAAAAAATTCATCTAATTACTTTCCAAGCTTACAATATTTATCAATTGATTTCAGCAACTATTCTGAAATAAAATCATCAGTTTTTGAGAATTTAGGAATTTTCATTTCTAACTTAGAATCTTTAGAATACTTGAGTTTGATTATCGATAACTTCAATAAATAAAAAATAGATTATAGTTTTAATATTTTCTCAAGTATTTTTAAAAATATTCCAAAAAAGTTAAGTTCATTGAATCTAGATGTTAAATTAATTGATATCGACTCATCTTCAATAGAGATCTTTACTCAGTATTTAGAAAAGTTGACAAATCTTTAAAATTTATACTTTCAAGTTGGTGATAATTGTTAATTAAAAACTGAAAATTCAATAATTTTGGCAAATTCAATTCAAAAACTAATTTAACTAAAAAGACTAAATCTAATAATTTAATCAGATAATTAAATAAGTTAATAAGGAATAATTTAGCTTTTATAGAGCATAAGACACCTTAAATCATTAGAAAATTTACATTTAGATATATTTGGAAATGAAACAATATCAGATTAAATACTTAAAGAAGCCAAATTTTCGTTCTAATATCTTGAAAAATTAACATAGTTTAAATGGATACTTAAAAGTAAAATTTAGAATTAAAAACTTGCTGATGATTTAGGAGAGTTGTTGCCATGCACAAAATAATTAAAATAGCTAGATTTGATTTATGAAAAATAATATATTTTATTCATGAATGAATAATTAAATGGATTAGATAATCTAGAAAGTTTAAGTATTTAAATTAAAAACATTAATGTTTCGATAGAAACAGATAAACTCTTATAAAAAGTATTTTCAATTTAAAGCTTAAAATAACTGCACCTTAAATTTGAGAAACCTGCTTAAATTTAATTTTAGTTAACCTTAAATTTAGATTGCTTCTTGCAATTAACTAATTTGTAAATTTTAAATTTAGAAGTAAATTTTAATTTAAATAGTAAAACCTTATTAAACTTAACTAGAAACCTGTAATAAATGAGATAAATCAATTAACTTTCTCTTAAATTTAATAATTAAATTATATTGAAGCAAGAAATACTTAATCTCTTTTCATCAATAGAAAATTTATCAGGCTTAATTAAGTTAGTTTTTGTAGTAAAATAAAAAATTATTTATGATTATGAAATAACATAAGAAATACAAAATAATATCTATGATAACTTAATCCATATGAATTAAAAACTATAAAACCTTTATTTCATCTAAATCCGCATTGATTATGATATAACACTAAAATAAAAATTTTGGAAAATTAAAAAGTCATTTAAAAGACTTGTACAATTTAATAAAAAATTTATTTGAATTTGTAGAGATAACTTTTAAATAAATAATTAAATAGAAAAAATATTTTCAAATATGAAAATTTAATTAAATTTGATTTGTTTTTCTTTTATTTATCTAGTCTCAAATTTGAAAAATATAATCACCAAAATATTATATATGATGAATACAAAAAGATTTTTGATAAACATACATAAAGAATCGACTATTTAAAATATAAATATATTTTCAATGAAAACTTTGGCAATTTGTTAAAAGGAATATATTTGTCGTAATGCTTTATATATAAAACTTTTTTTTATTCATATTTATCTTTCATTTTAATTATCATGTATATTTTTTTTTCAAAAATTAATTTTTGTGTTTTCTTTATGCTAATATTAATACATTAAAATAAAAATATATGTATGTATTTATCTAAATTTAATAATTTATATTTTAATATATTTTAATTTCTCAATAAAATGAAGCTCTCATATATTAATTTTAAAAGTGTTATGTATTTTGATGTTAGATATGATTTTAAGGTGAATTAATTCCTTATGATCTATTCATGTCGATTTATGATTACTCATCAAGGTGTCTAGAATCTTAATAAACATAATTTTCTGCAGCAGCTTATTTGGCGAGTTAATTTTTAACAATCCTATAAATTACATAAATTAAAATCAAACCAACAAAAACACTAAACCCAACAACTAATCCTATCATTAGACCTTTAGAATTTTAATCAGTGACATCAATTTTACAATAACCTTCGCTTGTTAATACAAATCCTTCTCTACATTGAGTACATGAACTAGGGCTAGCACCACTGCATTAAAGACAAGTGGAGTTACAATTTTAACAAGATGTTACTGCATCATAAGTTCCTCCTAAACAAACGCACTTACCATTCAATACTTATCTTAAAGTGTCTTTGCATCCAATACAATTAAAATTAGAATCGCAAGATGTGCAAAGTGGGGAGCATGTTCCAGCTTGACCTGATTATTTTACACAAATTCCTTACTAATTTAAATATCCTGAAGCACATTAAGTGCATTAAGAGTTGGAAGATCCAGCACATGTTAAGCAACTAACATCACACTACTTACATACAAAATTAATTTTATCTTCATAAGTATTTGATGGACAAATACAATTATTTAATGAATCTCTAACATAACTATCTCTACAAATAACACAGTTTGAAGCTAATCCACCTGAGCATTTTTTGCAAGAACGATGACAACCTTATATAAATTAAATTTTTTTCATAAATATTTTTTATAATTAAAAATTTTAATTTTTGGTAAAATATCAATTTAAAAATAAATAGTAAATTCTTTAATTTTATTTACAGATTTTTAAATTAATGATTTAATTTTTTCAAAATTTAAAATATTATTATTTGCATAATTTTTATTAACCAAATGTGTGAATTTTGGGTTGATGATGTTAATAATTAATTTACTTGGACATTGCTAAGATACGTAGTCTTCGTAGGTGTAATCAGGGCAGATGCAATCATTTTAAGTCTAAATATAAATTCTATTTCCTCTGCAACTCAAGCATGTATCAGAGGTTGTTTAGCAAGTAGCACATTACCATTAGCAAACATCACACTATTTTGTGTTTGCAATTTCGTAAAATCCTGGACTACAAGGGCATTAAGGTTATGTAATTCTATTTGCTGCACAAACTGTACAATTATTAGAAGTTACTGAACATTCAGCACATCTTGGATCGCAAGCTTTTATATATTATATATTTAAAGATTCAATTTATTAATTCTTTTAATCATTTAGATACCTGGACAAACAGCAACTTATGTGTCTAAAAATCCTGAGGGACAAGAGCAGTTATTTCCGTATCTATTACCATTACACTAGGTGCATGTCTACAAATCAGAGCATTTTGCACAAAAACTACTACATTCTGAATTAAATATTAAATTACTATTAAGAATTTTATTTAATTTTATTTACATTAGCATTATCCATAAATATTACTGAAATACCCATCTTAGCATACACATTAATTTCCAGATAAAATTCTATTTGAAGTATCACAGCTAGTACAGTTGTTAGGATTTGGTCCATTACAAGTCAAACAGGTAGGATCGCATCTAGGACATGTTACTTAATTTGCTAAGTAATAATAATAATTTATTAAAAATTAAATAAATTTTATTAATTTACTAATTGAGAAAGTTCCTATGGGACAATTACAATATGGAGGTGAGACACGATTTGGAGAACATTAAATGCATTAATTAGATCCAGGGCCAGAACATGATAAACAATTTGGATGGCAAGCTATATCAAATTTATTTAAATAATAAATATCTTCTAAACTTTAGAGTAAAATTTACGTTAACAAACTCCATTAGCGTCACTATATTTACCGTATTAGCAATCGCAGTTAGGTGGGTCACCTATTTTTTTAAAATTAATTGATTAAATTTCTAAAAAATAATAGTTTTTTACGTCCAGCTGCACAAGAAGTACAAGCAGTTCCATTTACACAAGTTCCGCATTTGCTCATGCATTCTTTTTTAATTGAATTAAGGTTATCTTACATTTAAAAATAAATAATTTTTTAGCTTACATGCACATTCAGGAGTGTTGTTTTCATAGTAGCCAGGTTTGCAAAGACATTATGGAATAGCTTATCTCGTAGTTCCTGCACATACTAAGCAATTACCTAATCCATCGCAAGTTTAGCATTATACTGGGCAAGCAGAGCATGTTGCTTGACCAACAATATCAAATCCAGATATGCAAGCACAGTTGTTGGCTAGTTATCTTCCTGGTTGGCATTATTAGCAATCAGCTGGAGTGCTGGTAGGTCCTGTACATATTGCACATCTATAATTACATGCTTTTTTTATTATAAAAATTATATAATATCTGAAAAAAATATTTTTTGTTGTTGTTGTTTTATTACTTGGGCAATAAGGTTATAAAGTGTCATAGGAACCTTAAGGACAAATACATTAATTAACATTAAGATTTCTTGGTAGAGTATTTGCTGGTGCAGATCCTGCTGGGCAACTAGTACAGTTTGTGCTTGTGTTAGAGCAATTCCAACATGTTGGATCACAAGCTAAATAATTTTTTTTATATTTTAGTTAATTAAAACATTTAAAATTTAATTTACTGTTGCAAGCTAAATTATTAAAATCTCCAAAATAATGAGCTGCACAAGCACATGCTTGATTAGGATCTCTTGTGGGAGACTTACATGCAGTGCATTGAGGTTAGTTGGGACCAGTACATTAAGAGCATACGTTAAAACAAGGTTAACAAGCAGGGGTACCAGCTATTTCATAATTATTAACGAGACAATTACATGCTGGTATTGTTAAGGGGTCTCTATTCGCTGCACATTAAGTACAGTTAGTTGCAGTATTTGAGCATGTAGCACATCTAAAATTACAAGCTAGAATATAAGTAAAACAGTCAGGATTCAATAATTTTTTGAAATTTATTATATTTTACGTGTACAATTAGCTGCTGTACCATTTAAACTGAAAGAACCATCTGCACAATTACCTGAAAAATGAAATAGTAAAAAAATTAAGTTTATAAAATGCTAAGTATAATAAGTATTTACAGGTAGGGGGTCCTATACGATTTGCTGCACAAGTCAGGCAATTTGCTGCTGAAGTAATACAAGTAGCACATTGAACTGCACAAGCTAAATAATTAAGTAGATTTTTTATAAAATAAACAAACAAATGAAATAGAAATAAATATATGAATATTTACGATAACATACACCATTTGAGCCATATTACCCATTAGGACAAGGATTATAGCACAAAGAGTCAAGGGTATTTAGATAATATCCAGGTGCACATTGAGTACAAGCATTTATTGTAGTAAAAGTACAAGCTATGCAATTAGGAGTACCTTAAATTAAATTAAAACAACAGAGTTCATGGTAAAGAAAAGAATAGAAAAATAATTTTTACATTGATCAACTGCAAAATAGAAATTATTAAATCCAAAAGTTTATTGTGTACTCCCCTATCCAACCGAAGAAGACATTGAAATATTAATTGGAGTAGTAGTATGGGGCACTATTTAATCAACTATTATAATACAATCATTATAGGCCAAGCTTCCACATAGCTGCTGATACCAAGGGCAATTAGCAGTAGTGTAAGTATAGGTGTTAGAGTCTACAGTGATTGTAACAGAACCTCCTCCAGTCCAATTATCTTTAAAATATATTCAAAATAAATATGAGTATAAAAAAAATTATTTATAATCACCTATCAAATAGAGTTTGACATATAATCTATATCTATAATGAGGGGGAGCAGTAATTTATTTACTCCAAGACATAGAAGTTTGAGATCCATAACCTCCAAAAATTTTATCATTTCCACACCATCCGCTGATTCTAATTGAATATTAACCGTTACATCCACCACATATGCTAAATGATGTACCTTTTACACTGAATTCTTTGTTCGTAGCCCAAGGTCTATCAAAAAGACTAAACAGCAACAATCCTATCAATTAAAATCATAATTAATTGAATTTAATTATTTCTAGATATATATGTAAAAATTGTTTATGATATAAAAAGTTGTAAGGGTAAACAGAACTACCTAATAATTTAAACTCACTCTTTCTTTTTATAAATCAAATTTAAGTAATTTTAACTTTACCTAATAAAAAATTAAATAAAATTAACTATAAATTTATTTAAAATGAGCACATGACTATCTCTATTTATTTTTATATCAGAAAGAGGTGCATAAAATATTAATAACTCATTCATTAAAAAAATAAATCTATAAAAATTGTTTTTATCTCAAACAAAATGGATTTTCTTCTTCTAATTTGCTAGTTCAAAATTAATTATTAACTTATTTGATTTTATTTGAATAATTTTGCTTTAATAAAAGCAAATGAATGCATTTATGATAAAAGTAATGAGTTAAACGAAATTATTGCTCAGATTAATATGTAAGAAATTCAGTAATTAATTTATTATATTAACATTAATTCATTGTTAAAATAATTACCTGTTTAGGGACTTAACTTATACTCATACGGTTAACAGTTATTGCTATTTAAATAGAATAAATGTATTAAATTATTTTCTTTGATAATTAATTTAATTACCCAACAGTCTCTAATCCCATTGGACATGAAGAGTAGCAAGTCAAATCCTAAGCATTCAAGAAGTAACCAGCATTACATGCAGAGCATGCAGTAATATTTTTTGGAGTGGCACAGTTTAAAACATTAAGCAAGCATATTCTATTAACTGTATCAGGAGTGTATCCAGAAGGACAACTAGATACACAATTATTACTCAACATAAAATGGGAATTGTCACAAGTACATAAGTTACCATTTAATGTTGCATAGGCTGGGCAACTAGTACATATCTATGAATTTGATGCTGAACACTATGTGCAACTAAAGTGACAAGGTTTAACCCAAGCCCTTTAATTTAAAAATTGAATTAGAGCTTAAAATTGTGTATAAAGATTAAATAAAAAAATATTTTTGTTAGAATGAAATTACTAAAAGTTTCTTATATAATAGCTTTGATCTGAAAGGGGACGCACATAGTTACTTATAACATTTAAAGAAAGAGTATTCACAGTATGAGTAAGGTTTCCTGTACATGTTATTAAATTTGCAAAAGTAAACCCATCATAAGGAGTAAATGTCAAATAGCTAGCTTAAGTACCATCAAGAATAACTTAGATATTATCAGTACCAGTAAAAGGAGTAGCAATATATTAATAGAAAACATCAATAGTAAAAATTAATTAATTGTGAGGAGTAAGTCCAGATATTGTTCTACTTGCTGGTACATTTTAACCTAAAGGACCTAAAGAAGTTAAAGCCCAATTTTAAATACCACCAGACACAACAATAACATTTTTCTACAAGCAAGTCCAATTTACAAGATCACTCATTTAAACATTTCCCTGTAATTCAAATGCAACTTGAACCATTTCAGTTTCTTTTAATTAAAATATTTTTTAAATTGACTCATTTTAACACTTTTAACTTTAAGTTAAAGAAATGATTTAGATGTAAAATATGAATATTTATATTAAATAAAATATTTGTTCATTTTGATAATTCTAAGAGATAATTTACATGCCTTTACTAAACACTGAAGGGTAAACATTAAAAACAGTAAAGCTTTCTTTAATGAGGTCATCATTTTTAAAGAAGGCATAAATTGATTTTAGTTAATATCTTTTTTTCTACTTATTTAGTGAATCACTATTTAATTCAAATTATATTGGTATCTATTTTTCTTTATTTCTTAATTAGATATGCTTTGTGGCTAACCAATAAATTTGAAGAAAATTTATAATAAAAAAAGTTGGTTGTTAATATAAGTTTTAAAGAATTTCTAACCAGAAATATTAAAAATCACCAACAAAATCCTTTTTTGTTAACAAAGTATTTGATCTAAAGTTTTTATAAAAGACTTGCTCAATAGATAAAAAATTTAATTAAAGGTTATTTTTGATTTCAAAACCATATTTTAAATAATGATTAAATATCACCATACACTCTTAATTTGTTTATTCATTATTTTGTGATATTCTAATGATTACCTTGTCAAATTCATTTTAGTTATCTTTGAAGAATTGTTAATTTTCCATTCTGATATAAGAAAGATTACATAATATTATTCATACCAGAAGCTTACATAATTTTATCGTTCAAAAATAAATATATTATTATTTGATTTTTAATTCATTCATCCACCATTAAATAAGAAATTTCTACAATTAACAGCTTACTCTTAAAAATAAAAAATAGTTATCATACTGATAAAATTTATTTTATTAGAATTTAATTTTTTGATTTAATCAATCATTTCATGGTTTTATTATTTATTTTTTTTAATATTGAGTTATTTATTTATTTTAGAATTTATAATTTATATTGAATAATCTAAAATTGGGATAAAAACCTTAGGCTATTTGCATTTTTTAGGATGCTTAGTTTGACGATTTTACTGTAGGTGACAAGACTTTAAAGTAATTTTTTTTACATGAATCTATTAGAGTAAAAATGTATGTGTTTGGAAAGGTATTTTCCTCTATTAAAATGATAAATAAATTCAAAAAAAATAAACAGCTTTTTGCGTATTTAAAGTTTAATTTATTTTATTGTGCAATTAATTTTATTCAAAATAAAGTGAAGCTAAAGTGCTTTGGAAAAATGAAAATAGTTTTGTAATAAAAAATAACAATTATTATATTATAAATTATTAATTAGTTAATTAAGAATATACACAGTTATATTTAAAATGGATAACGAATTTTAATTCTATTACAAAATCAAGGGTTGGTTGACCTGATTAATAGAATTTAAATAAGATTGCATTTTTATTTGTTTGGTTATAAATAATATTTTACATAGATTTAGATAATAATTTTTCTTGATGGTTTATTTTCTTTTTAATAAGTTGCTTTGATAATAATTGATAACTCTTATTTAATAGAGATGGTGCTTAAAAATGAATGTTGTGTTTCTATATAATTTTCATTAAAAAGAAATTTGTTGTACTTGAGGCTTGAAATTTTATCGAGAGTTTTTAAAGTTTAGAAATTGTTGCTATTAATTATACTGTTCACCTTGTTAAAAAGGTATTTATTGTCTATTATTTATTATTTCCATAGCAGGCTTTTAGAGTAATCTTTGGTGGTTTTATATTACTTTGGCTCCCCTACTAAGAGTACTTTAAAGTGAATCCAATTCTCCTATTTACTTATTATAATTTCTTTTTGAATCTAGGTTACTATAAATATTAGATTCATACAAAATTTTTTCTTACTGCTTGCGTTCTATTTCTTCATTTAGAATATCTTTCTCAGGCTGGGAGAAAAAATTAGCAGTTATCTTTTTGAATTCGTTAGTTGTTGGACCATTTGCTTGAAATTAAGGAGGTTCTGTGTTAAGGTTGTATTCAGGTAAATAATTAAGATGGTCTTCGTTAAATAAAGGAGAATTTGTTGTTTGCTGAGAGTTAGCTGTTTATGGGATATTTTTGTTAATTACATTTTTATTAGGTTTTACATCTGCCTTGCTAGAGAAAACTCTGTTTAATATTTTTGTTTAGGGTTTTCTAGTTAAGAATTTTTTAGTTGAGGCAGTTCCATTTGTTGTTAGAGTTTACTGATTGATTGGATCTGAAATTTTTATAGGATCAAGCTGAATCCTCTTCGAGATAGTCATCTAACCTAGAGATTAGTGCTTTCTCATTAGAGATTCATAAGGTTACAAGTTTTAGTTAGTTAAATTCTAACTAGGATTGTTTAAATTTTGATTGAACATGTTTTACTATTCAAAATATGTCTTTAAATTTATTTATTGCTTAGGAATCTACTAGTCAGGTGGTGGTAAAAACATTTTTTACTTTTGCAGAGTTGAGTTAACTATTGTATCAGTTTTTTATCTTTCGTTTACATCTAAGGATTGCTAATGTGAATGAGGTGCGCTAGCAAAATTATTTATTTCTTTTAACTCTGGTTTTTAATCTTCATTGAAATCATATTTATTTTGAGCTTTATTTTGATAATTTACTTAAGATGTGTCTGATTTTTAATTAACTTTTATCTCAGAGTTGTATTAAGGTGAAATCCTTTGTGCTTCTCTTTGAGATTATTAGATATTGCTTTACATAGCTGCTAAATTCTTAGAATAATATACTTCAGCTGCTTGAGCTAGCTAAATAGGATTTAGTGTTTTAGGACTGTTTGTCCTCATGCCCACCCTGCTGCTTACTGAATTAATCATGTTTGACTATTAATTTTATTATTGAGACATTTAAGAAACGGGAACAGATTAAACAATACTGAAATATTAATTGTTATTCATATTTTCTTCATGCTATTGCTACATAGATGGGCTTAACATCTACATCTAGTTCATGTTTAAGCCTATAACTTTTTGCCCAACTGGACTATTGTAGTTTGTACTTTTTATACTCATTTCTGGGGTTGTTTCTTATGTTGAGTTGCTATTATTTTAAAGTGGATACAGTTCATGGTTTGTTTAGCTATTTTAGTTAACAACCTGATTCTAGTATGCTGCTGCTTTGCTTATTGTTCCAGCAGCAACTCCATTTGTTACAGATTGAATTTATGTACGTTAAATTTTACGATTTTTAAGAGAAGAATTAAAACCCCTATTTTTATATTTAAAAAAGAATGAATAAATATAAAATATAACATTTATTTTGTAAAGAAATGCTAAAAATAATAATGTTTTATTTCAATTAATTACTGTTCATTAATATATCTTACAGTAGGATCGTTGTTAGCTAAACTAATTTAAGCGTACTTTACCATACTTTTAGGATTAGCGTTTTGGAACTGCTTGATTGAAGACTAATAAGCAGAATTTGTAGTGGATTGCTGCTGTGATTATTACTGCAACAAGTTTAGCTATTAATTTTAATTTGAAGAAATAGAAGGGAGCTTTGTTCCTCCTTCTCTAGAAAGTTTTCTGCCGTTTTACTGAAGTTATAGATTTTGATTAAAATTAAACGTTGCATTAAATTGCATGTTATTGCTTGTAGATTATCCGTCTTTGCTAATAGAAAAAAACGGATTTTAATCTTCTGAGTTTTTGGCTTACTGTTATTTATTTTGATAAATCTATTACTATTATTGCTGATTTAATCTAGAGTATTCAAAAGGGTTAAATTATTGGTCGATTTGCATCTCAACCACTTGCTGGTTTGTTTGTATTTTTATTTTAGGTGAAAACTAAGGTTCATTTCCTCATAGTTTCTGATCAAGTTTCCCATTGACATTTCTGGTAGACATAGAATAAGAATGTGGCTGTAACCTTGGAGATAGAACTGAGTTTTGAATATTCAAATTCTCGCTATTTTTATTTTGTGAGTTGTAGATATTGATAGGCAGAGCCTTAGACAAAGTAGTTCCTAAATTGTTAATGTTATTGTTGATCAGTTAGTCAAATTCATCATGGTTTCCTCCGCCTCTTGATATTTTTTTCTGCATTTCAAACTACTATTTTGAGCTATATGCTCCTGCTTACTATTATTAGATCTATGAAGAGTATGTTGGTACATATGATCCTCCAGGATTTTAATTAGCAAGGTTAACCTAATTCTGATTTGATAACATACCTTATATATTAATAATTGCATTATTGTTCTATCTTCTTGTAGATTATTAGGAACTGTTATTTTAATTGCGCTGAGGAGGATTTTCCTAAACTAGTTGATTTAAATTATTAAGTTATGATTGTAGACCTTCGTAAGCGGATTTGCTTTGAAACTACTCTAAAGCATTTCCTGTAGATATCTTACTTGTCTTTGTTTAAGTATTTAGTTAATTCTGAAGTTAAACTTAATTATTCATGACCTGCTAAATATGTTCCTTGCTATCAAAAGTTTAATTGTTTTATTCATAGTTAGTCACTTATTATGCAACATGGCTAGTTAATTATTTATCCTGAGAAACTATTTACTTTAGACTGTTTTTGGGTGTAGATTCCTTTGGAAAGAAGAAATTTGCCGTCTTTCCTAGATCATCAGAAGATTGAGGGTTTTGCAATTCTATATCCTCTGTTTGATGATTTTTTTGCATTTTACCAAAAAAGACAAACAAAAATGATGGCTTTTATTGAATAAAGTTTTCTATCTATATTAATTTGCTATTTGTCTTAATTAATATTTTTTGTATGATACTTTTTTCTTTATTTAATTTTTTTTGATTTTTTTCTTTATTTTTTGTCACTCCTGATGGTTGTAATGAATTTGGTTGATTTGATTATTTGATAATAATGAAAATAATTTGTTATTATCTTTGACTTTTATTTACTTTTAATTAAATATAATCTATTTTCAATAGCTATCTTAAAGACTTTTTTCAATTTTAATTTAATTCTTTACTATCATTATCATTAATTTCTTTTTATTTAAAAAATATATGATAGATTCTCTGTAATAAGCAAAATTATTCTGCTAATGAAATAAGCACTAATTTCAATTATTTAATCATACATACAATCAAATATACATATTTCATATAGATTTACATTCAGTTTTAAATGTGTTTCAACACCATCTTTATAACAAATTCTCAATTTTGGCTTTATATTAAGAAATTTGAAAAAATTTATTAATTTTTTAAGTAACTCTTTTCTTTTAATTTTCAAACAAAAAAATTATAACATCAAAATTTAAATTTGTGAAAGACAATCTTAGATTATCAAATAAAAGTTATGCCCTTTTTAGAATATATAAAAAGTAAGCCATATAATTTTTAACTTAAAGAAAGGCTATTAATAATTTGATTAAGATTTCTTTGGTAATTAAATCTCCACAACAGTTAACACAAAACAATTTTTTATATCTTTACTTTTAAAGTATTTTGAACTAACTAATGGCAATTATTAAAATTATCATATTAATCAATTTAATAGAATTTATTTATTATCAAACTAAGTAACTCATCTAGTAATTAAATCAAACAAATTGAATATTTTTCTATTTTTATTTTAGATAAATTTAATTTTTATAATTTATTTTAAATATTTTCATAATAAATTGAAGACTATATGATAAGAAATATTTAAAAAAACAACATTTAAATTTAAAAAGAAAACAAAAAAAATTTAATAATAAAAAGAAATATTTTGAAGCAAATACATTTTTTTTATTTTATAAAATAATTTATTAGTTTGAAAAGTTTATAATAATTACCTTATTTTAATCAAAGAAATAAAAATTAATTTAATAAATATTAATAAATAAGCAAAAATACTAAAAAACTAGCTTCATTATAGGGACATAAACTAAAAAGTAGTAAAAATAGCTTTTAATTAAATAATTTAACAAATAAATTTTAATATTTTTATAATAAAATGGATTTAATTTAATTAAGCTATTTAATGCTGAAAATGAGTAATGCCTGCTACTTATTTTCTTATTAATTTAATTTTTACAATTTTTAATTCATTTTCAAAGTTTAATTTTTTTAACATTTAATAATGGTCTAAATAAACATATCAAATATTATATAAATTATGAACTTGAATAATAAATTATTAAAGGATATTAAAATTTAATAAATCTATAAAACATAAAACACTTTATTATATCATGTATTCTAAAGTAAGGTTTTTAACAGCAATGATAAATACTAAAATTTTAATAATTAAACAAAAAAGATTATGAAATTTAGTATATTTGGGGTTGGGGTTGGGGTTGTGGGGT